GATAATCTCGGTAGGTCTTAACTCGCTAGATAAGTTAGATAAGTTAAAGAGAAAAGAGTAGTAAGAAGAAGAGAAGAAGAGAAAGAAGAAGAAGAGAGAAGTAAAAGTAGAACGACTACTAGCCCGCCCTATCTCGCCCGACGACTTCTCTACTTATAATCCCTTACTACTCGATCTAAACTTCGATCCTAGGCCTTTTTAGAAGGCCCTAGATACTAGTAGTAAAACTTCTTAAGCTACTTAGAGTAGTTAAGGTTATTTATCGGTTTCTATATATTCTTTAATTATAAGTAGTTCTTCTACTTTATTAAATAATATAGTTTCTCTCTAATAAGTTTATAGTCTAAGATTTTCTCGACTTTATACTTAGTATTAGAGTTTACTAGTTCTATTTTTATAACTAGAGCTAGTAGTACTCTAGGTAGTACTAGCTTAAGAAGAGATATATAGAATACTAGAAAGATATTTATACTTTTTAGTAGAGCTAGTTTATAATTTAAAGGTCCTTTATATACTTTAATTTTAAATAGTTCTAGTTTCTTATTATCTAGTTTATTATTTAGTTATTTTATTTAGATATTTCGTCTAACTAAATAAACTCTATCTCTCTCTCTTAGTATAGGCTCCTAACTACGTTTCTTATTATAGTAAAACGCGTTTCGTTCTAAGATAAACTTAAGTTCTTTAATAAGTTACTTATAAAGAGAGAAAAGGTCGTTAATAAGAATTCTTTCTACCTAATTATCGATAGGCGCGTTATAAGGTTCTTAGAATACTATTTTCTTATAACTAAAGTTAGCTTTAAACGGCGATACTTATATTATTTCTATAGCTATACTATTATATAAGAACTAGGCTATTAGTAATAAGGCAACCTAATTATCTTACTTATAGTTTATATAATACCTTAAGTATACCTTAACTACTTAGTTTATTCTTTTATTATCTCTATTTATTTATAGATAGAATAATATTAATAGCTTTTACTTTATTTCTATATAGGTAGTTACGGCCGTCTAGAATTTAGATATAAATAGCTTATCTTAGTCCGAGACTATTTCTTCTAGAGTACTATAATCTATAACTACGTACTAGATAAAAGTATATACTAACTCCTTAGTAGTACTTAACTTCTTATATAGTATTAGGATTATATACTTAGTAAGTCTTTCTATTATAACTAGAATTACGTCGTATTCGACTTCTATTATTAGATCTCTTAATAGTAGAAGTTTAATAATAAAGTTCTACGATATTATTTTCTATAGTTTCTTTAGAATAGGTATTTATCCTATTAATCTATAAGGTATATAGTATATAGATTTATTTTAAATATAAGTATTATATTTAGTTACTACTTTCTTAACTAAAGTTTATAGCTTGTCAATATAGTATTACTACTAAATTCTCTAGAAGGTTCTTCTAATTTCTTAATAATTATATTCTAGGGCCTTATAGAATTTCTAGATAAATTCTAAGGTATATAAGCTTAGTACTTTAAGTTTTTCGTCTTTATATAGCGAGCTCTTCTTAGAGGCTACTAGTTTCTTATTCTAGGCGTCTATAATATTATTATACTATAGGCCTTAGACTTTAGTAAGGGCGGTAATTACCTTAGAGTTAGAGATAAGGTTTCTATCTTTATCTTCTTTAAGAATAGCTTATTTTTTATAAATCTTATCTTCTTTATATTCTAGTTATCGGCTTAAAGCGTTAGCTTAGAAATTATCTATTTCTTTTACGTATTTAATTATAATATTAAAATAGGCAAGTTCTTCGGCCTAGTATACTATTTATTAGTTATCTAATTTCTTTATTATTAAAAACGTTTATAAGTTCTTATAATCTATAAGAATAATAACTAGAAATTTAGCTTTTTAAAGATAAATCTTCTAATATCTTAGTACTTTAACTATAGCTATAAGTTTCTTCTTATAAATATTATAGTTTTATTTAGCTAGTAAGTATTTCTTAGAGTAATAGGTAATAGAGTATATTTTTCTATTTTCGTCTAGTTAAAGGTAAATAGTATCTACGGTAGTATCTAAGGTATTAGTCTTAACTATACTTAGTTTATTAATACTAAAACTTCTAATAACTAGTTTCTTAGTAAACTAGTCCTTTAATTCTTATATAGCCGCTCTCTTCTTTTCTCTTATAAGAAAAGGTACGTCTTTCTAAGTAAGATTAGTAAGTAGTCCTATAATTTTTAAATATTCTTTTATAAATTATCGATAAAAGTTTCTAAAACTAAGAAACGACTAGACGTCTTTAATATTTTCTAATTCTAGCTAGTCCTTTATTTATTAAATCTTCTCTAGGTTAATATTTATTTTTTCTAGTTTAATAATAAACCCTAGAAACTTAGTTTTTTAAGTACTAAACTCGTATTTCTCTAGCTTTAGTCTAGAGTCTACTTTAGCTAAGGCTTCTAGGACTAAGCGAATATACTCCTTATATTTATTTTTGTTTTCTAAGTAAATAAGAATATTATCGAGGTAATAGATAATAAACTTATTAAGATACTCTTATAAGATATTATCGTTCTATCTCTAGTATATTATAGGGGCGTTAGTTAACCTAAATAGTATAATAGTATATTTATATTAGCTAGAGAGTATAATAAATATAGTTATTTACTTATATTCTTTCTTAATCCTAATAAGGTTAAAGGTATTTCTCTAGTTAAGTTTTATAAATATTTTTACTTTAGCTAGTCTATCTTATAGATACTATATATTTAGTAAAGGGTATTAGTCTTTAATAGTAATATTATTTAGTCTTTAGAAGTCTTTATAAAGTCTCTCTTTATTATTACCTATTTTTACTACTACTAGTATATTCGAAGTAGCTAGCGATTTAGATAGTCTAATCTATTCTTTCTTAAGTACTATATCGACGTATTTCTTTAACGTCTTAGAGACGTTAAACTAGTATCGTCTTAATTTCTTAGAAGGTAGTTATCTTCTTTCTTTTAGATTAATCTCGTAATTCTATAGTTAGTATTTAAATAAGGCTTAAAAGTCTTTTAGGTTTTCGAATAACTTCTTAAATCTTTTATACTATATAAGTATTTATTTTTCTCTACCTTTATTAGTAGTAACCTATAGAGAACCCTCTATTCTTTTAAGGTGTCTAGGCGCTTTAGAGGAGATAGTATAAACCTCTCTCCGGCCTTATAGTTAAACCTATATACTCTTATAGGCGTATCTTCTATAGGTTATAGTATTAGTATACTAGTCTATTTCGGGGTTATACTCTCGAATCTAGGCTATTCCTAATATAGCCTCGTAGTTTCTAATTTCGGTAATATTAAACTAGATATTAGCTCTATATCTATCTAGTAAAGATAATTTAGATAGAATAGTTACTTAGTTAACTTATCTATTAATATAATCTAACCTATCTACGAGTTTTAGAGAGTATAGTCGAATATTAGTTATAGAAATATTTAACTTCTTTATTATATAGAGTAAGATATAGTTTCTATTAGCTCTTAAGTTAATTATAACTCTAATTAGTTTTTCTCTAATCTTTATTTCGACTATAATTTGTCTCTATTCTCTAGTAGTATAGAGCTTATAAGGGTCTAATAATATCTCTATAACCTCTATATTCTAGAGTAAGTCGGTCTATATATAGTATTACGTTACCTATTCTTATAAATAATAGAGTATACTAAGGCGTAGAGTATATGTGTCTAGAATTAGGGCCTTCTATTAGGTAAACTTATTAGTTTATTCTTTAATAAAGAAGACTCGCTTCTAGATACGTTTTCCTAGAGATTTACTAATAATCTCCTATATATCTCTAGGCTTAAGAATATTATTTAAGTAGAGTAACTACCTAATTAGTCTAAGTAGTTTAATAGTCGTCCTCTAGGTACGTTCTTATTAAAATACTACTCTTTTTATATCTATAAAAGATACTTTATAACGTATATTAATTATAGGTTTCTCTCTCTATATCTATTAGTCGGTAGTAAACTTCTAGCTATTCTTAGTTATCTAAACGTTTCCCTCTCCTATTATCTTCTAGAAGTACTAGTATTCTCTAGGTTTTAGGACTACTTTCTCGAGTTAGTAGGCTAAGGGGCTATCGGGTTCTAAGTCTATCTAGTATAAGGAGTCTCTAATCTTATACTCTTTAGTTATCGGAGAGTTCTTAGATTTTATCTAAACTACTAAGCTAAGTTCGGTAGCTTCTTACTTACTCTAATTACCTTTTAGTAGAGTAGCTCTATCTATTACTACTAGTTGTCTAGTAGGGCCAAACTATTTTTTCTAGCCTTTCTATAGCTTTCTTTTATAATAGAAGCTAGCTATATAACCTTCTTTTCTATACTTAAAGTAGAGTCTCTTCTCTCTTTAATATATTCTCTTCTTATTAGAAAGCTTCTTTCTATTCTTTTCTAAAGTATTAAGTTCTCTTCTACTAATCGTATTAAGTTCTATTAGATCGCTATAGTAGTTCTTTAATAGACGTATATAGTAAGAATAGACTCCTTTCTTTTTAATATAGTACTTATATATATAGTTATTAATCTTAATAGCGGCTTTACTTAGCTTATAAAGGGTCTTAAGAGAATCTATACGTAATAATTTGTCCTTTACAAATTTCTTTAATCCTCTATAGAATAATATTCTTAGGGCTTTATTACCTAGTCCTAACCTAGCTAAGGTTTACTAGAAGTCGATATTATAGTAGATAGCTAACCTAGTCTAAGTAAGCTTAAGTAGGGCTAGCTCTAATTTTTTCTTAATATTAATATCCCTAAAAGCCTTTCTTATACCGGCTATAAAGTCTCTTAGTAACTTAAAATAATCTTTAATAAACTAGAAATAAACTATAGATACTAAGCCCGCCTAGGTCTTATTCTCTTAGTAATCGCTAATATAAGGTTTAATCTAGTTATAAGCCCTTCCCTTAAAGTGTAAGATTAGAAATAAGACCTTATCTATTTTGTTTCTAAACTTGTCTCTATAAAAACCTATATAGAGTTAGGCCTTTATAATAAACTATTCTAGGTTAGCTAGAGTTCTATTATACTTGTCTAGCGGAGAGATTTGTAGGCCCTCCTTAGCTTCGATTATAGTAGGGGTTAGTAGTAGTAGTACCGAGGTTTCTACGACGCTTTCGGCTAGACTAGTAACGTTTAGAGCTATTATTAATAATCTAGTACTTACTAAGAATAGGTACTTAAAGTATAACGATTCGGTTCTACTTAGAGTAGACTAGGGTTATTATAAGGTTAGTATATTAAGAAGTAGGCGTAAGATTATTACTTATAGATTTAGAGATCTATTTATTATAATAAAAGTAGGTTAAATAGATAATATACTATTACTATAGTAAGTTAAGTACGAAGCTCTTATCTAAGGAAATTATAATTATTATATAAAACTTTTCTTTTCTTAAGTTCGATAGGTTCGCTAGTTAAACTCGTTAAACTTCTAGCCGGTTTAATAGGTTTACTCGGCGAACTTATTAAACTTCTATTATTACGTAATAGTACCCTAAACCGAGGCCGATCCGCTAATATAATTATTACTAATATTAACTAAATTAAGCTATTAGACGGTAGTCCTAGAAACTACTCGATTCCTGTAACCTCGCCTAATCCTAGGACCTTTAGTCCTAGAAGTATTACGACGCCGAGGCCGACGCTACTCGTAATACGGTCCTAGAAACTACTCGGTTCCTATAACCTCGCCTAATCCTAGGACTTTTAGTTCTAGAAGTATTACGACGCCGAGGCTAATACTACTCGTAATACTTAAGTAGTATATTAGAAAGAAAGAAAGTCTATAGCTACTATATAATCTATTTCTTAGTTATACTTAAGTATAAGGACACGCTAGTCCGAATAGAGAATAGTATTATATACGTAATATCTAGAAGTCTTATAACTCTAGAGTTAAGAGAGCCCTAGAATATTATATCTAAGACGTAATTAGATCTAGAACGAAGCCTTTAGGACCTAGTCTAATCTAAGATAAGTATTCTAGGGCTAGAGAGTTTCTAGAAGCGTCTTTCTAGATACTACTAGATTCTAGAAACTATAAGTTACTTATTTATTACGTAGGTTATAGAGGTAAACTATAAGATAGTTAGTTAACTCTTAGTTTCTTAGTTAGGAGAAAAGTTATATATTATAGTCGACTAGGTTGACTAGTAACTCGAGCGATTATCGACTTAGTCGACTATTAACTAGGTCGACTAACCTACTATAAAGGTTTTATATAATAATTATAATTTTCTTAGATAAGAGCTTTATACTTAACTTACTATAGTAATAGTATATTATCTATTTAACTTACTCTTATTATAATAAATATACCTTCGAGTATATAACCCGATAATTTTATATATACTTACTTATATACTAACCCGACGAAACCTCTATCTATAGTATATAGAATACTCGAATTATTATAAGAATAAGTTAATAAATTACTTAGAGAGAGAAGCTATCTACTTAGAACTAAAGAACTCTTATATAGTAGAAACTCTTATTCTAGAAGATTCTATTTATTAGAAATTAACTAGTTACTATTATTAATATTAATAAGAATATTAGTAATATTCTTATTCTAAAATATTTACTTAGAAATTAACTTTACTACCTTAGTAATATTACTTTCTAGAATATTCTATACTTACTATAGACTCTTTATAAGTACTATAGTATAATATAAGTATTTATTATTTAATACTTATAATTTAAACTTATAATTTTTAAGTAAAACTAGAATTTAGACTATTATAAGTTACTTTAACTTATTAATAAATTTATAGTTTACTAGATATATATTATAGATTTAAAAGTAACTTATTATAAAATATTATAATAAACTATTTATAGTAAATATAATCTTTTTATATAATATAATAATATATATTTATAGATAATAAAAAGAAGTATATAGTAGTATATATTTAATATTATATTATATTATACTAAAGTTAATATAAAGAATATAAAAATATAAAAAGTATATATAAAAAAAAAACTACTAGCTATATACTTAAAGTTTTTACTTAAAATATACTTAAACTAAACTTAGCTTTAGTACTTATAAGTTTTATTTAAATTAAACTTTAACTCTCTTTTACTATATAAGTATATATAATATACTATTATAATTATAAAGTTTATTAATAACTTTTTTTTCTAGTTTATTAATCTTATTACTTTATATATTTTATTTATATATATTTATATATATTAAATAATAATCTATATTTATTAAATATCTCTATTTATCTAATATTCTAACTTCTAATCTTTAAGTAAAGAACTAATTAATAAAATAACTATAATAAGTAAAAGGGTAGGTTTTTGTAACCTAGTCTCACTAGCACTCTTCTTAGCGGTTGCTGTCGCGGTAGAGGTCATCGTTGGAACAGGAGCAGTTGATGTAACAGGAGATGGCCTAAGATGAACCTGTCCTTCGTGGAGGGGTGGTTGGGAGCTGCTAATAAGCAGACCTTGTATTGTCTCCAGAGCACTCATCTGCTGACCTGCACCCCATTTGCCATCATATCCCCCTACATACCATTTCACCCCACACTCCAAGAAGTTAGCATATGAATATCTATCTGTTTCAAGAGGAAAGAGGGGTATCTAAGGATGAAATTCTCTCACAGCCACCTAGAGCCAGAGCTTAAAAGGGCGAACAAAGGGAAAAGGCACATACGGTCACTCCATCGCCAGGCCCAGAGCAAGATTGCGCGGCAGCTTTTGACGAAGCTGTAAGAAGCTGGTTTGTAGCGATTTTGGTGAATGGCGCAATCAGCGTTGTTGCCCACATGAAACGGGACAGGTAACCCTTGAAGGAGAACTGGTCCGTGTTGCAATGATTGACGGTCTCGCACGCCGGTTCGAACATGATATCCGTAGCGTTGTCAAAGGGGCTGAAAAAGTTGGCAGTTGCGTTAAAAAGACCTTGGGTGCGTTGCTGCCACAAGGCCGAGCCATTGGTATAATTGTACATCATTGCGGACCCATAAAGATATATTCCCGCGTTGTAAGTCCAAATCAGTCGATTTTGGTCGGAGCAGTTCTTCAGCACATCGGCGCCGTCATAAACGTGGTAATCTTCTGTCATCAAGTTAAGGTCCACCGTCCAATTGTAAACCTTCTCTGCCCAGTCCACATATGTTTGATTTCCGGTAAAGCGAGCCAACCGAGCTGAAAGTTGAAAGAATGCACCATTCGAAACGGTGTTTTTGTAGTCGTACCCATTGTTGAAGGAGAAAATCTGCCATCTTAAACCCCCAGCGCAGGATTCCGTGTCCCACCGGACAACTTGAGTATTCCAGAGCCGTTCGACCAGTTCAACCCAGCTATATCCGGAGGACGGTTGAGGGTAATCTTTCTCTGCCGCAGACATCGCAGCAAAACCCCAGAAAGCTTGATCATCATTGCCCTCGTCCTTTGCGTGCAGAGGAACCATAAAGTCCTGTTCGGGCCCAACTTGGCTGAGAAGTGCTTGTGTCAGGACATCGTTATATGACGAGTCCCCAGTATAATGGTAGTAATCCATTAAGGCACCCCACATGGCACCAGACTCCCACCAGTAGTATGGTGGTCCCAGTACTCCAACCGTCTCCGGTGTATTCGTGACATTGCCGGTGTAGTAGCTCATCATACCATGTGCGATGACAGAAGTTGCATTCCTTATCGAATCTGACAATTGATTAGATAACCTCGAACGAGTTGTACACCACTCCAATTGTAGCTGGAGCTTGCTCACCGGGATCGTTCACGTCCAGATCCAGCGCGAAGACGCACGTCGCGGCAGCAAAGAGCGCGCCGACGACATGGCTAGATGTTATCATCATGTGTTGACGGTATCTTGTCTTTCGCCCAGCAGGCTTCAAACGATGGACATATTTCGTGGTGGGTTGAGGTCGGTAGATGGCCCCCTTTCAAGAATGGCAAGTGCGAGGAGAGAGAGATTATAATCATCGTGCTTCCTGCTCGTATTTGACTAGCACTAGCTGCGTTCATCTTTTTTGTCAACAACAGGCATGGATCAGACCGTCGTCGACCAAGCACGCCGAGTTGGGAGGGAAAAGCGGATCTTGCAACATGCCGAATCGCATTGACCAATCATACCTTGTTGGCGTCGACGCATTCAGCACAAATATCATTAATCAGCGAGCTGACGATAGGGGCTGGGCCGCTGGGCGTTAAAGGGCTGAGATAAGGTTCTGATAAGCAATGAAACCTGGGAACATCCAATCCCAATCTGCATCTACTTTATCCTTTCGGACTGCTCTTTCACCGTACGTATCTTTTAATTTTGTACAGGTAACTCCATCTAGTCGGGAAGCCTTCCCAACAAAGAGGGAGCTAGAAGTCTATCACTCGTTTTCAGCTTCAATCAAATGAATAAGTTACTGTAGCAGCAGTCCAACAGACCAACAAACCAACCATTGAGGTCTCGTATCAACATACCTACAGCACTCTTCCTTTAATCTCTGCCGCCGCGGCACTGCCAGTGCCGCAGCGAGGGAAATTAGCATGAGAGTCTGCCACCACTACTGGCGCTTTCTCGTTATCATGATTATAGATCTGTGCACGACATTACTCTATTTTTGCTCGTACAACATTTTCAGGGAAATCGGTAGTGTTCCATGCGCCAGTCAAGTCAAGGTTGTTTGAATAATCAAACACAAATAACTTATTATTATTCATTACTGTTCGATCGAATTTTTTTCATACGCCGAACAAGATAGGCATGATTGAGTAATCACCGCACTTACCTCGGACCAGTCCGGCGTTCCTCGTAATGACATCCATCGACCTATGCAAACGAGCCCGAGCTACGATCGCAAATCAGTGAGGACGTAGTCTACTGACTGCGTGCTCTTGTTGTCATATGAGACATTGTAATGAACTTTGATCAAACAAGAAGCGATGCTTCACTAATTGTGTGGTTACTTTCGTAGAACGGCGCCGCCGAGGTGCAGGACCAAGCAGTATCTTTCCGACTGTTACACGCCGGCTGCACCCGAGTGGAACGTACGGAGCGTCCCTCTCTCGTAACCTTGGGGTACGCACCGAACAGGCCTCATACGAGTTTGATAATGTCAAGCTTCATCTCTCGAGACAAAGTAAGGAGGATTTGAGCATCTAGCAGCTTGGCAAGGAAGACTGCGAAGAAAATAATGACCGAGCATGAGAGTAGATTCGCAACCACGTATGTTATGTGCAATAAAAGGGAAATTCTTTACTATCCAAACATTTAACAACGAAGGACAGGCAGTCTACTTCGAATTAATTATCGGCGTATGTCGGAAACCACATCAAGTGATCACTTTCACTCATTCGTACTTTGGGTACTGTTCTGGTAGTTGTCAAAATACATGTGACGAAATCCTTCAGGATGTGCTAGTCACTTGACGTGTCCAGGTCTTTCTCGAAGAAACTGGACGGAAGCCCCCATACGTAGGTAGGTACCTTGGTCACCGCTCGGCTATAGGGAAGACGGGAGGTTTCCATTTATTCGAAATTCGCACCCTTCACTAAGAAATTGGAATGAGATCAAGTATGCGGTCATGAGTCAGTATAATATGCCTTCACAACAGGTATGGGGGTTGCTTTGTTGGGGAGTACCTACCTAGGTCGGTCGGTACGGAGCGTCGGATGCTTTGTAACTGTGGCGCCGCCCGGGCGACCTTGGTGAAGTGTGGCTCAGCTCCCTACGAAATAGCTTCTCAGCCACACTTGCCACATGGGAGAACATGATAGGTAGGGCTGAGCTTTAGTACCGAGTGCTTGGGCCGGAAACAGGCCTACTGTAGGGAGAACTTACTTTGTGGAGAGCACTAGTACGAGAAGAGATCGAAGTCATATCTAGTACTGTCCATTATCAGGTTTTACCTACTTAATAGGTAGGTACCTAGATATGCGCGCTCGGTGTACGACAAATCCATGGAGAGAAATGTGAATAATATCCCCTCGCTTCTTTTCTATCAGCTTGCCAGGGACATGACCGAGACGTGGTATATTTTGCGCCCAGTATCATACAATAATGCAAGGAACCCGATGAGGTGGGCACGTGGAAGGCTTAAGAAGCACTCCGCATGTATGCGTGTGCCAGCGCTTCTACTTCGTAACCGACCTGGCAGATGCTACTGTTGACTCGTTGTTAATTTCACACAAGAAATTTTCAGGGTAAAGTTCCGGGTGATCTATAATCTCGTAAGTGAATGACTGGCACCTTATGGCAGATGTTCAGTGAAGGTTGCAGCGCCTTCCTGCTGTATTAGATGTTGCCAATGTTGCCACGGGGTCGAGATTGACTACGCGGCCGGGTTCACGAGGACGGTCGCTGTCCTTCGTTTGGATTCTCCCACGCGTATCGCTTTGGAATGACCTAAGAGTATCGGCTAGGACACGATTGCACGACGTGTAAAATAATGGAAAATAGTCTAGACTAACCGAGTTAGACTAAATAATTTATATAACTAGTCAACGTATTGTAGTATTCAAACTAGCTGTTAAAGTCCGTAAGAGTGGAAGAGTCCGAGGACGCGGAACCGAACGAACTGTCGGGTACGAGCGAGCTCTTGTAAATAATCACTACGCACGCTTGCCCCCTTTAGAACATAAATGCCAACATCCTCGGCAGGGTTGTCGGAGATTAGCGATTTAGGAGGAATATGCGTCTAGAAGAGCCGGTGAAGTAGGATTCCTGTAGGGTTGATAGTTTCGGTTTTAGCTGTCTGACAGCGTGGTCGGCGAAAAGTCTCGCCAAAAGCAAACGAGCTGACGGTTTCCGGGATATGCCCATGAAACTTACATTTAAGCCTCCTCGACAATCTGTTGCCTATCTCGGAAACGATCGCGGACATGCTTTGCAGGCTGCATGTGTGAGATGAGTCTAACACGAATCAAATCGCATCTTTACCAGTCTGGGGTTACCTCCAGCAAACCAAGTACCTGTTTCGCGGACTGAGCCACGTGCATCCAGCTACACTGGACATCGCTCTCAAAAGATTGGATACACGTCAACAACAATAACGAGCTCAGCCAGTTACACTAGCAACTGTGCGCTAAGCTATGCCTGAATTACGATCTAGCTGAAGGTGATCATGTGAACCACTCTAGGACGCTTGGTACGGAGGAGAAGACGGATGCAAGCATAGGAAAATGACCGTACGAGCTACGAGCACTACTGCTACTACTCTTCTGTATACACTGAAAGTACTTTTCCAAATACGTAGGTAGGCAATGCTGTCAAGTCCACCTCCGAAAAGCTTCATCAGCAGGTCTGGAATGCTTTCAAACGATCGCATAATACAAGACCTGCAGCTTGAGGCTCATGCCTGGGTATTGAAAAATCAAACCGAAGAACCGAATTTGTCTGCACTTACTCCCAAACCAGTCAATGAGAGGCCCAAAGAAGCGTGCAGACTGTTTTCTATTTTCGTAGCGAATCGGCAACGGCGACGGCTTAAAGTTCTGACACGCTTCGACCTAGGGTCACTCCCTCGAAGCGAGCGCTAGCTTGTGGCTGAGCGCAGAGTAAGTGACACTTTGACAGATCCCTTCCTGAGGCAGAAGACCCTGAAATCAAGCCAGCCCCACTCTGGTACCACTTCCGGTCGATCCCATGCCGGATCAGGCGTGTGGAGCCGGCTCTTGCATGGAGCAACTGCGTCATCGCCTGGCTCTCGATCATTTGGCATCCAACTGCCCACAAACCTCACCTGTTCAGTCCTTTGTCCTAACGGACGTTCCTCGACCACTCCGATAACCTTGCACAACTGAACCGATGTACAATCCTCCTCCCCGAGTCCCCCTCCATGCGGCCCATCGAAACATGGTTACCACTGTGTGGTCATGACCTTGAAATACACCCTTTTCCGAATTGTGGGAGGGTATATCAAAACATTGGCCCCCCCGCGTTAACACTTGGATTCACCCCTCTTATGATTTTGTCTACAACTACTACTCTCACTAAGACATCCATCTACACCTGCCTGCACTAGCACCAGCACCAACACCAACACACCACGGCATAGCACACATAACCCGCGAACGCCCGCTCTGCACACCTCACCACCACCAAGCCAAGCTGACGAACCCCGAGATATAAACGAACAGTCTCTGAGCAATACTGACCGTTGATGACTACAACCACTAAACGTCTTCTCCATTCGAGCATCTCGTTTTCGTCTTCGTAATCAGAAGAGCCGAGCCACACTCCCGACTCGATCATTCCAGAAGCAAGCTCGCTTGCTTTTTCCGATCAGTCCGGGTCCACGAGTCATCCAAGGAATTTATACAAAGCACGATCGCCGCCACTAGCATTTTTGCTTTACCTCTCTCTCCTCTAGCATGTTGGCTGTACGACGTCACCCCCAGACTCCACACATTCCTCAACCACAACATTGGAACTCCTCGATACCATCAGCATCGAACAACCTCAACCAGATCAACACCAATCAACCTTTATTTACCGACGTCAACCTGACGAGCAATATATTTACCTTTGGTGGTGACGAGCCTCTGTTCGACTACCCACCGGCGCCTTACCACTCGAGTCCATCGCGACTGCCGATGCAGGCTGATCAGAGCAACAGCTGGTTCTCGCACGGCCAACTCACACCAACGTCGACGACGAGAGCACACCACCGTGAGTCCTCGCTGTCCTCATTAGGGTCAGCGGGACCATCGTCACCATACACCTCGAATACCTCGAATCCTCAAGTAGCCGGCGAAATTTACCATGACTTTAACGATTTCCAGCAGAATACATCCAAGCCATTGACCCCAATACACACGCCACTCCAAGAAAACTTCATCACACCACAATATCAGAGCTTCTACCACAATTCTAATCTGGCCTATTCGATGGCGCAAGAATCGTTGCCAAAACCATTAGGCAACGCGGATCTGATACCTGCTCCAGAGCTGATTAGCAACCCGAGCAGGAGAACAATGGCGGTGGCAAGTGACTCATCCCCGCCACAGTCGTCCGACGAGCAGAAGAATGGTGAGAATTCGAACACTGATTTCTGGTCAAACAGTCACTTACTCTCTCCTCGTTCAGGTTACAGACAGATGCCCAAACTCGACAGGACTATGACCGATATCTACAGCGACGAACTGTTCAATCCCAATTTTCAAATCACCTCCGCTCCTCTCTCTACCTCGATCAGGGCAACTCCAGTCTCACCGCACAACGATGTTTTCTCGCAAAGACTTCAAGCAGCAAATAACCAACATTTGAGTGCTTCGAATATGCAAACCCCTCTCACGATCCCATCCCGAGAACGATCACCCTTTCGACAAGGCTCCCCGCTGGCACCCACTAGCAATAGTTTTGCATCTCAACCAAATAATGCACGGTTTGGGACTGCATCGCACATCAGGGAACAGCAGAAGGCAGCGAATGACGCGCGGGCACTTCAACAGCAATTAGAGCGGACATCGCCAGAAGATACCGCTCCCAAGACCATATCACCCAAGGATGTGAATCTAGTGTATAACGAAGATGAGGAGGACGCGAAGACACCACTATTCCCGCAACAAGAACGTCGATCGCCAATTTACAGACAAACACCAAGGATATCCCATGAGCCATCTGAGGCCGACGAAGTCCCATCCCTCTCGCAACAAAGTTTCGGGAGCATGGCCACCTCACGGAGGGAAAGCTCTTCCAATTATTCTACCGCGTCTAACGGTGGACAACAGCGTAGCAGCAGTTATAATTTTGCTACCCCAGCAGTCCCCGCGCGACAGATCCCACAACAATATCCTTTCGTTCCCCAAACCCACCGACAGACAAGCAATATTTCCAACGTCAGTGAGGACTTCCCCGCTACGCTCACGTCGATGGAATCCAGTGGTAGCGACTTTGCGCCAGAATCGCCGGAGTTATTGAAGAAACCAGCTGGCTCTTCGGCCGACACAGGCACTTACACCTGCACGTACCACGGCTGTACCCTTCGATTCGATACACCAGCGAAGTTACAGCGGCACAAGCGAGAGGGGCATCGCAACTCCACTGCGATGGGGAGCGGAGCAGACGAAGGCGGGATGACCTCAGCGGCGCAACGGAACTCACAGGCAGGGCCTCACAAGGTACGTGCATCTCGACATCTCGACTCTTCCCCACAGGCTCAATCTAGATATACTAACGGACATGACCACAGTGCGAGAGAATCAACCCGTCGACTGGCAAGCCGTGCAATACCATCTTTTCGCGGCCGTACGATCTGACCCGGCACGAGGACACGATACACAACGCCCGTAAGCAAAAGGTGCACTGTCCCATCTGCACCGAAGAGAAGACTTTCAGCAGGAACGATGCCCTTACTCGGCATTTGCGCGTAGTCCACCCTGAGCACATCGAGCTCAACAAGAGCCGGCGTCGTGTGCATGATTGAACGTCGTTGTTCCGTCCGAGTTGACCTGAATCCGTGTCCTCGTCCACGCGCCTGCTCCTACCACGTTCGTCACCTTGGTTGTCACACCGTCCACACCTCGCTCCCTTCGAATGAACCACGAGAGCGGTTCCTGCGCCGTACGGCCTCGCCCGACGACGACTTGCTATTAAAAACTTCTGTGTCGCAGGTGTGCGCACCACGGAGAAATCTGCGACGCATGGACCTTAATGGAAGAGCGACGGCAGCTCCGTTCGGGTAACCATACCTTGCTGGCGCCCGGCCGCCGTTGAATCATCAGCCACACCCGCTTCACAAGCCACTCCACACCCCGATTTCATCCATCCCACTGATGGATGGCAGCACAACGATTTGTCAATTGGCACCTGCGCATGTGGAAAGAGGGGTCGACATACAATGACATCACGATCCGACGATTTTATGTTCTCTTACGAAATGCGCACTTTGGTACCACCGCGGAGTAATGGGTGTATTGTACAACAAATTGTTTTCCGGCTTGGTTTTTTTTCTTCTTCGTAAAATTTCGATTGCATCATCGGACCTGTCTCCGTGCATCTTTCATTTGTTTTTGACATATCAGTCTTGTAATTTGATGTCACGATTTTGCGTTCCATGTCGGCGGGGTTGAGGGTTTGGCGCCGGCAGGCTCCTGTGCCATCAACAAAGCATACCCTGATGTGTTTCTGTACCAACAGCATCTTCGAATTTCTCTTCGAGGAGGGGTGGAAAAGCGATCATGTCAGTCATTGGCTTCTAAACTAGAATGTAACAAACTTGTCTCGTTGCCGTATTTATTGTATTTTAATTAGAAGGAGCAAAACTTTGGGAGCAGTTAGTGCTCTACTCATCTTCGTAATCTTAGTACACATTACATCAGGGAATATGCCAGCTGGGTAAAGAAGGAAAAGAGAAGGGGCCCGGGGAAAAGAAAATGGCAAATTGTTAGAGATTTATAGTTGAATAATTAATTGATTTGATTCCTTTACTGATTCTGTTTTCTGTATATCTGCTAGTGCTAGCGCTCCCCAATTGGAGAGGGTTCTAGATAGCTGATTCTAGATCGTCAAATTGTAGGAAAGTACTTCTACGGAGGTATACACGTAAAAATAATAATGTGATATTTTCAGATATTTTGCTTAGACATGGGTATGACAGTTATATTTTTCTTTCTTGATGTAGACACAGTCGTAAAGACTGTGGGATCCCGCTGTCACTCAATTGTCGCAGCCTCAAGACTAGTAGAAAGCAAGCAATATACTAATTTCACATTAGTATACAAATGCTATGGTCCCTGAATTTGACCTTTGTTACCAACAAATAACGAACTATTAAAAAAGGTGGGGGCTAGTCTGGAATCAAAGTCTATATTACCTCTTTTTTACTTCACTTAATTCTTGTTTAAATGACTGTTTATTCTACGAGGACGCTACAAGAGTGACCGTACACACGTCAGTGGTATTTCTACCAACTTATCCTTATTGTAGCAAAACTCGAATTTTGCTTAACGTTTATCATGTTGGTACCTATCTTCTACATTCTCCGTAACATCCAACACCTCTGTGACTACATAACGGGTGTTAGCATACAACTACGCTTCTTTAGATCAAAAACTATAGAATATACGTTAGGCAGTGTGTTGGCTATAAATATCTACTATATTATCTTTGATTCTGGATCCGTTAAGAGAACAAAAAGAAGTGCTTCTGATCTTCTACATTCTGTGATCGCTGATGCTAGGTTTGGAGATCACTCCCGATGCCCATTGTCGTATCAAAGCTACATAGTTCCACAAATAGAGGACGTGTTGACTTTTATTCCATTATACTTTCAGTGCAAGAGCAGTCAGATGCAATGCCAACCCACGTAATTACCTTCAGATGCCGCTAGGACTTATTGGTTGTTACCGAGCGTTATAGTGGAAACTCGCTGCTCCTGAAGTTACAATTTCGGCCGAAATGGGAATGTTCTTTCGGAGTTAATTGTGCACCAAAATAGCACCAAGAGCTAGGGTGCAGAGACACTATGTTATTCGAAGACAGCTGGACCTGGTTGGCTTATGCTATGCAACTTAGTTTATAATAGTTTGTTGTCGCTGGCGTATATACTTCCAAGGACACAATCACGAGGCAAGCACAATGCGAAATCAAAGACATAGTACGATTGGTTTCTATCTCTTCCGCATCAGTCGTCGTTGGGCCTACGTCAAAGTAAATGCAGATCACCCAATAATCACATCGGCGTTCTAGTCCGTAGAAGTAATTACTGCTCTGAGAGAAATCGAAGTATCACTCATCAACGGAAGCGTAAAACAAAATGCATATATATACAGCCTATATAAACAACGAGTCTACTCTGTGATGCATTGTTTCAAAAAAGAGAAGATCATATTTGTTACCCAACTTGTATTTCGATCGCAGGAGAAGCCAATAGATGTCAATACTTACTTGAACAATTAAATAATTCACTTTCAAATTATGCTATCGCCTAACGCGCCAACATGTGTTGCTGGTAGGAAAATCGAATGTGAAATGGCTTGCTTTAGAATCCGGGCCGAATGAATTGGTCGGAAGGTAGCGCCTCTCCTCCACACAGGCCCAACAACAGCCACATAGGACACCACTCGACTAGGTTTGCGCACTTCGCTGACTATCGTATTCTCACAATACTTCCTTGTGACATATAATTGACATAAGAAAGGGTGTAACGTGCATCTAATAAATTGAGTGGTTCAACTTTTGGCGATGAGCTCACGACCATATGTCAAACGCAAGAGGACCATAACCGCCTGCAGGGAATGTCAAAGAAGAAAACAAAAGGTTTAAGCCACACTATTATGTTGACTATGTTATTTTCGAAAAAAGTACTGGGCTGATAAATAACTCCTCATGTTGTAGTGCAATCGCTCACAACCATGCAACCACTGTCAGGCCAGAAACGCGGCCGAAAAGTGCAGCTATGAGAAGTCAGTCAAATTCCCTTGCTCATTAGATGGTGTCTGTGCTGAACTCGGTATCCAGTTCGATTGCTCCAAAGGTAACAAGGAGCACGAGTGTCATTCGAGGACCTTCTCCACCTGGCTCCTCGACCTGGGAAAGGACGCAAGATGGTGAAATTGTAGACTCTTCCCCCGTTCACTCGGACCTTGCCGATCAGGTAGGTTATTCCAATATTACGATCGGAAATGCTCTGTCAAGCCTTCATGATGTAAGTGGGAATTCGTCGAGGCCATGAGGACATTGTTGACAGCCCAAGTCCTTGCTACGGGTAGACGGCAACATAGCATCCACAAACCACGGCTCGAAAAATGCCATATCGGAGCATATTAGGGAGAAATATCAGAAGTTAATCGGCCAATTGCCTGAAAATGATGTCGTGACTGACCTCGTCAACATCTTTTTCACTGAACTGAATGATTGGGCATTGGTTATCGAACAGCATTTCTTTAATAAGGCTCTCTCGGCATGGGATTCTGCCTCCGGATTTATTGCCAGTGGACGACTTAACCAGATTCAAAATGATACTATTCAATTTCCTGCTCTACTTTTCCAGCTGCTAGCTGTCGGATTACAAATCTCGCCGCCAGAGTCAAAAAGCTCGAAACTGCTTTTTGTGGATGGGTCTGGGGCTCGTGAAAACTTGTCTTTTAGATACAGCCAATTGGCAACAAGTCTCATGGAGTTGATAGGAAAGAATCGCCCTACTGTTACCTCTGTCCAGCATAATTTCCTCCTCGGACTTTGGCTCAAAAACCGTAGCCAGGGTACAGAATCATGGAGAGTGCTGAACAGTGCTGTCAGGTGTGAAGTCCATTCAAAGTATTCTCGCTGCCCCATGCTGATCCAAATACAGACAAGCGCAGGACCTGGGTTTGCATAGGGAAACGAAAGTGTTCCAAAGCCCAGGTGAAGAATTTACAGACGTCCTTGCTCGGATATGGTACGGCGAGTACAAAAGAAGGCTATGGGTGAGCCTCTTCATCTGGGATTCACATATGGCAATCATGCTAGGAAGGCCGCGCATCATTCACAGATCAGATTGTACCGTCCCAACCCCAACCGATTGCGATATTCCGACATATGCTTTGACGAGGATTCCCATGCCTTCTTCGTCGGGCTTCTCATCGTACACTTATCAGCTATTCAATTATGCACTGAGCCACAAAATACACGAAATGCTGTCACTCAACTCCGTAACGTCAAACATACGAGGGTATCAGAATGTTCAGCGTCTTGAGAATGAAGTGCTGTTTATGATGAATGGCCTGCCAGCATGCCTTCGGCCATATAATCCGGACTTATCATGGGATGAATCCTACCCTTATCTTCCCCTACAACGTCTTCAGATCGGGGTGGTGGTAAACGCCTATATAACTGCATTGCATCGACCGCATGCAGGAATTCAACCACTGAGTCGCGAAGCTGGCGTGAAAGCCGCAGTAGATACTCTGGAGTTTCAACAGCGTCAGTTTGAGATGCTAAAACCTCACCAATACAGAATTTACGGCTTCTCCTTCTTTACCATCAACGCCGGTTTATTCTTGTCCGCTATAACATTGGATCATGCACCGGGACCACAAGGAATGCTTGGGACCATCCTTGATGTCTTGCGAAAAGCTATCTACAGGCTGACCATTATGCAAGAACAAAGCGCTATGGCAAAGTCGGGCGTCGAGATTCTCACGCAATGTCTAAATGCTATCACGGCATTTGTTGACAATATCTACACGCCAGGAACATCATTCCAGAAGGAAATTGCTCAGAATGAGAGAAAGGAGATCGACATGCTGGGTATGAGTGCGCACCTACAGGACGGCTCTGTTGGTTCAGAGCTACTCTCCCATGGTTTAGACTTTAACGCGACGATGCTAGAGTCGATGGGTTTGATTCCAGATTTGATGCTGGACCCGTCGCTGGGATCATCTGAATGGTTTGGTTTTACAGTTTGAGATTACAAAATATCATATACGGTTATTACACCCCATGATGCTTACAGTGAGCAAATGTAGTATAACCGATGTCTATGACAGGGAGTCAAGCAACCCCCTTTAATATGAGAAGTGGAACTGACTTCTGCTTTTATACAGCATGGTTCCACATGATAGCTGAGGATCGACTTGAAGCCAACAAAAACCAAAAAAGAGGTGAAATACGAAGTTTGGGAGAAGTACCGTTCTCAACGACTAAGAAAAGTTTCCTGGACTTTTCGACCTTTTGGAATGATATGAGCGAGACAGACATGCACCAGGAGTTGTCCCCATGGTTGTCCATTGCAGTATGAAGCTTGTGTGTCGGTTTGAGCTCGAGAGAAGCAAGGCACCAATAAAAACAAACAGGCTATGCGGAGCGCGTCCAACTAGCAACGAATTTCCGCCAACGCGACAGAGGCTCCAGTCCTCCAACTCCCAATGGTGAACAGATCACAGACTTGTCACGATTCACAGAAACGAATTCAGATATAGAAACAATTTGGTAGTTGTAAAATTCATAATTGTAATGCCCCCACGCTCAGCACCGTCGCTGGCCGAGATGCTTCGTAATGTACACCCTTTAAAAATCCAGGCCCCATTGGCAAATAAACTCCACGCCATAACCATAGAAAACCCCAGACCCAGACCTTTACGCTCCCCTCAAATATCCCGATATGTTCCTTCAGAGTGAGTCATCATGAGAATTTGGATGACCAGGTCGGGATGCTTCATGTCGATAGTGTTTGAGAAAGATTCAAGAAATCATACCACACTCTACGATCGCTCACCACGGAGACGACGAGCAAGCTGGATGTCCTTGGATTGAATGGTGACCTAACAAGTTATTAGCTATGATATGCGAACAATGATAGGCAAGTACTTACACGCTTGGCGTGAATGGCGCACAAGTTGGTGTCCTCGAAGAGGGAGACAAGGTAAGCCTCAACGGACTCCTGGAGAGCGCCGATGGCAGAAGACTGGAATCTGAGGTCGGACTTGAAATCTTGAGCGATCTCACGAACCAAACGTTGGAAAGGGAGCTTTCGGATCAGGAGCTCCGTAGATTTCTGGTAACGACGAATCTCACGGAGAGCGACAGTTCCTGGCTTGTATCTGTGTGGCTTCTTGACACCTCCGGTGGATGGTGCGGATTTGCGAGCAGCCTTGGAAGCAAGTTGCTTACGAGGAGCCTTTCCTCCAGTGGATTTACTGCACGAAGGTGTTAGCTTTGGATCGCGTTGAGTGAGGTCAGACGCGTCAAAGTTGAAGCTCAAGATGTGCCACGGTCGCAATCTGGAGAGATCGCGACCGGCGAACACCTAGAACATCGCGCATTGTGCGATGATGAGGTTGAAGATGATAAGACATACCGGGCAGTTTGCTTGGTACGGGCCATTGCGAAGATGGATGATATTTGATATGGAAGTGTTTGGTTGAGATGGAGTTGTTGAGTTGTTGTTGTTGTGGATGGATGATTGATTGATTGTGGATGAGAAAGAAAGATGGAGGGGCGAAGGTTGTACTTTAACTTGGAAAGCAGTGATTAGCCGCGTCAGATCACGTCTCGCTTGATTTTCGTTTGATTGTGTTTGATTGGTTGATCTAAGAAGTGATTGCGCTAAGCCCAATTGGTCCTGACCACAACCGAGAATCAGGCAGTGGCACCCATGGACTCTGCACGAAAGTACTGCCAGGTAGTGTGAGTTTGGGACGGTATTCATTACAACGCAACATAGTGCACTGAATTGGTGATTAATTGGAGGTGTATTTCTAAACTATAATGACAGTTCATGTGATCATTGCAAGTTCCCATGAATCTCTTGTAATGTTTATTATTCACCCAATAATGATCCATCCATGGTTCGTTCATTTAGCACCGCACTCCGGTGCTGACGGTCTTGCCGCTACTTGCTTAAATGTGGAGCCTACGCGGTTTCGCGTTCCCAAGTTCCCACCTTGGAGCTTTGTGATAAGCAAGTGGTCTGTGCACCCATCACTTGGGAATAACATATAACATTCTGCTCGCCTTGTCATCCTCAACTTTGAAACCCAGTATCCACTTCGCACCAACTCCATATCAACCAAACTTTTCACTCCACGCGCCAAAACACCGCCTCATCAGCACTCCCCCAATAAACCTTCATCATGACTGGACGCGGAAAGGGAGGAAAGGGGTATGTACTCCTTCCACATCATCTTCAGCCTTTTGGCTAACCATCGCGTGCAGACTCGGCAAAGGTGGAGCCAAGAGACATCGCAAGATTCTTCGTGACAACATCCAGGGTATCACAAAGCCAGCGATCAGACGTCTTGCGCGTCGTGGAGGTGTCAAGCGTATCTCAGCCATGATCTACGAAGAGACCCGCGGTGTTCTCAAGACTTTCCTAGAAGGTGTTATTCGTGACGCAGTTACCTACACAGAACACGCGAAGAGAAAGACAGTCACTTCTCTCGATGTCGTGTACGCGCTCAAGAGACAGGGGAGAACACTTTATGGTTCGTACCGACGCGTTCCCTTTCCATGTCTATTTGCTAATTCCCGATGCAGGTTTCGGTGGTTAAGCGTTGCACTTTGGGGATATCATCTGCTTTACGAACGGTTGCTTTGGGGTCTGGGGGTTTTCTGGTGTTTTGTACAAATAGGGCCACATGGATTTGGCATGGGTGGGACATTCGGTGCGGATAATGAAACCAATATGAACTTCATCAAACTCCATTACGCGCTTTCCTGGTTTCTGATAGATTGTTTTCAACGCGACAAGGTTGACACTTATAAGGTAATTCAGGCATCGCCAGCCAGGTCCAAATTCGGCCTGAGTTTTTCTCTACGCGTCTGTTTGTTGTGAACCAGGCTCGTCTGGATTCGGCGGACGCGTTTGTTACCATGCGATGCGGTACACTTATCTTGCTACAATAATGAGCCACAAATTACGACTATGGATCGATGCTGCAAATATGAAATTTAAATTCAAACCCCTAAATCGAAATATCATTCTGTCTGTCTGTCTGCATTGCCCAGACCGTTTAAGTAGTTTTAAATAACATCCGGAAAGCCACGACAAACAAAGCTAATTCAGATGTCGTGAATTGTATTTTGTCATGAAAAATTAGTAAAATATCTAGACGTATAAAACACCTTAATTTGGAAATATGAAAGCAAAATACCTCTCCGGGGTTATATTCTATAATAAAGAGATAGTTAGATTTATATATCTTTAATATAGCGAACAATGATTTATATACTTAGGCCTAGAATAAAAGAAAGAAGTCTAATAATAAGTTTAAGGTTATTATAGGACTAAAAAGTCGGTAGAATAAAAGTCGGTACTTCTTCGATATAAAAAACTATAGCTATAAATAAGAAATATATTATAATACTAGATAGTAACGTAAGAGACTATAATATATAACTAATTCTCTTAGTATATATATATAAGTTCTAGAATTATAAAAGAAATAATATCTTTTAGTATCTCTAGAGAATAATTAAGCTAACTATAAAAAGAATTCTTACTTTATAGATAATATAATATAGTATATTTGTAAAGTTATCTTTCTTTTTACTTTATAAAGTTATCTTTATTATTCTTATTATTAGCTAAATAGTAAGTAAAATTAGTACTTTATAGTATTATAGTAATAGTTATAAGAATTTATAATTAGCTAGTATATAGAATTATAAACTTTTATAATTAGATAATTACTTTCTAATAAGCTTTATATAAATATAGTAATCTTAAGAATTTAAAGAATATATTATAGAAAAAGTTAAGATTAGAATACTTTAGTAATCTATTCTAGAAGAGTAGATAGATATTAAAAAATTATTTAGTTTTTATTATTATTCTCTCTTAATACTTTAACTATTTAAGTATATTATCTATTCTAGTTAGTCTCTATCTATATATATAAAAAATTCTAAGACTATTTTAATATTCTAGTTATAAGTTATAATATATAATAGTATTACTATAAACTTAATAGCTTATAAAAGTAATATCTAGATATCTTTACCTTTTAAAATATACTTTTATAACTTATAGATTTATATTAGAGATAGAGTAATATTATCTTAACTAACTAAATTAATTAATAGAATATTAAAATTTCTATCTTTACTCTTATATATAGATCTAAATAATAAATATTATAGAAAGACTAAGTATTATATTTAGTATTAATATAAGTAGAACATTACTACTTAAATAAGTTAATTTATATTTATATACTCGTAGTACTAAGATAAGCTCTAGGTTTTTATAGCTACTCTCTTTTAAAAAATTAGGCTAGAAAGAAGACGTTTAAGGTATTAATCTATACTAAAAGCTATCTTCTAGAAAAATAAAATAAAAACATTATAGATAACTAAACTAATAATTCTTATAACTAATTTAGAATTTAATAAAGATATATATAAAGGTCTTAGACGTTCTTTATATATTTTTAAAAGTACTTTTAACTATAATTAATTTATTATTAAAGCTATAATATTTAAGAGAGTAATATATATAATAATAGTTTTATATTACTCTATTTAAAGAAACTCGAAAAGGGGAACTATCTAAAAATTAGAAGTAGAAACTATAATTAGATATAGAAACTATCTATATATCTAAGATATATTACTATTTAGTAAAGTAATATAGAATAGAACTAACCTTAATACTTAAAGTAATAGAATTAAATTAAAAAGACTTAGAAAATATCTCTCTTAATAGGCGGACGATATATCTACTTTAATCTTATATTAACTTATTAATTTTCCGAATAAGAAGTTAATCGTCTCTAGCATTAACTGAATACGCCTATGAAGGAAGCTTGTCAATTAGCTTTCTAATAATGTTATTATAAGAGAATATCCCGATATGTTCGCAACACGCCGGAGGTAGATATACTAATACTAAGCAGACTTAAATTGAGACTTTGATAAGCCTAGATGATATTAGAACTCTCATTTGATATATTGCTGCAAAATAATAAAGTTTAAAGCGGTCTCTAATATGGTAATAGTTAGAAAAGCGCCCCCTCGTTCATACATGATTTCTCGCACTACATTTCAATCAGATAATCATCTCCGTACAACCATTCTGGATTTAAGACAGCCAGCTGAGCTCCTTCACTTATTAGATACAAATATCGTGACAGATCTACCAAGTATAATGAACTTTTGTTTGAGGCTCTCTTCTACCTCTGGGATTGAACGCAGAAGACTTGTTCAAGGAAAACATACCATAGGTACCTGTGACCGGACCCCCGCGTTCAACCCACTTTCATGCAGTACATGCAGAACGTATGTTTGCTGGCCAATTGACGTGGTAGAACATGGCATGACTTCCTATTAATAATTTACTTGCATCTATAGGTACGTGTTAGCTAGAGATACCATCTCATGGGGAGAAAATTTTCTGGTTAAATCGAAGTGTATAGAAACCCCACCATACCCCTCCTTTCCTTTCCATCGTCTATTTATCTTCATCCTCACCACTTCTTGACAAGCACCTTCAACCACACCACCATTAAGCACCAAAGCACCCAGAACGAAGCAGTATGTTCTTACAGAGACAACTAGCATGTTCAGAAGCGCAATGCATGATCTTCAGATCGAGGTAACGTCAATCACAAAAAGCTGTACGGGTGTTCCTTCTCTTCCGCTGTGCATTCAACCTCTAATTTCCTGTTCTCCGGGACTGGATTGACAGAGGAAATGTACAGCCAGAGAGATAAAGGATCTGAGATTATACCGTTAGAACTTGATCTGGATAATGCCAGCGTCTAAGAATTCATGCTTTCCCCTCCCCCATTCCTGTGGACAATCTAATTTTAGGTTAGCAACTGGAAACAAAGAAGAACGTGAAGCAAGATGTCTACTGATAAGATTACCTTTTTGATGAACTGGTAGGGTTATCTGAATGCTTGAGCTAGGATGGTAGCGACCGAAGACAAGCTGATTCCAGGATCTAGGCATGCTACGCCATACCACGCTCCAGTCTACTTGGCTCAGAAGTTGGGATATTTCGCGGATGAGGATATCAAGGTTGCACTGCTTGAGCCAAATGATCCCAGCGGTAAGTCTCTAATAGTATTCACCGAGCTTGCGCCATAGCAAGGCTCGATATTTGAGCTGGATCCATACTGATAAGCCAGATGTCACTGAAATAATTGGTTCCGGCAAGGTTGACATGGGCTTCAAAGCCATGATTCATACCTTGGCTGCCAAAGCTCGTGGTTTCCCCGTTACTTCCATTGGCTCTCTTCTCGACGAGCCTTTCACTGGCGTCGTTTATCTCAAAGATAGCGGCATTACAACCGACTTCAGAAGTCTAAAGGGCAAGAAAATCGGCTACGTGGGAGAATTTGGCAAAGTATGTGAAGTCTGGCTTCCGGATAGGATGATGCTTAACATTCGTCTTTGCAGATCCAGATCGACGAACTTACCAAATATTATGGTATGGAACCAACAGACTACGAAGCAGTACGATGCGGCATGAACGTCTCCAAAGCCATAATTGAAGGAAGCATCCATGCTGGGATTGGATTAGAGGTAAACAATACCCCATGGACCATAGCAAACCGTCACGGTAGTTTCACAGTCTGACCTGGATAGAATGTTCAAATGGTCGAGCTCGAGGAATGGCTTGCTGGGCAAGATCGACCACGCTCAGATGTGCAAATGCTGAGAATCGACGAACTTGCAGAGCTTGGATGTTGTTGCTTTTGTTCGATCCTTTATATTGGTTTGTGACTGTCCCCATAGCAGCCTTAGCCTCAAAGCTAATCATTACTTTTAGTCAACGACAACTTCATGGCTGAGAATCCAGAGAAACTTCGAAAGTTCATGAGAGCCGTCAAGCGTGCCACGAACCTCGTGCTTGCCTCACCAGAAGAGGCATACCAAGTGTACATCGACATCAAGCCCGAGATGGCGTCTGCTGTCAACCGAAAAATCTATGAACGCTCGTATGCTTACTTCTCCAAAGATCTGAAGAATGTGCAGCGTGACTGGGAGAAAGTCACTCGCTACGGGAAGCGTCTTGAGGTGCTGAAGGACGACTTTCAACCAAACTATACTAACGAATTCCTGGAGTGGGAACTCGACTCCGATTCTGCTAACCCCACTGGCGACCAGAAGAGGATGGTAGCTTTGCAAAAGGACGTGGCTGAGAAGGGAGGTTTCCAGCGACTCGACGTTACGATCGCCGTCTGAACATGACCGTCGGGTATGAGACGGACGATTGGGATTGGGAATCAGAAAGGGGAAGGACTCACTAGATACTACACTCGTTTGGAAGAAGACCAGAATTTGGTTAGTGATAAAATAAATACATGGTCTTTGCAAGGCATGAATTCAAGTTTTATCTTGGGTGTAAGACGTTGTGATCACAATGTCACATAGAATAGGAGGTTGTGTTCTTGAGCACTGGAATTCCAGACGAGATGATCGACACGCCCCACCACCCGAAACAGTTTCTTAGTGCCACACCGTAATGCGGGAGAGGGGAGAGGCGGGGTGATGGGTCCGTCCTCTATACTAGGCATGCGGAGCATTGGTATAAGGCAGCGCAAGAGCTGGGTAAATTATATTTGTTGATGCATTCTCCTACCGGTCAATAGTGGTAGGAAACGTCCAGACAGCAATATCCGTGGGGCTATGAAATCGATCGGGAGTGCTTTCTTTGATAACACTGGGCTGGAACTTGGAAGCCGATGCTGGGCGCATGGTCGATGCTCCATCACTGCCAAGTCTGACCGGGTGGGTAGAAGGGCTCCATTATTGGTGCTCCTTATCCTCCAGAAGTTACCGGCCTTCCCATAGGCCACCGCCGGCACCCTCCAGCACCTCACCCCTGTGCTGGCACAGAGGCCACCCCTGGAGTGTGCATGGGCTCCAGTCGTCTCAGTGGTATCATCTCCCCATCTCCCCAGAGCGACAGCCAAAGTCGTGCTCGAAGGGAAAGACAACACCACGAGAGTTTCGCATCGTCCAACTTCTTCAAAACCAACGACGCTTCTCATCTATCCCAATTATCGAAGCGCCATCTCCGTACCCAAGCTACCATAGTTCGCTACTGTTGAACTGTAATTATCGTTCAACACCGACTGGGTAATAGGTATCGACGAGATAGGCCAGTCTCTTATCGCCCTCTGCCTCTGCCTCTGCCTCTGCCTCTGCCTCTGCCTCTGCCTCTGCCTCTGCCTCTGCCTCCGCCTCCGCCTCTGCCTCTGGCCAGCTCGTCTGCATGTTCGTCCTGCCTTTCTTGCCCGTCTCATGCTCAGATTCCTCTCGACACGCTTCCAGTTTCAGATTGTCCACTTACCATATGCTCGCCGTCACTGACTTCCCTCACAGCGAAATATAAGTGATCTCTCGCGTCTGCCTCTCCTCGATTGGCCTGTTCCCACCCCCCACAGGTGAAGCACGCGATACCATTCCTTTCTGACAAACTCCGACCCATCCTGCGCATTCCAAACTCTGCTTTACCCACACATCGGACGGCCTCGAGCTTGCTTGGTATATGTCGAGCGCAGCCTCACACACGAGCAATTAGCTGGCCGAGGATCGCTCAGGGCTGGAGATTCCCCAAGTCGACATGTCGACCATTGTGCTTCCACGACCGATTCCCACTGGCCACACGCGCTCTACAACACCGACGCTCGTGCTCGAGAATATCAATACTCCTCCGACAGACTACCGTGGTGGACGAAATCTCCCCATCTTCCCCCCCATCGAATTCCCCACCGAGAAGCCGGACTCTCCTCCCCAGTCTCCACCCTCCAAAGAAAGGGAGCCCGAATTCTGTTCCCTCCTCTACCCCCCGGATCAGTATAAATCGCGCTCGCTTAGAGGCTCCAAGGTCTACGAGATAGACGCAACGGGTGTGGCGGCAGCTTTAGACCATATCGCACGCCAGCCTTTGCCGGACCCTTCTCTTGTATTTCCATGGTTTCACGGCCTCCATCCGTGTAATCATATCCAGCAAGCGTTCTTTATCGCCAGAAAGAGAAATCTGCGGAAGACACCGAAATGTTGGCGGGGCGTGACGATCGTGAAGGCAGGCGGAGATTTGAGCTGCTCCAGGCTCAAAGGCGCACTCGCCCCGGAAGAATTCCTTGTTCAAGATGAGGAGGGCACCATGTTCCGCGAGATTGATCCGAAAGAAGGCTTCTCGGTGCGAAACTTTCAGATCCAAGCTGCCAAATCTGCCATGATTTCCGACATTGTTGTGTACGGCGATAGATATGAAGCAGAGAAGCTTGCAAGGGACATAGCTGTTGCGCAAGAAGGCTGGAGAGAGGCACATAAAAGTAAAGGGCATGAAATTCCCTACTACAACACCTTTATCTGCACCAGTCGCTTTAGAGAGTTCGAGGAGAAGCATGCAGAGATAGTGGCCACCAATACTCGAGGGTTCTTGACTGGCAAAATCATTGACTTTTTCCAGCAGGAGAGGATCGAAATGTGTACGATGACGAAAGCATCAGAGATACATCACAATGTCTGGCTTGGTCCAACTCCAGACCATACCATCGATCCGTCACTGTTACCAGATGACGAAGAGCATTTTGATGTTCTGATCGAATGCAGCGATATGGGCTCTCTGAAGCCAAATATTCTGCAGGCAATTGCGGAAGATGGTAACTCGTCAAAGCAACCCATCTACCTGGATTTTCCGTCTTCTGGAAGCATTATGCCACCTTCTTGGTCTCAAGCTGAAGCTGATGGGATTCTGGATACTTGTAAATGGCTGTACAACGTAGCTCACGGCATCGGTTCAACAACTCCGGAGAAAGACGAGGATGGCGACTCTCAGATGTCTTTTACGGGGTCTCACGAATCAAGAGGAAAGAAGATACTGATCCATTGCACTGATGGTTATACAGAGTCTACTCTTCTGGGATTATCTTACTACACGTATGCGTCGGGCTTACCGGTACCCACGGCCTGGCTGGATTTGCACTTGTCAAGACGTCGCAACTTCTTCGCTTACCCCTCTGATGTTGCACTTCTTGCCTCAATTGCGCCAAGACTACTCACCGAGTCACCAGTGAATGTCAAGAAGTCCCTAGTAGAAATTACAGAACTCGCCAAGGAGGAACCCGAGTGGATCAAGAACATGGACGGGTCCCTACCCTCGCGTGTTCTTGATTATATGTATCTGGGAAATCTTGGCCATGCAAACAACCCCGATTTGTTGAAGAATATGGGCATCGGCCAGATTCTGAGCGTTGGAGAAACTGCAACATGGAAATGCACCCAATTGGATGAGTATGGAATTGACAATGTGATGACCGTGCAAAGGGTGCAAGACAATGGGGTTGACCCACTCACCGACGAATTTGAACGCTGTTTGGAATTTATTGGTATGTCGATTCTAAATCTTATGGTCCTCCGATGTGTAGCTAATGCCAATACTAGAGCAAGGAAAATCCAAGGGAACTGCCACTTTGGTACACTGCAGGGTTGGCGTGTCGCGCTCAGCGACTATCTGCATTGCGGAAGTCATGAAATCCTTAGGATTGTCATTTCCCCGCGCCTATTGTTATGTGAGAGCGCGACGATTGAATGTGATTATTCAACCTCATTTAAGGTTCTCGTATGAACTACTGAAATGGGAAGAAAAGCTTCGCAAGGAGACCACTGGAGAGAGCGGATTCAAAAGAGAGCTTGAATGGCCAGAAATTGCGCGAGAGATTGCAGCGATGAATAAACCTTACGCCAGATGAGACGACGTCATGATAAAATTGCTTTTACCTTCATTTTAATCTTCTTTTGGGATCCTACGATTTACGAGACACGACATATTATTTTATACCACCTTTGTTTCTTGGGACTACTTTTTATCGGGCTGGATGGGGAGTTGGAGGAGTCTTTACTCGTTGCTGGGGTCTGGCAGCCTGGGACTCGCTGCGACACACACGACATGCGAGGTTTTGGCCTTTATGGTCTTTGACTGGGTGGGATTGGGATAGGAACTGTTTGTATACATCTTGTATGACGTACGGAACAGACGAGGGGATTCTCGAACCTGGGAAATTGAAGTACCTGGTGGTGTGTCAACACTTGTGTATTAACCGAGCGAGTGGTTCAGATACAGGGCGACTGAGGAACAGAAGTTGTTAGTTACATATTAAATATCCCTGTTTGGTCAACATTGTTGGAGAAGGACAAATTAACAGTCGTATATTGTTAACTTGGTGTTCGCTGCTGTAGCACTTGAGACAATTTTTACATCTTATTTGGGAGGAATTGCTGTCTTTCTTTACACTTGATGACTTTTGTGTCTAAGTCGATAAACCACGATAATCAGAAACTACCGTTTACGTTTCATTATGTAAATTTATTGTGTAAATATGGTTATTCTACAACATTTGCGGTTAGTATCCATCAGAGGTCGTTTTGTCGATCTTTCTGCCTCGGCGCCTGAACAAGGGTTCTTCAGGCTGCCACAGGTTGCCGTAGTCTCCCATCATTCTCACATGTATGTATCAAAGGCGGCGAATTTGAGCTTGAACACCCTAAATAAAGCCAACCGCAGCACACGATAATTTTCGAACACTAACTAAGATGAAGTTCAACATTGGGTATGAGAACCATGTCATTAAGAAATTGAACACTACTACACGAATACTGATGAAGCTAGGGATCTCCCCGTGTTGTTTCCTTACCCTAGGTCAGTCTCACCTTTCAGAAATCCTTTCCTTACAAACATTTATTAACGTATCTGCCAGAATATATCCTGAGCAATATGAGTATGTTTAATACCCTTGAGCATTGTACTTTGCTTACCGCAGGTGAACAATGAAGCTACATGTGCGATCTTAAGAAGACTCTCGATGCTGGTGGCCACTGTGTATTGGAGATGCCATCGGGCACAGGCAAAACGGTCTCTCTCCTGTCACTCATTGTTGCTTATCAGCAATACTATCCTGAGCATCGAAAACTGATATACTGCTCACGTGAGTCTGCTACTAAGACTCTATTTTCAAAATAGGTGCCTGACTTGATACAGGTACGATGTCCGAAATTGAAAAGGCACTGGCGGAATTAAAAGCGTTGATGAAGTATCGAGCAGACCAGTTGGGCTACGTGGAAGAGTTCAGGGGCATGGGACTTACCAGTCGAAAGAATCTTTGTTTACATCCCTCCGTGAAAAGAGAGAAAAGCGGGGCCGTAGTCGATGCACGGTGTAGGAGTCTGACGGCTGGATTTGTGAAGGAGAAAAAGGATAGGGGCGAGGACGTAAATGTTTGCATATATCATGATGTACATTCTCCCTCCAGGTGACTGACACAAATCGCTGACAGGGGACAGAATTTGGATCTTCTTGAGCCTCATAATTTAATTCCGAATGGGGTTTGGACGCTGGACGGGATCATGAAATACGGAGAGGAGCATAAGCAATGTCCCTACTTTACGTCGCGACGGATGGTACGTTTCAACCTACCTTCAAAGTTGTCACTAACATAATTAGATGACATTTTGCAACGTCATCATCTACTCCTATCACTACCTCTTAGACCCTAAAATCGCCGAGAGAGTGTCAAAAGAGCTCTCAAATGACTGTATAGTAGTGTTCGACGAGGCACACAATATTGATAACGTTTGTATCGAATCTCTGAGCACAGATATCACGGAAGAGTCATTACGCAGGGCTACTCGAGGAGCTCAAAATCTCGAGACTAAGATATCAGACATGAAAGATTCTGATGCGGACAAACTGAGAGCTGAGTATGATAGTCTAGTAGCTGGATTAAGAGGCGCGCAAGAGGACAGGGATGAAGACGCTTTCATGGCGAACCCTGGTGAGATACCTTCCTTGTGCGAAATATGCGCCACTAACTCGGTTCAGCTCTACCCGACGATCTTCTAAAGGAAGCTATTCCCGGTAACATTCGTAGAGCGGAGCACTTTGTTGCGTTCCTGAAGCGGTTTATTGAGTATCTTAAGGTCAGGGAGCGCTTACCCGATTTTACTGTCGTCTAATCATGTCACAGACCCGAATGAAGGTTAGGCAGGTCATTTCGGAGACGCCCCCATCGTTTCTCGCACATCTCAGGGAATACACGCATATCGAGAAAAAGCCGCTCCGGTTTTGTGCTGAACGCCTGACCTCGCTTGTCAGAACCCTCGAGTTAACCAACATTGAGGACTATCAGCCCCTACAAGAAGTAGCAACGTTTGCAACCTTGGTTGCGACATATGAGAAGGGTTTCCTGTTGATTTTGGAGCCATACGAAACAGAGACTGCAGAAGTTCCTAACCCAGTGCTCCACTTCACATGTCTCGACGCCGCGATCGCGATGAAGCCAGTCTTCGATCGGTTCAGCACAGTGATCATCACATCAGGAACCATTTCACCTTTAGAGATGTATCCGAAGATGCTCAACTTCGAAACCGTTGTGCAGGAATCGTATCCCATGACACTCGCTCGACGCTCTTTCTTACCTATGATAGTCACACGAGGATCCGATCAAGTCGCCATTTCTTCAGGCTTCCAAGTTCGTAATGAGCCATCAGTCGTACGCAACTATGGAAATCTTCTCACGGAATTTTCAAAACTTACGCCGGATGGGATGGTCGTCTTCTTTCCGTCGTATCTCTACATGGAAAGTATTATTTCTATGTGGCAAGGCATGGGCATCTTAGACGAAGTATGGAAATACAAACTTATCCTTGTTGAGACCCCTGACGCACAGGAAACCTCCTTAGCCCTCGAGACCTACCGCACAGCGTGTTGCAACGGCCGAGGCGCTATTCTCCTCTGTGTCGCAAGAGGAAAGGTAAGCGAAGGCATAGATTTTGACCACCAGTACGGACGCACTGTGCTGTGCATTGGCGTTCCATTCCAATATACCGAATCAAGAATCCTCAAAGCAAGGCTTGAATTTCTCCGCGAGACGTATAGAATCAAAGAAAATGATTTTTTGTCCTTCGACGCCATGCGTCATGCAGCTCAATGTCTCGGACGTGTCCTGAGAGGAAAGGATGACTACGGGATCATGGTCCTCGCAGACAAGAGATTTCTGAGGAAGCGAACTCAGCTCCCGAAATGGATTAATGAGGCGATTCTGGATGCGGAGGTCGATTTGAGTACGGATATGGCGGTTGGTACCGCGAAAAAGTTTTTGAGGACCATGGCGCAGCCTTTCCCGTCGTTGGATCAGGATGGTGTCAGCACTTGGAGGATTGAAGATTTGGAGGCTCACAAGGAGAAGATGGAGAATGAGAGCATCAGACAGCTTAGGGCAGAGATGGAAGGCATTGAAAACGGAGGGGGGAAAGAAGTTGTCCAGAATGGAAATGGAAAAGAAGAAGCCCAGCATATGGGCGACGATGCATTTGATGATGCGGAGGCTGAGGCTGAGATGATGAAGCTGGATCATTGAGCTCATTTTATCAAAAAAGAAGAAAGAAAAAATAACGAAGCGAAAGCGAAAATCGGGAAACTAGAATGTATTCTTGTATAACCAGTGAGCACAATACAGGGTCAACCTAGAGGCCAAATCTGGTGCAACACAGAAAGAAAAACTCGCTCACCTCATCTGATACCCATCTCAACAAGGTTCAATCATCTGTGACACGGATGATTGGGGCCATTTAACGCGCGTGTTTGGATCCGAATCGTCAGGATCACACTGAGAGTAGCCAGTCTATGTTGCCCAATTAGCCATACAACCATACAACCATACAATGTTCGCTAAGATAAATGTCGGAATTTGTTTTACACCTGACAGTCCTATGATAAGCTCCTATGGTCAGAATCACGACGTATTGACACGTCTTAATGCATGCTCTTAGCCATCGTCCAAAAATTCTCCATCTTCGCCCGTGTCAGAGCTTCCCTCGCAGCGCTGTCTGTTTCGCACACTTTGCTGCCCCATTTCCTGAAGGCCCTGGCTTTCTCTTCACCCTCAAACACTAGCGTACACTTGTTGAGCGTCATATCCTTAAGCTCTCCTTTCTCATCCTCTGCTTTCAACCAATCCTGTAACGCTTCTGCCTTTGTCCCCTCCTTGATTCGCGTGGGCGAGTTCTCGGTCCAGTCAATACGTTGTAACATAAGCTTTCGATACTGGCGTATACTATGTTCTCCACCTTCCACAATCACTAGATTGAACCTCGGATGCATAACACATATTCCAGTGAGAGCCATTTGCTCCGCGTTCTTCGAGATCTTGAATCTGTGTGAACCGTTCGATAGATTGTCGATTTTGAACACCATCATCCTAATTCCTTTCGCGGAATCCTTTTCTTGATTCAAAGCGAGCTTTTCATGCCTCTGCTCTTTGGTGAGTTTTCTCTCTTCGTTCATTTCAATATGTGCCTGGTGTCGAGCTGCAATTTCTCTGTTTACTCTTGCCTCTACGGCAGTTGGATCCTTCACAGCTTCTTCACCTAAAACGCGCATGAGATTCCCCTTCTTCACTTTGGGGGGTGGTGCTGGCTCGAGACCCAGACGAATCTTAGCCTGTTGCTCTTTTAGTTCCGCCATCCTTCGTTGCCGCCGTAGTTTGGCTTGCTCCTTCGAGGTCAAGAACATAGGTTTTGGTGCCGGAGTATTCTTTTCCTGCGGCGGTTCCAGGAGGACCGGATGTTGAATGTACTCCGTAATTATAGAATCTACGGTGTCGAGCTTGAGCGTTTTTGGATCTTCAAGTCCATCGTAGTTTTTAGCATCTACTAAGCCTTCGTCCCACCATTCTATGGCTGGCGGTTCTTCGATCAGGTATTTCTTTTCCGTATCTAAATCTTCGTCGATACCGATTTTTCGAGACGATTCTGCAATCCTCTTTTTCATCGCCTCGAGGGCGGCTTGTCTTCGTAATGCATTGGCCTGTTGGATGTATTTCCCCTTCTGATTGAATACTAATTGCCTGGAATGCCTGTTCTTCAGCGTAGCTGTTTGCCCCCCTAAACTGATATCAAAGTACGGATTGTTTCTCGTCTCCTCCGCAGAAGGGCCAGACAGATCTAGCGGCTTTTTGACCTTCGCAGTAGCTTTCTCAACTTGGGGGCGCGAATTTCCTATGCTGGTTGCAAACTTGGGCGCAATCGTTTTTGACGGTTTGTATTGTCCCAGATCTTGGAGCGCAGGATGCAATTCCACGTTGAGCCCTCCTCTATTACCGACCAAGGCGGGATGCGGTGCAACATTCAGTCCTGTACCCCCTCCAACCTTCGACTTGCCGACTGCGGCAGCGACTCTAGCCTTCATGGCGGCGAGCTTCTCTGCTGCCGTTTCTGGCTTTCCGACGCGGCTGGAGGAGTCATGGCGAGGAGCGAGAATGGGTGATGCTTTTCCGCGATCCATAGATTCAACTTATCATTACCGGTATGCCAGATGGCTGATGTGTTTTAGGATATCGTGCGGCAGCTTGGATAATGGTTACGAATCGGTTCTTGCTGTTTCCTTCGCAGATGTTGTTGAGTTGACTGTCGCATGTATTTTCACGAGGACGCGGATGTAGGTGGCCCCGGCGTCGTTGATTGCATGAAAGTACTTTGACGCTTGGATCACAACCACCCGATAACGATAAGCCCCGGTGGCTGCGAGAAAAAAAGTCCTCATTTGAAGAGCTTCGCCATTGCTTTGCGGTAGCCCGACAACGCAGCTGACAGTCATCGTCCTAGAAGTGCCAGCCTTGGAATGGAAGTTTCTTCAAAATGAACATCTCTCAGCCTGTATCGTCCGCCATCGATAGCGTTGATTTTACCTTTCTCTCCGCTTCTGAAATCCTTTCGCTCTCTGTCGCAAGAATCGAAAACCCGGAGACTTTTGATACTCTGTTGCATCCAGTGCCGCAGGGTCTGTACGATACTGCGCTCGGTGCTTGGGGGGACCACTAGTAGGTGTAATCCCTCTCATGGTTTTGTGCTCAATCTAATTTTGGTAGCTGCTCAACATGTAAGCTCAAAGATAAAGCGTGCCCGGGGCATGTTGGCCACATTGAGTTGCCAGTGCCTGTCTATCATCCGACATTTATGACACAAATGCTTCGGCTGTTACGAGCGAAGTGCCGGTATTGTCATTATTTGAGGCTTTCTCGAAAGGAAGTTAACCGTTACTTGTGCAAACTGCGATTGATCCAGTACGGACTACTGAATGCGGCAGAGGAGGTTGACAACATCGAAGTCTCTAATACGGAGGATGCCGATGGAAGTGGGGGTGAAGATGGGCAGGCCTCGTCGGTTGAAAAGCTCATTCGACTAAGAAATGCTCATGTCAAGAGGAATATAAAGGTGGCTAAGCAGAATCAGTGGGACTGGCAGAGGGAGAAGAACGAAGCTGTTGCAGAAGCGAGACGGGTCACAATCAAGGAGTTCTTGAAAACCATCACGACAGGAAAGACGTGTAGCAATTGCAAGGGTATATCGCCAACTTACAGAAAAGATCGATTCGTAAAAATCTTTCGAAAAGATTTAAGCCCGAAAGAAAAGGCAAAGATGTCACTGGCAAACATTCAAGCAAAAAACGCTGTCACCACTCTGAGGGAGAGAGAAAAGCGTAAGGCCGATGGAGACTTTGACGAAGGCATTGCTGATATCGACTTGTCATCAAATGAGTCCAACGAAGACGAGGAAGGCGACGGGGAAGACCTTGATGTTGACGGGGACGTAGTAATGGGCGATACCGCGACGAAGACAGCAAGAAGCTCAAAATCCAAGGTAGCCGCAACCCCGCAGATCTACTGCAACCCCATGGAGGTGAAGGCGGAGTTGATTTTATTATTCGAGAACGAGCAGGAAATACTTTCGCTTGTGTACAATTCAAGGTCGACTGTGAAAAAGGCGGCGGTGGTTTCACCAGATATGTTCTTCATGCAAACACTTTTGGTGCCTCCGAACAAGTTTCGTCCCGAGGCGAAGACAGGAGCTGGAGAAATTACAGAAAACCCTCAGAACACGTTGTATAAATCGATCTTGAGGGGCTGTCTTCTAGTGTCTCAGATCTATGATGAAGTCAATGGGCTTACAGAGGAGACGCCCTATCGGATCAGAGATTTCGGTGATCTACAAGAGTCGTGGGCTGGGCTCCAGGACGCTGTCAACTCTTTGATAGACCGAGATCGCAATCCAATCCAGGGTGCGGCTGGCAAAAAGAACGAGGACGGGATAAAGCAGAAGCTGGAGAAGAAGGAGGGTCTCTTCAGAAAGAACATGATGGGCAAGCGTGTCAACTTTGCTGCACGCAGTGTCATTTCCCCGGATCCAAATATCGAGACCAACGAGATTGGCGTACCGCCGGTGTTTGCAAAGAAGTTGACCTACCCCGAACCTGTCACCAGCCATAACTTCAAAGAATTGCAACAAGCTGTGATAAACGGACCAGATATATGGCCTGGTGCTCAGGCAATAGAAAACGAACACGGTCAAGTCATAAGCTTGACAATAAAAACGCCAGACGAGAGGTTAGCTCTTGCTAATCAACTTCTAGCGCCGTCAAACAACAGGGCCAACGGGTCTCGAAACAAGAAAGTGCATCGCCATCTGACCAACGGTGATGTTGTTTTGATGAATCGCCAGCCCACTTTGCACAAGCCTTCTATGATGGGTCATCGTGCTAGAGTCCTCACAGGCGAGAAGACTATTCGCATGCACTATGCCAACTGCAACACTTACAATGCAGATTTTGATGGAGATGAGATGAACATGCACTTTCCACAGAATGAAGTTGCTAGGGCTGAGGTATTGCAGATTGCGGATACTGACCACCAATATCTTGCGGGAACTTTCGGAAAGCCGCTGCGTGGTCTCATCCAAGATCATATCTCTGTCTCTGTTTGGATGTGTAGTAGAGACACGTTTTTCGATCGAGCGACGTATCAACAATTGATATATAACAGCTTGCGGCCGGAGAGTGGTCACATTGTTGGTGATAGAATAGAGACCGTGACTCCAGCCATTATTAAACCGAAACCATTATGGACGGGAAAGCAGGTTATTACGACTATACTCAGGAACATTAAGCCTGTTGATTGCGCACCACTAGGCTTGAATAGCAAGCCATCAGTTCCCGGTGATCGCTGGGGCTCGGATTCGAACGAGGATCGAGTGCTTTTTAAAGGTGGCGAATTTATCACTGGCATCTTGGATAAAGCTCAAATTGGACCTAGTGGTGGAGGATTCATCCATGCCATTCATGAGGTCTATGGCCCTACCGCTGCCGGCAAGACTCTCAGTATACTCGGTCGCTTACTTACTAAATTCCTGCATATGAGAGCCTTTACTTGCGGCATGGATGATTTACGGTTGACTCCTCGGGGCGAACAAGCCCGGAGAGACACGCTAAAAGAAGCACATCGCCTTGGTCTCGAGGTTGCATCAAAATATGTCAGTTTGCAGGACCAGAAACCCACCGATACCGACGCTGAGTTGATGGAGCGGATGGAGGACGTTCTGAGGGACGACAGCAAGCAAGGCGGTCTCGATGTGATGATGAATGCAAGGTCGGGAAATCTGTCTTCACAGATTACCAAAGCCTGCCTGCCGGATGGATTGGTCAAACAGTTTCCAAAGAACCAGATGCAGAATATGACAGTTTCCGGAGCAAAAGGAAGCGCGGTGAACGCAAACCTGATTTCTTGCAATCTTGGTCAGCAAGTTTTGGAAGGTCGTCGTGTGCCCGTCATGGTCAGTGGGAAGTCGCTGCCTTGCTTCAGGCCTTACGAAACTAATATCCGTGCCGGTGGTTACATCGTGAATCGTTTCTTGTCCGGTATCAGACCCCAAGAATACTATTTCCATGCCATGGCTGGAAGAGAGGGGTTGATCGATACTGCTGTCAAGACATCCAGATCTGGATATCTGCAAAGATGTCTCATAAAAGGCATGGAAGGACTCAAAGTTGAGTACGATACCTCTGTTAGGGATTCTGATGGCTCCATGGTGCAATTTCTCTATGGAGAAGACGGTCTCGACGTGACGAAACAGGTACATCTTCAGGATTTCAAGTTCTTACTCGAAAACATTACATCCGAACTTTCGCAACTAAACTATGGTGATCCGAATTACGAGCAGATTTTCAGTGAAAAGGAAATCATACTCAAAAAGATGAAAAAGGCTTTGAAGTACTCGAAGGCAAACGATCCCAACGGACCAGATCCTGTACTATCCTCTTTCAATCCTGGCAAGTACGGCTATGCAACTTCGGAGAAATTCTACGACGCCCTTACGAATTATCTTAAAGCCAACCCGGATGGAATGGTGAAAGACAAAGAGCATCCCGATGGTGTAGGCGTTCGTAAGGCGTTGGAACCGGTTTTAATGGCTAAGTATTTGAAGTCCGTCGTCGATCCAGGTGAGGCCGTGGGAATTGTCGCTGGGCAGTCTGTTGGTGAACCCTCAACGCAGATGACACTTAACACATTCCATTTAGCAGGTCACTCCACCAAAAATGTCACCTTGGGTATTCCCCGCTTAAGAGAAATCGTCATGACAGCCAGTAATCACATCTCAACTCCCTCAATGACCCTTCGTGTCAATGACGAATTGTCAGCAGAGGATGGCGAGAAATTCGCGAAGGGTATAAGTGTCTTGTCGCTTGGTGAAGTCTTGGATGAGGCCACAGTTAAGGAGCGGGTGGGGCGAGGTGTTGCCTTTTCTGAGGCCAGGATATACGAAGTTCAGGTCAAACTCTTCCCTAGTAAAGAGTATATTGATACGTATGCAATTACAGTTGCTGATGTCTTACACACACTGGAGAAGAAGTTTGCGCCAAAACTACAAGCCCTCACTCGTAGAGCTCTAGGAAGAAAAAAGGAGGAAAAGTCTTCGAAGTCCACCAAAGGCGGAGTGCCAGAGATTGGGAAGTCTGTTGGTGCAATCGAGGACCCTGCGGCGGCAACCCGTAGAGGGTCCGAGGATCCACAAGCAGAAGATGAGGATGATGATATCGAGGAAGACGACGCAAAGCAGGTCAACGCAAATGCGCTTGTGAGCTATGCAGAGAATGATGAGGAGGACGATCAAGTGCAAGCTCAAATGCAAAAGGATTCAGAGCAAGATGATGCTGACGTCCCAGACATGGAGGACGAGGGAATTGGAGGGAGCCCCCGGGAACCTGACAGCGATGGTGAAGGGCAGCAGAAGGTCGACCGTCAAGAACAACGTGCTACAGAAGCTTCGGCGGAGCGAGAAGCTCGCGTGATGAAAAACTGTTCAGATGTTGTCCGTTTCCGCTTTGACGAGGAAGCTGGGGAGTGGTGTGATATCACTCTCGAGTATGCTGCTGATGTTCCTAAGATTTTGATGATGACAGTCGTCGAAGATGCTCTGCGACAATGCCTCATTCAGCAGATTCCAGGACTTGGTGCCTGCAACTACATCCCCAACCAAGACTCCTCAAAGTATGGCAACAAAATCCACTTGCCTGTCGTCCAAACGGTTGGGGTCAATCTTAAGGCAATGCAGACTTATCCTCACATCATAAACCCAAATACCATTTCCACGAATGACATTGCGGCAATGCTTGCGAACTACGGCGTCGAGGCCTGCCGCGCGACCATAATTCAGGAGCTCGCGGGCGTCTTCGGCGGTCACGCCATCAGTGTCGACAACAGACATCTAAACTTAATCGCCGATTTCATGACTAGGGGAGGAGGTTTCAGTCCGTTCAACCGCAACGGGCTTAGAGGGAGTGTCAGTCCGTTCATGAAAATGAGTTTCGAAACAACGGTTGGCTTCCTTGCGGACGCCGTCGCAGATGGAGACTTCGATGATTTGAGCAATCCAAGTTCAAGAATTGTAGTTGGGCGAATGAGTAAAGTTGGGACTGGCGCTTTTGATGTCCTGACGAAGGTACCTACCGTGAGAAGTGACGAGGAGAGTTGATCACATTGACTGGGTAGTATATGGCTCAATTTACATGCTTTTCGGAGTTTACGGTTATGTGTGGATTATGGTGGTCTATACCATCAAGAGCGTTAATGATTACATGCCAAAATAAGTTAATGTAGAAATGCATGAGATTGATACAAATTGTCGAGGCCTGAGAAAGAACTCGTTGAGTGACACAATACCAAGCCAGGCCAGGAATTACGACATACATACAGGAGACCAGCAACTAACTTCACTCATGGAAGTGACTCACCCGCTGCTCGTAAACTTAATTATCGACGGAATCCACTCACTTCGTTGAGTAAAACCTGTAAGCTAGTCCAATTATGCTTGTCTGTGAGAACAGGTATTCCCGTGGATTGCGCGATGATTGAGCGATAAGTGTAGAGCCTCTTTCCCTAAGAATGATCAAGCCATATTTGTATTCTACTTAGTTGTTGGGCGGATACTGAGGGACGGGATAAGGCTGACTGTCCTGTGATTAGGCTTAACATGATTCGAATTGGTTGTATATTCGCAGTTCACGATACCCAACCAGTTATTCGTTCGAAGTTTGCGTCAGTTAGAAAAGGGAAGGACTAGTAGCTCCCACAAACACTGGCAATTTAATATTTATCTCTATCTGAATAGGTTTCCATTTAGTACTCATCATAAACTTAGTCGACGCCGTATACAATCACGCTAGGTCATATTTTTGAAGTTCTTGTCTTGCCTGAAGTCTAGGTTTCCACCAGGCGTCGCTTAGGATGACCATTCAGACAATCCCAACCGCGTTTTCCATCTGCTCGCTCTTTCAGCCCACATGCTGGTGCTTTGACTTTCGCGTGCTGTCGTTCTGTTCTGCCGTGAGGCTTCCAAACCGCCTTTTTTAAAACCGCCGGGAAGCGAACACCATAGTACCAAAATCACTGCAATCAGAGCCAAGGCAAAAGGTTGTAAAACCTGCACACCCTTGGCTTGAGCGATAGCTCCGACAGCAAATGGAAAGAGTGCAGCGCCACCACCGCCAAAAGCAGCGGCGAACCCGATCGCCGACACATGCAGCCTCTTTGGCAAAATTTTGGTAGCAACGATGATCGCAGCCGGAAATAAAGGACCAAGAAAGAATCCCAGAAATCCCGCGAAGACAGCACTGCTGATGAAGTTTGGAATTAGCCAGAAACACAGCTCCAAAGCAACACTTATAAGTAAATATGCCGCAATAGCAGATTTCTCGCCAACTCTGCCTGTTACAAATCCAAGGACCACACGGCCGATGGTTATGCCTAGCCAGAAGCCCATTACCACCATTCCGGACTCAAAGTCACCCCCATGCCGCACTCTAAGCATGAAAGTGACGAGCCAACCACCTAGTGAAACTTCAACACCGACGTAGCAGAAGAGAAAGAAGGCGCAAATCCAAGTGATAGGATTATAGAGTGCCTCTCTTGTGCGAGAATGTCCACCCACTGAAGTCGTCAGTGGGTTGACGGCTCGATATTGCGACCCCGTGGCTTTTCGAAAAGTAATAGCACAGAAGATCAGTTCAACGACGGCAAGACCGATCCTGTAATGTACTTAGCACTTACATTCGAGTTCTATAGTAGATACTGGAGACTCACATCAGGAAGTAAAACGTGTTCCATGATAATCTGCCCTTTGTTACCATAGAGGTGGCAATCTGCCTCTTGTTACCACGAGCTCTCGACGGCCGTGCCTACACGATCCAGAATCTTTCACTTACAAGTGGACTTATTGTTGCTCCAAGACCGTAAGCACCATGTAAGAATCCTAGCAATCCATAGCTTTTGTTAATGAGATCACTTTAAACATGAATAACATTGGCTTACTCATTGGCGTGTTCCATATTACCGACCCAGGCGTTAAAAGCGCCATCAAGGAGCCCAATCCCGAAACCGGAAAATGCGAAGATAACAGGTAAAACAGCGTAAGGTGGTCTGGCCGAAGTTACCGAATAACACAAGATCTTGCATAGTGGACCAATTACAGCTGGACCAAGTCTGCCAAATCTCATGTGAATTTTGTTGTTTAATATCGCAGCTAAGGAATAACCGATGAATGGTGCGAGAAAGACCAGTGATATCACAGTATAACTAACATTATAGTAAGTCTCCAGCTACAAGTCACGTTGGTTAGAACAAGTGATCGGTTGTGGGCGATACAGAATTTTAGACGTACATAAGGTATCAAAGCCTATGAGCCGGGAGCTGTGTCAGTTAAACAGCACTCTATGTCGCGAGAAGTGAAAATCATGAGCTTCTGAGAAAACATGGCTATACATGAAGGTGGGAAAGCAAATGCAAATAAATAGTTAAGATTCACTTACCCCATAAGCAGCGTCATTCATTCCCATGATGGTAAACGCAAAGATAGTTGCAAAATATCGATATGCATTGGCTCTCGGCTCGTTCCATCGCTCTAGGTCGAGATCCTCGCTATCGGTAACTGAATGATCAACTTCTTCTTTTGTATTCTCGATATCCTTGTTTTCAGACTTGGCATCGGTAGGATGAGCGCTGACAGCTTCTGTCGTCAACATAGCCGCCTGAGCCTGTGTTGCCATGCTGAAGAAAGCTCGCCGTAGTAAAAAAATATCAGATATCTGGTAGGTAGAATCTTAAACTGATATCTACGGAAGTTTCTAAGCTGGTGGTCAGTCATTGCTTCCTTAGCATAGGACTGGGTAAATACTGAGAACTACGGAGGCAAAATTCTAGGCTCAAGGAGGCCATGTATTGTAGGAGAAAAGTAAGAAATGCTCACCGTGGGCGGAGCCCTTGTTATAGACCATCTCTGCGATCTCCAACATATCAGTCGGTAGCGTTTGGATAGTGGGATCCCCGGCTGCAAAGCCTAGGTATTCATTGGGTTTTCTTCCCCACTTCCGACACGGCGGTGGTTGTGTGCCCGCACTGAAAAATGTTCTATCAACTCTGAAGCCAAGAACCAAGCAGCTACATCCGTGGATCAGCCGTGGCGGCCCGCTTTTCCGGTCGGTTTTAATACGAGAAAGATGCACTCCACGTGATGTTGGAATTTTGCTGGTTGTGTAGTATGAATACGCCAAAAACAAATTGCATGTAGGGAAAAACACGGTATCTTTCTCGAAGTTGCAGGGTGACATAAGCAAGACGATAACTCGGATTCTATCCGAGTGCTGCCGTGGGATCATTCAACTATTGGCTTGGTGCGGTTGAGACCTTGCTATGATGTCGAGGAACTTATACTCACAGATCATCTGCGTAACAAGACTCAAATGCACTAGAAATCGTCTAGTTGCGACATAATCTACACTCGGCAATCGTGCGTTCCTGTGACCCGACTCCTTAGGGAAGTTTATCTCGCACTCGCTCATGAAATTCTGCGACGAGCCTTTGCAGGTAGAAGCTTCTGGTGTTGTTTGACAGGCCATCGAAAGACTTCAATATTCTTGTGATGTCTTGCCGTCCTTTCTCATACGCCTGCAAATCCCTGTTTCCATATACATCCTTCCCCGCAGCATAACCCGACTTCAAATCGCGAAAGAAAACGTTCACCGCCACACTGACGCCAGATATTGGCGAGGCGGCATGAAGCCACAACGATGGTATGAATAGCACATCGCCCCTTTTCAAGGTGGTTTCGTGCGGATGGCAGCCGAAGAGGCTGTTGCTTTCAATTGCTGCAAAGACATTGTAGCTTGAACTTGAGTCGCCTGGCTCAAAGTCGAATTTTGTCACATCTGTAGGTGGAAAAAGGAGCATTCTTTTTTCACCCTGGATCTGGCAAAGGACATTCGCCATTACCTGTACGATGATCAGCAGGTAAATTATATACTTATCATGATTATTAGACTTACATCATAATGAAGCCACATATTGACTGGACCGGATATGCGTAACGGTGAACTGTGCATGTTTTCATGTACATAATTAAGATATTCTGTACGTCTAGTCAGTACTAATGCGTTGTAATTACGCGGAGAAAGCAATACCCGGCAAGTGGAATTCAGAAGCAATCGATGGATAATCCCGTTCCAGGTTTGTGGGAATCTCTTTGGCGTTTTCAGACGAGAGAGCCCGCAGATATAGTCTCTCACCTCTTTCTATCGCATCTAAAAAGTCTCCAAATGTCCTGCTAGCGTATGCGAAATTCTTCGCCTTGAAGTCCATTTGTGAATGTGTACTTTGGTGGACAACGACCTATTATCATGAGTGTTTGAAGAAGAGGACAGTGCGAGTTGACTGACCTCTCTGCTAGAACCTATCTTTGACCTAAGGCCTGGTAAGGTCCATTCATCGAGGCAGCTACCGAGATCACAATCCTCTAGAACCACAGGGGACCCAGCTTGAAATACCGATTGTAAATCACTAGAGCCATCAACCTTTATCCTTCGCACTTGGATAGGCTGAGAAGGAATACTGTCGATTGACAATCCCGTTGATGGTACATGTTGCGGCATGGATGGAGTTGGTCGAACAGTGTGTGTATAGCTCCATAGATTATTACCGGAACTGTCATCCGGATTTTGGTCTCCTACAGAATATACTCCTCTGTTCCAGGATGTGCCAAACGAGAAGCATACAGCTGATCCTCCAACGATCACTATCGATGGCCCTATGGCGACGACACTTGACCCAATAAGGAGAGGCCTTGGGATCGTGTCATTGAGTTCTAACTGGACGTTCCTGAATTCTGCGGCACTCAAATCATCTTTCAACAAGAAAGAGTATATCTCTTCGCGTGAACCGAGCAGTGTGTCTTTAGCGACTCCACCAATGATATATATTAGTCCTTGATGATGTATAACGCTCGCTCCGAATCTACCAAATGCTAGGTTATTGGTTAATAGCTCTGATTCAGAAAGAGATCCATTATAACCGAGGTGGAATCGAAGTTTTGGGTTCTAACAGAAAATTAGTGAATGAATTCTACAACACACTTCTAGTGTTTCTGAATCCGAATCAATAGTTTGGATGAATTACCTCACTAAAGGGCGCCTCTACTTCCCAGTGCCACAAATCGGACTGTATAACCGCGTCACTAGAGAGCCCACCTACAACTAGACCACTACTCTTAAGGGAGTCCGAAGAGCCCATTAGAAAAATAGAGCCATATGTGTTGTGAGGAGCGCCACCAGCGCGCTGATGGCATTGAACCCAGCCCCAATGGCGACTCCAAATCAAATAATGCTGAGATAGCTGGCGTGAGTTTATCCTGCCAGTAGAAACGAGGACACATCCGTTACCTAGATACACAGCTTGGTGTCGATACAATGAGTAAGGGAGGTCATCAACCGGCTCCCATATCCCAACCCATCGGTGATAAATCCAACAATCTTTCAACCCTTTATCTGGAGATGTTCTACCACCGACCAGAAGTGAGGTACTCTCATCTATGATTGTGATAGTGTGACACATTCGACCTGAAGGATGGCTCGAGGATTTTGGTGCCTCGAACACCCTGTCACTACTCGCGTGCGGAGTAAGCGAAATCACGTCGTACGAGTCAACTCTGGTTTTCAATCCCATTCCACCATAATTCCCAAAAGCCGTCTCATGTCTGGCAGAGCCTCGTAGTGGCAATATTGCACCGAGTCGTGCACAAGCTTGTCCTTTTGGATTTTCAGAAAACATGACTTGTGCCGTTCGCGTTGATGCTGGTTGCACAGAGACAATAGACTTGTCATGTCCAGAGATACTATCAACTGGCACCAAGACATCAATTTGGAACCCTTTATTGACAGCTACGAGCAAGAAATAGTGACAGCCAAATAGGGCAAACTCTTCCCATTCATCGAAGGGCTCAACGTGATCTAAGACCTGGCGCTCTGCTGGCGAGATAAAGTCGGATGACGCCCATAACTCCCACAGGTTGCGTATGGAAATATTATCCCAGCCGAGCTTCCGAAAACGACAACTCTGTGCGTCGACCGTTGGATACTTTTGTACCGATCTTAATCGAGTATTCAGCTTCTTAAAGTGCGCCATCATGGTGGCTGCGAATGGGTGATCTTCGCCATCAGGGAGAAGCTGTTCAAGAAGGCAGAATTGTGCTTGTAGATATTAGCTGCGAATAGTACAATATAAGCTTGTCCCTCTCACCTGAAGGAAGCATACTCGCCCAACCAATGACGGCATCAGAGTAGACCGAGTCCATGTAGGCTATAGAGACCTCGGCCACAAAGAGTATTAGACATTGCTCGATATCTAGAGCTTGAGCTACTAAGTCATTCAGCCGTTGCAAGTCGCGAAGATCACAGCCTATTTGTAGGTACTGGTCACTGCTGAGCAACAGACCATCGTCTTGTGGTGTTTCCACGTTGGTCAGCATGGAGATCAACCTGCGGAAGCGGTCAGACTACCATCGAAAACCACTAGGTTGAAAGAGAGGGGATGCGCGGGCTGGAATAAATCTTACTCCGGTGTTTGCTGCACAGTTCTGCGTTTTCTCATCATAAGATCTTTATAATCAATGTCGACAAATACAGTGTTACCACAAGAACTAGGATACCGAGCAAGGCATTGCCACGGGAGCGGATCACTGCTCGTCAACGTTTGTATACATAGGAATGGTTGATTAGGGACGTACTAGCCACAGCCCAAATTGACCACGACTTTTCTCTTACTACTTGGTCGTTCTAGAAAAAGACGTACGACATTATCAATCGCCTTCATCCTAAGCCAGTAGCCGCGGTTAATGAGTGGTGCTCGTCGCTGTGGCTTGTTGACAAAATAGCGAAAGAATGGAGGCTCGTCCGAATAATAGAGACGTTCCACACTCCGTTTCGAGACAATGCTGCTATTGTTAGTCTAGAAACAGTCAACCCTTATCCGTCCTCTCCAGGGGGGAAAGCTCACCCCCATGATCAAATCGTCTTGGACGACCGAACCAGCCACCCTTTGCGGGTTTGGTGCACCACGAGCAGCATGGCTCTCCATTGTGAATGAGAGCGCGAGATTTCAAGCAAATTGAAGGTTTTCCTTCAGATGCCACGGGTTGGTCGCAACTTGCTGAGAGGGAATTGCATAGAAGGTCGACCCAGACTGATGTGTGGTGGAAGAATGGACACTTTGTTGAAGTGATCAAGCCGTGATTGTATTATCTTGCAACCTTGCGCTTGCGCTTGAGTGAGTCGTTCCCGTTACCCCTGTCGAATTTTCGCTGGAGCTTGGACCAGCTGGATGAAAGCTTCAAGCTCCAAATCCCGTGCCCAAGGACCCCGCGATGGAACGAACGTTCTCACATCCTCATATTCACACCTTTACAACCGTCACTCACGCCTTGTTTCCTGGCACCCTTCTAATTGTAAATCATACTACGAAATAGGAATGCCGAACTCTGCCCATAAATACCGTGCCACCGAACCGACTCTGCGTATTGCGCGACAGTTGCGCCAAAGTCCCGAGTCGCACCACCACGCCGCCATCCTCTATTCTGCCTCCTGCTTCATTGCGCGGTAGCATTTGAGCCAAGGAAAAAGAAGATCCAGCCAGCTACACATTATCTGACCCATACGTCCTGCAGGCCACGATGGCGATGAACTTCGTAACCTTCAACCAGAACTACGGCTGTCTCGCCGTCGGTGCGCTGCCTCCTCGCTATGATTGTATCGACGTCAAACTGATTTTGAACCTGCAGGGACCTCTCGAGGCTTTCGCATATATCACACAGATCCGTTCTCCAAGATATTTAGCAGCGATGAGGGGAATGTCGCCATTATCGAGATGCTGTTCTCGACGTCGTTGGTCGCCCTCATTCTTTCTCCAAGGCACCTAGTTATTCAAAACACCAAGGTACAACGGAGGATATGATACATCTCTTTCACACGCTGACTAGGAAACAGAAATCTTCGATCATTTGTGAGTTGACTTTTCCATCTGCTGTTCTTGCAGTCAGATTGAATCGGCAAAGGCTTGCCGTGGTGCTAGAGGAGGAGATATATCTTTACGACATTTCCAACATGACGTTGTTGTATACGATAGCCACGTCCCCCAACCCAAACGCGATATGTGCCCTTGCGCCGTCATCCGAGAATTGTTTCATTGCATATCCTTTACCGAAGCCAAGAGAAGACAATGGCGACAAACGCCCACCGCATGCGCCGCCCCTTTCTACGTATGTCGCTCCTACCTCTGGACATGTCATGATTTTCGATGCTTTGGAGTTGAAAGCAATAAATGTGGTAGAAGCTCACCGGGCGCCATTGTCGTGCATATCACTGAACGATGATGGAACTCTCCTCGCTACCGCATCCGAGACTGGAACTATCATCAGGGTCTTCGCTCTCCCACAAGGGACCAAACTGTACCAGTTTCGCCGCGGTACATATCCCTCTACCATCTATAGCATGTCCTTCAACTTGAGCTCAACACTGCTTTGTGTCTCTTCCACCACTGATACCGTACACATCTTCCGACTTGGGGGGCCCGCTACTATGCGGCCTGACTCGCCGAGAACTGGAAATGAACGCTGGACGCGAGCTCGTTCCCAAAGTTATGACAGCACCATAGAACCTGGGACGTCACGAAACGACGGAGAGGGACCTCATGCCCCAGAAATTACTCGAAAGCCTAGCGGTACATTTGGCAGCATGTTGCGAAGGTCTTCGCAGATGATGGGGAAGAGTGTCGCTGGAGTAGTTGGAGGCTACCTACCCCAAGCTGTTACCGAGATGTGGGAGCCCATGAGGGATTTTGCTTTCATCAAGATACCCAAAAATGGCACGGGGTTGAACTCTACCGGCGGCCCATTGCGGAGTGTTGTCGCCATGAACAACAATAGTCCACAGGTGATGCTAGTAACCAGTGACGGCGGATTTTACGTGTTTAACATCGATATGGAGCATGGAGGTGAGGGTGTGTTGGTGAAACAGTACTCGTAAGTCTCGTATCCAGTTGTGTGCGCTACGAGCTGATAACGTGATCAGTGTTTTGCACGGAGATGATAGGCTCGATCATTCAACGGCGGATTACACATCCTAAACGAACAGTCTACCATATTCTGGGTTTATGCTGCATGTCAGATGGAGTTCCGGTCGATCTATTGGAATTATTGCGGGATAGTTGGAGGCATTTGAACTGGCATTGTCTGCCGGCGTTTGGTTTTTGGTGACAATTGAGCGAGCACGATAATACACTTTTTCTACTGCGCGGCTGACTTGGTGGCTCGTCTGTTAGGCACTCCATTATCTATACCCGAATACTGTGTACACTATTTATCAATACTCAAAGATAGAAAGGAGAACGAGGTTGATAATACTAGAAGATGCAAGCCGGCATTTGATGGACTGAGCACCCGTAGCATGATATAGCTTGTCAGTTTGTTCCAGCTGGCGGACAACGGTGCTTGTTGTATCCTGCCAGAAGCCATGCAAGTCCGATGAAAAGATGCTGACAGCATGGAAATAATGGCAAGAAGCAAACCATGTTTGAATTCGATCTTCAGTCTATCTGCCAAGACTTTATCTCTACTGCCCCTAGATTTCCAATCCGTTTATCTCTTGACCAGCTGGGGCAAGAAAATTAAAAGCGATGCAGCTTCCCAGTAACAATATATCATAGGCTTGTGCAGACTCTCGATCTTACACAACATTCTCAGCTCATCTTAGGGGAATTGCCAAAGTGTGACAGACTCTGTGCGCTCCAGGCCAATTGATTGAACCATTAGGTGACTTATCCAACACTGTAACCGGGACATACATATCTCATTCATTTGTGGCAACCTACCCATAAGATACGAGCACCCAGCAATGAACACGGCTTCTTGCTGGCCGCGTTATGTCAGGCAGATGTGGAGGGGGAGGTACAACTGAGGTGCGTCGTAGGGCTGGAAGGGCAGTGGAAGCGTGCATGACACTCCGAATTCCCCGGCTCCAGTCACGGCACTCATTCGTATGCGCGCAAGGCATCTCACACGGTCCCAACATCTTGCTTAAATTATATGTCGGAATTATCGGATACCGTTTGTGGTCTTTGGGGTTGAATGAGAGCCAGCGCTTGGGCTTTACAGTAAGTTGAGAGAATGTCACGGAGGACAACTCAATATCGTTTTTAGATACGGGCCATACGATTCGAGTATATGCTCATGCTCGATGCGTTTGTTTCATGCCTGGAGGATGCAACATCGCACGCTTCGCCACAGCGGTAGAAGGCAAATTCGAAGATTCGAAAGATTCGAAAGACGTACAGAGAGAGGCTTCTGCGGCGAGAGCGCTGGCAAAAAAGTGCAGCAATGCGTTTTGACGTCAAAGACCTGGAGCTGATCATATCGAGGGTGCCAGTAACATTACACCAACATGGAATGTTAGCCTTGCATAGGCGTTGAAGAAGTACATGGTTGCTTTGGAAAACGTCGTCCGTATCCAAAACCAGTGATGGGCGTGTGACGAGGTGAGCCTCGTGCATTGTCTGACAGCGCCCCAATAACCAGATTGCTGAAATGGAAAGATACGCTCCTTGCTCTCACGGCACCGAGAAATCGAGACGGATGGGATAAGAATTGTGCAGGCAGTCCGGTACGAGTATGTCGTGGTCGTTGACCCAGTTAGGCCAAGCATGGGGTTGCTTCACCTATGAGACAGAAGATTTCGCAGATGCTAGTCGGGATTTGCTGCTGATCTTCACACTTTGAAGGTCGCGAACGAGCAGGTACGAAAGCACTTGCGACCAAACTCAGAAGCAAGCGTACGGTGGCCGTCTTTACTCTTTCTGCTGCCAAAGAAATCCCCGAAAGTCGCGGAAACTTCAAGTTTCCGACATGAGATTTTCCCTTAGGGCGATCTCTCAACTAAAGAATACTTTATCGCTAGACTAGACGCTACAGCAGGAATTGTGAAAGTCTCGAGCATCGAGTCCCAGAAAATGAGGAAGGATTCCGGGAAATTGGGTGTGGCATGAGAGTGATTCCGACATGCAAGCCCCTGGGCCCAGTACTGTCGTGAACGAAACAGGAATCAAAGAGTGATGAGAGCCGCCAAAAGCGGTGGTGATCGATAGATTACTAATGAAATGTGCTCGTAAAAGCACCGAAGCCGCGAGGAATCTTAACAACACCGTCTATTAAAGGTCACAACAAGCATTGGTCTTGGGGCTGTGCCATGGAGGATGAGCTAGATGATCCCCCATACCTCAACTTTCACATTATCGCACTGCGGAGTTAGCGGGGTCAAGATGGACGGCGAATTCAACCAATCATTGGCTATAGAAAGAATGCATTCTCACTTATGTCTGGATGCATGAAGTGATATCGTAGACAGTATGATATTTCGCGGATCTAATATCATATGGGTAATAGTTGTGGCTTTTAATGAATAGTAGGTTCCCAATTGGGTATGTATCATGTAATGACTACAAGGTGCTCAACTCGTACCTACATTTCCCAGTTCTGAATACACGAAGGAGCAACTCTAATTTTATGGTTACTAGCATCATTAGACTACATAAAAACAAAGATGTTCTGAACATGCATAAGGGAAAGTGTATACGTACGACCATGCAATCGAGACCTACGCCTACAGGGTATCGGCGGCTATAGTGCCTAACAGTGCTTCTGCAGCTGAATTGCCGCCTTCCCCCTCCTAGCTAGCAATCTCGCCCTGACATTCACAGTGATCGTTCGCCTAAATGAACTGAAAAGAGACGCCAACGCCGCTGCGATAAGGACAACGGCTCCATACTCGTAATTTAAACGAATGAACGAGCTCGAAAAGAAGCAGAAATGATCGGCTCGAAGCCCGCTCGCAGACCCGCCATTGCTCGCCGGCGTCCATTAGCCGCCGCGCGATCGAGTCCACTCCGAAGCTTTTGATTAGATCCGCCCGGCGCTTAGGAAGCCAACAAGGCGTTGCGGTACGTCAAATAAGCCCCTGGTCGGATGTAGGGTGATGGGTCGAGCTCAAGCCTCTGGACGGAGGCGGCTGCTTTGCCTCTGCCTCTCCCGTTCAACTAAGGCACTTAGCCTTTCACCTGTGCGCTTGGAAGTTGGAACGGCATCCGAGAGGGGAGCACAGGGAAGAAAGCAGATGATGGACTGGGGGATGGGAGATCCAAGAGGGTGGACGACGGTGAGCGCTTCTCGTCCACGATGCCCCCTTTATCCTGCCCCAAGTCGACGAACATGGCAGCGGGTGGCCCGCTGGTGAGATCTACGTACGGAGGTGCTGTACAACCTTCCTTCGTGACCTCGCCACAGCCAACGTCCCAATTCCCAATCCACTGGACCCATTTCCATTTACCTCTGACTGATCGTCTTGACGCGATCATCAGCTGAAAAACGCCAGTCGGTGATGGTTGGTATCGCGGCTGCGATTGCCGCTGGAGGATTACACGATGATTCCATGGAAAGCAGAAATGTGGAGGTGGACGGGAATGGAGTGAGAGAGTGTGAGCATCTCGGGAAAAGGAACTCTCTCGAGTTCTGTCAGTCCACCAACACACTCCAACACCACAAATACCAAAAGTCGCAATCGTAATTACGCTACAACGCCGGCAAAGCAGCTCTATATGTCGGACTGTATTGTCGTTCTGAAGCCAGGCTCAGTCTGCCTTGCGCTTGCGATCACCAAGCATCTCAGCATGATAGGGAAGTGTACGAGATCATGGCTATAATACCAGCAACATGGCGATCATAGCAATTCCAGTTACAGTACAGTACTGTACTTGCAGTGGATGCTGCCTCCTGCTTCGAGACTGCACTGCTGCTCTGCTGATGGAGGGGGGCACCCCTGCATGATGCACCTACCACATGCGGTCCCTGCTCTCACCAGGGACCAGAAGCGTGCACCAGCCAGAGCACCAGAGCACCAGAGCACCAAGAACCATCCCAACATCGCCGTTTACGAGCCGGCAACCCCTGCTGCAGAAAGAAACGGTCTGACAGCTGGCTGCTCCGTGGGATTTGAGTGAGTATTGTAGTAATGGCTGCATCTGACAGATACTTCTAATAATCATTTCTGACTTTCCTGTCCGGTTCCACCACGGTGGGTGGGTGGCTCCTCTTTGATATGTCTGTCTCCATCGGTCGCTCCCGCTAGGCCCTACCAAGTAAGTTCCTGAGAGATGCCCACTTGGCTGGGCTGGCGATGGCGCGACGGCCAGACTCCGTCTGAGGATGTATACCTTTGCCCTCCAGCACCGTTGAGCACCGCTGAGCACCTGCTGCTGTCAAACAGCACTCCGTATACACAAATGCTTTGTCTCCAGCAATCTCTGCAGCCTGAAGTAAATTACTTGGCTTCATGGCCCATGGCTCGTGGCTTCACGGCTTCGTGGCTTCCTGCTGGTCCTGTACGCTGCACGTCGACCGCCATTGGAGCTGGCCGCCTTCCCCCCCTGCTCGCTTGTCATGCTGGAAGACTCGCCCAAATGCAGGCCCTGCATGGCCCCTGTCCCTCGTTGTTCTCTGTACAGTACTGTTCCTGGTACTGTTCCTGGCGAGTTCCTCTCGTTTTCCTGAATGGTTCAGCAGCCGTCAGCCCCCCCTACCCTTCCCTCCCCCATCGCGGGCATCTAAAAAGCACAAGCACCACGAACACTGCCGTACCGCAACAAGCGAAAACGTCTTGTCTTGCCTTGCCTGGTCCATTACCACCATCCACCAACCCCCCATGCCATGATGCCCCCCCCCCCCCCAAAGCGACATGGGCTGTTGTAGACTACCAAAAGGATTGACATTGTCAGAGCCGGGGGGTGCTTTTAATCGTCTTTGTCCTGGACCCAGGATCTTCTGCTCCTCGAGTCTGCCTCGAATCCTCTTAAGGGTCTTTCCTCGCACTCCTCCTTCGTTCACGACTTTAGCATTTCAGTATCGTGTGTTCTGCCCTTAATCCAACCAAGGAGCCTCAGTCGTACCACGCATCGTCCCCGACTTGTGGCCAGCCAAAAGGGAGCGCTCTTCGTCGCTGTCACCGACCACCAGTTCTGTCTGGACCTCGAATGCGCCTCAAAATACTCACCCCAACCACTACCTCCAACGCGTCTGTGTGAACGTCTCCAATCAGCCGTCACCGAGCAACTGATTTCCAACATTGACGCATGCATCGACACAACGTTCGGCTTCTTCTGACCTAGCACCAACACTTCTTATTGTTGCTGTTGCCTCTGGACAATTTCTTATTTCTACTCTTCCTTCTTCACAAAGATGGAGCTGACCCCGCAATCCACTCGATCTCCCACGTCTCCATTTCGATATCCGTCAAACGCTCAGCCGTTGTACGAATATCCCTCGCCTGCCCAAAGTGATTCTCACTACAAGTCAACAGAACCTCTTCACGGCCTTGGGCTCTACTCTTGCCAAATGTCAGCATCACAGTCAGAGAACGGTGGCTCCGTGGTCACACAGCTCCCATCCACCACAGCCACCAGTAGCTGGCCCACAGCGACATTGCAACACAGGAGTGAACCCAGATCTACCCAGTCCACCCCCAACATCCTTCAATCGGAGTACGATCCCTTTGCTCCCTTCCATCCAGCAGTATCAGCCGCCTACAGCCATGACATATATGCTACGCAAACTGCCGAGTCATCTGTTCTCCCCGCCTCTCCAGCACCATCTGGGCATGCCTCGCAGCGATCATCATTCTCATCAACGCCAGCTTCAGAAGTCTTCACTCAGGCCGGATCGATCCATTCCTACACGCCACGCATCAAGATGGAAGAAGCTCACTCAGAGTACGCATCTAGTGGAGAGTCTATCATGATGAGTTCTTCGCCGCAATTAAGTCACAACATTTTAGTAGCCTCGACAAGTCCGTATCCTGGAAGTCTGGATGCCACCTTCTACCAAGGGGAAAATTCGGCCATGGGTTGGCCCAAGGTCGAATATACAACCACGACCCAAGATCTTCCCTCCATCTCTTCTCTCCCAATTCCACCTTATGATCGACGGTCAGAGAGTCAGGAAGAGCGGGTATCACGAGTGCACGCTCAGCGTCGGGGAACTAGTAACATTGCACGGACCAGACAGCCCCGTAAACTGACGACGAAGGAAGACGCCAATTTCCAGTGCCATGTCAAAGGTTGTGGGAAGTTATTTGGGAGAAGTTACAACTTCAAGGCGCACATGGAGACGCACGATGCGAGCCGGGAATATCCCTTCCCGTGTCCGCTGAAGGACTGTAACAAGAAGTTTGTGAGGAAGACGGATTTGCAAAGACATCACCAAAGTGTACATATGAAACAGCGAAACCACCGGTGTGACTACTGCAGTAGGTTCTTCGCACGAAAAGACACTCTTCGAAGGTATGTCAGGTATCCAAAACTTTTCCTGAGACTCTTGAACTAACTCTCCTAGACATATGGAAGATGGGTGTAGTAAGCGGTTCGACATTGAAACTGTCGATTTCCGTCCACAAAACTACAGCAATCCGGAGCCGTGTTCGATCAGGATCAGCCAGCGACACCCAGACCATCATCAGTCGCGACAAGCGTCGTACAGCTCTTCTAATGGTCTCGGTCCTCATGACAGTCCCCTCACGTCAGCGTCAGGGCCGTTTCTGGAACGACAGGAGTATATACCAAACAACGGTGAACATCATCACCAGCCGTGGGCCAACTGATTGCGGCTGCGATTCGGTGTAGAAGACCACGCCGATTCATTGACTGTTGGGGATGGGTCCAACAGAAGAAGCATCATCTGCCGAGCTTCAAACGCAGTCAGCAGCTCGAGCTCGACTTTCTCAGTCAGGGGATGTCTGCCGTGGGGGCCGCTGATGGTTGCGCAACGCGATGCAACCATCAAACCAGCAACATCAATCATCACGAAGTCGAATTACAAAGCTGGGCGCTGCGCTCAGTCATCGCTCTGGGCGGCTTCACAAAATCAATCTCATCAACGTCAAACGTGTCGCATAGGGATAAGCGGGAGTAGGAGGAAATGGCATTGCTTCTCGCATTATGTGAGATTTGGGTCACTGGCGTTCGGTTCACGTCATGCTTTGTTGCTAGAATACCCTTCTTCACTTGCGCTCAGTTATTGTATTCATATTGAAGCTCAGGAGTATGGTGTTCTGCACTGATAGAGATAACGTCCTAGAAGAGGGCGATCTGTACGCAGTAGTTTTTCATATTTTGATTGGAGGTCGAGGGACTTTTAGGTGCATACCTGTAGTGCAGACTGCAGCAGGCGGTAGAAAACTGGTCTGCATCTTTAGACCGATGTAGCACACACCGCGCGACGGCGAATCACAGAAAAATGTCAATCATTTCGCTACGTAGTATTTCCGCAATTGCCCACGCACCGTGCAGCCTCTATTTTTCCAAATGACTGATCATGAAAGAGCTTCCGGGACCCAAAAAAGATGTCTTGCGATATGGTGGTAGTGGAGCGCTTGAGTTGACGGAGTGAAAGTCATTACCAGCCCTGGACTGGTGGAGACTGGTGGAGTAGGCCTAATTGGGCAACTCACGACGGAGCCAATCATGGAAAGGTGTAGATTTTGCGTGGTCCGGACGCTGAAATCACCGGCTCCGTCGTTGGACTTGAGAAATTCCATAAATGTGCGCTCCCTACGTCCCACGGACTCCGGCTGTGTGGAGCATCGCGGTGAACTTGTGAGGAGGACGGTGGAGTGTGGACACTGGACTAAGGATGCTGGCGAGACGAGCTGGCATCGCACTGGCACCTCACCTCGTAAACCCCGCTGATACCGGGAGTCTTGCGTTAATCTGCGCACAAACTTTTCTTGACAAGTCCTTGGTCTGCTTCGTGTATTTCCCTATACGGAACGAGAGATTTGCTAGCTGCTAGTTTAATTATACGCTTATGTGCGGGTGTAGCGTGCACTAGGGCAAGAGCACAGAGCATAGCAAATTCCTTACGCTCGACACTCGTACCACGAACGAACCTCTCACCCCGGCGTGACACTAGTTGTGCTGAGCTGCTCACGGCGATTAGAAGGAAGCTCCTTCCTGGGAGAATCAAGGTACGGCGGCTATGGTGCGGTACTTGCTCCATAGGGAGACATCGTACAGTATGCTGTCAGATATCGATAGTATGAGAATCGTCCAACGGAGAACCAGCGCATCCAACACCAGGAAAGCGACCAATGATAACGATGCCAACCAACAACTCCAACTCACCTCGCTCCAGTGGCCAGCAGCCATCAGCAGCCACAGCGGGAGCGTGAGGGGGCAGGTTCGTTCGGAGACATTTCAGCGCGTTTCAATTTCGCACCACTGGCACCAGACACATGGCAGCCAGGACCGTCTGGTTGGTGTGGGTGGGATGAGATGAGATGAGATGAGATGAATGGGTGGAGGTGTGGTTTACTGTAAAGTACGACAAGTGAGTTGCAGCCTGGTCTGCCCTGGCATTGGAGAGTGGTCGTATGATTTTGCTTTCCTGTTTATGTACGTACAACACTAGCAGGCTTGCGGATAGCCTGCGGATGCGCTTGCTAACTGGACTTGGATATTTGTCACTGAATCTGGATCTATCCTAATTTTGATTCTGGGTCTCCGCCTCATCTGAGTCTGAACTGATTCTTTGAGAGTGGGGTGTACAAAAAGATCCATCGTACTCGCTATCCAGGCACCCAAGCTGGAAACAATTCAACAGAGTTTGGAGAAACTCCCTATAGCTCAAGCCTCAAAGGCAGGGCATTGAATTTCTGAAGAGCTTTGGCCGAAGAAGTGGCTGTGACGGCTGAGCAAGGGGTGGTGGCCTTCATGAAGGACGTGCTCGAATAGATGGGGATGCTCGATGGTCAACCGTCACTCGAGTATTCTTACAATTCCGTACCCCATAGATATGCTTGCCCATATGCATAACTATCAAAGTCCCAACGAGGGATTAATCTTTCCACTGGGTATACCACTGGGATACCACGAACTAAGTAGTATCCAATCCATGTGATTCGTCCAAACCATAAGCAATTCAGCTGGAGGACCAGAATCCCGGTTGGTACAAACGCAACTCTGGCTTCGGTGGGGAAGTTCACGGTACAGTGCAGCCGGGATATTAACCGCGCGGTTTCATCGTCCACCGTGGTTGACTGGATTCATGGAGATACTCAAGCAGCAGCGGGGGACGAGGCTAAAATCGACAGCACATTTGCACAAACGGCACAGATGGGTGACTGCAGCGGGAGGAACAGATCCAGGGCACAGGTTACGTGGTTTGGTGCAGAAGAAATCAACTCAAATGGCTCCTTCGGGACATTTATCAAGGGCTTTCTCCAATGATACCTTCGTATCAAACAGCCAGCCTCACAAATTGTCGATGGTAGGCAAGCCACAGAGACGCCATGGAATCGAAAAGGAAGCTCGTCACCCCGCACATCGAGATTGGCGTTCTTGCCCGTTTCTCCCGTCGGACAGCAAACAGATCCAGGACCGCACTCAGGGACCAGCAACCACAACGTCTTGATGCCGTGGATGTCGGTTGCCTCAGAGAGCAACGCGAGCAGCTGTAGGTCGGGACTCGAAATCACGGAGTAAGCGTTGGTCGTGCAGGCGGCGATGACGAGCTGTTGCACCAGTCGTATAACATGATCGAGTTCCGTCTCTTCATGGTGATCTTGAACGCATATAAGGCTGTCTTGGGGGCGGGAGGGAGAGAAATCCAGGAACTGAACGACGAAGAAGCACCGAGGTTGGGTAGTATCTGACTGCATGCTAATGAAGTCCTCGTGGGAGCCATATGTGAAATAAAGTGACCTGACCAGATTCCAGTGTTCACCCGCTTCCTCTCCTGCCACATTCGTTTCGTGAATCGCCCGTCTGGGGAGAGGCGCTGGAGCTAGACTAGGTTGAACGCACATGGCAACCAGGTCCCTGGCGTGTGCGAAATTCGAGCCCGAAGAAAAGGCGACCACATGGCGGAAGGTCGAGGAGGAGGAGGAGATGAGATGATGGTGACACGAAAGATGAATGAATCGGGGCTGGCTGTCCCAGGGCAGGAAGGAAAAGCTGCTGCTGCTGCTGCTGCTCACAGGCCTACTCGTACGGGGTATGATGTCTGCAAGCAACAGGTAGTCGAGCACAGTACGAGTACTTGGACGATTGATAGGAATGAGATTGGCTGCCCGGGCGTGGCGGATTGTTGCTGGTCTACATACGATGAGTGGAGACACAGGATGATGTTGTGGATGTGGATGTGGATGTGGATGAGAAGATGTGATCGTCGGAGTGGTGGACCTGGACCTTGGGTCATTGGAGACGTTATTGTTCTTCAATGCCCTGGAAGCCTCACACCTTAATCTCGCTCCACACCACTCACCTGCCCCTCCCACTCGCATCTCCACCATCTCACAACGAGCGTCACGGCCATGTTACCGTAGCTCTGGATATACCTACGTACCTTGGTACCTATCACTGCCTATGGAGCTACGGGGTACGAGTACTCCGTACAGCGCTCGAGTACACTTACCACCTGTTGTACGCCATTCCAGTCCTTTGCCGTGTTGGCTTTGCCGTGTTGGCTTTGCCGTGCTCTCGGAGATTCATCAGCGGCGCAATGATTTGATCGATCGCGGGTGACAAGATGAAGACCGGCATGTTGGAGATGCTGTAATCATCGAGGAACACCTAGCTCGGTATGGACGAGACTACAGTACGAGTACCCTTCCTGACCGAGGAGCATAATCAGATGCGCAGAGCTTCAATGCATCTGGCGTGGGGGAAAACAAGACGAATGCGGGTGACAACAATACTTCTCCACCGAGACTCCTGCGCAACTATCTGCTTTTACTGGATAATCAGCCATATGATTGCCAGGCCCCAATTCGACACACATTATTACCGTCGCTTTCCTGTGCGATGCGTCGTCTCGTCCGGAGGTCGCGTTTGTTCCATCTGCGCGTCAACAACATCGGCGAGCACTCATTTCCCGTGGGGACCTCACTGTGGTAGTCGCCGACTTCAAAGTCATCAGCCTCCTTCTCATCCTGCTTTATTTTAGGTGGCTTATCAAGACAAGCTCTCCATCTAAATTTGGCAGAAGCATAAGTCGGTGTTTTCAGTTGGTCACTAGAGTCTTGTACAAAGCACTAAGGGGTTCTTGACGGCCTACTCTGATATATTTCAAGACGATGCTTTGATGTTCTGAAGAGGCGCGGTCAATGGTGCACATAGGTCTTGTGATCCTGCCCTGAGTCATAGATAGGAAGAACTAACTGAGGAAGCAGAGTAACAGATTCAATGACACTCTTACCAAGATGCTGTTTCCCGTGCGCCATAGCTTTGGACGACAGACGGTCTACGACCTTGATATTCCGTCGTATTGAGGACCCCCCGTATCACCGATAGTCTTGTTAACGCGCCGTAATACAACATATTTGTACCTGACAGAGCAGCATGATGGTGCCCCCAAACTACATCCTCAAGAGCCGAATCGCCCGACTCTCGCTCCGATCCGGTGGCACGGTAGGCGCAACATCTACCCAGACCTTCGGAGAGGCATGGAATCAAATGGTAGTGACCGCAACACCTAGTTTTTCCAGTACCGGCAGGTTAGCGAAGACTTGTCGTTCCATGTCAGTCGGGCTTCACTACCGTACCTCAGGGTACAACGAGCTAATGAATATGTCTGTGTGAGTGCCAGACTACATTCGCAGTTTGAGCAGGAAATTCTGCAAAACCGCCTTGGTCACCAGACATGCAGAATTAATTTGCGGACAGTCGCTCCCTGTCTAGGCCTTGGTTTCAAGATGTCACCTCAACACGTTGCCTCTATCTAGAGCTTGCTTCTGTTGGCTGTGCATTTCTCTCGAGTGCTGCGACCTGTTCTGTGATAGACACGAAACATGCTGCACTCCCCTGGCAGAAGCATCCATTCCCCCAGGAATGAAAAGATGGTATCGTTCGTGATAGTTGCTAGCACGCTTTTCATGCATGATTGTGCCGTTCGACAGAGAATTGCCAACCGAGCTGTAGATGAGCCCTGATTGATCCAATACAACATGATGGGACGCTTTAACAGCGCATATTTTGCTTCTCGGACTCGTAGCATATTCGCTACTCTTTAGAGGAGAAGAATCTTCGCGGCGGCCAGGAAACCAGTGTCCAGAACTTCGAGCACAAGTTTAGCATGCCTATCTGCGTCAAGGATCGAGCTTCAAGTCGCCGTCAATATCAGCAGCTGCCAATGCAACATATCAATATTGTTCACTGGAGTTTTTTACCGTGAGCTCACGACTATCGTCTATCCAGGCGACGGAGGCAATCGTCAATGACATTTCCGTGGTAACGCGTCACACCTGTGAGGTCTCTTACGAATCATCCTCTGTCCATCTTGCGGGGTCTGCATCCTTAGCGACCTCTTGGGCTCTGGAGTCAGTCACAAGTGTCACTTGCATGCATCAGAACATTGAGAGAAGCTTTATTGAGGCACAGTTCTCAGCGGTTGACCCAGCGGTATTTGCGCCAGCCATGGAGCGCAGAGACTGCCGCGACCGCTAGACCTTCTAGATTCATCATTGCCTAAGTTGCCAATGGCTCAACTCGCATCTTAGGATGAAACTGTTGAAAAATCAGATGTCTAGTCTGGCTCTGGTATACATCAGGTCGATTGACCTTTTGACAAGAGCTGTTCGGAGTCTACTAGTTTCTCCGAGTGCCGAACCTCTTTTGGTTCGTGTTTATGCTCTACATCCCGTACATCCCTTTTATTTTCCCGTACAATCATGGAAAAGCCCTTCTTCCAAACGGCGATAATTAGCCTATGAGGGCAACTGAGTCTAGAATAATCCGAGGTTGCGCTTTATGCCGGCAAGTCTTGAGGAGAGGGGGCATTCGCGACCGAACAGTCCCACGGCGAGTTCCATTTCTCAACCACGAAATTCTGTGTCTTGTAAATGCTGGCAGGCGGTTGCGGCACCCACACACCCGTCCCTTGATGGTCGCATTGATTCCCTTGAGCTGCGCGGCGAGAGAAGTACATTACGTGAGTAGTACTTGTATGGATTCTGTGTTCCGTCTGTCGTTGAAATAAAGATCCTGATTTTCTTAAAGGCACGTGGAAGATCTCCTCGAAGGATCACAAACCCTGATAGCCTCTACATTAGTTATTCTGCTTAGTGACTACACCCCTCGTGGCCTTTCCCCGTTCACAGAAGGTCAGAGTGTCCGAAGAGCGAGAAGCGAGAAGCCCGCGAGAGGAGGCCGCGTTAGAGGTCATTACTGTAAGTGGTTGAATCATGTTAATGGGAGGGCTTCTTGGTTTCTGTTGGGTGAAAATCAGGATGAAGGAGCAGGGTCACCAAGCAGACGGGAATCCAGTCTGCAGAGAACACGTTAGAGCCAAAAACGTGCGTCGACTCGGTAACGAATGTACTGGTATGTTGATAAATTGCAAGCTGCTAGCTTCGACTTCTACAAGCGGAAATTCTAGGCGCTCCCGGTCGCAACCAGCACGAACTAGAACGAAAATGGTGACCATGTCAAGGGACAAAAGAATTGAAGCATGAAGATTGTGACATTCCCGAAAGGGGGGTGGGGGGGTGCGATGTTGAAATGGATAAGGTATCACCCTCGTCGTACCTGTCCGAAATGTCATCAACATAATCCTCGAGTCCTCGACAGTTGGTAGGTTAGATCGCTGCGTGCTCTAAGATCGCAAGGCCAACTTGCTCGTACATGTAAGTGAGCCTCTGGCCTACCTAGGTACATTAGTGGCTTTCCCATGGCTTCCCATGCACTCTGGCACTTTGTATCAGAGTCACCACCTTTTGTGGGAGGCAAGACGGTCGAAACTTGAAACGTCCAACTGGTCACGTCAGTAGGGAAATCCTACATGTACCCAGGTAGGCAATCGAATCACAAGCGCGTTATCTGAGTGTGCTGCACGAAGATTCGAGAAGACGTCGGCGGCAAGGGAGCTAGATTCGCGAACTCGAAGGATTGCATCTGTGGAGAGGCTGAGCAGCGAGCAAACACCGAGTCACCGACAAACAATGCGGTTCTCTGCTTTTGGCTGCAGATCAACCGACGACGTGTGTCTGCCACGCTGCCGTGTACTCGAGTACGGTACCTTCGTACGTCAAGCGAAGCGATCCAATCCCAGGCACGGCGCAGGTTTTGAAACGGGGAAGGATTCGAGGTACACTGCACAGCCATGTTTCGAAACATCTTTCCACACCGTCACCGTCCACTGCCTACTTGGGAGCTCTGCTGCGATTACGACTTTGAGTTATCACAGAGTTACATTTTCGTGTTTTCACCAAGTCGTTGCGTGGTTGGGGTATGTTAAACGTCGTGGCATTGTTGTTTGCGTGGGTACCTAGACATGTACTATGGACAGGCATATCAAGGTTACACCGTTCCAAGAGATGATTTGACATCCTGTTCGACTCAAGCATAAGTCGAGGCCTAGACATCCTAGTAACTTAGGAGCATAGAAAATACTGTTCATTGCGACTCTACAGCAAAGAATTCCAACCGCGCATTCTAGGCTTCTCAATCCCGAGATGCTCTACCACGACCGCCAGATGGTCCACCCCCACACCACATCTCTCTCTCCTTTAGAGTTCTCTGCCACAAACCACGGCAACCCAAAAGCGCCTTCTGCAAAAGCTTGATCGGTGTTCTTGCCTAGGAGCTCTTTCCCCTCTTTAGGAGCCATTTCCATGGCTATAACCGCGTCAGCAAACATAGAGACCAAGCATAAACTGTACATGCGTACCTTTCCTAGCCATTTCCTCACCAAGTGCCTTGCTCAAACACGCCATCAAACCCTCTTTCTCGTGCGTCGCTTTCCCATGAACCCAATATGCAGGATACAATTCATCCAGGCACTTGATCAATGCGTCTTGACCGCCTAGGACAGCGACGGCGCAAAGTGCACGCATGATGAGCAAAGTCAATGGCGGGAACCCAGGAGGCTTCTGCTCACTCATAGGGACTTGAAAAGCTTTGGCCCAGCGAATCCGTTCTTTATCGATCCATTTGTCCTTATCTGCGCGTTGTTAGCATTGCTACCCTGAGCTAAGTGTACATAACGAGTGATTCCAGACTTTTGATATTGAGCGGCGGCGTGTTACCACAAGCTTTCATAAGTCCACCAAGGAAGACGGGGATATATGTGATTTCCACACTCTTGAATACCGGGTCATTCTACGAATAATCATGTATTAGCAAGTATTTCCCGTATTGGCAAATTTGAAGCGCTCAAATCGTCTCAGCTACACAAATTCGACGGAGACATTAATGATGGAGCTAGACTCTGACACTCGAAGCTACACTAACATTGCATAGTAGGTATGCATGCCTATCGCCAGATGATGTGTAAAAACCCTCAACAAGAATAGCATCATGGCATACATCCCCTGACATAGTGTATAGTGTACCGGTCGTAGCCCCGAATGTGTCATCAGGCATAACATCAAGACAACCGCAGCTATAAGGCTCAAAAAATGCTCATACCCTGAGAATATAGTATGCTTCATATGCCATCGGACTGACGGTATCGACATACAGTAATAGTTTCGGACCCATTTTGAAATGATTGTCCCCAACAGAGTGTACGAGCAATCCAGTTGTCTGCTTTGCGTGAAGTTGCAATTTAGATTTCGCTTTTCCTCCAGACAAAGTCTGCGGGGGAAGTGCCTCGGCCCAGCTAAACCATTCCCCATGCCCGGGTAGTTTAAGAAACTACCTAGGTGGTTGCAGCATGATGTCACAGGAAGAACCAGAGCTTGTTTAGATTGCCATTAATCATGTTTCTTCGTTAATTTTCTAGGTAAAGCATGTACAAACTACATGTACAGGATGGGTATCAGTCTATCGTGTGCTACCATGTCCGACTTTGCCCCCCAACAACTAAAGCGAGGCGTATCTAATAAAGTCCTCTCCATTGCATCTCCTCAATTCCACACAACAGGTCTCTGTCCCATTACTGATAGCGTTTTAAGAGGATTTATGCCCAACCTTCCTTGCCCTCATATTCGGAAGTGTATGACGCTTTCCAGGCTCCCGTCCACACTCTGTAACAATCAATCGGATGAAATCAGGACTGACCCAGTAGCTGCTATGGGCACTAAGCATACTGATGTACTGAATTTCTAAAGGACCGCCACCAGAACTGAGAAACCAGTCGACCTGACCGTTGTCATTCAACAAAGCGAACTTCTTTTCGGCCAACTCTTCACGCGTAAAGTCGTGTATCTCCAACTCTAGCTGTGAAGGTAGTCGAAGTATCGGCGCAGGCTTTGAGACTTCGCCGACAGCCAAGTCATCAGAAGCAGATACACCGGGGGTAATATACCTCATAGCTTTACTGAGACTCTTGAAGAAACCAACAGTGGCACTAGGTACTTGAGCATTTTTCAAGCTTGTAGAATACGGTGCGTCAACTGTGGGATTGAGACGATAGGCAATCGGATCGTTGTAATGCATAATGTTATAAATGTTGTCCGCTGCCAGACAACCGTAGGTCCCTGCTTCTCCGGTAATCGATTTATCATTATCATCAGTAACTTCTGCATCGACTTTTGCTCTAGCCCTGCGAGGGCGCAATTGTGCTTTTTCGAGCAATAAGAAGAAACCTACAGGACTACCCGCCAAGAAGAGGTTGGTGCACTTGAAGTCGAAGTGCTTCGCGTTAATCTTCCTGGAATTCAAATCAAGCTTCGGCGTAGCGGTAGGCTGCTTGCTCAGGATATCAACAGCCATCGCGCTACCAAGAGAATGAGCTATCAAGTGGACCCTGCCCTCTTCATGAAACCCAGGATTGTTCTTGCACCAAAGTCGATACACCCTATTCGCCTCGCTGACGACTGCTTGAATCATTTTTGGTTTATGGTGGGACATGTACATTGGAATATCAAGCATCACGTCTGATATTAGGCTCCGAACTCCTGCGATTGAATCCGGCGTGATGTCCTTCATTGTAAACTCCGCAGATGTGTTGTTCTCTTGGTCCTGGCTGGTCATGGATCCCCCAGCCTCAAACGACAAATTCGAACGCCAATTCACAGGGAGAACCATAATACTACCTAAATCTGGGCGAAGCACCCTTTTCACGCCCTCATCCACGAGCTCCATGTTGACCGACCGACGTACTGTATTGATGGCATGTGTGAAATGAAAACTCTCGACTCGTTCCGAGAGTTTTTGACCAATCCCATGGACAACTAGACAAAGGTCGGTAACTTTTGGACGATCATTGTCTAGTTGGCAAGCCGGGCAGGCACTGCCCTTCGTAAAATTAGCGTCGCCTGAAACAGCTGCTTTTTCGACGGCCTTTTTGACATTGGCGGGCTTCTTTGTCGAATGTAGCTTATGCCAAGAAGCCCATTCAAATCCACGCACCACATGAATGCCCACCTGTATACCCTTGTTTATTTTCTGCAACGGTTTTCGCCCGTAATAAGCAGAAGGCTGAAGAGTAGGCTTGAGTATATAAGCATTCCGAGCATCTTTGTAGATAACTTGGGCTGAAGAATATTTCTTAGTGATGATATTAGACTTATCGGTATTTGCCTCCGAGTCAATGGTACCTTCGGCCGCGGTCTCTCCGTGAAAGCATTTGGCAGCGCAGTATGGGTTAGTCGACACATGTTTTTCAGCCTTTTTAGAAGGCGCCTTTTTGAGCACTTCATCTTTGGGCCAGAGTTGGTATACGATCTTTTCTTCGCCCACGGCCCCGACATCCATTGCACTGTTAAGTTCGTCGTTCCAGGTTTTCGACCAAGGTCTCAGTTCCCGGTACCCACTCTCAAGCTGATTAGCAACAGCAGGTTCGACAGGGTACATGGTCTGCTTATAAAACCAGGTCCCGCGAGTGACAACGGCGATGTCGTGAACAGGAGACCAATAGATAGGGTGCATCTGGAGGGCTGGTATTTTGACCAGGTGAAGTCGTGACACGCCTACTGGAACGTCCGTCTCGCCTTTGAGGGCCTTCTTGGCTTTGCAACCTGCTATTTCAACAGGTTCCGATTGTGTGAATTCATCATCCTCGGTTCTGTGAACGTTCTTTTGGTCATCGAGAACTTCGGCACCAGCAGAGGTAGGGTCCCTAGCAATTTGAGGTGTCTGATCATTATTTGACTCGAACTTTAAAAATGGTTGACCAGTCGTACCAGCTTCTTCACTTTGACTGGGATACGAAATGGCGCCTGGCGAAGAAGATGGTGTTACGGCGTCTTTCTTCCCGCGCCCTGTCGTGATGGGGACAGGCGAATCTGGTCTGAGGCCTTGTTTGGATTTGTGCTTCTTCAACAGGGATTCTACCTCCGACCTTTCTTTGGCTTTGGGTGAAGAGGCTGGAGACTCCGATGGAGCAGGTTTTGTGAGCTTGTCTTTCTTCGAATCTGGTAAGATTTCTGCTCTCTTTCCTTTTGCTCTGAATAGCAACGCCGGAGACAAGGACCTTGGCTCATTAACTGACTCATCAATCTTCGAATTTTGGTCTTCGGTAGAAAGGGTGGCATGGCGGCCTCCATGTTCCTGGTGGAGGTGCTTTTCATATTCCTTGTGTGCCTTTGACTCCTCGTGCTTCTCGAACAGGCGATATTCTTTTGTTTTTTGCTCGCTAACATCCGTACCCTGTTGTGCAGCCAGATTTTCTACAGTCCCATCCCGCTGACAATCGCTCATGGAATGTTGAGCCGAGATTGGATGTTGGGCAGTACCACTGGCGTCGCTCCTAGGGTTGACACAATCATGATGCTCTAATCGACCATCTGCTTCAAGAATGCCGCAGCAGGTCGAATTTGCGGCATCCAAATCAATTTGACGAGTATCGTCACAACCTGTATTGTTGGCGTTGCCCTCATCGATATCCGAATTATGGATAGTTCCTTTGACGTCTGCTTTCCTGCCGGTTGACCCCTCAGCTTCTTTTCCGTATCTTCTGTCTCTGCTCTCGCGAATCTGTTTCCTCGGGGATGTAGATACTCGTCTCTTAATCTTCCCAAGTGCAGCTTCAGCCCGCGCGTGTCTCCGGCTATGCCTATCTTCCTTACCCGCAGAGGTTTCAGCTGTCGTTTTCGAGCTTTCCCCTTCTGGCGTGAGTTTCGAATTCTTGTCATTCTGTTTGCTGTCTAGAATGTCAACAGGGAGACCGGCGGATAGCGTGGCAGCCTGTTTGATATTCTTGTCCTTTTCCACACTTTTAGCGCTCTCTGGGAGGTTGCCGGTCAGGTCGTCTGTGTTGGTTTTGTCTCCAGGCCGTGATGGGCGCTTTTTATCTTGCTTCTTGTCCTTCTTTTTGGACTTTGGCGAAGAGAAGTCCAACCAGGCTTCCTCTAGCGCAAAGTTGTCGCTCGCGGAAAATGGACGTAATGGATGTTTCGAACCTTTGGAGTCTGAGCCAGCCGTGGTGGGGACTACAGAAAGATCATCGATGGGGTCCGACCTGAAGAAATATTGTGGCTTTAGTTGCGGTATGTCGTCCCCGTCTTCAATTTCCCCGAAAGAGACACTCCGAGCCAAGTGGCAACTAGGTCCGTAGGTATGATGCATGTATGCCATTTCGATCTAGACTGTTTAGCATCACAGATGTTGATTGACAGATGTTCGCGTACGGTATAGGGATAGAGTCGCCGGTCTGCCAGCAAAGTAAAACACTCTAAGAGCGCTGGTATATAGCCAGATTAGGGACCAGTCTCGGTGCCAAAAATCACACAGTAATAGTAAAAGAGTAAGGACAGTAAAAGAAACCTTGCAGATTGCTAAGAGGAAATAGAGATGAGATTCCGGCGAGGATGGAGAGGGAGGGAGGCATGAAAGACGCGAGTATCGAAAGGCCACTGCTGCCACAAGCGTTACAAACAGATATGTTGCCTTCTGTTCCGGCAAGTGCGAGGCTCGACGCACCCGATTTTCCTTCAGGCAACGACGAACTTGACGATAACCATCTCGTTCCAGGGCCACCCTCCCATCACGCTCACCTGCACCCAGGAACCTGAAAGGACAAAATATTCATGTGACACAATTATGTCATAGCTCAAGCCACGCATCACAAGCCACATGGAAGCTCCGTGTACCTAGGTAGCTGGTCCTAAATTACTGACCTTCTCACTTAATAGTGATTATTAGATATTAACAAACTAAAGGGACAGGTACCAGACGCAGAAACATGTGTAACGACAACTATCAGAAGACGTTTCTGTTTCTGCCGCTCTATACCAAATGACATAAAGCAGCATGTTTGTTGTGTATCTGACACTACAAGACTTCTTCTCTATCGATTGTTTTGTGTTGTATTGCTCTATAGATACAGCATCTAGCTAATTACTTGTAAGAAACCAGCCGTACAGTTGTTTCCATGTTGCCAGTAGAAGAGCGCCGTCTTTTTTGGGGGTTTCGTGTATTTTTGATTTGATTGCTGCAAACTCAACACCTCGTTTGTAATCAATCCTCTTGTGCAAAAGTCTGCTCTTGCCCTACGAAAATTGGCAATGCGACATCAGAACGAGATATTTGATTTATCCATTTTCAACAACAAACAACAATAGAAGGAATTGGTGATATACAATCTTTAAGCTATGGTGAGCTCAGTACCACGCCCATATACCAGTTCGAGACCCATGGCGATCTTCTAAATTGTGGTGACAAACAGCAACTTGCAAGACAGGACTGTCAAAGTTCTCAAGGTAGCTAGTCGTGGCCACCACCTAACTGCACCATCTATTCCCGTCAGAGACCAAGTTCACATTATCATAAGGATGGGTATAATGCTACCTGTCTGGTTGTACCATGTATTCAGGAGTAATACTAAAAGCGGAATCGTTACTTGGCTGGCTCAAGTATGCTTCTTGCTGCACTTCATTCTTCATTCTCGGAAATTTGCTTTCGAGGTTTTCGATATTGAGCATAACCGAATCTACTGCACCAAGGACTTCCAGGATTTGTTTTACGTCGTGGATCAACTTCCAGAGGATAAAGTCACCATCGCAATACGTGTGGAACGTCATCTGCTTAGCGATCGCTGCCCAGCTGGAAAGCACAGCATTGACTTTGACCTCATCGCTTGCATGCTCCCCATGGAATCGGAATGCGCGTTGGTTGCTGGCAATGAATTCTTGCTGCGTTGCTTGATCATACATGAATTCTTTAACAGTAGGATGTGTGCCCCTCCACTTATTGATGACTTTGTTCCACGCCTCAGGCGATATGCGCGCTCCCTTCAACTGCGCCAGTAAGAAGGCATTTGCGGTTTGATGTAGATAAAATTCGAGCTCCATATATATCACTGCTTGATCTTTTGGAAGAAGCGATATCTTGAGCTGAGTTGTCTCGACAGGGTTTTCATTTCTTCTGCGATTGCTACTCTTAGGAGTCAAATCCACCTTTTCTTTCTGCCAGAAGTTAACACTGCTTACGCGATAATTGGACCGATCATAGTCGACTTACAAATCCACCTATCTTGTTTTTTAACATGTTGATCATGCCGCTTTTCTTTTGTTGGTCAGAAGAGCTTGTATTTGTCCGTGAACGGGTGCTCTTCTGCCAATCGGTTGCCTCTGACTCCCGTTCACCAGGAACTCTCATTTCCTCTCCAAATAACCCTTGCTTTCCCCACAACTCCTTCCTCCACGGCGACGGAGTGTCCGATGCAAAAAATCTCTTAACTGGCGACCGGGACCTTTTTGGTGGGTTCGCGTGGGGGCTAGGTGTCTCAAGTGGGAACCTAACATGACAATCTGCAGTTCGACCTCTAGCATAGGTATCGTGCTCGTAAGCATAATTTACGCTGTTGTTCGGCGATTGATAAATGTAACGCTCCTTATGGGAATTTGTTGACCCTAAGTCGTGGCTATGTCCCCGAGACAGTACGTTTGAGGACTGATGTGATTGAGTCGAAGAAGATGAGTAGGTTTCTCTGCAATTGTGACCAGAACGCTCTGAACAATCGTGGGAGCTACATTCTACGTTTTGCCGGCCACGTTGTGGACCTACCGACTCAGACATACCACGAAGCTGACGAGCCGATGCACCTCGAGAACCGTACTCGTCTACAAAGTTTGGTAAATTGGGGGACTGATCCATGCTCTCCCATCCTGTAGATCTCATACATCCTATTTGAGGAGAAGAACCGCTTCTTTGAAGTCTGGCTGGATGTGAACCTTGCGGTTGGTATACCAACGGACGTAATAGCTCACCCATGTCGCGAGCATTGCCGGCAGAGCGAGCATTCTTAATATGACCTATTCGAGGAGTCGGGAAGAAAAGTGGTGGGCTTTCGCGTTTTGTTGCAAGCTCACTCATTTGGGCCCATTCTTCCACGTCAAGAATCTCTGGAGTCTCCGGCTCAAATTCGTAACGGTTACCACGTCGGGTGATCTTGACAGCCTGAACAGGACTTTCGCGTCTTGTTGTGAGCACACTCGTGTGAGAATGTTCTTCCACTTGAAGAATATCTGGAGTGTCCGGCTCAAATTCGTACCGATTATCATGACGGGTGATCTTGACAGCATGAGCGGGACTTTGATGGTCAGTACGAAATTCCTAGAAGGCAGGAGGGGAGGTAAACCTACGAATTGAATAGTCCTTGTCCACCCATTCTAGCGGCGAAAAGATCTGCTCTCCTTTTGTTGACATCCACGAAGTCACCCGTGATAGCTGAAGAAGAATCAGAAAGATATTCGCCCTTTATATCCGAGACAGTTGAATGTGTTGTATCGATGGATAGCGCGTCTCTAGTAGAGGAGCTAGACATATGGGTCGTTGCACATTCTGAGCGCGCACTGAGCGAGTTATTGCCTGATGTCACCGCAGCTTGTCTTCCTTTGCGGACATCCATTTTGTCATGCGAGGATCCCGAGTGGGTATTCCTGGAGCTTGATGATGTTCGTGGTTGAAAATTCAAGGCGTGTGTTTCTCCTTCATGGGATCTGCCAGCTTGTTGTTCGGGTCGCTCAACTTGGGTGCTAGATTTCTTCCTTAAATGTAGAGGTTTGGGCTTCGTGTCCCAGTGCCATGGGAAATTTTTACCGTCCGTTTCCATTGGAGGAGTATATTGCTTGTTGCTGAAAAGCAATTGTAGAGTATGTATCGTTGCAGTTGGTATTGTTGTTCTTAGTAGTATTGTCGCTAAGAAATAATTTTGTTTACATAGTTACCTAGGTATTGACTTTTGTTTTAGCCGACCTTCTACATTCACCATCAGCTTTGGTGTATGACAGACTGAAGCTGCACGGAAGACAAAAGCATATTTTCCACAAAACTCTGCCAACTTGATCCAACAAATTGCTTTGTTCATCTGACCTTTACAAAACAAGTACCATGGCTTCACCTTTCGCGAGGCGATGATGCGGCTCTGTGCCCACTCTACAGCAGACTGGTGATTCCATCGTATCCTGAATAAACGAGTTCTGACAGCTGTTACTATACCACTGGACGCGCATCACGGCTCGTCTGGCCGAATTGTCGCTTGATACACCACCAAACAGAATATTTACAGTAACTTCTCATGTTGTTGACTCTCCTACAACCCTAGGCCCGTGTTTTGGGGGGTGTTGGCTAGCAATTCGAGAAGGGTGAACGAATACGCCGAGCTGAACTTTTGCCTTCAAGGGAAAAGAGGTTCGAGGCCTCCAACGACAAGAAAGTTATGGTCAACATGGTGCTTGATAGTCACAAGCCAGTGGGAGGCTTCGATTCCAAATAAAGCAAAGTGATCTTTCCTTTCTCGGATTATCTGGCTACATGAGCACTGTGGCTAGTTAGCGTGGCATATGTCTAATTCTTCTGGCATAGCTGCTCATTCAATTGCGATCGCTGCGCAAAGAATAGAGCTGTGACGGGTTTTGGTACAAGATCTCGACTTGGTTCTTCGACGTTTACAGATGAGTCTGAGATGATGGCAATTGACAAGCAACCTTGAACACGCTTCCATGGACTAGGTAGTGAACTACGCCAGACACACACAGAACATTTGCATGGTATCAAGTACCCAAAGGAGAATGTTGCGAGTATGATGGAATCTAAAAGATGGTGTGAAGAAGGCACACTGATGGTAAGAAATTCTGAAGTGACGTTGGAAAATTACGGTGGCCGAATCATCAACCGACCGACTCTGCAGCCACATTTCGTTCGTTTCTGGACCCAGAACTCCTGCCCAGGTGGGTTTATCTACCGAGTCTACCTACCTGTAGGTTCGTTGAGCGCAATGGGCACCTCCCTCTCCGATGACCTGGTAACCTCCAACTTATTAGCCCAGCTATGCGCATTTGTCCAAACGGCTTCGAAAAAGGTTGAATAAGACCTCGGGAAGCTCCTACAAATCGAAGTGCTTGATCGAAGCGGCGGGTGGCTCAAGCTGGTTTAACAATAATGCCGTTTTTAGCATCCGCGTCTACTTTCCCCGCAGCGCGCGTCAAAGCCGAGAACCACTCCCGCTTGATGGACTGGTGAGTTGTGGATTTTTTGAAGCTAATGATCAGTTAAGTATGTCAGACGAAGCAAGGATGGCTGTCATAATGTTTCCGTGGTCAAATACCGTCGAAGTCTCCGAGTTTCGTCCAGAGCGAATGCTTCACATCGTCCAAGTATATCTTGGGTCATTATTCCTTTCTGCTCCTATTGCCGCGGCACCCATTGTTTGTCTCCGTCATACATCTGTGTTCACGCCGACCTTATAATATTCGATCTCTACCTGGAAGCAACTTTGCCCTCAGTAGCATACAGTCCCTCTCACAGCCATCATGGACAAAGACATGGAACCAAGTGAGCGCGTTGGAGATACACACAGCTTTTCTGCACCCTCCAGCAAATATGATATTGTGATAGTCGGTGCTGGACCTGTTGGTCTCTTGTTGTCAACATGCCTGGCAAGGTGGGGCTACAAAATCAGACACATCGACAACCGCCCGGAACCTACGAAGACTGGTCGTGCGGATGGCATACAGCCTCGGTCTCTGGATCTTCTACGAAATATGGGGCTGAAGCCAGATATTATGGCATTCGAACCGGCGAAAGTCTACGAAGTTGCTTTTTGGGATCCAATGTCGTCTGGTGATGGAATCCACAGAACTGGAACGTGGGCGAGCTGCCCAAGTTTCATTGACGCTCGTTACCCTTTCACTACCCTCTTGCATCAGGGTATGATAGAGCGCGTATTCATCCGGGACTTGAACAAAAATGGCGTGGACGTTCAAAGGCCCTGGACTATCAAAGGCTTCAAGACAGATGCAGAGGCAGACGCGGATTATCCAGTTGAGGTTGATCTGGAGCACGTGGATGGTATTGAGAAGGAGAAAGTACGAGCCAAGTATCTGTTTAGTGGGGAGGGCGCTCGCTCATTCGTGAGGGAGCAACTGAAAATCGGCATACAGCACAAAGATCCTATTGCACATGTATGGGGCGTGATGGATGGTGTCGTGAAAACGGACTTTCCGGATATCAAGGTAAGCTTGGGAACACCCTTTTCCCAGGACGATCAAAGGTTGACCTTTCTTGAATAGATGAAGTGTACTATCCATTCTGAGCATGGCTCGATAATGGTCATTCCAAGAGAGAACAATCTGGTTCGGCTTTACATTCAGATTGCTTCTTCCACAGATAAGGACTGGAACCCTCGTAAAACAGCTTCGGAAGAAGAAGTTCAGAATTCAGCAAAACGTATTTTGAAGCCTTACGAGATTGAGTGGGAAAGAGTCGAGTGGTACTCTGTCTATCCAATCGGTCAAGGGATCGCTGATAAATATACCTTAGACCACAGAGTCTTTATGGGCGGCGATGCTTGTCATACGCACAGTGTAAGTACTGCATTCTATACTGATGGATTCTTTCTAACGGTGTGTATACAGCCAAAAGCTGGCCAAGGAATGAATACAGCGTTTCTGGACGCACTCAATTTGGCCTGGAAGATTCATCACGTCGAAGCTGGTTTTGCTGATAGGTCGCTCCTTGAATCTTACGAGTCGGAGCGAAAATTAGTCGCTGAGAACTTGCTGAAGTTTGATGCAAAATATGCTGCCCTGTTCTCACAGCGGCCTCCTGCTGCAAAAGATGTTGCCGCTGCTACAGCCCAAAAAGATCGAAATTCGGAGGAAGAAGACAACCAATTCATTGCAACTTTCAAGGAGTCGTGCGAATTTACCAGTGGATACGGTGTGGCCTACAACCCAAACACTCTTAATTGGTCTCCTACACATCCAGCACAATCGAGTATTATCAACCCTAAAGGTCACAAACTTACGACTGGCAAAATCCTTCACAATTCTAATGTCACGCGAGTTGTGGATGCTAATGTTGTCCACTTGGAACAGGAGATTCCCTTGAATGGCTCGTATAGGATATACCTATTCGCTGGCAAACCCTCGAGAAGCCAGAAAGCACTTTCTGACTTTGCTACCAATTTGAACAAAAAATCCTCCTTCCTGACAACTTATCTCCGTCCTGATATCGGTTCGGTCTCTCACCATGAGAAGCACAATCCTCATAGTCACTTCTTCACATTCTGTACAATATTTGCTTCCAAGCGACCTGAGATTGAAATTTCGAGAGATGTTCCAGAAGTACTAGCAAGATATCGGGACCATGTGTATGCCGATGATATTTGGGATCATAAAGTCCCGGATGCAACGGCTGCAGCTCATGCAAAAATGGGCCTCGACCCTGAATCTGGTGGCGTAGTTGTCGTACGCCCAGATGGTTATGTTGGGATTGTGACGAGCCTGGTGGAAGGCGCCGGAACTGTAGACGCCTTGAACGCGTACTTCAACAGCTTCTGCTCAAAGAATATATCTGGGCACAAAGCGAATTTATGAGAGGCCCAGGACAAACATTGCTGGTGTACGTGCGTTGTTAGCTAGATTTACAGTAATCTTTCTTGGGAAATAGAAGTTGAACATTGATGTTGATTGATCTTGTCAGTTGAGCAATGATCAAAGCTGGTATTGCTTATTCTGTGCTTGTGATCTTGATTTGAATATCAAGTCTTCTTGTCCACATTCAAGCCCATCCCACCTAAAAGCTCTAAAGGTACAGTTCGTGTGGAGGCTCAAGATCGTCGATTTCTCCGCGTGCTCGAGTTTCTAGTACGTTCTAATCTACCGCGAGTGTAGCCACTATCAGAACCCTTGTTACTTTTAATTTCAATGGGATTACACCCTCTGTGTAACTTTGCTGAGGGAAACATAGCAAGCTTATTTGTGTAAAGGAACAGTCCCTTAATAAAGGTGAGTACTTCGTCACCATTCGGTAAATCGCAGCACTTATTGGGTGGATGTAGTAAAAGCTTGAAAGTGGGTCCCGCATCGCTAAAATGGGTTGGTCGATCGCTTCCGGTGACCTTGCAGCCATTGCTACGCAATCGATCTTACTTTGTTCCCGCAGACGACAAAGCCGCCAACTGTCAAACCCATTCTAATGCGCCCTCAAACCAAACCTGAAGTTCGATGGTTCGACAATTCGTCGGATTGCACACGAATAATTCGATGATGAACAGTCACAAACGGAAGGCAGAGCATCAACTATCACCTTCATCGGTTGATGAGTTCGAGGTATTATCATGCGCCCCTGTACTCCGCGTACTCTTGTACTGACGAAAGAGTTAGTCCGCGACCTGTGACGCTTTCTCTACGCCCATTATGGGCCTTGTGCAAAGTGTATTGTCTGGGTTGGGGCAGGGGCTTCGCAAGTCCTTCACTTGGTACCAGCCAACGCCATCTGGAGAAAGGTCTATCAACTTAGGCTGTGAGATTTGCTGATCATAAATACATACTACATGGTCTGACTAAATCTTAGCTCCCTCTCCAGGCGCCGGTCCTTCCTCGAATTCGAAAATTAATAGCTCGGCCGCTGTCAAGCGTCAAAAGGTACAAAGACACCATCCCAACAGACCACATTCAAACGTTCGCGCGCCGCGGGAAATGGGACTACCAATACTGGACTTGGATGAGGCGAGAGATGAGCTTGAGGCTGCGCAAATGATAAACAAGCTTTTCGAGCCACAGCCTTTTGGATTTTCAAGGAGGAGGTCGGCTGGATGCGAAGAAGAATCCCAACGAGCATATGGACAACGACAACAAGAGCAACAACAAGTACACGAGCGGCAAAGCCGATTTCGTAGATATTCTGGATCTCACCACCCCAGGTCGCCGGCAGCGCAGGCTTCTCCGCAAAGTTCCTTTGGCCAAAACGATAGACGAAGGCGAAAAACAGCGAGTAGCTCCGTCCCCCCAAGTACAGCTTCTGTACACCGAAACACTGCTGAAACCCCTGCTTTGCTGTCTGAAGATGACGAGTTGTCCAGACGTATGAAAGAACTCCTCGGCGAGGATAACAAGGCCGTGGATTCCAAAGATGGTATGAACATGTTTAGCCCATCTGAACGGATGCTCCAGAAGCGCATGAAGCGAGCAGAGGAGAGAAAGGCCAGGGAATTAGAAGCTGCGGTTCTGGCAGCGAAGCAGCGCCGACTCATGCGCCGATGGCCTCAGAAAGCCTTGGTGGCCCCCCTAGAACCGGAATGGGAGAGAAAGGTCGAACAAGTATTGTCTCGCCGAGGTGAAGTTATTGCGACAACAATGAAAGGGATCGAAATATACCAAGATTCTTTTGAACGTTTAATAAGGGCTCAGCAATGGCTGAACGATGAAACGATTAATACTTACCTTGAATGGGTTGTAAAAGCCGGGAACCAAGCAGCTGCGGATGATATGAGGATCACTGGCGAAGCTCCAAGTATGATCCCTAAATTCATCGCCCACAACAGTTTCTTTTACACTATTCTTCTCAAAGAGGGTCCCGCAAGATCGGAGAGAATCATGAAGAGGTTGAAGGTTCCAGGAATCTCGCTTCTGGAAGTGGACACTGTGTTTGTTCCTGTGAACAATGGATCTCATTGGACTTTAGGCGTTGTGCGCCCTATAGCAAGGACAATTGAGTATTTTGACAGTATGGGAGGAAGCCCGACGAAATTTGTCGGGGTGATGAAGGAGTGGCTGCAGACTGCTTTAGGTAAAGCCTATAAGGAATCGGAATGGTCGGTGCCTAGCACGAAAAGCGCAAGACAAACCAACGGCTACGATTGTGGAGTTTTCGTCTGCACAAACGCTTTTTGTGTTGCCTTTGGCCTAGACACTTCGTGCTATGAAGAAAAGGACATGACCCAACAACGTAAGAACATAGCGGCCGTTTTGATGAATAGAGGATTCGAGGGCCCGTTTGCCTGGGCGAAGGCAGGATTATAATTGTGAGCAAGGGGAGTGGCCGCGGAAAGAGTCTCTGGCGTTTTGGATGGCTGGTTGCGGACGATACCCAGAGTGTTTGATTTTTGACCTGTTTTAATTTGGAGGGGCATATTGAGGGGTATTGGAGGGACGATAGTCTCGCAGGAGGAAGTTTCTACCATTAGCCCAGCGTTGCATTCGTGTCATGGTTTTAACGTAGATTCACTAGACAACGAGCTTCGATAGAGCTTTTGATTCCACCCATTCAATCATGGATTTTTTATGCTTACAATCTGCCAACTCTGCTGATGTCTCGCGCTCGCTGCAGCTCGCCCCTTGCTCATTTTAGCCGGTGTCAACCCCACAGCTTCAGGGGGGCTTGCGCGGTCGGGATTCCAAGGTTCCCATTCCATTTCCCCAGCTTCGGCTTGGAAACATCACGACAGGAGCATCTTCAGCTGCTTACCTGTCTGCTCGGAGGGAGGACGGCGCATGTGCATTCTTATAATTCATCTCATCTATGAATACTACTACCCGAGCTGCATGGTTGGGATAACTCGTCGCTAAGCGGGCATGGCTTTCAAGAAAGCGAAGCAGCGAGTGTCATACGTGCTTCCACTTGCGAACTCTCCTGGAGGACACCGGCTGGGCGTCAATGGGTTAGCCGTGGATAGCGAGAACTCTATATTGTAATCGTTTTCTCTCTGTCTCTACACGCTTCGTGGACAAAGCTGACGAATTTGCTAGATATTCCGGCGGCAGAGACGGCGCGATATGCGCCTGGGACCTCAACCTCGATTTGAAAAGCTCAGCGACACCAGACGCCGAGAACCCCTTTGAATCGCCGGAAGATCCCCCTGAGGACGAGACGAAGAGATCCCACGGTTCGTCCTTTCGAGCACAGACTCAGGCGCATACACATTGGGTCAATGACATTGTTTTGGCGCAGAACAATGCTGCACTTGTATCAGCCTCTTCTGATTTGACCGTTCGAGTGTGGCGACCTCTTTCCAACGACTCTGAAGCGCCGCAGACGATTGGGCAGCATGCAGATTATGTCAAATGCTTGGCCACCCCAAACTCACAGGCAGACTGGGTTGCTTCAGGGGGGTTGGACAGGAAGATATGTCTGTGGGACCTCAATGGAGCCGGAAAGAAACTGGAGATTGAAGTCGGAGACGAAGAGAAAAGCGAGAAGGGGTCGGTCTATGCACTCAGTGCCAGCCGTAGCATACTTGCAAGTGGTGGCCCCGAGTCAATCGTCCGATTGTGGGACCCAAGATCTGGGAAGAGAGTGACGAAGTTCGTAGGGCATACTGACAATGTTCGGGACATACTTATAAATGAGACTGGCGACACTATCATGACTGCGAGTTCGGATCAAACGGTCAAGGTTTGGAGTGTCACAGCTGGCCGCTGTATGCATACCTTAACTATGCACAATGATAGTGTATGGTCACTTTACTCTGAAGATCCGTCACTCGGAATATTCTATAGTAGCGATCGAGCTGGACTTGTCGTCAAGACGGACGTTAGAGGAACGCTTGGGGAGCTGGACGATGGCCTTTCTCTTGCTGTTGCGCAAGAGAACGACGGCGTGGGCAAGGTGATTGCCCATGGGGATTACATATGGACCGCAACGTCAAGCTCATCTATAAATCGATGGGCCAACGTAGACACCGGCTCAGATATTCAACTCCCGGAGGCATATAGACGGCATCGAGCATCAAGTGTGGCATCACGGCCCAGGCAACTTTCAACTACAACTACGACCAACGGAGCGTCCAAGAAAGAAATACCAGCGCAATCTATATTGAGAATTTCCAACACAGCAAGTTTTCCATCCGCAATGTCTCGGGAAACAGATTCCGCAACAGCAATATCTGCATTTGGCGCTGCAAGGAAGGGCTCCGAGGCCATTGTTGACCCCGACATCGGTGTTATTGTTCCAATCCATGCGTTGCCGGAAGAGACCATCGAGGGACAGCATGGTCTAGTGAAGCACAAGCTACTGAATGATCGTAGAAGAGCCCTTACCCTCGACACGGCTGGGGATGTATTGCTATGGGACTTGTTAGGGGTAAGCTCACCACTATCTCTCCTTGGATGGCCTTGATTAACGGAAATAGTGCATTCCAATCCAATCATTTGGAAAGCGACATCTTGAGGATGTAGAACCGGAGGTAAACACGATGGAAGCAGTCGCACCGTGGTGCTCCATAGACACACGCACTGGTCGACTAGCGGTGGTACTGGAAGAGTACAACTGTTTCGATGCCGAGATGTACGCGGACGAGCTCACACTCGAAGAGCCCGTCGACTTTCGTGATGATCAGCGAAGTAAGCATGCAACAGAACTTCATAGGGATTTCTTCAGCCACAAAATACCATCTCACTAACTCAATACAGTCAACCTTGGGAAATGGGTGCTACGGCACATATTTTCAAATCTCATTGATGAGCTGATCAAGAGAGACGAATTTTACAGGAAAAAACTCAACGACAACCTCAAAAAGCCGATTCACAGACCTGGGGCACCTAGCTCAATTCAAATCCCGACGAACACTACCGGATGGCAGGACACCACACCGAATGCGACCCCAAGAGGCAATGGCCAGTCTTACCCCATGACTCCGGGAATGGGTATTGGAGTCGCTACGCCAGCCGTGTCTAGTCACTTACCCGGAGTTCCTGAAGATGGAGCTCCTCTTGACAAAAGGGCCTCTCAGGCTAGCCGCTCTTCTGCAGACTACTTCTCAAGTACCCCTATTGCAACAGATCCCAAGACGGTAGCTACTCCTGGCGAGAAAAGCGAAGATAACCAACCTAAATCGCCTTCCGATGCAGACAAAGAGACGAATGGTAAAGACGTGAACACTTTGTTTGGAAAGAAATTTCGAATGGGCATGTCCTTTGGAAGCAAGAAGTTGGGCCGTTCAGCATCGACAAACACAGAGAAACCTGTCGTGGTTGACGAAAAAACCGAGGACGGCTCCGAAAGTTCGGAGAACGGCGAGAAAGAGAAAGAGGTCGATGACAGCTTTTTTGGAGTTGTCCAGAAGATCAGAAATGATTATGAGAAGGCTCTTATCGACAACCCCGAACAGCCCGTAGAGACCGGGATTACACCTAGCCTTCCAAATGAGACACCCGTATTGAAACCTCCACCACTGACAACCGTTATCATTCAGGAGGAAACTTCCGGTGGAAGCGCAGACTTGTACCGTGGGACTGTTGCGACGGTCGGTGAAGATGCAAGTATCATTGAGCAAAGGGCACCCATGTGGTTAGGAGACCTTCTTCTTCGAGTGAGTAAAACACAATGCAACGAGGAAAGAGAATCTGACATTACACAGAATCGAATACCAATCAAGGAGCCGGTCAAGGTTTCTTTCATCTTACAGCCTTGGCAGGACCAGCTACCTAGCATTGCTGGCCCTGACGGCAATTCCCGCCTCAATGCCAACCGAATGCTTCGCGTGAAGAAGATCCTAGCCTATGTTGCTGAGCGTATTGAACCGGCTCCAGAGGTACCAGATCCGAACGCATTAAGTCCAGAGGAATATCTAGAACTCTACTGTTATGACCAAGTAAGTCTGTTAGCCTCAAATATGAATACTACATCTAATACCAGCTAGAAACTTCCAATAACAATGAGTCTTGCGACCCTTCGGGCTCATGTCTGGAAAGGGGGAGCAGACGTGATGTTGTACTATAAAAGCAATGGCCGGAAAACTATATTGACTAAAGGCAATGAAACCGTGGCAGCGGATGCCACTGCTCAGACCGCCGAGGGTACATCATAATAGTGGTCCTAAATAGCGTTATACATAATCAAGAACATCTCGAGGCAATTCCGTACCTTATTTCCGAGTCATTCCCAATCATCTACCTGGCTTTGTGGTGCAGCTGTTAGACAACACGACAATCACACCAACATCACTATTAACAAGCAGTAAGGCCTCCGTAGGTCTTCCTGGCCCGTTTGTTTTGTTGGCCATGATAGATCGGTAAAGCTGTCACAGCGCGTTCATATTGTAAGGAACTTATTTATATGGTGCTTTGCCATTGCGTTATGTACTATGTATATTTACAAGTATAACTACATATTAAGTGAAGGTTATCATAGGATAACATCGACTGACAGAGCTATATCGCTCCTTTCCTTACGCATGAGAAGTGTTTGGAAGCCAATGGCCATCCACGATCCCACATACATGGATTGGTACCCAACCGAAACTGGAAGAAAATTATGGTATTACAATGGACGCCCATGTCTCTTTTCTGTCAGTGTATTTGCGGCCCACTGGTATGAACCCAGGAATATGGCACCCCCAATACTGATCCACATAATTCTAGGTCCGATTCCGGCAAAGAAAGCTTTGTATCCATGATCCTTCAGTATCTGATTAAGCATAGTGAAGAATGGTGTTTTTTCCTGCGCTAACATCATTCTCGTCTTCAAAACATCTAAAGGCGTCGTAAATCCTGCAGCAACAGCTCCAGCAACACTTCCAAGAACTCCGCTCTCTAAGGCGTTAATCTCCTCTCTACCGGATTTTCTGCGTCTGTACTCCTTCATAGCCTCCCATAGTGGAAATTGTATGACCGTAAATGGCACCTCTCTCATGATCGTGACCGACCAGCCTCTGTACATCTGTCCCCAAACCCCCGAAACCCCTATGGTTTTATGCTGTGCTAGGATAGCCTGAAGAGCAGATAAAGAAGTCGGATGTTGCCCAGCTTGAGTTCTTGTCTTCACCACTTCTGTGGGAACCCTCACGGCGCAAGCCGCTACCTCCCCCAAACTCGCCGCCACCATATGCTCAATAGGCGCCTCCCAGTCACTCGGTCCGCCTTCAGTTATCTCTTTCGCATGTCTTCGCGCAGAGAGAAATCCTTTCGTATAATCATATGTTACAAAAAAGAGAGCAGCACCGGGCGCCGACCCAATTATGTTGGCGCCTACTCCACGGTAGCAGCCTTTGAGCCCGCCATTCCCTAGGAATCCACCGGGCGCTTGGGATCGTGTCTTTATGGTGTCGATTGGGAAAAGAGCAAGGTCTACAGCTGTTCCTGCGAATGCGCCGGCGAGGAGGGAGGTTGTGAAGGTGGGGCGAGGAGGTTGTGGGTTGGTTGCCATGTCGGCCTAGAGCCAGCGCGATGAAATATTACGGACAAATAGAAGAAATCAAACCAAAGAAATCCCGTTAGTTGCGTGGCCGCAGCCGTGATATGGATGTGGAAGACATTCTGTGTTTTTGCATAAGCTTGTTGAAGCCCGAGCTCATGTTTTTATTGACTCCATATTTTGTCCCAAGCTCCGACAGAGTCACCTACGAGTACGATATTTAGGACGAAAAGGGTACTGCAGCACGTGAATGATCCCGAAGACTGACCACAACCTTACAACCTCACAACCCACCAACGAAAAATGTAATGACATTCAATCACATATCGAAAGCCACAGCTCTAGCAAATCCTGTGACCCTGCGCGAGTTCGCTGTCGCTCTGTCGAAAACATGGGGGACAACCAACAAGGCCAATCCCTCCAGGACGATCGGTATGTGGTCTGTTGATGAATGTCTCGACATGTAATTCTAATGGCCGAATGCAGGGCTTGCCATAAGCGGAGGAGTTGATTCAATGGCTCTTGCTGCATTATGTTTGAAAGTCAAGTCTTCCGCTTCGGTTCCAAGTCAAATGCAATTTCGAGCGTTTGTTATTGATCACGCTGCACGCCCCTCGAGTAGCGAAGAGGCGATACAGGTTGTTCAGGTGTTGGAACAAAAAGGTTAGAGCAGACTTGAATAAATCCCAACGCGGTTGTTAATCGTCGTAGGCATTCCCGGGCAGGTCCTAAATGTAGCTTGGGAAGGTCAGCTGAAACCATCCGAGCTATCAAATTTCGAGTCGCTTGCCAGAAAACATCGATACCAGCTATTGGGGAAAGCATGCAAGCAGCACGGCATTACGTCTTTACTCGTAGCCCATCATCAAGATGACCAAGCTGAGACGGTATTGATGAGGATACTCGCGGGCCAACGTGGACCTGCGCTTCAGGGCATCAAAGGTGAAAACGGAATTCCAGAATGCTATGGTCTCCATGGAATCTGGGAAAGTGGTGAAATCTCTACGACCACATTTGGGTCAGTTGAAGATACAGGCCAGTTGCAAATAGAGACCGGTGGCATAAGGATACAGCGCCCTCTGCTTGGGTTCAGTAAGGATCGTTTAATCGCTACATGCGAGGCTGAAGATATGACCTGGTTCGAAGATCAATCAAACCAAGATCCAACCCTTACTACCAGAAATGCGATAAGGCATCTTTATAGGGTTAACAAGGTGCCTTCTGCATTATCAAAAGATAGGCTTCTCCATCTGACTGAAAGGTGCCACGCTGCGGCCACGCTACGTGATGGCTTAAAGAAGCATTATCTTGCCAAGTGTGAAGTGACACGCTTCGCAAGTAGGAGTGGGACAATAATTATCAAGTTCTCAGACCTCAATGACCACGATCTAATGCTAGCGGCGACCCTTCTCCGTCACATCATCATGTTGATCACGCCAGAAGAGCACGTCTCGGTCTCAAGCCTCCATGGAGCCGTAAAACATGTTTTCGATCAGCGTGATGCAGGGCAAAGTACGGCTTCGGCGATTAGGTTTAATGTTGCAGGTGTCCTTTTCGAGTCACTTAAAGAAGATATTACGCTAAACAATTACACCGAAGTACCAAAACGGACTCCTCAGAGCAGATGGCTTATCTGCCGACAAACCTACCTGTCATCTGTACCGAAACCTTCATTCAGCGTAGCGCCGTGTCCCCCACAGGAGACTGTGTGGTCAGATTGGCAATTATGGGATGGTAGGTACTGGATACGTCTAGTCCATCATTTCGGAAAACCGCTTGTTATTAGACCGTTTTCCCCAGGAGACGTCGCGAAATTCCGCAGATCTCTTTCATTGGCCGGTGCCAAAAACCTCAGACGATACTTTGCTACCATTGCCAAGGGGGCAATACGTTATACACTGCCTTGTATCGTAGCTGAAGACAATGGTGAAGAAACTGTTGTCGGCCTTCCATCGTTAGATTTATATTCTTCAAGCGCGCCGATGAAGTGTCAAATTAGATACAAGAAGATTTATCTAGATGGCTTGTCGCTCCAGACCGGTCAGGAAAAGTCACAACCTGTCAAGGACGGCTAAAGTGTCTCCAAACCTAAATTCTATGGAGGGCAGTAGAATAAAGCACGTTTCAGTGGATATCCTTGGTTTCTCAAACTTGAGCTTCCGGATTTTTCGAGGAATTATCGAGTTCAACATTGAGTATAGACATGTAGACTTATAAGTCATATGTAAAGTTAGTGGTGTAAAATAATCAGTTGTTCAATATCCCGTACTCGTTAGGAAGAAAACCAAACGTGAAAGGTCGTTCATTGCGTTCAAAAGTCATCTAGTGAACTCGAGATAAATATACTCATGATAGCGTGATCGACTAGCCAATTACCAATTTTTTTTTTATTAATTTTACATACATTATAAGCTGTTGTGTTGTATCTTTGGTTGCAGTCAAGAGGTGTTTTAATGCTCATACCTGAATTATCGATGTCGTGCGTACTTTGGATTTTTCCTCCAGCCCAATAATGTTTGAAAGTAGTCTCGGCCTTCACTTATTATCTAGTAAGATTGAAATACCTCTGTTATCGTATTTTGGAAGTACTTAAAGATTCGGATTATCCCCTGTACAGGCAAGTTTTATTCATAGACAAGCAGTAATGCAACAAAACCAACCCCCAAAAGGACATATAACCTTGGAATTAGAGAACTTCTACTTGTATTTAATTCTCGCGCAAAATGTCAAAACCAGTAGTCTTCCTACAGCGTTAGCCCTACAGATGAAAACTCGTCGCATCTCAAGCGTGACGAATTGTACCTCGCTTAACACCATCTTCGAACTTTTAGCTAGAATGATATCCAAAAGAAAAGCAAAAAATTGTTCGAAGTTGAATGACAGTTAGCTGTCACCCGCAGATTTGCGGCTTCTGTGGATCGAACACAGTGCCTCCAGATGATCGTGTAATTCCGAAGTTGACTTCAGTCTGGCGCTCTCCCAAGTGAGCTAAAGCCGCTGATTGGTTGACAAAACCGCTTTGTTTCAAAATATATACATCAAACCATTAAGTCCCCCACACAATCTCAACGGATCGGGGTCGTATTCAAATTCAAGATGTTGATCGAATTGGGCAATCAATATATTTATTGTTAAGTATGTGGTTTATGATGGCAAATACTATATTGGTAAAACTTTAGCTGCATGCTCGACGTACATATCCAAGAAAGGGTTGTTAAGCTGGTATTTGGAATTCCCAAATGCACGCTTGGGTATCCTGCTGAAGCATATGATCAATCTCTGCTTATGAACGCGCAGGCAGCGTGTTCGCACTTTCTCTAGATTGTGAGAATGCTCTACGCTATTGACCCAAAACAGAAAAGCCAAAACAGAAAAGCCAAAACAGAAAAGCCAAAACAGAAAAGCTGTTGCATCAACGTCTCAGACCATCCTTATCTTCTAATATGGTCAATGATAAGAGGACCACTTTACGACCGAAGTTTACAGTTTCGTAATCACATCTCTAGACGAGTCACTCAGCCTACGTGACAAAGTTATGTCACTTCCGAATCCATTACCACCATCTGGACCACCAGTTGATGCCAACCCAGGACTAACCCCAAACCTCCTTTGATTCTCTTGCATACGAAACCTCATCAGCCATCGGACATGCATACAAGTGACTTGCTGTGTGCTTCTCAACTCGGCAAGTTCGTTCTTGATAGGCAATGTCTCATTAAAGAGCATCATCGTGTTCTTCCCCTGAAAATCGGACAGCTCGGCTGAAAGATGGCTGAGCCGACTTTGTTGGGTCTCTAGCAATGAAAGTAGGTAGTCATGTCCGGAATCCAAAGAATCTGTAGAGGCTGCCTCCGGCATACTAGCAAGAGATAGATCCATCAAATCCATAGGTCGATCAGAAGCTCGCTGTCCACTCTCGAGAAACTTAATGCGTCGTTCCTGAAGTTGGTTTGTCTCCGTCAAATTCCGTACATCGTCTCGCAGACTACTAATCTCGACTTTCAACATCTCAGCCATAGGCCCTATGGATTTGAAGTGGCAGTCATCAGCATGTAAATAAAGGTCCCTCCGTTTTGATTCATGTTGACAGCCATATTGCGCCCATTTGCATATCTGTAAGACATCTGGACATTCTGCTTTATGCTCAATTTCCTCACACCGCAGGATTTCGACTTCGCAATAGTCACAAAGCTTTGTCCTATCTCTACACAGGGTCTGTCGATGAGACTCCATCTCGATCTGCTCCAATGTCTCGTAGCAATCTGGACACTGCGCTGGGTAGTGAAGACACTGCTGAGTAGAAAGCCTCCTCTTTACCACTTGAGTGCATCCTTGCTCAGAAAGTGACCCGGGACACCTCACCATGGCTTCTAGGCAGTACTTTTCTAGGTGGTTTTCGAGGATGGCTCTTGCAAAAATGTTGCCGCAACAAGGACATTTTGCTTTCAGGGCATCAAGCTGATTGAAGACCATTTTGGGCGCCCTCGCTATCGTTGCTTGGGATAAGGGTAAACGGTCGACCGGACACAGCTCGCCATGCGACAGTGCATCATCGATACACGCACGGCAAAAAACATGATCACAATCTGTCAAGACAGGATCTACGAATGGACATCGACATATCGGACACACCAAGTTCTCATCCACGGTGCCCCCATATGTAATCGCTCTGAGGTCGACTGTATGACGGAGATTTAGAGTGGAGATTTTGTGGATAGAAGAAATAGATGCACCAAGTGCCGTCTCTGTCGTGCCACCGGACAGGTTGTCGAGATCTGTATGGAAGGTGTAGGCCTGTGAGGGGTCGGACAGATGTGAGCCTCGAGAAAGTAAACTATCAGGTTGTGACGGGGTATCCATCGCTGTGAATGACTTAAGAGTTGCTGATTCGTGAAGTCGCGGTTGGAACCCAACTGGGCAGAAAATATAACTGTATGAGTGAGTGAGGACTGAAGTGCGCCGAGGGTCAACAAGTGTCTCCCGTCACTGCTCAAGTCGTTGCCACCCTGAGAAGAGAACGTATCGAAACCATAAAGTCTTTGATTCAGACCCGGGTGTTGTCACTAGGATCACCATTGACAGTGCGAAATATGTGAACAAGGAAAAGTCATGAGGCATATAAGGAAGGTATGGGAGAATGGTGTTGTAGGTATTCAAACTCTTCGAGTCGGCTTCGGCTCAGGCACATTCGTTAATGGTGTCAACGGCCACCGTACTGGCCGGTGCACTTATTGGCAGATTCACGTAGGCGGAAGCATGAGAGACATTCCGCTGCGCCGTTCCGCTGACGTTGAAAGAGGTTCAGAACAACCTGGAAGTCGTAGGCCAACTTCTACGAGTAGCAACTGCCGAATAGAACGTGTTCTGTGATTCTTGACCGCAGGCCTAGGAAAGCTCTCTTGAATGAGAATACGACAGCCACCATTTGACATACCACTCTTAGCTTCCCCCGCGCCTGTTCAGAGGGCTGGCTGCAATACCTATACTCGCGGCCATGGCGAATCCCAACCAATACTTCCTGCTGGCAGACCACATTAAGCTGTCCCTGCTAGAAAGGCAGAGGGCCATATCGCTCAAACTTGAACCTACATCTCAGGATGGACATATATCACGCTCACTTGATTCATTACGAGATGGTCTCGAGAAAGTCACAAAGGAAAGGGTCCGGTTGGAAGAGGCAGGAGAAACCTCGTAAGAAACTCCTTGCCAGAGGCATTGCTACATAACTGACATGTGAGCTCAGGGCGAGTCTCACTCTCTCAGAAACAGAGCACGAATTACGAACACAATACGATGACCTAGCGTCACAATTCCACGGACATCCTTCCAGCACAACTTCATCCACAATCACTCACCCCAACAACCCATCTTTGTCGGACGACTTTGCCCGAGCCACAGAACGACCGCGAGTGACGTCCTCATCATCCTTCCTCAAGAAGTCATTGCGCGGTGTGGCCAGTCCAGCTACCAATTCCCCGAAATCAGTACGATTCTCTGATGCGCCCCATGTTCAAGAAGAAGAAGATGCCCGAAACAACCTCTTTCCTTACCGCGACGACCCAGAACAAGGACTGCCAGATCAAACCAACTTAGACAACCAGCAGATCCACGCCTATCATTCCCAAGTAATCCGAGAACAGGATGATGCGCTAGACAGACTGGGCGAGTCTATAAGCAGACAACGGGAATTGAGCATCCAGATAGGTGATGAGTTGGAGGAACAAGTCCAAATGCTTGATGAATCCGATAATCTGGTGGATAGACATACAAATACTCTAGATAAGGCACGAAAGAACCTAGGCACGGTCGCACGGAAGGCGAAGGATAACATGCAATTAACGATAATTGCCATTTTGATCATAATATTAGTTCTACTTATTATTATTCTGAAATAGAGGAGAGAAGGGCGGAGCGGGGTTGGCTGTATATTTGATTTGGATTGCATTTCACGGGCGTTTCGGTCAGTGTGGCGGCATAGTTGGGACCACTGTAAATATCCTGTTGGTAGTGAGAATGATCGATATCTTCCCGTAGACGGGCGTGCTGCGGGAGTTCCAAACAGCAATAATAACCATCTGTGAAAAGATCTCGAGCACTTACTTGCACATGATGATGTGAATCAGACCGAGATTCATGGACTTTCTCAATAATAGTGCCTCTAAGAGCATTCGAAAGCTTGTACGAGCCTTTTATATTCACGACCGGAGGGCTCTTTGGACCAACAACAATACGCTAGGAAGATTGGAACGCGGAAAGGACCGGTTCACATTATCATACACCACTTCTTGGTAATTCCCTCATATCCCTGATTCCTTCACAGAGTATCACTTTGGCTCGTTCCAGTCCTTTCCCCACATGTCAGCCTCCATAATCTCGCAGGCCAACTTGTTCGACCACCTACTTGTGTTTTTCGGCAGCATGATGTTGTGTTCTTTTCTGCAATTCCTCGGGAGATTCATCCTTGTTGTTCCTATCGGCTGCGATCTATTACCGGTCAGTCAGTGAGTGATTCCTGTAGTTTGGGAATCCCTCGAGTTGGAAATGATTGGCCCGAAGAGCACCGAAAGAGAGATATCTGTTATGAATAGGGGCACACATACAGCTTCCTCGCTGTTAGAGGCCAACTCGGGCTTCCAATGACCCTTTCCTTCCTTTTGCTTCTTCAATTGATCTTGCTTGTGGTGCTCATTGGCGGCGCCTTGATCATCATTGTCTGTAAGCCCTTGTTAGCACTTCCGTCCTTCTACTCGGGTGTTTTATGTTTTTCTCAAGAGAACACGGAAGGGTAGCACATACGTCGGTCATCCTCCTTCAACATTCGCGCACTGCTCACTGTGAAGGCTCTGGACTGGACGGCCATACGCTGGCTCGCAGCCAAGGAACGAGGAAGGGTACGAGTTAAGAAAGACATGTTTTCGTGGTTGTCGGGAAGGCTTCAACTACATATCTCAGTTAGCTGCTTCCCTAGTAGGGACGGATGTAAATCCCTCCGTTGCATCTGTTCCTGTACGTACCTATTGTATTGACAATTTTGAGCTTGAACGAGATTTATGTAGGATGCCAACAAGTGAAAACTGAGGTTGAAGATGGGCTAGCCAAGGACCATGAGCTATTTGGTCATCAAACAAAGTTGTCGCTAATTTTTGCTTGCCCGAGGTCATTGGGGTTGGAGATCCAGGTACGTGACCTCGGAAGAATGTCCCATAAGAAATGACGACGTCATCATGGGTATCCCCTTTCGCCCATCATCATCCCACCGACAAGAGGCAACCGATTGTTGTGCACTGCGTGCACTCCGGATTGACCCGCGCTACAATATTGTGAATGCAGTACTGGCATGTTGTACGGTTGAGGGAATCGACGCTCACTCCTTAGCAAAGATGCATCTCATGGAAATGATCAATAAGTATGTTTTCGTAGGATTAAACATCCGCCTCTAACGGCAGTCACGTCAAATGACCAACAGGAGAGGAGGATGCGGCTCCTTTGAAACATCCCGTACGTGGTGCACAACTGTCAAACAGGCATGACGAACAAGCCCATAAGTTTTAAGCGCTTCCTTAATTCCGTACGATGGGTTCGAGGTTGGAGTCAAATGTGGTGGAAGTTGTGTCACCGAAGCGTCGCCTCGTACAGGGTCCGACGATCAATATTAGTGTGATACGGACCATACAGGACTCTTGACTTCGTGAGTAACTGAAAAGAGTATCCTCAATCATTACAACAACATTGCTAGGACCGTCATTAATCACAGGTCTCGAGTTCTGGTCCGTCCGACTTAAGAAAAGCTCATTTTGTAGCCATTAAGATCGAGGTCAGTCATCATCATAGCTAGCTTTAGATATGTTAGGAATTACAATTGAATTTGTATTTTTGCTACTAGACTACGCCGAGCATTATTTGATTCTTGAACCACCAAAGCTCCCGTCGATGTTCCCTTCCGATCCGATATATATATGCATAGCCATGACTGTGTACTTAAATGGAAGAGGTTGCAGATAGAGACACGAAGGTCCAAAAACCAATAAAGCCCAACCCCATCTTTGCAGACATATATCATCAATATCCCGACCTGATATAATACGACACCGACAGATTAATCCAACAAACGCTCCAGTCAAATCGCCCGTTTGACCTAAATGACAAAACACCAGTAGAAGCGCTCATCATACAAAAGGCGCAATCTTCGTTCAGACCAACACCATGACCAACCGACCCAGCTATATCGAGCATAACAAAAAGATATTGAGAAGAAATCTTTGCCCCAGTAAATACCGTAAGAACACCAGCTTAACCACATCTCAGAATAAATGAAATCGTCGTCTATATGACCCGGTAATATATATCGTTTTTCGTTGGAATCCGTGAGGAAGACGCCGCTTCCTGTTCCACCCAAATGCAATGCGAGTAAATAAACACCAAAACAAAATTATGCAGTGCGCGCTCTGAACCAAGTCATCAACGTGAAAGAAACACCGGGTATCGAGATCTCCGAGTCGCGCCATTTTATTCTCAAGAATCGGGAAGGTAGGTTGTCGAAGATTTATACAAAGAATTCGTTGAGGTGAGGGGGGTTGTCGAAGCCAAGACCGGTGGCCATCAGGTATGATGACATGAACAAGAGTGCGTATAACAATTAGGGTGATGAAGGTGTAAGATTAACTCGTGCGAACTGGGTAAAACAGGAAGCAGAGACATCTACCAACGGCGACCCATTTGTTGAAGAGCACGACCTGGACTCACGGATTGTGGTGGGCTGGACATGCTAATTCCCGTACTCGGGTTGACGATCGGGATGGCATTACGGATGCGAGTAGCTGCCGGCTGATGCAGCTTCAAAGGGGTGGGCTGGCTCTGATAAGAAGGTATGTACGGGTTCGAGTTGGAGTTGAGAGAGAAACCGGTGTCGGGTGCCACTTGATGTGTTTGGGGGCTGGACTCTGGGGATCCGCTCGACAGAGATGAGCGGTCAGAGGACGACGAGTGGATCGAGATCATATCCGTCTCGGTGAGTAAATTTGGACAGAACTCCAAGTCGTCGTCGAGGTCGAACGATCTTCCGGCTTCGAAGCGTTGACGGTAGTTGGTTAACACCACAGCCTCCTCTTCTTTCCTCACCGTCCGGAATTGCTTGTGTGGATTCTGCGACAAACGAGGCGCCCGACGACCACGACCATTATGGTGTGAATTTTGCGTCGAGTGGGCGTTCGCCGAAGCAGGATGCTGATGTGTGTTGTAGTGGTAGAAGGACGACATTATCGAAACATACAACGCACGGCGAGATGAGGTCGGAAAGCGGTGGAAAGCGTTGGTGCGGGAGGTTGCGACCGGAGGGGATGGGCTGAGCGAAGGGTGCTTGGTCGGTGTGCGAAGGTTTTCCAGGTAAACAGAGCACCAAGGAGAGAATTCGAATTAAGATATGTAGACGACAAGAGCGGTGGTAATGCACAAAGGATGTTGATGTGGATGTGGGTGTTAAAGCTATTGATTCTGTTGTTGCTGTGATGAAGATAGGATGGCGGGTAGTGAAGAGGATGGGTTGTGGTGAAAGAAGGCTGGAGGGAAGGAGACGCAGAAGACTGTTTTGATGGGAGAGTCCGGTTGGGTGATGGAGGGAGCACTAGGGATGGGTCGAGGTGGTATCATCGAGTGGCGAAAGGAGCTAGTCTCATGACGGACTCGCCTGAGGACGAATCAGCAGTCGAATCCCACCCCCTTCAGGGCGGGTACCTTGCCCCTGGTTGTACGGGCGCCGGGACAGGCTCATTGCACTCTTCGCCATTGCTGTCTGCGCTTCGAGACACTGCGAGTTTGCCGACGGAGGGGACGGAGGGGAAGCACGAAGCACGGCGTTGGCGATAGCTTCATTCCTCCCTTTGAATCTCACGGAGCTATTCACGGCAAACACTTGAGCGGCTCCATTAACCTTAAGGGTCACGCATGATCCGCGTTGGCACAAATGATGGTTCCCCGGTGGCTGTGATAGCCCCCCGTCTGCGAACACCAGCATGATGTTAACCTTGAATTTAAAGCTGTGATTTAAAGTCGCAAAAGGAGGCTGTGGGCGTGCTTGTTCTGCTGCTCTGGTGCTCTGGTCTGGTTTGGGCGGCTCTATCTTAATTGTGAGGGACGCACGAAAGTGTTTCAAGAGAGACCAAAAGCGCCTACACCAGGCCGAGACAGGCCACACCTGGTCCCACAGATACAGCGATCTCGCCGTGTTTCTCAGTGTTCTGCGCGTGCTGAAGTATATGTCCGTTCTGAAAGGAACCATTGCTTGGCCGCAACGCAGAAAGGTTTCGAGCAGGGTTACAGCCGCGGGCCTCATGGGGGACCAGCAGTGCGACAGAGCAGATCTCTGGTGGTCTGGAGAGAAGTGAGACATCGACTTCTGCCATCTCAGCACCTGGGTCCTGGACTCCTAGACTCCTGGAGCTAGAAACAAGGGACCGGCCGAAAGACCACGGCGATCTGCTCCTGCGTGCTTGTGCGTGCTTGCAGCTCATCCACTGCCATCTTTCGGACTGCGTGGTGTGGTGGGGTAAACACCTCGACGAGGGTTGTGGTTGGCAGAAACATGTCAGCATCGCAGGAAAAGGGCAACACATCTCAGGATGCTGCAGTAGTAGCTACGGCCATCCAAATAGAACAGAGAGACCAGAAGGGACCGGCAATCTCCAAGCTTGAAGTATCGTTTCCATTGTTACTTCCCTGCTTCCGTATGGCGAACGTGGTGTTCGTTTGTGTATCTTGACCTGTCCTGTCCTGAGCTTTCGCGCATTGAACATCACATCCCACCCGAAAATCTGAGCTGCCAGCCTTCCACGGTCAGATTAGAAATTGCCCCTCATCCTCGAATCCCTTCCCTGGGGATGGTGGGGAAACTTAATCCAATCTCCTCCTTTCTGCTGCTGCGTGCCCTTCATATACATCAGCCACGCCTCGTGCAATGCACAATGAATGCGCAATCTTGCCTTGTTGAACTGCTACGAGTACCGTTCAAGCTATCCCCCGCCCAAACCCGGCCTATCACGAGATTCTTCCAGGTTACTGTTCCATTCGCAGCATGGCTGCTATGGCATTTCAATTGCATTGATGTTGCACCGCCTTCTACGGCCACCATAATCATCCAATTCCACCAGCACCACTCATAAGCAGCTCTTTTGCCCGACGCGGTTCCTTCCTGCAAGCCCTTTTTGCTCGACATTCTAGAGCCAGTAGTCACCCCACAACAGGCATTCATATGGTCGAAAGGGGACTGGCCAAATCGGCGAAAGTCGACTTTTGCATGCCATGACACTACATCCAGGCCTCACCGCCAGTTTCGACCACACACCCACTTGCGAAGCGAGACTCGAGTGTCCATTGTTTTCCGAGAACAATTAATGACCGCTGAAGGCGTTCACCTACAAAAATAAGCCTCCATCGTGATCATGTAAGATTGCTTTGACGTGCATGGGGCGGCACGTGGTGGAAAGTCTGTGTTACTCATGGTCTATTAACAACTTGTCGATATTGGATGATTGGAATTGGTTTTGAAACTCCATCTGTACAGAAGGAAATTTGTCCATGGTTTGCGAGCACAAAGTGAGCTGTGCACTGGATCCAAGGCATTGCCATTATCTCGAGTGCTCGCCAAGGATACAATAGGCTTTGAATGATACTTTTCAGTTGTGCCTACTGTATGACACTTGAAGAATCTACTAGCAATAACCTCCTTCCGTAGTGTCCAAAAATATAACTTATCAAGGATGTCGATGCTCACCCCCTTTCGGTAAAACGTCTTCCTAGTTACCATCAGATTTTCCTTCCTAGGAAGAATATCATAAACGAACATACAAGTTCGTATGACAGGAGGACCCAATCAAATAACCACAAGACGAAGCAGCGTGAGGCTTAACATCCTTCGAAGTATTGTGTCGAGAGAGGTCCCGTCCACTATGTATATCCGCAATGAAACAGGAAAGCTCATCGGTCTAACGAGCCTTCTGCTAGAGTCTGCAGTGGGCATTGCTCTCGCTAAATCTAAATGGAGGTAACCGGTGCTCAAGTCGGTGTACTGACGAACACATAAATATGCTAAAAGCTTGAAGAATGTTTGCAATGTTCTTGATGTCAGTTATTCACTTGTCAAGCGAACGTGCCTTGACAAAACGATTTATCTGCTCCCTCGTGAGCTTTTCATTGTATTGTTCTTGGACTTCATAGAAAGATATGATTTCCTGAGTGCAATCGACGATCGCTTCAATGTCAATGTTGCTTTCAGCAAGCCAACTAGCAAGTCTCTGGACTTTAGTTCGTGAACTGCCGTTGGCCTTGTCTGGATTTGAGGATTTCAACGAGCCTGCCGAGCTTAGAGCTGCGTGTGCCGCACTTGCGAGACCTCCTGCAGCATTACCAGCAGACTGGACTCCTGTTTGATTCGGCCGTAGCACGAGAGCAAGAAGAATAGCCATCAGTGCTATGATGTGAGGTGCAAAAAGCAAGGGTAAATCAGTCATGTAATGGTCGTTGATGATTGACCATGCCAGATTGGATTCTTCTTGTGTTAGTGAGAAGGTGCCTTGAAGAGAAGTGAGAGTTCTATAAGGGTGATGTACGATCATTTGCGAGCTCATTTCCGATATCAAAAAGAACTCGCATTCCCCAAGCTTCGAAGTATCATTGCTGAAGAAGTCTAAACCAAGATGTCAGCTGTTACTGCGCGCGTTGGTCCCAAAGGAGTTAAACCTGGCCATAACGTGCGTCCCTCACTCACGACAAGTCTAATGTGATGCGGGCACTCCTCCATCTTGCATGCAAGATAGACTGCAGTTGCAAGTACCAAGTATGGATTCGTCCGCCTAATCTCGACTTTTGTGTAGAATCGGCGGATGTATAGCTGGGCTGTCGCCATTGCTTGTTGTCGTACGCCGAGACGCTTCCCGAGCCTTGCGACTTCTGCGAAGAAATCAGTTAGCTTCTGCGTGAAAGCGCACTGTAGTTAAAGACGAGGTCAAACTTACGTTGATTGAAGTATATGCTCAAGTGCCTCAACTGGGGAAGCGGGTAACCTTGCACCAAATTCGGGTCTTCATCCTCGAGTTTCTTTCGCAGATCTTCCAGTCCTTCTCGAGTGAATTGCCAGCGTCGCCGCTGCGATGACTCCCAGTAGTTGGCTGCCATTTGCCGGTTCTTTTCCGCCCAGAGGCATGTAGCTAGTCCAATTGAAGAACGACTGGCATTTTCAAGAGTCGGCTGGCAATGGTTGCGGCGAACGAGCTGGTACGAAATTGATTGCCGCTCCAACTTCTCTGCTTCGAAATTGACACTGTAAAAGGTGAACGGGTGAGTGAGAATGGCAGTATCTTAGCAGCGTTTTGTAAACTTTGAAGGTTTCTGCTTGTCTCAAGGTAGCGAACGTCGACGTCTCTGAACGTAAGCACGAGCCTAAACCTGGGGAAAACTTGCCCCGAAGTTTTGCCTTTATCGACAACTCTTATCACCCGTGTGCACTCTTACTACGGTGACCTTATCAGCAGGAAAAGCCACGAGATCCCTGTGACGAATTGTGTCGAGTTCATTGAGAACTTGCGAATTCTTGGTAAAACAAGCATCAACATCAACAGCTCGAAGCCTCCCACTTTTACAGCCATATACACTCCATAGACCTTGGGCATAACGTGTGCCATGCCAGCACTTTACCGCCGATGAAAGCCAACTACTTACCTTTCGTTGCAGATTCTTTGCAGCATCTACAGCATGAATAGGCAATGATAGGGGGAAGGCCGGAACATCACAATGCACATCCCAGAGAGCCAAAATTCGCGGGATCTCCGTATAGAGAAGCTATGGAGTAAGCTTGATCCGCAGAAAAAGGGCGAAATAGATGTCAATGGGCTAAGGAAGGGTCTGCATGCTATTGACCATCGTAAGTTCTCCAACCTTGTACGCGTCGCACATTCTGATAGAAGCCACAGCTCTGAAAAACGCCGATGACATGCTCAAAGATGTCGTAAAAGCAATGGATAAGAATGGCGACAAAGTCATACAATATGAAGGTGGGTGTCGCAATTATCAGTACTGTCGCGGTTGGGGGTCGAAGCTGATATCCGCGCAGAGTTTCGTGTCTTCGTCGAGAATACCGAGAAAGAACTTCTAGCATTGTTCAAATCCATAGACCGGGACGATGATGGTAGGCTTGATAAAAGCGAGCTGAGAGGTGCTTTCAAGAAAGCTGGGCTTTCAGTCCCCCCTTCCAAATTGGACCAACTTTTCGCCGAGGTCGACGAGAACAACGATGTTAGTCTTACTCAAAGGCTACTATTCCAGCCAAACTAAATGTCATTTAGGGATATATAACTTTTGCGGAATGGAGGTATGTGAAAGTAATTCCGCGGCCCAGACTTTCTATTGTGACGTCTTTTGGCTCGCCTAAGAGGGGATCGTTATACGCGCCAAATTTTAGCACTGCTAACACAGCTTAAGAAACTTCTTACTCTTTCTTCCCACGAACTCGAACATTCCTGTACTCAAAGAAGTCCTTTCGTATTACTCCTCTACGATCACGTTGAACGCTGAAGGCGACACATCTATCAGCGAGGAAACTCTGGAAGGATTAGGTAGAAAATCATTTCTTTCAGCGTTCTTTGGATCCATCATGAAAATTGCGGAGCCTCCAAAGCTCCGCCCTCGTCCGGGAAAGTCGCATTCGGAAGTCGCAGTCACAGCAGAATTACCGACGTCAAATGACAACATGTACAACGGTAGAATGTCACTTGAGCCGCAAGTTGACCACAGTACTCAGTCTTCGACAAGCGCTTCAGAGTATCTCGACCCGCAAGAGCTGGCTGATGAATCCATTTCCGATTTTGACGCAGGAGATAAGAAGTCCTTGCTCTCTGAAATCCTGCCCGATCCCGGTTAATATATCTCTTTTTTCTTTCAAGGGAATTCCATGAATTACGGCTAATGCGTATGTCTTAATAGGCTATTTCGCAGCTGGTGGTATTGCTGGAGCAATATCTCGTACGTCGACAGCACCCTTGGATCGCCTCAAGGTACTTTTTGACGATTAATTCTACCTTCCACCAAACTGACGTGAGCTAGGTCTATCTAATTGCGAATACTGGTCCTGCTAAAGACTCGCTCGATGCTGTTAAAAAAGGTGACGCAGCGTCGGTTGCAAAAACTGTTGGTAGGCCACTTGTTGAAGCCACCAAAGAGCTGTGGAGAGCAGGAGGAATTCGCAGCTTATTTGCTGGTAAGCAAATATCTGTGGCTCTTAAGCGAACGTGTTGCTAATCGTAGGCAGGAAACGGGCTCAACGTTGTGAAAGTCATGCCAGAATCTGCTATAAAATTTGGTTCATACGAGGCTGCGAAGAGAGCTCTGGCCCAGCTTGAAGGTCATGGTGACCCTCAAAATATCAATCCATACTCTAAATTCGTTGCTGGGGGGGTTGGTGGTCTTGTATCACAGTGGGTTTTCTCGTCTATCAACGTCCTCAATCGTACTGACTTCTTGCTGGCTGTTTGTATATCCGATCGACACGTTAAAGTTCCGGTAAGACATTTTTCAATATGAGGCGTTTTACAGGAGCTAATAGGCAGCAGAATGCAATGCGAGACAGTGGCCGGTGGTCTTCGAGGTAATGCCCTAATTATTGAGACGGCAAAGAGGATGTACAAACAAGGTGGTATCCGGTCGTCCTACCGTGGTCTGACGATGGGACTTGTTGGCATGTTTCCATATTCGGCGATAGACCTCGGAACTTTCGAGTTCTTGAAGACCTCACTCACTCGTCGCAATGCGAAGCTCCTTGGCTGTGATGAGGAAGATGCTCTCCCAGGATCTTTCGCGACCGGTTGCATTGGCGCGTTCTCGGGAGCCTTCGGAGCCAGTATGGTGTATCCTATCAACCTTCTAAGGACTCGTTTACAAGCCCAGGGGACTGTCTTACATCCCCCAACATACACTGGGATAGTTGATGTCACCCGAAAAACAATCCAGAACGAAGGCGTCAGGGGTTTATTCAAAGGCATAACCCCGAATTTGTTAAAGGTAGTCCCAGCTGTCAGCATAACATACGTTGTCTATGAGAACGCCAAAAAAGTGTTGCATCTTCGATGAACAGGCAAGATGTGTTTTATAGACGGTTCTGATAGAATGGTGGTGTTATACATGCAATATAAAGGGCCAACTACATGCCTCGTTGGGGTTATGAAATGTACACTGCTTGAAGAAGATGCATTATAAGGGGAAAGGTGCATAGCACGGGCGTTAATTTGTAATTTTGAGGGATTTAGGCGTCTTAGGATACCCGACCTGGTATTTTATGGTCTGAAATGGTTGGAGAATGAGGTCAGGTATTGTGCGCAGCCTAACCTATTGGTTGACAGTTCTGTCATGTAAGAAATACTAGGCAAGACTACAACTTCCCCAACCTGTCATTGTAATCGTGATACGTTATGATGGTGATGCAAGTCTTTCAAACAACATACACGTGTTTAGTGTCATGTTTATAACGGCTGTCTTGTATGAAATATATCTCCATGCAGACTATTGTAGTGGTCTTACACTTCCTCAAGCCCTTGCATTCATGACTTTCTCGACACCTTCTCTTTGAGCCTTATGTCTACAGATAAGGGCAATGGCCTATTCTTTAGGCGATTGAGTCTGAGGGCCCGCAGATTATTAGTCTGGCTGTTAAGCAGTCATAGACGGAACTAAGAATTCGAGCATCCGTCGTTCACACTTCAGGTACCTAGTAGAGGACTAAATCTAGTCACACAATTACCAAGTAATCATCTTCACTTCGAATTTACCAAGTTCCAGTTCACGTATATCAAGCATGCGTTTGTGCAACACAAACATTCAACATTCAGTCAACAACTTTTCTTTCATTCGCCATTCACTCACTCAAAGACTATGTTGTAGCACTTAGGAACTGTTTATACTTCGCTTAAGAACAGTCACCCTAATGAACCAGTTCCAGCAAACAACATGATTCACCATGTTTAAGAACACACACAAACCCCCTACTAGCTAAAACTACTTCGCCCCCATCACAAAAGCCCCTTACGATTCCAACCACCCTTAAAACCCAGAGTCAAAACCCAAAGCCAAAATCTAACCCAAACCAAAACCTTATCAAACCCCATATCACTCTCTCAAACTCCTAAAAAGTCAAAATGTGCATCGTATTCGACTACCAATACCAAAAATGCAGCTATTTGGAACCATCAAATATCCTTGTCAAGTGCTACAGCTACCGACGCCATCGAATCTGCGAGCAAGATAATGTCAAAGTGGTCAAGCGGAAAGGATATTGCAAGCCGTGTGCCGAGGCTTGGGAGGAGACGGAGGAACAGTTCAGGGCGGAAGATCGCAAGTTGAATCGGGAGTTGAATGAGAGATTACTGAATGGAGGACTGGGAAGAAGTTAGTGTGGATGAAGAATGCATGTGGAGATAATTATCGTGTGAATGATGACCATACCTTGATTGTGCGACAACTGTGGAAAGGAGAATAAGCACGCGGAATCATCTTGTAATATGGCAAGGCATTATAAAATAAATTGACTACCGTACATCTGACCTCTAATTATCTGCTCTATCTATTGTGTAATTTTCTCTCGATCAAACCAGCAAACCGAGTAGAATGGAAAAAGCAACATAAAACCAAAGTGCTTAGCCCCCATATGACATAAATCGTGAAGCCGTCATAAAAATAAGTATGAACAAAAAATTAGGCAGCGAATACCCTACAATAGTATAACCGCCAAGAATCCAACAGCGAGAAGTGCACAACTTGTGATTTTGAGATTTGTTGCGCCACTCTTTTTGCTTGTGGTTGCGGCAGGCGCAGAGCTGGTGGTAGTGGTAGGAGCGGTAGATGAAGTCTGACCGGATGGGGTGTTGCTCTGGTCATCAGCCAACACAGTTATACTCAGGTCCATGGTCTGACCATTAGTCCCTTGAACAACCTGGCTGACTTTAGTATTGGTGACTGGGACCAATTTTCCAACATTTGATGAAGACACGCCATTATTAATGATGTCCTGGGCGCCAGATGGAGTCTCAGGGATAGTAAAGTTATTGTTAAAGCCCGACTCCAGAATCAGGGTCGAGTTACATGTTGGAGGTGTAACACTAGTGTTCTCAGCCCTCGAGCCCTGAATGGCGGTAAGATTGAGACTGTTGTATTGCCCTTGCAGCGCGTCATAATCCTGACGAAGTTGGAGAGAACCGTTGCTCGCAATAGAGACAAGCCCATAGTTAGATGTCTCTTGAGAGAACTCGTAAACAAGACCACCGGACATGACAGGGGTCATAAGGGGACCATACAAAACTGGTACTTCAGTGAATATCCGAGGGGAGGGCTTATTGCACCCGCTAGAGGGGAGAAGTTAGCAGAGCTATGGCTGGATGTTGTGGAACAAGTGTGCTTACTATTCGGAGAAGAAGACTGGGACGCTAGTGCTCTGGAAGTCCGAAATCAAGGTGTCATAAGAACTGGTTTGAAAAGTCGAGTCTCCGCACCAAGAATAGCTGTTCAAAGCAAACAAATCGACACGCGATGGGTCCGAGTCATCGCCAGTTGTGGTGCATTGCAAATAGTTCCAGGTGTCAATGAGAGTGTCCCTGACATCAGCAGCACTGTAACCCACTGGAATGCTTCTGGTCGAGTGTTTAGCAATGTAGTTTTTGAGATCTCTGGTGACGGCCTGTACGGGATTAGACATAAACTCAACAGAACGCAGTTTTTGGTGGCTTACTCTCATGTAGGGTGGGATGTTGGCACCGGTGGGAACATCGTTGATAACTTATTTATCTGTTAGTATTCGTCCGTAATCACCAAATCCACGGACTGCATACCTTCATTTCCAGCAAAGAAAAGCAACGTATTTGGGTAGTTCTTGAACGCCTCTACGACAGCAAAAGTTCGGTTCAGATAAGATGCCGTGTAGCTCGACTCGGGATCACCTCTGTTGATGCTCTCTCCAGAGAATGGAGCATTCACATCTAGCAGCATGTATATTCCGACCTATCTAGCCATTAGCAGACGCCGTGAACGGGAAAATTGGGTACTAACCGCATTGAAGATGGAGGCGCACTCATCATGATTAATATCGGGAGAGACGTTGTACTGGGAATAGTCAGTTTTAGTGCTGGTGATATCGATCGGAAGCGTGATGCATGAAGGGTGAGATAACTCCGATGCTACCTAGGTAGAGTATTCGAAACGCCACAAGAGCGTGTCAAGGCATTATATTGGAGGAATAGAAACTCACCACTCGAATGGCATTGACACCTAAGTTTTACGTTAGCCTTTGTCCACAAACGATTTCTCAATTGGTACACCAACCCAACCTCTGCATCAAAGCTGCGTCGCGTAGACATACATCTCCATTGCTCAAGGGATCTTCTCCAGATTGTGGTTTATATCCTGCCTCGCCACCAGGTTGATATGCAACACCAAGAATCTGATATCGGTTTCCCGTGACCGAGTTAACAAAGTTCGAGCCTTGTATCACGAGTGGCTGAACTGCGAGGGCGGTATGGGCGTAAAGCGCGAGAAGCGCAAGCTGTGGAGGAACATGGTCAGCGGGAGTCCGGAGGGGAGTAGCCAGAACGAGTCAATCTAATGTATCGAGGGAATTGAAGAGCGATCGAGACGCCCGGAATCTTTGGATGAGGGCTCGAGGAGGCTCTCCATGGTCCAGAGAGAGACTTACCGTTTGCGTAAACATTGCGCAGCTCCAATCCAATCGCCAATGTTTCGTTGGTGCAGAGATGACGAAGTAACTTGTCCGTGCAGCGACTCGGCGGGATGCTTGACCAAGTGACAAGGAATTAAACGAATGCTTGAGAGAAAAGACAGCTGGTACTTTCGTATATAAAAGTAAAAGAGAGTGTTGAGTTGAATCGAGACAGGACTTGCGACGAGGTTGGCGGGGAGAAAGAAAATAATTAGCCAAGTTCACTACCTTCCTTGGTTGCGACCTAGATACAGTAGGTACCTTGGTCTTGGTACTTCGTACAGTAGGAGGCACCGCGACCTCGCTCGCTAGCACTAGCTACGGAGCTCCTCTTAACCTATGCAGGCCAGCCAGCTTTATCGGATAACCTTCCTTGACCAACCAGAGCGCGCTTCTGCTGCTGACATCCCCTAGCGCTAGCTGAATGGTACGAGAGGAATGGATGATAGCTGGAGCATTTCTGGTCCTTAGTCCAAGACCGAAATATGCACATCATAGCAAAGCTTACTTCACCAATGCGAGATTCTTCATGATTCTCTCTTTTCTCTTCGCGATGAGATCACTCGATGGTCGGGTGGGTTTCGGCGAAATTACATTGGAGATGGGACGGCTTCCAAGCTTCGTCCTGAGGGTACGCCGCGTCCCGTACAGGTCCTGATAGCAATGGTCGACCTGAAGTCACAAACAGGCTTTGGGTTTACTCTACCGAACTACAATTCATTCACATCTCACCAGAATGCACCAACTCCAGTAAGGTTCTCGTAAGGGAATCAGATTCTAATTTGGCCAGGTCTTCTTTTTGCGCGCTCATTGAGGAAGACGTGACCAGATCCCTCGCCAACGCCTGAAAGTGTACATAGGTGGCCAAAATCCACCCAAGACAATTATGAATATCTATCCGTGTAGTTTGAGGCAAGAAGCGTTCGCTGCAACTACCACATTGATGCTCAAACATATGCCCAAACCCCATCATCATCAACAAGCAAACAAATTCGTCTTACTACCGTCTAACCTTGGAATTCCGGCACGGTACTAGCTTCCTTGCGGCCGGGTATGAGAGCCAGAGGGACGATACCACTGACGTGCATTTCTGGGCCGTATACGTGCATGTCCAAGTTCATTTCCTGTGCGGCGGACTTGATGTTTTTCAGACCCTCCTGGTAGTTGGGTCCAGCACGTCTCACCCAGATCTGGACCTTGTGCTCGTTGAGCTGAGTGCTGTACTCTTTCAGAGCGCGGATGACGCCCTTGAAAGTTGAGGCGACGTTGGTGAAGTTGGCAATACCACCACCGATGAAGAGGACCTTGCCCTCCTTGTGCATAGGAGCACGAAGCATCAGGTCAATGACGGTGCGAGCGTAGTGGAAAGTCTGAGTCTCTGTTGGAGCGCCAGAGTATTCACCATAGTTGGCAAGCTCTTCTGTGAACCCACTGCTGGCAATAGCATCGGCATAGACGACTGAAGCACCGCCACCAGCGACCAATGTCCAGACACGACCATTGGCGTTTAGGATTGTAAGCTTAAGGGAGGCACCGGTCTTTGCATCGAGCTCAGCAATGTAAGCTTCCTCTTTGCTCATTTCACGACCGAATGGAGCTGGGAACTCCATTGGTGGTCCGGCATCGATGTTGACCTTTCCATCTGCTGCCTTGACGGCGGTCATGCCGAGAGCAACAGGCGAACGAGCGACGGCCCATTTGACACCACACTCGAATTCCGCAGTCTGATCGATCTTAGCTGCCAAATCCAAGAAATGAACTTCGGCGGATGTGGCATCAGCGTTGGGGATAACAACGAGAGGGTTGATCTCGAGGTAGGTGAACTGGCAGTCGACGTAAACAGCATATAGTCTTGTGATGAAGTCGACTAGAACATTGTGGACACCCTTTGGTACCTTCTTGAGCAGTGTAGCGGCAATTTCTTCATTTGATGGGTATTCGGAAAGATCAACCGGAACGAGAAGCTTTTCGGCCTTCGCATCAACATCTCCAACATCGACACCTCCCTCGTGTGTGAAAAGAATCCAGTCACCCTAATGGAGTACTCATGTTAGCACGTGCATTTACTGGACATTGCTGATAGTATGTTCTGAGGTGAAAACAGTATGCATGACATTCGAGCCTCATCCGAACTTGCCATCTCGGGTTTTGTCCCAAAAACGGAAGAACGGTATGCGGCAGATGCACAAATGCAGGTACAGCTGTGATACTGAATATGATATGTGCCCTGGAGCAAAGCGAGTTGTGGGCCACAGGAAACGAGGCTTTAGCTTCCGTTCGCCCGTCGTGTATCTGTACCGAAAGCCGCTACGGCCGATCGCCACAAAAGGATCGTGACCACCCACAGTCAAATGCGACTTTCCTCACTCGAGTAAAGACAACCACTTCTCAACCACCCATGGATAAATCTGGTTCAAAGGGCAAAGCAGCAGATAACACGATCATGCAGCGATTCATCAATGAATGTATGACAAATCAGTAAACCCGGATTTCTCTGGTGCACTCTCATGAGAGTTTTGACCATGTTGAAACAACGGATACAGTGGCTAAGAAATGCCTTTGAGGACAATCTACCGTGGATCGGCACACCCTCCTAGACGAATCCCCAATTCCAGGTCGATTCGACACTGGCACATAATGCTCCCTAACCACCGCCAAGAAATATGAGAAGAAGATCCGGTCACGTACCTCTCTTTGGGAGTTGATGTTGATGTAGTATTCGGTTCCATCTGGATGTGGTACGAAAGGTTCAACCAAGAACTGTCGCAACACACCATTCACAGTTTCCACCTTCTGTGGCTTTCCAGCACGAGCGGCAATCCACTCCTTTGCCTCCGCCCATGTCTTGTTCAAGGCCAAAAGACCACTCTTTCCTCGACGCTTGATCAATTGATCTGGCTTAGCAACGAACTTGGATCCTGGGACGAGGAGCCATGGGTATGAGACTTCGGCTTGGTCTAGGATGGAGGAGACCTCAGCATCTTCTGGGAAGTATAGGGAAGCGAGCTTCGGTGGAGGGTTGTGAGTGGAGGATTTTGGGAGAGGAGATGGCTTAATGACAGGAGCTCTGGTGAGGTGATAGTTGAGGATAGCCTTTCCATCGGCTTCGAAGATCGACTTGGCGGCCATTGCGATATGTGAGGGACTTCTTTTTCTACTGCCGCGCTGTTAGCTGAGGGTTGTCTCGGAGCTGACGAGAGCAGCTGGTACTTTATTTGTAGAGACGGCGGAGGGGTACTCGGGGCTTCTTCAGTTCCTGAACGACTTGTGGAATGCACAACGCAGGGCAGCAAAAAGAGCTCCTTGGACTTTGGTATTGCAAAGTCACAGTATCTGATTCATATACAGCACGAGGAAAGGGCACCGCAGTGAAAGGAGGGTGTTGTCGGACAGAGATGCGGAAAAGTTCAGGGCGGATCTTGGGAGGCAGACATACCAGAGGGGGATCTTTATCAAACAACGCTTTCACACTTCGACAGGCAGACCTCGTGGCGGGAAAGAAGCAGTTGGTAAATCAGCGACGCGGATTGATTGAATTAGGGATTGGGGGATTTTCGTATCTGAGCAGAACTCCTGGATGAGTGAGGGCAGCTTTCGAGCTACGGTCACCGATACTTTTCTGTGGTGTGGAGGGCACGGCTGATTGGTGCATGCGGGTGGAGTGGGTCCTCAACCAACGCCGGTCCCCCAGCGAAAAAAGGCACAGAAGCTCAGTCGCTCCGCCGGCCTCCGCTGCATCTGTCGGGTCTGACTGGTGGTGGCTAGGGCGGCGCCAGAAAAGGGGTCAGATTGGCCCGGCTTCACGTCAGCGTCCGCCAGCTTACCTGCACCAACACACGCCGCCTTGACAGTCGGGTTTAGCTGGGGTGGACAGTGCGGGCCAGGATGGATTTTGGGAGGGACCACCAGAACGCTCAACACGACCGGATTCACAGCTGCTGAGAAGATCAAAGTCTCCCCCTTCCACCTCCGACTTACCACCCACACCTCGTCTCACCTCGTCTCGGTGTTCAACCAGCTCGATCCTGCAACCTGAACTTCTTCATCTCCAGCTCTCCGACGAAGTAAAGTCTCCGCGCTCCCTCCGCATATACTATTGAAGCTTTCCCGATTCTCCCACGCTCTCTGCCCCAACGAACCTCCGTCCGGCTTGAGAAAAAGCTCTTGTCATCCTGTTTGCACCCCCCGAATTTCCTCTTGTTGATGTGAGTGCTTTTCTACCCCGTTGTCTTTTTGCAAATTCTAGATGCTCTGAATTGGATCATTACGGCCTTCTACCTCTCCTTCAAGCTCGCTTTTCTACGTCGAACAATTCAAATTGCTCGAATTGCATTTTCTCAATATTGCATCTGCCTTCCTCTCAGCAACTATGCAACTCGTCAAAAATCCAATTGCTGACCCTAAGGTTTCCGAAGACCAAATCATGCCTTCTGCCACCACCAACGGTGCCAATGGCATTTCTCCTCAGGCGCCGCAGGGAGCGTCAGCCAACGACAACATCCGCCGATTTGCTGCTCCCAGCCGACCGTTAAGTCCTCGTGCTGAACACACTCTTTTCCACGACAAGACGAGATGTTTTGTCTACGGTCTCCAGCCACGAGCCGTGCAGGGCATGCTCGACTTCGACTTTATCTGCAAGCGCAAAACACCTTCCGTTGCGGGTATCATCTACACATTCGGCGGTCAATTCGTCAGCAAGATGTACTGGGGGACCAGTGAGACTCTCCTTCCAGTCTACCAAGACGTAGAGAAGGCAATGTCCAAGCACAGCGATGTTGATACCATTGTCAATTTCGCCTCCTCCCGAAGTGTCTACAGCTCTACTATGGAGCTCATGAACTTCCCACAAATCAAGTCAATTGCTATTATTGCAGAGGGTGTGCCAGAGAGGGTAAGTACCTCTGTTAGTGGAATGAGGCAATTCATCATCTGACATTTTCTAGCGTGCCCGCGAAATTCTCCATGTGGCAGCAAAGAAGGGCATCACCATCATTGGTCCTGCCACTGTTGGTGGAATCAAGCCTGGATCTTTCAAGATCGGTAACACTGGTGGTATGATGGACAACATCGTGGCTTCCAAGCTTTACCGAAAAGGTTCCGTCGGATACGTCTCCAAGTCTGGTGGTATGTCCAACGAGTTGAACAACATCATCGCCAACACAACCGACGGTGTATACGAGGGTGTCGCCATCGGTGGAGATAGATATCCAAGCACAACATTCATCGACCATCTTCTCAGATACCAAGCTGATCCCGAATGCAAAATATTGCTCCTTTTGGGAGAGGTTGGAGGAGTCGAGGAATACCGTGTGATTGAAGCTGTCAAATCTGGAAAGATTACCAAGCCAATCGTCGCATGGGCAATCGGAACTTGCGCAAGCATGTTCAAGACTGAGGTGCAGTTCGGTCACGCTGGTTCTTTCGCAAACTCTCAGCTCGAGACCGCCGCTGTCAAGAACAAGTCCATGAAAGATGCTGGCTTCTACGTCCCAGAAACTTTCGAAGACATGCCAGCACTCCTTAGCCAGGTTTACCAGAAGTTGGTCAAGGACGGAACCATCAAGCCGCAACCAGAGCCAGTTGTTCCCAAGATCCCAATCGATTACTCTTGGGCTCAGGAGCTCGGTCTTATTCGAAAACCTGCCGCTTTCATCTCTACTATTTCTGATGACCGTGGACAGGAACTCCTCTACGCTGGTATGCCAATCTCTGATGTCTTCAAAGAGGATATTGGAATTGGTGGTGTTATGTCTCTCTTGTGGTTCCGTCGTCGTCTCCCAGACTACGCTAGCAAGTTTTTGGAGATGGTTCTCATGTTGACTGCCGATCACGGCCCAGCTGTGTCTGGTGCCATGAACACCATCATCACAACCAGAGCAGGAAAGGATTTGATCAGTGCTCTCGTGTCTGGCCTTTTGACCATTGGTTCTCGTTTCGGTGGAGCTCTTGATGGAGCTGCGGATGAGTTCACCAAGGCATTCGACAAGGGACTGAGCCCACGTGATTTCGTTGACACCATGCGCAAGCAGAACAAGCTCATTCCAGGTATTGGCCACAAGGTCAAGTCCCGAAACAACCCCGATCTCCGTGTGGAGCTTGTCAAGGAGTTCGTCCAGAAGCGTTTCCCAAGCTGCAAGATGCTTGACTACGCTCTTGCCGTGGAATCTGTTACCACCTCTAAGAAGGACAACTTGATCTTGAACGTTGATGGTGCTGTTGCCGTCTGCTTCGTTGATCTTATGCGCAACTGCGGTGCCTTCTCCGCCGAAGAGGCTGAGGACTACCTTCAAATGGGTGTCTTGAACGGCCTTTTCGTGCTGGGTCGTTCCATTGGTCTGATTGCCCATTACCTCGACCAGAAGAGACTTCGAACTGGTCTCTACAGACATCCTTGGGATGATATCACCTATCTCCTTCCATCTTTGTCAACGGGTGCGCCTGGTGCTGAAGGACGTGTTGAGGTTCAGATGTAGATTTGCGGATTTGAAGGTTGGGTTCTATGGCGTTGGTCTTTTTAATGCTGTGTGTGGCATTTGGTAGACCCCAAAATTACGAATGGCGCAACTTAATGGCCTTCCGCCTGTATACTGCGCCGGGCCTATGTTACATTAGATGTTCACATAGCGAGTAACTTATGAATTGAGATTTAGATATTATCACTTTATGGAATTGCTTTGACTGACTACTTGAATGCTTCCTCATTCACAACTGCCTGCTTCTCCTAGTTTTCCACACCTCATGACCAATTTGTATGTACGATTGTATTCTCTGACCCTTTCTTGATGTGAAAATATTGAAAGTGTACCGAAACGGCAAGTCTCACCTATCAGAAGAGCGTCTGCAGCATTCAACAGATTGGCAACACAACAATCGATATTTGCTGGCCTTCTGCTAGCTTCTCTTCCAGGAGTGCAAATCTAGTTAGTAATTTGTTAGTGTGCGACGTGGAACACACCGCTTGTATGGGAACAGGGTCGTGGGTCAATAATGAATACGTCCGTCACACCGCTACGTTCTAAACCCAAGACACGATTTCTCAACAGTTTCAAGCACATGTTGGCAGACAGATGCGAGACAAAAATGAGTTGGCCAAAATTGTTGTTCTTGTGGTATTGTGCAATCCTTCAACCCGAGCAACTCCTTCTTGCCCCCGTTGATGTTTTCATACCCTGTGCCATCAAACTAAGCAAACTCCTAAAGCGCCGATATCCTTATAAAGTTGTGTATTAATACAACTAGTTTGCACGCCGTTTAATCCAGATCCCTTCTTTCTCAACTTCGCTCCCATCTTGTGAACCCAACTCTTTCTTCAATATGCAGCGGCACATTTGCTTGGGCAAATCAACCTGATTGAGCCTCAGAGGAGACACCACCCCATGAATTCAATAATTCATCAATATATGCTCGTTCAATTTTTCTTCCGTTTCCTTTGTCTTCTTCCTTGAGCAACACTGCCAGGACCTCAATTGGTGGGTTAAGACCAAGTTTCTGGGCGCGAGTCCATCGACGAATTCGAGAGATTCCGATACATGGCTAAAAAGCAATTAGCCACACAGCCCCAGACACACTCATCTGACAACCGTCCGACGATCAAATAATCAAGAGAGAATAAACTTACCCCGAACTCACTACTCATATCAAAAAACCTACAAACCTTCTCCTCCAGCGGAATCCCACCCATGTGAACCCTCGGCACCAACCTCTCCCTCTCCCTATCTCTCCAAAACTTCTTAATCTGCTCATCGCTGACTTTACTCGCCCTCACCTCCTGCGCACTCCTCGTGCCGTCCTTCAATCCCTGTTTCACATTCTTGATCTCCGCTTTCGCCTGTCTCTCGATCGCAGGCGCAGAATCAATATGTCCTAGGTCCTGCGACGCAGAGTCGATTTCTGATTTTATATCTTCTGCTTTGATGATTTCTGATTTGATGTTCTGCGAGAGTTTCGAGGGTTTGCCAGGGAGTGCCGCAGAGGGTTTGGTGACTTTGTTGTTTGTGAACGCGAGCGTTTTTTGGGTACCCTTTTGCGCTGGACCGGAGGATTTGCGGGTTGTGCCGCGAGTACCTGCCATTTTGTCGAGTTTGTGATGAGGAAGGTGCGTTCAGTGGTGTTGTGGTGGTGTCTTTCGCGATTGCGGTTCGGAGTTGGAAGCTTCGATGACGATTGAGATGCTGGGGGTGTTGATTGTGTTGCGCGAGGCAACCATCTGCAGAATGCTTGGGCTGTAGCAAGCGAGATTTTGTGGAGGGCCGCTGGGACGAACCACCACTTCACCACAATCTGTTTAAGAGGATTAAAGTCCATATTAACGTGACTTAGTGTGTTTTACTTGATAAGAATTGCCAATAACTTCTAAGGAAATTTTTTGAATTTGAAACTCAGAAGCGCTAATTTAACTTAAATAGTTAAGTCTCTTTATAAATCTACCAACCACTAGTGAACTTCTATTGATTTAGTACTTCTTGCAGTTATTCATCGCGCTGAAATTATACCTAGAGAATGTGGAAACAACTCTGGGCTTTCCAAATATGCAGAGCTGGTATAGTTGTACTGGGACGCCTCTAGGCTCTACAAACCCAAATCATCACAGTATGTGGATCAGATATTCTACAAGGTGTGTTGTAAAGATGCTCAAACCTCAGACTACAAATAGTTTCACAGCTATAACAAAATGTCTAGTCTAATACACGAAAGCTAATATCTCTACCACAGCACTTGGTCTCAGAGTGAGCAATCCACCAGCCTCTACTTATGCCTTGTTTCTTACTGAAAAGTGCCCGACCACCACTAACATGAATTTACAACCTCAGATCTTTGAACTGTAGCGTAGCCGTACACATGAAACCCATACATATCACATCCTCAACGCATTCGCGATGATCTCTACCATATCCAGCACTTTCTCATCTTCCAAACGTCTACCAACACACTGCAATGCGACCGGCGTTCCGTGATAAAATTCGGGATCATAATCTGCTTGAAGGGCTTCATCCTTCTTGTTCAAAGGTTTCCAGTCAGTTCGGACTTTATCCACGTCCTTGTCAGTAAAAGTAACTGGGAAAGTACACGCAGGATAATCTAGGTTCTGTCAGCTAGTTACGCAGGGAATCTCATCGAGATCGTAATTACCGAGTAAATTGAAGACTCCAGTGTAGTTCACACAAAAGATGTCAGTTTGGGTAACACCGAGTCTTGGTGCTGTCCATGGTGAGGCAGGTAGAATTATACCGTCCATAATCTGGTTTCCATCTTCCGCAGTAGCATTCCAGCGGTCCAGGTACTCCTTTTGGAAACCGTTTCTGGCGGTAATCATTTCTCTTAGCTTGGTCGGTCCAAGAGTCCCATGCTCGCCTTGCTCATAAGCCCGTTCGTAGCTCTTCATGCTTCCAAATACTGGCTCATCATGTTCCTTGGTCAGCCCTAAAATAGCAGCACCACCCAATGTGTAAAACGAGTTATTCATTTCCCGAACCATCTCAGGATGATTATTGGGAGACCACTCAAAAACTTCATGACCTGCTTTTTCCAGGGCTTTCTTAGTCATCGCCAGTCCGCGGACAATGGGAGGATGAGCGCTGATTTCTCCGTCATTATCGGAGATAATCCCGAAGCGAAGCTTTCGACTTGGAGGATTGATAGTACCACTTCGCCACGGAACAGCGAGACATTTGGGGTCTAAATTCCATGGAGATACTTCATTGGACAAGACTGCCTGGCAATACAGCTTCAAAGTATCTATTGAGCGGGACATCGGTCCATTGTTGGAAAATATGAAATCCTGGCCTGTGATCCCCGACTTTGTACCGTAGACTGGAAACCTTCCGAAACTGTATGTTCATGTTAGAGGATAGTTGGAGCTTGGGATTTGGGGGTGCTTACGTTGGCTTCAACCCATAGAGCCCATTGAACGCGCTAGGAATACGAATAGATCCACCAATATCGGTACCGACACCCAAAGGACTTCCTCTCATTGCCAAAAGTGCACCTTCTCCTCCACTACTCCCGCCGGGACTACAACCGCTGTGGTATGCTCCAGTAGTTTCACCCCAAATATTACTGTTGGTCTCCATCATCATCATGGCCACGGGAACCGCAGTCTTAACATAAAAAACAGCACCAAGCTTGGCCAGAATACTGACCAAGACGGTTGCTTCACTTGTTTCTTCATTTGCATAGCAGGCCATTCCAATAGACGACGGATGAGGTGGCGTCACCATACAGTCTTTTAGTGAAATTGGGAGGCCATGAAGCGGTCCAATAACTTTATGTTCTTTCTCAATATAGTCGTCCAGGAACTGAGCTCTTTTCAGAGCTTCGGAAAAGAGAATTTCTGTTAGACAATTAGTCTGTATCAACATCAGCACGATATATTAAATCTGAATAAAAACCAGTTACCAGTTGATTTGCTACAATTGAAGCTTTACAAAAAGCTTTCGTCACTTCCGTGGATGTCCAGGCCCTAGTAGCGATCTTTTCGAGGATATCGGCTGCCTCTGCCTCGATAATCTCTAGCTCATGGGTTGTGAAATGTTTTGAATCCTTAGGCACTGTAGTCACATTTCTCGGTAGATTTTGAAGATATTCCGAAGGAAGAAGATAATGTGTTGGAATCGCGGCTTTTCGTCGAGCAAGTGCTATTGCAGCGATTTCTTTGTAGTTCTGCCCCATTTCAGACAATCGTTGGACTAATGCAGAAGATTAAAGACCAGAATGAAACAAAGTGTATAATAAAAGTAAATTTAACAAATAAAAGATAATAGTTGGGAGGAGTTGTGTGTCATGAGAGTCTATTCCAAACAATTGTCTTGCTGAATTGTAGTCATATCGGCAATCATTGGAGAAGTGGGGGTCGAAGTCCGTAGCCGGTGGTTGCAGATCAAGCTCCTAGCCTCATAAGAAATTGACTTCATAGAAAGAGCGTGGTATCCAAAAGTGGCACATCTCATGTCTATCATTTATATGGTCCAAATCGATTTCGCTGGCATGTTCCAGATATCGAGACTACGTGGCTCATGCGGCCGGTTACAGGCAATGTCCAAACACAGAGTCATCCAAGAACATCATAAATTTCCCACGAACCAGATATACTCGGGAAGGTAGCTCTTCAGATGATATATTGTAACTATTCATATTAAGGTCAAATAGCCGTAACGAATTGGTTGGGCGACGGCGCGGCGTTCCCAAGTTACATCAACTTATCTGGTGTAGCATGTTGGCAATGAAGACATATTTGCTGGAATCAAACGAGGCTATACAACAATACAGAACTATGCTCCTACCCGAAGCGATGGGATCTACCTAGACCGACAAGAGAGGCACGCAGCTCCCACATGCTACGGTCTGAAAGTAGATGGCTCTCAATACAAACCTGTGGAGGTTAACGCCTCCTGGTCCCAAAACACAAGTCATACTTGGACACATATAAGCTTGTGCCTTCGGCCTTAGATTAAAGAATTGATTTCATTGTGGAAGATGCGTTACAAGGTCATGCGTGCTGAGGCTGGCATCATCGGCTGACATACAAATTCTGTAGGAGAGCTTGATGCTGTTTCCCTTAACATGGAGCCACCCCCTAATGGGAAGTAGAGGTAGGCTGAGTAGTGTGGATTTTTTTCTGCCATAATCTATAGACGTTCAGCCCATGGAAGAGTGAGGAAGAACGCATATGCTCAAATGGTGTCGGTCTCTGCTCGAGCAGTCACAACTGTAGTCTTGGAACTTCAAGTAACATCTCAATTAAGTGTTTGTAATCCGCCTGAACTCCCCCAACACCCCGTATGCCTGACCCCATGCGAAGCCCAAACGCCTTGTAGAAGAAATTCGTTATGCTGCAATTTCAGGTTAGCCAGCTACCTAGAGGGGTGGTGTGCATATGCCTTACTGTCTAAGTAGTCTGCGGCCATGAGCAGCTCTAGGCACAGCTCTGGTGGAATCTCCATATCTGGAACGTCTTCTCTATCTCGGTTTTTGAAATTGTAGCAGAAATATTCTGCAATCTTCTCGAGGATGATGCCACTATATTTCCGTGTCAGTTCCCATCGGCAGGTCAAGCAAAACTTTTTCTGGGGAACGAGAGCAGCAATTGCGTCTCAGTTCAAGTGTAAAAGGCATCAGCCAGCGTCGCGGCCGACCCTTTCGGGTTGGAGGTTCTGTCTGCAAAAACTTTGGTATAATCATTGACAGAAAATTTCCTACTCTCCGATATCCGTAATGGGTCCCGGATCCATATTTGCCAAAGGGAGAGAGAATCGGTTCACATACTTGATCTCAGCAAACGTACAACGGCCGGTCGTCGCCTCAGAGAAACCACCTACGTGTGGCAGAAGGTCAGTAGAACTTCCAAAAGATCCTCTGCACGGTGGCTAGCTGCAGGAATACCTACTCTTCGGATCTAACATCCTCTTGATGGCGCCACTTGTGCAAGCTGCTTCGCGAAGAACCACGAACTCGAAGCCATCACTTGATATAAGCGTCACGTACTTGCTGAGCCCTTGGGTCTGCGTCGAGCTCGACATCGTGGATGGGATGCCAGGTATTTAGCTTGGAGAAACGCGTCTGTGTGGTGACAATGAAGGGAAGAAAATCGCGTCTTTATCGACACACACCGGGTGTGGATACATAACCGAAAAGCATTCCTTTTGCTATTGATGATTGAATTCCTGAATACCTAACCGCCATATTTCGGTAAGCAACATAGCGTTCACCGTGAAATCGATGAAGCTAATGCCGTTTTTGAAAATCAGCCAAATCATTTGTTGCCAATCTCGAGGGCTCTGGCGGCCATATCCCACTGGCGCGACCCGGCTGAAAGCCTCTGTCAAGTGAACGAAAGTACTTGTAGAAGTTCGCACGCCTTGACGAAGACCGTTCAAGTTGCTGTACTGGTTGTTGAGTCTAGCTCTTCGCATCTCCTGTTGTTATCATCGCGAGTCATCACTGCGCCTAGGTGCGGGAAGGAATGGAGGATCGCTTTTTTGGAAAGGCATTCAAGTATGACAGGAGCAGTCACGTTTATAGTGGGAGACCTCAGCAGGGCAACCATGACAACAGCAAAAATTTGTACTGGATTTGCAGGAGTATATGGGATGGAAAATGTGTCTTTGTTCAGAGTTTGTACGTGCCGCCAAGCTATCGCACTTAATATCAGACAAACGCCACCATCTGCAAGATCAGCCTTTCCCGTCGCGCGAGACCGGGAGTGGTCGAAGTTCGAACGATGTGGCTGAAATCAGATACGGCTCGGTTCCATCATCTGTACCGCTTCCCAACTTCTGTCTTCCATATATTGGTTGTTTTCTCCTGATTGGGATTTCTAGAGCCCAGTCGTTACTCCTACAACAGCATGGCAAGAAATTGTCCGGAGTACCTCGAAGTTCAATTAGATGAAATGTGTATTTCGAAGTGAAGATGATACGAGTCTGGGCCATCCCGGTGTTGCTCTTCCTCTTTGGCGTTACACCGCCGTCCCGCAAAGCATGACCAACTGCCTAATCGGCTGAGAATAGATTTCTGCCACGATTATTGTCAGTGACGTAAGGATGCTTTGAAGTCAATGGACTCTCCCGAAAGGATGCTCGACATGATGGCCCTTCTTCGATTACTTTGCTTACTGTTCTAATTCGGCGGGTTGAACATTACCTTATGCTAAAGTGGATACCTACTTGACTGATAGTGGTCGCTGCCCACGACCCAACTCAACAGAGCGGCCTGGAACCAGTTGTACGGAGGTAGGTACTGTCCCTATCCATCGGCTACAAAGTAAGCGGCTCGCTGGCGTATTCAAGCTCGTACTTTGAATATGTCCGACATCCGACGACCTCGACCTGAAGTAGTATTCGGCTTTTGAATGTTTTATGCATCCAGCAAATCAAATGATTCACAGCTCAACGCACATGCAGCCTTTCCAATGACAATTCGAGCTGGAGGATGATTAATAAAAGAATCCGCCCTAGTCCCAGTCGGTCGAGATTTAGGTGATAAGTGCTCCAAGTCCAGAATAGGGATGAATGCTGGCCGATGGCGAATCCATGCTCGTTTGCCTGCTCCTGTCCTGTCATCTAGCAACCACTCACAAACCCCCCGTACTGCTTAGTGCCAAGTTATGAAAGGACCAACAGGACTTTCTCCAGTAGGAAGATGCGCACTGGCACGCGACACAGCTCCGGCGTGATGCTAACGTCGGATCAACTGCTTGGCAACAGTCTAATCAACAGTTTCTACCTCTTAGGTCGGGGAGCTTGCGTCCTTAACCACAGCTCAACTGTCGTTCTTTCTTTGATCGCAGCATCTTTATCTTAGAAGAGGTGGAAGCTCTCCTCTGCTGCAACACTCGCTCGATCGGTTGCCTGCGAGCTCTCCATCATGATGTTTGCTGTTATACCCCGCCTCGTTGGGCGATGTTTTCTGCATATTTACAAGACTCTCTTGAACAGGTTCGTCGATTGATGACGAGAGAACTGTACGAGGTATTTGGCTGACTTGCTACATAGACACACTCTTTTTGGCCTTCTCAAACACATTCTTATCAACATGACCTTCATCTTAATATGGATAACAACCTTCAAAAACGGTAACACAAGTCGCGCGGAAGCAGTCGGAAATCTGACTGACTTATTATTTCTAGCTTATCGAATCGATTCTTCAATCAGGCCCTACATACATGTAAAGTTTCTCGAGGAGGAAGACCACCGGGTGTTCGATATCACATTTGCGGGTGTTGCGATTCAGTGTATATTAGCGGTTGCCGGATATTCTTGGATGTACGCCCTCACCAGACGACCGAAACTCTCGCTACTCGCAGCTGTACCTCCCTTCGCACTTAACATCCTCCACATTGGAACGCACGAACTCTCACCGGCTCTCGACGTTTTTACGTGGCTCTCCTACGGAGTGATACATTTCGTATCGCCTTTCCTCGCAGCATTCTGGCTTTGGCTCTTTGCCTCACCCGGCGTTGTATCGATCTTCGCATGGTCATTTGGAATCCAAAACTGCTTAGGAATTATCACCCATCTTTCTTTTCCAACTGCTGCCCCATGGTATGGCGATCAGTACGGATATCCTTTACCTCCCGGAAACTACAGCATGCCAGGTTCTGCGGCGGGTCTTGTCCGAGTTGATGCAGTTTTGGGAACACACATTTATCAGAACGCTTTCAAGGCTTCTCCCCTCGTTTTTGGTGCCTTCCCATCACTCCACGGCGCCTTCAGTTGCTGTTGTTTTTTCTTCATCGCTCGCTACTCCAGACGAGGTGCATTCATGCTTGGGTTCTACGTTTTATGGCAATGGTTTTCGACCATGTACTTGCGACACCACTGGCGCCTTGATCTATTGGGCGGGCTCACATATTCAGCTTTCGCGTTTTCGATATTTTATAGGAGCTTGCAGCGCATGGATAGAGCGTATGCCTTGGGTGCTTCGGGGGGCAATGGTTGGCAACGGCTTTTTGAGAACACTCCATTACAACATGTCTTTGATGGAAAGTCTGATTATCAAGTTGTTCGCGAATCAAGTGACGACGAGGAATATTTCAGCAGGAGCACAAGTGGGGAGATGGAGGAGAGAACATCAGCAGACTTAGAGGCACAGCGGTTGGATGATTTAGAGCGAAGTTGGCAGAGCAAGCATCCTTCACAGAGGAGTACAGTTATTAGCTGTTAAGTTGGGTTGACCGATTAGTTAGACAGAAGAAGGGGGCCAGAATGCCACCTCGCTTCGGATCTCTCGGAAATAGCACCAACAATGTAAATAAACAATTCCAATATCAGCCGGGTGCCTGGACCCTCCTGCAATCTCATTTCAGAAGCAGAAAGTGACATTTCGGCATCCGACAATATCCGGCGCTCTGTCTTGCGCTAACACAGACTCCAGAGTTCTGGAAAAGCTTTATGAATTCTCGCCTGGATATTCCCAGTCCAATGTGGCTAACCCCACATTTTAAGGCCACTTGCAGATTCCACCTCAAGTTATCACGGGATCTGAGTTCATCATCGCCATCTTTCATTCGATCCAATCATAGCTTCCATTGAACCTCATCACCAGTCATTGAATACAAGATGAAAGGTTTAAACTTATCCAAGATTCACAGTCTATCAAAATCACCCGCCCTCTTTCTTCAAGCCTCCTCAAAACAATATTCGACCCAGACCTCCAAACTTGGTGTCCTCCATGGCAAAAAAACCATCATCACAGGTGCCTCCCGCGGCATTGGCCTCTCAATCGCAGAACGCTTCGCAGCAGAAGGATCATCCTTAGTCCTCGTCGCCCGTAACACCACATCGTTAAACAAACTCCTCTCTTCCCTTCCCAGTGGCCCGACTCAAGGTCATGAAATCGTCGCTGGGGATGTCGGATCCGAAGACTTCTGGACCTCGAATTTCAGAGGGCGGAAGGATGTTGATATCCTTGTGAACGCGGCGGGCGTGACGTTTGTAAGTCCGTTTCTGAGGATGGGAGGGGAGAAGATGGAGGCGGTTTTGAGGACGAATTTGATGGGCACGATGTTTGGGTGTGGTGCTGTTGGAAGGGGGATGTTGGGGCGAAGGGATGGTAAGTTTTCTTGTTGATGTTTTTGGCTTGAGTGTGGAGTACGAGATGGGCGCTAATTGAGGTAGGTTGCATTGTTAATGTTGCCTCACTATTGGGCATGAAGGGTGGACGTGGAAGTGCGGCTTATGTTGCAAGTAAAGCAGGAGTTATTGGTGAGTGAAATGCAAGAGCATTGCTATCACAGCAACGTTATTAGAACCACTCTAATCTTCGAAGGTTTCACGCGAGCTCTGGCAGCAGAATTGGGTGAGAAGGGGACACGAGTTAACGTGATTGTCCCTGGATACATTGAAACAGACATGACAGCTGGTATGTTGCCATTTCTTTCTCTAATACTTGACTATTCTTCCGCTGTCGGATGTCCCTCTTTTCCTGCCAAGGACTTTTCTAATATACAAATGACAGCTATGACTCCCGAGGCACGCTCCGATGCCCTTGACGCCATTCCCCTGAAACGATTTGGAGAAGCCTCAGATATTGCCGATGCTGCCGTCTTTTTAGCTACCAATAAATACGCAAACAACTGTGTGCTAAATCTTGATGGCGGCCTGAGTGCCGTATAATTAATTACACAAACATAGAAGATTGGTCGAAATTCCGAAGGTCGCTTATGTCAATACGACCAAGCGGACATAATTATGCGAGGCAAGCGACACCCGAGTCGCTTACCTATGGGATCAGTCGTCGTCAATCAAGATAGCACCATCCACCGTGTCATCGAGAACCACCGTCTCGTTGGTCATGGCTTTGGATCGCTTTGTTTGATGCTCTACATCTTCCACATCAGAAAACGTCCTCTTCTTGCCCGATTCGGCTGATTTCGCTACGATTCCGTTGCCGTTGGTTGCATTCGGCTGAGGCAGCTCATTTGAAGCTCCGTTTGACTCTACGACTTTCTGCCTTCGCGGTATTGGGGAAGATGGTGCATCGGCTGCCGGCTCAGGTGGAAAGTTTACTCCTTTTACTGGTTTGTCGGCTATTGGGCTGCTGCTGAAAGAAACGTTAGGCGATGAAGAGAAGGAACTTGACGAGGAGACTTACGATTCTTGGATATTTAGCACTAAGTTTACCCTTGGGTTCTCATCATCCTCATCGATAATAGTCAAGAAGCTATCACCTTTGATTCCTGTCCCATCTTGGTGAGCGACAGAAATGACGAGAAATCCGGACAACTTACCGAGTTCCCCAAGTTTTTTTGTTAGATTGTCAGTCTCTTCGACATCATATAGCAGATCAGCGCCATGATTTACTACTATCTCTTCGCCATAACCTAGCTCCATGCGCAGGAAATCCTTGACAAGGTCTCCAAGGGTAGCCCGTGAAATGTCAACAAGTACTAGAGCTTGTGCCACACTGCAGACTGGGCAGTCGGGATTGGGTGGTCTCGACTTGTCGGATGACAGCAATCTTTGGGGCGCAAACGGGGAAAGAAATATCTAGCCGAGTTAGACACATCCTGCAATTAAACAAAGCATTAGACGGTCATCATGTTTACTTACCTCCCGAGCACTCGAATATTCTCCCCGTAATACTTTAAATGACTGAAGAACACATAAACCTGCTACAATTGCATTTGTTGTTGCAATAGCAGGAATGATATTGCCAGCCATCTGCTTGATATCGAAACGAGATTTGGTCTCGATGCCAAAAACTATTGATCGTAGATTGGCGCTAGCGGAAACAAAGTCCAGAGTATCATCATCATCTTTATCGAACGTGATTACTGGTTCTGTGCTTGATGCTTTCATTGATTCGACCCTCTTACCCAGTCGTTCCAAACTTTGCTTGTGTTAACATACGACTCGTAGTAGAAGGGACGTAGAATGAACCTACCTATCCCGGAAGACGGCCACGTTTTCCTCTAAGGTCCAGGCTCTCTGGTCCTCCTTCAGCAGCTGCTCAATGGGCAATTGTGGGTTTAGCTTCCATTTTTCGGAAATTTCTGTATAACTTAATGGCCGAGGAGGCCGCCGAGACTTCCACATTTCTTCCATGGAAAGAAGTCTGTTGATATCATCTTTGTACACCTTGTCAAAAACAAGCTGGGGGAATTCTGGTGTGCCCATAGCATTCCTTATTTTCTTTAAAGCCTCCGATTCTTGCCGTAGTTTTTCGATCTCCTTAGCTGAGGTACAATTAGTGAAAAATTGTGTGATATGCCTATTCGCCACTGACCATTTTCTGAGTCTTCTGAATGATCCATCTGTGCCGATTCCTCCTCACTTGTTCCAAACATTTCACTGAAAGCTAGTTAGCATTCATATATAACATCATGAATAAGGCATGGGACCTCAATAGATAGCTCTTCCCCCAGACAATGCAATGTATGGGCTGGCTCGGTGTGCTTCGGATTGTGCAAACGGGAAATGTCTTGGGCGTTTCCTTGGGCGTACAATCATAACATGCCGTCACTCCCTTCTTAATGACCTGCACCTGTCCATTGAATCCAGTAGTGCCACTTTCGATGAGCGGTACATCCGCAGCCAAGCACATTTTGTTGACATGTCTTCTCGCTTCCAAGTTATCTAACGCGTTGAAGACAATTGTGAACCCTTTAAACCACGCCACATTGAACTGAGCATCTTTAATATTCGCATGGTGAGCTTCGAGCTTGACGTTAGGATTGAAAACATGTGCTGCCTCCTTTGCGACCTACGACCCGAACTCGTCAGTCTTGTTTCCTCCCATGTCAGAGCGAATGAGTCTCACCAAAGCCTTGGACTTTTTTATATGTTCCTGTCTGAAGAGGAATTGGCGGTTTAGATTACTTAGATCGATCGTGTCCAGGTCAACAATGTGAATCTCGCCAAATCCAGTAAGGACGAGGTTTTTGAGCAGCTCGCAGCCAATACCTCCAGCTCCAACCATAAGTATTCGTGCCTGTCAAAGTGGTTAGCGGAGCAATTCCTGTGCCAATTGTATGTGTATCGTATGGGGGCAAACAGAAGATTCGGAATACATTCGCAGATGTCTTTGGAGACCAGTTTCGGATGTGCGAATGTGGTCTCCATGCTCGATCTAGAGATATAATCCCCCAAAGACATCAGACTGCAGTAGAACTGTGGAAAGCTGTAGCTTACCTCCTTGACCATCGGGTTTGTGGTTTTCCCAAGCGACTGCTGGTATGAATGATCCCGAGTTAGAGATTGGATCATGATGCCGTTAGGTGGAGGCGATCGGCCTGCCACGATGGGAAGCGAAAAAAGAGGAATTGATGTCTGCGTTGACGTTGGAGAGTGTTTGCGCCTGGACGGCTGGGTACATGACAAGCCTCCAGTGAACGCGACGAGTTGCGACCAGAAGAAGCGCGATACCGACCGAGAAGCAGATACGGGATCCTTATCGCCGTATCAATTCCGACGATCCGAGCTCGGACCGGCAGGTTTCAAGGTGACGAAGCGAGAATCATGTCCTCACCTTGAGGTTTGGCAAATAATCTCACATTTTCAACGATTTGAGCCATATCAAACACCAGAAAAATTCGTATATCGGGTGCTGTCGCGCTTTCATCACCAAGAACGCTTCTGCTACGCGGACAATTTCAATCCAGAAAACCCTTCTATCGACTTTTGTCCACTAGCGAGCACGACTTAGGATTGACAATCCTCCCATTTCGACGACTGCATCCTTCGTCTGACCCAATATGTCTGATTCTGAGCCAGACAATGACCTTCTTGATTTTCTTCGTCAACACTTTTCCAAAGCCTCAATTGCAAGTGTACCAGAGACAAAGGTGCTTGAAGGTGCTGAGTATGTCTACCATAACTCTATTGACGTGGCCCTTGACTCGCAGTCGACTATTGCAGCAGCTGCCATGATATACGAACAGATGCAAAAGAAGCAGTATTCGACAAAGACATGGCAGTCACACGATTTTCACCCACAAGCACTTGACGCAAGCACTGTAGACTTCATTTTTACTATGGACTTGCTGAACTTTTCCTTTTGGTCTGAGAACGATGAAGAAGAACGGTTCGCTATCGAGTACCAGGGGAAACGTTGCACGGGATACAAGAGCTTGGTTGCCGCATTGCAGCGTGCACTTGAAGAGGGTTTGTTGCTTGCAAATGCTCTGAGAGGTACCGCTCATTAATCTCTTTGCTCTGCAGGTATTCCAATTACGTCTTCTGATTTTTGGCAGAGCGAAGACGAGTGTACCATTGATGTTTTGAGACATGTTTTCAGAAGTGCCACAGCCGAGGAAATTCCTCTCCTTCGCGAACGTTTTGACTGCTTACAAGAAGCGGGTGAAGTCTTGTACGAAGTATGTGCTTGCTTTTTGGGTGTAGGGAATGCTGCTAAATCCTACTTCTAGAAATATCAATGCAGTTTCACGAAATGCATTGAAGCTGCCAACCATTCAGCAGCTGCTCTTGTCAACTTGCTAGCTGAAAACTTTACTTGTTTCAACGATGTTTTCCCTTACGAGAACCGCAAGAATGTACGATTTTTGAAAAGAGCGCAAATATGCGTAGCAGACTTGTGGGCCGCATTTGATGGAAAGGGCTATGGGGAATTCCATGACATCGACGGGCTCACTATCTTTGCGGATTATCGAGTTCCTCAAATATTGAACTCACTTGGCTGTTTGTGGTACAGTCCTCTTCTACAAAGTGCCGTCAATCAGAAAAAGGTCATCGAAAGTGGCCATTCTTGGGAGCTCCAAATAAGAGGTGAGTTTAAAAAACCCTGTGCTATAAGGATGCTAATGATTTATCAGGTTGTAGTATTTGGTGTGTCGAACTTATTCGCAGGGAAATATTGAGAAAGCATCCGGATGCAAATATAAATGCCATCTTGATTGACTTCTTTCTGTACGACTTAATGAAAGAGCGTGAAGCCGCGGGCCAAGAAGATATCCCTCACCATAGAACTAGGAGTATATGGTACTAGAAGTTTGGAACCGAATAGCATTATAAACCTTCTGCTTAGGCGATATCGTAACAATGGAGAAGAAGCAAACTGGTCATCTAAAGCTTCACCTGGTTAAACCGTTAAACCCTGGCAAATTGATCATACAGAGACACAAGTAAATCGAACAGGACTTACGAATAATTTACTTCCGATTATCCTGACCTTCAAAGAATTAACTTTTATGGCAGTCTTTGACGACATTTCTACCTTCTAATCTACCGCCTGCTATAGTGACCATACGTTAACCTGCATCAACGACGTAGACTTACCGGTCCACAGTTAAGTTGTGATGCTAGTATCATACTATTCTTGGAATAGTATTGTTTGTAATTGATTTTTAAGCTATTGGAAACTAGATAAAAACAAGCAAGTCCAAAAGCTAAGCTATTAATATCTATTTTTGACAACCAAAGCGACCCTCCTCCTCTTCACCAGTTTTAGTCATCAAAATCGTAATTGACATGGCCAGCATACATCATATCATTCATCAACAGCCGTTAGAAGATATTTAAGTGTGTGTTAAGGTCGTATAAAGTTAAGAATGCGTTTATTGATGGATATCACCCCACCAAAAGGCACCAACAGTACTCTATTTGAACTTGCTATGCAATAATGAGCTGTAACTTTGTTAGCAACCATAGATGTTATGGGGATAGGTAGAAGCTCTCACCTCAATAAGTCTGTCTGTGAGGGCAGTACATTCTCTTTCATGTTCATTCTGAGTGTGGAAAGTCGCCGACCTCCATAATCCGCCGAATCCAATACCATCAAGAACGTCTTCAAGCATTTCTGCAGTATCCACACCACCAGCAAATTTAGGATTTGAAGTTATGGTACGAAGCAGTTTGTGAGCGGACTCAAGAGTTGCAGCATTCTGGCAATTCAGGAGAACATCATCGAGAATACTGATTATAGGAGCACATCTGCAGGACTCAATGATTTGTTTTAGTCAAGGATGGGAAAAACTTACAGGTGTAGGACAACAGTTGGTCGTTTTAGTGCAACTTTATTCAACCACAAAAGTCCACGATTCTGGATCGCTTCCTCTAAGTAGCGGAAGTCAACAATACCGATGGCCACGTTCAATAAGAGCTCTTTATCCTTTATAATTGTGAGATCAATGACATTCGTGACCTCTCCCGTCGTAAGGTCACCCCCCATTATTGTTTTGTTGGCAGCCCAGCTTTGCTGAGCTTCTGATGGTGTCATCGCCCTTGACATTAGCGCTCCCAGGTATGGGACATAAGAAAGATCCGCTGGGAACTTTGTGCCGTCCGCGGTGTTCGCACTTGTCGTCTCAAGAAATGTTGACAAGACACGAACCGCAGTAGCTTTCGTGACAGAGTCCGACAGACCTTTCACCAAACAAGCAACAACAGCAAAGTGGAAGCTTTCAATACTGAAATGGACTCCGTAAATTTCATCGAGCTGAAAAGCAGCATCATCCAGTGGAAGACGACCTTGCAATAGAACCGGCACCATGCGACCATCCTTAAATTCCCCGGAGGTAGCGATGTTGTTCAGTACGGCATCTAAGAACGAGGCCGTGCAATTGAAAAGAGGAAGAGGAACGAGCCTGATGAGCGAAAGTGCTAACCAAAATAGCTGGAGCCCGTAGCGAGAAGCCGAAGGAAGCTTATCCATCATCTTGGTCAATGAAGTGACAATTGCGACAAGCATTTCACTGTCACCATCCTCCATAAACCGACCAACGCTACTCCTCAAGGCAACCAACACCTGATACAAAAGATCGTCATCCACATCCTCTCGCGCTAAACACCCCATCACAGTGAAGGCTCTCGGCTGTATAGCAGGATTGCTCTGAAAAGCGGTACTTGCAACAAGGCTCATCCATCTGGAGCGCCATGCATTTGATGTATCAATTGTTGGAGCTGCGACTGTACTTACTTCTGATAGCAGAATAGCCAAGGATTCCGTCGCATTCAATGCCGGCATTCCAGAGTCTTGTAAGAAAGAGATGGAAGCCCCCTCACGTGCTGCCACATTGAACAGGGAATCATTCCCGGGCTCAGAAATTGATAGAAGCAGCACTTTGAGTCTTGCCATTTTAACTTCCTCCAAAGAGAATGTAGTGCACATCGCATGTATAGTATTAGTCAAAAGTCGGTGCACCATTACACGTACTTCTGGACTACCAGTGTTTGCTAACATCGTGACGAGATGAAAAAGCTCGGGAAGAAACAATTGTGACTGAACCCCACTATCAAATGAAGTTGATAAACAAAGGCGAAGAAGCACGCAAATTTCACTCCATACTGTGTTGTCGGGTAAATGACGAGTAGGACGAAGAGATGTTCTGTTCAGGGCTTTCCGTAACCGTGAGAGAAGCTTTCCGCGGATGGTGATTGTGCCAAGAGAAGCAATTACAGAACCTAAAATCTCTGTACGTTCATCATCGATGCCGTAGCTTAACGCAATTTTAGTAACCTCTTCCAAGAATATGTCTGTGTATGTTTCTTCGCAACAAATCATCGGCCAGATTCGGTGCTCAAAGGTGGTACTTAAGGTCACATCTGAAATTGCCACCTCAATAAGCTTGCGAAATATAACTGCAATCTTCTCTCTAGCTTTATCGCTATCAGTGTCGTTAGGTATTGAGGTCGTCCTTAAGCCAGGTAGCCATGGTGCCATATATGCGAGACTAAGAGGTCGCTGGGAGTATGGGAAACTTTCCCAACCAACAAAAAACTCGTTGAGAAAATCGACGGTCAGCTGCGGTTCTGACAGAGCGAGCTGCTTGCTGATGTCGATAATAAAATTGGAGGGATTCAATGGAACACATAGTTCTGATTTGGTAAGCATTTGGATTTATTGCGAGAAAGAAATATAAAAAAAATTGACATACCTTTCGTGCTCATGAATTTGGCGTCTGCTGCGAACTTGAACGCACGGCATAAAGCACACAGCAGATTGTAAGATGCAAGTCTAAGGACCTGGTCGGAGCTTGCCATGTTTGTCAACGCGATATTTAACAAGGTCCCAGGTACATCTTGTGGGCGAACAAGCCTTTCAAATGACTTTAATGTGCGCAGTTCTTTACCTTGTTTAGACTTCGCTCCTCGGACTGCCTGCAAGACCTCTGGCTTCCTTGGGCTGGTGAAATACATAACAATCTTCCCATTCTCGGTCCGAAGACCGAACGCGGAGTCATCTTCTGTTTGTATTGATGTCGGTGCCTCGTCTACTTCAGACAGCCGAAAAATGTCATTTACGGTAGCGTGGAGCCTCAAACCAGGTACGACCTCTTGCTTTTTGGCTGTTGTCACCTGTACAAATTGACTGCCAACCTTTATAACAACCTCAACTTTTCCCTTGGTTTTCGAAAGTCGAGTGATAGGCTGAAAAACATATCTTGTGTCGGTGACAACACTAATTGTATCTTTAGGTAGATGCAATTGACTTAGATGGAAATGAGCCTGCAAGTCCTGGAGACTTCCAATCAGATGATAGTCGACATTCTTTGGATGGAATGCACTGTTTTCGCTTTTTGCAGCCAAACGCAGAATGCGGCGGAAACATTTTCTAACATCTCAGTCAGATAAAACCTAAGTTGTCAAGATAAACTCACCGAAATGCACTGTTCATGTTGTAGACGAAGACTCTCGAAAGTTGTCTGGATAACTCCGTAGGAGTCAATAGATCCAACTGTTTAAACAAGGCATCCTGAGGCTCGTTTTGTCCATTATAGCATGTTGCATCGATGAGGATACCAAAAGGTCGATGCCACATGCGGCTAGCAATCTGTTATTAAATATTTTTAGCATCTTGACCGATGTGTCTGAGAGGTGTGGCTGCCCATACCTTCAGATATCCGAAGAGTAGAAGCTCCCAGTCTACCGTCTCAGTATCAATGTTACGGAGAATAATACAAATCATTGGCAGCCCATCCTGTTCAAAGTTAGCCAAGCAGACAAACAAGTCAGTGACACGTACTTTACTTTCCCCTCCATCGTAAACAGCACGAGTAGAGACTAAAGATTCTGTGTTGCGTCCAGCATTTTTCAGCATAAAATGTTGAAAACGTGAATATGACGGTGGTGTATTTTGTGAAATCATGGGTCGATTCCACGACACATCCATTGGAGGTGGACCAAGGTTGGTAATCAATTTCCTTAAAGATTCTAGCATAGGAACCGAGCTCCCGATCTCCACTAATGGTGAAACTACAACACCCTTCCGTTCTCGTAGTACAATCTTCTGACGGACATGATCCCAATGATCATATAGAAACCTGTGGAGTGCGACACACGAGCCGAAATCAAAAGCTTCGGAATCTACTGTCGGTTCGTTCACATTTGGGGCTACCTGATATCACGATTAGTAAACTTCAAGCAATGACCAAAATACGTACGGATATTTCTCTCAGAAAAGTTGTAACACGATAAATGTGCTGGGTTAAGAATTGATTTAGGGGATACATGAAAGGCTCTTTGGCGCCAAAAAGAACGTTGTTAGCAAGATTTTGTACGACTTTAGCAATTAGCAAAAGTCCACGTCGCATTTCTTTGGACAGGGGCGAGCTGATAAGACCCTCGACATCTGGAGCAACGATGGCAGGGCAGAAGAAACGTAAGAATATGAATGCCCCAACAGCAGTAAATATTGCGTCTGGAAATCGCTTCATGACCGCCGTCGAGATCTAAAGATCCATGTTAGCAAAATTTCCAATGAAGTGTGAAGCATAAGACTCACAATGCTACAGATTTTCCGGAAAGACACAGGCATATGAGGAGCAGAACTACAAATATCCTCTATGAAGACCCTAGTGACCACCTTGAGCTGTAAAGCATTCTTGTTTAACTCTTCAGCGGAAGTAACTCGAGCAGGATCAAGCTCCAGATCAAGATCTTTGGACGTAAGGACTAGTCTCTCAAGAACCTCTTGCAAAGTTGCTTTCAGATACGACGCGCCTTTCCACTTGGCATATAAGGAAAGCATTTTCGTAGCAACGCAATTTCGCCGTAACAGTTCGGCTTCATTCTCTAAAGATGAATTAGAGGGAAGTCGGTATATTTAGTATCAGGTACTTACCAGTCTGCTCAACCTCATGATCAATTAGACCCTCGAGTAGGACCGATCCCAACCCCCTCGAATCAAAGATGTTGAGTAGCGAGATTGTCATTTCGTCGACTTCATTGCTTGGGCATGCATCACAAAGAGCGATTGTCAATGGCATATCGTTGATGAGCAACTGCAATAGTTAGCACTAGTAGTGGATGATATCTGACGTACTCACTTCAAGCAACTCATCGTACTTCTCGTTAACTGCCGTATCAGAAAGATTATTGAATTCGGCACCCTGAATGAGAATATTGCACAGTACTTTAACGAAAGCGGTTCTTATGTCTAGGTCTTCATGATACCCAATTCCCAGAGAATGCTTGAGCCCTACATCGATGTTGGCACTTAACAAGTTAGATAATGCGGTGATTGCAAGCTCGGAAGTATTTGAAGAATCGTCGTTTCCAACTGGGAGCGATCGAGCGTCGTTCCTCCTAGCATCGCCAGAGTCGTAGTTTAGGAGTGACAGAAAACGATTAAAATATGTGTGGAACATTTGCGACTTCAGGTCGCTAGTATCTGCATCGCTTTGTCCGTCAGCTGGTTGTAAAGGAAGCCGGTAAGTCAGATCTGCTAGAGCTTTGAGACACGCTTTGTCAAGGTCTTTCTGAAGTCGCAAAAGCTCTTCAGCACGAGCCCCAGGGGCATGAATTGCATCGTTTGGCGTGCCGGGTCGTGCGATCCAACTAAATATGACCTCCAGTAATTGGTTCCTAATTCGGACATCGTGACGTAAATTGAGGAGCTCCTTCTTCTGGGTAACAGTCTCACAGAGTTGGCATATCTTAATCTTCACCCTCAAAACACTAGCACCTTCCTGTATTTCATCCAAAAATTTAGCGAAGTTGAGTGTCAATGCTCCTACATCCACAGAGAGAGAAGTGCCAACTTCAGCTGGACCCCCTAGCTTTTCCACAATACTTCTCAGAAGTGCAGAGGCCTGCTCCGCAAAGATGATTCGGGACTCAACAGAGAGCGATGTGTTCGTGCGGGGACTGTCGAACAACGTGCCGAGTTCGGTTTCTAAATTCTCAAACAATGGCAAATAGAGAGGCGACGCTAACTCGGTAGAAAGGGTCTCTCTAGTAGCTTCTCGTATGCGTACATTGTTGCTTGCAAGTAGTTGCACGCTTTGTCTCATATACTTTGTCAACAGGTTTTCGTCATAGCTGTCAGGAAGAAGACGGTCAATCCACCTCAAACCTGCAAAGTTTGACTCCTCTGGTGATGGTGTTCGGCCAGAGATGCAAGTCCCGCCAAGCGATGCTAAGAAGCCAGAGTAATTTCGCCATTCCACCAAAGCCCTTTCCTCCAAAATCTCTGCAGGACGAGAAAATATGTGTTTGGAGATTCTTAACCAGAAGTCAAACACGGTCTCCCAAGCAGCCAGCATACCAGCTGTAGGATGCGCCATCTGTCTCAAAAGACCACGAACGCGTTTTTGAAAGGCAACCAGCCCAGTGAACCGAAAGTCTCGAGAGGATATCTCGGTGTATAAATCGAGATTTCGTAGAGTCGGGGTAAGTGCTTTGGCAGATGATGCGGTTGAACCATCCACAATGCGGCCTTCATCGCAGAACAGAGATATGCATTTGGTGACTAGTTGGCAAGCCGAGATATCTGTTGAGCAAAGCGAAACGAGAAACGCAGTTTCCAATTTTGAACATGCAGCAACACGCTCTGGAATATCTTCCTCTAAATCCCTCAGCTCCTTGTTTAAAAATTAGTTAATGCTAGGATATGTGCTCAGAACATCATGTTGCATGCTAAAGCTTACCTTGATATGCTTCAAGAGTAATAATCTGGCTTCGAGAAAGTCATGAACGAAGTGGAGAGTAACTTTGCCGTCGTCGGTCATGTTGATTAACCTCTCAGCAACCGTCATCAGGACTACCGACCTAATCAGCGAATAAATTAGTTATACAAGCATCGAATAAGGACACGCTACATGTGTACATGACTTCACGATGGGAAAGTTGTGAGGCTTGATTGATTTCTTATCCAGATACGGTAGGTGGATGCCACCTAGCAAGAGGACCACTTTGCTAAGCGAGTTTAGGGGGGGCGGGGGGGAGACACTAACGATGTTCTCCAAAATGTATGCTTGAACAATTTCGTTTCAGGTGTTTCAACGCGGTGGTAGATGGCAGTAGTGCCCTCCGTCATGAGCTTCCGTGCTACAGTGCATGTCATATGTCTTGTTCGTTCATCGTCTGTGACCAAATAAATCAGAAATGATGTAAGGGTGCTCTCGAAAAACTTCACCCAGTCGTCCGTATTATCGGGCGCCCCTACAAGTAGGGTGAGCGGTGATGCATCTAGGAAAAGAAGAATGTTGTAGATCATGTCGGATGAGGTCGCGACCTCGAGGGGCTTCAATATTGGATATGGTTCGTCTGAATGGGACTCTCGCATTTTCAGAGCTTGACTCTGCTGACTGTTAGCAAGGAAACTGCTTATCGCCTCTTCAACGAACCTTAATCTGAGCTCGAATGAAGTCCGCTACCTTTGCGTATAGCGGCTGATAATCTTCCGGATTGGACTGGCGAGCGAAATGAGAGCAAGCTGATATAACAGCAAGCTTGAAACTTTGCGCGGCGTTTGGAGCAAGGCATAAACGAGCTAGACTGGCAACGCTGTGCTCAAAATTGAGGTGCGTCAAACTGACAAATGTTGCGGTCATGAGTGGCCCATCAATATTTGACGTATCTATTCCAGTGGAAGGGTTGCGGAATACTGCTTCCCTGACCTCTTCCTGCACGTCCAATGCATAGCTGAGTATAGCGGCGTCACTGTCCAGACTGAAATGCCGCGCGACTCTCAAAACGGATGTCAAACAATAAACGGCTGTCTCATTCCTGTTTTTCAAGGCTTTTCTAAGCATCTCTAGAAAGGAAACTTTCTTAGTAATACCACTACTTTTCGCATCTCTCATATTGCTAGCCACCTCAAATACTTCGGGCAATAGCAACAGAAGCGAGATCTGAAAGGGGAACAGAAGTGCTTTTCGCCGGCCACCGTCGAACGTGGTGGTTGTCATATCAAACAGCGTGTCTGCACCTAAAACTCCACCGGATTAGCCCATTTGATACGAATAAATGAATAACCATATGGAAACTTGAAAGAGATTTAATATTGTCACGCTTGATCTAGCACCAGCCATGCTTGCTGGCAAAAACGACATGTTCTAGGAGATCACAGGGAGAAGGAAAGGGCAAAGAGAAGGTTAACATACCGCCATCAAGTCTTTTGTGTGTGGAATGGAGATCAACAAATTCCTGAGGATTTCTTTCAAGCCATCTGGTAATTAGTTGTGGGACTACCACTGCTACTGTCGTTTGGAATGTCTTGCGAAGGTGTAGGAAATTGCCACACAATTCCTGAATCAGAACACCGAGTTTCCGGGCATCTACCCAAAAACAGGAGATGTATCGAATGACAATTAATGCACTTCTATCATCATCAACTAATACGTTGGGAAGGCCAGGCCCAGTCAACGCAGGATGGACTGCCTGCACCAGAGCAATCCTAAGATACTCAAGTACCTTGGTCCAATTCGAAAAGGACAGATATTCGACAATAACCCTGGTGAAAGCATCAATAGCATCAGTATTCTCTAAGAGAAGTTTCGGCACTTCAGTGCCACTAAGCTGCCCATCGAATGAATCCACAGGATCTTGCCTAAAGATGTCATATTTGTCGAATTTCTTGTGTGAGTCGTCCAGAATGTTCGAGCTGGGAAGTATATAGGTATCTGGCACAGGTCTCGAGAACAGCTTGACTGCGTCGAACAATCTTCGGACAAGATCGTCACTTAGGGCGTCAGGCGGCTGAGTTCGCGCGAGAAGGGTGTTTCGAGATGCCCGTCTTTTGTTCTGCAACCCTTTTGCGCCAGGAGAATTCTTCAGAATCCTCCCAGCATCCGTGTCTTCTGAGTCCGAAGTGCCATTTTCCGAGGTCAACGAGCGAGAGCCTGCGTTAACAGTATCCCAATGCTTCGAGCAGCAATCTGCCAAAAGCGCAAGCACATAGAGCTCCGAATATACCACATGTATTGGGTGCGAATGTAATCCTTTGTATGGTCTTGCTAGCTCCTCCAACAATTGTACTAATGCTTCAATGACAACAGCTATGCAAGCATTGCTAACTCCCACCAGGGTTGAACGTGTGAGCACTACAACTTCGTCGCGAGCAAACTCATGCGAAGGAGATCCGGTTCGATGGGGGAGCTGCACATCCAACCATTAGCAGTGCACAAATAAATTGGGGTTTGCAAAGGAACAGCCTACCCTTGTGGTCAATCGGTCAACGAGCGTAACAACCAGACTTGAGTCGCCATTCATGGCTGAGAGCTGGAATCGCCGCGAAGTTTAACCTAGTCACCACCTCGAGGCATGCGACTGGAATGTAAGCATTCAAAAGCAAGCACAAAAGACCCGGGGAAGGTGCAGAGATATTGTCTTGAGCGATGGTATGAAGGAAGCCAGTGAATGTGGTGGTGCAATCTTGGACATAAGGTAACCCAGCGATGTGTAGCACTCTATCAGCAGTGAAGCGAGGATCTTGTGTACTTCAGCACATCCTGCCAGCGGCGCATGTGCAGGAGTTTGAAGAACACTGGTGGGAGAGAAATTTGTGGTGGGAAGGTAGAGGACGTTTCCCAGGTTAGTCGCGTAAAGTGCAAATAGCTCGAGACGTCTCAGGAACCCCTCGATACTTTCCTCCGTACCGTCTTATGGCTGAGCTTGAGCCTAGGTGATCTGCATAACACCCCTGCAGCCTTAATCGGGGCCAGCCACAGCATACTGTCTCACTGTACAAGCCGGCACGCAACCTGGAACCTAAAACAACTTTTGAGAAATACGACACTGGTAGTAGCTGCGGTACACCGAGAAAATTCACAAGAAGCGCCACAACCAAATTATCCAATAATCTAAAATTTACTATTAAAATCTCAATTTTTTTTTGGTCTTTGTCTTTCTGCCACTATTTATACATGCATAACCTCCCGCCCATACTTTTACAACATCCAACCTATGATGCCTAATATCTTCTAGATTCCGTTGTCCCAAGATACCGAATTCTTTTGTAATTCCATTCACTCAACGATGGCCGCGATAGCCATCATTGCCTCTATATGATCCCCGATATGATTCACCTCCGCCACGATGTGAGCCGCCGTTGTAACGTTGACCACCATAACTACCGTTGCCGTTATTAGGCCGACCATCGTAGCCGTATTGCTGTGGGGGAGGCTGCGAATAACCTGGAGGTCCTGGAATATGGGCAGGTCCATTATATCCATAACCAGGTGGCGGTGGAGGAGGAGGGCCGCTGCCAAAACCTCCCATTCCAGGAGCGGGAGGCGCCCATCCAGAGCCGGGTGGTGGTGGAGGATAGTACGGTGTATTGCTGTAGCCATTATTATAAGAGTTGTTAGCTGGGCGATTGTTTTGTCCGTAGCCTCCTTGATGGTGGTTCGACTGGTTGCCACCAGCATAATTGAATGAATTACGACCCCTGCCATCCCCCTTCAATGGCACGCCCCCATGTGAACGACCCGACTTGGCTGCCTTGCTCTTAGTTTGCTCAATATCACTGGCATTTAGAGCAGGTGGCTTAAACTGGACTCCTCGCAACAACATGGACTTGTGGACATGTTTTGATTTTGGCATTTCATAATGGACACTAGTTTTATATTAGTTGATTTCCGTTGTGTTTATGAAAGGAGAAATTACCTGATAGACCGATCGTCGTCGAGGCTCGGCATGGCATCGCTAAGCGGGAAAGAGAGCGAGCTATGTGGGATATGAGCTTCATTCTTTTCCACTATTCCAGTCAAACCTTCACTGGCACGGGGGTCTAATTTGACAACGGAGTCGCCTTGCTTCTTCGAGTAAAATTTGGCGGCAACGTGAGAGTACAATTCCTCATGCGCTTCAGCAATGAGTAGTGCGTCTTTGCCAACTACATTTCTAGCTGCCACATCAGGAGCCAAGGTCGGGTAGACCTTCGCCATGGCTTGCAGCAAGCGTTCAGAATCAATGAATGGCAGCAGTGCCACTCCCTGCCACGCAAACTTCTTGCCATTGAGGTCAACAACGAAATCCTCAGGATAGAAATCAATAATTTCGCTGTCCGGATTGGTCATCAATTCGTGGAAGGCTGGTGGAATGGCTTGGCGCGAAGCCGCAGGTAACACTCCCATGAGTTGTTCGTAGGGCCTGAAAATGCGACCTTTATTGAAACTGATTGTCATATCTTTGAGGTCAACGAAATCCGCTGCGAAAGGTGCATAATGATACGGGTAGTACCAGTCCCAGGATGGGCAGCCTTGGAAATAATAGAGTAGAACCCAGGCCAATCCTTCCACGTATGCTCTTGCGACTTTATGTCTAAACTCAATGTCGCTTGGGTGGACATCGAACTTTTGAGAGTAATACCGATCGGCATAGCCTTCGTCCCAGAGGCGGACATTGTCAACTGGCGGTTCGTCGGTGGGGGTACTTGGCGTGCCAGGCTGAGGCGTACTTGAACCTGGAGTACTGGTATCTCCATCCTCCATCAAGTCAGCTTTACGCTTTCCAAGGGCAGAAGCCGGCGACTCCTGAAACGCCTCGGCAGATGGGTTTGCAGCCTCTTCATCCGTAGCTGAATTGTTGATTTGGCTTTTTAAAGCTGCAGCAGCACTCTTGTTGGCCAGATTCGCTTTGTAAATAGCACCTCGATTAACCGCCATGTCGTGAGTCATTGTCCGCACGTCCCGAGAAATATCGCCGGCACCTGGAGCAAACAATGGAAGACCAACGGGAGCATCGTTGTGCCTACCTGTTGTTCGACCTTCCGACGGAGAATCTTGGGCACCCCCTCGACCACCCCGGCCTCCGCCACGTCCACCACGGCCGCCACGTTCAGCCTGGAGCTTCCTTCTCTTTGCTCCGGCTTCTCTTCTATCTTCGGTCTCCTTTCTACGGCGGAAAATGGCATCTTCTTGCTTGGCAAGTCCTTCAAGGATAAGTTGGGCTCGCTCCAGGTCAACGTGTCCGTCCTTGGTAAGATAACCGCCCATGAAAGGAATGTTGTCACGCCAAATTGCAATCAGTGTGTCAATACCATTCTCTCGGATCTCGAGACTAGGAAGATGTGGCAAGAAATCATTTCCAACAAAAAAGCACATGAAAACCCAATCATCTAGTGCTCTTTCAAGGTCAAACCTGAAAGGTTGACTAGGAACATAAAGCTCTGCCTCGAGATACTCGCGCAGGATGGAGACATGCAACCAGATGAAAGGCTTCAGGGCAGGAGCACTATCTTTCTCGTCGAAGTCTCCATCCTTCACTTTAGCCTGACCTGTGCACTCTCGTGCCTCATGGCCAGCTTGACCACACATGTGACAGGTTCGTGGCTTGGAGTCTTGTGCAAAGACGTCTTCTCGCAATACACGGAAATGTGGTTCATGAGTTGCTAGACCCAACATGATCAAATCAGCGTCTAAGCCGTATATAACATGTCTCGTGTTGGGATCATGGTCAGGAGATGATCTTTGTGATCTAATGAATTCCATGATCTTGTGTTCACCCTCACCAGGAACAGTCGAGTCGGAGATGATAACCTTCATCTTTGCCCAAGCTGGATCAGTATTAAGCTTGAGAGCAATCCAGTACCGTAAACTTGATGCTAAAATATCCATAAACGGCGTTCCAGGGGTAATTTCATTTGAATCAAATGCTTTCTTTACGGCTGCGTCTTCAGTACGGCCGCCTTGCGACTTTAGCATCTTGGCCAATTCGGCCTTGTCGGCTTCTTTCTCTTTGGCCTCCTGAGCAGAACGAAATCGACGAGAACGTTGTTGGTTCATTTTTGCACGCGGCGCAACACCATCAATAGCGATCAGAAGCAACTTTCTAGGGCGAACCATGTTTACAACACGATCGGTATATTTAAATATCTCCAACATCATTTCCTCTTCATCCTTCGGTGGAGGCCTATCTTCTGGATGCGAACATGGATGGACAATACCGTTCATATCTAGATACAAATTATCGAATTCTTCGCCGTTGGGATTGGGACCCCTAGTATCGACCGGTATTTGGACGCCGTCAATTTCGCGAGGTTGCTCTTCAATTACTTCAGATAGTCAGCACTGTACAGAGAAAGAGGTCCACAAACTTACCTCCGCTCACAATCTTCGGGTATTTTTGGCTGAGCCAGCGGAAAAGTGCTGGGACACCCATATTGCCGGTTGCTTTGTTACAGCAAATAGAGTGTCAAGATGAGTAAGGAGGATCAAAGGTTCGTAGACTGCCTAGCTGAAGGACCTTGAAAAGATGCTCTCGATCTAGTTCATCTGCGACGAGCTTCAAAGTTGTTTCGAAAACACTGGTGACCTGATCTTCCGATGGAGTGTTGAAATATTGATATCTTACGCCGTTGTCGTGGTTAGATTTGTCCGCGAGGGAAGAGAAAGAAAAATGCTGAAGGTTTAGGGCGGAAGAGATGCTTTGTCGCGACTCGACCCTTGGGGCGATGCTTTAGCGCGACGCCTAAGGATAAAACGCCATGCCAAGTGGTGAATGCGCCGGAAGCGGATCTACTTTGAGCCGATTATCTGGGGAAAGAAGACAGAATTATAGGCGGTTGACGATTTGCTGAACAACAGCTAGCCAATTTATCTTTGAGAGCCAACAATGAAACAAAACGCGCCCCCTAGCTGACGTCTGACATCAGATGGCTAACAAATTCGAAGCATATGTTGAGCAATGTTCACTATCGCAAGTACGCCGGCGAAGCAGAGTGTCACCGAGACCATATCGACCTTAGCCTCGAGGCTTTCAAGCTCGACTCTTTTGGAGGACAGACGAGCTGCGATTTTGGGACTGCGATCATTTGCCAAGGACTATCCTGCATCGGTAGCATCTGATGCGCTTCGAGGGTTGATTACTAGTCTCACGAAAGATGGCGAGGATGTTGATACCGTTAAGGTGGTGCTCGAGACACTTCTGATGCTCTTCAACCCCAATGAGAACAGCCCAGAAGCATCAGAGGAGATTGCATTGTGGCTTGCAGACGAATTCACACAACGTCAAGATAATATCACCCTATTGCTTGATTTCCTAGAGACCAATGACTTTTATTCTCGATTATACTCCTTACAGCTCCTCTCCGCCATTTTAGCGTCTCGAACCGAACGAACGGAAGAATGTATCTTCACAGCACCATTAGGAATCTCGAGATTAGTGGCTGTGCTAGATGACAGGAGGGAGGCGGTTAGGAATGAAGCTCTTGCGTTGCTCACCTATTTGACGCCTAGCTCGTCCGAACTCCAAAAAGTAGTAGCTTTTGAAAATGTGTTTGACCGCATATTTAGTATAATCAAGCTTGAAGGTTCCATATCTGAGGGAGATAGAGTGGTAGAGGATTGTTTGATTCTTCTTGCAAATCTTCTTCGGCTCAATGTTTCCAATCAGTCGTTCTTCAGAGAGACTGGCTGCGTTCCAAAGCTTGCTCAATTACTGAGCAACTCCCTCGGTGGTGACACTACCGGAGAGGTCGCAGAATGGGCAATGCTCCAAAAAAATAGAAACACATTTGCGTTATTGGCTGTCCTCAGATTGTTCCTGGTTACCGGTGGTCATGGAACACCTGCGAACCAAGCATCTTTCTGGCAACATGGAATCTTGGCTCTAGTTCTTCAGATTGCCTTCAGTCGCAATACGGAAATGCAGATAAAGGCAGAGGTGAGAATCAAGCAGCTTTATGTGGGTGTAGTTTTAACAATGATCAGGCGCTTATAACTTGTGCGGATCTAATTCGAGCAAATTCGAGGCTCCAAGAAGGATTTGCTCAACTTCAAGTCACTTCAGTTTTGGACGAGCCGCCATTAGAAGGCACCGAGGCGGCACCGCAAAACGGTATTCCCAAGGTCTATGTCATAGACGGCCTTCTCGATCTCACACTAAGTGTCCCAACCCCGGCAGCTTTCGATTCTCGGATGGCTGCATGTGAGTGTATCAAAGCATATTTCTACAACCATCCTGCCATTCGAAAACACTTCTTGCGACGGGCCATTGATGGGCATAAAACTGGCGCTGACGAAACCGCTAACGTGTTGACAACTCTTTTGCAGCCTATGGATAGCCAAGTTTCTAGCGATCCTTATCGTTACTGGTTTGCGGCTGTGATATTATTCCATTTGATTCACGAAGATGGTGATGCTAAGAGTCTCGCAATGAGCCTCACTGAAGGTGATGCATCATCCGGCGAAGAGGTTGTAACCTGCATTCAGACCATAACGGAAAATCTCATCATTGGTATTCAAAAGAATGTCGATGAGCGTGTTCTCGTGGCCTACTTGATGCTTTTGTCCGGGTGGCTTTATGAGGATCCCGATGGCGTTAACGATTTCCTTGGGGAGGGTAGCAACATCCAGAGTCTGGTACAGGCAGTTGTAAATCCTGGACCAGGTGGAGTTCTTGTTCCAGGTCTTGCGGCGGTACTTCTTGGAACAATCTACGAATTTTCAACGAAGGATTCTCCTGTACCTAGAGCTACTATTCATCCTATTCTGGCATCGCGAATGGGTCGAGATTTGTACGTTGATCGGATCACGAAGCTCCGAGGCCATCCATTACTTCGGGATTTTGAAGTGCTTCCGCAAAAGCTAAGCTCAGCACCCCAAGGTGGATTTCCGGAAGTTTTCTTTGACAGGACTTTTGTCGAGTTCATCAAAGACAATTTCGGTCGCATACTTCGTGCAATTGATCGTGATCCGGGAATGGAAATTCCCATTATATCGAATGGGGTTCAGAAAGGCATATCAAGAGAAATGGTAGACTCACTGCGGTCGCAGCTTGAGCAAAAGAGCAAGGCACTTGAAAAAGCAGAAGAAGATTTACTAGTTGTTGGCAGGCAACTGGGTCAGGAGCAGGCAGATCACCGCAGAGCGAGGGAAACCTCTACTGTGGAGCTATCAAGGATAAAACAGGTCAATGAAGCTCTTCAAAGGCACCACGAAGAAGACCTCAAGTGAGTTATGTTTTGAGAATTCGCTAATTATTTACTAATGGTTTTAGTAAAATACGCGAAGAACAAAATCGAGTCGTTCAAGATCTTCAGAGACAGCTTGACAGTACCAAGAAAACAAACGAGGCCAATGCTGAGCGGGTCGCACAAGATCACCAAAGACAACTTGATCATGTACAGAAAACGACCGAGGCTAACGCTGCGAGGACGCGAAAACGCGCCGAAGCGGAAGTTTCCGACCTTCAGAAGAGCCTGAGCAAGTTAGAAGCAGATCTTGAGAAGGTAAATACAGCTGCATCTGCCATTGATTATCTACTAACACACAACAGGCGAATAAGAATCATTTGCAGGACCTCAAAACTGCTCACGATGAATACATGACCAAACAGACTGAGCAAGCGGCTCGTCTTAAGCGAGCAGAAGAAAAGCTAGCCGAAGCCAACGAGCGCGCCGAAGCGGCTAGAATAAAAGCAGAGAAGAGCGAGACCGCCGCATTAGAAAGGGCGAAGGAGAAGCAAGCCATTCAGAGCGAATTAGATGATCTGCTCATGGTGTTTGGAGACTTGGAGGATAAAGTTACTAAATACAAGAATCGACTGAAGGAAGCTGGTGGCAATGTCACAGATGAAGAGGACGATGATGAAGAAGAAGAAGACGAGGATGGCGATGGTGATGAGGAAGAAGATATTGACTAAGCTGCTGGCTTGGTTTGTTATATATGTGTCATAGTACTATTAGCGATGCATGGATGAAAATGACCGATTGGATTTTAGGCGTCACCTGTGAAATTCGACGTCAAGACTTTAAACAATAAATCAAATGGGCCTGGTTTTTAAGGTATAGTTCTGTCATAATCTCATACTCTCAGGCTTCTGTCACCAAGTCAATCAACAATTTGGTGTCACTCAAGGAAAGTAAGAATCAGAACGCCTTCCCAAGATAAATGGTTTAATTATGGCTAAGTAGATTCTACCATATTCTCTTTGCAGACATTTCATACCGACTGATCTTCGAAAAATCCTGCGCAACAGCTGCTTTCTCCTTGCCCAATCTCTCCTTCTCTTTTAATTTCTTTAACGTCTCTAGATCATCTTCGAAGATATGGCGTCGTTTCTCATCCTCCATCTCAACCATTCCCCAGCTCCCGAGTCGCTTACCCTCCAAATTGTAATTCTCATTCTCTCGCTTCTTCATAGTTCGATACCTGTTCCGCGCGAATTTCAAGAGAACCATGCCAAGGACCAATTTGCACGCTAGGAGCACCAGGAAGGCGCCAAGGAAGAAGATTAACATCGTTAACGCTGCGATAGCATCGTCTGCGCTTGGAAGATACCACCGGCTTGAAGCTGTGGGGTCGGAGATGCCGAAAGTTGAACGGCCGAGAGCTTTGCGAATGATGTTATCGAAATGCTCAAGCGCAGCTGTGGTCACCGGAGATGATGTAGCAGCATCCACTGACAAAGCCGTAGCTGTCGAAGGCAAGGGTGGTGGAAGATGAGTAGCGAGGAACATGTGGTATGTTTGGACGGAAGAGCGAATAAACAGGCACGACAAAGGGATAACCGGCAGGCCCAGTCGTTTCATGAGATTTTGGTTGACGAAAGCCTGGAGATCCTGTTAGCCTAAAACCAAAACTATCACAGTCGGATTTACATTGGTATAGTAGTCCTTGGCAAGAACGTCAAGGTATTTCTGATAAACCGCTGGCTGGATTCTATTGAATTTGCTGATGTAGGCGTGCTTTATCCAATCGACCAGCATTTCGCTGCCAAGAACTAACAAGAATGGTGAAAGCACCTCCCCCGTCCAACTAGGAAGTATTGTGAAACTGTTTGGCAGTATTGAGTTGGATCTAAGGGGCGAAACTGCTTCTTTGACGACGTCTGCAGCAGCTCCCTCGCCACCTAGGATGCTTAATCCGCCAACCTCGACTATATTCCTTAGGGCAATGATAGTCAGCATCAGCCAGAGCTGGAAGCGTTCAACAATGTCAGCGCAGGTCATCTGAAAAATATTGTCCTTCTGGAACATCTTGAACACTGTTGACTTAATCTCAACGAATTGATTCGACATGAGAAGTGTCAACAGAGCGTTGGAATATGAATTGACTGCCACGTTTAATGTGATAACTTGATAAAATAGGGCGGCGGAGTGGACGACGTTGTAGATCAGTGCCAGTATAAACATCCCCAATGGCCGCAGTATTTTACTGCGGCCATCGAGGTCTCTTTCGAGCGTCTCATCTGAAAAAAGGCACTCGAATATGTCTTGTCCAAGGGCGGAAAATAACTTGTCGAAGACCTTGACTCGTCAGTACACGGGGTACAAAGATGATATGGGGATGCATACCTCCAAAACATTATAAATAACGTAGAGCTTGATAGCTGCTTGACCTCGAATGCTATGATACATTCTACTTGCATCGAATTTCAATAAAATGATACAACTGAATATGATTACAGCACCTTGGAGAAGATCGGCTTTATGGTGAGAAGACAGAGACGATGGCACGGATTGCGTTCTTCGATGTCTGCGTCCCCACCCTTGCCTTGATTGGTGCCGCCGTTCATGTTCAGTTTTCGATGCTTCACGGGCGCCATTACCATTGACATGTTCGGAGGGTCTCCCGGGACGACTCTGATATGAACTTGTCGTTGAAATAGGTGGCCGTACCCTCGACGTGCTTCTAGATCGGTCTGAGGAGTCTGTCTTGTCTCGGCCTTCGCGTTGACGATGCCAGAAGCGGCCAGCGCCATGATAAATAAACCCTAAGATAAACTTGGTCTCCCTAGCAAGGACTTCACCCCACCAGGAGATCAAGACAATGAGCGCTTTGAAAAAACGAAGAGGTAGGATGGTAAATGTATACAGCCATGCATCCAGGCACGCTAATGAGCCAAAATAAAGGACTTGCTCCAGCTGAGGTGGCAACAAAAGAAAATTCAATAGACGTTCGAACTTGATCTTAGAAGACTCATAAGGATACTCGCTATTCGCTGCGCGATAAATGTACAATGGTGACGGGCGTGATGAGGATAATTCAAGCTGGAGATAGGTGGGTATCGACATGGGCGGAAGTGGAATATGCACTGGAGAATGAGGCTCTACTGAAGGCCCTTGTGTATGTTGCTTTGCGGCAGTACCGAGATCTAGTGGTTCAGGACGAGGTCCATGAGAGGCAGGCTTCCGTCTGGGTGATGTTGGACGAGGTGTGCTTTTCTGGTACGAAGACATGCGGTTACTGGCCGCTGGTAGAGCAGAAACAGAACGCGATGAGAATCCTGGCCGCCTACTAATTCCATTCGTCGTCGGAGTTGAGGCACTTTCCGAGGTAGATTTCCTATCTGATTCTGGAACAATGCCTTTTTTTGAAGGTTCAGAAGAGCTCTGATGAGCGAGGTCTTTTCTCTTTTGAACCCCCACGTCCAGTCTGTTAATCTCTGTCAATGTGTCTTCTCCCTCGAAGACTGGAGACGCAGCGAGAGTTGGTTGGGTCGGATGAAGAGGTCTGGAAGGAGAGGTCACTGGGAGACTCTCTGGGGCAGATGTTAATGCCTCCATATCAGCAGCAGACAGCTTCAACACCTCTCCATTTGCTTTAGCGATCGAAAGGGACGGTTTTCGGGCGGTAGGCGGTTTTTCCCTGGCAGGTTCCTGCAGATTGCTAGAGGAGTGTAGCTTCGAAGACGCTCCCGACCTTGTGGAGGTTTCAACATTGTCGGTTTTTGTCTCGACTTTATCCAATTCCTTAGCAGAGGCAGAAATGCTGCGCTGATCCACGCTCGGAGCCAGCTTATCGACTTGCTCTCGTGACTCTGGGAACGTCAGGCAAGCAGATGAACTGCGTGGCGACGGTGAAGGAGAAATCAGTTGAGCTGGTTCAGGGGCGCTCAGTTGGTATTTAGGATGCACATCGAAGCTAGGGTTGATGCTTGGGGCATGATTGGACAGTTCTGCTTCTGAATCTTGGAGTATCTCACTGCTCCTGTTTCTCTCGTGGGTGCTGGCGACGATTGCTTCTAGTTTCCGCGCTGCCTCCTCCGCATAGATGCCCATCTCGATCACCCACTAGAAGTTGCATGGATGGTAAGGCTGCTCTAGCAATTGGAAGTTTGTGGTGTAAAGTCCATTTCTCTGCAGCGGTGGTCTAGACGAACGAGGAAGTCGAATCAAAGAACTGGAAACCTGTCACATGTCACATGTCACCTGATTGGTCTGAATTTATGGTGGCGGCGACATTGTGGCCAGAGCTTGTGGGAGAACTCCGGCTCTGTGCCTCTTTCCCAAACCGGAATGCTTTAGTCCCAACCGGCGAGTTAGATTTTAACGCAGTGTGGCTAGTTTAAATAAATGTAAGTAGTGAGAGAAAGACTTCAATTAGACATTAATCACCGGAGTATCTTGTACCTAGTGCACTGACAGGATGGTAATTTAAGCAACGCACTATCTATATTTCATTCTATTTTTCCTTTTCCCATCCGTTACTAATACATACCGTAAATTTCCACCACGCCGAATAGCCAACGTGGGTATAATATAAATTCAGCGCCAGGTAATAAAGTCGAATATTCTCAACCTTGAAAACAGATAATCTTACATTCCTCATTTTCTTGGTAACTCCTTGAAAACCTTTCTAAAAATTTCACGACTTTTGTAGAGATTGCTGACTCTCAACCGCTCATTGTCAAGGTGGGCGCTGTCGCTTGCTTGGCCGCATGGCAGATGAGCTGCAGGTGCCCCAAACTCCTTTTCCAGGAACCTGATGCTTGGAATTGAGCCTCCTTCACGTATGTACAATGGCTTCCTTCCACGTCTCTTCTGTGGGCTAGAACTGCCATTTGTGATTGGGGAGAGCGCGGGGTCATCGAGGAGAGACGTGTCAAGTGGCGTCGATGCGAGAGATGTGTGGTCACTTCCATTTGTCAAAGTCTTCGTAGTTGCAGGTGTTGGTTTCAAACTCGGACTCGCGGTTGGGGTTAGCATTTTTGGGAGCTGTTGCTTTGGTTTCGGTCCGGGTACACTTGAGCGCCTCGATTCTCCAATCGGGCCCCAGACGTCCATAATCGCTTCCTCCAGCGTTTGAAATATTTCGTTGTCTGGATCCCCGAGCCAAGCATCAGCTTGGTTGTCAATCGCGATGGACATGTGATTGTGTGTGTCGAGTGTTGCGAATGCTTCTGAAAGAAACGTGGTAAGAGATCGAATGACCTCTTCAACCTCCTGATTCGGGACAAGACGCAACGAGATCGCGGCACTCGCATGAGACGATACAAGAGAACCGTCAGGACCGGACACCTTATATCGGTGGATTGTCAGATTCGGCTCACGCCATCTTGCCATTAGCGATGCTTTGAGAGTTTCTGGCGGCCCTAGCTCTGGGTTGCGACGGATCAACACTTCTGTAATATCATCATACCGAGCTGATTCTGCTGCTGTTAAGGGGAGGATATTGTCATAAAACCCTGGAATCTGTATGCGATTGTGGAGTCCCTTTAGCTTTGCCAATACCGAGGTCAGGTCAAATAAGGGTTCGTCCATCATGAAGCTACCATCTACACCGCTGTGAACATCAGGGTGATTACTGTCGACTTCTACAGTCGCATGCAGCATGCCTCGCAAGCCATAAGTCAAGCAAGGCACCTCATCGTCGAGCCAATAACTGTTAGCGAGTATGATATAGTCGATTTCGCCCACAAGATCCTTGTGTTGACGGACTGCTTCTTTAAAACCGCGTGATCCTGATTCTTCCTCACCTTCGATCAAGAAGGTAATATCGGATTCGAGCTCCTGTGCGAGTACAAGATCTACCACACCGTAGAGAGCTGCCATGATTGGGCCTTTGTTGTCTGATACGCCTCGGCCATATAGATAGCCATTAACACCTTTCATATCAAACGGATCGACAATCCACTTGTCTTGCTTGTTGTCGGCAGGAACAACGTCGTCTAGTATACAGTCAGCCAATATACATATATTGCCCGCGAGATAGAACTTACAGTGCCCGTAGAACAAGATCTTCTTTCTCTTACTGGAAGTTTCAGAATTGCCTCGAAACTTAGCGTACACAACTGGATTGCGGCCATCACTTGTATTAAGCATCTCCGTCTGAGCCCCATGTTTCTTGAACAGCGTTCGAAGAAAGGTAGCTCCTCTTCGGCAGTCCTCAGCATGATCTGGTCGCGAGGAAATTGTCTTGAACGACACAAACTCTTGCAGAGATTTCATGAGTTGACTGTCTGCTATTTCGGGCCTTCCTCGAGTTTCAAGCCTGCGATCTGTTATATTCCAGATAGAGACCGAATTATCGTTAGCACCTGTGATATAAAGTTGCTGACCATTATATGTGGTTACTGCTGAAGCTAGTATACGGCCTTCATGGGCCTTCCAACGATTTACACAATGGTACTGTTGATTGAACTGGGAAGAGTTTTGATATTTGCCATATTGGACAGTGCTGTATTTCTGATGCAAACTGTCAATAATCTCGTAAAGGTATAGGATTCGGGGATAACATACCCTTGCGAAACCTGTAGATCCGGCACTCCAGAGGAAGCCCCAGCCCATTTGCAAAGTCATCACGTCGCCTCTGTGCGCCTTGATAACTCGCAGCTTTTGCTTGGTGTCCAGGTCCCACAACTCAACCACACCTTCCAGTTTGCTACTGTAGAGGAATGATCCATCCACAGCCATTGAGAGGACCGACTCGGCATCGTCTTCCCCTAAACAAGCCACCTCTGTAATGTCTTGATTGCCGTGAGCAAGCTTCCAGATTTTGATCGTACCATCGCCTCCACCTGATATCAAAACATCTTCATCAGACTCGACCAGCCTTGTCACCCCTCTGACGAGAAGCATGCAATAGACATAACCGAAGTGCGCATAGTGCTTCATATGTGCCTTGTCGATTTCTAGTACTTCTCCGTCCGTAACAGAGGTTCGGCTAGGGAGAGGCCGAGGAGTCGAGGTCCCGCCATGCTGTACTGAGTCGAAGAATCGGTGATTTCGTCGATCTGGATGGCTTTCTGGATTTGGTCGCGGCCGTGCTGCTGAGTCCTTCAAACTACACCATTGAATGCTAGTGTTTTGCGCCCCGAGGTAGACCGTCTGGAATTGCTGCGAATATGCCACACTGAATACGTCCCCAACATCATAGGTGCTGTATATATGGTATATACGCTTCAGGTTGACTGGGCACCATGCGTTGACAATGGCATCCCCCGCGCTAGAAAACAAAAGCTGGCCGTCTGCAGAGAGGAAGAGGCACAAGACAGCTCTGGTGTGTGCTTGAATGCGAAGCACGAGCTCGAAAGATGCCAATGACCAAACAACAATTTCCCCATCTTGTGTTCCCGCGTATATATAGCGATCTCCAACCACGAGAGCTAGGATTGAGCTGTCGTTCTGTAGATGGTGAGCAAGCTCTGGTCTCTCCTTTCCCCGGACTATCTCTGCGCCATCTTCCGATCGGTCTGTAACTTCGTAAACCTCATCGTCGTCGCTCGCTGTTGCTGTAGAGCGGTCAGAAATATGAACGGGTAATATTGGAGGGTGCGCTGCTGCCCGAGTTCCAAAAATTGATGCCATTGTCCCCAGTGGATGTGTTAGGACGCGACCCTGGAAACGGTGCTAGATCCGCTGTGGCTAACCCCACCTTGCCCCGGATGCCCTCGTGGGGGCTCAATTGAAGCTACCTAGGTAATCCGCAGCTCTTGTAACCAGCCGTCTGTCCAACCACACGAACAAAATGGCCAGACGAAGCTTGAAAGGGACAAGAGTGTGGGGGCTTCTAAATCCGAAGATATCGATGAAAGGAAAGAGAGGAGAGTTTTGGAAATGCTTACCGGCGGTGTCTTCCACCTCCTCTACCTCTTCTGCTGTCTCGTCGTATTGCTGTCCCTTGGACGGCGCGTCTTCATGATCATCAACCCAAGCAGAAGCGTTGCACATTTTTCTCGTTATTGTCGATATGTTTTCTCCCCTCGTACAACCATTCCACCTCGTAAAGTACAAATCCCCGCTGCCTTCAAGCAAGATTTGGTTTCTTGCAAGAGCTGGCATCTTTCCTGAAAATTTGTTCAAGCGAATGAGTCAATTCGATTGCGTCAATTGGCAACATAATTGCGTCTTCAACATTTTCTTCTGGGGTTGATTCTGAGGAAATTTTGAGAAGGCCGGCGAGCTTGTCTCAGAAAAGGATATGTTTGAGTCACCTGGCTATAACTTTATTTCAATGCTCCGTTTGTGCTCCTTCACCAAACGCATTACGCATACCCCACGCATATTCACACTGCAACTCTAGGTAAGAGAACAGTGGAACATACATATTCAGCCCGAATGGAAATGAAGAGTCCATCTTGAACATCTCAACGAAGCACACGTGGCAGCTCCGAAGCAGGAGGAGACGAATGTAGCGGTAAGGACCAAGCTACCAGCTACCGTCGAAGGAGACTTTATGTAGATGGTGCAGATTGGTACTTTCGTACTTCTTATTGTACAGAACTGAGATGGCTGTAGTCAACTGATTCAGTATGTTGAGATTGATGGGCAAGCTACTCTAGTCAATAAGTAGACCTGTAGGTTATATTTCGTTGTCAGTCTCTTTTTCACTTGTCACACTTATTTCGTGCCGACACTGATGATAGCAACAGGAATTCCAACAAGTTTCGTCCCGCTGAACTGTAAAAGATTGAAATAATCGAACTCAATACATCCACAATGGATCCTCCTAACGATCTTTCGAGGGATATGCGGTAGTCATCAACAGACCACCTTGGGCAGAGCAAATTTTGGTAACGCTGAACAGAGGATAATTGAAAGTGGATCTACGTTGAATTACTGCCTATAATTTTCGTACAAGAACATGGTATTCAATGGGCTTTGGACGAGGGTCCTGCTCGCGAGTCGCTACCTTGGGAAGGCAACATTCGTTCTGTTGACTATGTTACGTATCTACTAGATTGTCTACCAGTATAGTAATGATATTGTGCACGTTTTTTTCGTCAAATCACCATCCAAATTCAAGATGCAACCTCGATGTGGCCTAGTATTTAGTAGTGGTGAGACAAAAGATTTTGATCTCATTCCGGTTCCTTCAATTTGGCCTTGGAAACGAAGTATTTTACAGCAAGTCATCTTCTTAGTTCAAAGCCAGATACAGCAAATATTTATTGCTTTGCTATTCCCCGAAAGAAGTTGGTAACACACTTGGATACACAAATTGATTCATCATAGATCATTCATGTTTCTGCAAGCGAACACCTTCACAGGTGACCCCTGTCCACCAATCGCCGGCATGAACCTTTAGGTCTAGTCTGCTAGGGCCTTTACCTTTGAACCTCGACTGTTCAAAGACGGATTCCTCTTTCACCTCTATCCTTCTATCCTTCTATCTAATCAATTTGCATTTACATAGAACTTCTTTAGTCTACTCATACTCAATTTGGTCGACTTGTTGACGACAATCACCCAATTATCATGATTCCCGAATCCTCTTCTCCAGCACGAGTTTGTACACGCCTCCCTTTCTGAACACGAGACGATTCTCCTCGCAGAGCCTTCGGTGTCGCCAGCATGTTACGAGGTCAAATAGATAACGATCCACACGATAAGCCATTGTTGGAGGCTGGCAGTGGGAGTGGGAGCGGGCCAGGGAGAGATGGATTGGGAATATCGGAACAGGAAGCAATCACAAGATCACCATCCAAAGGACGCTCCTTATCGCTTTCTGAAGGTGGACCTCCTCAACTGTCTCCATCGCCCAAGTTTCGAGAACCAGAAAAAAAGAAGTCGAAAGACGATAGCGCCATCGATGGCAGTCCTATTACGCCGCGCAGACCTGCCTTCGTACGCGGTCTTTCCTTGCAAATGCCAGCTCGCGATCTAATGTCACCAAATACATCTGCATATATCAGTCGTGCGCCGTTGTCACCCAAGTTGGACCATTCACAGACATATGGCTCGCCAACGAGTGTGCTTCCAAGGAGGTCTCGGGGTCTGGATTTTTCGCGGGCCGCGACGAACCTTCATCACAGCACCCTTGCGGAGCAGTCGTCACCCGACTCATCGCCCACAATCTCAGGACGAGCTATGAACATACCTAATCGGAAAAACGGGCTTCATTTCTTGGGCGGACATGAAACCACAAACATGAATTCAAGCTCGTTGTGGTCGACTATGGCAAATGCGGATCGGGCAGGAGTGTCGAGTTCTCTGGGAAGCGTGAACATGATGGATACAGTTTCAAGTAGCGACAGCTCCGACGATGACGATCTTATGGATGCAGACGATATCGATGATTCGATTCTTACAACGCCGCAAGTGGGCAAGATGGGCACACCGTTTGGAGCCATCCCTCAGGCCAGTCCAGGTAGTGGATGGATGGGCCAGTCACCGGCCGTCAGTAGCCTTATGAACTTCCAACGCGCTCGACTACGACATGGCAAAAGTAGAAAGAACTCGAGCAGTGAAAGTGGGAATTCGATGGCCAGCCCCAGCTCTAGATCACCCCCCGCAATGCGCAGTATCGAGAGCATGGCCAGCAACCTTCTTGGAAGAGATGTGCCGCGGGAAGGCGTAGGTTCCAGGAGGGAAAGCATCAGCTGGGCGGCCAATCAGCTACATATATCTGGCAGTGAAAGTGATGACGGTACATTGAAATCTACGTTGGAAAATGTCGACGGAATGCCTGTGACACCTGGTCGCGATGGTCAGAGGGGGGTAATACGTAGAGTGGTGACCAGGAGAGGAAACATGCTTGTAAGCTACAGATCATGTCGCAGTGATTTATATTGCTAATGAATCTCAGCCCAAGCCCAAAGGATTTGCCCGCATTCGAGCCGCCCTTGCTGAAGAGGGCGCCCCTGTCGAAACTGAATTTCGGCGAGAGGCAGAAGTAGTACGCCAGACGCGTGAAAGCGACGTGGACTTGGAGCTCACACGACACCCCTCCATATCTACCAGTACAACTACACACTCGTCACCTAACTTGGGACCACAAACACAAGATTCATTGGAGGGAATACCTGAAGATGATATAATGGCAGACATCTCTACCGGGCTTTCCAGTAGCTTCAAGCAGCATGCGATGCGCAATTCAAAGGGAAAAGATTTCTGGGAAACATTCACAGACGAGAAACATCGCACACCACCTCCACCTAACTTTCTACCTCGTGGGTCATCATCTGGAATGAGTGATGACCTCGTCCTTGACTCGCCCACTCCACCCATACCGAACGAACACCGCAATTCTTCCCCTTCGAGATCCGCCACTCCTCAACCAACGCATGCTGAAATGACTCAGAAGATGAATAAGAAAAGGCGTAGAGACGACGACTTCGACCCTTCAAGCTTCAAAAGAAGAGCTGTTAGTCCTGGGATGAGCGCGCATAATAGTCCCATCATGCAAAGTCCTATGCAGAGAGATCCATGGGGTGCTCGGCCGGCTAACAACGGGGAAAAGAGTGTCAGCGGAATGCCTACTAAGCGGATCGGTTTGCAAGGCATGGTGGACACCAATGATAGCTTGATGAAAATGAGCATAGAATAGGCTATTGATTGATCATCTACTAGTTGCATAGCATAGGAGTTTGGGTATTATACATAGTTGTGGATAGCGTGTGTACTATATACTATGAAAGCGACTCAGCGGAGGACGTGTTTTAGATGTGCAAAACCCGAGTCTGTGACTGACCGTGTGTGTGACGATGTAAAATATACCCTATGAGGGAGACTAAAAATGTTAAGACCCAGACATAGAGGACCCAGACATATCCTTCCTTTCAATTAAATGTTGAAGTCTCCTTCGAACTTTTTTGGGGGAGAAAATACATCACATACACTCTCATAACTCTCCATACCCGAACCGTCGCTCAAAAAATCTTGTTCACCAGTGCCCTTTAACACGCTACATTTTTCACTTATTGACTACGTACGTGCTGTCAAATAGCAAAGTTACACATCGTACTGCCTTCCTGATAAACTATCTTGTGTGTGCAGATGATGTGGTCGAGACAATGCACATCTATCTGTACTTACCAGAAATGCAGTAACCTTTCCCACAAAGAACCATTTTGAATAACTTCCCGATTTATTGTTTTACACATTATAATAAACTGCCACAGATCCCAATTAGCGAGCCGAGCTTAGCTAGCGACCAAACAAAAAGAATTTCCCCAAACAATCCCTCCACCACAGATCTTGCCTCGAAAAGATCAACAACCACCACCACCATGAGCAAAAATGGCAAAAATTTGGAGGAGCGGGGGATCGAACCCCGGGCTTCATGCAATCATAGATGGATACTGTTCAGAACAGACAATGCAAAGCAGGCACTCTACCACTGAGTTACACCCCCAAAGGCGCTGATTCGCTGGAAGAAATGTTGAGTTTTGCATATATATTGGTAAATACAAAAGTGGAGTGTATGGGTCGGGGGTTACGCGAAGGTCTGTGGGGTACCTATGTGGAATGGAATGGGTAACATTGACGTCTTTGGATGTTTTCAGTTCCTTGTGGCGTGCTATCATCCCATGGACGGTCGTGCCCATATTGATTGTATTATGGGACTGTAGCTGTATTGGATCATTGATACCTCCACTGCATTCACAGGTGCGAGCACTGAAGCCTTTGAAAAGGTTTGCTTTCAAACAGTAATGACATAGACATGAGGATTTGAGGACGGAAACTGGAAACCGGGGACTTTGAAAGCTTTCTTTACCATATAGTGGGGAGCAATATCATTGGGAAAGTCAATTGTCATACTGTACCCAGTGCATAGCTATGAACAAGATTTTCGTGATTATATTTTAATAATTTATTTAGCTAACTTTTCTCAGATCAACGAGAGTAGTAATACCATCCCAATTCCGAATGAGTTTCGTGCAGCGCCAAAGGAGGGTCCGAAATATAAAAGTGATATACGCTGCACAAATTCCCAAACACCCAAACTTGAAGACTTTTGACTCCACACTCGCAACCCACCTTCCGTCACCTACCCGACCCGCTCAACAGCCTCAATCTCCTGCACCTCATCCACCTTCTTCTCTTTCATCTCCCCCTCCTCTTCCAACTCACCACCCTTCCTCACCCGTTCAAAATGCTCATATGTCAAACCACTTGGCAACGCTCCCCTCATATTCCTGCTCACAAATATAAAACTGTATATCCCATCCCCCTCCCACGCTCCATATAGACTTTTCCACCCTGCATAGGTGGTACTGAACATGTTAGGACCAAAACCTTCGAATCGATCTGCTTTCCCGTATGCTACCTCTGGTGAGTTGTTGAGTAAGGTATGGAAGATCTGATAGAGATACGTTTTGCAGTCGTGGGTTGTCCAGAGCCATTGGGGTATGGATTGTGGTGTTATGGAGGGGGTGAGCGGGAATAGTGGTGTTGATTGGAGAGGGGAGATGGATGGAGGAGAGAGCGGAGTGGTTGGTACAAGGCAGGGTGTTTTGGGTGTAGGTGTTGGTGTTTGAGATGGTGATATCGACGGTGAGGGCGCCACTGTATCATTTCGAAAAGCGGGATGGCTTGTAGGCGGTGGTGTAGGCGGTGGCTTCTCCGATATAATTGTCGAGGCTGGACTCAATGGAGTCCTTGATTCCGTGTCGTCGAAAGTACTACTTGAGATATCTGATGAGCTTGGCGATGTGCTCGCTTCGATTATTACTGGCACAGCACTTCTTTCTGGGGGTAATGCTGGCATCAAAGTATGCTTCGGCGTCACTATTCTGAGGGACGAGCTCCGCGAGAGAATGCTTCGAGGGAGGCTTGGAGCCGAATTCGTCCTGTGGGATGATGACGGTCGTGATGCTTGCCTTTGGGATGCGCTTCGCAACAGTGATGTTCGGGTCGAATTGTCGCTGCTGGTATATGGCGGTGGCGATGAAACATCCTCACTGCTTGACGAAAAGAAACGGCTGCGAACTCGAGTGAAGAATGCGGGTGAGGTCTCCCGGGTCGAAGTCATTATGTTTGAAATGGATGTGTCCAACGCCTTTCCTCGAGGTGTTTAACGTTTCGAGATTGATATTGTCGCCGACTTTTCACCTGCTCTACCCTTGGGTTTCCCTCGTCTTGTATTGTAGAATTTCTGCATTTTAGTACGTTGTGAAAGAACAAAGTGTTCGTTGCGAACTATTGCCTCTAAGGGTCGTGGCATTCGTGGCCCAATTGTGGTGCTTCCCGCTTTTAGAACCATGGTTATCGAAAAGCCATTCTAGATGTCGCGTCGACGAGCCTTTCCGAGAACTGGAAAGTAGGAGGAAGATGTGGAGAATCATGTGATGCTTACAGCGAATGATCTTCCTTCAAACCCCGTCGGCTGATAGTTCTCTAGAGAAGGCGGTACTGGTTTCGAGATATGGTGGAACAGATAACAAAACGCAAATTCCAAAAGCAACTGCCGATACGGATTTCCTGTGACTGGGAGAAAAGACGGTGACTCTGGTATGCACATACACCTTGTGGTTTTAAGAACTTCAGTGCACCGTCTCGATGTCAAATATCTTCTTTAGTGCTTCCGAGGCTAAGATCCGATCTTCCGGATTGAACTTCATCAAACCTTGAAGTATAGCAAGTAAAGGTTTCAGCGATTTATCCTCGAGAGATTCAAATTTCCGTTCGAGACCCGGCTTGCTCTCGGGTACATCTGATAAAATTTTAGCCTGCGTAACCCATATTCAAACGTCGCATTAAACAACTGGAAATGGAGAATAAATAAATTCAAATGAAAGCTTACTCTCGAACACCTCCCACTCCCTTCCACCTTTCCTATGAATCTCCCGATACACCTCATCCCACTCCTTTGGCATCTCGCCTCCAATAAAGGCAAGCATAGAAGCGATGAATCCCTCCTCATCGCCCAGATACATGAAAGGAGGATCTCTGAATATGATTTCGTAAATCTGGATTTAAAAGTTAGCTGTACAATTATTCTGTTCGGTCTACGACTTTGCCCGTAAAGTCATTGAAAGTGACTTACCGTAACACCAACATCCCAGAGGTCGACTTTGAAATCAAAACCATCTGTCAGAATCGTCTCAGGCGCTCGTAAGGAATTTGGTTGTGCGAGATGATCTGGCTCATGACCTTGTTCGAAGGTATCACCGAAGTCTAGAAGACGAATATCTGCTTCGTCGAAAATATCCTGAGTTTTCCATTCTGCTGCCTTGACGATTTGGGTTGGAAAGCCTGGAGGCAAACCTTCCCCCGATTTGAGTACCAGATCATGGACTTGAGGTTGATCGAGGTGATCCATGAGATTGAAAGTAGGAACTTGTGGGAGTGTGTATGCTATATTTCGAATACTGATGTCTATTTGTGTTAGTGTCCGATGTGACTAGTGAAATCAAGACATATACCACCATGACCATATCCGTTCTCATGTATAAAAGAAACGGCGTGTAATAACTGTTTCGTGGCTTTCAGAACCTCTTTGCTAGTCAACGAATACGACTCGAGGACGACCGCAAGCGAAGGTCCTAAAACCTCGAAAATTAAACACTGATGTTTCCCATTCGGACCTTCAAGCTCAAAAGTATCGAAGAGCTCGACTATGAACACTTCATCTAATCCTTCGTTAGACGCCTGATCTAGGCCCTTCAGATGCTGCGCTTCAATTGACGCTGGACTATCAGCAGTCAAGATTTTGACCGCCACATATTTCTCTTCTCTTGTTCGATCAGCATATATTTTTGAACTCCTGCAGATTATTATCCAACTCACTGATTATCCCACGCAAGCCACACAGTCGAGAACCCACCCCAACCAAGTTTATGCTTTACTGTATACCTCTCATCACGGAGCGTCTCGCCAAGACACAGTGGATGAAACCCTCCTTTTTGGTATTTCGACAACGGCTCCTGACTACTTCTCAGCTCACAATTATCCGTGTCTTTGAATGAATCGAGACTCTCCATGATGGTTTAGTGTAGGAAGAAGCATTATGGACACGATGATACGTCATTGAGGTTTTGTGCAAACGTGTTTTGCTTTTTTTTGAAGGTGGTGGAAAGGGGCGTGCGCTAGGAAAGTTGTGCATGATTGAATGTTGGGGGCCAAGGCAGCTTCACGAATTTCGATTCTTTCATTATGTCTGCTGTAATGTGTAATTGTTTGCTTATGTAGTGTGAGATAGGAAATCAATTTTTTTTTCTGTAATAATAGTCTAGATGTGGCAAGTCTCTCATATTTTCGTTGCCCATTGGCTGCAAGATTGGGAGCTCAGGGTAACAAGACAAGTTAGGAGAATGGATGGGCTAATGTTTCGATTATTGACAATTTCAATTACGGATTGAAAGGTCAAATCTATCATCCTGTAAAGTTCTTCAGTTCAACATATGACGCCATCAATTCTCCTTAACTTCCATCTGTGTTTATCTATATTCGAAACACAGATTCGTTGGCTCAATTGTAACTCACACGACAGCTCAAGGTAGAAAGTTCGAGCACAGATTGTTCACTTCCATAATCTCTTGTCGTCACACAGTAGTTGAAATTCGACAGCTGACCTACGCCACACAGAAATCAAAGGATACCTATAAACAACTCCACCGGTATCATGTTGACAACATCCTGCACAAAATCTTGTGATATGGTCACAGAAGTGAGGCGAAGTCTAATAAGTTCTAGGTTCTCGGCGATTAGGAGGAGGCGTGCTGATGTGGTTACAATGGCCACAACAGCCTCAACACAAGAACGAGGAAGAACATATTGTCTCGCGTAAGTTAAGGGGAACAGGAGTTGAGGTATTATGATGATACAACCTATCCCTGGAAGTCCACCCGCGATTACACACAGTACCTTGGTGGTGCGACCTCATCTAGAGTAGGTGAAGTTTACAGCAAAGTATATCGAAATGAAGAGTCTCGATCCTTTGTTGATTATCATAAACATGCGACCATCGGCGGTGAGATCGCATTACCGGATACTGATGCGCGTACACGGGACTGGTTAAACCTGCCAGGTTTGCATATGGCGCGGGAACTGGAAGGAACAAAGTTTGTGTTCGAAAGTCAATTTTTGAGGGCGGTGATACAGAAATTGGCATTCATTCTGGAAAGTGGCGTCCATGTAGGTCCAGTGAACGATCCAAGAATCCAATATACAAATCAATTCATGAAAGCTTGGTAGCGAGGAAGAAACGAGGAAGAAACCGGCGCCCTAAAGTTCGGGCAGACAGCTCGAGACCACGCTGCGATGGCGACTAGGGGCACCTCGTTCTAAAGATCGTTGTCGATTGCGAACCAAACACGGCAAGTCTACCAGGCAAGCTCGATAACGGCGTCTTATGGCGTTGGCGTACCATTGGCTCGGATTCAATTGGCGTTCGGGAGTCATGTTTCTAGTGAGTACTTTCGTGGGTTAAGTCCGCGTTTGTGATTCCACATGGAGATATTGTGCATGGCAGCGTAGCTGGCATTTCCAGGCATCCTTACACGTCCTTGACCGAGGAGATGCGGTGATCAGATTGCAACTCATGCCCGAATATCTGGCGGCACCAATTCCGCAGCGACTTCAGCAACTCTTCAGCGAGAAGCATTTGCGGCCACCGAGGAACGTGACCGAGGGAGGACGTCAAAATGAAGCTGGGGATAATGCAGCTCACCCACCCATGTTCAAGAGTTGTGGTGATCATTGGATGGCCGAGAGAATCATGCTGGGATACGGCACCAAGACGCAGGGGTTGAGTTCTCTCTAGCGTCGATGTATCGAGATCGTCCGGTTCAGCCCCCGTCCGTCGAGATCGGCTTGAAGCCAAACCCAACGACATGCGGACGGAACGCCGCAAGGACGAGGATGACTAGAAGAAACTTCGCAAGCTCGACCTTTTTCCCAGCTTGATCGATACGGTACCGTCTCAGCAGGCCGTCATCCAATTCACGACATGGAGGCGGCTCAGCGGTGGTCGATTCGATGGGACAGGAGATCGATCGGCGACGGTTCAGTTCGTGCCATCGTGGTTGTGGTGTTGACAAATGCTGCTGGTGTACGTATCTGCCTGGGTCTAGGTATGCAGGGACCTGTCTACGTCGGGCACTTGAGTTTTCTTGGGAAAGAAGGGAAGGTAGAAGCATGATGCTACTACTACTGTATCCCCAGAAACGCTTTTCTGGTAACGCTTTTCTGGTAACGCTCCCTGCTCGATGCCGTAGGAGCTATCCCCGCTGAGTATCGGTTGGTCGCGACAGGCAAGCGGGCCATTCCTCCCCTCTACTGATTTCATCCAGATTATTTCCTCCATCGATTGCGCAGAACTGGGCCGGTCCGTGAGTGTCGTGGGTTGATCAGCGGAACTGCAGTGTCCAGCGTCGATGCGGGAGCACATCGTGCAGTGCGGTGTTGTAACAGATGAGCCGCGGGAGCTGATGTGTCGACGCAGGTCGATGCTGGCAGTATCGCTTAGGATAGATGAAGAGGGAGGAGGAGAGAAAGAGAGCCGGAGAGCAGGAAGCATGGCAGGACGAGGAGAGTTTGCGCGGCGTCGTTTGCGACGGGACTCGCGACTCGCCCAGGTATCCACGCCAATAAACGGTCGCTTGAGCCACGAGGAAACTGATACAGTAGCGGAATGTCTCATCTTTATTATCTAACTTGCCTGGTTACCTAAGTAGAGAAGAGTATACGGTATGTATATAGGTACCTGGTTAAGCAGAGTCAAGTAAAGAATGCGAATTCGAATACGGCGGCCGGAACCGTACCGTGCCTTGCTTTGGCTATGGACCCTCGCTCTCGCCGCCCGCGAACCCTCTCGAGACCCTTCACCTCCCAATGCGGATCCCCTAGGAATTTTTGATCGATCGGGACCAGGGACCCACTTTGATCTCAAAATTGCTGGGACCCTCCACCCTCCACCCTCCCACCTCCTCTCGACCCGTACCGAGACGCTGGCCGCCAGCTGGGTGATGGTTCCTGCTTGGAAGAAATACTCCTTACCCAATTGGTCAGCCCATGATCATTACTCTTTCACAACTGCTACCCACTCGCCTCTTTCCTGCTGCTCACCCCAGATATATACCCAGGAAGCTGAAGATGCGTTTAATGATAGATCTGTTCCTGTTGTCATATCCATACACTACACCGTACTAAAGATTGACGGTTCTGCATCTGATCTGTTCATTTGCCACCCCTGGTCTCGCTCACAACACATTCACCTCTGTTGCCGTATTCTCGTGGTCTTGGCAAGAGCGTCCTTAGCCCCGACCATATTTATATTCATTTCGATCTCCATGACCGCTTGATCTTGAAAACACCAAACATCAAAAATCCATTTTATACAGACGAGCTGTGCAACTCGGAAAACCATTGACAAACACATCTCCCACCATCGCCGACATCTTCACGACCTCTTCTAGACCCATCGTCTTCATCTTATGTTTTCCACCGCGTCAGCCACAAGAAATCGTGCCCTTTCCGCCCCTACCGTTACGTCATCCTTCACACGACTGATGGGTTCTCAAGGTCCAGAGACCAAGGTTCTCATTTACCTGCTCCGAAAGGATCTGCGTGTATCTGACAATCCGGTCCTTCATGCGTTGGCCAAAGACCAAAGTCATGGATTCACCCACCTGCTGCCTCTCTACGTCTTTCAGGCGCAACAGATCGAGGTGAAGGGTTTCATTCCCGAAGGTGAAGCTGCGAAGAGTCCCTTTCCCGAAGCAAGAAGTCAAGTCGCTGGATTTTGGAGAACGGGTCCTCACCGTGTCAAGTTCGTCTCCGAGTCAGTATGGGACATGAAGAAGAACCTTCAGCAGCTTGGAAGCGACTTGTGCATTCGAGCGGGAATGGCTGACGGTGTCCTCCGGCATGTGATTGATGAAATCAACCAGAAGAGCGGGATCAAGGTCGGCGCTGTTTGGATGACTGCGGAAGAGGGCGTCGAAGAGAAGCGAGAGGAGCGCGCCATCAGAAATCTTTGCGACGAGACTGACACGGATTTTAAACTCTTTGTGGACGAGAAGTATTTCATCGATGAGTGAGTACCGGGCTGTATGATTCTTCGTCGGAGCATCTGCTAAAGCTTCACAGTCGCGACCTACCATTTAGTGACCCCCAAGACGCACCCAACGTTTTCACTGAGTATCGCAACAAGGTTGAGCCTCTTCGAGAAGCCCCTCGCGCAGTGCTTGCTACCCCTGAAAAGGACTCATTGCCACAGTATCCCGAAGACTCCCAAGTACCCGCGCAAGAATCCCCATTCACCATTCCTGACAACGCTGAAGGTCTTCTGGCTGCTTTGATGAAACCTCTCACCGATCCGCTAATCAAAGATCCTCCCAAGGACCCCGGCGATGTTCAATCGGCGCATCCGTTCAAAGGAGGCGAGACCGCAGCTCAAGATCGTCTTGAACATATCATAGCTTCGGGTAGTGCTTCGAGCTACAAAGATAGTCGCAATGGTTTGCTCGGCCTAGACTTTTCTACAAAACTCTCTTCCTATCTTGTCTATGGCTGTATTACATCTCGACAAATTCACACGGCACTTCTGGCATTTGAGGACGGTACTGATGATGGCAAGTGGAAAGGTGTCACTGGCCACGGAAAGGGAGAGAACCCTGGAACAAAGAGCATTCGGTTTGAGCTCTTATGGCGAGATTACATGCGTCTTTGCAACATGAAGTTTGGACCTAAGCTCTTCCTGCTCAGTGGATTCCGAGATGAAAATCCGGCTAGATGGGCCACTCCAGGTCGACCTAGTCATGGATACTCGAAAGAGCAGATTCAGGAAATGGTCGAGCGTTATCTTAACGGTACCACTGGTATGGGCTTGATTGATGCCTCCCAGCGAGAGTTGTTCCATACTGGCTATACATCCAACCGAGCACGTCAGAACTCTGCATCTTTCTTGGCAAAACATTTATGGATTGATTGGCGTATTGGTGCGGAATGGTACGAGAGTATGCTTGCGGATTACGATGTCTCAAGTAATTGGGGCAACTGGCAATACCTTGCTGGAGTCGGAAACGATCCTAGAGGTGAGGCTAGAGTTTTTAATCCCGTCAAGCAAGCTTACGACTACGATCCTGCTGCCGCTTACGTCAAGGCCTGGGTTCCTGAGCTTCGTGGTCTGACTGATCCTGGAGAGGCTTTTCAGCCGTGGACCATCCGTGATGAGCAAAGAAAGAAGGAACTTGGATTAGCTGGACTTCCACTGGTTGAGAAGCCGCTCAAGCGAATCGATTTCACTGTTGGTAAGCGTGGAAAGCATTTAGGAAGAGGTCGTGGAGGTCGAGGCGGTGGTGGGAATTATGGAGGTGCCAGAGATGAGAACAAGCCCGGCGAGCAAGGAATGGGTCGAAGTGGAGGTCAAAGTCGTGGTGGATATGGTGGAAGAGGCTACGGAGGAGGTGGTGGTAAATACGGCGGAAGTTCTCGTGGCTACAATCGTGGTTATGGAAGAGGCCCTGGTGAAGGAGGTGGCCGAGAATTTCGCACTGGCATGATGGATAAGGAGAGAGCATATGCACAAGATCTCTAGGAATATCGACGATGTGGAATGAGCTCATGTAAGATTTGCATTTGCTGGAGTTTCTTGGTTGTTCATTGAGCGTGGTTAGGAGGTAAGCATGAGGTTATTGTGCTTTTGCTTGGCTCAGATCATTGTTGCACACCAATTTTGGGGCATTGATCTTTTGGTCGCAGTTGATAAGTGGCGATATTAAACAAAGTAGTGTGTAATACTGAGCCTAGTTGATAGCTAAATACTCAGGAATTTATTCATATGCGCACTTTCATATGTTGTTTTGCGAAATATCAAGTTGCGAATCAAGTACACAAGATTTGTATGCCATAGTCCCATCGAATTCTGAGTAAGATTCTGAGATAATTCGGCATTAACTTGATTAATTAGGAACTCAGTGACTGACTTTACAATCAAGGTTCTTGCAAGAGCTTTTTCGATGTCAACAAATCTCAGCGATACATCAGCACACAAGTATCCATGATCGAAAGTAGCGCGAGTCCTGGATAAGAGAAAGATCTTGTCATTCAAATCCCTAAAGATCTCCGATCAAGCAGAACTTTTCGTTACCACTTCCTCTCCAAGATCCTTGGAATCAACATCACCTTCTCCATTACTCACTTCAAGCACCCTATGTTTCTCCTCTCGTGCGGTAAAATATAACAACCCACTCGCCCAAACAGCCAACGCAATACAACAACCTATCATGGCCCACATTCCTTTCTACAAAATTTGTTAGCGACAATCTCTTAACAAAACTCACAACAAGAAGCAACCACTTACAGTAAAATCCGGCGCCTCACTCGCCCCATAAAACACCAAACTCCACCACGCATTCACAGCATTACTCCCACAATTCATACTCGCAATCACCACCGCCCTCACGCTGTCCTCGCGCCATCTCATCGCATCGTTCGCCCACGCGAAAAACGTAGCTTGACACGCATACACGCTGCCAGCCCAATAATACGCCGCCATCCGCACGCCGACGTCCTGGGAGCATAGAATCATGACCGCCGTCGCGATGCCCGTGACGCCGATGAAGTAGGCCACGATGTACCGTCTCCCGCCGAGGAAATCGGTTAGTGTGGCGAAGAAGAGGGTGGAGATTATTCCGACTGCGGGGACGCCGGTGGGGTAGTTGTTGAGTTGCGAGACGGAGTAACGTTTTAGGGATTTGAGGTAGAGGGATAATAGCGCGTTGGAGGAAAAGGATTCGGTTTCGCCGGCGATGATCCAGAGGATGGTGAAGCCGTAGATGTGGTAGGATGAGAAGACGCGTTGGAGGAAGTGCCAGTTCCACGGCTGGCGTTCGGGGACGGTGGGGATGCGGGAGATGGCTAGGGAGCGCTCGGTGGGTGAGAGATATGGCGCACTTGTTGTGGAGGGCGTGTCAGGGAAGAGGAGGAGTCCGTAGATGGCGATGGGAGGGTGATGAGACCGTCGATTATGAAGAGCCAGCGCCAGCCTGAGAGGCCGCTTTTCCCGTCGAGACTGGCGTGGATGGCTGTCTGTAGGAAGCCGCCGAACATAGTGCCTGCGAGGCCGGACGAAGTGAAGATTCCTGAGCGCTTGCCGAGTTCGCGGGAGGTGTACCATGATCCGAGGATGTAGTGTGTTCCGACGAAGGTGGAGGACTCGGCGATGCCTTGGAAAAAACGGATGGCCATTAGGTGTTGTGGGTGTTGAGCTGCTGCTGAAATCATGGTTAGGCTTCCCCAGAGGATCATCATGGAGGGGAAGAAGATGCGGGGTTTGAGGTGGTAGAGGGCTAGGTTTGAGGGGATCTGACCGATCACGTAGCTGTGAGTTGTTAGAGTTGTGGTCGCGGTTTGGGGTAAGAGTTCGTACCCGACTGTGAAAACAGTGTTGATCTGGTTATATTGGTTCCCGGTAAAGGAGAGCTCTTCCTTCATTCCTGATACGTAGGCATTTGCGAGATTGGAGCGGTCTAGGTAGTTCATAAAGTACATTAAACAGCAGAAACTCAGGATGAAGAAGTCTGGGAAAGAAGTTAGCTTTTGTTTGAAGGGTTTGGATATGAGAATATTATATTACCAAGTTTCCTGACTAGTTTACCTTCTCCTGGATGCTCATAGGGCTGGGAGATATACTCCTTTACTCGTTTGAAACCCATTCCTTATTATGTTTCAACAACTTTGCAACTCGCTTGTAGAGACTTCGAGATCTTTGAGTTAAAGCTCGCATGAGCTTCATAGGTCCTAGTTGAATCACAGTACAATTGATTGATGCCCAGAAATATGTGCTTCCCTTACGACCTGTAACACACACTGTCTTTCTGCCTCTTCTCAAACCGCAAGTGTATTTCATAGACTCTTCTAGATAGTGAACTTAGAGACAGAGGATTGAGCTGTTCCATAAAGATAGCTATAGGTAGATAAGAAGAAGCATCCATATCAATACCCGATTCCCCATCATAAAAGCTTATTGCCCCTCCGATTCGGTCGGCCAATTGCTGTTATCGTCGCACACTAGATCATTAGAGTGCAGATCGTCACAAGCGAAGAGTGGGAGCCAATACACCATCACGTGATGATTTTCCGACTTCAATTGTTGACTTCAGGTTGACCTGGAGAACTGCGACATGCAACAGAAAATGCGTATTGGCCAAGACTAGGTCCATGAACCTATCAAACTGTTTCACGCATGAATCAAGGAAAAGTGGTGCGTAACGTTCTGATAACCGGATTTTGCATTTCGAGGGTTTGAGATGGAGAAAAGTCTTGTAGATGCTAATATATGGAAAAATGGGTATGTACTGTAATCCCTTTAATGAAGGTATGCAGATGCTGTATCTAATTATTAAATGCCTTGCGCCCAAAATGCCAACATACAATCGTGTCTTCGTGCTTTCATTCCATATACAATGGTCTACATCTCAATCAATTGAGGTCTGCTTCGATGAATTTTTTCTACCTTCTTGTCCTTGTGCTTGTTTAGGAAAACGCTGAGCGACGAACTTTTCTTTTTCTTTTCGCTACTAACAATGACAAGTTCCTTGCCTTTGCTTTCTCCACGCTTGCTACGTCCGCTTTCTGATGGTGCAGGTAGCATCTTACTTGAAGAAGACCGGATGGGAATTTCCCGAGTGGCAAAGGTGCTAGAGCGAACATCGCTTGCATGTTCTTTTTCGCGGACGCTTCTATGCGTTTTGACGCTTCGTTCACTGCAAGCGCTTTCTGGTGCTTTTGGACGTTGTCGTTCCTCCTTTGCCCGCTCCCGAATTTTTGATTTTAACTTTACAGCGCCAGGCGTGAGATAGACGCCCTCGATGCTTTCCGATTCGGCATCTGCAATACCTCTTCTCCAGCTCTCTACACTGCCCATTTCAAAACTATCGTAGACGAGTGCCTCTTCTTGGCGATTTGCTTCTTGAGCTGCGGCCAATTCGTTCTTTGCTTTTATTTGCTTGACAATCTTGTAACCTCCAAACATAACGATCGTCACGCCAAGTGCAACACCACCAGCAATCAAAAACTGAGGCGATGCAAGTAGCGCAAAAGCAGCTGGTGAAGAGGCCTTCAAAGATGCCAAAACGGCAGGACCCATTGTCTTTAAAATGTTGGACAGCTCAGCCAGGGTCAAAGCCACAGCAGCCATAGCCTCTGGGTTTTTCTGTAGGTTGGCAATGATTGTCGTCGCCGAATGCTGCACACAGTGTGCTTCCAGCAACAAGGATTCTAATTTCGACAAGCCCTCCTCCAGCTCCTCTTCTTTATTCGAATCCCGAGATCCTGGCCGTTCATGTAATTCTCCATATGCCAAATTCATGTCGATCTTATCAGCACGTACATCCGGGTCCGAAACGCTGCGGTGTAACGAGTACGGTGGAGGAAGGGTTCCGGCTCTGGTCATTTGACCTGGAGCGGGAGCTCCAAGGTCGGTATGTCGACGGACCATTCCTGGCTGAACATCATCGAATAATGGAGAGGGGTGTCTCGACCCATCTTGACTCGAGCTCCGTTTCCCATGCGGCCTGGCGCTTCTATTACGTTGCGACGAAGAAACACTTCCTTCGGGAATGTGCGATAGTGGTGGTCTTGAGGTCAAGGCTTTATCTTTGTGGTGTCGGGAAGATCGCGTCGAGCGATGGGAGCGTCTAGATGATGCAACCGATGCGGTGTCTTCACGAGCTTCTATTAAATTCTGTGCAGCTTTGTATGCAATTCGCTTTTGTCGTTCTGCTTTCATCTCCTCCTTCTTCTCTTTTTTCTTCGTCTCGTATGCATCTCTTGCATCTTTGAAAATGTTGACTAGTTGTTTTCCCTAAATTGAAGGTCAGCTTGACATGTGAAATATGCAGGGACAAAACCTACAGTGCTGACCACCTTGCCAGACTTATTGATGATAGTGATGGTTTCCATTGCTGGCATCTTGACGTTTTTTGATTAATATGCGTAGTTGTATTCTTGCGAAGACCGGCTTCGATGTTTGAAAATAAATGATCGTGATATTTCGGTGAAGGACGTTGAGCCAGCCAAATTGCGGTGAGCCCGGTACTTAAAAAGCTGGGACTTGTAGATAACCAAGGAATAGCCGCCTCTATGATTCTATTTCAAGCACAAGAGTTTCAACACAAGGCCTCTGTCTCCTTTGTTCGAAGACTAAAGAAGCGACAAAAGTTGATCGTGAATTTGGGAGAGAGGCCTCCGAAGTTGCAGGGCTGGTGTTGTAGTCGAAACCCAGGTCAGGTGGGCGAGGCAAGAGCGCGAAATCGTTATCGGGATTGGCGGGGAGTGGCAGAAACTCCTGGCCTCTCATCCAAACAAGGCAAAAGAGGTCTTTCGCGACTGGCCACATCAAACAAATTGCACCAAAATAGACACGATCAATTACTGTGTTGCGTGATAGAAAGAGCCGGTGATTATTGCTCGACCCACCAGAAGTCGTGTCAATGTCACAGCGCTTCTTGGGTCGCAGAGCCAGAGCGCACGCAGCGGAGAAGTCGAATCTGTGGATGAGATGGGAAAGCGACGAGGCAAAGATGGGAAAGGACCGTCAGTCACAGCTGGCGCTTCGTGATTTGCCCGCGGCTGCATCTTGTCCCTTCCCTTTTCAAGGCACAAGCAAAGGCCCGGATGGCTTGACCAAGTTCTTCACAGCTCGTCTAGGATCTGCTGTCGACACGCTGTCTGCCAGTCGTCTCTTCGCCCTTCTGCCGGTCTCAAGCAGGTCGATTTTCTCCACGTTTCACGCATCTCGACGGGTCGTGGCGGACGGGATCCACGCGGTCTCGATGTGGCGATGCTACCAATTCTCGTGTGGCTGGAATGATAGAATACCTATAATCTTTTAGTCACCGTAGGTGCGCGTTTGCGACGGGTCAGATTTTGTCTGTCTGTCATCGTGACTCGCAATTCGACGAGGTGATCGTTGAAAGAAGGCAAGATCAACTGGCAAAACGAGCTGAAGCCGTCAATTGCCAGGAGCCGCAAAGGTGCATATCAGCACACGTGAAAGGAAAAAGCCCAAAATGCAACTTGACATGCAGTGATACCTCATCGCAGCCCAACATTCGGATGTCAAGATCACCAGAATGAGACGGGTACATGCTTTCGATTGAATTTCATCTCATCACGGAACAGATAATATCTAACCTACACTGCGCTGCTTCAACAGAAACTTCTGATCCGTAACTACAAGAACTGCTTATCCTACTGACTAGCCATTCGTAAACTCATATTGAGATGATAAACAGCGATTCGCTCCCAAATTGAGATCGTACACTCCGTAGTACCAATTACGCCACCTACAAAGAAATGACATTCCGAATTCGGGGTTTCCTGCACCATTTGATCTAACTATTCGCCATCCTTCATGGTGGTATCTAAAACATCAGCACTTGAGTCTTGGCGGAGTTTTCTGATCCAGTCCAAAGACTCCTGTAATCTTTTGCGGTTGTCTTCCAGCTCCATCCGGCGTTTGACTACTTTTGCATTTCCGGCCAGCAATTCTTGACATCTAACTTCCCCCCCTAAAGTATAGTCAGTAATCAAGCATTTCAATGTAGGAGAGTGTAAATCAAAGAGACTCACCTTCATCGATCTTAAGCTCGGCCTGGACATAATATTCGAGGGCTTTGAACATGTCATCGATCAAGTGTGCGTTGACTGCTGCACACACGGAATCACAAAACCGTTGTCTAGCAGTCATGTAGTATGCTCTGATGTACGAAGCCAGAGCTATTTCGGATTGAAATTTATCTTCTCCAAGCTTGTCCATCTTGAACTTGCTGTACACTTCAGCCATGAACTCTTCCCTTCTTGGGTCACCTTGGCTGAAGGTTAAGGCTTTTGTATACGCTGGTGTTGGATACACTTGGCAATATGCCTCAATCCTCGCCATTCGTCGTCGACCCTTGAACCACTCAAGGGCCCTTTTCTTGTGGTTTTCGAACGAGGCGTTATTCATGGTGAAGAGAGCAGATTTCTCTACTTTGAATAGACGCATCGTTTGATCGTGAAGTGTCTCTTTAGAGCGTTTGAGAAAGCTAGCTATGATGGCTTGTGAGCGCTTATAAAATTCTGTCTCGTTGTACTCGCGTTTAATGTCCGTATCGAGTTGCTGTTGGAATGTCGCAGATAGAATATCGAAAGTGGCCGCGAGGAAAGTTTGGAGCGGCGCGTCCCATCTAGCAACGCTTTGTAGCGCATACTCTCTTTTGATCTTATCAAGACTTCCGTCCGGAACGCCAGCAGGTATCTGCTTAGATATCTCGGTTTTCAACGTAGAAAGTGTCATCATACCTTTGCCCCAATCGGTGTATGGTTCCCAAAAAGGCCCCAGGTCACCCTTAGACCGAGTGTTCGCCTTTCGCCACTCGTCGACATCGACTCCAGGCCGTCGATATATGGGCAGTGATAGTGTAGGTGAAGTTTCCTCCTTAGGCGCGAGTTTGGTCTTCTTTGGGCTTATGATATTGCCGAGATCTTCACCGGACCGCTTCACAAGTTTGACTGGCGAAGTCTTGACCGGCGAAGCGCCTTCTCCGCATGAGTCAGAATCCAGTTCGTAGATTGTAGGTTTCACTTGTTTATCTGACGGGTGAGCACAGTCACACATTGGCCTCATGGCATCCAGGGCTTTCGAAAATTGATTGCACAACTCCTTCCACTGGCTGTGGAAGACGTTGGAGCTATTATCGAGGAGACCTCTGAGACCATTCTCAAGACTGTTTAGCCGCGTACGCACGGTGACCTGCGCTTTATCGTTGACTTTCGGTAAGCTAGATAATTCATGCTCAACTTTTTCGAGCTCTTCGAGAACTGTGCTGTGGATTTCAGGGATACTAAACATACCATCAGCTTTGTTTTTCAAAATGTGCTGAATGGGGCATACCAGGAATAAATAAGGCCCACGAACGTCTTGGACAGGTATTTTTGAATGACTTCTGTTCCGCATCGGTCGCGAAAACATGCCCATTCTGCGCCTTCACGCCAGAGCCGACTTTCTTCAAAAAACTTCGTTTCATATTCCCGGGCAAACTGATGATATTGAGGGCCTGGTGGCGTCTTCCAGTCTGGGCCAGGTTGGCGGGTAATGAAGTACCCATGCTTGAGTTTATACTCATGACCTTGGAGTATCTCCGTGTACTCACTAGTATCAGTTACCCGATCTGAATTAGTGAGAACCCCGACACACCTGTGTTCAGCTCTCTCCTGTCGAATTAGTAGTCGAGCTGTCGAATTCTGGGGGTCTATATGCATAGCCATAGCACAGATTATGAGAGATTTTTCGTGCCGAACGTATTCTCGAGTCATCGTTCTGAATGCTTCAGGCAAATACTGGTCGCTGGCAGCGGATACAATAAGCCCAGGTAAATCAAAGAAAGACAGAGCGGGAAGGCCAGGGGCGGATATTGAAATGGCGATAACGTTGGGTGAGTACACAGCCTGCTCTTTAACTGCGTTGTTTTCACGTAACTGCTTGTGCTGTAGAAAAGCGACATTCTCAAGGTTCGAGTCCGGAACGAATTCTTGAGGGGAAATGCTGGGATTTAGGAGCGCAATCTGTGCCCACTTAAGGACATCTTCTAGCTCGCTTTCCTCACGAATAGTCTTAAATGGGACTACGTCCGTAGTTGGATTCTGAGCCCAGAAATGATAACTTCGAGCTGTAGCTTTCTTGGTTTGATCGTAAGAAAAGGAGATGTGCAGTGAGACTTCACATTCCCAGGCCGGTCCTTCAGAAGTTTTGATGTTAGTTGGACATCTTGTACAAGTAGATCCACCCCGAGGTAAGTTGATTCCAGCAATCGCTGAAAGTAAGGATGATTTCCCTGATGACTGGTCTCCTACAAGTACAACCTGCGGTATCTCTGTCACGATACCACCCACAAGCCCTCTGATTTTATCGATAGCGTCGAGTGCAGTTTTGACATCTTTGCCGACTAAATGAAGCCCTCCCGGATGACCGTCCACCTCTCGGGCTTCTGTAGGCGAGGCATCACGGTGGGGTAAGTCATGATGAGTATCTTGTGCGGGCGATCTTCGACATCCGACAGGAAGATGGCCATGTGCGTCCTCGAGGATGCCTTGAGATTTTTTCAGATTCCACTCTTCAATCTTGTTGTCGGGTGGTTCGTTGGACATTGTCCTCTCTTTTGGCGTTGGGTAGCCAAAGCTAGTCACGGTGAAATCACCTTTGACGCGGTTGGGAGGCATTCCAGATATACCCTATAGAAGGTGCGGGAAGGTGATCGACTTCCACAAACTTGATACTCGTCAGCAGGGAAATATTTGCCGTAAGCCACTTCAAGATACCTGAGATCGAAGGTTGCGGAAGATAGACAAGGTACGCAAAAGCTTGCTCGTTGACTGCGAGGAAAGCAACGAGAGCTTCGACTTACAAATCTGTGAGATCGATTCTCGATGAACAATGGGGATAGAGGATGGAATAGTGTCGATAGGACAAAAAGATATCGACCAGAATGGTCAAGGCGCGGTGAGCCTGAGAGAGGCAGAAAGGTGGAGAGACGAAGAAGCGGAATGAAGGTGAGGTTAGGTAGGTATTCACCTTCAACTCTCGAAGCCAAAGTGAGCAAGAGTTCGATGATATAGAATATGTAGGAGCTCCGCGAGTGACTGTGGAGTATTGAAGTGGAAGTGTGGAAAGCCGTCGAAGGCTTCTTCGCCGAGGTCCTACTTATGATATATGAGCATCGCTCCCGGTTTGCTTAGGATGGTCAGTTTATGCAGCTCAGTCCGTGTCTATATCGAATCAAATGTAGACGATCTGCCTCGAGAGACCATGGTGTGTATGCAAGAAATTTCTCCTCTCGAGATTCCATCCTCGAGGTTGTTAGTTGCACAAGCGAGAACTGTTATGGCGGGCAAACAATACTACAGCTCGATCATAAGTGTGAACCGGACAACCTCGACAAGAAAATCTCAAGGCATGCTCGAATCAAGAGCCCTGCATAATGCGGCGGGCTGCGTCCGGACGGGAGGCTAGAATTGGCTGCATCTCTCGAGGCAAACGGTTCACACTTTCCAGCAAGATTCTTGTGTATTTCCTGGCAAAATTCGCGAGTCTTCCTGAGCCGATGTGAATATTGGGCATAAGTCCTTCACAAACCCAAAACCACCTGCACCGAGTCTCTCAAACCACATAGTTCCGCGCCTTATGTGTACCTAAGCCTTTCTGAAGGGTCCATTGCCGCCGCTCTTTTCTCCCAGCTTCCTTTCGCTGTTGCAGAGTAGGGGTCGTAGCATTGCGATGATGCTGCATTGAAGTTCCTCGGCTGCTTCTTGGGACAGCACCGCGAGAATCTATCATCCTGATCGATTAGCTCCGATTCGACAAAACTCTTGTAACCAATGTATGAAGTATGTCTCAAGGGAGAGGAGATATGGGCAACGGGGACCCCAATCAAAGTCACGATGTTCCACTTCCTGCAAATTGCACCCATCACATGATTAGGGTCCAGTTGTGGCTCGTCGTCTTAACCCCTGCCGGTGAGGCTGACCCACTAGAGGGGGAACATCTGCGCTCGTATCCCAAAAAGTTCCAGCAGTGCTGGCATTTCCCCTTAGTCTTCAACGCCAGATCATAGTGATATTTATTACCCACCGATTTGCAACATGTCTCTACAGATCCCCCACCGTGAAAAGGCCAACGGCTCCCAAGCTGCCACCAAAGCTGTCATTTTGGTAAGGTCCCCAAGCAAACATGGTGGAAAAGAGAGGATTAACTAGGGGGTTAGGTTGGTGGACCATCAAGAGGAACCCGCTTCCGACCATTGTCGCTCGATTTGCCAAAAGTAAGACTTCTCAATTGTCTGCATAGTCCCAGAAAACTAACAAAGATCATAGCCTCTCTTCGAAGTTGCAGGCCATCCCATTGTTTGGCACTGTCTCACCGCCATCGCGAAAGTCCCCTCGATCCAAGAAGTGTGCATGATCGGTTACTACGACGAGACCGTATTCCGCGACTTTATCAAAGACTCCTCAAAAGAATTCCCTCAAATTAAGATCGTCTATCTTCGAGAGTACCAAGCTCTGGGCACGGCAGGAGGCTTATACCATTTCCGGGATGCTATTCTCAAAGGAAGACCAGAACGCTTCTTCGTTCTAAATGCCGATGTGTGTTGTTCATTCCCGTTGAATGATATGCTTGCTCTGTTCGAGAGCCGAGATGCAGAAGCTGTAATTCTTGGTACACGAGTTGGTGAGGAGGCCGCAAGCAATTTTGGGTGTATTGTTTCGGATGCCCATACACGTCGGGTCCTACATTATGTCGAAAAGCCAGAGTCCCACATTTCGAATCTCATCAACTGCGGTGTCTATCTGTTCGCAACCGAATGTATCTTCCCTTCAATTAAGAGTGCCATCAAGAAGCGCACGGAACGACCGCGCCTCGTCTCATACCCCTCCTCGGAAAACCTTGAGTCATCGTACTTCCAGGATGAGGATGATGAAGAAAAGAAAAACGAGGTACTCAGATTGGAGCAGGATATTCTGAGTGATTTGGCAGACAGAAACCAGTTCTTCGTACACGAAACCAAGGATTTCTGGAGACAGATTAAGACAGCTGGATCCGCTGTACCCGCGAATGCTCTGTACCTCCAGAAAGCTATGCAGACGGGGTCAAAGGAGCTGGCGAAGCCATCAGCGAATATTCTGCAGCCAGTGTTTATTCATCCAACTGCCACAGTCGACCCATCCGCGAAGTTGGGTCCAAATGTCTCTATTGGCCCAAGAGCTGTAATTGGTGCTGGAGCACGAGTCAAGGAGTCTATTGTGCTAGAAGATGCAGAGATTAAGCATGATGCATGTGTCTTGTACTCCATCATTGGCTGGAACAGTCGAGTTGGAGCGTGGGCTCGTGTTGAGGGTACACCGACTCCAGTCAATAGCCATACCACGAGCATCATTAAGAACGGAGTCAAAGTTCAAAGCATTACCATCTTGGGCAAGGAGTGTGGTGTTGGAGACGAAGTTCGAGTTCAGAACTGTGTCTGCTTACCATTCAAGGAGTTGAAGAGGGTGAGTTCTAATCCAATTCTTCTTTGGGGTACACTAACTAGTACAGGATGTTGCCAACGAGGTCATAATGTAATATATCACATGTTGTTGATGGGCTGTTGTGGGTGATCTGCGGCGTCTATAGATGCAGTAAAAGTCAATGTTTTCCCAAGTAGCGAAAATAATCAAGCATATTTGTCACTTCCCTGCAGGATATAAAAAAGATCCGTACCGGATATAGGGGTCTTTTTCTACTCGGGTAGCATGCCGGCGTGCCTTTTGTCTCCTCACTGCGATCTGGCATTGGCCCAGCTCCCAAAAGAAACAAAAGAAGGTAACCGATTGAGTCGTTTCTGCTGCTTGGTAATAACCTTAAAGCTACCCCACTATTCCGCCCCACTTGGAGGGGTAGCACGAATGCCGAGTGCGTCCCGAGCCTTCTAAACGAAGCTTGAAACAGAATTTGGTTGTTGGACAGTCTCTGTTCATCTGCAATATCCAAACTTATCCAGACATTACTCGGCGCTGTTAGTCAGGGGAATACATGTGGCAACCCAATGGTGGAATTCCATGGATTTGTAAGCTGTGATGGCTTTTTTCCTATGTGACATCACCAGCGTACGCTCTCCATGTAGCAACAACACTAGCCTAGCTGGTGGAGCGGCAATTAAAATGGGAATTGCAAATGAATATAAATAAGTATAATCGAGAGACCACTAACTTCTTCAATTAGCCTTGACTTGTCGATTGCTTCAGTACTCGCTCCGCAACGTCCTCCTCCAACTCATCCACCATCCAAGCTCAATAGCTGTACGAAAACAAGATGTCGTCGCACCACGCAGTTACCAAAGAACATGGCCAGACAGCTAAAGTCCCAGGAATTCCCAACGTCGCAGCTGAAGGAGTATGTTGCATCACAATATATCGGTTCCATGGCTAACATCCATCTCAGATACCATACTTCACACCAGCTCAGAATCCGCCCTCTGGCACGGCTTCCGACCCCCAACCTTCCAATGCCGCCATTCCAAAAGTCTTCCAACCTATTACGATCCGTGGCTTGACCCTCCAGAACCGAATTATGCTATCTCCTCTCTGCCAATACTCCGCTGAGAACGGTCACCTTACACCTTGGCATCTTGCTCATATTGGAGGCATTGTATCCCGGGGTCCTGGGCTCACCATGATTGAAGCTACATCAGTTGTTCCTGAAGGTCGAATTACACCCGAGGATTCTGGAATCTGGGCCGACAGTCAAGTTGACGGTCCATATGGACTGAAGGCTATTGTTGATTTCGCACACAGCCAGGGCCAGAAAATTGCAATCCAGATTGCTCACGCTGGACGGAAAGCTTCTACAATTGCACCGTGGTTAAGTGCTGGTGCTGTGGCGACAGAAGATGTTAACGGTTGGCCAAACAATGTCAAGGCACCTTCAGCTATTGCGTACAATGACGCCCACTGCCAGCCATCTGCGCTTACACTGGACGAAATTGAGGATTTGAAGAAAGCGTGGGTTGCTGGTATCAAGCGTGCTATCCGAGCAGGATTCGACGTCATCGAAATTCACAACGCTCACGGCTATCTTCTCCACTCGTTCCTGTCCCCAGCATCCAACCAGAGAACTGATAAATATGGTGGATCATTCGAGAATCGCACACGTTTGACTCTTGAGTTGGTCGAATTGACAAGAGCGGAAATGCCAAAGGAAATGCCTCTTTTCCTGAGAATCAGTGCTTCGGATTGGCTAGACCACGATGGTTACACTGGTGAGTCTTGGAAGATCGAGGACAGCGTCCGGCTTGCCCCGCTTCTTGCCGAGAAGGGAGTCGATCTGATAGATGTCTCATCTGCTGGTCTACATCCATCCCAGAAAATCAAGCCTGGTCCAGGATATCAAGTTCCATTCGCCAAGGCCATCAAAAAGGCCGTCGGTGATAAAATGCTTGTCGGCGCTGTTGGAAGTATTACAACCGGTCCTCAAGCAGAGTCGATTCTCACTGGTAAAGGAGAAGGTAGTCACGGAGAGGAAGAGATTGATATGGCAATCGTCGGAAGAATGTTCCAGAAGAATCCTGCCTTGGTTTGGACCTGGGCGGAGGAGCTTGGTGTGGAAATCAATGTTGCAAACCAGATCCGTTGGGGATTTGGAGGCAGACCTGGTGCACCAAAGAAGGCTTAAATGTGGTATTATAGAATATTGTGAAAGACTTTAGCGTTTGGTGTTCGCTTGGTAGTTAGAATTAGACAGAGCAAGGTACTTCATGTAAGCATGAATCATTTAGAGCGAACAATAGTCTAATCCCAGGAAACGTGTAACATATGCCATATAAGAGACACAAATGGTTGAGACACATTGTAAGATGTCTGATTTCGAATTCAATTTGAAGCTTATCTGTCATCGTAAGCCAAACTAAAGTAAAGTACCATGCCGAGCCAACACGAGAATTACAACCAAGCCAAATATTAGAGAAAAGCAAACAACGCCATCGATCCACAACTCCAGATGACCTAATCCCAAGCCCACTTCACCAACCCCGTGTCGCCCTGCTCGCCCTCACTGAAGACTCTCACTTCTGCCCTCCACCTGTATAAAAACCAGCCCAAGGGTCCTCTTGTCTGTCCTGATTCTCATAACGATCTCGAGCTGAATAGTAGTTTTGACTTTGATTATATGCTTCTAGCTGTTCTTTCGTGAGGCCCGTTGAGGTTTGTTTGGATGACGAGGTAGAGGATTTGGATTTCTTGCTGTGGATGAGTGGTTAGTATGTGGTTGTTGAGGGTTCGCGGGGGATGCTTACGAGGAGGACTTGTGGGAGGAGTTGTGGGGTTTGTTGGGTGGCATGATTGATTGGATTGGAGTTCTGGAGGTGTTGTTGGATGGGAGGTAGTGATGAGATGGATGAGTGAGTTTGTTTTGGTTGTGCTGCTATTCGTGAGATGAGATTTTTATAGGACTATGTACAGTCTGAGAAGATATTCCCAACTATATTGTGCAAGCTTTCCAATATAATGAGCGTGTCTTGTCATACAACTCTACCCTTACCACATACCTTCATATTAAAGGCACACCTCAATTCCTCGGTAAAGACTGCAGGATGTATAACCTTAATACCACAACCTACCCAAGGACCCATCAACAACCTCAATTTCACGTACATCACTAACAACTAAGGACAACCTCAGTAAGAAGCATCACCGTTCGCCACAAGCCCAGCGAATCAACGAACCATCACGTGAAGCCCTAAGACCCAAACAAACCCTTGAGATCATGCAAGAGTCCACATCGTGCATTCGAGCCTCAGAACCTTCCTATCATTTTCTGACTGGCGTACGTGGCATGCAGGTCCCGTGGTTGTGCGTAAGACATGTCACTCGGGCCCTCAGGCAGAAGTTTAAGCGAGTCACCCCCCTTTTCTTGGGCCTCCTTTGTTGGTACTTGGGGAAATGAAGGTCTTGGTAAGCTCTTAAGGCATGATTGCTAATAGTGTTGAGCGTGGGGTGTGGGTACTTGATGTAGAATGTAGAGGTGAGGCGGCGTGAGTTTTTAAGGCGGAGGTTGGTTCAGGAAGTTGAGGAATAGGCAAATGCAAAAAAAGGGCACCAGGCAACCGAAGGGCGTAGGCAAGTCTTTCACAGTTTACTCTAACAAGACATCTATGTATAATCGTCTTTTGAGGAGTAAGTTTCAAGGTTTCTGAGGTCTGCAGAGGACGTTGTCGAGAAGTCATATGACAACTCTCTGAAGTACAAACTGACGTTATCTTGGTACGCGGTAGTTGTAGCGGATTCTCACCACCTGAAAATTACTCACTGCAAAAGCCTGGATTGTTACCGGCTTTCTAACCATTTTGTACATTAGCAAGACCGAAAATTTGGGTTTGAGATTGAACCATCCAAACTCTTGTATGAACTTTATTAATGCAATAATTTCAAGTTTATCTAATGTATAATGATCAAAATCTGGCAAAAGAAGTTCTCTGGTATTGATGTTTCAGATGTAGTTACACATTATGGCAAAAAAAACGTTTCCACAGCATGATAAGTACACATGAGATGAGAGTCAAGGCAAGCACACTGTATTCAAATATTTCCACGAGAATTTCGTTGTTAATTTCATTATCATACTTGAGTCCATGAATGTATGTAAACAAGCTAAGCAGAGCCAAAGTCAGTCGACTATTGTCGCTTGGCGACGAGACGGCCAGAGGAGCCATGTAAGGAGATTCGTAAGTCCCAGGATATTACCGTAAGTGAAGAAGATCAAAGCACACCACATTGAACCGAATAAATAAAACACCCAGGGGAACCTAACCCGCAAGTCCTCCCAAAAACTCCTGATGTCTTTCAGCGCAGACGACATCCAAACTCCGGCTCATTGAACTGATGTTTCTGTTGCCTGCACCAGAGGCTTCGTTGAGCAAATGTTTTGCGGACTGCCATTGACTTCCTTTGCAAGAGGGGGGTCATCTAGGAAACTTATCTCCAACTCAATATCTGGACGGTGACCCTTTGAAACCTGATGAACTTTCAGGTTATCAAAGCGTGTGTAACTTTTGCCACATCCCTTAAAGCCACACTTTGCGGGCTTGACGAGAGCTTTACTACACCCGAATTTGCAAGTCTGCCTGTGGCGTTTAAGGTTCGATGTTCTATTGCCCGTTTTGCCCGATGGTTGATGACCACATGGACAATTAGGCCCTTTGATTTTGCTAACAGAAGCATCAATGACTTTGTGTTCGTACGATGAAGTGAAACTTGTTCGTAGAGCTGGCAAAGGTCTTTGAAGTGGGCTGGACTGAACAAAGGTGATAGGCGGCGGCGGCAGTTGTGGTTCTTGATCAAAAAACGCGGGAATGTACGAGTGATCCGGAGAGGTTATCATACTACAGTTAAAGTTAGTTTCAGTTCATGGAAACCAGTGAGCCCAACTCACTGTGAAGTCATCCGCATATCTTGAGGTGGATCAAGTTCGGGATTCTGGAAGTCTGCTATGCTGGACGAAGCTAGAGTCATTGACTTATCAAAGGCCATACTTCTATTTTCAATCAAAGTTGACGGCGAACTAAGTGGGTTTGACGGTGATTGCATACATTCATCAGCCGAGTAGAAGTTTTGAATCTCGGTTATGTCAGGGAAATAATCATATGTCGCATAACGCCTGTCAGAGCAATCATTCTGTGGTGCGAAACCTCTATCATTACAGCTCGAGCTTTCGTTGACGTCGGGTGAGATTGGTGATGTATTTGCAGTTGCAATTTCTTGTCTAAACCCAGTAGAATCCATTGACTCGTCATCAAATATACTGCTGTGATATGTTGATGAACTCGAGGGGCCAAAAGCGCTGCGGGAAGCTGAGGAAGGTATGGAAATGGGAGCAGTATATCTGCGGGTACTGTTTGTATTGTTGCGATATAGCGTTCGCTCGTCGTCGATCACCTGAGGACAGTCGCAATCAACAGGAACTCCAGGAAGTTCGTGAAGGTTTAGCGCAGCCGCTGGGCTTAACACGTTGCCAGTGCCTCCTCCAGCTAGAAAGGCTTGCTCGAAGGTAGCATCAGATAGCATCCGAGGTCCTGGAAGATCAAATAAATATTCGTGCCCATAATGTGCTCGTCCATAACCCATGCCATAAAAGTTTGACGGAAGCTCAGCTGTTAATTCAACATCAAGCTCATATATACCAGGGGTGTATCCTATTTCCGAGATCTGACCCTCTGGCAGTTCTGAAACATCTAATTTGGACGAAAGCTCAGCAAGATGCGGATAGGAAGGCATGTCGCTCTCTGTTTTGGTAGATTGTGGCATCTGCGGCGCGTTTGGAAACCCCTTTCCTGCAGTGCTATTCCGGGGGGATAAAGGCGACCGAAAAGGACTCAGTGCAGTGGCTATGAGGCTCTTACACGACAATGGGTTGCAGTCTTCCTCCGTGGCATGAAATCTACCAATTGGTTCAGGTCTTCCACAATAAAGACACTCAATACGCCCTTTTGGAAGCTGGGTGCAAGCATAGAGATGCTTCATCATCGACTTTTCGTCCGCAAATTCTTCTTTCGGGCAGTCACTATATCCTCACACCGTTAGCCTCTATTTACTTGGTGTATTCCCACATCGCGCACACAGATTTTTCTTTGTAAACTTACATGAGAGGGCACTTCTTCAAATTCAAACTCGCGGAAGGGGACTGATTCCGAACGTATGCTACCCAGGTCAAGAACCTTGCTACAGAAGCTTTGTGCTTAGGAGCCTTCGGTTGCCGCCTACCATACGAATTGGTTCCCATATACTAACACCGACAACAAGATGCTACGTACCTGGTGCCAATGCTGGCGATACAAAGTCTTAGCGAAGGTCTCTTCGCATGGATAGCCGAGCGATGTTGGGGATGTGGAGGTGTTTGCGTACCAGAAAACTCACTTGAGGCCATGATGTGTTGGAAATTAGGATTCGATAAAGCATAAATATCGAACAGTCGATGTGGACCTTCCCTTCTGCGAAATAAGAGAACGCTCCTCAAGGGAAATGTCCTTGAGTATACCCCGGATATGCGAGCACCTCGTACACAGCGTACCGCTACATCATGTGTCCCGACGAAGTCCAATAACACTGCAGAATTTCCTTCCTTAAGGTTGTTCGAAAGCTGCTAACCTGAAAGCCCTTGCGCGGGCCATTGCAGGTCGAATTCTATCTAGAATTGCCGGTATCAAAGGCCCAGCATAACGACCAAGGGTAAAGAGCGACGTGGCTCCTGCGTTTTCTTTGTTCGATTGAGAAATTGGGCCTATGAGATGGTATAATCGTTAGCGGAGCGATATTCGGCGACATCGAAAGCCGTCCGAGCGAGGTGGGCAGTTTGCCTTATTCTTGAGAGCTCGGATTGGTAAGGACGATGCAGCTTCCTGGAGGCAATCGATACCTCCAACAAGGTGCGTTACCCATTGTAAGGAGTTAGGTATGTAGGTCAACAGCCGTATCATTTTCCTAGCAGTCCAAACTCCTTGAAACGTACCATGCGTTCAATCACCTGTGGTTGGGGTTACGGAGATGCGTGCTGCCTAAGAGGTCAGACGAGGCTAGCAAATTCCCAGGTGAAGGATAGAAAAAACCAACGACAATTGATGTCGATAGCTCGTGCATCAAGAGAGCTCGAGCTTAACAAGAAGCATTCAGCGGGGTGGCAATTGATATAGGTGATGGACAAGGCAGTGCAATGAAAGTCTTCTGCAATGAATCCCTATGAGACGTGGATTAAATCCATCATGGGGGCGGATAGGGGGCCAAATACAAAGTCAATCCCAATAACTTAGTGTTGGAGCTCTTTACTCGAGAAGTGTTGTTCTTCTCATGTGGTGGGGCTGGGAAACCCAAACCACGTAGCCAATAGAGAGAAATTTGCCCTTTCAGAGGCGTTGGTGCATATGTACTCGACGGATAATATCTTCAGGAAGATGCATATCGATAAACCCAAGAAGCGCTCCTCAACAAAGCAAGATAAACAGTTGGCGATCGGGCGACACCTGCATGATCATGCTTTGGAGCGGCCACGACCGGGTCGAAACCGCCAATTCGACAGTTTCTTGTAGACCCAGTACTCCTAATTGTTAGGCCCGTCCTCTAAGAACTTGAGCGAGCGGTGAATACAAAGATATCCAATAGCGCAGTACAGGTAGAAGACGCTCGCATAAACACACCCAACACGGAAATTGAGGCTCTTATGGGGTTTTCGACTGCATGCTACTGCGGTCCAATTCGGTCGAAAAGAAGGATCGGCAGACGTAGTTCTTTTCTTGTGTGACGAGATTATGTGGTATCAATCGAATGGGGTTGAATTAGACGGGATAAGTGATGAAAACAAGAAACAAAGCTTACCTTGCATGCATTGAGACTAGCTTAAGCAAAGTTTAGAGCATGTGTGGAGCAGCAAAGCCTTATCGATACATGATCAAAGTGCGTATACTGCCGTTCCTGGATTTGACCTGGAGCATAACGCTTTTCCTGCTTTCCGAAGAGAAGGCTTCGTCACCGGCCGGCTCAATATGCAATAGATCCAGCTGAACTGGAGTAGCTCCCGCAAACCGAATGAATGTCGAGAGAAACACCCGGAGATAGGAGTATACCGTATTTATAGAAAATCGAGATTTCGGTTAATGTAAAGTGGTAGGATATGAAAATCTCACGGCCAAGGAAACAGATCGTTTGTTTTGTGAGGCTTCATACACGAACGCGAATCTCTTTGTCCGAACAAGAGGATCAGCAGAAAAAGCAAGCCGTGGGGGTTTATTGAAACTGACTATCCGTAATGGTGTAATGGTGTGGTGACTGAAGAGCGGCTGGGTTGACGTTGGTGGTTGTCAATTCAGCAGCACCCAGACGAAGAGACCCACTTGAGTAATCTATGATTGGTGTGACACGGCATAGTGGGGCGCCATGGGCGGCTGGACACAGTATCACGTGAGTCGTTGCCACGAGTTTGCAACCTCTTAAGCAACAACACTGATGTTCAGGAACCAGCTTCTGGCCCTACCTCTCTGCATCGATGGACGTAAAACATATCCGAGAAGATTCTAGGAGGCGGGGAGTAAGAAGTGAGTACATTGGGGATGTTTATACCCGGATTCCTCTTATTGTCTAACCCCTAAAACAACATCACAAGTAGTCAAATAGAATTCGCGAGTATAGTTCTGCAGAGGTCAGAATATGAATCTTGGGGAAGATAAGACAGTCTTTGATAGAACAAAACGGCTAGGAAACCTTGGAAATACCTGACTTGTACCAATCCCCTTGATTAACTTGACGGATATAGGACGATTCAGAGTATTAACCTTCTTGGAGGGGAAGAGGGTAATGTGAGTAAGTAAGTAATGTGGTGAGAAAATAGTATATTGAGATGTCTAAGGAGAGTAAGTGAGCAGAGCTCGTACCGACCCGATCAAGCATCAAGCGCCCAAACTAGGTTCAAACCTCATCATCTCATTCAACATCTGCAAGTTAAAACCGTCGCCCTCACACAAACTCAACAACCATTCCGCATCCATCTGTCCCAGTTCTCCATGTCGCCCTTCCCATCTACCAGTCGACCCAGGAGACGTATGCTTCTCGGGCATATAACCAAGGTCGTCTGGGTCAGGTGATCTGCCTATAGGATCATACAGCTCCTCTACTCCGAGACCGGGATCCGTAAAAGTTTTCGATTTCGGGTCTGGTGGTTTGGGTGATGAGCGCACGTATGATTCTGGAGCGCTGCCCGGGAAGCCAGGAGAGAATGATGTGAGGGAGTTTGGTAGGTCGTGCGTGGACGGAGTTTCGGTTGTGATTGCTGCTGGTGCTTCGCCGTCTTTTGCTGTCGGTGTCTTAGGCTGAGGGGCTTGAGCGAGAAATTCCATCGTCGCGCCAATTACGTTTTCTAGAGCGTCGCGGTACTTTTTGACGACTGGTGTGCGTTCGGCCATTACGAAGAGCGCACTCGAGCAAGCGCGGAGGTCGTTTGAGACTGTGAATGTCCAGAGGTTAGGGGATGTGAAAAGGCAATAGCTAGATTGGAATTAGATTATGCTCAGTTGATTGTGATTTTTTAAAGTAGAAGACTTACCACATTGTAACCCCCGCTATGAAGACTGAATGGAGGGCAATGAATGAATGCCCATAACTGTCTCTCTGGTGAAGCCGTTTGAAAATCTGGCACAGCTGACCTGATGCTAAAAGGCAAAGTGCAATTCGTCTATCGGACGGTGGCAATATTGTCAAGAATGGCTGCAAAAGTAATCTTACTGCCTTGTAATAATGCATTCCCAAGTAGTCTGTTTCATATGGAGACGACGGTGGAAGCGCTCGATGCCAATCCTCTAGCATTTTCAATATCGGGTTTATTTTGCAGATTAGACTTGATATCGGTTTGTCGACGCGGTATATTGTACCTTGAATATGTGATTCTAGCCTTTTCAGGCGGAAACATTGTATAGCAAGCGTGATATTAGAAGATGGCCGAGACTTCTGGAACGTCGGTGAAGGAGAGACTGCCAAGGTACGTGCGATCAAGCCATCATCTCGAACAGTGTCATCTATTTCCAAAGGCATTGCAACATCAATATCGCGATCCGCAATACTGTATGGTCGACCCAAAGAAACAGCAATGACGCGCTCAAGGAAGTACACAGTCCAGAAGAGCCTTCTCCTCAGTTGGCCCTCATATGGCGTTAGATGCCCATAATAGGCTTCCCGATGTAACCCTAAATCGATACAGGTACGAATTGCCAATCCAATCATGTACCAGATGCCAGAATTGGAAGGTGATCGCAAATTGTACAATACGAGAAGTGTCATGGCCTCGATGTTGTGCACAGAATGGGATTCTCGCGCAGCCGAGATATATTGCAAGGCCGTCATGAAGAAATTCTCAGGAGCCGTATAGTCATACTGCTCTGTAAGCTTAAGCATCGTCGCGCCGATTGCGTAGATCATGTACATCTTGAAGGTTGCATACTGGTCTTGTGGTGATGAATTGTTCTGCTGAAATCGGCCCGCATGTCGTTCCCTGATCTCAGACCTGTCCAGAAAGGGGTAACGAAGATGTACCCGAGTAAAATAGGTATCCAGGATTCTGTCTCCCATTTTGTCATTCGGTGGCCCAGCACTATTTCTTTTCAGATCCGCAATTGTCATTGCTTTAGGCTGGCTTGAAGAGACATTCGATGCGAGCGCCTTGTTCCAAACCGTAGCTTGTACCATTTGCCCCAGGTTCTTCGCCAGAGAGAAGCCACTGGATGAGCCAACATAGGCGCCATCTCCGCCCAGACTGATGAATCCAACAATGTCGGCAAAGTTATGGTTTTTCTGTTCCTTCTCCGCAGAGATGGGCGAGCCTACTAGACTCGGGTCCAGAGCTGGTTGAGAATTGAGCTGAGGCTTAACAGCAACCGGGGGGTTATCCGTGTATGCAGCGAGTTGCGCTTCGAGAAAAGATATCCGCTCGAGGAGGGCTTGATTCGGACCACTTTACGATCATCAGCGTTTGTGACTCAACAATGGCGGGACGGCATCAGAAACACACACCTGTTGTATTCCTCAATGGCAGATTGAGGCTGTATACATACCTCATTGGCACTCGCGCAGTTAGCGCAAACCGGAAAGCCGTGGCATTTCTGTTTCCTCTGTCTGCACCGTTCACAGCTCTTTCTCGCCCTTTTAGAAGGTCTCGGATTCTCATCCATTGCTTCTGGCGCAGATGTCATACCTATATCCAGAAACAGAGTTTCTCTTAGGAAAAAACATCATGTCGAGTAGCGCGGTGCTCTTGTCTTGTTTAAAAATGGGGGCTAGAGAGTGGGAGGACGTCAACGCGATAAGCAAAGGTTTAACAAGCAATGGTGGGCGAAACAATTGGTCATGAAATGACAGGGGACGTATAGAAGCCTGCGTCTTCAAGAAATATAAATATCCCTCCGGAAATTGCATTATTCGCTAAAGAACTGAGGAACTTCTTCAACCAAGAGATATAAATTTGACGACGCGAACCTGAACTGTCACGTGACATCGCGATTGCCAAGAACCTTGGAAAGCTGTCGTTTTTGTCACTCCCAGTTTCCGTTCCAAACATTTTGCGTTGAAACGCTTGATTAAGATGGACGTTCACAATAACGCCTCGTTCATTACACAGCAGCGCACTTGATCTCTCTTAAATGAAAGGCAGGCACGTAAGTAAGTACCTGGGAAACTTCCACATATATATGAGTGGAACTCCGCGCACTTCGCTGTCGCTCGTGCTTGACATCGACTGTTTATCTACAATCACTAAACTGGTCAGCGAAGCAGATAATTGAGCTCGTCCAGGAGTCCATCGAACCGCACACAAGTTGTCTGAATACCATTATCATAACATGTAAGAATACCACAGCAACGAAAAGAGTACTGTACTTCTCCTTGTTACACACGGAATTTCCAAATGTGCTATACCTAAGTATACACAGGCTTTAAAACTGCCTTTCGTTCACGCAACGGCACATTTTATGACTGTTCAGGTTTAATTTATTGAGATAACGCCTTTAAAAGCAGTAGTAATGTGAGCTTACGAAATAATGTAGCCATCTTCTGTCCTCAACAATACAATATCATTAGACAGTGCATTTCTCGTCTCTTTCGACACTTGATCTTCTGGTATGGTACCTCGCCAGGTAACGTATCCAGCATATTCAGGCGCCACTTCAGGTAATAGCTTCCGCCTGATTGTTGAATTAGAACCATCGGCTGCAATAACCAGGTCTGCTGTTGTCTCGGTCCTACGACCCTCAATATCATGGAATTTCACAATCATCTTTTTCCCATCGTATTCAAGTTCATCAACATTTTTTCCCGTTTCGTATCTGACATCCTCACTTGGCTCAACTCCTGCAAAACTGTTCTTGAACATCTGATAAAGTGTGCTCCAAGTCGTCATGTACGCAGCTTCTTGAGGTGGAAATGTCATCACAACATTGCCCTCCTTATCAACAATCTCAACTTTGCGAGCGGTAATCGCATAAGACTCGTGGCCCTTGACATATCGGTCAATGATAGTTTGAACGTCCGGACCAGCTCGTATCCCAGCTGCTTCACTCTGCAAGATTGCAGGCCCCGATCGTTCGAGGACGCGGACTCTATGACCTAAGCCTTTGAGGACCAGGGCACTCATAAGGCCAGCTAAAGAGCCACCAACCTGTTCCCAAGTTTAGTGATTGTGGATATTCCACAGAGTAGTTTTAAACCTACAACAATAACATCGAGAATTCTTTGGTCCATGACTTCAGTGCTAGGTGGTACACGAAGTAGTAAGTGCGTAGTGAGTAAAAGGATTGACATGATGGAGAGATCCTGACCAAGCAGTCTCGAATTCACAGAGCACACGCCAAGCTGTATTATGTGCCACAGTTGTGCATTACCATGTTGGCATAATTTAACTATTCAGCATTTGTATTATGTTGGAGAGGGGCTGCGTTGCTATCCCACCAATGTCAGGCTCCAGCCAACACTCAGCTCCACAACTTCATGGCAACAAAACTACCAACATATTAGCCTAAGTAGATAACGAAGGACTGCGATGCCAGTTTAAAGTAAGAGTAATTGTTATTAAGATAATTCAACTCGTTAGATAACCAAGATAGCTCAACTCATTACATATTAAATCATGAGAAAAGTCGCGGAATGAATTCCTCCTATTCCCGTGGATTGTCTCATAGATAGAAAGTTCACAAAGCATTGCCCCATTGGGGAGCGTTAATAATGATGCCCATTAAACATCCCGAGATGATACCAGTCACAGGAAGGGTGATGAACCATCCCATGTAAATCCACTACCGAGCGGTTAGCGAGCCCCTTTATTAACATTCACAATTTACTTACTGCTACCATTCTCCAATTGATCGACTTCAACTCTCCATTGCACAAACCAACACCAACAGTCGCCTAGAGGTTTAAGTGATTAGCAATGCTACATATGTAAGCTCGCGTTGGGTTGGTGCTTACTCCGACAATACATTGTGTGGTCGAGACTGGAAGAGCTAAGCGAGTGGCCATAACGACAGTGACAGCAGCTCCAAGTTCCATGGAGAAACCACGCGAAGGAGAATGTAGAGTAAGACGGTTGCCTAGATTCCGCATAATGTTGTAACCATAGGTCCATAGGCCAACAACGAGTGCTGCCGCTCCGTAGCACAACACCCAGACCGGAACTGGAGATTTAGAAGAGAGTTTTCCAGTGCTCCAGATCAGGTATACTGTAGCTAGAGGTCCAACAGCATTACTGACATCGTTGGCACCATGTGCAAAGGATGCAGTAGCCGCTGTGAGAACTTGAAGATAAGAGTAGGCATGTTCGGCTTTGTTATCGTAATGAGTGGCTTTGGCGTGCATTTCCTCAAGATTACCACAAAGGACAGAAGATTTCTTCTGCTCGGCAACAACATCAACCTCGACACCGTGGAAAAATGCCTTGTATAAAACTCTTGGTAAGTTCTTTGGCTCGTACCACTTGCCAACTTCAGGTTCATACCATTTCCTAGGCACAGTGGTCCCAGGGATTACGACTTCGTTGGAGGTTCGTCCTGAGCTGCTTCCGAATGTGATCTTCTCGTTGGTGTTGTGATTATCGGCTTCGATATCATTAGCCAGATGAGGATTGCTGCGGCCGTCGCGTTCAAGCTCTTCTCGAGTTTTGTGTCCCGCGTAATAGTCTCTCACAGTGGTTGCGCTGGCGTCTGGGTTTGGCGGTACTTCGCCACGTCGAAGCAATAGCGGACCTTTGAACATATCGTGCCATTTGAGCTGCCAATCTCCCATGTGGAGTGTACGATGGAGGTAGGGAAGAAGGAATAGGACAGAAAGCAATGCAACACCAAAGGCAACACCGAATATGACTCCAATATATTCACCTGGACCCCTAAAGCAAGTTAGTATATGTTTTCCTCGTAGAGCCCAATCCAAGCAGCCGTATCTAAAAGTGATAATGCCGCTAGCTACAAAGAATAAGAGCTTAGCTAGAGAGCAAAGGCAAAGGCTGCATACCACTTCTTGACGGCAGATGCTGCAGATGCAGCACCTTTCCAAACGATCAACATTGTGAGGATACCCGAGGTCAATGCAAAGTAAAAAGGCACCATGATAAAGGCAGCTCGAAGTGGATTCTTGCGCTTGAGCACCCCGTATTTCGTGATCATGAAGATGATAGATGCAAAACAACCTGCGATACCAGGCGCGATTCCCCAGGTTGCGAAGATCTGCGCGACACCATTCCATCCCCAGTTGACACCGTCAGTACCAAGTGTGGCAATGCCGACGCCGATGACAGCCCCAATGATGCTGTGTGTTGTAGATACCGGAAGTCCAAGTCTGGTAGCCAGTGATAGGTATAAAGAAGAAGAAACAAGGGCACATGTCATTCCCAGCATCAAAATTGTTGGCTCTTGTTCAAACGCCTTCGTCGTCAGGATCTTTCCTCTGATTGCGTCTGCTACCCGAGCACTTTTGTCTGTCAGCTAGTCTGAGATGGCCCAGATGACGCTTTCGCTTACCCAACACCGACCGCTCCAGCGAACTCCATCACAGTCGCAATGCACATTGCTTGCTTGAGGGTTATTGATCTCGAGGAAACAGAGGTTGCGAAACTGTTGGCAACATCATTGGCTCCTTCGAAATGTGTTAGCTGCCAGCCTCTAAGTCGAAGTAGATCAAGGGTTAATGATCGAGGATGGCTGCTCACCAATATTCCAAGCATCAAGGAACGCAAAGATCATCGCTATCGCGAAAATGTACTGATGGCAAAGTCAGTCAGTCTATCGTGATAGGTATTACAAATGGAAGGCTCTTAGTACTGACATCAAATTGATGAAGCGCCATGTTGAAAACGGTTCAGGCTTTGAAGAGACAAGTGGTAAATTGAAACGATGATAGTGAAGAAAAGGATTGCTTGAAAGTGTCCTAGATTATGTATGTTGTACGGCTGCGGAGCTACTAATAGGCTTTAAATATACTGTGCTCTCTACCATAAAATGTCATCTGAATCGCGCCTTCTCCATGCGCGCCCAGTTCTCTTGCTCACCAAGAATTCCCACAACTGTATCGCCACGCTTGAATATCACATTGACATCCAATAAGGCTGCATATTTCATGACCGTGGACAGTAAATCTCTGAAATTTTTGTCGAAACGAGCCACTTGGCCAAGCAGCTGCCCACCCTCATGAGTACAGCCAACCCCTTGGGGTTTCTTGGACTACGATCCAACAGAGCAGTATGGTAGGCAAGTTTCCCCGTGGGTGTAGAGCAATGCACCGGGAAACCAGCAGATTCACGTCATTGGGTTTATCGAGATGATGGCCCGAACTTGGCTTATTTGGCATTCTTGGTGTTCGACCAATTCTTTTACATTGCACCACAATAAGGAGAGCCATGCTCCAGTATGTGTAACTAATGAGTGGGGACATAGGTGGAGCCAAGAGGAGGATGTTCAGTGGACCTCAGCAGCCAAGGTCTTGCGACAACGTGCTCAGGACATGCAATGTAATTGGTCGCAAGCAACGACAGGTCTTGAAGTCAAGTCCTACTTCAACTTCGGCAAGCACAAACAATTGAAACCCCTTCAGATATTACTTAGAATGATGCCAGAGAGAAGGAACTCTCATGGGAATAGCAAGACTAAGTAGGTAAAGTTCCAATGGATCTAATGTACACATAAATCTGCCAAGGTAGCGTGGCTCCTCGAACTCGAGTTTTATCGTGAACAATAAGAGAGGTTTAGTGCTTTTCATCGTCAAAAGTCTAGCCAACCCCATATGGATATGAAGGCTGAGAGACAATAAGGTAGCAGCTTTGAAGACACATGTAGAGACAGTGCAAGAACGTTCAGCAAACAGATTATGCAAGAAATATGGGCCAACACATCCATGATAATGCTGAAAGAGACTGGGAAATGCCGAAAAGGCCTGGAAAATATAGCAATCATCCTTTCGAATAGAAAGAAATGATACGCCCATGGGTCGCTGAAAGTTTGTCCATCGCTAGATTCCTAGGCCGTCCGTCCACAGTTTTCGACAGCGAGTTGGTAACTTCTTTAAAATGCAACCTCCGATTCTTTTTCAACGCGGTACTAAGCAAGGTAGAAACTTCTACAAATCAGTACAAAACCAGGGCAATTGATACAGAGAGACATTTCGAACATCCAAACAATAGCATCTAATCTTCTGTAGATATTGACACAACAAACATCTGACCACTGCCACATGTCTGGTTCCATGGACACTGAACGTATGCCAATTTCGATTTGTGCGAGAGCGACGCCGATCTTTAATGTGTAAGCCAGCTCAGAGTGGAGCCCGATCCCAGGTTTCTACAAACATGTACGGAGTACCTCGCGGAGGACAAAATAAGTGTCAGTTACCTGCCTACTAATTTTGGGACCCAATAAGTCGACGTCGAACGGAGCTTAAGAAGTTTTATTTACTTAAAATAATTGACGAAATGAGTCATATTGTTCCAAGTTGATCCACTAAATGCCGATATTTCGTCAACTTAATCGAAGAAATATCGTTCTTCGACTGCCACTTATTTTGTCCACCGCGAGGTACCTAGGGAGTAGGGAATCTGCACGATCGAGATGCTTGCTTGCCACGAGGCCAAGGTCGTGTCAACAAAGTGCTCCAGAGTATTGAGTTTTTAGAACGACCCTGGTAAAACAGAGCGATAGTCCCTCACATGGTAGTGACTGGAACAGGAATTACTCGATGTCTCCTCTGTGGCTTCCGGTCCGAACGGGATAATGTCTCACAAGCTCCTTGGGCGACCGTCAGAACGGATTCAACATTCTTTACGACGGGGGTGCGAACGTCTGTACCAACAAACGAGAAGCATGCTTTTCGACTTGCACGTAATCCTTTGGGTCAAGATGCGATGGGTGCGATAACCTTGCGTGAACAGACACGGTAGTTGTTGGCGAAAGGTCTTACCCAGCTTGCGCGAATTGGCGATACTGGATCAGCAACTGCGTGTCCATAGCCTGTGCAGTCATCAGCAGGACTCCCTGAAAGTCGGTAGACTCAGATGAGTTTGAGGTCTGAATACGGCTGTGTGAAGAGACAACCAACACGCGAAGCACCCCGAGTGTCATGCGAAATACTCGAAGATACGCGAGAATCAAGTTTCGACGCGGTCATGGCCCAGAACCCGCGGGCAGATGGTTGAGTTTCGACAACTGTGATTTGAAATTAAAAAAGGTATCAACAAGAATGGGTAACTCATGTGTGGAGTAGAGATGAACAACAAGCGGAGTGGAAAATTGATATTCCAAGACTGTGGGGTCCCAACGCTAACTTTCGCGTCGAGAAAGCTTGTCTCCACTAGTTGCGGTTCTAACAATTCCATTGGTTCATGGCCCCAGGGCGAAACCCTTCGACGTTAAGCTGTCTTTCCCACCTTCCGACCGACCGAGTAGTTCCTACTCCCCATTTATTCCATTGATTTGGTTCTGTTTTCATGATTCGGATGTTGATCAGACCTGCTCCCGGGCGCTGGTACAAGTATGTGAGCGACAATTCGATAAACTGTATGCATGCATACAATTCGGCTGTATGGTACCGCCAGGTACCTTTCGTACGCTTCTCGCAAGCTACCGCCACCCACAACGGGTCCGGGGTCTGATGCAGTCGATCTAGGCCAGGAACGAGACTCAATTCGGAAGGTCAAACTATCTTCTCCGGTTCTGACAGCAACGTGCTATCAATGATAGGACTAATGAGCCACTGATAACGATGGGCTAAACCACCTGGACCATGTGGAAGGCGAAGGTTAGGCAAGTCGTATGGACTTGTACCTATCAGCGACGAATATGCTGTAGCATATGTCAACGGAATCCGGCGACACGTCTACGGTAAGCTAGCGCGGCAGCATCATTGACAAGAATTAAGCTTCCTTGGAAGTTATAAAGAAGTCTTGTCGCTTCTTGGGTTTGCATGCCAGCCTACCAGCTTCTGCAACATGAGACATTCTTTCGCCGCGCTCCTCGGCTTGGCCGCAATCATCGTGGACACGGCCTCGGCATGTGGAGGTTGCAACAACCCGCTGGAAGCTGTTGTACACGAACGCAATGTTCGTCGAATGCAACCAGAAGCCAGTGGTGCGGTCAGTGGCCCCAAAGCTGAGTTGGAATGGGGCCAGTTGAATTTCATGCACACCGTAAGCACTCACAACACCATCAATAGCCGAGTCAAACAATGAATATTAACATCTTAATCAGACCGATACGCATGGCTGGCTTGAAGGTCATCTCAAGGAGCAGAATTATGGCGCTGATTGGGGTGATTTTGTGTCCTTCTCCCGTCACATGGTTCAAAAGGCGGGAAATCTTGGTGTGGACCTCTTGCTTGTTGATACTGGGGATCTCCACGACGGCAATGGGCTTTCCGATGCCGCTCTGCCTAACGGTGTGCTGTCAAACCCAATCTTTGATGAGATTCAATATGATGCTCTGACTATTGGTAACCACGAGCTTTACATTTCCGATATCGCGTACGAGGTGAGACCATGAGTCTAAAACAATTCTTAAACAGTACTTACTAATCTTCTCTAGACTTTTGCCAATTTCAGCAAAGTTTGGGGTGAGAAGTACATCACTTCAAATGTACAGATTGTCAACCCTGCTACGGGTCAATTGGAGTACATTGGTAAGAAGTATCGTTACTTTACCACACCACATGGACTTCGAATCATGACATTCGGCGTTCTTTTCGATTTTACCGGCAACTCAAATGTGTCTAAGGTAATTAAGGCTGCAGATATGATCAAGCAAGACTGGTTTTTGGCTGCAGTCAACTACCCCCAGCCGATCGATCTCTTCCTTATCATTGGCCACAATCCAGTCAGAACCACTGACTCATCGAGTACAATTGGTCTGCTTCAGAAAACCATCCGAGCCATGCGTCCAGAAGTGCCAATTCAAGCATTTGGTGGGCACAGCCATATCAGAGACTTCCAAGTCTATGATGACAAGAGTACCGGTCTGGAATCTGGTAAGTTGCTGAAGCTGTGAAGTCAAAGCAATCCTCTAATCAGCATCAGGACGTTATTGTGAGACTCTCGGCTGGCTTTCAATGAGTGGTATCAATTCTAGTACCTTTACCGGAAACGTGAAGCCGAGAGGCGTTGCCAATCCAACTAGAAAAGCTACCAACACTTCAACTTCCGGTCTGGTCTACTCCCGTAGATACCTAGATTGGAATCGCTTGACGTTCGAATACCACGCCACAAAGTCTCAAGAGAGTACTTTTGACTATCATAGCGGTCTCCGAGTTACGGGTGATATTACTAATGTTCGCAAGAAGCTCAATTTGACCTCGCTGTATGGATGTGCACCTGCTACTTACTGCGCCAGTTGTCTTCCATTCGGCGCACCGGGCAACATCAACAGTCTCATTTCCACTGCTCTTGGTGAGATTGTCGTCAACCCTTCACGTGCTACCACTCCTCGATATGTTATCGTAAACACAGGTTCAATCCGTTTTGACCTCGTGAAAGGGCCTTTCACCTATGACGATTCGTTTATCGTTTCCCCATTCAACGACGCCTTCCAGTATATCAAAGACGTTCCTTACGACATGGCACGCAAAGTCCTCGCAAGTATCAACGGCGCACCTCTCCCCGACAAACGTGATCTTTTTGACACCACGCCTCGGCTCGCCGATAGAACCTGCGCCGACCCAATAATGTCCCAGATCTCCGGCGTCACAAAGAGAGAACCCATCATCCAACCCATCACCCGCCGTCAAACCATCGTAACTCCCGGTTACGTCACCAAGGACGACTTTGGTACTGACGGAGACGATACTGTGCACTCCAAAATCCCATCCTACGCCCAGCCAAACTACGTACAAGGAAATGGATCATTCCCTACAACCGGGACACCAGCAACCGTAGACGTGGTATTCCTCGATTACTTCGCTACTACGGTGGTAAAGGTCTTGAATGCCATGGGAGGAAGTTATACATACGCGAATGACGTTTCGTATTATCTCGATCCTAGCTACACTACGCAGAATTACCTTCCAGATTACGCGAAGAAGTACTGGCAGGCTAACGTTCCTAATTGTCCTGTAGGACAGGGCGTTGGATATCCGGACAAATAGTTTGCATCCGGGAACAGAAAAGAAAAGAATAGTGCCTGGCAGGGTTTGAAATAGATTGAAAAATATGAACAAACTACAACAATAGACTGTCTTTCATCACTTGATTATGGAAAGTCTCCATCAGATCTTCCACTAAGCTGAGGGTCTAACGCTACAGGCAGACTGTTGGAGCGTCTCTCAAACATCTTACAGGAACCAGAGTATCTCTTGCGGAATCAGTTGGACGTGGTCTCACTTCTGTAAGCGTATGCAAAACACACCGATATCACAGTTATTTGTAATGAATAGCATAAAGCCTCAAAAGGTTAACCCTAGTCCTACAGAAATAATAAACATGTAAAAAACCAAAATCTAACTATACCCGGTGATATCGTATATCTCATCACTCCGTAAAAACCCAGACATTGATAATGGAACCACCCATGTGAGCATAATCCTCGTCATCCACAATCAGAGCTCAAGCTCTATCGATAAGTCATATCATGAGACAAGATAAATGTACCTCGGCATGTTGACCACGCCGCCTCAGATAAGCAGTCTTCTTTCAAACCCGAATCTCCTCCTACCCGACACATCTTTGCCCTTGTCGCTCGATTTCCGACTGTATGCGCCATCGACTTGAGGTACCCCAATGCGTTTCGGAGGAAAGCTATTTGGTTTGAGCGCTGCAGCCTGATCCCTTGCCATATGGTACTTTTCGAAAACCTGCTCGACCAGCTGTTGAAGTTCCGCCCTCGTAATATCATTTCCACGAATGGCCAACCTCATATCTGTTTCCTCGATGAAATCCTGCACAAGTCGCAAATTGTATTCATCCTTCCGGAACCGATCTGGCAAGCCTTGGCCTTTCAATAATGCGAGTATCCCAGCCAAACTTGCGTTCAACACACCGAAGACCGTGATTGCAGTTTTGTGAAGTTCTGCTTGACCTCCCAGGGAAGAGAGTAGAGCACCCATAATCACTTGCAGAGCGAGAGCAAAGTAGTAGAGAAAGTTGACGATTCGATACTGCATCGTGCGCGACCGCTGGGACTCGATGATTTCCTTGTAGAGTCCAGTCGCTCCCTGACGGGCTGTCTCGAGGTCGGCATTCTCTCCGTAAGTGCCTGCAATGCCAACCGCTTCGCGATATCGAATGAGATTGTTGTCGTAGTTATCCGAGCTTGTTGGTCTCTCTGGCTCAACCGCAGCCTCGTCCTTCGCAGACGCTCCCTCGACGTGCGAGCATGGAGCGGTCCCCAACAGGAGAGTTTGCTCGTCCGGTCCTGTTGCAGCCATCGTGATGGGCGAAATGGGGGTGAGATGAAGGAGTTGAAGTTGCAGTGAGTTGGTATGAAACTGCAAATCGACTTACCTCGCTGCCGCCTTCCATCTTCTCCAGCTGGGCTGCCTGTGAAGCGCCTGCCCCGGCTGCTGCTGTCAGGCGCATTTGGAAGGAGCAGATGACTGCGATGAAGGGGGCCAGACATAGTATTCTGAGACCGAGGTTTTCAGTAGGTCTTGTTGTATCCAGCCCTTCTTCTCAGGTCCCAACAACGATTCACGCACTCGAAAGTCATCGGGATGGCCGTTAAGGATCAGATCTGAAGGCGCATCTGAAGCGTTTGAGCAGCTGGTGTTCCTGCAGTTGGAGATGTAAATGCGACGGCTGAAGATCGCCAAGATGACTCGTAAGGCGGTCCTTGATTGGCTGGCACTCCCCCTTCTTGACCACCAATGGCAGCTGTAAGATGGGCACGCCACTCCGGCAGTGAAGGCTGACTGGCTCGAGACTGGTTCCTCTCAGACCAGCCCTGGAGGACCACAACAACCTTTCCTTTCTCACCTGCGCTATTGGGCACATCTCATGCTCGCCTCGTACCCCTTGAGGAGGAGGAATGTCCGTAATAGGCTTTCAGCAGCGGGTTCGTCCGTTATTTCATGTGCTATTAAAGTTAAAACCATGGACTCGCCCAGAATGATAGGTTTGTTGTCAACTCGTCGTCCTGGCAAATATTTTCTTGCTTTCCACTCTCACTTTCTTTCATATCACAGTAGAAAATGCATTTAATCGCCCTTTGCGCTGTGGCAAGCGCCATCGTTGTTGGTGTACATGGTCAAACACAATATACTGCAACAAACGCGGCGTCGGTGGCTGCTGCGAGAGCCACCGCTAGGACTCTCAGCCCAACGAGCTATGTGAAGGGTAAAACGTTTGACAGAGTTGTACAAATCTGGCTGGAGAATACAGACTTTGATATGGCACAAGGAGACCGTATGTGCTACCACAATCAATTAAACGGGCGGGCACTGAACCAAATATAGCATCTCTCCAATCAATAGCCAAGAAGGGGATCACTCTGACGAACTACGAGTCTGTAACTCACCCAAGTCAGCCTAACTACATTGCTTCGGTTGGAGGACAGACGCATTGGGTTATTTGGGATCTATTCTCGCGAATTAGCAAATCGACCAAGACCATCGTGGATCTTTTAGATGCCAAAGGTGTTTCCTGGAGCGAGTATCAAGAGGATATGCCCTATTCCGGGTTCCAAGGAGACTTTGTTAATCAGCAAAACGGGAAGAATGACTACGTGAGAAAGCACAAGTACGTGTAAAGATGTCTTCTAAATTTCCAGTGCTGATATGTTTTACTAGCCCATTGATCTCCTACGATTCCGTTTCTTCAGATCTGGATCGTCTAGCGAAGATCAAGAACTTTACAATGTTTGACCGTGATCTCAAGGCGAACAAACTCCCACAATGGATGTTCATTACTCCAAACATGACAAATGATGGCCATGATAGTTCAATCGTATGTAGATCGTAACAGAATGTGCAAACAATAACTAACACGTCACTCAGACCGTTGCCGGAGCTTGGGCGAAAGGCTTCATTGAACCTCTTCTCCAAAACTCGAACTTCATGAATAACACATTGTTGATATTGAGTATGTGCCTGAATTCCACTTTTGGGGATGAATACTGACATGAAACAGCTTTTGATGAAGCTGAAAATTATTTCGCTAGAAACCGTGTGATGACGGTGTTGCTTGGAGATGCTATACCGGCCAGTCTTCAGGGTACAACAAATGATACCGAGTACAATCACTACAGCATTTTGAAGACTGTAGAAAACAACTGGAATTTGGGAGATCTTGGGGAGAATGACAAGAAGGCAACCGCATTTTGGTAGAGTCTTCAGTATCAAAAACAAAGTTCATACCTCATGCATCTGTTCGCTCAGTCGTGTCCGATAGTATAAGGTCTCCGTAACCTTGATTATTTTGTTCGCAAGATGTTTTCTGTTGTTGGGTGGCAGGTGAGCCACATGCCATGTTCGCTAATTCTTCCCTACATTGTTGGGCTAGTAACTAACTCCCAAATCATGATCAACATCTAGTTGCTGAATGGCATACATAAGATCTTACATTTATGTTCTTGGTCAACTCAGCGACCTAATGTCGATAATGTCCGGACTAGGCAGTATCAATTGAACTAGAGCTCATCTCTGTTCGCTCAGTTCAGAGACTCAATGATCTTATTGCGATTGCATCTCCCCGAGTTCTTCGTGTCTTTGCTGAGATAGTTCCATCCGATCTACGAAGATGTGGTCAGTTGCATTTAAAACCAGAGTTTCGACAATCTATTAGGTGTTTTTGACCGCGAAGTGTATGCTTTTTTAAGGATGTGTACGAAGAGGGTTAAGTGACGGATTTCACAGATCAATCAGAATTGTATTGGAGGGATTCGATTCGGATATGCCTTCAGGCGTCGTTCTGACAAGACCACAGGCTTCCCCTCAATATCGAACGATCTGTCGACGAGATTATCGCCACCATAGATTTCTCATTGACGGAAAATTGTCGCGTGTCTAGGTAGGCTGAGGGGAAATATAGGCCATCCAGTTGTGACATCTTGTGATCTTGTTCTTTCGTAAATGGTATGTAAGCGGAGTTACTCGATGTACGCGGAAAAACGAATGTTTTCAAAGCCTTTGAGTCCCGAGGATCCTCTAATGTGACCCAAAAATTTGTTCGAGAATGATAGAAGGCGTCCACACCGTAGTCTACAGGAAAGCTGTCCGATGGCAAACTCTGCGAGAACATACTGCCTCCTGACTTGTGATAAATGTGAAAAGCTCAGCACAAGCGTAGATCTGATATATCTGAATTGGTATAGATAATCAGATGGGGCTCCGGGAAAAACCTTATAGGCGACACACATTAGATTTCGGCAAGATTAGATGACGTTAAAAAAACTATATTCAGCGGCATCTAGTGGTTAGGCTCCGCGCTAACACTTAAAAATACGGCTTGCTTTTCCAATGTATTATTTACATATTTTGGGCGAAACGTGCGCGCATGAGGACTTAAACCAATTGAGACGATGTTTATACGGTGTACGATGAACCAATACCTGCACATTTCCCCACACTCTGCCAAGCGATTACATGCGGGAAAAGGACCAAGGAGAACTCAGCAGTTGATCACAACGCTTCATTGGACACACAACTCGGCTTTGGTTGGTGGGGAAACAATAGGTCCTTCAGTTCTTGAACTTGTATTCCCATTGTCGCAAGAAATCCTCCGTTCGGTATAGCAAGAATCAAAGTGTCTTTTCAGGTGTGCTCTAGTGAGCCAGAATTTAGGCTGTTGAAGTTCGCTACATTTGTGGATTTTTAGTGGTGGACTAATGATCGTGAAATGTCAAGAGTGCAACGGACGTGCCTAATGGCATCCCAAGACGGATCTGTCAGATGATGGACAGCGCTGCTTGTCATGTTCAAAGATCGTCGTTGAGCTACTTCAGAGTAGGCAGCAAACTAGTCTGCTAGAAGCTCCATTGACTAATGTAGTGTAAGCCTTCGATGGGACAACCAACGAACACGTTTGGCATATTGTAGCGGAGACAACAGCTAGATATGGTTCTTAACATCGGTCGAACAGTTCGAAGAAGACCAGCTTTGTTGTTATTATTCGCAGAAAATCAAGCGCCCTGATGCAGCCAACGCTATGAGGTGAGAACACCTACTGATCTCTCGACACGGAATTCACGACACAAGGAGAAAATTGAAAAGATCTGATGTATTTCGCGCCTATCTCGCATCGAAAGATTGGAGAGATCTCAATTCCGATTCAGTCGGGATGGTCTTGATAATCCGAAATCGCCGTCGGCAGCGGTTTCTGCTCCTTCTCCTTTTGCGGATTCATGCAACCTTCCACTTTTCCATTGACGGACACAAAATACCAAGACTTTCGCATAAAGTGTTTCTGGATCTTGCCAAGTTGCCAAGCTCCCCTGCCAAGGAGAAAATAACAGATGAACGCCCAGCTGTGTTTGGGATCTACAAACTCATCAAACAGTTCATGCTGACGCTGTGGAACATGAGGTTGTTGTGCAGAGCCTCAAAAATTTGATGCTTGTGTCACCGAGAGTTTTGCAATGGTATTTCTGTACAACTCCAAATGCCATGTCGGCAAGATGCATATCTTCAAAACGATGGAAGTTGGGGTCTGTAAGCGAGTTCAACGGGAATATCCCCTACTGTAAAGCTTCGGTATGAGGAACCCACTTCGCGGTCCTTCATCGTTCAAAGAAGCAACAAGTCCTAATTTTATTTCCCGATTAGTCCTCAAGGAGCTTTTAGACATCTTGGCCAATTAGACTGACTCTCTCAAACAGAAGCGACCCATAATTCAATTTGGAGCACGAGCCAGCCGGTTGCTTCCAATGGGTTTTGCCTTTAAAAGAGGGGAATATTCCGACGGAGAAATATATATCCAGTTCGATTTGAGGATATCCAACTCCACCACTGTTCGAAACCTGTGACCCTAGGCGGCCAAGTGATTAGAATGAAGAATTTATGTCGGCATCCGAGTCTGCCATGTGTCTAGATGGCTACCAACCCACACTTTTAAATCGTCCGTCCACTCGATCCCGACACGGTAGCCGGGTTTGGACTCTTTTTATGGTTATTCCATGATGTTTCCACAACGGATACTGCCTGGCTTTGGCCATATGTTGGATCAATTAAGGTTAATCCACGGCAAAGAGGTAAATTCACAGACTCATAGCCACACCTGCCGGAAATCTACCAGATCAAAGTGGCTCCAGGTAGCTCCAGGTATAGTGAACCAAGACTCTAGTCAGAGATATCGGAGTTTGTGAGCTGTGTCCCCTTAGCTGATGTCTCTAAAGATATCAGACATCCAAAATGTATAAGAGAAGCTTCCTTCCCTCAGCAGTTTTTCTTTCCTCACCAGCTTCATTTTAGCTTTACTTTCGTTCTACAACACTCTTTCTCAATCCAACTAATAGATCATTGTATATTTTACGTTCTTTTACATATTATTACATCCCTTAAGCCCAACCAGCTTATCAAACAATATATTCAAAATGCAGTTCACCACAGCAGCCCTTACCGCTATCTTGGCCACCCTCGCCGCCTCCCAGACTCTCAACATTCCAGCCCGTTCCGGAAGCATCCAAACTCTTCGTGCCCCAATGGCGATTTCTGGGTCAAAAGACATGGGCAACAAGGAGTACGACCGTGGACAGGCCTGCGACACTGACGCTGACACTGGATCTGACAACGCTGTTTTCATTCTTGAGAACGGTGCTACCCTCTCCAACGTCATCATTGGTGCCAATCAACTCGAGGGTGTGCACTGCAAGGGTGCCTGCACCTTGAAGAACGTCTGGTTCCGTGACGTTTGCGAGGGTAAGAGAACTTCAACAAAGAGCAATTGTACATTACTAATTCCGTATAGATGCCATCTCCCTTCTCGGTAACGGTGATGTTCTCATCCAAGGTGGTGGTGCTCAGAACGCAAAGGACAAGGTCGTCCAGCACAACGGAAAGGGAACGGTCACCATCAAGGACTACACAGCCGTCAGCGTTGGAAAGGTCTACCGCTCATGCGGTAACTGCTCCAACAACGGAGGACCAAGAAAGGTCATCATCTCCAACCTCAAGGCTAATGGAGTTACCTCCGATGTTGCCGGTATCAACTCCAACGTATGTTTTCTTCATACCATGAATCAGATTTAGCGAGGTACTAACAACTCACAGTACGGTGACACTGCCACCATCTCCGGATCCTGCGGAAAGGTCAGCCACGTCTGCCAGGAGTTCAAGGGTATCGACAAGAAGGTCACCAAGGGCGAATCCCCAAAGCTTACCTCCACCGGAAGCTGCCTTGGTGCCCAAGGAAAGCTCGCTAAGCTCCCAGCCTGCTAAATGCCTACATTGAATACGATTCAAGCTGCTCAATCTTGAAATTTTGGGTCGAATTCGGGAAGTGATTATGTGGAGGAGTCTCTTTTGATGCTGTTGCATCTTTCGTCTCTTTTCCTTTCGTATATTCTTCGATTGTTAGGACACTGGTACGCGACAAAAATCTGGGAATGGGTTGCTTGGTTCTATCTTGTATATATTCTGGTGTGCTAAAGGGCATGTGAAGCTGAAATACATATCCTGAAGCCAACAAACGCATTTGCGCTGTGCTGTGACCAATGTACCGGACGAAGTTTCGGCTTTCTAGTGATACCACTTGTGACGATAGCTAGCATGTATCTTCGTCGTTATCATACGACTCATTCTACGAGTCAGTCTGGATGGCACCTCTGTGTTAGCCTGAGAATCACCTGTATTCTTCTTTCGGCTTAGTTCCACACTATTCCTGTGTGTATACCTCGTGACTGGTGTATAGACTCTATGTGGACGTATTAGATCTCCTTCCATGTTTAATAGGTGTATATACCTATGGGGACGGATACAAGTTCCTTTTACGTTGTCGAGGCACACGTATCCTAGACTAACATATCTACTACTTAACATTATACTTACATCTATTTAGCTCACATTGAAGATCAGTTAGCCTAGGGCACGCCGTCAAGGAAAATCTTAGAATTCACCGTAGAGACCTGGTGGAAACCCTACTTCTCTTGCCGAGCCTATTCCTCTGCTCAATGATACTAATTTAACAAATTATCCGTGCAACAGAAACAAAAGCATAAAACCATCCTCATAATTCGTTAATATTCCATCAATTTCCATGTCTATTTGCATTGTTACATTCTATCCAGATGTTAAACATAGCTCTAGCCTTTCTTTTCACTCTATGTCCCCTTGATTCTATCTATTACTAAGAAAGTGTACTGCAAAACAAGCCAGCCAATAAATGGAGAAAACATTGCTACGTTCATAATTGGTCCCTAATTTATCAATTTTCCCCATGACTCCATCTTTTCCAATCATGTTGAACATGACAAACCTCAACGTAGCGCCTCCTCGTCAATAGGTTGATAGAACAATTTCAGCTCCTGAACACCAGCAGCAATACCCGTCAAGGCTCTAACCAAAATCTGGTTGTCCCTCTCAATTCGACTAATCCTACGTTCCAACTCTAGCGTCTTGGGACTCTTTTCCTTCAATACGTTGTTTCGTTTCATACGGCGATCATGTCGGCGTTCCTCGAGCGTAGATGGAGGCTTAAGACTTTCCACGGATCTGTGTCGTGGTACACCACGAAGACGTGTTGGTAGGGCTGCAACAGCAAGAGTATCGGAATCAGAAGCTAGGAGTGATTCAGGTACAAGATGGGTGCTTGTTTGCTCAACTGACTGAGAACTAACAGTGCTGTAAGCTCGTTTAACGGATCGGTCACTTGTTGGAGGTGGAGCTGAATAGGAAAGATCAGAATCTCCAACAAAGCCCGTGTACTCCGGGAACTCAGCGACCGTTCGGATAGGTGACAGAGATATCTCTGACATATTCTGTGCTTTGATCCGCTCTATATTGCTGGGTCGAATCGAAGAAGCACGTGAGGAGGCTTTCGCTGCACCTGGCTCAGAGTTGTTGCGCGAGATCATGGAGAAGTCTGATACTATCTTGTCGCATAGGCTGTCTTTGCTTGCATGTATGCTATGTCGTGGGCGTACGCTAGATTGACGTGTCATGCTTTCTGTCATGGATTGAAGAGGCGTATGAGTCGAGTAAACGGATCCTGAATCCGGTCTCTCCCTTCCAGGAGCTAGCGAGGTTGCTCCACGGTATTCACCAGGTCGTGGTAGAGAAGGGGAATCTGAAACAACTTGGCTTAGCCCTGTAGCCGTTAAACCTCTTTCTATGTTTTCATTGGCCTCGGTACCATTCATGCCAGATGCAGATGGCGCCTTTGATGTGGCAAAGATGCCCTGTGGCTTCTTACTCGACTCCAATTGTGTAAACCCTCCCTCGTATTTCTCATATTCAAGAGGCTTTGGCATAGGTACGTCAGAATAAGCGCGATCATGTCCAAAGACCGTTGGAGCACTCTTCCTGCGACTGCTTGTGTTTTCCATATACAGAAGAGCCATATCCCGCGATTTCTTGATCTTTACTTGTTCTTCTCTTGTCTTCGGCAAAAAGTCATAGTCATCATAATCTATATTGTCGGTTGGTGTTGTCAAAAAGGTGTTAGCTCCAACAGTAGAGTGTCGTTTCAAGATTTGTGTCTTCACTGGCCTCGTCTGGGAGGGCGGCGCCGTTGCAGGTCGTGATATAATAGCGACCCGAGCTCCAGAAACGTCGATCAAAGTCTTAGAAGGAGCCGTGCTCGTGCTCTGAGGAGGATGAGTTTCCATGTTAGCTTCACTCAAGTTCGACGTAGTTGCAGCTGCTGTGTTCAACCCATGAATGGGCTGTATGCCATCAGTGATGATCGAGGCACTATTGAGATGCGTTCTAAGGTCGTTGGTTGAAATATCCGTAGGACCGACTGAATTGTCAACATATTCTTGTGGCACACCTAAAGGTACCCTTGTCGTCTGTCGCGGAGGTATAACACCAACATTAGAGACATGGTGACTCGGAGCAGTTGAGACACTACTTGCGCCGCGCGAATGGCTACGAGTTTGGGAACTCTCCACAGTACCACTGGAGTTGCTATATTCTGTGTGCTGGTGCTCCAGGGGCGTGATAATAGAGAGAGGAGCAAACCCGCGGGTGTATCGCGAAGGCATACTCTGACTTGAAGCATGTCGCGCAAGTTTGGAACGCCTTTCTTGCTGACGGTAGAAGTTTTCTAGTGTCTTGACAGCTTCGGCTCCTATGATATCTTCCGTAGGTGTTGCATTCATTTTCCGTTGTTCGCGCTCGTAGTCAAATGTTCCGTTTTGAGCGCCAGACATCAGCATATGAAATGACCCTGATTCGCGCGCTTCGGCTACCGGGTTCAAAACAGTGAGTGAGGCTCTTCCTGATCTTATATAATTCGCGTCTGGATCTCGCATTGACTGGTAGGAAGACTGCGTAGACAGTGTTTGTTCTGGTGAGATCGTGATTGGCACATAACGTGCACCGGCGCCAGTCTTACACTTTTGCAATTGGTTAGCATTAACTCTCCTATTAGACCAGGTATCTCGATTATGACAATCCTCGCTAATGACTTCGAAACGCGATGCGATTGCAGTGGACTTACCGAGACATTTGAATCAGATCTTTGAACTGATTCTGGCTCCTTTTCTCTCTTAGAACGCATCTTTGAAAGTATCCTGAATGGTGACTTCTTTGCGCCTTTATTCTTGCGATTTTTCAAATCGTCTTCGGCATTCTCAGCCACAAGATTGGTCTCAGGTGGCGGTACTCGCGTCAGGAAATCTGCAAGCGCTCGCATGCTTTCTCGATTACTCTGAGACGCACCCGGGTCTCTTGAGCTTCGTCGTGAGTAACCTCCATCTGATCGCTCTCGAGCAGGTCTCTTATCCCTGTCTGGGTTGTATGGTGGTTCACTCCGCCGACGATCATGTCCTTTCGTACTTATGTCGCTGTACGTGCGGCTGGAAGATGGTCTGTAACTGCGGATATCACTTGCGACAGGTGGGGCGTCTCTGCGAGCGAGAGCTTCGCGATCTGAGATGACTGTCACTTCATGATGGACTTGGATGGAATTTGACGAATTAGACCGCCGGCGCGCAACTTGCGATGCGCTTCTCCGTCTACTGCTGGAGGCTTCCATTGCTCGTATTCTGCAGAGATAAGTCAGGCAGATGTAGCATAAGGTAAGGACAAGGTGCTAGAGATTGGACTTACTAGAAAAGTAACATTTCTGGGTCTATTTCTTCTTCTATGCTTGCTATCCGCCTAACGGGTTTGTTTTCTCGTCCTGGCTGAAGGATCGAGACTGACGACGAAATGTTCGGAGGTCTTTGAGGTAGGCAGAGTATGTTCCACAGAGAGCAAACGCCAGCAGTTCAACACTGCGACCTGTACCAAAGCTGGAGTTTGTTTGCAGGAGTGTGTTGTTCAATTGAAAAATGGATTTGCGCCTACATGCAGCAGGAAAATTGCTATGGGATCTACGGTTAAGATTGCAGCGACGCCTAAGTGACACAACCCAGGGCAGTGGCAGCTCTAATTCGGATTTGCGCACAATGTTGACGAAGTACTCGTACTCAAGACCAAAGTTTGGCAGGAGCGAGGAAAGAGCCGCCCGTTTGACGGGATCAATCGAGCTATGTAGGACAGCTCCCGATCGTGCTAGAGTAGCGTCATCTCTAGTTGATAGATGTACTTGGGTAGCTCTCCACGAAATTGGTCCAAACAGGCGTTGGTGGGATATGCAGTAGCATTATCCGTACAGGCGCCACAAGGAAAGGTACAGCATGGACGCGCAGCCTGCAAAGTGCAGACCGGATGGGCATATGCTGGTTACCCGAAGAGACCGAGTGATTGAATTGAATATTGCCTGGGTAGGTAGTGCGAGAAAGAGATTCATTGGGGGAAAAAGGCAAGATAACAATCGAGCGAGAGAATACCGACGATTAGCTGTGTACGCAGCGGCAGTAGTGGAAATGAACCACACACCAGTACCGGGAAGGACAATGCTCGCTCCTTGCCTGCTCGACTATTGCTCGATCATCTGCGGCCACTGTCCGCTGGTAGAGACTTGATAGTAGCGTGGTGCTTGATCCGGCCGAAGGCTGCAGATATGTGGAAGTTAAAAGTCCCACGGCCGTCTGCAACGAAGATTTGTTGATGAATTCAAAGTGGAAAAGACAGCGTTCAAAGAAGACGTAGAGAGATTGTCTACACTTCTTCGTTCTGTTGCTACAAAATGCTTATTCGAACGGCCCAAACATGGAAGTGGAAATGAAATCGGGCTCCCTACAGAATAAATCAGCCCTGTGTCACAACGTCTCACCCCAGCTCTCGGACAATTAACTCGCATTCCGCCAGCCATAATGGGACATGCAAACGCCTGGCGCGGGTCTCTCGAGCGGGGTGGAGACGATCGGCGGACAACAGCGCACTCGAAAGATGCGCAAACTCTATTACTGCTCGTCCATTCGAATTGGTCGTAGATAACAGTATAGACTCGAAGTGACGCTCAAGGGCCGAGCAATGCAGAACGGACTGCCTCCACGATATTTGCTCTTTCCGTGCCGATAGCTACAGCCACTCATGTGACAATTGACAATTGACAAGTGACAAGTCGAGCATGTTGAAGAGGGAGAGGTCTACAGACGTTGGAGACGAGTACTACTCCATGTGCACCAAAGACGCATCTCGCAAGGTGCACCATTAGCGAGCACACCCCTACCACAACTCTATTTTGACTTGACTAGATGCAATAACGAGGTCTCGATCCTCCATGGCATCATCGACCGTAGAATACATTATTGGCAATTCTGAAAGTTGGCTGGTGCCAACGCCAAAATATCACTAGAAACCCCCTTATCATATGCTGCCCCTACGTAGAGATGCCCGCCCTATTCCTATTACAAATGCTAAGAAGATGCGCAACCGCTTGTCCGCGCCAAAATGCGATACTACGCCAGCAATGCTTGAAACAAATCCATCATACTCTTTGCAACCCAAAACGCCAATAATGGTAATTATATATACTTTCAACCTCTCTTCGGAGGTTTACGTTGTATGAACGGATCCGCCGCTGCCTTTCGACGTGGAGGCATCATGCCAGGCGGTCGGACTGGTTTCGCTGCCGTAGGAGTTGGCTTGTTTGCCTGTTGAGCTCGAAGGGCGGCGTCCAGATCGGGACCCTTATCTTTTGCCGGTGCGACCTTGGGAAGGAAATTAGTCAACATAGACATCATCTGGACATGCACTCATACCTTTTTGTTAGCGGTGCCATCTTCTGAGATGGAGTCCCTCGATCGTTTACCATGCGAGTTTTTAGCTGAAACACTGCCTCCTATACCTGGAGAAGAATTGCGCGAATCGGTCTTGGATATAATTGTATCGGAAGATAACCCTCTCGTTGGAGTTGGGCGTGCGGGTTTCCTATTCTCGTCGCTGATCGAGCCTTGTCTGACCGTGTCACCCATAGGAGCGTCGGTCATGATAACATCATTGTCCATTGCCTCAATCACGCTTGATTTTCTATCCAGATTCGAACTAGGCGCGAACGAAGAATTGCTCGGAAGAACAGGGCGACCGTTGGTAATTGGGCTAGGAGGTGGAACTTCGTTACGGGACGATGTCTTGGATAGCAAGCCCATAATATCCCCTCCGCTGTACTTCTTTCGTGTCTTCGCATCCTCAATCAACTTGTTCCAGAACTCTCCTTGGCGCAAAGACCTGGAATCACCAAGAACCCAAAGTGAAGATTTGGCTCTGGTAAGACCAACATTCATACGTCTAATATCACTCAGGAAACCAATACCGCCGGTAGACTTCGCTCGGACACATGAGAAGATAATAATCTCACGTTCACGGCCCTGAAAAGCATCGGTAGTGTTAAACTCGATCTCGTTGAAGATACTCTCACCAAAGCGGTTTTGAAAGCGATCTTTGAGAGCATTAAGCTGGGCTTTGTATGTGGTGATAATACCGATCTTGCCAGTAAAGTCAATGTTTTGGTAGTCTGTCTTCAGGCGCTGATACAGCTGCATTGCGGCATTAAGTTCCGGAACATTGATGAACGAGTGCCCTGCACCTTGAGTCTGAACACCCTCGACATCGAAAAAGCGGTAAGGACCCAATATCGTGCTTGCGTGCCATGCTTGTCGTCTCAATTTGGCCATACCATCACCATCAAGCAGTCTTCCCTTGTAGAATTGCTGACTAGGAAAGCTAGAAATGTCCGGATGCATACGATATTGGGTATCGAGGAGGTGTACATCCTGAGGATGATTCTTTTGCATTCGGACAAACAGACTTTGCTCGTACCCATAGCTTTGAGCAGACCTCGAAAGAACAGTGGGTGGTAACTGCTCAGGATCTCCAACCAGTATACATTTGGAGCAACCGTATTTCAATGGAATGAGAGCGCTCAACTCAATACACTGAGCCGCTTCATCGATGATGACAGTTTCAAATTCAATTGAGAGATGTTTAAACATGTCGTGACCACTACCACTGAGGGTAGAGCAGAGCACATGAGCACCATCGATTATTTCTTGCTGGTATTTTCGTCGATTGATCTCATTTTGCCTCGCGAAAGTGTTACCGCTCTGCTTTTCCTCATCGATTTTGTTGCCGAGATGAGCTTGCTTACGTTTCAACTCATCAAATTGTCTCTGTAGCTTACGTTCTCCATCCGTGTCTGACTTCTGGCGCATGGCATCCATCTGTGGTCTGAGAGCATTCAATTGCTCCTTAATAGCTCCGGCCTCCTTGTGGAGTTTGTCTCGGTCTTGTTGTACCTTGTTCCCACTATCATCACCTTCCATCTTTCGGCGGACCAGCTCGTCGAGCATTACGTCTTGAACCCCTGCGTTCGCAACGTCGCTCCTACCGATGCGAATTACGTTGATCTTCTGATGCGGGCCACTCAATGGTTGGATCCCTTCCTTAAGTCTGACCACCAACTCATCCACAGCAGCGTTACTAGGAGCACAAATCAAGAGTTTTTTCTTAGGACCAATGGAAGGAGTACTCTTATCTGCGCGTCCGGGCATAGGTGCTAACGCTCTCGGCTGAGCATTTTGCTGCTGCAATGCCTGGGTAAGAAGAGCGCCGACCATAGCAATGATAGTCTTGGTCTTTCCAGACCCTGGCGGTCCTTGAATCAAGGTAAAACCGTCATTGTCGTTGGCGGACAAGATTGCTTGAGACTGCCCTTTGTTGAGATTATACTTAGCCTTTAGGTTGTCAATTTTCTCATCCGAGTATTTCTGAAGCGGTGATGGTTTCGCCTCCATAACCTCTGCACACAGATCGTAATACTCCAAACTACTCAAAGCTGCGTACTCCCGCTGAGTGGTGTTCATATCAGCGAGTTTTACAGTATGAATTTTTGCGTTCATCGAAAGACCTTTCAGGAGTTCCTGGTCAATGTTCCTGCTGACCTTCAACGTCACCTCGATTATGTCTTTCTTTCGGGTGGTCCGGTCTACGCGGGCAAGACAATGTGGCTCTTCTCGATTCTTCATTGGATCCTTACATTTCGATAAGAGAACAATGTCGCGCTCGTTAAGCTTCATGTCGCGATTGAGAGTCATGGGCATCTTGGCACTTATCTCCATGAACTTATCGACAGACATTCGATTAAGCACAGTGATCTCAATTGGTCTGGAGGTATTCTCTTCTTTCGCCACTACCAGAGATCTCCATACTTCTGCAATAAGTAAGGGCGTAAATGTCTTCTTGTAGATATCGAGATCAAGGAAATTGTCGGCAATTCTCCTATATTCATTGCTGGTGGGTGGGGTATCGCCCTCGTGGAAAAGGTCCCATTCGAGTATCTCTGTGTAAAGTCTGTCCATATTGGGCTCTACTCGGGCACGCAGATCTTTGACAGATCTCTGGACTTTGACTTTGCGGACTGGGCCTTGTTGTAACTCTTTGAGCGCACGCCTTCTGCTCGCTTCATATTCAGACACCGCTTTAGCACCGACCTTTCTCGTCTTAACAAGAGCGTTCGTCTCGTCTTCATCTTCATCGGCATCACTGTCCTCATCCGAAGATCCAACCATGATTTCACTACGTATAGGAGCGTGGTCTTTGCCAAAAACACCACCTATATCTTTGAGTCCAGAACCTTCCCCACGAACTCCACTTAAGCCGCGGAGAGCCCTCGCTTTTGCAGCCTGTTCATTCTTTATTCGCTGCTTTTCCGCTTCGGCTTGACGGCGCTTCTCTTTGAAATCTGTCATGTCGCGGCTAGGTGCGGCAGGTTGTATTACAGAATGTGGTCGCATAGAGTTAAGCAATGCTCGGTTCTTCTCTGTCTGAGAAGCCAAGGTTAAAGTAGTCTGCCTAACAGGCAAGGTCGGTTCACGTCTTCTCCCATCCGCAGATTTTGACCATGCATCAATAGTGCCTTGTTTCTTGACCACGGGAGCCACGGGAGTTGGCTCCACGGTATCAACCCCTTGGTGTTCATCAAGAGCTCTCTGCAGCTCCGCCTTTTGTTGAGGAGTTAGATTCGTCCGCTTGAAGTCACGTTGATTCTCGCGTTTGCACGCTGCCTTAATGAAATCCGACGCATAATCGTCTATCTCCAGATTCGACTCCCCAAGACATCGCAAGAGTTTGCCTAGAAGACTGGTTATAACACTAACAAGGTAGCTGTCCCTCAGCCTGAGAAGCCCTGTGAGGCCGTTAACATTTTGGCAGACGACTTCCAGTACCCGTTCGGTGGAAGCATTAGTATCGCCAAGTGTCGGATCTGTCAGCGCGGAGGCAAAAACCGTGTAGTTGTTGAAGAGACTCTCAGAGTATTCCATAGCGTCTCGACAAAAGTCTTGCATGTAGGCTGTGGATTTATCGACCCGCGGGGCCCAGGATTCTGTTGCACAGAACACCATATCCATTACTCTCCACTGACCTTTCCACCAAGCCAAGACAGCGCCGCGCTCTGCGGTGCTGAGTGAACCAGAACGTAGCTTTCCTGTGCTTCCGCTCAGAGCCGTGAGAATTTCACGTCCCGTCTTGATGGTATATGGAATGGGCGAAAAGGTTCTAGACTTGCAAACCTTACCTACGGCGAAGGTCAAAGAATTTAATGTTGGAACGAAGAAATCATCCAGCAGAGCCTCGACCGCGTCTTGCTTTCCCATCTTACCAGTTAGGGCCTTGACAAGGGCTACGGCAGCCTCGTGGACGTCTTGACTCGGAGAAAGAAGAGCTGCGAACACCGGACGAGCTGTTTGGGGAGATCTACAGAGTTCTTGCAATTCTTCCGATTCAAAATCACTTAGTCGCTCATACACTCGTGAGATACTGTCCATAAGTTGCCCGAAATCACGGTTGTACTGTACGTGATCCTTTGGCATTAAGTCGGCAGCTTTCTTGTTCTTTGGTAGCATCACGTCTAGGCCTGTTAAGATGGTGGTGGCGCTCAGAATAACTTTTGCCAACTCCACGTTGCCCTTGCGGAATATATCAAGTACAGCCTGCCAGACAGACTGGGAGTGAGATCGTAAGCCTCGCTGAATGGCGATGTTGCTCGAAAGAGCCATAAACTCGGCACTCATTGCTTTGCAATCTAGCGCGAGCGCTTCGCCGATCACAGTCATACCCAACTGCTTCAGTGCCAGATTGTCGCTTTCCGGGGCTAAGTCTGCAGTTCCTGTGATCAACTTCTGATATTTCTGCACCAGGCCCATGATGTCGTTAATTACAAGTAATGATGTAGAAGGATTTATGGTGTACTCAGGGCTGTTGAAGGTGCGCAGGGTAACACGAATAGATTCTAAACCCGCCCGACAGCATAAAAGTTTGGCGCCTACGCTGGACGCGTCTGTCCCTTGAAATCGTTCAAGCAGGTTGAAAAGTAATGACCTACAGGCATCGTAACGATGAATGGGCTCTAGTGACTGGATAAAAGATGGAATCCAGGTAACCGCAGGATTTGTATCGAAATCAACATGTTTCGCTTCATTTTCAAGAAGTTTTCGGAAACCAGGACTGTTGAAGATTTGTTCGGCTACAGTGGCAGGAGATATAGTACCAAGCGCTGACCAAAAGTCCTTGGGTGACTTCTTCAGAAGCTGCGAAAATGCTTGGATGACGTCTTGTACGATTTCTGCAGAATCAAGTTGAAGATGCTGGAGGCCTAGATGGTAGATTCCGGGATGAACCTCCATCGCACGCAGGGAGTGGGTTATCAATGGCCCATCCATTTTATCCAGGATCAGAAGGAAACCGCTCCAGAAAGTTTGCACTGCTGCTAAATCCGCGTTCGGCTGGGCCACTTTGACAATTGCTTCACCAAGAGCATCATGAACAACCCAATCGAAGTTATCAGCGTCAAGAGGCTTGGTCAGACTTTGCCATGAAGCTTTTGCGAATCGCGACCGTATGGCATGTTGCTGAAAGAGGAATCGAGCTGTGGCAGGGAGAACGTCTAATAACCTCAGGACGCTTTTGCGCTGACACTCTTCAAATACGTAGTTGAAATTGTTTGATAGGTGATCTTCCGACTTATGAAAAGCGGTACTACACAAAGACTCGTAAAGCGCTACCACTGCTGAATGGTCCGTTTTGATTAGTAGTTTTTGACTTCTTTTGGAGGGCTCGGCTTCACATAGAATATTTCTAGCAAGAAGAAGGCCTCTTTCGATTCTGCGTACATCCAATTCGTTGAGACGGCTGAGCAGTGCAGCAACTACCTCGTCTGGGAATACCCTACAGACACATCAGCACACGTTTTATGTTGCGAGTTGGTTTCAATCACTCTGCAAGTTCCTTTAAATACGCTTTCCTACCTATATGCCATTGGCGGACGCAGGCATCGCATGACTGGAATAAGGTATCGAGTTTTTGCTCGTAGTATTCGTGGAATCCTGGGGGCGCGAATTCCCCCGCGCCAATCACCAGCGATGCTGCGAAAGCAACTTTAGATCGTTCTTTGCCCTCTTCAATTGCTTTGTGTTTTCCTTCGATGCTTATACCCTCAACTTCCCCATCGTCCAGCTCTGCTTCGTCCGGGTGAAGATAATCGTGATAGTCCTCTGCCGATCGCTTGGGACAAAACCAATGAGCATCCTGGTTGTAGCTTTTCAAATGCCTAAGGATCTGCCCATTAGCTGTATACTACAATCGAACGGGGAATATAGTCGAAAAGGTCGACACATACGCCTCCAATTCCCTGAGCTGCTCGAGGAGTTCATTTTCGCCAGCCATGGTGGCGCTTAAGCAACGCCTTTGTTCCCCAATGAAGGCTACCTGATCTCCGCTAGTTCGCCATCTTTTCGACAGAATCTATGAAGCTGGTGTGGTAGATTGTTCCGGGGTTGGAGATGTAAAGAAATGAATAGGTGATGAACAATTATGGGGTGTCTTGCTCTTGGGTGGGTACGATCTTGCGTAGTCTAAAGCCTGTAGACAATTCTATTAGTTTTGGTCGAATATTTTGAAGATGCAAATAGCTTTGGGGAGAATGTCTTGGGGTATGTTCCACGTCTTGTTTTGGAAGAGAGGGATGGCGTTGGATTTTATCAAGATCGTAGAAACAGACAAGTATGCCAGAATGCACTCGATATATCACAGCAATGCCGCTGGTTTACTTTGGCAGCGGCGTCAATCTCAACGTGTCTTTCGAGCCTTGCAAGCACCTTTCCAACTCGTGCAGTCTCAGAAAGAGAAACCAGTATAAGATAAAAGAGACTGACAGTCACACTGCACCCCCGTTCCGTGAATAACAGGCTCACCAACTTCTTATCTCTGCTAGTCCGAGTTCCTACTCAATATATGTTCTTAGAAGCCTATACAATAGAGCTGCCGATGCTGTGCAAGTGGAAAGATCCTGTTTACACCGGATGTTTGTCGGAGATGGACTGGGAGGATCGTGTAGAGACGGATTGATGTTATTTGGCAGGTTCGGTCGTATGATTGCAATTCCGGTTCCTGCAAAATGAGGATCAAGTGAACAGCAGACAGGTGAGGAGTGGTATGAAGCAAATGTTGTACGGGTATGAATTTCGCGTTAAGTGGTTAGACACGCCGCGCCGCGCCTGATGTGATCCCTGCATACCGTGAAGAGCTCTCAAGGCCACCAGGCCACAACTTTGCAACTTTATAAATCTAATCTAAAGTGTCACACAACATAAAATCGCAGGAACGAAGCATGCAACACAGTGCTGATGGGGAAGGGCCAGAGCCAACGGACAATTCATGACTGCAACATCACATTCAAAAGAAAGTAACCCCAAAATTTCTCACCTTCACTCACACGAAATATTCTCCAGGATAGACATGGAGTTCTAATAAAAGGAAGCCAAAATAGTTAGACACATGAACTTCTTCTCTTTAAATTATTTGCTCGTAACCGCTGTATATACAGAAGGAACGAAAGACTCGCCCAACCTATTTCCCCCAATCATCTCCAGCTTATCGCTCGAGAGCGATCCAATATTTGCCTTTAGTAACAGATAGAAGATAGTCTCGAGGAGTAGGGATAAACAACCAAAACCCAAGCCTCCTTCCAATCCTTTGTGAACGCCGAGACACCCATGCAGTAGAAACAAATGCGGTGAATTACCGGTTCATATAGATCGCTCAATCATCATGCTTGGAAGATCTCGATGTATCAATGACAAAAGAAACAATGGTATTTTACAACTCCTGACCACCAACATTGCTTTTAAAAAGCACAACACACTGATCACCTTCACCGGAGCTCTGATGAAATGTCCTGCCTCCTACTTCTTACGGGACCGATGGATTGACTCGACTCGAGACGAGTCAGCAGCGCAGCTGATGTGAAATCGTTACTCGCTTCGAACGATGGACGAACGCGGTCCATAGAAGCGCGTATCCGGTCAAAAGATGGTCTAGGGCGGTCCATTGACGGCCGCATAGGCAGAGGTGCTTCGAGCGACTGGCGATGTCGTGTAAATTCGGTCCCATCACTGCCGTTTTGGCTTCGTCCGTTGTAGGTAGTAGCGGCGGTTGGAGCGACTGAAGGGGGGTAAATGGGCCGTTGGTCTTCATCAATGCTTGGATAGTAGGTGTGCTTACTCGGCTTTGGAGCATCAGATGAAGATGAGGATGACTCCTTCGATACCCCGTCATCAGATATGATGGCTCTGTCGAGATAATCGAATTTTCCTTGCCTAACTTGCTCACGGACAATGTCGACGTCGTAAGGGAAGTAAGCTTTTTGGATAACTTTAACGCAGAATCGGGGCAGGAGGCAGAGGATAATCGAAAGTGAAGTGACAGCCCAGAAAGTTGGCTGGGCGAATATCTCGGCAGCTGCTTTATAAAAGTATGCGGATGATTCGAAAGCGGAATAAACACCAGTCCAGAACCAAATGAGTAGTACACTCACAGCCACCAGTAATACCATAAGCCAATCCCAGCGATAGGTGTTGAGCAAGAGGTAAATATTGATCACGGCTACAGCGGCTGGGCCAATGTAGACACCAAATCTTTCCCGGCTATCGATACCCAAGCCATTAGTGCTGGCAAAGTTGGCGGCTCGGAAAAGGAGCCAGGCAACAAAGAAACAGACGACGGATTGGTAAAGACCATCAATCATATACAACCTGATATTTTGTGATTAGTACAGCGAAAGACGGGGGGTTTTTGAGCAACTCACCAAAACTTCCATTGCGTCCATTCCTTACGCTCAATGCCCCTTCTGTAAAGTTGGGGAACGGCCAGAGACACCTTATCGCTGACATCCTGATCTAATATACCCATAAAGACTATAGGCAACGACGTAAAAGCCAAGTTGAAGAGAAGGATGTAAGTGTAATCGTATAGGTAGGTCATGTCAAAGTCGCAGAAAATCTGGTACCAGAAAATGGTAAAGGTCCAGATGACGTTTTTGTAGAAGAAATTGGCGATGGTTTCAGCGACTCTTCGATAAGACCAACGTCCGTGTACCAGAACCAACCTCTGCAGAAATCGGAATTGGCCGATTGCATAATCAGAAGACATGACAGCTTGACGACCCTCCTCTCCAGCAATACCAACACCAATATCAGCCTCTTGGATCATGGCGACATCGTTGGCACCATCACCGATAGACAAAGTCATAACATCCAATCCATTCTTCACCAATTGCACAACGGCGGCTTTTTGAGCGGGAGAAACACGGCAGCAAAGAACTGATTTGCATTGCTTGCAGAGGAGTAAAAATCGTTGCCGTAGTTGAGGATCGAGAACAAGCTTGAGAGAGTCACCGTCAATGACGATGGCGTGCGTAGGCGCAGGAGGGTGATGACTTTTCCTGGCCAGCTTTAGTTCCTCGTCGGAGCCTGTAATGTTGAATGTTTTGAGATGTTTATCTAGCTCCGCTTCAGCGGTAGCAACCTGTTCATCCTCGATCTTGAAAACGATTAACTCCATGTCGTTATTGAGCAAGTTGCATGAGAAGCCAATGTTGATCGCTGTTTCGACCTTGTCACCAGTAAGCACCCAAAGCTTTATGCCAGCTTCGGCAAGGAGGGCAATTGTGTCTGGGACGCCTTCTTGTAAACGATCTTCGATCGCTGTACCACCAAGAAGAATGAGATCGCGTTCAATAGTGTCCGCAACGGCTTCGAGCTTATCCTCTCGGTCTTGAATAGATCCCGCAGCGATCTCGTGTTCCGCATTCCATTCCTGGTACTCCTGCTCATTCAACTCCTTCTGGGCAATGCATAGTGTACGCAAGCCTTCCCTAGCGAACATTTCAAGATGTTCAGCGGTAGCCTTTCGTAGAGGGCCTTGCTCATTTGGTTTTAAGCGGGAATAGATCATGCTGTCGGCACCTTTACAGAACAGAATGATCTTGTTATCTGGCATCCTGATTATCGCGCTCATCCGCTTTCTAGTGGAATTAAATTCCAGCGTATTGAGAACCTTGTATGACCTTTCTTGACCTTGAACATTCAATCTTATACCATCTTCCGAGTTTCCCAAGACTGTATAGCCAACATCTCTTGCAGTCGAGACCAACGCAGCCTCGTCCGGTGACTGGGCCTTGAATTCGATTTTGGGGGGGTCCCCAGGCACAGTTTCAGAAATGACAGTATGGCACAACGCCAGGGCCAGCATGAATTGGTCATTAGCTTGTTGCTGCTCTATTCCAGATTCGCCAGCGAGATCAGTGACAAAATCGGGAGCTACGAACGTCAAGTCTTCGTCGTGAAGATATGGATTATCGTGAAGCTTTCGCAAATCTTCCAGCATTCTAATTCGACCTTGTGCAATTTCCTCACGACATCTTGCTGCTTCCTTTTCCACGTCGATTCCCATTCGCTTCTGCATACCAGCTTGTGCCTCTGTGTAAGCTTCGCCGTAAGGCACACCGTTAATACTGGCCTTCTTGAATTCCATCACGTTTTGCGTCAAAGTTCCGGTTTTGTCAGAGAAGATGTACTCAATTTGCCCCAGATCGTCGGAGATGTTCCATGACTTTGGTGTGCAAGGGTAGTCCAGGGGCTCGTAATACATATCCACATCGGAATATATGAAAAACGCCTGGCAAGTTTTGATAATCTCGAGGGAAATAAACAAGGAAATTGGCACCATGTTCTGGAATAAGATGAGTGCGGCCCAGAATGTAATGAAGCCATCCATTGCAGGACGTTCGCCAATTGAACCGAATTCGAACCAGGCGATTGAATTGTTGCCATCCCCAAATGCAATACCCTCAATAATGGCGGACACGAGACAGATAAGAACCAAGACAATGAAATTGTAGATGACGTTCCAGTTCAACTCCCGGGAAATCCGAGAACGTTTGGTGGGCGTGATACCAGCGTTCATCATGATTTTGGTGTCAAACCCAGTAAAGACAACCACACCCAAAATCCACTCAGTGTTTCTCAGATTACAGCCTCGAAGTAATAGGTTGTTGATTGAGATAGGTTCAACCATCTCCTCTTTGGTTTCATGTTGCCTCCATCGAGCCGCAGCACTATACTGATAGAGATTCGCCTGTGGGGGCTCACTCTCAATTGAGAATTCGGTCTTCTCGCAGTCGCGAGCGTGCTTGATTTTTCTACCACTTCGAAGAGCATGGCGAACTTTCAAATTAGTTTCGCCGTCCAAGTTCTTGGTTTCGACATAGCAGGCACCATCGGGGTCGGATGTAGAAAGGATGACTACGTCTGCCGGTATCTGGTCGTCGTTGTAAATTCGGACAAAGTCGCCCACTTGCACATTCTTCCAAAAATCTTTATGGAATCGGGCTTTGCCAGCCGGCTTTTCGGGATTAATGAGAGATCCAAAGTGGCGAGCAGCCGGTGCACCATCCCCATTGAAGGAAAACGCGGTTTTAGGACGTTCATGATCTGCTGAAGGCACTTCTAGTCCGTCTGCGCGAGGAAGTGGGGAGGGTACTGGTGTCATCTGAATATCTTCGCGAGCAGAGACGAAAGATGTGCGTTGGGTATGTGTAGAAAAAGCAGATGCCCGTCTAGTGGCCGCCGATCCGAACGATGGTCGAGGTTGGTCCATGGCTCCCTTCGCGTACTCTTCCCCAGGTTTCTGTTTCTTGCTCATTGACCGCCATGTGGTGGCGATGAACCGACTGGTAGCTTTCTTAATCCTTCTCCATAATGAAACATCATCGGCGCTCACGTTCACATTATTCCAATCGACAAGTCGGTGAATCGAAGAGTTGTTCAACTCGTTGTCCAGTACTGTCCGCCGATAATCTTCAATCGCATCCTTGACAGCTGTAACGACGACAATGACAATTAAAGGTACAGCGTTCAGACCGGGATTGGATGCGCCAAATATGCTGAAGAACTAGGAACCATCAATACGGCCCAAATTGATAAGAGGTTAATGCTTACCGTTAAAATAATCAGAAACAAGAAATAAACATTAGCAATATTGTGGAATTGATACCAAAGATTCTTCGGTACGAAACTGATTGGTGTATACTTGGCCGTCCGAATCTTATTTCTTCGATAGTGCTTGACCGGGTTCCCGTCCTCATCGATCGCTTCGGGTGGCAGAGGAATATTGAACAGAATATTCCGCGGGCCTTGCTTATCGCGGTCGTGATCTGGGTCTTCCACTACTTTCCCGTCGTCTTCTGGCTCCTCTCTTATCCCACCGAGATCTGTACCCATTGACTCTCCTCCACCGGAATCTCTCTTCTTCTCGCTCTGTGACCCCCTATGATGGAGTCGGTCGATTATGGACCCACGCTTCTTGGTGCCCGACTTTCCTTTCACCCTCTGCGTTGCCCATCTTAACCTTTTCGTCGGCAGAGGTGCCTCCTCCGGTTCTTCGAATGAGGAGAGCGCCATGTCGTTGGCCTATACGCTGATGTTGGGCGCAGCCCTGACGGGATGTGGTTTGGCCTCCAGGGTTAGTAGGCTGTCTGTAGCCACGTTCGATGATTGAGTGTCGACTGCTCAACTCCGTGGTGGACAGGTACAATCACTGCTCGAAGTGTTGCGGCAATTCGAACTTGACAGATAGTGATTGATGAGGTCGCAATCGTAAAGTGAATTTGTTCGCCGGGTACTATGGAGACCGGAACGAACGGATCGCGTCGACACGACAGATGCCTTGTCCTTTGAACTTCTCGACTTGCAGTAGAAGAGGATACTGCTTGACCATGCCAAACTGCTTTCCTCGGGTTCGGTTTGTCGAGTGGAAAGATTGGAGGTGGCGTGCGATTGACGGATTGTTAGTCTGCAGTTGGGAGGTGGATTGTAGTATATTGTAGAAGACCTGAGTTGAGTCTTGCCGGGGCTAGCGCGAAATTGCTTATTCAGAACGGGCTAAAACAGAGCTGCAGACCCTTTGAAAACCCCGGTCGTGGCGATGATGGCGGGCACGATATGGGAATCCCTTTGTGGAGCACAAGAAACAAAAACTTTAGTGGTGCCTCAAAGAGAGCTATCGCGACGACGCAGAAAGAATAGTTTGGGGTGTTGGTGGGAGGGTTGAAGAATAACCTTCCAGGAGAACAAGGTGTTCGTTTGTGGCAGAAGGAGCGCTTCGTACCTATGTACGGAGCATCAGCAAAGCACCGCCGCTGGGCTGGGCTGAGAAGACCTGGGAGGGACGGAGTGAGATTCGCTGTGCCGGACTTTACGGTAATATAAAATTGCCAACGCTGAGCACTCAAATGCGCTGGATTGTTCGAGGTCTCTTCGCAGCTCGCCAATTATTCAGGGGCATCGCAGGCCCAGCAACGACTCTACCGGCCAAGAGACAAAAGGGGGCTGAAGGAGGATTGTTGGCGGAGGATCACATTGCACTCGGTGGTCTCTCACATATCTAACCCTCTCTACATGCGCAATAGGAATGACTGCACATTCTACACGTGCAATAATCGCAGGTGTTTCGTTCTTACTATGCAGTTGCAGTCATCATACAGTAAGTAGCTGCTAACATTTACCTAGCGGAAGTCAGGGAGGTGCCGTGAAGACGGTGAAGCTGCTAAACCCCGAGCAAGCCCGGTGCGCGGCGGTGGGATTGGTAAGAGCAAGTGGTCGATGTCGTAGTGGAAACCTGTCACAGTGGTCATTTTCAACGTCCCGGATGCGGAAAAGGCTGACGACCGAATCGACGGTACTTGGCGGGGGGGGAATGCAGAAACTAAAATGAAGATATACGAGTACGGTGCTGTCCACAACAAAGGATGTTGTAAACCGCGCGAGGAAGGAGACGGCATAAATGAAGCTCTAGACTTCTCAGACTCTCCATCTTCCGTAGGACACTTCTCTTCCCGTATATGATTCCCACAAGCTGCGACGTTGTGCACCGTAGGGCGACAGCGATTGTGTGATCTTGATAGCACGGTCTACAGATTATTTGACGACTGTACTCAGCACCCCGACTTCCGGTCATCCCCTTTTCTGCGGCTGATTGCACAAAAGCGCCGTGCCATACACCTACCGCAGCATAACCTGGTGTAGATACGACTTCCACCACACAATTCATGTGCTTCTACCAAAACCAATTGTTGGCAAGCATAATCGTACGTAAATGTCTAGTATTATTGGTTCTTCTGCTAAACATCAAACGACGAACAATTACGGAGCATCGAGGCATGAATGAAATCAAAACACGAGCTTCAGAAGTTCGGGTTGCCCCGGCCAAGACTCAAGAGAAGACAAATGATTCCGGTCCGGATTTAACCCGAGTCAGCAGCTCGGATGGTTGGATTCGAGTCGCGACTCTCAGTATCCTAGCCTTCCAGGTTGGTATGCGCCTGTATTCCATAATCATGTTTGTTTGTCCAACCCGAGCAGCTCTTCACAACTGCACATCGAGGAATCAGCTCAGCGGACGCCGAACGTGGAGCAGAAGGTGGACGAATCAAGCAGACACATCATCTCAACAGCAGCAACGATCTTCTTCGAAGTGCCTCTCGCTGATCCTGGGCCTGGCGCTTCTCATCAATCTGTAGGCGAGAATCCTCCTTCAGATCCCTCCAGAGGCAGTTGCAGATGGTCGACTTGCGGTGCCTTTAGACAGTTCTTCTGCACTGAATCACAAATATCTGCAAGCTGGTGAAACCGTGTCAAGGACTTCTTCGCCATATTTCACATAAAATACCTCGTGCACTGACGGTTTTGAGAGACTTCGCTTCCATTCTAAACATCGGGGCCAACTCACCGATTCCGTCGTGTAGAACCTTTGCACGTAACTGACGCGACTCCACGCGATGTCTCTGAAAAAGAGCGCGTTTCTTCCCCACTGATTTATATAGGCCGGATCATTTTCTTGATGCGCCTCATATTTGGAAATGGCTGGCGACAAATCCATCCGAGACTTCTTTGCTCCGAAGCAAACACAAGCTGCACCCCAGTCTTCCCTTCCTAATTCCAATTTACCATCCTCACGAGCAAAGTCAACTTCCCAACTTGAATCCTTTAATTATAGTGTTACCAAGGACCACTCGTCATCTTTTTCATCCAACCTATCATCCCCACTCAGCAGTAATAATTCAGCGTCACCAACACGAACGGTTGGACGCAGTATTCTAGATCCTGCACCAGGTTTCGCCAGCTCTGGTAGAGAAGTGAGAGGTTCTGACGATGAAGAGGATGATTCAGACTCCTCACTGGAGGAACTCCAGACCATCTTCGCTACGAAGAGCTCGACGGTGCCAAACACGAAACCAGCCGCACCTTCCACTCCCACAGCGAAAAGAATCAAAACGACTGATTACAATCTGAATGTTTCTCCATTGGCCATATTACCAAAGTACAGGTCGGATTTAAAGTCACTCGTGAAACTTGCCCAGCATGAGAAAGAGACTGAAGAAAGTGCACAGAGAGTCAAGGCGATGGAGGCCGATCGAGAAGAGCAAGAGGAAATAGCTCTTTCTCGAGGAGACATTGACTTGGCTTCAGCAAAGCTATCTCACGGGTCGTTACTCGAGTCTGTCGTAGCTCAAAAGGAAGAAGGTGGATTACGAAAGGTCACTCGTGCTTTAATGAGGACAGAAGCAACAAGTGTGCAAAAACACTGGTCCTTTTTCTCAACCGAAAATGAACCCCCGAAAAGCAAGCGGGAAGCTTTCCCATCTCGTTCAGTTCCAAAATCTTGGCGGGATATGTTGGGAGACCCAGAGATTCGCCATCAGACGTTCGTCTCTGGCTATGCCGAAGACATGGTAGCATTAGGAAATAGTCTACCAGATGAGCTGTTCATCTGGATTCTCAATGATGCCAGCTTTGAGCAGGACGACGTTCTGAGGGCATCGTATTACAACACTCTTAGAGTATCAGCAAAAGAGCAGACTAGCAAACTAGTCACACCAGCCATTATCGAAAACATGTTCCGTAGTCTTGGTGCTAACCAGAACGCGCTATTAATTGAGGAAGAGATGACACCAGTACCTGGACGGAATTCGCTCAGTCAGAATCACGATTGGTCGCCTCTGCGCTCATTTGCACTGTATTTGGTTCTGAGTGCACATGCACTGGGACCGGAGTCACGGGAGCTTGCCATTTGTTTGCTGATTCGGATGTTGGCCGATAGCATGGTATACAAAAACATTGATCTGCTAGATTCAATACAGACTACGGTCCGGTATCTTTGCAAATATATCGAGGATGGTGTTTGGGAGGCTTCTGTAAGCAAATCCCAACATTCCGTCATTGGTTAGACTAACAGTACTACAACAGTGCCAAAAAATCTGCAAACTGATATTTAAAACTGTCAAAATTGCTACAATGTGTTTGCAAATTGTAGAAGCATTACCCTCCACCACACCCAGGATCCATGACCTTCGGAGGAGACTAGCGCTCTGCTACTTCTACGGCAATGAATCTCATTCTGAACAAAATCCTCATTACACTTTAAATATATCCAAAGTTACGAGACGACTGACAGAGGAGGGATTCCAGCCAAATCAAGAGACAGATTATGTAGAATTCTCAGCTCTGATTGCACTTTTAGACATTGCTGTAGACGATGGAAGGAATGTGAATCTAGATCTGAAGGATAAAGCAGTGGCAGAAGGATTCGATGAGCAGGTGGAGTTGCTCATCAAGGTGCTTTCACATATTCACGCCGGTATTGGTAATCCTGGAGCTGCATATATATCCCGGATCGAAGCAAAAGAGATGCTAGACGTTGTAAAACAGCGATTTTCAGACACTCTACGTGCGAGGCCAAAGGCTAAAATTTCACATTTTAACAAGCCTGCGGAAAAGGTCGAGCTTTTGGGGAGAGAAAGAGCTGGCATGAGTGCATTCCTAGCAAGGAGCAAGGCATAGTGCAAGGATAATGCAATTATACACAGATACCCACATGTTCTGACTACTGAGTATAGCCACAGGTAGAGGCGGGAGCTGCAAGTATGAGCATCTGAAGACCAATACTGCACGCAAATGAGTTTGAGTATCATACAATTTCTATGAGGTTTGCTGAAAGCTAGCAGCACAGTTTGTTATTTATGTCAGTTTCCAGAGTCAACCCGACTCCAGCCAAACACCACTCCCTTCACGTCCTCGAAGCAACCCACCGTCTAATTATAAAACCTCCTGTTCTCATTCTTGCCAAATAGTGTCGTTCTTACAGATGGCAAAGCATTGTCCTGAAGCAGCTTCAGTCGTTCCTCAAATGTATTGTTGATATCAATCTTTCCACCACCACCAACAATCGACAGACCACCAGCACTGCCACAAGGTTAGCTCACAAATCCACCAACATGCAATCTCTCTGCCAACTTACGATCCCTCAGGCTGAGGATTCTCCTCATCAATCGACACCGAAATCTCTTTGCCCACCTTCTCCTTGTACTCCTTCGAGGCCTGCTCGATAGCCTTCTTGAGCAAATCATAATCCGCTTTGCGCCCTCTAACCTGCACCTTGGACTCATTCAGAGCATAAAAGCCTTCCAACATCAGGTTCTTCAGAATGGTAGTGTATTTTCCCTTATCCTTGGTCGCATCTGTCAATTTCTTCTCCGCCTGCTCGAATATTGAGTCTAGCAGCTCCTGTCTGGCGGAGAGCACCTTTAGTCGGGTCTTGTTGGCTACGGTGGAACGGGTGATTTGCTGTGACATCTGAGCGGCCTTAAATTTCTTCTCGTATGCTGTATCGATTGAGGAAGTTTCCTGGCGAACAAGCTTCGACTTCTCAATAGCGAATTCTTCATCTGCTTTTATTTCGATTTCGCGGCCCTTCTCCATTGCTTCTTGCTTGATGAAGGCCGTCATCTTCTTCAGCTCCTGTCCGACCTATACGTAACTACAATTAGCTACCAAACCATGTAACATAGAAGCCCGAAACCGACCTGGTCGTCGGATAATGCGTGAGACTGCGACATCTTGGGTGGTGGCTGTTTGGGGAGCTGGGGAAGTGGTATTGGTGTGTTTATGAGGGCAGCTCTAAGCTCCCATCACGATAAGAGCAGGAGCAGAGGGACGTCGTCAAGGTCACGTGCAGCTTAATGATGGCTGAGTTGTCTTGGAACTCTTGAACAGTGCACGCCTGTACGATCTCAATTAGATTCAAATGGTCAAATTGCCGGGCCACATGATTCACAAAATAGGAATATCGCGTTACAATTCTCATCAAATCCTGTTCAGAAGGCACCCTAAAGATTCCTCTCATTCCTATTGCAGTGACCAGTCAAAACTACTAGCGAGACATGTTCGAGGGTGACTTGCTTAGCTTGGCATGACGGTGAGAGATGGCAAGGAATATATGCTCCCTTTGACAACCAACACTTCTTGCTCTTGAATAACCTCCCCGTACTAAACGCGCCACTCCCGGACTTGGTAGTTACATCTCCGTTCCGCCAAATGCATTGTTGCGAAATTGCGACTGCGTGATGGGAAACCTCGGCGATCTTTCGCCAGGAGGTAGTATAGCTGTATGTATACAAACACCTCAGAATGCCTCTACAAGTCCAGCCACAGTCGCTGACCATTATGTTTCTCTTTAGATAGGCATACTCGTTGGACTTATATCAACCAGCGTCCAGAGCATAGGCCTAACGCTGCAACGCAAATCACATATACTAGAAGACGAAAAAGACCCTCACGATGTTCGACGTCCTCCACATAGAAGAAGGCGGTGGCAGCTTGGGATGGCTATGTTTATCATATCGAACTTGGTTGGAAGTACCATACAGATAACAACATTGCCTTTGCCGGTTCTCTCCACTCTACAGGCGTCCGGATTAGTCTTCAACTCGATATGCGCCACTCTAATACTTGGGGAGCCCTTCACGAGGTGGTCTTTGGGAGGAACGATACTGGTATCGAGCGGAGCTGTGTTAATAGCTATCTTTGGCGCAATACCGGAACCCGCGCATAGTTTGGATCAATTGTTGGATTTACTGGGGCGGAAGGCGTTTGTGCTCTGGATGATATTCCAGGCCTTATTGGTGGTCGGTATAATCGTTGTAGCCGGGTTTCTCTCGCGAGCTCCAAGCATATCAGCAAGTCCGCGGACTCGATTATGGAAAGGTCTAGCATATGGATGTGTGAGTGGGATATTATCAGCCCATTCGTTGTTGTTGGCGAAATCGGCAGTGGAGTTGTTGGTCAGGACGATTGTAGACAGGATCAACCAGTTCAACAGATGGCAGTCTTGGGCGATCCTTCTTGGATTGATCTTCCTGGCTCTTACTCAACTATACTTCTTGCACAAAGGGTTAAAGCTGGTCTCGACAAGTGTCCTTTATCCCCTGGTCTTTTGCATATACAACATCATCGCTATTCTTGACGGCCTGATTTACTTTAACCAGACGGACCGTATCAGTGCTTTACATGCTGGATTCATAGCTATCGGAACTGCTATACTCCTCTCTGGTGTACTTGCCCTTTCATGGCGATTGTCAGATGAGCAGACTCAAAATCCAGCGGTAGCTCAGAGCGCTCTTGCACCAGGGCTTGGGCTTGTGGAGGATACGGAAGAAGAGGACTATTCCGACGAGGTAGCTGCAGACGAAGAGAACGCGATTGTTAGCCAACATAGGGCATTGTTAAACGGGGAGCCCATGACACCGACCACAAAACTAGATACTGTACTAGGTGCCACAAGGCACGTTCGAAAAACGGTGCGCCTCACGGAAGCAGACGAGATCTGGGGCGAACTTCAAGATGATGACACGAAAACCACCTCCCCAACACACCCAAGACGCTCCTCTACGAACCTTTCAGCACCTAAATCCCCCAGACAAGGAGATAATTTAGGAAGTCCAGAACCTACCGAACACACATCCCTGTTACGTAACAACTCCTTCAACCGAAGAAGACGCAGGAGATCAGCAGGTTTCCCTGGATTTCAAGCCAGACCGGCGTCAAGAAGTATTCGAAGAAGAAATACCCAATCCCAACCACAAGAAGCAACCGGCGGATTCTGGAAGATGAGATGGTGGAAACGAAGCTGGGGAAGCGGAAAAGATCCACCTGATCCTGGGCTTGGTGAACGGCCACCCAGCGGTAGTGGTGCAGGTAGCGCAGTGTAGAAGATAACAAAAATCCAACATCTTCCACGCTCGCAAGCGGAATTCTTGTATATTGCTTCCCCAAAACACCGCACCCTACGCTCTTCTACGTACATAACATGAAATTGGGAGTTTCCACGGGAGTCCAGCGTAATCATTTCTAGGAGTTTAGGGACCGGGTTAGTAGGAAATGGAAATGGGAGAATACATCCTATGAGGGATTTTTGTATTCTACTATACACTTTGTAGATCGATGAGGGGTTAGGGACTGACAGGAGGGGGCCTCATCATTTGTATTTTATGCGGAGATTCTAGGGCTATTTAAGTTGCATTTGAGAGGGGATGGTTGGAAGAAATATAATGAATGGTTTTAGTATATCGTCTAGGATTTCTGCATGACCTTTGACTGTTCCGAAGTCGATGTGTTGAAAAGTTATACGTTGCGGCTTGGCCTTGGATTGCTTCCAACTTCCATGTCCACTGTTAGACTTAAAGTTACCTAGGCAATACGCACGTACTATTGTCAAACCGCGCCCATCTAATCATTGGAATGTCCGCTCTCAAGAGTCAAGAGTCAAGATTGTTATCTGCTCAGCTCATATGCCTAAATATACCGACTGGCGAATTCCACACATGCTGGTTAATCCTCGCCAATGACACATCTAGAAGTTTAGGGTAGTCAGAATGAATACAAAGTTTTCATTATTGTGTAGCATATCCACCACTAATCGAGAGGGTGATAAATCCACAAGCACAAACATGTTACTAAGTAGTTGAAGAGACAAAGAGAAGTTCCAGATAGAGTTCGTAGGACAGACTGGATGAGAAATCGATATTCAAAATACAAGTAGTCTCAGTTAGACATTGTGTGGGAGATTTATTTGAATTTTAGATTCAATGATGCATTAACCCCGCCAGATCTGGCACCGAGGCTGTAATATACAGGTTCAACTAAGCAGCAGCACGAGTGACCCTATACCCCACCACCACCATGATTTCCACTTCGAAAGCTTACGCAGAATTTCTCAAGAAGATGTGAGTTCCAAACATCGTCTCATGAAATTCGAGCAATTCCAATGTAAAAAATCAAAGAGCCGCCTCGTTTTCCCCTCAAATATCCCTATCAACCCAAAATTTAGTGACTGGCAAGATTAACCGATTATCAGCGCCCTAAGCATGTTTCCCCTTTTCCGACTTGTAGTCAAGAGAATTCTGTGCAAGCAATAACTAACGAAATAGCAAACCCATATCAAGACACCCGAAACACCAAAGTAAGTTAACGGGAGGATCGAGACCCGCAAGACACGAACGTTACGGAAGCGTTGTATTATGTGTCGGGTATCAGTACTATAATTCAGCCCAACCCTCTTTCGTGTACTTAGGACCATTGGCGCAAATGCATTTTATGCTTGATGGGAATGTTGTTGTGGCATGCCAGTCTGTGGTGGCATAGCATATCCACCCCCTCGTTGTTGTTGCTGGACATAGTTTTGATATGCTATGGCTTGTTGTTGTTGATCCATCGAAGCCGTCATGTAATTAGGATTCATCTGCGCGTGTTGTTGTGGCATGGCGGTTCGGGGCTGTTGCGGTGGAAGATGTTGCTGTGGTGAAGTATCTTCTGGGGAATCGACGGTGTTCTGATCGTCAACCCCATTCTCGCCGTTCCCGGCGGGTTCGGGAGCATTCAAGCATGCCTATTCTCTGTCAGCAGACGACTCGCGCAGCTGGAAATCAACCTGCACATACCTGAATCAAATTTTTGCCTTCCGCTTTGGTTACTAAAGGCTGGAGCTTTGGTGTCGTGAAGGTATAGACCAAGCCGGTCTCAGAAACGACGAGTAGGAGCACTTGGGTACCAGTGAGGACGGACAATTCGTATGCCTAGAAAGGAAAGATTAGTATGGCTACTTGAAGCTATCGCAACGGAGCGCCGACGCGTAAAGCTAGTGAGGAATTGATTACACGCCTTTTTCATGATGCCTGCCTTACGCTTCGAGAACGTTATGTGTCGGCGCGATTTGTCTGTAATGAACTTGATCTCGATCTTCCTGCGCTCGCGTCCGGGCTTATCGTCATCATCGTCGTCGTCGTCCGCGGTCGAAGGCCTTTGGCGCTTGATGCCCCGAGTATCACCACCTGCGAGCGAGTTCCCATTGCCCACCGCATGCTCATCGAGTGTTGAAGGCGAACCTTGATCGTGTTGGTCGGTGATGTCGGCCATTATTGATAAAATGTTTAAGGTATGACGAGAACAACTCTTTTGAGTTGGATGCCGACGGCCTTACTGCTTATGGGAGTGGAGAGGCTGTTGTCCTGCTTTGTCGCAGATACCTGGTCGCGAAGTGCTGGATTAAGGTTGGCGTGGTGGGAAGAAGCGAGTTGAGTCGGAAAAACCGCCTGCGAAGGGCTGGAAATGCGGTGGTCTGGGGGTGATGGAGGTCGGGTGAACTGGAGGCGTTTTCCGACCGGTAGAATTGTAGTGGTGTACCGTACGTACGGCACTGGATTGGGATGCTGGGCAGACAGCACGGTGCGGTTTTCTTGTGGTGTTCCTGGATGATGGCTGGAAGAGGAAGCGATCTGGATAACCAACTGTGGGAATTAACGATTGATCAGGAAAGGTGAAAGCGGGACGATTGACAGGAAGATAGATTGGAGCAGCGCGGCGGATGACTACAAGAGATATGGAGTAGTGCGTGAGAAACGAAGGTAGAGGCTGAGGGGGAGGGGGCAGCGAGGGAACTTGGGTGATTTGGGGGAAGATGAGAGGGAAGCTTGGGCAAGGAGAAGCGTAAGCGTGGAGTCCGGGCGCGGGTTGGTGGTGCTGTTAGGCTAGGGCCCAGGGGGGAGTCGATAGTGGAGCTGGTGGGTGGGAGATGGGTGATGGGTGATGGGTGATGGGTTTGGCGGGCGGGCAGACTGACAGACAGAGCCTGTGCCTCGGGGATTCGGGGGGTGCTTGGAGTGTGTTTGTGCAGCGGTGGTGGTGCTGGAGACGAGATATGCTGGCGCTTTGCCCACGTTGTGTCCACTGTCCCTGTCCACTGGAGATTCGGCGGCGGGCACTGGACCGCTGGTGCAGCGCAGGCCTCAAAGTTCAAGCGAACAACGCTGCTGCTGCCCGCTGCTCCCTCGACCGCGACAGAACAATAATGCACATGGTTTGGTCGCAGTCGCACTCTGAACCTCTCCTTTAGGATGATCCCGAATACAGCCATTTCTCGTGCCATGTGTCGTTCTGCACCGATTCCCCCATCCCCAACTCCTGCATCGTGCACCACCCAGCGGCCACCCACTGCCACCAAACGAATTGCTGCTGGTGGTTGGGAGATGTGCAGACTCGCAGGCAGCCCTCGGCCTGCTGTTTTCGGCGACACTCGACCCCCCCACTCGCAGGAATGAGGACGTGATGCTCAGCCAAACAGCGTGCGCAGAATCCGCTGCAGGTCTACCGGGGAAGTCGTCCCTGGCTCTCCACCCACCCTTCCACAACATCAGACGAGCGATACCGATGAGGGGGAAGGCAGCCATATCGCCAGCCCGAAATAGAGGAGATAATGATGAAATACGTCGTTATCACAAATTGCTGCAGCGACACTTGCAGTCGTCCTGCGCAGCGATTGCACCCACTCAGCATGCTCATTGGCCGCAAATATACAGAGTGCTGGTTGCGCAACAGTTCGCAAGAACTATTTCGGGCGCAACAAAAGTACTTCGTATGTTCGGACGAGTGCACGAGTTGTGTTGCAAACCTCCCCCCGTTGCTGTGCCGCGCTTGCAGAACACGCAGAAAGTTGGATCCTTCGACGGCGGAACCGTAGATGTTGTTGTAACCATTGTCGCAAAAGAATTTCGAGGTTTTCGAGGACTTCAACGTCGAGGCGCATCCAAGTAGATTTCCGCGCAAAGGCGCAGGTGTGTTCGAAACATGACGTGCGTGGGGAATAATAGAAAACCGTTGCGCGACTCCAAAGAATACACACGTACCTTCCAAAGTTCTCAGCAAACCCCTTTTCGTCCTAGCCTACGCGATGCAAGGTTGATATGTTTGCTAACTGGAGCTCTTGTCTCAAAAAGCGCGGTGCTATTACTTAGTCGCGTCGATGTCTTTCTTTCCGTATTCGTCGTCGAAGATGCGCTTCATACACGTGAGGGTAGGTGCAGGGATACAAGTAGTATGGTAGAATTGCGTTTGAGAAAGGCGTGTCCTGTTCGAGCATCGCTCCTCAGAGGGAAGGGGGAAAGGGTTGATTTAAGAATTAGGAGCTTAGCGTCATCTGGACTAGCGTGAGGGGTTCAAGATATTCCGCTCCGGATCTCCAGTCTGACTGAGGGTCTGGAATGCTCGATTCTTATCCCCATTCTTGTCAAATGCCGACAGTTGAATCCTTCGTAACGAGAATATTTGTCTAATTGTTGTCGAAAATAGATGAAATAAACGAGAGTTAAAGAAAACCGTTAGAGCCGGTAGTGGTATGGCGACCTAATCCTGATCAGGACATCATCAACCAATATTCACCTCGAGTACGTACTTATCAGAAATATGTTTACTTAAATCCATTCATACAAATCGTTTAATTGAGAGAGATATGCAGAGATCCTCCACGAAAGAGCATAAATTTAATTTCAGCCCCAAGTCATGAGGTTCAAGAATGGTTATTAAGCACTGTGGCTTCTGGTTAGATGCGTTGAAAGCTCTTGTTTTAGGTACCTGCTAAAGAATACAGTCTTTGGCAAAAGCTGGCTGGGGTACCAGCGCAACATTTTTGAGCTGTCACCCCTAAAATTTCCAGAAACAGTGCGGTTCTTCGAATAAGTTCATTCTTTAGATATTCGCCCAGTCAATGTCATGAAAAGTCTACAAACTCGATAACTTTCGGTATATACTTTGACACGTGACTTTGACCATATCTTATCACTGGGTCTCCTAATTTCCGCTAAGTACACCACTACCTTCCAGCACGTTTAGCTACAATATCCGACGGCTTAGAGAATTTAGGACTCTTCTCTACAAGCTACAATGCTAATGTGTCGACTGTGAATGTCGCTTAATTGTCCTCAAGTCGGCTGTTTGGCGCTTAGCGACGTTTTACTCGACCCTGATAGGGACAACAACATCTGCTCTCCCTCTTTGACAAAGCTTCCGATCGACCTATTTAATAAGCTGAGCAGAACACCAGTTCTGTCTACATTCATTTTCACTCGCCTTGAGCTCCCAAGCTGAGGTTTTAATGTCCTTCCCTACGGAGCACCAAGCAACCTGGTCCGTGCCATCGCAGTCTCCCGCAAACGGCTGCCACAGATCCAAATCTTGAGGCAAGATCCAAAACATCATTTGTCTTGGATCCTACACCCATAACCGCCCAAGCCACGACTTGTCTCCACACTCACGACAGCGCAGGTTTGTTTCCTTTCTTCCTCTCTTCCTTTCACTGTTTCTCTCTCTGTGTGTCTTGTCTTTCGCTTTTTGAATTCGTTTCCTGTTTATTCTATTCTTTTAATTCTAACCTTTTCATTTCGTAAACCTTGGGGAATTAGACGCCGGTCGTCATTGTGGTAGCTGGCCAACTCACACTTTACGAAATATCACGAAGAAAACACTCAAGATGGCGCGCGATAACATACTCTTGACCTACGTGGTGGTGGATGTCTTGTTCGTGGTTACTGGGGCTCTGTTGATCATCTTTTCAATCAATACCCAGATCGAAATCGCGAAGCCATTTACCAAGGACAATGTCGTGAAGGATTTGCTATTGGGGATGTGCCCATTAAATGGTAAGGAACATGGCTACCGTTGTGGGAGCCAGAAGGGCTAATATGTATACCAGCTGCTGTAGGAAATGCGGTTCTCGTCTTCGTAACCTTCCTTCTCTCCATCCCAGCGATAGTCATGCCAACAACCCGAACATGGCTTAAGATTCATGGATACATGACCGTAGTCTGCGCGATATTCACATTGGTTCTCGGTTTGGATATATGGTTCGAGACATTGAAGACGAGATCAAACCTTGCAGTCATCTGGAGTGCGCAACCAGCAGACACCCAGAGTTTGATCCAACAAGTTGTACGTACCTGCCGATCTTTTGATGTCTACTTTTATTTTGCTAACAATAAATCAGCTCGGCTGCTGCGGCTACATGAACTCCACTTCTCCGCCATTCGTCAAGGACGCAACCTGCCCCAATGCCCTCGTCGCTGCCGCTCAGCTCGGTTGCGTAACCCCTTTCTCGGGAGAAGCCAATAACTTTCTGGACCTCGTTTTCACCGGTGCTTTTGGTATCGTGGGTATCGACGCTGTACTTGTAATTCTTACTGCAATTGTGCTTAAGGACCGCAAGGAGAAGGAAAGATATAGGTTCATTGATGAGAAGAACGGAGCTGGAGCTTTTTAAGCTGGGAAGGTTGATGGATTGTTACAGACAGGGCATAGCGAGGTATTTGAATTTTGGACTGGGAGCACTTGGAAATATCTACGACCGTAATATTTTCTGCTTAGTTTAACAGCTGATCGAAAGTCCCGCCAGAAGGAGTTTTATTTTTGTGTATATTCAGTTGATTCCCTCTTAGTCTGGTTTTATAGAATAGTCTGGGCTGTTTTTGCACATAGTAAGATCACTTGAGAATTATATTGCACTTGTTGTGTATAGCACGAGCCTGGGAGAAAGACTCTCCTTCGTTGTAACATGTCCCTGTCAAGTATCAGACATCTTGCCAATTCCTGAAAGAAAGGCTCATAGCTTCGCTTTACCTGTTTAAAGCAGATCTGGTCGAAATCGACTTCTGGTTCTGCTGGTTCATAAACACTGAAGTTACTCGTAGGAGCCAACTCAAATTTCTTAACTACTAGATCAAAATAGCGATGTATCACTTTGCGATTTTAGCCATTACAAAGGGCAAATAGGCCTCCACCTAAACGTTTTTTCCTAAACGGAGGACGAGCTGTTCTTTAAAGTATGAAACTGTGAAGATGTTCATCAGTGCCGTTTTCCTCCTACAAATCATATCTGCGAGTTCCTATTGCGAATTCGCGATCTCTCTACATGTCAATATGAACTACTCAATTTACAAAATCTAAAGTTCGTCCTTCAATTTTATGTTTTGTCATTTTGCCAGAGATAATGTAATGAATCATTTTGTGAGGGTTGGCAGTGCTTTCAAGAACGTTGGTGGAATCGAAGTTGCCTGTAGAGCTGTCCCTTGTGGTGTAGAGCTGAACCTTGCGGCAGTGAGTGGCTAAGGTTGGCGATAGGAAGTGCTTCATTGGCGTGTAAAGGACAGCAATAGCTTTAGAGGTAATGGTATGATCTGAAGTATAATAAACAGGGTTCGAGGAGGAAGCATTGAGTAAAAGGTTTGAGGTTCACGTTGCAGTGATGTAGGTACCTATCCTGGTGTTCACCAACACTTCTGACGACCAAGTGTGGGCCAGTTGCTATTGGATGAAATGCTAAGGGGTGGTTGTAGTTTTCGAAATTCGCGTATCTTTATCCCACTGAAAGGTTTCAGTAACACATCACTTGCTCGTGGTGAAGTCCATGCCGAGGGGAATATGAAAGTCATGTATTAGATGCTTTTGCAATAACTTTGGGCAGATAGTCCAGACAGGGAACCAGGACCATGCTTATCGTTCCATCGTTCGAAAGAACTCTAGAAACAGGCGTAATATTTGAAGAGTGTCTCCCAAATGCTGCAGACAGTAGGCATGGAAATTGAAGAAGCAAAAAAATCCACGTACGCGTGCGGTCAAGACCAAAAGATATCTTTGTAATGGAGGTGTTATTGAAAGATTGCACGCTAGATGATGAAAAACAACCCGATACGAGAACTCCGTTTCTTGTCTGCCGATTAATTTGGCCAGCTTCTTGCCCAACGCTCTAAACTCCAAACCAACCAGCAATGTCCACACTCGTGGTTTGATAACCAACAAGTGACGCCCCTCATCCTGGAGAGATCATAAGCCCTTATCGAACATCGATCAAACATCCATTGACCGTTCTCAGTGGTATGGCCACTATCTCTGAGAAGTGTGTCTCGCAATCTATCTCTTGGATCCTGCTCGCGGTATAAATGACTACTAATAATTCTAAAACGTGGGTATCTTAATTTCCAATCCTGTCCTTTGTGGCAAGTTTATACTCCGGACACCATTCATCAAGGGACAAAATATGTTCCTTCAAAAATCTATCAGGTTGACTAGAGTAATTCGTTAGTTTCGAGGGTGGTACCGTGAAGTAGATAGTACTCACTGTAGTCCTAATGGATGAGGGTAATCGATCGTTTCGACTGCAAACGTTCTCGCAGTTTCCATGTCTGGTAACTTGATGCTGCTCACGATCCCCTCCTCGCTATCCTTCTCCTGCAAATCCTTCATCCGGGAGAAGAACCACTGGTCCTCGGGGTATGGCTCTGGCTTCGCAGCCCATTCGAACTCGGACAGTACCCTCAATGTCGTTTTCCTGTTCCTCAAGCTTAATCCGCCATTATATCCAACTCCAATATCCGGATTGATTGGCGCGCCCACAAAATCCCACTCGAAAAAGTCGTCTACCTTTCGTACTGAATTTGAGCATAAAATGCTATCTGTCTGGAACAAGAGTACATGTTCTGCAGGTGCCATTTCCTCCCAAATCCATGGTGTCGTGAGAAAGTCCGAGACGGAATTCCAGTTCGGGAAGTATACGCCGTCAGCGAGAGCGCGGATCACGACTCGTCCTGCTCGTTGATGGCGTAGAAGAGCAGCGGATGTGCTAAACGATCCAAAGTTTTCAGCGGCTGTGTAGATTACGACTGTTCGCGAGAGCTGGATTAGCATTTTCCAATGAATCTTTTTGGCTCAACCCCGCTGGCCTAGGCCACAAATCTTTGCAAAGAGAGAGCAGAGAAGACTTACTTGGCCAGTCTGGTCCAAGAACAGCACTGAAATGAAGCACAAGTGGTACGATTCCTCCAGATCTTCGAGTCTCGATAATCACGGCAGCTTTGTTACTCGTGCTGACATTGACCGTCATCCAATCTGCTTGGAGGTGCGAATCCGTTTTGTTGCCCGAATGTCGAAGCAGCTTGTAGTAGTCGTAAAACTGCGCCTTTGTCGCACCAAATGTTCCATTTCCAGAAAACACATTGAGTTTATCCGCGTACTTCGAATGGTTGAATACCCGACCCAGGAACCAGAATACCAGGATCAGCCATAGCGACGGCAAAATCCATTTGCGTGACTGCGCGCTCGCGAGACTGGCGACAGCGATCCGCATCTTCGTCGTACACGTCTTTCTTCGACTCGAAGACAACGACGACGTCTAGGTGGAGCAAGAGAAGAATGGAACAGTCGCAGTGATCATCGTCGAAGGGGGAGACCTCGAATATGGGACATTGTAGCACATATCAAGCGTCGCCTTACTGATGGTACCACTATTGCATTTCCAGGGGCCCAGTAGGCATCCTTTTCTGGACCCTGACGGCCCAGCCAGACGGCCTAGGGCTGAACCGCTTGGGCGCTACGCTGTACGGCTGAGAGAGCTGATAAGGATCATGCGGATGCAGCTCATCTCTTTGAATCAGGGGTTATGCAAAGCTACACGTGGGATACTCAAGTAATACTCGGACAGCTCGAAGGCCTTTCAATTGAAATTGCAGTCGTCGATGGATCCCTTTAGAGCTTGAAATGAAATCGAAAAACATATGGTGATTCAGTATTGCTTTGTTCTCGCCTATCCCCGGGCCTAGTTTCAATAGACTGTATTTCTCCCGTTAGGCCATGCTCAAAGAGGGAATGGATATGTCGCCAGCGACACCTGGCCAAGGATCGACTCAGAAACCAATACTAGCTTGTTTAATGCTTCGAACCATCAATGGCTTTCTTCGAGAGCCATCTCGCGAAAGTCACGCTCTTTACATCTACATGCCTGGTCACAAGATTCGCCATCCAGAATATAGTGGGATACAGAAACAAGACCGTGAGCATTACGTCGGATGCATAATGTACGCCATCATCTTGTCCAGTGTATTTCCACATAAAATTAGAAAGGTGCCATCCCAGAGTATACAGAAGGGTTCCGTGGATAATGTATAACGAAAAGGATATTTTACCGAGGTACTGCGAAAACTTAGTCGTAAATATAGTATGAAGGAAGTGAGGATTGTCGACGGTAAAGACGAGATTGAACGAGGCAAGAAAAATCCAGAAGTGGTCTTCATCATACATCGTTTTGTAACTTGTAGGTATCAGAGACGTTAAGGTCATAAATCCTGGAGATTGTGCAGCACCGTCAACCACATGAGGTGTACTGCACACGAAGAGTGACAGAAAGAAGTTCCCGATCCAGAATATCTTCGCAGCCATTCGGCGGTGTTGGCTTCCAGAAACCCGAGTGATCGGGTATTCCATTTCCATTGATTGCAGCTCTCCTTCTCCCAGTATCTGTTTATCTCCCTTTGCCGATTCTCTCATATGATGCACTTCCGCAAGAAGAACTCCGCTCAGAAATAGGAACAAATGGGAATAGACATTCCAAAACAGAAATAACACAATCCCAAGTAGTACTCCGAAACGTATAGCTCTACGAAGTTTAGCAACTCCGAGGAGGGTGAGGAAAATAACCAGAGACCCACGTAGCTCAACTACTATCATCCAGAGATTCGTATCGTAGGGCGGATTATAAACTGGATAGTTGGCCGCACGGAATTGATCGGATAGCCCAATAACACTGCGAAGCCAATGCATCAAGTTCTCTCCAAACGTGGGGAGCACAACTGGTTCTCGAGAGCCAGGCCCAGTTCCATATAAGCGCAAAGCCGCGAGAAGCATTGCTATGAATGAAATCGCGGCAGGAGGAAGAACAAGCCTGAATCCTCGCCGCATCGAAGAGTTCTGGGACATGGCCTCCTCTCATGAGACTCAATGGTTTGTAGCTCAGCGAAAAGCCCGAGATTGCGAAGAACACGGCCACTGCTGCCAATCCAGCGCCATGAAGTAATCTGAGAATTGGAAGTTGAAGAATAAAGTAGCTGGCACGAGTAGGACTACTTCCGTAGCCCGAAACGAGATTCGGAATAACCAGGTGGAATGGTGAAACAAGACAAGTAAAGATGCCACACCCCGTAAGCCATCTAGCTATGCTGTTGGATGAAGTGTTTGTTCTTCTGGGTGAGACTTTTGTGAAGCCCACATAGTGGACTGACGAATAGTTGGAGGCGAGGCGTTGAGTCGAGATGTGAACAAAGTTAATGACCAGCTTGACAGCGAATGAATAAATGAAATGATTGAGTCATGTTTCAACGCTGTATACAACCCCGTTGCAGAATGACTAGGAGTGTCGTGATGGTGTTGAGTTGGATTTCTGCTGTGGTTGTGTTCTTCCCAATCAGGAATGGTCGAGCTTGCTTGGCTCCTCCGCCTCTTGAGAATCTTCAACTCTTTTCCAACTTCCAAAAACCTCTCAGAAGCACGATGTTGTTGACTTCCGAGTAATAAGCCCCCCAGCTGATTCCCCTTCCAGCGTTATTTCTCCTCCAGCCATATTTCGCAGCTTACATGTAAGCATGCCAAGGAATAAAAAGTAAGGCATACTCGTACCTCCGTGTGCGATCAACTTTTAAAGGGGTCATATTCACTTCATATCGGTTCTTGTCAGCCACGTTCCGTATTCAGTCGCCCGCACGGCAGGCTTCTGCACTGGACCTGCATGGGCTCGGCGCTGCAATTTCCACTCGGCTTGTTTCCGTGGTCGTTGGCGACGATTGTCCGAGCTGAAGAAACTTATCTCTTCAGGTATATACAGCTATATTCCACACTTGATGGCATATCTGAACGCGGTGAGAAAGGAAACAGAGTGTAGACTTCTTACGCCAATGAATCTTTCTATTTTCAAGCCGATTTGCTGAAACTTCTACAGGTCGGTCACATGACATATGTGTATCACTGGTGCAATCATTACCTCGTAGTATTAGACGACATCAGGTACCTCTCAGAAGGTCCAAAAGATCTATATATAGCATTCCGAACAGCTGTATCAAACCTATATCTACATAATTTTCAACAAAATTTACCAGGCCACAATTCAACCTGGAGCCCAGCGATGGGACCTTGATAACGAAAACTACTGGTATTGACTTTTCTTAAGCATCAGCACCTAGTGGTGAATTTTGAGTTTCGACATTATGTTAGAGAGGTGATCTATTGCTACAAGACTTCTTCACTATGAAAATATCTTGCTGTAAGAGTTTTGCTTTGTAGCAGGTCTTACAAGATCGTTACAAGACAGCTAAGCTAGTCACAAAGAATGGACTTTATCTGAGCCACACATTTTGGTTTTCTTCAAGTTCATCGTCGAGAATTTTTTACGTGGACACGAATGACACAAGTTGAGATCGAAACTTATCATTTATACAATTCTCCCTGCTCCAATAATTGGTTGATTATTTTCCTGTCTACATCTTCAAATTACAGTCTGTTGGAATTACTCACAGTTGGAAAGACGATGCATGGCCTGCTACTGAATGTTGTTGTTATGCAACCATGGCCACCCATTATCAGCATCCACCCTCATGATTCACAAGCAAAATGCCAGATGTCTTGTTACATTTATAGGAGACTTTCGGTTTGGGGATTATCTTGTTATTGCTTTCTTGACAATACATTTTCATCACCATTCTTACACTCAAACTTCGAAGTTGTCTCTATCTCTTTCATTAGATCAACTAGGGGAAGAAGATCGCCATGGAGACCAAGGCGCTTACTAGTATTGCTATCATAGGCGCCGGTCCAGCAGTAAATCCACTCTTCTCTACTCTACCTATCTCTAATATTTCTCTAGGGTTTAGCTTTGGCTCTTTCTCTTCATATGCACGCTCCTCACATCAGAACATCTCTCTACGAGCTTCGCTCACCAACAACGTCTCTGTACGGCGCCGTCACCTTTTCACCCAATTCAATCCAAATTCTAGATAAACTCGGAGTTTATCAACGGATCAAAGACCATGGGTTCGAGTTCGAGGATATAGTTTTCAAAGACAGTTCCAATGTCACTACTGATGTCTACTGCATGGGAAAAGAACAGTTCGGCTATAAAGCACTCCGAGTTTATCGTCGAATTGTACTGCGTGAGCTACGAGCAGTTGCAGCAGACAGAGGAATCAGCGTCTTCTATGGCCGAAAGTTCTCAAAAGTGGTTGACGAGGGAGAAGAGGGTGTTACATTTGAATTTGAGGATGGCACAAGAGAGTCAGCGTCTCTTCTTGTTGGCGCGGACGGAATCCATTCTCCAGTTCGCCAGTACATACATCCTGATGCTTCACCGATCTACAGTGGTAACATGTGCATCACCTCTGCTGTCAAGCGTTCTCAATTGCGTCTTCCAACTCCATATTTTCCTCTACCGTCATCAATTAGCTCAACACTAGGTGTCGTTGTGTTGGCACCTCAAGATCCTGCCGGAGAAGAGATCCTCGTCTTGACCCAACGACAGCATCCTGAGCAAGACAAAGAAAAGTGGGATATAGTGCGAAACAACAAGCACAAGCTTCACTCCATCCTACAGACCGGCAAAGAGACATGGCCTGATGTCGTGCAGTCAGCCTTGGAGCATCTCGACATTCAAAAACTCTCAGTGTGGCCTTTCTACCTTGTTCCTGGGCTCACTACCTGGAAGTCGGAAAAAGGAGGCGTCATCATCATAGGCGATGCTGCTCATGCTATTCCTCCTCCTGCCGGCCAAGGCGCAAGTCAAGCTCTCGAAGACGCTTTCTCGTTCTCCTATCTTGTCTCAAAGCTATCAAAATTGGACGATAGGAATGAAGCGCTCATGAAATGGGAGAAGTATAGGATGGCGAGGATGGAAAGAGTCACAGAGCTAACCAGGAAGTTGAGCAACCGAAGACTCCCTGCGGAAGCACTGGTGAAGTTGTTACTTGAAGACGTGTTCGTGGACGGTGCAAAGGAAGGACAATCATGGTTGTACGAGCCTAGAATTGAGAAAACGGTCGACGACTTGCTTTCTAAGTTGACGAAAATATCGGATCCAGCAATTGAGTCGAATCTCGACTTGCTTTCTATGTTGACGACATCCAAAACGCCGGAGCCAGCAGTTGAATCAAAGCTCGCCGCGTCCTTGACTGCTGCAGCATTGATTTTGTCCGTATCTTCTGGGAAAGCAATTGCTTGAGTAGGCTAAGCTTGCTTTTGAATTGTGGCAGGTGGTACCGTGGACGACGAAAACGAGTGACCGTCACAACTATATCCGAAAAAACAATACAGCACTCGCTTATTTCGGAAGAATATATTGATAAAGGGGTATCCATTTCATCGCTATGAATAGCGCTAGATTTCATTAGTTAGCTACGTAGATTTTAGACTCAGGTTAGCGTGCAATTCGATGATCACTACCACGCATGACTCAAATTGTGAATTGATCCATGATACCAGAATAGCCTTGATTGTATTATGTGATAGATGAGGCATGAAATCGGCTACACTGAATGAGCTATTCCATGCATTTCGCTTGTTGAAAAGTTCAGAAGTAAGTTCCCGTGTCACATTCCGGGACGTATGTTACTGTTTCATCGATTACAAAAACAAACAGATGATCAGAGACGTAAACTGCTCACTTCATAGTTTATCTATGTTTCCTAGCTGCACTCTCGCTCCCGCAGGTTGTCCGGTCGGGACGACTTAATCCATCCCTCTGCCACAAGTCGAAAGCTGGACCTATAGATTTGGGTTTCCCCGGAGTTATCAGCAGCACAGAAGCTGCTCTATTTTGGCTTGTTATTTCCATACTACCTACAGTCTATAAATGGTTTTACCATGAGATACCACCAACTCATGAGACACTGCAGTTAATATTACATCAACAGCAGACATCACATTATGACTTGTATTTCTTTGATTTGTAAATTATTTGGTTTCCAACCAGACTTGACTTCTACCTAGGAGCCCAAACAGTCGTATGCACACCCATTCCCTGCTTCAGCCCAACATGATTCATGACCTCCGACTGCTCTACCCCACCATCTCTCTCGATCCTGTCACCGAGTAACGTTCCCTCATCGCCCACCTCACTCCTGATACTTCTAGTTCGATGGCTAGCCTCGCCTTGCTCCAAATCTTCTACGAAGACATGCACCTCCTGCTTCATATTAACCTCCATCCTCTCCCCAATCCCCGAATTCACAGCCTGAATTCCATTTCCTTTCGGCGCGTAGAGCTCAATTGAGGAGGAAACACTGCCTTTTCTTCTAGAAATGCCCGAGGAGTCGGACTGTGCGCTGGCTCGTTTTCCAAATATCGGGGTTGATGGTTTGTTGAATACTGGCCGTTGGAAGTTGAATGCGCGTGTAGAGGCCCCCTGTGGACTATCCTTCGTATATATTGATGATTTGGAGATCTCGGGAGTCCTTGGGCGGGTGGTAGAGGCAACGGCCGATCCAGCGTGGGAGTGAGCGTTATTGTAAACTTCTACAATGAGATCTGCCATGGCCATCTCGATGTTCAATTTTATAATATAAGCAACTGGGTGGAATCTTGTGCAAAGTCAGTAAGTTTCATTGGCTTTTAAGGAAGAAAATGTAGCATGGGATGGTGTGTGTCTTACTGCATATATCTACCAGTTCATACATTAGCATATTTCTTGAAAGTTTGTTGGTAAGGTTCTTACACGAAACTGTTATTTAAACTCATCATACTGATGATAAGAACATCCATACTCAACGATAAAGCAATGATGTATTTGTTGAACCTCACCAAACGGTCATATTTCTTGAGCCCAAGTGACACGAGCCTCTTTTGAATGACGAAAATAAAGTAGAAATTTAGAGCCGCGTCGATGACAAGATATATAACTTTTTCGCAACGGTCCCAGATGTTGTTAATCCTCTCAAAACGGGGAGATATTTGAAGGCGTGCAGGAATCCAAATGCAATAGACCGAGATATTGATTGCGGTGATAAAGAGAGCGACGGCGAACTTGATTCGATTGGCTTTCCGGTGATCCGGAAGAAGAAGAGCAATTCGATTTATGATGATTTGGAGAAGAAATTGAACTTGTAATGCCCAACATGTCACTGGGAATAGGTTAGATCAAGACAATCACGAAACTCCGTTTCGGCACTTACAAATCCAGAAGTAGAAGAGGAAGCTAGCCAGCGTGTTAGTCATGGCTGGTAAGCCACAGAACGATTGCATGCTTACCTAGGAGGAATGATTCCAAAAAGATGAAGCTAGCATAGAACAGACATTGCCAGGCAAACGAAGATCTCAAGCCATATCATCCATATATAGGGTGTATTAAGCCTTCCTGTTCCATACTTTCGTCTTATTCTCTGGGTCTGCTTGACTGCAGTCCACTATATGTACTTTCAGTATTATGGACAAATTGCAGATATTTCCACAGAAAATATAGAGCTTGTGTAGAATTAGCGGTAATTGGTATTTCTTACTGTAGTTAGAAACCCGACACCGAGCGTAAATCCCCAAGCAATTGAAGAAATTCTGATCGCAGGTATGAAAGTCAGCGCGTATACTTCATAGGATCTGGAAAATAATGGTCGATGTTCAGATGACATGAACCCTTAGATAAAAGGTAAATTCCACGAAAAGACCCTAAAATCCTAGGCGCAGAGAAGAATGAGATGAGATATGCTGGGAGCTAACTTACGCCAGATCGGCTTTGGTGACTTCCTGAAGAACGAAGTCCTTTCCAAGGAATGTGAGCATTTTGTAAGTAAAGACTGACGGTGAAGGCGAAAACAAGGTATTGTCAGCGAAGGCTCAAGCTTTCATAATGAAAGAAATTCTACTTGTACAAACTGTCTTCAGATGAGGAGTATCTTCCTAATAACCAGCGAAAGTGGCGAAACTTCTTGTGATGTAGTATGGCAAGGTTCCCTGTTTACATAGCACTTCAGGATCGACATGGTCTGGGCTAGTGCCATGTATCGCAATCATTGAAAGCTTGCTAGCAACATTCATGCACCCCCTACAAGTGGTAGACTTGAGTTTGTTAATACCTTGTCCCCAACAGCGCCGCGAATGCTCCACCTTGAACGCGCAATAAGGAAATACTTTTGCTCGATCCGTCACACCATGATTGATTGGATAGACGATTCGAAGGCGCGGGAAGTTTCATGGCTACCTTGCCGTATAAGTGGTACAACGACAACTTCAATGTCGGTGCGAGAAAGGCCAAACATTGTATTGGGTAGGATCAAATCCAGGCGACTGTTGTTTACAAGGGTCTATCTTGAAGTTAGTACTCGGAACGCGCACTAAAGCTTCCCTCAAACTCGCACGGCCGCCACATCATTTCTAGAACATGCACAGATTCATCAATCCTCAATGCGACTTATCCTGGAGAGTCGCTGTTCGTGCTACACCGCCAAAGAAACCGACTTGCAACTCAGTATATCCTCTCTAGAAGGACCCTTAGAAGTGAAAAAAGGTTGCTCATCTCTCAGGACGTCTAGCCAAATCCCTAAACCTTAAAAAGAAGAGTTTGGACCAGCATCCTCGACATAAATAATGCTATAAATTGACAAGCACTATGGTTGGCCATCAAAAGCCTTGACAAAATACATACCATGGGATATACATATTGCAAAAGCCTTGGCTTTAATCGGGAAGACCGATTCCAAACCACAGAGAACATATGTCCTTGAATTTCAACAGAAACGCAGAAATTAACATGTCTCGAACTGTACGTGGGCAACTAAAGACTAGTCCCTAGGCCAAGAGCACCACAAGTCATCTTTACCAGATGTTGACGTCCAGTCTGAAGACTTACGTGCAGTTAAAGATATGAAATTCTCGCAGAAAAGGCCCTTAAACATCGAGGCCAGAACAGTCACGAAAAGTCCCTAATACAAATAACACCCTCAGAAAGAGTTCTTTTGTTATGGGAAATGCTTGAATATCTGCTGAACTTGTAGCGCAAGAAAGACCCGATCATTTCTTGAAGGAAAACTCATGTACAGACTGAAAATCAAGAGAGTCAGACACAGGACAAGGCGAGCGCAAGCATGAATCTGAAAGATAGTTGCAGCGACGGGAGATGTGCATGATTCCGGAGGCGAGCACGACAACGATCCTTGAATGCTCCCGATCAACGACTAGTTCAGACGAGCTTTGACAATCTTAAGGATCGACCGTTTGTTTCGTGGAAATCAATATCGGTCTAAGCCAAAGCGTCAGATCGCTGTGAAGAAAGGTAGCCAGGAATGTAATATTTTGGATGCCCTTTGGACCTTGTGAGGTATAATCGATAGTTTCTGCTGTTTTGAGATCGTGTCCAAACCCCCAGAATGTGCAACAACCTAATTGAGAAGGCCCTTCAAAGCCTTTCCGGCCTTCTGAGTTCTTCTCTCGTGATGTTGTCGAAGACGATATGGAAAGTGGACTTGGTTGATAGATGTTCCATGGAACCATCCGGGACTCTACAGAGTTCAGGTCCATGGTTTTGACTTTTGCGAGTCGTGCAAACACTTTGCGGAATCGTCGAAGATCGGACAGCCGTAACGATGGGGACTCGAAAGATGAAGCAGAAAATGTTTGTTGTCGGGTCAGTGGCAAGACTGAGACGAAGGATTATGACTTTGTCGAGTCGATTGCTCTCCGAAAATAGCTCGACGTTTCCATCAGTCACGTCACGTGTATGCCAATACCGAAGTGAGTTCCGGAAACCGCCGGCCACGGGCCGCGCTTGATTCAATTTCAGGCCGAGGCACGCGAGGCTCTTGGGCTCTTTATTGTGAGGAGCTTGGGCCCGCTGGGGAGACGTCAGGACTATCAATTCGGTTCGAGATTGGCTCCAGAAGCACATGCAAATACATCGACAATAGGAATTCGTGTATAGAAGTGTTTGCATGTGAGCTGAAAGAGGAAAAGAAACGCTGTTGATACGCTTTATAATTCTGGATGAATCTGATCTCTTACTAATAGTGAATAACTGTTCCAAATGTCATGTATAGAAGAAATATCATCTAAGAGCGGCAAGCAAGCCTATCTTCACTGCTGGAGGACTTCTCCTGATCTGGGGTATTTCCCCACATCCACAAGCACAACAACCTCCATTATGACCCCTCCCTTCCACCCGAACCGATGCTGCTCTAAATCTCCGTCTGCCGAATCGCTCCCCCATTACCGGGCCATGTCCTCTCCTCCTACGGACGTTGGATGACATTTTGAATGGTCACTCATTCCTCGGTGACGCACATAAAGGGCTGATCTCCTCTTTCCCACCTGCGAATATACATTCCAGACCATCCCACCTCAGACCACAAAGAAGTCATAGATATCCATCACAGATAAATATCCAACATGGCTACCACAGACTCAATACTCCAGGGTGTCAATATCCTCGGCACGATCAATGACTCTCATAAAAAGATCCTCAGTAAAGACGCTGTTGCTTTCCTTGCGCTCCTCCACCGATCGTTCAATGGCACAAGAAAAGAGCTCCTCCAGCGCCGAGTTATTAGACAAGCGGAACTAGACAAGGGATCTCTGCCAGACTTCCTACCAGAGACCAAACACATTAGAGAAAACGATGCGTGGAAAGGAGCAAAGCCTGCCCCAGGCTTGATCGATCGAAGAGTGGAGATTACAGGACCAACCGATCGCAAGATGGTTGTGAACGCGCTGAACTCGAATGTGTGGACATATATGGCGGATTTGGAGGGTTAGTACAAGCGACAAGAATTGGCGAAGATATACTAATTTGTAATAGACTCCAGTGCCCCAACCTGGGATAACATGATCAACGGACAAGTTAATCTTTATGATGCGATTCGAAAACAGGTAGATTTCAAGCAAGGGGAGAAGGAGTACAAGTTACGAACCGATCGAACATTACCCACACTCATTGTTCGACCTCGAGGATGGCATTTGGAGGAGAAGCATTTCACAGTCGATGGAGAGCCAATTTCTGGCAGTCTCTTTGATTTCGGTCTCTACTTCTTCCACAACGCAAAGGAACTTATTGCGAGAGGAACTGGCCCATACTTTTACCTACCCAAGATGGAATCACATCTCGAAGCACGCCTCTGGAATGATGTATTCAACCTAGGACAAGATTATATTGCCATCCCAAGAGGCACGATTCGAGGAACGGTGTTGATTGAAACTATTCTTGCAGCTTTCGAGATGGACGAGATCATTTACGAACTCCGGGATCACAGCGCGGGATTGAATTGTGGACGATGGGATTACATTTTCAGTGTCATCAAGAAGTTCCGTCAAAACTCCAACTTCATCTTACCGGATCGGTCAGCAGTCACCATGACTGTTCCCTTTATGGACGCCTATGTCAAGCTTCTGATCCAAACTTGTCACAAACGTCAAGTCCACGCAATGGGTGGAATGGCTGCTCAAATTCCAATTAAGGATGACAAGGCGGCAAACGACAAAGCAATGGAAGGCGTCTATGCCGACAAACTCCGTGAAGCCAAGGCAGGTCACGATGGAACATGGGTAGCTCACCCAGCATTAGCAGCCATCGCCTCCGAAGTCTTCAACAAACACATGCCAACACCGAATCAAATGTTTGTTCGTCGCGAAGACGTCAAGATCGGCCAGAACGATCTCCTAAACATGAACGTACCAGGAAAGATCACCGAAGAAGGTATCCGCAAGAACCTGAACATCGGACTCGGATACATGGAAGGTTGGCTCCGCGGCGTCGGATGCGTACCTATCAACTACCTTATGGAAGACGCTGCGACCGCCGAAGTGAGTCGAAGTCAGCTGTGGCAGTGGGTGAAGCACGGTGTGCCCACCGCTGAAGGCAAGAAAGTCGACAAGGCGTATGCGCTCAAGTTGCTCAAGGAGCAGGCTGATGAGCTTGCTTCCAAGGGCGCAAAGGGGAATAAATATCATCTCGCTGCGCAGTACTTTTCTGGACAGGTTACCGGAGAGGATTATGCTGATTTCTTGACTTCGTAAGTTTCACTTTCATCTAATTCTGTTGCGAGTCCAAATGCTAACACGAAATTTAGCCTTTTGTATAATGAGATTACGAGTGTTGGTAGTTCTTCGCCTGCGTCGAAGTTGTGATGAGTTGGGAATTTGGAATTTAAAGCAAGATTGATATAGTCTTTGTATAATTGAGAATGAAATATGAACATATTCAAATTTGATTCGCGGTTTATGTCGTATCTAATTGTATAAAGTGTGCCTCGGTATCTCAATCCCCTCATAGCTTGTCGGCGGTTGGAGCTACATACCTAATAGTTACGGTGCGGGTAAGAGAAGCCTCCGACAATAGAGGTTGATCAGGTAGCGAGAATTTAAGATTTGCAATTGGGAGATAACTAAATATAATTGGGCACCAGTGGGTGACACAATTCTCTGCGCACCCAAGAACTTTGAAAGCGGATAACTCAGCACAACAGCGAGATATTATGTTTCTGGTAATATAGACTTATTCGCGAGGCTTAGGACTACCACTGGATGAAAAAATTATTACAATTGGATGTTGTCCCGTCGTTAAAAGATTACTTATGGTTTCTGGCTGCGCAGAGAGTTATGTCAACCCCTGGTGGGGCAGACGCAAATCGCTGTGAACTATACAGTAAATAGAAATGCTAGCCAAGTACAGACATCTATTTTATACAAATGTCAAATCTCTCTAAGACCTACGACATGGGCCAATTAAAGCCTCTTCACCCTTCGCTAATGGTATCGACAATTCTTCTACTCCTTTTTCTTGTACTCTGAAGGACCAATCATCAGTTCTGGTCGGACGAGCGCATCGAAGTCCTCCTCGCTTAAGGCCTTCAACTCCATAGCCGACTCCTTAAGAGTCGAACCCTTCTTGTGAGCATTCTTAGCTACCTTGCTAGCCATGTCGTAACCAATCTTTGGGTTTAGTGTAGTAACCAACATGAGCCTAGAAACGTGATTAGCCCCAAAATTTCCCATGCAGCTTGTTTGACTTACGATTCGTTCAAAATGCTCTTGATCTTGTCCTCATTCGCTTGGAGACCAACAACCAAGTTCTTCTCGAAACTAGCCATTCCATCGCTCAAGATGCGGATGCTATGTAGGACATTTCGGATGATGAGAGGCTTGTAGACGTTCAACTCAAACTGTCCGTTCATACCTCCGATGGATGCAGCTACGTGGTTACCCATGACCTGGGCGCAGACCATTGTCAAAGCCTCACATTGTGTAGGGTTGACCTTGCCTGGCATGATACTGCTTCCTGGCTCATTCTCTGGCAGAGCAAGCTCACCAAGACCACAACGTGGACCAGAACCAAGATACCTAATGTCCTGAGCAATCTTGTTAAGAGAACCTGCAAGAGTATTGAGAGATCCTGATGCTTGGACTAGCGCGTCATGTGCTGCGAGTGCCTCGAACTTGTTTGGAGCAGTCTTGAACTCGGTGCCAGTCATTTTGCTGACCTCCTCGGCAATTGCTTCTGCGAATCCTTTGAAAGTATTGATTCCAGTACCGACAGCAGTTCCACCTTGGGCCAGGAGACGAAGATCTGGAAGAGAAGATTCGACGCGCTTGATACCGAAATCGAGCTGAGCTACATATCCTGAGAACTCCTGGGCGAGAGTAAGTGGTGTAGCATCCTGGAGATGAGTACGTCCAATCTTGATAATTTTCTTTGCCTCGAAATCATCGACTTTTGCTTGGAGAGCATCTCGGAGAGACTTGATGGAGGGAATGAGTTCGTTCTCAATTTCCAGCACAGCGGCAATGTGCATTGCGGTAGGGAAAGTATCATTCGAGGAAGCACTCATATTGACATGGTCATTTGGGTGGACTGGCTTCTTGCTACCCATCTTTCCTCCCAGTATCTCAATAGCACGATTCGAGATAACTTCGTTGGCGTTCATATTCGACTGAGTACCGGAACCTGTCTGCCAGACAACCAGTGGGAAGTGATCAATAAGCTTTAGAGAAGCAACCTCTGAAGCTGCTTCTTGAATTGCTTTGCCAATCTTTGGGTCTGCCGAGATCGTGAGCTTAAGAGCATTTTGAGTAGATAGTAGAAAGCGTACCAAGTCCGTATTTCATGTTGACAGTCGCAGCAGCACCCTTGAGGATACCAAACGCTCTCACAATTGGTGGAGGCATGCGGTCTTGTGGCTGGTTGATCTTGAAGTTCTCTAACGACCGTTCTGTTTGTGCCCCCCAATATTTGTCTGCTGGCACATGAACCTCTCCAAAGGCATCGGTTTCTGCTCTTGTCTCCGCCATTTTGTATGAAGTTGCGTGGAAGTCTCTCGTGAAGCGGGGTTGTCTGGAGATGTTTGTGGTCTTTTGGGAGCTCCAGGTCAGGGAAGATGAAGGTGTATACGGGGATTGGGTCGCAACAGTCGACTTGGATCTATTCGAGGAAGGAGTATTGGAGAGAGTAGTCGCGCTCTTGAGGAGAAGGGCATTCGAAGCCCTCGGTCTAACAGCTGACAGCCCACCAGCTGCTCTTGCAGCACACGCCGAGCTCCGGAGCATATCGTGAATCTGAAAGAATGATTGGCCGCCGGGGCAGGTATGTATGTTTTAAAACTGGGTCAATTGGCTGAATATGCGCAAAATAGTCAAGAAATACACCAAAATGAGAAGATGAAATGTGTCCTGTGATATGTGCAATGAACAGGGCGCAATTGACAACGATATAAATCGGGCGGATGAAGCATCATCCAGAAAAAAATATCGCTGATGCTCTCGCCCGGCGGTGGATCTCCGGGGTTCGGGAACGCCCGGAACAGTGCTGACATGGGGTTGGACAAACCACAAGCGGCGAGGGGATAACCTCATCTAGAACTTTATGAGAGTCGTGTTGTACAATATTCTGTTTTTAACGTCGGCATCTTCAATTATCCTCCCTGCCAGTATGTCAGTAAACTCGAGTTCAAGACACCTGATAAAGCTTACTAATAAATGTTGAGATACCACATCTCTCAATAATGACCGGCATTGACTACATTGTGTGTGGAATTGTGATCAAAGGGTACTGAAATCAACCATAAAGCATGACAAAATTGTGTTGTTGGTCTCTCCATCTCGAACAGAGAGCTGGAAAGTATCGTTTACATATCAGATCTCTCTAGGAAGGTATTAAATTTCCTTCTACAGCGCTTAGGCCAAGAAACGTATCTTCGCTCTTTGTAGGAGACCAAGTAAGTCACTTTATATACCGCAAATAGCAACAATCAACCTCAGGTATGTAAAGACGTAGATTACTTTAAGTACGGCTCTAGATTTATTCTAGAGTATTTGTGCTCCTACGACGCAATGAAGTTTAAAACGTCCTCATTGAGTTGCTGTATGATTCGGTTAGAAGATTCTGAAGTCAATTAGAACACTAAACGCAATGAAGAGATCTGCTAACCATTTCCCATACACATGGAGCCATAAAAGTATCGTATACAGTGTGGATGATGGACTTAATATTAGTAGTCTTCAGATAGTATTAAAGTGTACCATTCTCATTATCATAAATCTATATATGTGACAATCAAGCATAGCCAAAGGTCTCAGCATGCACATATATGCCCTGAGCTCCTGTACCCTTATGTACCGCTCGATCGTCACTAATAGCTACTGCAGCATTTCTCGTACATTGAACCAGTCCAGCAGGTCCGCACACTACCACTGCCATCTCGCCGAGAGCCACCTCCGCTGTCTTCCTGATTATGTTGGAAACATGGGGGCGTCCGGAAAGGACCGCTATCCTCGAGTCAACTACTCTAGCTGTCTTCTGGAGACTAGAGGTTGAAGAACCTGACTCTCGCTGTCGCCTTTTTGATGCACAATTGCAAGGAGGCACGATGGCATCCTCATCTGTGATGACGCGTGTGCAACAGCAGTCCTTGTCTTCTGAGATAGAACTTATCTCAGCAATACTGCCATCTAAATTCTTCTTCTCGTCCACAGGACTTTCTCTGCCCGACGCTTGGGCATATTCCGTCAAATTTCCTCGAGTATCGCCGCCCTTGATCGAAGATTGACCGCTGGTCAACATGTCGTCACAGGTGACATATATGCTAATTTCCACCGCAATATCAAGCCCCTCATTTCTCAAAGACTCGACGTCTCTGATCACCGCCTCAAGCTGAGAACCAAACCATGCAACTGATGATTTTCTCTTAACAACCCATACGAATTTGATATAACGCGTCACGGCTCCAGCAGGTGTCATGAATCCAGAAAATGGAGAAGAAGACGACTTGGATCCTATCCATTGTTGCACGACGTCTCTCATTAGTGGCACCGTGAAGGTCGCACCAGTGGATCCTGCGATGAACACAAGACTGTCGAATTGCCTCAATGATCGGATCTTGGAGTAAGGACCTTCGATGAAGACCGATCGACCCTTCTGGTTTGCCTGTGATGAGGGTAGACTTGGCCAGACTTTCTCCGCGTATTTGAAGAACCTTCGCGTAGCACCTTTCTTCGCCCGTACTACAAATTCCAATTTTCCATCTTCCGGCAAACTGGCAATAGTGAAAGGGTGAGCAGATAGTGGTGCCAACACATGGCATGCGAGAAATAGATGTTGGCCAGCTTGCCATGTGATTGGGGGATTTGGGATTGTAATTCGAGTGTGGTTTTCGTCAAGAGGCTCAAATGTAGCTTTACAAGCTATAAGCCCAGAGCTAGTCTTGTGGAATATTGCCAGATTGTAGTAAAAAATGTACATCGTGCGAACAAATCGATCAAAGGCCCAAAATGCAAGAGGAAGCCAGATCCAGATCTTGTTCTCGTCCGGGATGTGAAAATAGAGAGCAGCGACGAAGCCGAGCCAGGATATAATATGTTGTACTACGAAAACTTCGTATGAAAGTTTTCGGATCGGAGCGAAGGATGATATAACGAGCCATAGCAAAACACCTCCTGCCGCGATACCTTTCTGAGTGAGAGGATCCGTCTTTATTTTCACCATAATATAGTCGTATCTATCCCAGGAGGTAAACCAGTATCCCATGTGGATAAGAACGGTGAAGAGAAGCGCTCTCGCTGTCCATCTATGAAACCAGCTTAGCCGTTCGTATCCCATGCCGCTCAAAAAGCCAATGATATTGCGCTTGCCAGCCAGCAAGACGATGAGTGGCATCTGACAAACAGCAATAAATCCTGAGCGGTAGCCTATGTCCTCGAAATCCCTGAAATCCTTGACGTTGAAACGGTAGAAGACGCAAACAACTATCAGTACGATATAGGCCACCATGGTGGTGATAAGACCAACTGGAGGAAGATAGAAGTGTTTGTTTCGAAACGATAATGGAGTGGAGTAGTTGGAATATTCTCTGATTGTTGCCGTAATTGTGGCATGACTTCGAAAGAAGAATGACTCTGGCTTCGAGGGGGACGGCTTGTTCTTTGACGATAACCTCTGATAGGCAATAACTCTGTTGAGGACATTGGCTATCGTAGCGGTTGCAATCGCGGCGCCGACGAAGGACCAGAAAATTCGTTGCATATGGAATAGGCCTGGCACGCCTGCTGCCATGGCCATCGCACCGCCATTATGAACATGCTGTCTCGCAGCAATTGACGCCATGTTATCAGATACTTCTTGTCGAAACAAAACCATATACTCGAGAGATCCGGCGAGTATAAAAATACCGTCCGTCACACCACAAACCAATGTCTAGTTTTTACCACTCATGAGAATTTCAGTAGTTTGAGCAGGACCGGTCATGTATTTCCAGTCTGTAGTTTTTGCTGCAGAAGTCGGCGGGAGTGTCAAATGGTGAATCGAAGGACGCTGTGGTGTTGGTAATGAAATATTTACAAGTGGGCGATGGAAGGATAGCAAACTTGTAAAGAGACACCTGCGAAAAGCGATAGCGTGGAATGCAAGAGGTTAATACAGGACCTCACAGCTAACGCGGCTACACCCACAGTCATACCAAACTGGAACTTACGGCTGGTGAAGAAAGAGGCGCAAACCTGCGCAGCATCTGTGAGTGGGAGCCAGGTGATCGGATCTCACTACCGTCTATAGTGAGGGCACAAAATCGCCTCTTTGACAAGGGACACACAAAAACAGTATTCCGCACTAGTCGATTGTGGAACATGCGCAGGATTGAGAATAAGATATCCCGCTAAAGTGGTGTACGAAAGTGTGATGGATTCACTAGAAGAGGGCATCGTGGATGAGAGAAAGTGCTTTTCTCGATAGGATGAGCATCTGACGCTGCCTTACAGGAATGACTGAATAACAGTACACCAAGGTCACCGGCAGCCATACGAATTGAGCTGCCTGACCAAAAGCAGCACCCACATTCCAGACACGAGCACAGACCAATCCCCAGAAACTCGCTCAAACTCTCTCACGCGCAAAATAATGCGCAACAGACCATTCCAAGACCCAGCGTCCTGGTCTTTCAGAATGCATAATTCTTGGATGCCCCAAAGCAGTGCCCGTCAGACTCAAACAAGCTCACGCTTGACTAGCCAAGAACTTCCAAGGCTCTTTCTTTCTTATTCCGTCTGGTATCCGCACGTGGGGAAGCATTTCTGTCTCTTCTTTCCAAACCCGCTCACGTCTCAGTCGCTTCTAAACCCGGGATCAAACTGGTGATTGTTACTCAAAGCTTCTCAAAACCACGCGATTTGGCTGCTTCTGTCGTATTAAATAGCACACGTCCGCCCATTCGCACTTGTCTTGAGAATACCATCATACATCTCATTCATCGACTACCAACAACACTTCAATCTTATCGGACATTCAGAGCAGCGCTCGGATTATCTTGAACGTCTCTCCATAGTTATCATACCTCAGCAAAGATGGATATGAGCAGTGTAATCAACGCAAGACATGGCGCGGAAGCGGAAACCGAAATGATGACGGCCTCCATGATGGAAATGGTGTTCTTCTCCAGCACAAATACCGCCCTTTACTCGTCGATGTGGGTGCCCAAGAACATTGGACAATACGCAGGAACTTGCATCTTTCTCATCCTTTTGGCGACAATCCTGAGAGCTTTGCTAGCGTTAAAGGCATGGAAAGAAGCCGCCTGGTTAGACGCAGAGTTCAAACGAAGATACGTCACGGTTGCTGGAAAACTTCCCAAATCGGAGCGCATCTCGTCTGATAGCAAACGGATGATCTTGACGGAGAATGGAGTGGAGGAAGAAGTTATGGTTGTGGCCAAGAGTGGTATGGAAGTTAGACCATGGCGGCTTTCTATTGATCCTGTGCGAGCTCTGTTGGATACAATTATTGCAGGTGTTGGGTGGCTCTTGTATGTTCTGCACTCATTCGTTTCGGTAATCTTTTGCTAACTCGATGCTAGGATGTTGTCAATCATGACTATGAACGTTGGATACTTCCTTTCTGTTCTTGGAGGTACCTTCCTGGGCAGTCTTGTACTCGGCAGGTACAGCAGTCGGGAATCTCACTGATACGAACTATACTTTACGAGAAATGACATTGGCGTTTGGGGAACTTGGATTTGCATAGTCAATGCTGTGCACTGGCGACTGGTCACTTGGATGGAGCAATCCATACTATGTTTTTGTATACTGGCAGTAGTACACTATAATAGATTTTTGCTGAATAATAGAGCATTGTTCTTCTTCACGGGAAGCTACATCTTGTCCTACCTGCCGCGTCACTCTTGATAATTTGACTCGTCTTGTGACTGTTTTGTATCTCTTATGAGGTAATGAATGTCCAGAATTCAGCAACAAGCGGTTTTGCTTGTTTTGTTTTTGCGTCGCACTCTATGATATCGCAAGTTGTGGGAAAATTGTACTTGAATAGTTTGACCTACCTTTTTTAGGAAATGACTAGAATACCAGGATTCCAGGGCAGTGAAGATTCCTCCACCCCGCCATCTTGCTAGGGAGTGGGTGGGGAATCCCGCACTCAGGGTCGCGCTAGCAGGGAGCTATAGACGCCCCGCAGAAACATGCTCAAATCTTCTCTCACGACAGCTCTTGGCGACACCCATTCGATGTCCCGGGACACACTTCAAGACAGGATTTGAAGAGCAGAATGCTGATGAAAATGGGATGCGAAGGCTCTTGTAATTGATGGTAGGCGAAACCAAGTATCCGATTGTCCGCAATTGCCACTTGCTCTTCTGATATCCGCTCATCTTTCACCGCTGCGTTTCCGTAACCTAGTCGACTCAGTAAGTGGGCAAACATCTAACCCACATTCCCATCTCTAGCTCTTTCGGCAAGTGGTATCTAGGAGCTAAACCGAGAGCGAGGTGAGGACAAGCTTTCTTTGACGCGATGGATAGTCGACCGTCCGAGCCCAAAATTGGATCTGAAACGAGAGCTTATCTGCTCAAAAGAACTTGCGACGAGTCTTTCACAATTGACTTCAAAGAATATACGAGCAAGGAGCCGTCAGATCCGCTGGAACAATCGCCTCTACTTATGGATGTTGAAACTGCTCCTCCACGCCGTGAGCAGGATGCTAAGCGAGAAGTAACATGCTCATATCGTGCTCTTTGTGTCTCCTTCTGGAAGCTGCACCCTCATATGCACGTACTCGGCTTGCAGATCGTAGGGGCCCATGGCTTGCTCCTGATGCTTAGCTTTGTACAGACAATTGCTCCAGCTTGAATGGAGCTCGTGAGCATGTTTTTGTTTTCCACAGAGCACAACTCCGGGGCTAGGTAGCTTTGGTCCCAGGTGTACTGCTCAAAGCTCCCGTTCCTGAGATGAGGCTGGCTTCCGTGCACGCTCTGGACTTGGCTGCAGAGTAAGGTGCGCATTGGGGCGTGGTTTATAAGGAAGAGCACCCCGCCATTTTGAGCTCTTTGTGTTCATTTTGTGTATTGCGAGCTAGTTTTCCAGTATTCACAACTTCACCTGTGTTTTGTCACACCAGAAACTTGCTCATTTAGTCAGCAATTGTTATTTAAGCTGTTCTTTTGGCCAATTGACCTTTACCCATCCTCATCTGTCAAGATACAAACAGTCAGGATGAAGACCACCATCACCACTCTGGCAGCATTTGCCTCAATCGCCTCCGCCCATTTCACCCTCGAATTCCCCACAGTCCGTGGATTCGACGAAGACAAACTCACCCAATTCCCATGTGGTTCATTTGACACCGCCGGCGTCAAAGGCCGCACGCCATTCCCAATGACTGGCGGAGAAATAGCTCTAACCATGGGGTAAGTCCCATTCCCTCCGTTTCCACAACCAATTCTAACACTACCCAGCCACGACCAAAGCCAGATCGAAGTCCTCATCGCCATCGGCAACGACCCAGGCTCCGCATTCAACACCGTAATCAAAAGCCCCATCTCCCAAACCGGTCTGGGCGCCTTCTGCATGACGGGCATCTCCATCCCCTCGACCCTAAACGTGACCGAGGGCCAGAACGCCACCATCCAAGTCCTCACCAACGGCGATCCAACCGGCGGTCTCTACAACTGCGCCGACATCACCTTCTCCTCGACCGCGACGATGCCGAGCACGAGCGTCTGCAGGAATAACACCGGTGTCACGGCGGTAGCCGCGAGCGCGGATACGCATCCTAATGGCACGGCGACGGGAACGACTACGGGGGATGCGTCGGCGACGAGTGCGAGTTCAGGCGCGAGTGCTACTGCGACGAAGAATGCTGCTGTGAGGAATTTGGGTGCGGAAGTTGGGGGGTTGGTGTTGGCGGGTGCGGCTGCTTTGGCTATTGTTTTGTAAATTTTGTTGTTTGTATATACCCGATTGGTAGATTTCTTGGGGAGAAAGAAAACGAAAATGAAATTATGAATACTTCAAATATGGAACGTCTCAACTTGGTCATGTGCGAATTGGAGACTGAGATTTCTTACCTCTTCTATGATAGTGGATAGTGAGACATGCGTTGAATCATAGGAAGGAGACAGGGCAGAGGGTTAATGTTCAGAAAAGCTACCTCTGAAATTCAAATACAAAGCGACATTCGAAAACTGTTGTGAACACTAGTTCCTACACAATTGCAAAATGACATGACTATAAAGCTGAGTATTGAACTAGGTGGTCGCTGAAGCTTTTGGAGCAGGTGTACTTGGTAGAGATAAAACCAATGAGTTGTAAAACACTTCAAGCCATGATCGATGGATTCCACACAACACACACGGATATGCATCACTCAATATTTCACATTCCAAAGTTGCCTAAATAAAAGCTCTAAAGCTTCAAACGCCGTCATATAAGGCATAGCCATTTCAACCCATATACACCACACACCAACCACCTATACACCCAACGACCCAATAAACACCCCCAAAAGCTCCCGTCCAAAAACGCCTTAACCCTCATCTTACCTACCCAGCCGCCATAATCGCCCTCCGAATCCCAATAATCTTATTAATATCCAGCTGTTTATAATCATCCGGCATATGTTCACCACTCGCAATGCACAGCACCTTCATACGTTTATCATAGCGTAGACCCGTGAGCAATTTCGGCGTGATGAGGAAATACTGGCTGGTATGTTCTCGACATGCGATTTCGACCATGCGTTCATGGACCATTCGCTCGTTTCGGGGGTCCATGCCTTGGTTGATTTCGTCGACGACTCGAAAAGGGGCGCGAGCGAGGGATTGTAGGGCGAGGAGATAGAAGATGGTCGAGACGGAACGTTCGCCGCCGGATTGGCGGTGGGCGTCCAGAATTTGGAGGGTTTCATTTTCTCTGTGGGATAGTTAGTGGTTGTAACTTGTATTTAGAATAGCTGACTTACCTGAACTTGACTTTTATCTCGATGGCCCAGTCGTTGAAGTCCTCGCTCTTGGCAACAGAAACTTCCCCAGCACAGCCTATCTGCTCAAAATTGTACGAGAAGGCGTCACTAATCTCGCGGATGAGACTGTCGAGCGCAGGCTCCCAGATGCTTCGAGTTTGCGTAATTTTCCTGTTAAGCTTTTCCAGCTTCTCATCCGCTTCGCCGATTTTGTCTTTCATCTTATCCACCTCCAGTTGGCGCCTTTCGAAGTCTCGAATGGCATTGGGATTAGTTGCATGGATGAATTCAAGTTTAGCTTCTTCGGCTACGATCTCGCGTTCCAATCCTTCCACTGTCAACCCGCGTTCGACTTGTTCAGCATAGTATTCCGCATTCTCTACACTGGCAGCGATCTCGTTACAAGCGGCCAGCGCATTCTTCGCCCTTTCCTTGACTCTTTGAGCCTCCCTTTCCAACTGAATGACTTGCTGACGCTCATCTTCCACATGTTGCCTGATGGATTCAGTCTTCGCCTCAAGCGAATCAGCATCTGACTTGGCCTCGATGTATCTGATTTCAGCCTCCAGCAGCTCTTGGTGGCATTGCCGAATTTTGACTACCTGATCTCGGTATTGCAGGGCAGCTTCGCATTTTTTCATAACGAATCCATCCTGTTGATTCAAGTTTCGCTTGACGCTGGCCTGGAATTCAGTAATGTAAGACATTTTGGCTTCCAGTTCCTCTTCATCACGTTCTACAAAAAATTAACTTCTCGTACCAATAGTTAAGCATGTGAGTTGCTTACTAATTTTGTTTGGAAGTGCCAAAAGAACGCTTCGAGCTGATTGTATCGCCCCCTTTTCCTTGGTGAGTTTCGCCTACACGCAACATTTTAGTATACTTTGAAACGGACATTGGATGAATGTAGCTTACAGCTTCTTCTTCGGCAGTCTTTGCCTCAGCCTGCAAACGCTTCACACTCTCTTTGATCTCACCAGCCGGCGCTCTAAGAGTTTCCCACTCTTGCTGCAGAGTATCTATCTCTGTCTGTAGTTCTCTTCTGGCCGAGACGTCAACAGGGCGATCGACCCAGTATCTGGCTGCTTGGACACCTTTCGTTGCGGTTGACACGGCAGCGTCTCCGTATTCAGCTCGTCTTCTTACAGTGTAATTATTTCGTCCAGCTGCAAAACTAACGATTTTCTTCGTCGCTAATATGGTGTTGTATTGTTCTTCATTTAGTTCGTTCAACGCTACAGCAGCTTTGTGTAAGCTTTTAGCAGATGTGAGCATAGAAAGTACTGTCTCCGGGCCGTCTATAAAGTCTAGCGCATAGCCATCCAACCCATATCTCTGTAGCTCTGAGGAGGGTATGTCTGGATGTCGTTGAACGGCCCCGTCCGCCTTTCTCAATGGCACAAATGCGAGTGACATGGGTTTGCCAAGGAGCTGCCTATTCAGTTTGTTGAAATCATTGTCTGTTTGTGCGGTTATAGCCAAAAAGTCGTCAGGTTGGAGGAGAGATTCAATGACGCTCGTGTATCTAGGGTCTTTTACGGAGCATGTTATCAAAGGCGGCCCATAAACTTCTTTTTCGAACTCGTCTTGGTGTTCTTGCACCCACTTCCATGCTTTGTGGGTTTCTGTTGAGACTGCCTCAAGCTTGTTCATTTGTTGGCCTTCGCGTGTGTCGAGAGCAGCTAGTTGCTGCTCCTTCTCCGCTTGTCTATTTCGATTTTCCGTTGCTTGCTCTCTGAGGGCTTCAACCCGGGATCTCAGCTCCTCTATTTCAGTATTCTTGTCTCGAACTTCCCTCCTTTTGGCTTGCTAACACAAAACATGTTAGCTGAAGGTCAATCAAATAGATGCAATCGACTCACAATCTTCTCGTTCCATTCTTGGGGGTCGAACTCCACAGGCTTCTCGTTATCAAATTTCGCTTGTAATTCGCGGATCTTTCTTTGCAACGCCTGTATTTCTTGTCGCCTCGCCTTGAAGGCTGAACGCTCTGCTTCGATTGAACTAATGGCCGTGCTGAGCTGATCATCTATCGCTTCCATCTTGCTAGCCACCCGCTGAGCATCGCCTTCCGCCTGTTCGACAGCCTTATGTCGAGCTTTCACCGCCGTAGCAATTTTGGCTTGATAAGCTCTCTTTTTCTCGGCGGCCTTAAGGGTGGGATTTACTTCAAGCTCTAATTGCCTGAAGCGCTTTTGGGAGGCCTCTTTCTTCTTCTTGAACTCCAAATGTTCTTTACGCGCATTACTATAATCCACAAATGGAATCGTCTTCTTCAGGACATCGATTTTTTCTATGACCTGGTTTCTTTCCTCTAACCGTTGGACTTCAGCACGCAGATTTTCTTGTCTACTTTCAAGACCAGTTAAGCGCTCCCGGTCTGCTTCGGTAGCTTGCTCCACGGTTTTTTGTTCCCTCCTGTACCTTTTGAGCTTCTCGTGTTGGTCAATCATTTCCTCTGGGGCCGCGGCACGTTGAGTTTGTAGCAACAGCTCGACAGCTGACATTCTGGAGAAGTGGGAGACTTTATCTTGGGGAAGAAATTGGCATAAGTTGTCGATTTGAATATTGTTACTCTTAACAAGGCTGTTGACCGCACCGGGGGACGACTTCTTCCCATCTATCCACCAGTCTTTGCTGTTACCTTCGCGAGTAAGTCTGACACGAACGACTCGGTTTCTTGGCTCTTCCGGCTTTTTGTATAATTCGATTTCGATTTCCGCACTACTCGCGCCATGTTTGACAAATTCGGCAAAACTTTCGCCTCGGCCGAGGATCTTAGGGGAAAATCCTAGTCCCAGACATATTGCACAGACAAGTGAGCTCTTTCCTGTACCGTTAGGTCCGATCACCATGTTGAGATTTGGTCCAGGAAAGAACTCGGCTTTCTCGTATGTTACAAAGTTTGCAACCTTGACACGAACGATAGCACCGGGTTGAAATGCTTCTGGATCGGTATGCTCTCCATCGTCCTCCGAATCTTCGTCTTCCACGCCATCATCCTGTGTTCTGCTACGCGGTTGGTGAGAGGGTGGGTTTGAAGTGGATTGTGATGCGTGATAGCCATTAGTGCGGGCACGTTTCGCTGAATTAATATCTGGTGTTGAGTTTCGAGTTCTTCGCATCGAATCGCTATCGTCGGCGTCTTCTATTTCAGACCTGGTACGACGAGAGCCACTCGTTTGCAACATGGCGATATCCTCGCCGTTCCGCCCGTCGTAAGTGCTGTCTTATTTTTTTTCGTAGAGAGCTCGTGCTGATAGACGCGACGCGACGAATTAACAGTTGGCGTGTCCACGTGACGCATAGTGAAGCTCTATCTTGGACGTTGGCCTTGCATATCAGGCTTGACACCTACTCCATCGCCAAGCATTGAGACGACGAAGTAACCTTGAGGAGCATCAATATTCAGCTTACGCAGACTTCACCTTACATTACTATTCAAATATTACCAGTCTGCTACATGAAATCTTGAGAATTTGGAATTGTTGTTTTGACACTTCTGGTCATCTTTCGTGCAAACGTGGTGCTTGATGGACCTGGGTGGCTTTTGTCCATTAGGAAGTTATTCTCATTAGACAATCAAAGCATGGAGCATTGAATTAGGAGAATGAAAGAAACTTTCTAGTGCCGATATTCTGCTGTTAACTTCTATCATGGCGGGGGGTGAAAAGAATGAATCCCATAGTTGTGAATCATGGTGGGGATAGTTGTTGACTGGTATATCACATCTTCAGCTTAAAATTGGTAAGGGTAGTAATTTTTTGTTTCAATTAAGCTGTTTATGTCCCTGTGTGCTAGACGGCTTCTCATATCTAGCAGACTAACATAAAGTATCGCAAAAGCGTTCCCAGAGAGTCAAGTGAAGCATGTGGAAAACCCAGCAAGTACTATAACTTCTTTCTTACTTAGCATACATCTAGCTAACACGACCCAGTTACACAAATAAATCTGAGTGTAACAACATTTATTTCAAACTAAATTCCACCAAATCATGCTATCCCAGCTTCAGTTGAGGACAGATAGAAAGCATAAGGTGCATACCTAGTATGCATAGAGTTCAAGACATGTTAAAATGCTCTAAATGCGGAATACATCAAGGCGCAGGCTTTGATAGGCCGATTTTTCCCCGTGAGTTCCGATCGCTTAAACGGCAAGCAACTTCTGAGATTCTGAGGTTGTGTTGTGATTCAATGCATTCCTCCCGCCGATGTATGCGAGGAATTGACAATGTCAACAAATCGTCTCCGCTACAGCACTTGGTCGCCAAAGTAAAGTGTCAGCTTCAGCATCTCCCTAGCTCTTAATCGAGATATACACTCGTTTTTTTCTTTGATTTGTTATTACAATTGATTTGTGCTCTGAACTTCAAGGTTCGAAAGTAGACTTTCTCTAGCTTCCAAACAATAAACACCAAGACACAAGACCGCGTCGCGTTCGACAAGCATCCACAACTCATACGATACCTCCTCATAGCACGTATACGACTGTGCTATATACTGACAGCTTTTGCAAATACAGATTCGTTCTGCTGTTCGTGACCCGGAACACGCTTCGACCTAGCCAGACAGGGGATCTACCTACGAGTTGCTTTGTTTACATCAGCCATCACACTACCAACTTGAGGCAGCGACAACCGGCTTCCAGAGTATTTTGGTCATGCAGTTATAGAACGCAAACTAGCTCGACTTTGTTACTATGAGCAACCAACTTCCACCTCGACCGCCGTCGCGTCGTCAACCTCTCGGAGAAGCGACTCGTAGAGTCAACAATGCTCAACAGCCGCAATCCATGCCACACCATGAAAGCCTCAAAGTTGATGGCCTGCTTCAGGTACACAAACCTTCCTCCCCATCTCCGCTATCCCAGGGCGAGACTTATCGCGACGCCTCGAGAGGATCTCCTGCGAACCCTAGGCTCTCTGCCATATCCAAGGATTACCAGGGAACCGATTCCAACCGCAACTCGCAAATATCCACGGTATCTACCAACGCTTCTGATGGTAAGCGCATAAAACAGTGCATTGGGCCTTGGAAGCTGGGGAAGACTCTAGGCAAAGGAGCAACTGCTAGGGTTCGGTTGGCCAGACATGCATATACTGGTCAAGAGGCCGCGATTAAGATTGTTCAAAAGAAGAATGCGATAATGTCTCAGGCTGGTAGTCTCGCTGATATCGCCGATACCACCGCATCGGATTTTGACGAGAGCTTCCGACGAATGCCTGTGGGCATTGAACGAGAAGTTACTATTATGAAGCTCATCCAACATCCCAACATTTTGAAGCTGTATGATATATGGGAAAATCGTACCGAGATGTAAGTTTTAGAGTTTTCAAGGTTTCGTAGGTATTGAACTACACTTACTAGGACGTTAGATACCTGGTCCTCGAGTACGTCGACAACGGAGAACTATTCGAACACATATCCACAAAAGGGAGACTTTCAGAGGCGGAGGCGGTCCGCTACTTCCGTCAAATTCTAAGCGCTGTCGGTTATTGTCATTCAATGAATATATGTCACCGAGACTTAAAGCCGGAGAATATCTTGTTGACAAGAGGTGGAGATATCAAGATAGCTGATTTTGGCATGGCCGCGCTACATCAAAGCCCAGATCACAAATTAAAAACATCGTGCGGCAGCCCGCATTACGCCGCTCCAGAACTAATTCGTGGTTCTAACTACCGTGGAGACAAAGTGGACATATGGAGTATGGGAGTTATACTCTACGCCACGCTTGCTGGAAGGCTGCCTTTCGATGTCGACGGAAATTCAAAAGATTGGTTACAGCCTCTTTTACAAAAAATTCGCAAAGGCCAATATGAAATGGCACCGGAGTTCAGCAAGGATACCGTTAGTCTCATCTGGAGGATGTTACAAGTCGATCCTCGGAACAGAATCAACCTAAACCAAATATGGAGACACCCACTGGTCAGAAAGTACGAGTACCTAGATGACTTGGGCAAAGGTAATCAGTCAATGTCGCCGAGCGCTATGGACTGCGCTAGGCCTGTCATGCGCCGAAGTGAGATTAACAAGGAGTTGCTCCATCATATGAGATCTTTGTGGCATAAATATACTGAACAGCAGTTGCTTGATGCTTTGCTAAGTGAAGAGTAAGTTTCAACTTCAATTGAAGCAATGATTTATCGCTATGGGGTTATGCTAACACTTCAAAGGCCCAATGAGCAGAAGCTATTCTACACCCTCTTGCTGAAGCACCGAGAAACACAACTCGAAAACTACATTCCAGATTTGGCGAGTTCAGCTAGTGACTACCACCATGCCAGACCTCTCGCGATGACAAAGACGTACTCTACTTGCAATTTTTCTCAAGTCAATACCAAAGGACGTGGACGTCAAGTCTCTCGCTTCACAGTGATTAGCAATGCAGCGGAAACAGAAAAGAGTTATGATCCCTTTAAAGCATCTCGACCCCAGCATCTAGACGCCATGCGAGAGGCTGAAGGTGTCAAAGTAGTCATCCATCGTGATCAAGATAGCGGCGAGGATGAAGCATCGCTCAAAATGCGTATCCCTTCCAAAAATTCTGTTAGCAATGCCAAAGACCGTGGCAGACAGAGGCCTGTTCACCCTAGAATGTACGCATCAAGAAGCTCGATGGCAAGCTCAAGCAGAAGTCGTGGTAGCGCCGTGTACTCGCGAGCTGTGATTGTTGGTCGCAAGCGTGGGGTTAGCTTTACGCATCTCAGGAGACTATCTGGTGAAAGTAGAGTCAATCTATCGAGTAGCCCACACAATTTCAAGGCGGGTCGGCATAGTAACCACACCGAGGTCACTGACGATGGCGGGGACATCATTCGGCCGGTAAATGCTATCTCAGCATCAGCGCAATACATCCGGTCGAAGAAAGGACAAATAGTGGCTGTGAAGCCGCTTCTAGCAGCGCCGAAAAATGGTCGTGGAAGTCAGATATGGACTGAAGATGTGCGACAACTAAGCACCAGTCTTGCCAAGGACTGTGATGAGGCTTTTAACAGAACATCGATCGTGCCCGGTTCTAAGGGGCGGAAGTTGAAGCGTGCTTCACTTGATTCTCGACCATTGCCACCACCGCCAGCTCGGTCTGATTCTGTCAAAATGGAACTAATGGAATATCGTAAGCAGGCAGAGCTACGAAAGCATTATGGAGGAGGTGGCTCGCCCGGCCATCTAGATCGTATGGTATCGCATTTCGACACTTTGATACAACAAACTTCTCCAACGAAAGTGGGTTCTACTCGGAGAGCAATTTCGACGCCCGTGGAAGCAAAACATAGAGCACCAGCACGTCCACTTCCCTCTATTCATGAAGCACGAGGTGAAGACACATCCCCTCGAAAATCTTCACATACTCGGAAAGAGTATGGCAAGCCTAGAGTTGAAGCAGCCAAGAGCAGCCGCATAGCATCAGCTCCTGAGCCGAGAACTGCCACGACTCAATATTCCGAGGACTACTTTTCAAAACAAGCTTCTCAGATAAAAGACACTATCCGCGTCGTGCCGCCATCTTCTCCTATGAGCCCGGTAAAAGTCCCGGCGCCTCTAAGTATTCGAAAGAAGAGTTCGAAGGGGGGCGGTGCCGTGCCTATGATGAGCGGTGGGTTAGACTACAATTCTGCTGGGAAGAACAATCACCGCACCTCTACATTGGAGCTCCGACAGCAGTACATTGCTGGCGGCGAGCAAGGACGATCTGAACTGGAAACAATAGACGAGCATCAATACAACACCCAGAGTGAAAATGTCGGTCATGACACCAGTCTAGGCACAATAGTTAGGAAAAAGTCTAGTTGGTTCAAACGAAACTCAAGAAGTGGCTCGATAGAATTGAAGAATTCGGAGGCCGCTTCCGACTCCTTACTTTCCGAGGCTTCGAGTAAGAATACTGCCGACGACTTTCACAACCCTCGTCCACTACCAGTACCAGCAAAGAATAAAGGATTCAGTTTGCGCCGCCTCTTCAAGAAACGAAATTCGAAGCCAGACATGACAGTTAGCCGTAAGTTTTTGATTAAAACTATTTAAAACGATCGTACGACACTGACACTATTTCTAGCTTATGATATTTACGACGACAATACAGACACTCAAGTCTCGATGGCTGACGTACAGCAGCAAGCGCATGCTGCTCGTAGTGCACATCATGATGATCCACGAGCCCGACAGATAGAACCCCAACAGAACTGGTTCGCCAAGCTATTCAATGTCAAGCCAGCAACAAAGTACATATGTTTTTCCGTCTCCAGACGGCGAGCTCGACAAGAGATTACGAGTGTACTGCGCGAATGGAGACGATATGGTATTCGTGACGTTCAAGTTGATAAAGAGCGGAATATCGTGTTTGGCAAAGTTGGAGCTAAGAATTGTAAGCACAAATTGTGTCCTCTTTGAGCTATGACTAACTGAAGACAGTTCTGGATATGAAAGAGGTCGCTTTTGCAGCTGAAGTGATGACGGTAATCGAACATGGAAAACGATCTGCTCTCAGTATCGCACGATTTACACAGGAAAGAGGTGCTGCGAGCAGCTTCCAAAAAGTTGTGGAAACAATGGAAAGCGTACTGAAGTGTCGTGGTATGCTCGTGTCTGACGACAGAAAAAGTAGAATGATGATCAAGACACTGAATACGGCATCTTGAAGACCGCGTGCGGTTCTGGGAGTTGTGCTAATATCTTCCAAGGCGATGTGGGCATCTTTGGTTGGAGACCGCAAGACTTTTACTATTTCGTTCAACCTTTCTAATCCCTTTTTGAAAAGCGATTTCTGCATAGGCTTGGGGTTTTGCGTTCAGACTTTGCTGGACCAGGAGGAATGCTTTGGGGATAGTTACTTGTAGGATAAATTACAATTCGGTCTGTTTTGAAGAGAGAGGTAATCAGAACCAAAGGGTTGGGGAGTTTGGAGAATTGTTTCGAAGGGACGAGCACTTTACTGTTTCGTGCCAAACTCATAGATTTCGAAATAAAAATATGCTTCAAAATGTGGAGAGATTCGGATCTGTTTTCTGACGCTGAATTTCTGAAATCCCGTTACCATTCTCATCTGGACTCGGAAGACTCAAAGTTTTGCAAGCCTGCCCCATTCATCCGATGCTGTACAACAACAAGACCATCGATGTTGCCGAATGATAGAAACAATAAAGTGCCACATATAACCACATGAGCGGGGAGCGTCCAAGCAACTTACATCTAAACAGCAGCCCAGAAACCTGCTTCAAAAGGCAGAAATCTCCTTCAAAAGGCCCATCACTTATAGTCCAACTACAAAACTCATCACCATCTTCGCCACACACCAAACCGCAGTACTCCTAGATATCCTAATCCCATCCCATCACACGAAACTCCTCGTACACCGTACACCGTACACCTCGACAAACAGAAGTGGTGTGGGGTGCCCCCCTGACGCAACTACCGGACCGGGATTAGATAGGCACAAGCACAGGGCGCTTTTTGCTGTTCGGGCTGTGTCGTGTCTCGGTACTTGGGGTGGACACGACAGCAAACGAAACGCCAGGAACGCCACTTTTCAACGGCTATCGCGAGATTTTCTTGGGGGGGCGTGGTAGGTGGTGCAGGGGAGGGCAGGGGTGCGGGAGGGTTTTATACATTTATTATTGGTAAAGAAGGAGTTTATTACTTTCTTTAACACATCCTAAATGTTAACGTTAACAACACAAACATCCGCCCCAGACCCACACCACACCACACCACACCACAAACGCAGATCCCATCCTACACCGCGTGTCAAAAAGCCGGGGGGGGTCGAGGGCGGTCATACAAAAATTCAGTGGAGCCACATGAAAATGCCCACCGAACCAACCCGGCTACGGGCATGTTGTGATTATGATGGCATTGTGCAGTTCAGGCAGGTAAGGTACCTAATTTTGGTGGAGGGGAGGGCCGATGTGGTGGTGGTGGCTTGGGAGATTGTTTATTTGGACTTCATGTCTTCTTTTTTCCTCTTTCTCTTTCTCTCTTTCTCGTTTTCTGACCTTGACCTGGTTTTGGGATCTGGAGTGAGTCTTTGGGAAGTCTCCTTATCTTTATTCGTTGGCATTCTCAAAATCAGCAAAACTTCCTCCAACAGGGCCCGGCGTTTTTCGTTTGCAAGTCGTCTGAACTTGCGGTCTGTACTTTGTTTAATCAATCTGGTCTCTTCCTTTTTGGCGCCTCACATAACAGAATCGCAGAATCGTCAAACTTGAGCAGTAACAATCATTCATTCATGATTAAACTTATGTCCCCTCGAAATCCGCCCAACTCAACTTAGCTATTGTAATACAAGTATAAAAACAGATGAGTCCGTCTTTCCCCCAGATCAGATCATCGGATATCTCAAAAGATGGGCTACTCAAATGCCACGAAAGATAGCAGAGAAATGGAAAAATGTTGCAAAACCCGATTGCCGTGGAGAGGTATTCCCTTCCATCCATCGAGCGGTAACCCGAAGCCCCAAACTTCCCAAGACGGCGAGAGAAGACGCATTGCATCCCGCAAACACCCCCGCTAACCGCAACTCCAAAACGTCGTCGAAATATAACCGTTCAAGCTCCCGGCGACCTTAACCTGGCCCGTCTTGCAACCATAGACAAGATTTCTGATCAAGTCAATCCTCAACGCCAAACACAATTCCGGTTTCGAAACCCCCATTTTGTATTACAATCCGAAATTTGCGCCCCCCGTCCAAACACCTATTATTGCACAAAGAGCGAGCATGACGACTTCGTGTACTGTCGCAACTTTGCCCACATTTCATGTATGGCTCAATTTGCCTTTTTGATCTCCGGACTATGACCCTCGGTCGAGTCACTCATCACTTCGGACTTGTCAACTGGTGACTGGCTTCCAGTACTAGTATTTGCGGTACCATTTGTTAAGTTCTTTCCACATCCCTTGACCAAGATATGTCTCTGTTCGTTCAGTTAGCTTTCTATTTTCAAGAGAAACCACCTCCAATTACTGCAATTTAGAACCGGATCAAGAACGAACCTTCAATGCGTCTTTACGCGAGAAACTCTTATCACAATGTCCGCACGGAAAAGGCTTCACAGCCAAATGGATTCGCTTATGTCGTTTCAAATCGTGATTTCGATTGAAAGACTGTGGGCATAGATCGCATGTGAAAGGCCGGTCATTCTGTGGCTGTCGCTCAGGATGATGTCCATACATCGGTCCGCTCATCTGGTGTGGTGGATATTGCATGTTCATCCCTCCAACGATCGCCATCTGGTTTCCCGGGTTGTGGATATTCGACATGATTGGACCGTTCATGGCAGGTAGGTTGAATCCTCCATAAGGCCTCGCTTGGTATCCTTGTGGTGCGGAAACTGGAGAAATTCGGTTGATCGGTGCGGATGATGAACTTGGAGGAGACTGTTGGGTTGGCGATTGTTGGGTATATGCAGGGAACGTGGATTGTTGGGGTGTTGATGAAGGGGTGTAGTACGTTGGGGTAGGAGGAGGACGACCCCCATATTCCGGCGCGTGGATTGGTCCTTGATGTGGTGCCTGTGACACGTGGTGGGTGTTATTCAGACCATTGTTATTCAACTGTTGAGGGGGCGGTGGCGCTGCAGAGGGTTGTTGGTGTTGCTGATGTTGCTGCTGCTGCTGTTGTTGCGGGGCAAGAGTTGGAAGCTGTTGCTGCTGTTGTTGTTGCTGCTGCTGCCCGCCGGAAGAACTCATGCTCGTGGGAAAAGGAGGAAGACTGAGATCGAATGGAGGTGGGGGAAGTCCTTCTCCTGAAGTAGGAGAATTCGTGCTCCGATTCTGGAAATTTGTTGATGGTGAGTACAGTGGCCGCCCGTTCATGAAGTTCTGCTGTTGCGCGTACGGAGCAGGCATTGGTGGAGCTGAACTGTAAGCATAGGATACCGGGTTATGGATATTGTTTGCAGGCCCGGGCCAGTATCCCATCGGTTGATATGGACCAACACCCGTTGCTGAACTCCCCGAACTTCCACTATTTACGCTCGACAAAGGACTGTGTTCGTTTGGTAGGGCCGCTGGAGGAGTGAGAACGCTGCTCACCGAAGGGACGGGCGCGGAACTGGTAGGCGCGTATGCTGGGTACTTGTTATGCATTCCTGACTGGAGATGATCCGGGGGCGGTAGCTGGAAAGTCGGTAGATTGGAGGCGGCGGCCCTTCGAGCTGTGAAGCTCTGGGTCTCCATTGCAGAAATGGCTATTCAAAACGATGTCGGCGAGGAAGACTCGGAGATGTTTGGCGACAGATAAAGACGAGTAAGCTGCGCGCTTCCTTTGGTGGTGAGGGCAGAGGTGCCGACGCGAGTGAATGCTCACAAAGCGAATTCCGGTTTCTTTCTTACTTTCTTTCTTTCTCTCGTCCCGAACCAGACCAATTGCTGTATCACTGACTTGCTGTATCACTGACTTCCTGCACGCAACACACTCACGACGCGACTGGAAGAGTAAGTTCGAGGTTTGGTGTTTCTCCAGAGGTCGGTGTCCACACAGTTGTAGAGAATGTGGAGCGTCGATCACCTGGATGGCGGCCGGGGAGGCGTATATATGTAGCTTATTGGAGCCGGGGGGACGCCTCGACAGATGATGGGGATGGGATGGGGGACGGGTGGCTCGAGAGTTTGAGGTCGAGGCTGGAAAGTAAGTTGCTTGAATAAGAAGCAGAAAATAATGACAGTCCAGGACTAGCCAGCAACGACTAGGACAGGGTCGAGTGAACAGGTCTTTTCGCTACGGAGCTGCATTTTCCTTTCTTGCTTGTTGCTGGGCTCGCGGGGGGTCACATCTCAGGTTCCAAGGCATATCTACCGGGGGGCAGCGAGGAGGGGGGAGGACTAGAAAGGGCTGCCAGGCCTGCGATAGAGTGGACGAGTAGGCGTAGGCACTGCGTACTAGGTCTAGGTTCAAGTAGGTAGCGTGCAAGGCTATAAGCTTTACGCTGGCTGAAGTTGGCTGTTGCTGGCGCGAAGTGAAGAGGGGGGAACGGTGAACTGTGCTGATTGCGCTGCGCAGGGGTGCCAGTTGCATGGGATCGTGGGATCTGGTTCTGGCTCATCTGGCTCGGAGTAATCCGGTCGACGGTAACCGCTTGAGTGATAGCTGAACTGTGCGGGACTGTGCTGGACTATGCTTGTTTAGATGATTTGATGATTTGATGACAGTCTGCAATAACATCTATTATAATACCCTTATCCCCTCTCACCCATGATGAGTTGATCAAATCATTCAAGTGCCGTCTGACTGGGAGAGCAGAGCATGAACAGAGGAAGACGAGAGACGCTCGCGTAAGGTTAAGATTGCTGCTGAGAACCAGCTGCTGCGAGGGAAATGCGAGGTAAACACGCGGGTGTCTAGGATCAGATGACCGAGACGGACCGCCGCGCGATAAGACAGCTAAATGCGAGAACCGAGTCTGAATGTTTCCAGCTACCTGGGAAATTAGCACAACGATTGCCTTGTAATAATACGATTACAGTATCTTCGTCTAGTACTAGAAGACGACGACTAGTACGCATCGCATTACGAGCTCTTCTTCTAGCTCTTCCTCTCTACCACTCTATCTAACTGTCTAACATCCAAGAATTTCCTCAGCGTCCAGAGTCTAGACCGCCGCTTTTCGCCTCCGCCGACCCTCCAAACGTCGAGATGGGGGTCCAGCAGGGGCGCGCATAGTGCTCCTCCCGTCTTGCTGGGAACAAAAATTATTGAATCGACACCACCACCACCACCACACGCTTCTCCGCATCAACATCAACCCAAGCATTCCAGCACTCTTCACCTCAATCCGGCTGCCCAATACGACCCTTACCATCTCATCGCAACGTCAACACGGTTTCCCGCCCCGATATGGATGCAGAATCGTGGTCAGCACCACTACCATTGCTTACCAAACTTCAACCTTCTCTCTCCTTGCAACCCGACCACGCCGGATTCGGACCAAGAAGTATCGGGTCATGACTTTACGGATTCCACGATTTCCGCATATAGCAACTTTCCTTTTTGCGGCTGGATCAAATGAAAAGCTACTCGATCGAAAAACGACGGCTAAGATCAAGAACGAAAACTTGGTACGGTAGCCGACGCGATGGGTCCTCTCGAGTCAAACATCTCAACCAGCCTGGCATTTGCCCGGTCGACTCGTCCCGTCGTCGGTTGACCATCTGCTTCCCTTCCTTATTTTCTCCAGCGCCGTGGCAGCCCAGGCGGTCATTCGTCCAACACCGGGCGTCGCTCCCGTCCCCGAGTTTTGTACCTCTGGGATTGGTACGCTGCGTCGCACCTCACCTGCAGTGATGTCGCAGGACGCAGTGACCAGTGTGGTAAGCTGTCCGACGCCATATCGATGCATGCAGCCCATGGGGTTCCAGAGGCTTTTCTTGGCTGCACGCCCACGAGCTAAAATGCAGCCAGATGCCCAGGAAAAGCTGTCGCAAGGACTTGCCAGATGTCGTGCGGGATGGGCTGGCTCATGGCTGATGGCTGATGAAATCGACGGGAAATGGGAGACCACATGCACTATGGATGGATAATGGAACACCGCTCAACACTGTCGTGGGACGATCGTACGAACATATGCAACAGCCGTCAACACCACAAGAACAGTGAGCACACCCGACCATGCACAGCACTCCGAACATTCTACCGTCGTACAAACAAGGAACCAGGTTGTAGAGACGATGCTCCTCTGCGTTTTCACCCAGTTTCCCAATAAATGGGTTCCATTCAACACGGGAAGCGCGTGATCATTGACTATGATTGGCCTGTCGCGTTGATGAAAAGCTTCCCTCGAAGCAAGCACGCTATCGCTATCAGGTATGCTTGCAGCTTGGGAATTTTGGTAGACGTCAACTGGTCTCGCCGGATTATCTCATACGTTTCTGTAATGTTTATTGGAAGACAAGAACTACTTCTCTGCAGCGAAGCATCTCCAAGCTCGCACGCTACTACTGCCACTTGTCCCCGACTGCACGGCTCACACATTTCACAAAAAAAAGTGGTGGAGAAGCATCTTTTTGCGCGGGGAAGAGCAGCCAATATTGACAAAATGGGTTAAACGGCATCGTGAATGGCACATTTAAACTCCTTGCCCTAACTACAAATCTCTTAGTTGACGCCAGAGACGGGACACCTTGGGAAATCTGGATTGCTGGATTGCCGGGGCCTCTTGCAGGGCCTTTTTATGACACTCGACAACCACCACCGCAAACACAACCGCTGTATGGACTGTGGGATTGTTCATGGGTTGAAAGTCATTGGCTCTGTCCCAAATGGTCGCCGAGGTGCCAGAACCGAAATCGAAATCGGAAAGCAGCGGTCTCTGCCCAGACACATCATATATGAGATCAAGAAAAGAAAAGAAAGCATGCTTGTCATCTATTTCACTGCTTCGCCTATATTCAGTGTAACGACATTAAAAGCACGAAAGCCTCTTTTCCATGCTTCGTCGTTGGTTCATTCGAAGAAGCGGAATCTTGTTGAGGTCGGAAGCCCACGTTGCGCTGTAACTACCTTGATTGAGAAGTTGCACCTCTGGGTTACCAAAACCGAGGGTGCGGCTTGTGGGAAAGTTATTTAGGCAAGAAGCTGTAGGCCTGCACACTCTCACTATTAGCCTGGATCTCTCGCACGACTCCTCGTGTTGAAAATAACCTCGTGGGACACCAGTTTTAACATCCGTATTTTTGTTAAAACGTGGACTGTATCCAGCTAGCGGAAAGGAGTGCTCAAGACAGCAAAATGAGGTCTGCATGTGGAACAATTTGCTAATGCGAAAGAAAATATTACGGTGTGGGCAAATTTGCGACCATAACGGGAATGTCGTTTATTTTGGCTCATCTTGGATCTGTGGATGGCCAAGTTCCAGTTGAGCACGGTCTAGACCTCTGGCCGCTGGCAGCGACATCTTCAGAAATGTCCCCTGTAAGCACGGATCATGGATAGGCACGACAGGAGCATGGACAAATGACCACATGCAAGCCCGTCCCGAAGAGTTCCTTGAGCCTGGGAGATCTTTGCTGTTGTACCTGGAATGGAATAAGCAGTCCCTACGACTGCGAGTCTGTGCGATTCTGCTGGTTATCACAATCAAATCGACATCCATGGACCGACAAATGAAAATGCACACGGAAGTTTGCCACAGAAGTAATACACAGCTCGTAATCCGGCGGTTCATGGTTCCGAAGCTACCAGCTTTCGGGGACAACTCCTTAGACTTACAGATATGCGGGTGTCCATGTCCTGAAAATCTGTGGGAGTCAATCAAGCTCGCCTAAGGCTCAAGCTCCCATGTTCCCCGCGGTTGATTTTTGCGATCTGGATACAGTATTATGGCGCGGGCAACGATGTGCAAAGTTCAGACGAAGGGTCAATAGAATGTGTTGCGTGCGATACTCTAGATGCGGCGGGTTTCCTTTAGAGATCAGGGAGACACATTTCCAACCTCGTCGTCTCCGGAACAAACCCATGTGAGAGGGGTACACGGTACGACCCAGCTCCAGGACACAGGGGCCGAGTGGATGGCGGACGCCGGATGCTCATGTTCTATACTCGAGCACAAGAAACAGCAGTATCAACCATACCTCCGTACCTAGAGGGAAACGACCCCTAGGGTTCTTGCATATGTTACAGTACCGGCCACCAACTCACGGCTTTCAGCCTTCTTACCAGCTCTCTGGGTACTCTTCGTGTGCCATTCTGTCGTCCCGGAAACTCAACGTCGTGCGGAAACTCGCCTTTTTGGCGCGATGGCTTGAGATGCACCGTTGACTTGATACTTTGATGGTCAGTCAACCGAGAAACGTCTACTCACTTCGAATAATTGCTCCATAATTTCAGAACACATTTATGGACTGTGCTGGGAATATCAGCCTTCATGACAGGGACCGTAACAATCCTTGATAAGCCGAAGCCTCGCATACGCCCACAGACAAAAATGATCTGGGGGCGCTAGTTAGCCGTCCCCCAGAGAAACCACGCAGAGCCGCATTGTCCAGTAACAAGCCACCAAAACGAATGCACGGGAAATGTTCACGTTTATCCGCAAGTTTATAGGTCAGGAGTCAAACTCTTTAGGAGATGGTGTTGTGGGAATAGCCAGAGCGGCGTTCTCCATCGACGCCCATACATGTGCCTCCAGGGCCTCCCCAGTCGATGGCTTTTATGCATGCACACCTTGATTCAGATAAGATTCAGCCATCAACTGGCTCGGAATGAACCACTTCTGACCGTGCATTATACCATTACCTCGCTTCCTAAAAATAGGTTTATTGATAATAAGCGTAGTCAGCGATATTGCTTTCTTGGATCATCAGCTCGAGCATCAGACTACTCCGTAAGTGCGACTGAAATATTCCCTTCTTGTAGTCTGTCGAACTCTTTTGTAGTCACTTTCTGTGCTGATCGTCATTTATGGCACAGCAAGAATATGCACCAAGCGCTGGCATCTTATTTATCAAGACAGTTCATTTCCTCGACAGAATTTCAAGCATTTGAGCCATCCAGATCAAAGTGTCCACTGTAAAATCACCCGCAGCTTGTAGACAGTATCACTTCAGATTTCCATTCACTTAGGATATATTTATAGTGGCACGTCGCTTCGTGCTCTACGGTACTTCGTCCGAAGATGTACAAAGAGAGCCGTGCCGCATGGTGTTTCCGGAGGCAGCTCTGAATTTCCGACTTACCCTCCGTCTGACAATTTTCAGACAGCTGTTGAGAAGATCTTACAGCTGAGGGCTGAGGGTGTTCAGATGACACCCATCAGTTCAAAGCTATGTTTGCTTTTTTTCGTTACCCCTCGCTTGAGCATGAAATCAATTAAACGGATCTCCTTCAAACCTCATAGGCTCGGGGTGTAGAATTGTCTGGTAGAACCGAAGAAGCAGTGCATTACAAGTTTGTGGAAGGATGAACCTCCGAATAACTGTTATGCTTTTTAAGGTAGTTTTATTCCGAATAATGGAACGGTTCACCAGCAGAGCAAGCCACCGGCATGTTCTTCAGGTTCGACAAGGCAATCGGCAGAGTCGAGAGGCGCTAGAGATGGAGAGACTTGACAAGCTCGTGCCTTCAACCACGCAAACGACTGGAGAACAGCTCAGTGGTATTGCCTAGAGTTATTGCCTAGACTGCGGATATCGGAATCTTTAGCGGCCCACAAATATAGGGTTATAACGATATGGCTTTGCCAACTCATGAGTGTTACCTCGCTTTGGAGACTTGATACTGTGAATCGTACCGAGATCCACACCAATGTACGGGAGATTTCAAGCTAAGGCAAATACACATCTCAGTGTGCTTCGGGAGGTTTGTTAACTCACAAGATCGTACATGTTACAAAATTACCGGAGATTTGAGCAGACTGAGCCTGTGATTTGATCCTTTCCAGTAGAGCGGTGACTTCCGTACGGAGATATTGAAAGAGTACTTCAGAATACTAAAGAGAGGCTTTTGCAAGCGAGTGCTGTGGTGTGGTGTTTCTTCCTCCTATTTTTGTTGGCTTTAGTACCACACCGCATCCAGTAACGTCTTTGAGATTTTATCAATGTATCACCTTAATTATCAATACCTATGGCCGGGAACAAAATATCGCGTTACGATTCTTCGACACAATGACAAGAAACCAAGGCGTATTTCTTTGACCGAGGGCTGTATGCTTTGTCATTCCGAACAAGATGTCTCTGCAACATTTTGAGCTGGCAGCCTCAAAATTACTCGTCAATCTCTATCAAGAACTTTCTTGAAGCAACATCAATTTACTTACCTAGGTACCCAACTCTCTACTTGAACTTAATGAATTCCAACCATAAAGTAACGTGAAAATGTGTCGACATCACGGCATTATCCGCGAGTGTGGTCATGAGATTTGGTATCATGAAGGCTGCAATGCAAAGCAAGGTGTACAATATGCAGAGCCCGAGAAGGTCCGTCTAACTGTAGACTTTTTCTGTTACTCCTGTCTCGCCAACCCAGATAGGTATGTGGTGCCTTCACAATATCTGCGCAAAGAGAATCTCACAAACGGCAAGGCATTGTCAAAGTCGACTTTGCGTGATGCTAAGACCTTTTTGGACGCCCCTACGAGGCCTGGACAGCCAAAATGGGCTATAAGTCAAGGAGAATTTGACCGAGTCTTACTCACTCGTTCAAATTTACAGGCACTTCTCATTAGAGATATGTCCAACTCCATCATCGAGACTGGAGACATTTGGCCGTTTGAGGATTTCGAGCTTCCTGAATATGCTCAATTACTATCTCAGCTTAATAAAGTAGTAGAGCCTAGCTTGCTGTTCCGTAATGACTACTTTGGTTTGTTTAGAAAGACTAAGGAGCCTCAAAGACTTGAGGCCTCGAAAAAAGGCTCTAATCTATTGAATTTGTCGGTGTTGGTTTATTCAAAACCGAACAGAAATAGACTCGAGAGCAGGATATGATCAAGAAACTTTCTAGTTTGTTTCCCCTTTCCTGAGATATCACTTTACAAGTAGATTCGCCTCCCTCCTGATATACGAGATTCGAAGTCTACATCCAACGTCTCTGCCTTGGAGAGACCATGACGTTGTGCATTTTGAATACGCTAAATATTATGCTCTATTATCCTTGCTTGATGTAGACTATAGAGCGTATTGTCAACTAGCTGAATTGAGACTGTCATTAACAAGCTAAAGAAAAGTCGACTATTTGCAGTAGACTAAACAAGTGGTAAGTAGAACATCCTAAATAGCTGTTCAATATTTTTTAGTTAGCCTAGGTAAGATGAGTACTTCAGATATTAACAGGGCTCGAACGAATCTCGAAGACGTCTTGTGCTAGAGAACAACAGAATGAACACATGATGCTTCATCAAGGCCCCAACTTCCCCAGAAAAGAAATCATGTCTCTACTACCAAATCATACCGTCCACCACCAGCTTAAATCCATACAACTCAAATCCCCCTTCCAGAACACCCCAACCCCCTCGTCTACCACTACCCAATCCATCTAGCTCATCCGTCTCGCACCAAATCCACACACCAACCCTAACCCCAACGCCAAAAATCCCACTAACCCATATTTCTCCGACGCTTAACTAGCATCTCGGCCAAGCGCCTAACCTTAACATTCTAGACCTTGAACGCAGTCGGTCGGGCCGACACGGAGAGCGCCTACATGGGAGGCGGGGAGGACCGTTGATTGATTGTTTGGGTTTTTTCCGGGCTTGGGAATGTGGGTTAGTATGGGAGTTAGTGGGATGATGAAATTTCGAGGTCCATGATCGGAGATGATGAGAGTTTGGGAAGGAAAAATTGAGATGTCGAGTCGTATTCTGCGAATGACTGTTTGAGTGATTGTGTTACGCTATCGATGAGGGAGATTTCGGACCACGGTCGATAATAAACCTCCTTTGGAGCTAGGTCTAGTTAAAGGCACTGTAAACCATGTAGGTGTACAACGTGTCTAGGCGGTTTATCGAATCGATGTCCGCTAGGCGTTGGTTGAGAAGACTTAACATTGTCTTTGAAACTTACAGAATCTTGAAACTTTAGGGTTGATGTTTGAGATCTCGATTTTTCTGCAAAATGCGCAGAAAAATGTGTAGAACAGAGTCACCACCTACTCAAGCTCACAAAAAGAGATCGCAATTTACTCGTATCATAAACGTCAATCAAGCTCGCATAGTGGCTCGCAAAGTTGCTGAAGAATGGACATCATTTCCATTTCTCTCACTTATTATCTATATCGCTCTTTGCCTGCTCTATAGGCACACCATTTCCCTCAGCATCTTCCACTAAAGGTTTCGAATCGCCGTTCGTTTCCACTTCCCTTAAATCTTTTTTCAATTCCGCTACCACCTCTTCATAACCCTCCGTCTTCATATCCGTGATCCCCAGATCATCTTCTTCCTCCTGAGTCCTGTCGTACTCGATTTCCTCCAGCTGGGGATCCTTTTCAGGAAGCATTAAATTCTGCACATAACTGCCAGCAAGCGGATCGGTAAGAATGACGGTAAATTTGGCATCCCCCTTGATGGCGGCGTCTATGCCATCAAAGAACTTTTTCCAGTTCGTCTTGGTTTCCGAAGCGAGTGAGTCGCCTCCGTCTCCAGAATCGTCACCAACATCGAAAATCTGTTTATGTAAATCGTCTCTAATATTGGTCAAGAGGCCCTCCACTGTGGTGAAACGCCCACCAAGTGTTCCCGGATTGACTTGCAGACTCAACTCCGGACATTCAAGAGCACAGGACTCTGATTTTAAGATGTCTCGTGCTAAATCTGTTGAATTCTCGACCTTGAGAGTGATCTTCTTTCCCTTTTCCGGAATCGCACCACCAGTCTTGACTTCGTTGGATCGATATCCACATAATTCGCAGACCGTGCTCATAATAATGACCTGCTTAAAATAGGGAATGTCGACCATTTTCATGTGCGTAACACAAGGTCGGGTGCATCCAGGACATGCGGCCGGGAAAGAATATACTTCGTTGGGCACCACATCGTCGTCTTCGAACGTAGCCGCGGTAGGCATTCCCTCTACGGTTGTGACAATTTCTTCGTCATGCTCCAAATCATCATTGCCCGTCCCACCGATGCCTAGATCCTCATTCTGCTGAGGAGTGCGCGAATATTCAACCTTTTTCCATTTTCCGACGCCATCCTTTTGATCTGGCTCGATCCATGAGTTCCCCGCGGGATCATCGAGGGTGACCCTGAATGGAAAGCTCTTCCCATCAATCATATCTCGGCCTTTAGCAAGGATCTCTTCAATTTTAGCCCACACTTCTGGCATCTGCTCCTTTCTCGCAGGTTGGTGTAATTCTAGATCCTCAAGTATCATCGAAAGTAGTCCTTCGACATTAGTCAATTGCCCTCGGCCAGCCGGGACCTCAATGTCGAGCTCGATAAATTTGACTACACAGTTGTCTCCTTTAACGACTTGTCGCGCGAAATCGGCAGGCGTGGTAAGACGAAGTTCGTATCGCGCGCCTCTTTGCTGGATTTCTCCTGCAGATTGGATCTGAGAATTCTTGAAGCTACAGTGCGGGCAGTAGAAAGACATTATGATTATTTCGCGAAAGAAAGGGATCCGAGTAAGAAGCATTCTGGTTATGCCCTATTCCAAAAAATTAGATCAGGTGTGGGTTGATCCGTGGAAAGACTCACATTTTCTCTACAATTCATACATAAACTCTCAATCTCGTCCACTACTTTCTGCTCTTCCTCTGGCACTTGTGTTGTGGTAGGGGCGACTTCATTCGCGTCTGCTTTGGAAGCGGCAACATTTTCGGCCTTATTACCTATACTATCAAAGAAATCGTCAAAAGCCTTGCCGTCAGGCTTGGTATCTTCTTCGTGGGTATTTGACATTGCAGATGTATAAGTTGGTATAGTTGAAAATTAAAAAGTTGTCGATGGCGGGGTCTTTCAAGGAAAAAAATATCATCGATAAGCGATAAGCACTTGTTAGAACCTTGTGGAACCCCTCATCAGGCTGGTCACAAGGCTGTCAAATTGTAACAGATTTCTTAAATATTATGTTCGCCACTCTATCGGTAAAAGGTTTCTGGCTTCTCTAATACGTCTTCAATCGAATGACAATTTCAAACAAGCTAACTAAGATGAGGGTTTTCTAATCGCCGCAAGTCGCTTTTTAGCATACATCGAGTTCTCAAGTCCTCACTCCTGACAAACCTAGATGGGCAAACTCAATCATTCCTACGGATTTTTGATTGCGGTGTATTACATCGAGCCTCTCAGGACTGCAATGATTTCAGAAGATTTGATACTAGCCGTCCGGGGCTCCTTTCTGTCTTCAGAACGAATTCGTACGCAGCTATCATGCCCCCAGTAATCATTACGACCAGCAAAACGGAAAGGAGAATTCTGCTATGTGTTAGTTCTTTCCTTGCGTTGTTCCATATGGACTAACATGACTTTTCTGTTTCTTGAAATACAAGACATTCGCTCCGAAGACGACCCATGTTCATAGATTTCGATACTGGAATTCCTCAATGATGTTTCCTCGTTGCTGTTACATTCTTGTCGAATTAGTTGCGGCGTCGGTTGAACCTCGTCACATTTCAGAACTCGTGCTTCAGAGGCCGCCAGAGGATCTTGTTGTTGAATATGCTCTTGGTGACGGAGCCAGTGTCTGCTGAAGGATGGGGTCATCCGCTTCACGCGCTCATGTATTCCATAAGGTGTTGGAATAGTATATTGTTGACGAATTTCGAGAGGACATCGTCCCTTTTGTATAAGGTCGTGATATGTATTTGCATTTTTGGGCCGTTCTACCTTTGGTTGCTCATTTGAGCCCCCAGCGCGAGGGGCAAGCAGTGGTGTATGCAAATCAGGTCGTTCGGTCCTTTGTGCAATGTATGTCTTATCCCAGCATGTTAAGGGCTTGGGTCTGGTATACTCAGTCTCTTGCCAATAGTATGACACAGAAGGTAGTTGATATCTCGAACGTCGCGATGCTAGTTTCCAAACATGTCAACAATTTGCAACATCTTAGACAGCATGAGTCCGCACCATCGACCTTTGGAGTCGGCTTCCTAGTCGCAGAATGTACCCAGCTATGTCTTTCGGCCATCACTTCTTCATGAAGTCCAACAAATCGAGGCCAAAACCAGATGACGTGCCCTGAGAGGCTTTCTGTTTCGCCAACAGAGCTTGAAGGCCACCCTGCTTCCGATTCTTCGCTCGCTTCTTGCTACTTGTACTTGGGCTCTCTGTGGCAACTATGTTGGATGATAATTTAGGATTGGCGGATGATGGAGGGATATTCGCAGATTCTGGGTCGTGAGCCGATGTTTTCCTAGGTTTGTGTCGTGGTAAAGATGTTGGAATAGGATGTCGAGTTTTCTTCTTGCAGCATTTGCATGCAAAAGTGATACATTTGCTCTGGGGAGCATCGCGCCTGCCATTCAGCTTTCGTCTCGATTCTTTTTGGGCCTCCATTGTCGCCTCTAGTCCTAAAATCATGATAGTTCCGCAAGCACCGCAAGTTTCCCGTCGGTGCGACTCCGTCGGCTCAAGATTGCTGCAAGATAAGAGAGCATTGTACGTTGACATGACCTGCCTGGAAACTGCAGGTGCCGTTATCGCAAGAACACGGGCAGATTCATTCAAGAAGTTTAAACGCGCCGAAACTTCGGAAGATGCCATAATACGTTCATTGGGAGCTCAGCACTGAATATGAGGCCTGGTGTGACGCGACGAACGAAGTGATGGGTGAAGAATATTTTTGAAGCAGCTGTGCGGGGACATCAGAAAACGGCATATGTTCATGGTCCGAGCTTTCTACATTTTTAGAGCGTCAACAAAACCAAAACCATTGGATATTCATACATCTGGATGTCGCAGTATTTCATTGATATGATATTCCGATTTGTCACTGATATTGGAAAAAGAAAAATTGTGTTTTCAAAAATGACTTGACTTGTTACTAAGGTTTTCCATAAAGCCCGTTTTTTGTATTCAAAGCCAGGACGTCGTTGCTCAACCCCATACTTCTAAATCCAGGCATTCGAGTAGACAACCCTTGCTTCTCGATGTGTTTCGTCATTTTGAGCACTCGAACTCAACAAAAGTTGGCATTGATCCACTGAGCTTTAGTTAGTCAATAGGCTGCTGTTAACAAACGCACTCTCTCTACCTTCCTGTACAATGGCTTCCGCTACGCTTATCGACGGGCAGGGTCTGCGAATTGCTGTCGAAGGATGTGTGAGTGTTGCTACCCTCTACTTCCGGTTCATACGAACTGAACCACAATTAGGGGCATGGCACGCTAGATGCTATATACGCATCAACAGAGAAAGCATGTCAAGTAAGAGGCTGGGATGGAGTAGATCTCCTCATCATTGGTGGAGATTTCCAGGTAATTAGAATATCGAATACCCATCAGGCGTTACTGACGATTAAAGGCAGTACGGAATGCACACGATTTAACGGTGATGTCCTGCCCGGTCAAATATCGAGCAATTGGCGACTTCCACAAATACTACAGCGGCTCCAGCAAAGCCCCTTACCTCACGATATTCGTTGGCGGCAATCACGAGGCTAGTAGCCATCTTTGGGAACTGTTTTATGGCGGCTGGGTTGCGCCAAACATGTACTATATGGGGGCCGCGAATGTCGTGCGAATAGGTGGTGTTCGTGTTGCGGGAATGTCTGGCATCTGGAAAGGTCGAGATTTTAACAAGCACCACCATGAACGCCTGCCATACAATTCAGATGATATCAAGTCAATATACCATGTTCGCGAAATCGACACACGAAAGCTCCTACTGTTACGCTCACAAATTGATATTGGTGTTAGTCACGATTGGCCGCGAGCCGTTGAACGACATGGAAATGAAAAGTTGCTATTTCGGATGAAGCCCGATTTTGAGCAGGAGTCAAAAGATGGAACGTTGGGTAACCAAGCAGCAGCCTACGTTATGGATAGATTGCGGCCGCCATACTGGTTTTCTGCTCATATGCACTGCAAGTTTTCTGCTACCAAGAGTTATGAGAGTAATGTACACCAGGTGACTGGACCTGTCACTTCCTCAAGCGCAACAAGAGATATCACCAGCTCCAAGTTGGATGAGGTTGAGACCCCAGGCAGCCTAGCTATGCCCCACAACGAAGACGAGATTGATTTGGATTTGGATGATGATACCACACCTCCTCCCACAATTATTAATAGTGGATCTGCAATTCAAAATCAAGACGAGATCAACATAGAGGACGACGAGGAGGCCACGAGTAAAGTATCAGCAATAACTTCATCTGTTCCAATGGACATTCGCGCTCAGCTTCCAGCGGCATTTTCGCGAGCTCCACCCTCACAGCGTCCAACTCCAGGACAGCCCTGCCCTCCTGAGGTGACCAACCACACGGTACGATTTCTTGCTCTGGACAAATGTTTACCAAGTCGTAAGTTTCTTCAACTACTGGAGATCTTGCCGCACGGTACGCCCAAGGATGACTCTACGACCGCTGAACCGAGTGCTAGAGTCAAGCCAAAATTCGAGTACGATCCTGAATGGCTAGCTATCACACGGGTCTTTGCTTCTGATATAGTTCTTGGGAGCAAAACTGTTCCTGTACCGCGAGATTTAGGAGAGTCTCACTATCGGCCCTTGATAGAAAAGGAGCAAGAATGGGTCACAGAGAACATTGTCAAGGCAGGAAAGCTTGAGATCCCTGAGAACTTTGTTGTTACCGCTCCTATATTTCAAGATGGGATGCCAGAGATCGTTAGCGAGGGGCCTGTTGAATACAACAACCCTCAAATGCAACAATTCTGCGGTCTGGTAGGCATCGAAAACAAGTTCTTTGCCACTGACGAAGAGAAACAGGAGAGGATGAGGAGTGGCCCACCTCCAGCGGAGGAAAGACGGGATGGTGGTTTTGGAAGAGGACGTGGGAGAGGACGAGGAGGGGGGAGAGGGAGGGCAAGAGGGAGAGGCAGAGGGGGGCGTTGGTAGAGCTCTTTTGCATTATTGTTTACTTCCAATGATACCCCAGGCATACGGATCCATCGCTATCGTCTTCCGCTGGCATAAACTAGCTTATCTTGCAGCAACCGCATGTCGGAGTGCGGTAGTTCATTTCACTTATGCTGTAGTTTACTGACGGCCACTTCGAGAATGGTGAGGCAGGAAAGATCTGGAGTTAAAAAACAGGGTAGAGAGCCACCGTGCTCAGCAATGTTCTGAGATGAACAACTCAGTGGCATCTGCAGTGTGCTATGAGAAGGATTCTGAATTCTTCTTGGGGCTTCAGAGACTGAAATCTGGGGTCGGACAAAATGCAGAGGAGCGGATCGTGAAGCTTAGCCAGTCCTGTGGCAACATGAACGCTCTTCGCCCTTTTGAGAATCCAGTATGCATATCTCCACTCATAATCAGGATCATCACATGCATCGTGGGGTCCCGGCTCAATAAGAACGTTGGCATGCCTGTATTCATATCAAGGTACACAGGAAACACTGCAACTGTCAGCGGTACCATTGCATTGCAACGCAAGACGGTGAACTGGTCTATTCTTCGCGCTTCCCCTTTCTTTGTGCCAACGTAAACCTCCTTCGAGCGCCCTTCATAGTCAGATGATCTTCGCACTCGAGTAATGAAAGGTCGACCGTCGCATCCCGACGCCGGGAGATCCGGTCTTTCGACCGGTTGGTGCAGCGCGGTACCTGCTGATCCAGTGATCGCGCATGCAAAGGCGGTGAGTGGCTGGTGCTACGAGTGGACAAGGGATAACGACCAGTCAAAATATGTCCAAAAATAGTGCACACGCTTGACGGTGAAGCTGCGTAAACACCTTTGTTATAAGACACAATCGTATTTCCTTGCGTTCATTTTGGAAAAGCAAGAAGCTGCGACCGTTACCTCTCAGTCCAGTCCAGCTTCCATTTGCCACAGCCCCACAAATCCCAATTTGTGTGCTGCAAGCACCTCATCATATCGCTCAAAATCTCATTACTCCGGCAAGTGGCAGAATCAAACCGACCAACCGCGTCCTCGATTTAGGACCGTGGACAATCCTTGAATCAACACCTCTTGACTCTCGACTACGTCCTGCACCTACATCACCTAAGAGCTCCTCCTCGAAAGACTTTGCTGTGCAAATCTTTACATTTCGACGTACTGGAGACCCTCAACAAACCCGGACACCCAAAATCCAGAGAACTGAATGGCTACCCTTGGTGAGATGATATTCGACCAACGAAATTCTATTTCATTTTACAACCATTGACCTTTACCGCGGATCTGTCCTGTTTCTGGATTTTAATCCGTCAACTGGAACGATCACTGTGTAACTGAATGTTGCTCTGCCTCATTTGAAGCTTGGAAACAAAACTATTGGTTTGCAAAACTGTACACAATTGGAAGAAATTGAGGAACAATGAAGTTCGGACGCAAGTATGTTCATATGCTGGCCATTCGGGCGCAAAGGCTGACATCAACTCCCCCAGTCTACCCCGAAATCAGGTGCCAGAATGGTCTTCCTCATATATCAACTACAAAGGCTTGAAAAAGCTCATTAAAACTGCTTCTGCGGTATACAAGCTCGGCAAGGACGTCAATCTCGCTGGTAAGGGCTACCCAATTTCACACAGCTCAAAGTTTTACTGACCACGAGACAGAAATTCTTTTCTCGCTTGACCGAAACCTCGAAGATGTGGACGCATTTTACAATAAGAAGTTTGGAGATGCCTCCCGGCGATTAAAGCTATTACTGGAACGCTATGGCTCCTCGAAACAGAGTCTGGAAGAACTCGATCAAACCGAAATTGAGGAGTTAATGAGCGCTCTACTGGAGCTTCGTGGCCAACTTCGGAAGTTACAATGGTTCGGCGAGGTCAATCGACGGGGTTTTGTCAAGATTACCAAGAAACTAGACAAAAAGGTCCCGAACGTCTGCGCCCAGCATAAGTACATTGCTTCCAAGGTGGATCCGAAACCGTTCGCTACAAACGCGGCTCTAGCGGAGGCCGTGAAAACGATAAATGACTGGCTTGAGGTCTTAGGAGATACTAAAGGGAAGGATGGTACTACCCCAGTCCAGGCAGCTCACACTGTCAAGCGCACATCGTCAAGGTCTATCATCAACTTGCCGAACGGACTTCTCGATATCGTCGACCAAGCTATTCGCAATGACGATGTTCCCATTCTCAAAGAGGCCCTTGCCGAAGTCAGTTTCGAGCCTCACGATGCAGGAATGCAAAAGTTGCTAGTCAATCTTCTTCAAAGATCTATTTCGAGCCGATCACGTCAATGCATTGGCTTTCTTTTGACAGATATCAAATCTCTAGACGAGACGGATGACATCAATCATCGTAATTGTTTACATCGCTTGGTTATTTCCATTGGTAGATCCAAAACGAATCCTCAACTTACCAAATCCCTTGAGCTCGATTCTGAGCGCATGCGATTTCTGACCCCTGCGGAATCACCTCTGTTGGGTCCTGAACGTTGCGAAATCCCCGAATCTACACTTCTAAGCATCAACGACGAGTCGGTAACCCTCTTGATTTACCTTCTCGATAAACTTCTACCCCACCAAAGAGCTGCATTGTCCAGCAAAGACTCGTACGACCGCTTACCTCTTCACTACGCTGCAGAGTACGGATTCGTCGTGGTTTGTGAAGTCGTCATGAAGTACATGCAGACGTGGGGTCAGTTCAGTGTAGAACATGGCATCGATGCTCCTGAATGGCAAGACAAAGAGGGACTCGCGCCTCTACATCTGAGCGTCATTGGCGGCCATACTCTGACCACTGCAGCCCTCCTCAGAGCGGAGAATTGGCAGGGTTCCAGAGACCAAAAGGCTGCAATGAGACGGGATATTTCGAAGTCCAGCGCAGTTCTTGCGCTTGCCACGAAATCAAATTTTGCCCAAATCGTACAGCTTCTTGTTAATGCAGGGGTGGATATCAACTGGCAAGATGAAACTGGCGAGACTGCCTTGCATGTTGCTGCTCGTTTTGGTCACGATGAATGTGCGAAGGCGCTATTGAGCGGTACTGCTGATCAAAGAGCTGATGTCGAACTTGCGGAGAATTCATTCTCATGGACCCCTCTGCATATCGCTTGCGTCGACGGTCATCAATCTATAGTTGAGCTTCTCATTGCAGCTGGTGCAGATATCAAGCGACAAGATGCGTCTGGTTGGACCGCCAGGGAACACGCTGCATTAAGAGGGCACCTTAAAATCGCCGATATCCTCTTGCAGGCTTCGTTAGAAAGACTTTCGACAGGGTCTGATGCTTCGTCGGGCACTAGCTCATCTTCATCACATAGAGTTTCATCGCTCGAAGCTGTGCACTCACAAAGTAGCAGTAACAGTATCCCCAAAGCAGTGGAACCTGTCAAGTCCTTTGGTCATCGATATCTGACAAATGAAAGTCTCGTCCTTGTTAGTCTAGGTTCCATGGATATGAGGAAAGATCTCCCAGCCGTGAAGCTTGATAAGATTCCAATGGCCCAGGCACATTCTACCCAACTGGACACTGCGCTTTCTGTCATTGTTACTGCAAAGGGAGCCCAGGGTGAGCCAACGATCATCGATCTTCCAGTCCAAGACAATATTTCAACAGAGCCAATCATGTTTTCCACCGCGGACGTTTCGGCAGTCAAGCTTTACTTTGACATCGTCCCAACTTACGCCGGAATTCAGGAGCATAAGGTTGGTCGTGGGGTGGCCATCTTAGCCAACATGAAACAAGCAATTGGCTTGAAGCGAATGAACTTGCAAGGAGACGTGAGCGTCCCAATCATGAGCACTGACCTGGAAGTGATTGGCAGCGTCAACTTCAACTTTCTCATCATTACACCATTCAGCCACCCAAATATGGGAGTCACTGCGAAACAAACGTACTGGAAGGAAATGACGTCGACTATGGTCATAGGACACCGAGGTCTCGGCAAGAACGTCTCTTCAAACAGGTCTTTGCAATTAGGAGAAAACACGCTACAATCTTTCATTGCTGCGGCCAATCTCGGCGCCAACTATGTGGAGTTTGACGTTCAGCTTACCAAAGATCTTGTCCCCGTTATCTACCACGACTTTCTCGTTAGCGAAACGGGAATCGATGCTCCAGTTCACACTTTGACGCTTGAACAGTTCCTTCATGTCAATGATGGTACGCCACGCCCTTCTAGACCGCCTTCCCCGCCGAAAGAAAAGGATAACCCGGCTTTCAAGGTTGTTCGCGGCGCAGATCGTCAACGATCGCTATCCCTCGGGAATGCTATACCTGAGGACGAGATGCCTGAGCGAATGAAGCACACTCGTGACTTCAAAGCCAAGGGCTACAAAGCCAATTCCCGCGGAAACTTCATTCAAGCACCATTTACGACGCTCGAGGAGATGTTTCTTAAGCTGCCAGAGAACGTTGGCTTCAATGTCGAGATGAAGTATCCTATGTTGCACGAGTCGGAAGAACAAGAAATGGACACATATGCGGTTGAGCTAAACAGCTTCGTGGACACTGTATTGACGAAAGTATACGACCTCTGCAAAAAGCGAAAGATCATCTTTAGCAGTTTCAACCCGGACATTTGCCTTCTTTTGAGTTTCAAACAGCCGAATATGCCAGTACTCTTCTTGACTGATGCTGGAACGCACAAGGTTGGTGATATTCGGGCAAGTAGTTTGCAAGAAGCCATTCGCTTTGCCAGTCGCTGGAATCTTCTTGGTATTGTCAGCGCTGCCGAGCCACTATGTAACAGTCCACGGCTTGTGCGTGTGGTAAAGGAAAATGGCCTTGTTTGTGTCAGCTACGGGAGTCTGAATAATGATCCTCTCAAAGTTCAGGTTCGTAATATTCTACTATTAGTACGTCTCCGACGCTAACATTTCACAGGAGCAAGTTAACGAGGGCATTGATGCGGTCATCGTGGACAGTGTGCTCAAGATCCGAAATGGTCTTACCAAAAACTCGAAGCCAGCCACTTTGACTGTACCACAACCACTTCCGACCCCAAAAGCCGACATTATTAATGATGTGGGCGTAAAGGACACGATTTCGCTTTAGAGAATTTGTGGATGAGCAAAACAGAATTGTAACCCATGTGCTCAGCCGTTGGAGTGTTGGAGAAGGATGTTCAACTCACTCCTCATACCTTTTCCTATGGAGTACAAAATTGCTTTACCTTCGACTTCATGGCGTTTTCTGATTCTTTCTCATTGTACACGAAGATTAGATCGGTCCTTGTTTCCTTAGATAGAGTTTTCTTTAGCCGTATCCGAACTCGACCGGGCTTTGGCTTTGGCTTCGAATTTGACGTTTTGAAGGAGCTACGATGCTCTCTTCTGGTCTCCCTCCTCTATAGCTCTGCCCCTGCTCTTTCGGATAGAGTGCTGCTTCTATTAACGGCTTGCTGACTTACGCTTCTAGCATGACCCACCACAACCAATTCTCGCTGCTTTTTCCCTACTACCACGTTATGAGCTTCCAGAGCCCTTCGACCCAGTAGCTTCTTTATACTTGTGTGCGAAGCTTAAGTCCATCTTGACGATTCAGACGGCACATTATAAGTTAATTAACAAAACGACAGCTTCGGTTTCTTTGGTGATGTAGGTTGGCATGTGAGGTTTTCTCTTAATCGAGTTGCCAAATTGCCGCTACTTCATCTCTATAACAAATCTGGCATAGAAAGCAAGACATCAATTTGGCTGAGCCACACGTTACTAAGGATACTATTCTCAAGATCGAGTGTACTTTGGGAGAAGTAGCCTTAGGATCGTGACAGTTGGAGACTTTACTCTCTCTCAGCATTCCGTTCAATGGGTTAGAAGCTGAGGAGGGTGAAACAACTTCACGATCTGTTGCCTCTCACTGGACTCAATTTAGGTTCCTATTTGAGTGTGTTCCTTGAAACTGGGGAGTGATTCAATGCTGATCCCTAAAATTCGACATGAGGTGATATATTGTCACTTTGACGATGATAGTGAGGCTCATGATAAATCTCACATAACCTACTAAATTACTGCAGGACTACATCAGTCATCGCCTACTAAATACCTCGACCGTAGCTTAACATGATGTCAGAAATTATGTACTTGTTCACTTGTACTTACAAGACTCGGTGTCCGAGGGCTATGGCTCTATCATATCCACCAGTGCATTGCAAGACTTGTGGGACACTTTCCAATCATATCAATGCCCTGAAAACGACTTTCCAACACTCCTTGCCCTGACAGTCATATACAACATTCGTAATAGAGTCAATGTTGTATTCTCACTCCAGCAGATTAAGCTAGCTTTTGGCCAGGATATCTGTGTTTTATGTTCGGGAGGTATCTCATCAGACTTGCAACACTACCTAGGTACTGGTCCGAACACAAGCCTCTGGCACCCGTTCAATCCGCCAGGATATATTTCAAAATACTGCGAATTTAGCACTAGGTGAGGTCTTGATCCTCTGGTGGCTTTCTTCGCTGAAGATCACCGTAATGCAAATAGCATCCTTTAAACAGTATATAAAGTAGGGCGGAAATGAAGTTTGACATATCCCAGTACCCTTTGCACATTTTCATGGGATGCATGTCGTTTTTTTATTGTCTAACTCTTCACTATGGTTCTGTAAGTTTGGTGTTATTCTGTGACTCATTGTATTCGGGTTCAGGATTTGGGCGCCAGAGTATTTGGTGCTGTGGTAAAGAGGTGACTTTCCTTCAACACTAGGCGACGCGTCCCTTTCTGCTTTCAGCACTCCAACGCCATTCTTACTTACCACAACACCTCACAACAACCAATCTTCTGCTTTGCATTATCAATTGCAGCTACCATATAATATTGGCAAGAACTTCGCAAATTATTTTCACTTACGCTTCACTTTCGATCTGTACCAGGAGGGAGATCCAGCAAGATCCATATCCTGAGATATTCTGCAACTTGAAGGATTGAATTTGTACGAGATGCCACCAGAAACTTCAAAGGGCTCGCCGCCGAGAGTAGTGTCGGATCTCTGTGGTTCAGATATCGAAATGCTCGAAAGGTGAGTCAATAGTTCAGCTGAGTTTCTTGTTTACTTTCTGCTTATACCCGGAGCAAGAGAACAACACGATTATGAGCAAAACTGATCGCGTCCTTCCTATCATTATACTGGACTCTTACCTACGCAGACGGGAGGCCATTTTTCTTCTGCTATGCTCCAGGCTATTGTACAGTTGAGGTTGCCGTTCGATTATTCTTATATCAATGTCTCAAGTCAGCAGAGAATTTTGCTACGCGCCACGCTGTTGTTATCGAGCGATTTGACTTTATCTTGCAGTTCGGTCACTAATCGTCTTTTGTTACTTGCATAATTCCCCTTTTTTCTGTTTGCTCCGCCGCGCTAACTCACTCACTCTTACCCTTCACTCTTTGCAGAAGATATGAAGCGATTGCTAATACAGAGTAAGTGGATCTCCGAATATTCAATACAAGACCAGAGCCAACAAACGAAACCGAGTCATTTCCATCAAAAAAGAGGCAATCGATGAGCATGCTGAAGGGGAGACGGTTGATAATTACAACGACTCGGAGATTGAGATGGGGCCAATCAATAAAAAGGCAAAGACAGCCCAGATCCCTGAAGATGCAATGGCGATTGGTGTCGCAGCAGCAGAGCCTAAAGCAGTAGTTTACGCTTTCCTTAGCAAAGCAGAACACCCAGCACTTTTGTTTCGAATCGATAACGCTCGCGTGAGGAGAAAGAGTCAAACGGAATTCGCAACCGGCAAAATGTCCTTTGATCAGATAAAGTTCGACGAAGCATTCCACAAAGGTTCCGAGGGGGATACCAAGAACTATATCCGGAAAAAGCTAATGAAGCTACGTGGAACAACAGCTGGTGAGCAATATCCCTTTTCAAGCCCGAATTTCTCTGTACCATAGCTTACAGGTTATAGAAAGCACCCATCGGTCAACTCCCGGGCCTCGCGTGACTCTCGGCGAGGAATATTTATCAGAGGTCTCCAACGGTTTGATGTCCAAGAATATCCAAGAGACCGGCACAAAGAACAAAATGTCTCTACCCGATCCACTAATTGGACCCAGTGCTACAGGTAACGGACAAACTAAGAATGGGAACCTGAACTCCCGGGTGAAGGATACACAAAAAGCTCCAGAAGACGTCACATCTATAACAAAGTTGCCGGACGAGAAGATCCTTAACGTCGCAAGTCCAGATCTATCTACACTTTCGGTGCCAACTTGTGGCAGCAGCGAGGACAATCTAAAGAGGTTCACAGATTACAGCGATACTATCCAGAAGTATCTAGACGGCCTCCACTCAGTTTTCAAACATTCTCTTGAGAAAAAGGATGAAGTTATTCATGAATTAAGATCCGAGTTGGAGAAAGCAAAGTCCGCTGAAGCCAAGGACAAGAAGCGTATCAAGTCCATGACTTTTGACATTGCTCGGTTCACAGTCAACACCAAGGATCTTCGAGCAAAAGTTGAAAAACTGTCAACAGAGCTGACGGAAGCTAAAGCCATGACGCGCGATTATAACACGAAATCGAGAGTTGCGTTCGAGTTTGACAAAGCCGAGAAAAACAAACAAGAAAAAGACATTGACATCGAACACAGAGTACAAGACAGCCAAGAAGGTGCACACTCAAATGGTCCAACTGAACTTGAAGGCCGGGTAGAAGAAGCCGCCTGTGCAAAACCTTCTGCTCGAGTCGATAATAAATTCCGCCCAGACAAGACTCTGGTTGTTACACCGGGCCAGCTTAGCAGTGCAACCACTTTCTCCAAAGCAGAGAAATCCACGACAGCTAGCGTTTCGAAAGGAGAAACACCGAGTGTCACTGAAACTGAGAAGTCTCAGACCAAACCAGCATTTCAGATGACTGATAACACAGAGGTTAAAGTCCATCAGTTCACAGAACGAGGAAACATCAAATCTTTGAATCTCTTGAAAGGCGGTTCTGTGTCAAATACTAATTCAGCGACACCACTCGTCGACCTTGCTCAGTATGTCAAGATTTCAGATAATGAGCCTAATGGTGGCATGTTGAAGGAGAGCCGTCCGCGCAGGGTCACATATGGTAACCGAAGTTTCGACGAGATTAACATCCTTTATCCTCTCAAAGACGTCACCATGACAGGCAAGGCCAACGGCTCTGTTTTAGTTGGGCGAAAGGTATACCAGAGATATACTCACAATGGTGAAACCAAGCTACTCTTTTCTGCTGGCCATTTTGATTCTGTGGTTGATAGAGATGGGAGGAGATACCTGAAAAATGTTGCGTTGAAAGAGCATAAACCGGAATTCGATCTTTAGAGGGTATCGAAGTGGATTTCCTTTTTTAAAGTACTTTGAAGTCGTTGTCTCGAGGTAACTAGCTAATTAGCGAAGGAGGATTTCGGAACGACACACTATGTCATTTGAGCGATCTGTGGGCTCTGCAGAGACCCTTTCAGGAGGATATTCATTTCTGTTTTATAGGATATTGTTGTAAGCTTATTCAGAGAGGCATTCAGGTAATTGCGCCAGGAGGCTTCAAAAGTTGTTTCGCCCAGGATTAAGTAATCTGATGTTTTAAAGGTCTGTAGGATTCTAGATGCGGTATACTTTGTCAAATAGAATTAAGAGTTTACTTTATTTACACATGGTTAATGTCCACTTATCACAGGTGATGACGCCCAATTTGAGGTGATAGTAACCCGACTAATAGCACTTTCGCAGTGGACAATAAGAAATAGCCAAAAGCCGACGTTTGTTCGGTTTCTTTGACAAACCTAGCATGTTTCGTCACTGGAGTTGCCAAACACCACGCAGTTGGTTTATACAGCGAATAACAGTCTTGGAGACTTCGTTTGAAATTTCATAAGCATAAATAAAGTCTCTTATAATTTCATGAATTCTCCGCTACGTTTGATTTGGCACGGTAGGAAGTAGGTAACTGTAATAACTCGTTGTGACACATTACGAATGTGTTTTCCCTTTGATCGTTGGAATATAGTCGTACTTTGAAAGCTTTACTAGGGTATATAAATGCATCTCCAGACGCTAACTAGATTATGATCTAACCTAGAGGTGTTGAAGACTTGGAGCAAAACGATGTTTAAGTTAAGTTGATGATATCCTGCAATATCTTTTATCTCGCTTCCTGCAAAACTCAGCTGTTTATTCGTGAACCCACAGACGCACATTCATTTGTTCACCACTGACAAACCTGCTCTAGTACATGACCTATGAGTTGGCCTACCATGTATTCACCAGAATCAGGATTGTTTACCTTTTTTGGTATAGCGTCTAATGTTTCGCGTCAAGGAAATCTCCATTAAAAACACGAATATTTATCTCTCCACCAGACCGCGTTTCGTTCTCGCCATCTGAACAATTGCACCACTTCAGCCCTTCGCCAGATTCTCTGTTCCTCCAAAAATGAAGACTAGAAGCACTGAAAAAAGAATATCAGCAGAACCGCTCGCTTTCCATCCTGTGGGCGTCAGAAAACAACCTCGTGTCAAGAGTACACCAAAAAGCGCGCCTCGACAACAACCTGGCAAAGCTCAGGTGAGTACGCATGTACAATATGGTGTCTCAGATGGTCATCATGTCAATACCTTCATTCTGCCCTCCCAACCGGCGCCGAATTCCTCAGGCAAGGCTACCAATGCAACCAAACCGCGACTAATACTGAGGCATAAGATTCCGGAATCATCCCATCTAGCTCGAGCAGTACATGTTAATTCAAACAGACAAGATGGCTTCGTTGCAAATACACAACAACCAACAATATTACCAGAAGATGTGTACTACTACATCGGTTGGATCACTAACTCCGACCCACCCATTCGAGTAAAGGCAAGCAGGCACGGAGGATATCTAATCATGCGAGTACACTCACCTTCAGGGCGCCCTGGAACCGCTGATCATGATTCTCCAGGCTTGAAGGGACGCATTCAGATTAAGGAAGTCACGCTTGATCCGCAGTTGTTTTCGGCCTACACTGACAGTATCGACAATACGAATATGGTAAAGAAGGAAATGATTGTGGAACATTTTCTGAGGATTGTGTCAAATATTCAAACGCCTTCGACGAGTACGAGCCAGACTCGCCTAGCTGAGAAGCGTACAGAGCCTAAAGATCCTGCCTCTCACGAAGAAAGACTTCAGCCGCCGACAAGTGGGCATATCAATCAAGCTCCACATCGAAAAGGTCTTGCAAATAATACCTCCCGCGAAAAAGATGTTACGGTGCCTGCCCATGGTCATCTCGCCGTTGGTAAATACATAAGAGAAACCAAGAGGACTGACGAGACTGTGTGGGCTTGCTTGCAATCATGGCAAGATCCGAAGGCCCGCACGAGACTGACTATTAACGAGAATTGCAAGAAGGTAGTCAAGGGACAGTTTATATCGTTCGATCCAAAGCTCCCAAGTTCCTCGGCAAAAGCAATGCCATTGATCAAGGCCCAACTTCGTATCCTCGGTAAGAAAGGCAAGTTTCTGGATGCCGAGATCATTCGTCGTATATCTTCAAGAATATCGTGCTGATAATAAAAAACAGCAGAAAAGAGTGGCAACAATCCAGACCAGAATTATTATATCGACGATGGAACAATCGATTTCGGGCCCCAAGAAGTTGAATTGCACGTTGAACCACAAACCACGAAACCTTTGAGCACCATCGCCGAAGATCTCGAAGGTCTAGGAGCTTCCCTCGAGTCTGATTCCGAGAGTACTCTCATTCCTGCCACCACGGCCAATCCGGCAATGTTTAGCATGAGCAACAATATACAAATAAGGGGTTTTATCGGCAATAATATCTATGCTGCCCAAGGCAGCCAAACAGGATTTTCAGTCCCAATACAACAGCCGGCTATGATGGCAAAGCCCTACAAAAGTATTTACACAGACCTTCGAGCACCGCTGCAACAGTCAGCTATGATAGTAGAAAGCACACAGACTCCCCAGGTCATTCAAACAGGATTTATAGCGCCGTTTGAACAGCCGGCTATCATGGCAGAGACTCCTCAAGACATTGAAATGGGCTTTCAACCACAGATTCAACAGCCAGTCATGGTAGCAGAAAGCACACAGACCGATCGAGCCGTCCAAGCAAGCTTTAAAGCGCCAATTCAACGACCGATCATGATAGAAGAAAGCACACAGACTGACCAAGCCATCCAAATGGGCTTTGGAGTGCAAATACAACCGATCATGATAGGAGTAGCAACCCAGACTCAACCTATGGGCAATGACACAGACAGATTCTGGATCCTGAGACTCGAAGGGGAGAACGATGAGCTGAGGAAGAGAAACCTGCAATTAGAGAAGGAAAACTTCTACTTGACAGAACGACTCAAGGAAGCTACTTCTGGCTTGTAAAGATGACAGTGGTGTGGTGTACAAGATGCTGGATGGGAACATTGTGGGTGATACAATTGGTGGTCAAATCGGAATGTTTGTTCAACTGAACTGAAACATTGTATTGTACTTTGTATATAGGTCGTATAAATTCGATCGTGTCTGGATATCTCTCAGCTTTCTGTAAATCTAACTAATTGTGAGCAACATTTAGGCAGGAACCCTCTGATACCTACCTTGGAAGACAACACACCGCGAGATAGCGACTTCCCTTTACTATGTAGCTTACTCAGTATCCCGTATTCTAAATGAATGACAGTCGGAACAATATTTCTCTGATGAAGTTGATAAAACACCATATATCTCATCTGTTATTCTCAGCAAAGAGGACCTTCCAATATCTGTTCAAACCTCGGCTTCGCGATGGAGCTCATGAGCAGTCGTAGGAACACGATGTTTCTTCGATTGGAATTGAAGAAATATCGTGTATTTCGCCTATTATTTTCAGTCAATAAGATATTCGCAAGCTCTAACTATCCAAAGTTTGAAGTTGTTTACCCGCTCTAAATCATGAAGTTTTGTTGAAAGGATAGTCAGGGATTCTACCACTTACTCAAGACTGTTGACGAAATATCGTGTATTCCGTCTACTATTCCGAGTAAATGTGGAATTTTTGGTTTCTCAAAACATCATGACAAGAGCGCTTTTAGAAATTGCATCGTCCTTGGTAAGTCGGTGTCATGTAGAAACAAGCATAATAAAATTAGCATAGATATCGGGCCGTTGATGGGTATAAAATTGTCATCTACTAACTGTCGAGCGCTTCTAATATCTATTAACCACCAATCATACATATAGTTATGTCCACCTTGATATTCTTCATTAACAGGCCACGTTTCCATATGGTATCCAACTATATCGGCCATTACACACTTCTCTCTTCTTGAATGCTCATCCGGTGCCTCATTTTGCTGTCGTCACCAATGTCGAGGGCCTTTGAGCTCGCTCCATGATAAGACTCCTCGTCAGAGATTTTGGCACTGGGAGTGTTGACGGCCAAGTTGTGATCATCATCGTTGCGAACGACGTACTCCTCCGTATCCAAATCCTTAAAGATGAACCAGAAGGCGATTGCAGAAACCATACCAACGATACTTGGACCAGCAAATGCCCATACAATATGTGGGTCGGAAATAGCTGGTGCGGTTGCAAGGTTAACAGCGTATTGAATGGCAGACATGAAGCAGTTGATGGCGCTGACCAATCCACGCATGTTTTTTGGCGCACGAGAGTAAGCGATTCCGTAGGCGGTAACATTTACTAGAATTTCGCAGAGAGCTGTGATGGATAATGGAATAGCAGTCCTATCTTTGTCAGCGAGAATGTTCGTGGATTAAAAGGAGTTCAGAACTCACCACCAGATGTTAATTGGTGAAACTAATGAGACTCCGTCGGCGTCGACACAGGTAAGACTCGAGGCATGGTCACCGCAGGGTCCTGTGATATAAGCGTAGTGAGTGATAATTGCCCACCCAATTGATCCGATAGAGCAGATCACCATTCCCGTTGTCATACGAGCAATTGGTCCAAAGTGAATCTTGTATTTTCGAAGCATCGGGTAAAGCACATAGTCGAAGAGTGGAACCCCGAGAATGATCACGAGAGGATTGAAATTGCCGATAAGATCGTTTGGTACGCCATTTGTAGTCAGCATTACACTTAGAGCGTCTAATGAAACAATTTAGATTAGCAAAAAATATGGTGTAGGTGGACATATTTGCTTACCAGCGGCTCCTCCAACACCTCCGTCGTTGATGAAAAAATTGGCAAAAACAAGAAAATACCGCAAGCTTGGAAAGTCCGCTGAGTGTCTCTGACAAATTGATCGTCCCATGAAACAGTCACAGGGTTACTGCTTTGTGCAATTACGGACGGCTTAGCAGCCTCCCAAAAGCCAGTTCGTCCAATTTTGCTGAATCCGTTACGCTTTAAGCACATACCAACAACTTTGATGACATTCCCAAGATCACTTCCACCTATATAATTTGGTCAGCACTGCCTCATATCGGTTCGAGAGTCTGGATTGCATACCTGGTTTGTGTAGCACCAATCTTGGGTGGAGCCACCAAAGAAGCGCAGGGAGCATGAAGTATACTATTTCAATTAGCATTTAATATCGATTTTAAGCCAGGATTAACGCACTGATGCCCGGAACCAAAAAGGAGCTCCAAAATCCAACGTATTTAGCTAGATAAGAGGTTGGGACACCCATAAATCCACCGATGTTGATGAGTAGGTAAAACCACAACATCATTCGCTCTGTAGTTGCCTCTGGGTCGATGACAACTTTCTCTCCAGATTCCAGTGTTTGAGTGACAGGTCTATTGTGAGGATTCTGATCAAGGATAACAACGGAGATATTGGGCTTGAAAAGTGCTGAGTCATGTCAGAAATGAACATTTTAGGAATCATAGGTTTTTCGACCCACCTGCACCGAAAGCGAGAATGTATAGGGAGAGTAAAAATGGTCCTTCAGCATGCCCTGCCTGGAAGAGTATGTTAGAACAGTTTTCAGTCTAATGGAATGAGAATTTACCTGAATGACCGAGGGGATAGCAGCAACCACCATGATTACGTCTAAAGATTCATCAATTTCTACACATATGTCCAGCAAACGGAAGACTTACGAGCAACACCACAAATCGCAATACCTACAGCGATGGTCTTGAAACGACCCCATTTTGCGTCTGCAAGCCATCCTCCAAGCATTGGCTATAAATCGTTAAGAGACGTCTTTGACTTAATTCGAGGAACTTACAAGAGCATAAGTTAGGAAGCCGAAAGAAGATGTCACAGCAGCGGCGACAACGGTTCCTTTTCCTAAGGCACCGGCAGTTTGTTGAGTCCCACGTGGTGGTGCGCCAGCTCCGTTGCCTCCTACGGGAAGAGGACGGTTGACGAAATTGCTGAAAACTTGTTTGACACCAATAAATGAGGCACGTTCAGCGAACTCGACGACGCAAAGTCCGTAAGCAGTTATTGGAACATGTCCACTATAGTCTATAGTAAGTATATGATATACAAGATAAATGCTGATGCTCAAAATTCCCCAGAAACTCTGAAAGACTCACGCGACTCGACGAAGAGTGTGCAACTCTTCATCCGTTGGAGTATCATCACCAGACGTGTATGCGCCAGGGTGGTTAAAGCTGTCCGCATGGATCAGAGTTCCCTTCTCTGGGGTAGCCAAGATGGCCCCCGACCCAACGATCTGCTGCGCTTCTGGTAAGGTCTGATTATTCATCGCTAAAAGTATACATCAGCAACTGGCTCCGGCACGGCGACTAGGAAAACCTACTGGTGATGGCTCTATGATCGAAGAAGTCCACTGACGACAAATCAATGGGAATCGCAGACAAGATATAGACGATGAAACGATCAACCTCGCACTCCACGCATGGCTTCACTCCCCCTCCGTTATCAGCCCTTGACCCGCATAGCAAGGCGATCTGAGCTGCTGGGACACCATTTTCCGTACGCTCTTTACTCCTTTGGGCTCACATGCCCGCGGCTAGCCAAGATACGCAGGAAGTGATATAACATACCCGCCGCCAGAGTCGAGCGACGCTCAATGAAGAAGTTCGTTAATGGTATCATTCTTGGCAACAGGCTAAGCACTATGGCGCACGATGCCGAGGAAGCTTAGGGTTCGGTACGGAGTACTTCATGGGCCTGATAGCACAATCTAAATAGCGGGGATGAACCTCAATTTGAAGGTATTCGAGCCACTCGACGTGACAATTTCCAGGATCATGGGAGCCGACACAAGACAAATGATACTCCGTAGACAATTTGACAAAGTCCAGATGCTAACCATAGGCGCGCGAAAGGTTGCACTGGGAGATTCTCGAGCGCTGACCGAGGGGCACAGAGGTGTGGATCCATGCACAACAAGCAGGTGGACTCCGTACTTGCAGCGAGCGTGCAAGCAACGCCAATCACGCCACGAGAAAGCTTCTGTTCTTGGGGTTTCTTGGTATCCTTTCCTCGTGTGCCTCGACGGTGCAGTGCCAGGTAGCCGGTGGGCGATCTGGTTGAAATTGGTGTCGCGTATGATTAGCCATGATTATTGCCTATTTGCCATTTGCCTACCAAATCGCGAAATACAGTCCATGATTTGATAGGCGATAGTGGCGACTTTTGACGTAAATTGGCCAAGTAGGTGCTATTTGTTGTTGATATCGTATCTACCATGATTCTGAGCACCTCGCGGTGTGCAAACAGTGGCAGTCGAAACACTATGTTCGTTGGATGAAGTTGACTGATCATACTATATTTCGTCTAAATATTTCAGTAAATAAGACCATTGTATACTCCAAATAAATTAAGATGAATTAAAGTCCTTTATTCATTTTAAGCAGCATTGTAAATGAAGGAATATTTAGGAGGTCGTACCATGTGTCTTTTTCCTCTTCAAGACACTGTATCTTGTATGGATAGGGCTCACGACAGGAGTTTTATCTTGGAGAACGTCCGGGCATTTAAATTAGCGGGTTAACCGTATAGGAGCAGACCAGAGACTCGGATTTGTAAAGGGGTTCTTGAACTAACAAGGCAGCCTTAGCTCACATGTTCTGGAAGACGTCTAGAAGGCGCACTGTGGATCATTCCGTATTGTTTCCAAATCCCAGCCTTCTCGTTCCCACTCTTGGGATCCAATGATAATGTCAGGGTTCTAATGTAGAAAACCTGTTGAAGACATGAAGGGTTAACCCATTGAAGGAGAGGTCCCCGACGCGGTACGGAGTATCATTGAGACCCTTTATCATTGGTCTTTTTTGACGAGATAGACGTGCTGGATGAGGAATGAAGAAATCGGGTGATTATTCCTCAACAGCGTGACTTGGCCGGATATCTGATGAGAGTATCCTAGGCACTACCTAGTTATGAGTTTGCAAACACTCGCACTGATATCTTTCTTCTTGTCTTTCATGACCTCCGTGGCATAGATTGATGACCGTTGAACATTATTGTGCATGACTCAAATGTGTCAAGTCCGGTGGACAAACGCCAACAATAGTGGTGAAAAGAACATGACTTCTGCTAATGACAGTTGAAGATAACGATCAAGGGCAAGTGGATTGAAGCGTACAAAAGAACGACCGGGCCGGTGGATACAAAGTGTGCCCGGCAAGACTCCACCCAAACGACTGATAGAGTACGAGGTCCCAGAGTAAGCGCTGGCCGGGGATTGGAACAAGAATGTATCCAACTCTTCAAAGGAAAATAGGTAAAGAGTAAAGTATTAGGGAACATCTGACAATGAAATAAACATCCAAGAAACGTCATCCAAACATGCGGCTCAAAAGCTTAATGCGCCTCGGAGTTTTGGCGTCTTCCAAGGTTCAAACCGCCGCCACAAAATCATTTTTAGGCGCACAAGCACGTCAACGCGCCTAAACCAACACCCCCTCCAACGCGTCTCCCTTTGGGCACCATACACATACGCAGCCCATACCAAGATGTCGACAGCATCCAGAAATGCGGGCGCTTCCACGAGCGGCGCGCAAGCTGGTGTGGGTGAGAAGTCGCTCTTTGAGCAGCAGCGAGAGCTTCTGTTGAAGGAGATTGGCGTGGTATGTTCTGCCTTTGCGCCCGAGAAACAAGAGCTCGCTGACGGGGTGCAACATTTTAGAGCTTCGAGCATGTCCTGCATAACATCAACAAATTAAACCGATCATTGGAGGGCGTCATTGCTGTGAGTAATACTGTCGGAATATGGAAATCTAGCATGAACTTGAACTGGTTTCGTTGATGCGAGAGGATTGTCGAAAACTCACTATGAACTCAACTGATGCGAGGTTCATCTAGGTCGGAAACGAGTTCAGCTCCGTTGAGGCACTTTGGTCATCATTTGAAAATGTGATGGCCAAATATCCTGATGCAGAGGCAGAAAAGAATACTAGCGAGGAAGCAAGAGACACTGCCGAGGGCGACGAAGAAACCGTACTGCCGGAACACAAAAGTTGATGTTGATGGATTTCAAATAGACGACCGGGAAAAAGGGAAAGATTGATGAGGCGTTTGGATTACGATACCCTGGAATTGAAACAAGAGCAAGAAGAATAGCGATCAGTAAATTGAGTATGTTCTGTATGAGTGCCAAACAAGGTCGTAATACATAAGAGATCCCCCAATGTTTGCGCGTTTACCAACCAGCACAATCCCTATTAGTCAACAGAAGAAAGGTACGAAATGAGAGAGTCGAAGTCTAGGAATATGCGCTCTGGCCAAAAGCTTCTTCTTCTGTCCGCCAAATATCCTTTGCCAGTTCATCATTTCTAGAACTCCTTGTTATGCATTCATTGGTCGTGTCGTTGTGATTATCATATTTTGTCGCAATCCAGGCGATTATAGAAACTTGCAGTTGGTCCTCTTCTTCTTTCTCGTACCACCACTACCACCACTCGGCTGACTTGGACTAGATCCTGCTTGTTGAGGCTGTTCTCTCTGAGAACTTCGATCATTTTGGACAACAGTGTTGATGGCTGATGTGAAAATCTCGTCGACTCCAGTCATCTCTTTACTACTACACTCCATATATCTCGCCCCCATTTTGTTTGCAACAGCCATGCCTTGTTCTTGTGTAACTGGTGTTAGACCCTGAGTCTTAAGAAGGTCGATACAGGTGCGTTTTGTTCGGAGATCTGACTTAAGTCCGACGAGCACTAGGGGCGTGTATGGGCAAAAATGAAGAACTTCTGGGTACCACTGATCCTGAGTTAGGGATGGGGGTGCTAGTAGGAGTGTACCAGAACTTACTTTATCCATCACATTCTCCAAGGAGTTCGGGCAGTCAATTGCAAAACAGACAAATAAAAGATCTGTTTCGGGGTACGATAAAGGCCGTAGACGATCGTATTCTTCCTGCCCAGCTGTATCCCACAGTGCAAGTTCCACTGTTTTGCCAGTCGGCTGATGTGTTGGATATGTAATATAGTTCTCAAAGACCGTTGGGACATATTTCTAGCAGATGATCAGCTTATGGAAGTACTAAGATCTCTACATGTACATACCTCTGGGAAGTACCCTTGGCTATAACTTATAAGAAGACATGTCTTTCCGCATCCACCGTCACCAACGACGACAATCTTTTTTGAATATGACGGACCTTCCGTGACCGTCGTTCCTGCGGATTCGCGACCCGTAGAGTTGCTGCTCATCATCGTGCTGACGGTTCCTTCGCTAGATCTGGCGCTTTGCTCGCGGCGTGTTGGTTTTCTTCGAGGCTGCTCAAGTTTTTCCGACATATCAGACCGCCTTCCGTAGTATTCCCCTTGTTGGTACTGCGCCGACATTACAGCTGGTGAATCGGTATATGAGGTTGTGTGGTGTGCTTCAGCAAGCAACCGAAGCCGAACTTATATTATAACGATGATGATTTGCTTCAGGTTGATCTTTGGAAGCTTCTAACGTGGCTTGTGTCTTATGTTGAGAATGTGGATGGGAAGTTGGTTCAGGAGAGGATGGATTTCCCCAACCGCAAAGTCAACATCAGCCGGCCCACCCTGGCTGACCCAGCAACCACAACCAGCCTATCGAAATAAGGTTTGACACAAGCACAATCGCGCACGGTATCAGCCGAGGTGGAGAGTTATCTGACGACAGGAACTTTGGGGTTCAACAATCGTCACCAGGAACAATAAGTGGTTGATTTCCGACGTCCATAGTCGCTCCTTCATATTCATTGGACTTTGGCAACTCTAATTACACATCCCATATTCGGTCGAGTTCAAACCATTCCGCCCAACCGAATGCATCAATGTGTCCACCTCCCAATGGCTCTGGGCCAGGGCTCGAGAAATCCTTGAATTCCTCACCACCTACAATCAAGATCAATGAAGCAGAAGAAGTGCCTGATGCTGGCCTGCGAAGTTTAGATCACTGTAAGAAGGAATTTCCCGTCACCCTCTCTCGGCTTGGTTCGACATTTGGTGGTTGTGACCTGTTGCGATTGCTTAGGAAGTGCGCATTGGAAGGATCGCACTAAGATAGCAAACACTTTGCCGTAATGGCAATGCGGTTTCGGCTTTTATACTCTAGAACATGCGGTCTAAAACTCTGTATATACTGACAATTTTATAGACAAGCGTAAACTTCCACCATGGCGGTACAAGATGCGACAGAGCCTGCTCCCACTCATACGCTGGGAGACCCCCTATTTAGCTTGGATGCAGAACAAAATGCGATCTCCAGCTCTCGACTCTTATTTTGCGATCACAGCGAACCTCGGCACGCATACATTTTTCATGGTCGTCCTTCCTATATTATTCTGGTGTGGACATACCTCTCTGGGAAGAGGGTGAGCAAGGTCATGCTGAAACTATGAATTTAGCTGACGGTATTCAGGATGGTACACATTTTAGCTAGCGGAGTCTTTATTACAGGATTTCTCAAGGACTTTTTCTCACTCCCTCGGCCGCTGTCACCTCCGCTTCAAAGAATCACCATGTCGGGATCAGCGGCTCTAGAATATGGCTTCCCCTCGACTCACTCTGCCAATGCCGTATCCGTTGCTGTGTATGCTCTTTTTTCAGTAAATTCCCCGGAAAGTCAACTTCAAGCGTCCACGAAACTCATAATAGAAGTTGTCAGTTACTCCTATGCGTTTTCGATCATCCTCGGCCGCTTGTATTGCGGTATGCATGGCTTTCTTGATGTTATAGTTGGAAGTATTATCGGGGCTATGATATCTGCCATTGAGTGCATTTATGGCCCACGAATCGATCGGTGGCTTCACAGTAGCTCCTGGACCGCGCCTGCGACTGTTGCCCTCGTGATTATAGTTCTGATTCGTATACATCCTGAGCCAGCTGATGATTGCCCATGCTTCGACGACAGCATTGCTTTTGCAGGTGTAATGATAGGCATTGAATGCGGTGGGTGGCATTATGCGACTGGTGATTGGGCCTGGGACTTCCCAGTGCCTGCAACCGTCCCATTCGATCTCAATCATATGGGATGGCCAACAGTATGCGCACGAGTTTTTGTTGGGGTACTTGTGATATTTGCTTGGAGGGAGGTTATGAAGCCTGCTTTACTCAAATTCCTTCCCCACCTATTCAGGGTGATCGACAACTATGGTTTTATACTCCCGCGAAAATTCTTTATGCCTGCCTCTGAGTACAGTAACATTCCTTCGCGATTAAAGGTCGATAACGTTATGCCATCTGTTTCCGATCTCCCGGGCTTACTCACTTCGATTCGCCATCCTGGTCGTGGTCGGGCTGTATCTGTTGGTCCACAGTCTGCGGCGGACGCATATGAAACTCTTGCTTACCGTGAGAAGCGAAGAAGAGATAGCCTGACGAATTCAGATGGCGGGATGACTGGGCCATCACCTCGATCAAGTAGCAGGTCAAAGGACTACTTTTCTGTCGAGACTGATTCTACTGAGAAGAAAGGATCCACAGGACAGTCTTCAGGAATATCGGGGTCTCTGAGCGTCAAGCCCTCCGGAGATCTTCCCACTCCAGCTCAATCTAGAGTGGGTTCCTTTGAACAAATGATGGGTCAGGGACATGTTGTTTTGACGCCTTCGACTCCCCCAGCGATCGCGGATGAATACGACGAAGATCCCGTGATTGAAGTTGCTCAGCACACCGAGATGAATGAGACAGAACTGTGGTCAAAGGTACAGAAACCTAGAGTAAGATATGACGTTGAAGTGGTCACGAAGTTGGTCGTGTATACAGGTTCGTACTGAAGTATACATTTTGATGGACTGCGCTTAACAACATCTAGGAATTGCAGTGTTGGCTGTAGAAGTCAACCCCATTATATTTGAGATCGTTGGTTTAGGAATGGGTCAACATATACCCAGTCGATAACGCATTATTTGAGCATTTCCATTGTCTTTTGAACAGCTACTCCTGGTAGCCTCGACGAGCATCGCTCGTATGTGTATAGTGATTTATGATGAGCAGGAAAACGATGGCTTTAATGATCGCTTGATATTCCGGCGTTCTGGACATAGGCTAAGACCAGGATAATAAACATTAATACATCGCCCTAAATGGCATAACGAACACCATCTTGTCCACTATTGCAATCCATATGTGAACAATGGCGCTAAGGTCGTCATAGTGTATCTCGATCTCTTCAAGAGGTGACATGGACGTTGGCCCTGAACCATATCACTGTCGTCGCCACCTAAATCCAGGAAATTTGCGCGCAGAAGAATTATCCCCCTTTCGCTAGGTCACCGCACGCACACAAGTGCGTATTCCAGCACGGTGTCCTCCCTCCTCAGCCCAGATAATTGCGTCTTGCGCTAAGTAGGCTTGCAAAATTGCTGCTCGTCCTGTTCCAAAGGAAGCTCCAAATAGAAGTTCCAAAACAATATTTAAGTCCCCTATGCAGACGGGTTCTTCTTGACGTGTTGATACAGTCTCGATTTGGACACGCTCACCCCGCTAATGGGTTTGCGTGAATTGTGATGCTCTCTATCTTGATCTCTTGCTTCGGCCTGTTCTTCTTGTCCACCTCAACGGCCTCCATCTTGCTTAATGTGGCCAAACCATCGTCTCCAATAACATGACCAAAGACCGTATTTTTGCCATCCAGATGCGGCGCCTTGTCGAAACATATGAAGAACTGGCTTCCATTGGTACCTGGGCCTTTATTCGCCATACTGACTATTCCTCTGGCATTGTGTCTCAACGACGGTCGGATCTCGTCTTCGAAATTTTCTTCCCATATCGAAGTCCCTCCTTTTGGTTGCGACGTAGGCGCGCCGGTCTGTATCATGAAATTGGGTATTAAACGGTGAAATGCGGAGTTGTTATAATAGCCGGACGCACAGAGTGCAATGAAATTCTGCACAGCATGTTAGACTTAAGCAGTCACATTGCGCTTCGTGGGCAAATGCAGCATCAGAAGGTTACATTACCTCTGCCGTCTTGGGAACGCTCTCGCAGAATACCTCTATCTTCACATCGCCAAAGTTCGTATGTAGCGTGACGGACATAACTGATTGAGCTCGTCTGCGCTGGGAGCATAGCTGAGCGTGGTGTGGTGAGGTGGAAGCAGAAGCGTTCCTCCGTAGGGCTGAAAGATCTCCTTGATCCACAGCAACTACGAGGTTACGCGGCCGAGCAAACGAAGACAAATGATCCTTGGCTTGGTGACGGTGGTGACCTCGGGCGGGATCTCATGCGGGGTTCTGGTGGTGTATGAGTGTGTGAATATTGCCTAGGAATTATCCTACTCATCGAAACCTTGAATATTGTTAAATCCAATGTTCGTTATTAAGCTCGATGCTCTGGTCCTTCGAATCACCGGTTTGTTTATCGATTAGAGTATTCGAGTATCGGCGCTAGTCGTGCACGGGAGGCCGAATGAGAGACCGTTGGCATACACATCTATGCGGAGGGGAACTTGGAAGGGTTTCCGTTGCAAGCAGCCACAGCTGTGCAGCCATACGAAATACAGTTCATGTACCCTCCTCCACACCACACCACTCACACCCGCCTAAAGCATAGCAACGAACGTTGTCTCTCCACTATAGGACCTCGTTCCAAGACTCCAACCTCGAGAAAGGGAACCTCCAAAACATCCATACCCACGGTCCACAATCGAAGACCTGCCCTCCGGAGCTCCCAAGCCACCCAACGAAGCTATTCACGCCATCCAACCCGCTCCCCGCGCAATCGTCAAATACATTTCAACTGCACATCGATCCATCGCCACTTTGCTTCGTAGTACTCGAGCGCACCAAGAGCTGAGCTGCAGCCTTGTCCATATGGGCTCGGCCAACAACGGACATTGCTAGCAGTTCGCAGCGCAACAACAAACGCTTCTCAAGCCATTTCTTACATGGTCGGTCGATAATCAAGACGCGCAATTGTCTGTCGACACCAACAACATCTGGGCGCAGACCGCCCGGTTGCGCCAGCGTGAGCCCGAGACAAAATGGCAGTCTTCGTCAGAGTCTCGGGGCCGCCAAATAGCAATTTCCTCGTGGGCTATCCGGGTATATCAGCGACTTTGGTGAGAATTTTCTGTCCTTTGCGACAAGATGCGATCTGTAATGCTAATGTGGATTCATTCGCAGCCCAGAGTAGAAGGGAAAGTTGAGATTAGGCCTCTGACAGGAGTAACTTCACCGGTTGCGATATCGCTGGTCCGAATATGTTTGCAGAGGAGAGAAACGATACATCCTTCGGCGGAGTCGCTGACGAAGAAGCATCTGGGCACGCCACGAAGGGACACCACGGACGTGGTGGGAAAGGAACTGTTATTATTCCGGTGTCCGGCTGGAAGGGAATCCGAGAGTGTAGTTTTAATGGACTTGCCGTTTGTGCTATTCATACCATTTGGAAGAGGAGGAGAAGAAAGCAACCGACGGATACCTCCGGCATCATTACAACTTCCGAGTCGAACCGCGGAGACATTCTATGAGCTGGTTGTCACAGTCCAACAAGGCCAAGAACAGAAAAAATATGCGTTTCCAGTACCAATACAGAGATATGATACCCTGTCGACCTTTGGAATGTACAACCGTCCCGAGTCGAACGATCAAACGGTAGACAATCTGGTCACACTGGCAATATCATTACCTCGCTGGTCGTATGGGCCATTAGATCCGGTGAGCGTCTATATCAAGCTATCACCAAATCCAGATTGGTTAAGTAAAGCGAAAAAAGTCATGATACAGAAAATCACAATTGGAATAGAAGAGGAAATTACTTATAATCCAGAGGGAGATGAACCCACGAAGAAAGTCACTCGCATAGCAAAACATACGTCAAATATTGGAATGAAGTTACCTGAGGCTGGATACTTCACAAATTTGGGTCTGGTGTTTCCCTCAAAAGAGCTACGAGACCCAGAAGGTATTATACGTAGGGGAAAGGGAGCGTTTCCGATGTACTCGGTCAACTCTTTCACAACGACAGGGACATTATACAAGATCGAATTCTTCCTAATTATCAAGGTGCGTGCCCTCCTTCTTACCAGCTTACTTGTAGTGTTTGAAATGTTGCTAATCGATGGCAGGCGCACTTGTCTTCAGCCAGAGACATCACGTTGAGGCAGCCAATCGTGGTTTGCCCGATGGATCAGCAAGACTGCAAGGAAGAAATGGATGCCATCGAGCAGGCCGCAAAAGATGCTTCACATGTCGACCCTCATAACCCAATGCTACCCGCCTGTACGATCATTCGCGCTAATGACAAGGACGCGCTCAAAGCTTTAGGCTGGACCATGGTGGGTGGACAACGAAAGATGGTGATAGAATGATGAGATTCGCCATCACCCTTTCTCGTTTTAATTGGCCGGCCCAGCATAATCAATAATAACAGCATATGAGACGGATGATTCTACCTCGTAATTATCTTGAGGCCAAAATCTTTGGGATGTAAGCTTCAATTTCGGTTATCTGTCGAAAATCGACGAAATATATTTGAACGGAGGTGGCCATATTTGTTACAAAGCGGCGGCGCGTTGGAGGCTTGGTTGGACTGGCGTTCTGGATGTGAAATGAATCATACTTTCATAAACATGAAATCTGGATGGAGATTATATGGATGAGATATACTCACCTTCCGCCAATGTTATTTTTGCATATGAGCGGCGTTTTTACGTGGTAGGTGTCTCTTTGACAGGAGACATTCGACTTTTAGGGGGCTTGGAAGACGTGTGTATATGAGACGACTGGGGGATTTATATGACCTGCTTGTGTTGGATTGGTGGGTGGATTTGTCGATCAAGGCAGGAGCAGTGTTGATATAATGAATGAAATCTATGATACCACAGCCGCTTTCTCAATTCTGCTCCCTTCTCCTCATCTGGCTCGTGATCTATTGGATGTCGTTACTTTTCTGGCTTCTCATGGTTTGGTTTGGCCGCTGATTTTATTTGTATTTTCGTGATACGCTTCCCAAGCAATCCTCATTGAAACGGAAGTCCATCCCTCAAGAGAACCGAATCTCCTCAAATTCTCCACAACTTCTCTCTCCTGTTCCCATAATTCGAGACTGTCCATTAACCTCGCATTCCCACCATATTGTTCAGCAACTTCGACTAACCAACCATCTTCGCACCTCCTTACTCAGCCTCTCAGCCTTCACTTAAGCCCCCAGCTCATCTCATCTCCCTGTGACGTAGGAGAAGGCTGATATGCTTATCGTCGGAGGTATAATGTTGTGAGATTAAAATGGGATGAAAGAATAAAGCATTTATTTTGAAGCTAGGTTTTGGTTGTAAATCTATCCGATTTTTGGAGAAAACGTTTTAAGACTGTTTAATCGATGGGAGTATTAGCTGTAGTGAAAATAATAATAATAATAATTGCGCCTCTGGCAATGTAAACTGATGCCCGTCTACGTTCAGGAAAAAAACCTTACATTTTGGTACATGGTCCGTGTGCCTCCTCCACCAAAACCCTACCCTTTCTATAGTAAATAACCCACTTTAACGTCTAGAAAGTTAAATTGAGTCTTGTGATACAAATCATACTTATATGTTAAAACTGTGTGTGATTTTTACCTACTTAAAAAGTTATGTTCTAGTGTGGGAGCGGTTTGAAAACTGTACACCAAAAACGACGCTTTTTACCGAACGAAGAGCCCGGTGCCAAAAGATCGAAACAAAACGCAATTGATGCTTTACAAGCACCAAAAGAATGAAATGATGAGTCGTATTTAATATCTCGGGCTGTGCTTAGGTTTACGCCAAAAAAAAAAACACACACCGCCTTTTTACTCCAATTTCAGCCAAAACACCAAAACATCCACCTTTGTGCTCCATATACTCCTTATACAACCAAAAAAATCACAAGAGTTACTCCCCCGCGTTAAACTGAGCACCGCAGGATTCGAACCTGCGCGGTTTCCCACTGCGGAAATTGTTGTAGCTGGACTTGCATCCTAACCTAAACACAGCGCCTTAACCACTCGGCCAGATGCCCTTTCGCTTGGCTAAAATTGTGCCAAATTTGCAATATTAAGCAGCTTTACTAGGTCAGTGTGACGTTCATACTCCAATAATGTAAGAACCTGGAAGCTTATGAATGACTCAGGTAGTCATTGAACCCACCAGGGGGTGACATAACTCTCTGCGCAGTCAGAAATTACAAGTAAGATTTTAACAACGAAACAACATCAATCTTTTTTTTTTTTTTTTTGGATTTATGAATCTAATCGTACTTCTAACCCTCACGAACAAGCCTATGTTAACAGAAACATAGTTTTTCGCTGTAGTACTAAGTTATCTGTTTCCGGAGTTCCTGGGTGCGCAGAGAACTGTGTCCCCGGCTGGTTACCGTTCGATGCTTCAAATTATTAATGTTATCCTGCATTAATAGAGAATGTTCATTATTTCGCGTTTCAAGAGACAGTCTTCCGAGCCAGGCGCTGTAACTAAAACAGGGACAGGCACTCTCAGGGGGAGGAGAAAGTGGCTGATATCGTCCTAAATACGATAACTTGAGATCTTTTTAATAGTATTAGCTAGAATCTAAATTGAGATCTATTTAGACTTTAATTATTAAGAAAACGAAAGAATAGAGAGTCTAAGAAATAAATTTAGTTAAGGTACATATTCAAGAAGTCGTAAAACCACTGTTTTTCACGTATCTATGTCTTAGAGTGGCCTATGCGACGAAATCAGCCACTTTCTCCTCCTAAGAGCAGGCCCCCTGAGCTTCGGCCTGGTGCGCAAGGCTGACAGCCGACTCACAAAACCTGTGCCATCTGAGAAAGCAATGGAAATATTCGACATCCCACGATAACTCACGCGAGCATGGCTGACCTCGACGAAGATGCCCCAATTATCTCCTTACAGTCCAACAATGAAGATGACGATCCAACGGACGAAATTGCAGATTACCGACTACTCTCCACACTTTCTGCAAAGTCGGGCCAGCTCCCAAAACGAGGAGAGAAAGACTTCGAACCTCACGGCACCAGGCATCAGGATGGTATTCTAGAGTCGAGTAGGCAGGCTATGCACGATGCTTTATCACACACCAGATTTCATTCCGCGAAGAATCATACAAGAGGCTTTTATTATGGGGACGAGAGCTTGAATAGAGATGAGGTTGTTCCGCCGGAATGGAGAAAAGGCTTAGACGATGACCATGTTGTCGTTCTAGAGAATACCAAAGGTCCGCATTGGAAAAGTATGGGGAAATCAACACTAGGCCAACGATATGCAAGTGTGTGGCTACTGCCTGAAGAGGCTCTATATTTGGTGGAGAGAGGTAATCTTGACCTCTGGTGGCCATCACGTTCGTCGTTCAAGGGTATGGTTACGAGGAAAAACGATGAAGAAGATATTGAAAATCCTGACACGGTAGATGAAGACATCGATGAAGGCGTACCAATGAGTTTACAAGCGGCATATGCCCTTTTGATTGGCAGGGACGAGCAAAGAGGCAAAGTGAGCTTAGACAGGTACACTGTATACACAAATCTCAGAAGAAATGGTTATGCAGTCTTAAGAGCCTCAGATGATGCGACCAAGCCCGGCGATTTTCAGAAAAGCAATAATGCCCCCAAATATACCGAAAACATATTTAATTGGCTTTTCGGCGGGTTCTTCCATTATGAACCCCCACCGTTTGGGCCATTGGTGAAGCCTGGCATGTACAAATCGTACAACACCATCTATCAGCAGATCGCCATAATTCCGAGATACAAGCCTTCACTGGATGATGAAGTAACACCACCAGAAGATCCATACCGGGTTGTCTTTTACGCCTGGAAACCGGACAATGTAGCCAACTTTATCAAAACAAATCCAGGTATTCCCGATTTCCGAATTGCAATCACGGATGCACGTTCATCATTCGTACCGTCGCTGACACAAGTCGAATCTTTATTGAGGAGCACACCGTGGGATCCACCCAAGTCGGAGTGGGCTGGATTACCAGAGAAGCTTTATCAGCGTTTGAGACACGGTTGGCGAAATGTGGTTTTGGCGGTCGTTGATCAAGGGGTTATCAGCTATTTGCGCCTTGGCGAGACTGCATTTGGAGAAGAAGATTTGTCCAAGAGGTTTGACCAAAATCTCTCTGGCGGTGGTAAGCGAGGTGGAGGCGCGGGTCGTGGTCGTGGGGGACGTGGGAGGGGAAGAGGACGAGGTAGAGGTAAATGAATTAATAGCTTCCCTTTTGCATTATCTGTTCATTGCTACAATGTTGCTCGTATATGTTGGGGTTAGATTAATTGATTGGTGTGCAGAAGCCAAAGTGAGAAAGATGGCTTTTCGACCCTTGTAGGATTATGACAGTTGTTGGCAATGCTCACAAAAGTCGTCAACCAACCCGAACGGCTACTTGCAGATTAGGGAGCCCCTATCACGGCATTTTATCGATATTATCGTATTTGCTGCTTTCCCAAACGCAATTGAAAAGAGCCAATTGTTCTTCGATTGTTGTGACATATTTATTAGATGCAAAGCGCTATTATGACGCTGGCTGGTAAAGTACGGAGTAGATAAGATGCACAAGCGCTCTTCTCAAATCTTGAAACGTGAATCATTCAAAACAGGACATTTGAATCATCAGCTTTCGTCCACTACATAGATTCGAGCAGTAATTAATTGCTAAGATCTGGCTATTCACTTTGAAAAGAAAAGGAGATTAGAGACACAGCTGTCGTACAACTCATCACTTTAAAGATCCTACCGGACCGCCAACCGATAATCGATTGCCTACAGCTCCCTTAAGGCGAGGGATAAAAGGGCGCTAGCTTAATCTACATCCGATTAATTGATTCGCTTGACCAACCTGAACCTGAACCTAAGCATTTCTTCTGCGTCTCATCACATCAACGGGTCAAGGCTCCTTTCAACTCTCTTTCTTTCTCCGACAATCAATTTCCAACGCTCTTTTGATTCTTTTTTACCTGACTTCTTACCACACTCGTACCTTCATAACAACGCCCCAACAATCAACCATATCTCGATCTAACAACGCATTGCCACAACGATGGAGGTGCCACCTGGTTCGAGCTCTGGTTCGTTGGGTTCGTTGACCACCAGAAGCACAGAAAGTATGGAATTAGATGGCTTTGAACAAGACACGCCAGCAGAACCAAGTAGTCCGTAAGTACCTGCTTTCTTGATATTCTTGTCCTAAAGATTATTCGAACTCCCGCCGTCGAATATCTACTGCTCTATTCGATCCTTATCATCGTCCTAATTTTCCATCGCGCTGTGGCTTCAATCATCATCATATTCATGTTGGCTGCGTGTCCTCGTTTTCCAACATGTTCAATGTTTCCACTTCACCTTTTGGCACAACTGCGCCTTCCATAGCGATGCAATGTCTATGACGCGCAACGCATAAATGACTAGAAGTTCTATGTCTTCAGATGCATCACTTCACGTCACAATGTTTTTGTCACGTCATATTTGTCTTTCTTTTTTTGGCACCATAGCTGTGTCACTTTTGTCAAATTCTTTGTGGCTGCGATTCACTCGGCACGTGTGTGCACCTCTCTTTTGCAATTTTTGCCATCACTTTAACTGTTAATTGAGCGCTAGCTAAAACTCTTTTTAGGATCTCGGGTTCTAACACTAACAGCATCATCGTTGATGTCGGAAGAGATCAACTTGACGATGCACCATCACCTGAGTACGGCAATGCATCTGCTATTTCAATCAATCCAGACGATGAAGAAATAGCAGTCGCCGCAGCTCAACCAAAGAGAAAACGTACTTCAATCAACTACAATGTAGATGACGCCCTGAATTTTGATGATATTCATGTCAGTCCTAGCATCACAGGTCCAATCATCAAGCGATCAAAGACGCTACCGAAACCAAACGTCCGAGGTGTCATAATCGGCGTCTGGCGTGACTCCAATGAGCTTGATGTTGCTAATAAACACGTGGTATTCGGGTTTATCGATATTCACGATAGGCTACGTACAAGAATCTACGGAATGAACCGCAAGCGAGAAGAACTTGTTGGTAACCTTCCTACAGGCGCCGGAGGATGTTGGGTCACCTTTCCTAAAATCATCTTCGATTCTCACTTGAAGGATCTTTCTCCCGGTCAAGTCAAAGAATATGTCAAATTTCGAGTTCAGGATTTAGAAGATTCATCAACCGAGGAACGTTCCGAGGAACTCAATGCAATAGCTGTCGGTCGAGCGAAAGCAGCTGTGGCCGATGGTATTGCGTCGCCAGCCAGTAAACAAATTGTGCATCGCCCATCTGGACGTAAATCAGCAAGCCGCCAATCATTCCCACCGCAAACTCTACGCAAGACGCCAAGCTTTCAGGCAATCAATTCTCCAAATGATAAGCTTACGAAGGGTTCCTTCTATGATGGCAAACCAACGGGTGTGCTTTTAGGCTATTGGGTCGATTCAAACTCGCCGCTAGTGGAAGACAAGCACGCAATGTACGGTGTCATTAGTGGGCACGACTGTCTTCGGGTCAAAGTGCAGAGGGTGACTCGTGATGGTCGATACGTTGACGGTAACTTTCCCGTTGGAGCTGGGGCAATGTGGTTAAATTATGATAAAGTCGTGTTCGAGCCACACCTCGCCGATTTGACCAGACAGCAAATGAAGGAATACACCCGTATTCGTCTAAGCGATCTGGCCCAGTTACAAGATGAAACTGACCAGGAGCGTAAGTTGAACGAGGCGAAAGCTGTAGCGCAGGCGAAGGAGATTGCTGCAAGAGATGATGTTAGCGACAAAGCCATCGTGCAAAAGGCTCCTACGCTTGAGATGGAGACTCGACATAGTGCTCGGTCTGAGCAAAGGTCCCAGGCCAAACAACAAGCAGAAGCAAATGCCGAAGTGGAGAGAACACGAAAGCAAAAGAAGGAGGCTTCCGAGAAACAGCACAAGAAGACTCAGAAAGAAATTTCTCTGGACGAAGCTTCTGCTCAAGGGGCAGCACAGGTTGAGCTAAAGAACAACATGAAGAAGCTTAATCGTATCTGGAAAGCTCAACAGACGGTGACGACTCCACAAGCTCAGGCAAGCACAGCCACCCCACCCCCTCCGCCAGAAGAAGTAAAATATCATAACGGCATTAAATACGAAAGGAAGCAAACAGGAGTTCTTCAAGGAAAGCTAGTCAGCGCTGCTCAAATACTGAATATTGACGGCGAGGACTACATTGAGTATCGAGTTTTAATGAGGCCGGCATTTTGATTACTTGCTTCTGTTTATCCTGAATGATGGGGACTAATGTACGAGAGTTTTCTATATCGACTTTTGTGTTTTGTAATACCTATCGACGGCAGATGGTTTCAGGCAGGGCGTTATTGTATACCAATCGTTGATTTTCATCATGACATAAATTTAGATTAGTCTTCACATACGCGCATACCAATATGAAGTGGAAAGCTTCTGCTGGACTGGGATGGAAATTAGAACTGGTTTAAGGGCAGTTGCCGAATTCAAGGGTTGTTGCAGTCATGCCCAGTAAATTAGCAAAAGAATATGTTACAACAGTCTTGGTCTACTCTGATCTGGTCACCGGGAAGTGTCGAATAATGGGTTGTAAGTACTGGTGGTAGTATGTCTATTTCAATCCGAACCGAACCTCTTCGTAGGATTTGGAGTCATTCGTTGTCAGCTTAGAGCTCGTAGGACACTTGTTGAGGTAAGAAATCCTTTGGTGTGAGTTCAGTAATCTGACGAGATTCTCCAGGTCATTTATAAAGTTTCTGGTCACTGGCCGCCCACCGCGAGCCTAGTTGTTTGACAGACTCTAATAGTTCGATTTCTAGAATGATTTATTTCGTGCTTAAAGGTATTTGGAGACTGGTTTAAGACCAAATTTGGTGCAAAAGATCGTATTGCTTATAGACAACCAAATGCGACGTCTTTTTACTCTCCAACTCCTTAGTCTCGTTAGTAGTTCGGACCTCGAATTCGACTTCACTTTCGATTATACTGTCTATTAGCGCCCCAATAGGTAAAGATCGTCGTTAGATCTATTTCGCTAAAATCTAGACGCAAGGTCAACTTCCTATTTTTGTCCCACTACGCAGTTCTACTTTATTAGCTTCAACTTCATCGGATCACAGAGCCCTCAGCAGGATCTTATAATATAGGATCAAAATTGTGCCATCTGGAGGAGACAGAATCGGCCGCGTTCGCTTTCGATCTAGGTCACTAGGTGTACAGATTTTTCGGAAACGGCAGTCACCTCTTCAAACGCCAGGCGGGTGGAAGATTTTGCTGCTCACTTGCTATCTCCAGAAAATCTTTCGTTGGTCAAGAGTAAGACAGAGAGCTGATAGCATATTTCTTAACAACTATATCATCTGGTGTATGTGATTGTGTGCGTTGAAGAAGATCGGGTTTTGCACATCAACCAGGGTCCCAATCTGGCTTTTCTACAACTTCAAGCCTATCTTGAGTTATTACGCTACGACATAGGTAAGTTGAGGAACCTTTTATTTAGTGTTGATGTAAACATGAAAGTCTTCTCGCTAAACATTCCAATGTGCAGGAATCGATCTCTATACTCTTCGACGCCATCAACCTTCCTTGACGACTTCACCATGGGTGATGAGAATTTACCTCCGAACAGCATGACGCCTACTAAAAGCACGAAGTCTGCAGAATCATCCATCTGGTCTTACAACAACATTGGATCGCCTACAGTAAGACCTTCAAATATCATTCCGATCTCCGGCGAAGGACTGGGGTTGAGAACTAGAAGTGCTGTTACGGCAGTGGCTGAACCTTCCAATGCAAAAGAAAACCAAACAAAAGCTTCAAAGAGATCAGCAGAAGATACCTTTCCCAAAGATACTGTTACTGGGCACCCAAAACGAGGAAAATTTGAGGCCATGAAAGGTCCTGCTAACATGGAAAATGTGGAAACAGAATTCACTACAAGCTGCGAAATCGAAAATCGACTCGAGGATGGACAACCTGCAGAGCCTCCGCAACATAATGCAGATCTCGTTGTTGGCACCAGTATTACCGATCCTGGCAAAGTTCGCGTATTCGCTTTCCTCACCAATTCCAATCAACTGAAGTTCGCCCCTGACGAGACTGATGTTGAAAAGAGCGACGTCAAGTTCCATAAAACAAGGTCGAAGTATGAAGAAGTAATTTTTGACCCCAAATTCTGCAAGGGAAAAGAAAGCGATACGAAGGAATATATTAGAAGTGTATTACTCAGTAGGAAAGGCTCTTCCGGTACGTTGAATATCACACGATCAAAGATCAGGTCTTTGAACATTAGTCAACCAGAACCAGCGCCAGTTGAGCAATCTACAGCACCCCAAGATAAGCAGATTGAGCTGCCATCAGAGCCTGCTGTTGATTTTGAAGCGCCTCCATCTTCAACCCTTGAGCCCTATCTGAGCCAAGTACAAAATGTCTATGATGATGTCGTGTTGGAACGTGATAGGTACAAGAGTGAGATTTCAAAGCTTTCAAACAAATACAGCACACTCATGGCGGAGAAAGACAAACTGCTTTCTGAGAGAAAGGCAATGAAGAAGACTCTTCTCGCAGGGGAGGCATCCAACAGAGAACAAGCCACCAAATTAGCTAGTAAGGATGCTACTATCAAGTCTCTACAGGACAATTAGGCCGTTTGGCGAAGGAGCTACAGCAAAGAAACATTCGAACAACTGGCAATACAATAACGGTCAGGGGCCAGGAAGAACAACTGCAAGGAGAAAGTAGCAGCGACTCTGCCGAACAAACATGTTCTCGCGACACAACAAGCCAAGAAAAATCACAAAACAGACAAACTCTCGCCGAGCAGTTCAAGTCACTCAGACCACCCGCCGGTTGTTTGGAAGCTGATCGCTCAGCCGCCAATTGTCAAGCCGCCCATCTGACCAACCCAGGAGCACCGAAGGAGATCACTGTGGATAATGAGAAGTACGAGCTTATCCCAGAAGGAAAGCAGAATGCCGGCTATTACAAGCAAAAGTCTTTCAAAATCTTTGGCGACGATGGAAAAGCTTACAAGAGTAAAAGCTACCTCATGCCGCTCGTTTTACAGATCCCAGGAGACTACACAGGCCAATCTGCGCTGATCAACAGCCAAGTATGTGATCGCTATATCGAGAAAGGAGAGGAGAAGTTTGTGACCAAGCCGAGTGCTCATTATCTGATTAAGCATGAGGGACAATGTTATGCGAAGTGGACTGTGGCTCGTGTGATTGAGGTTCATGCTGACAGTTCTCCATGAGAATAGTCATCCTAGTGAGCGAAATTTTCTGTCAAAACACAAAGATACCGTGGTATCAATGCTGTTAAGAAAGAAGATCGAGGCGGAGGGGCTGAGTCAGCTTCGTGTCTGATTAGAGAGGCGTTCGTAGCTAAACTTTTGTGTCGGATTATAAGGATAACACTCGATTGTAAAAGGACTCAGATTTTAGAACTACTTGATTAAAACTAGAACTTTAGCTATAAATTAGAGCTAGTAAAATACACACCTTTTTATAGAATACGAGTATTAGTAAAGTGACATTTTACGTCGTTATCCTAAAATAGTAAGAGAGGCTTCTAGCTTAACATATCTAGAATAACAAGTAAGAAGGTACTAATTAGTTAGAAAAGTAGGGAGCCTGTGGACTGTATAGTCGATCGAATCGATATTGTATTTTGACTACTACTATAAGTCAAGCCTAGTAATTAGTTAGTAGGCTATTTATAATTTAACTATAGAATATATAGAATGAAGGTAAAAAATATAAAATAATTCAGAACACCTTAAACGCAGAGTCTAGTACTGTAGTCACTTATTAATAATCAACTCTTAGCGCTCGTTGACTACTTCAAAGAAGACGAAGATGGTCGTCGCCGAGGCAAGTCATGTGACCTTTATTTCTGCTTGTCTCGGTTCGTCCCGTTTCTAGCTGCACAATGACGGGCGGATGCCAAGTACTAAGTTCCTTGATCGCCCAGGAGATAGCTCGCTATATTTCTCCTGGAAGAATTGCGAAGATGAATTACTATCTTTGTAACACACCTTTGCCTTTTTCCGACGGCAGTCAATTGTCTCTTCATAACGTCACATCAGGATTCCAAGCGAACACGACAATCACCTATCAGCTCTTCGGATTCGACTAGAAATAAGCTCAGAAACGTCATCGTCACAAGGCTTGGCGCTTTTCACCTGCCGGTCCATCCGAAAAGAAGAACCTTATTAATCCAAGTACAGTCATGGACGATTTTCTCGAGTTGGGCATGGAAGGAGTTGATAAAGTGGTGGACAAAAACTTCCATAAGGTTCCCGATAAATATCTTCACTCAGACGCATATATCCCACATCGTAGACACAAACGCGATTCCACTAGAAGTAGTACACAAGACCCATCCGAGGACGCATATTACGAGGCCAAGGCACAGAGAAAATCATCGAAGGATCAGAAGCCTAAAATGGCCAATCAAGACGTTGCCACCGGAGGTACTTATTTAGACTACAACCAGAACCCGAATTATAATCACAATCCGGTTCCCAACTACGGCAGCGCAGAAATGGCGAATGTACCCGTGTACAGCAACGTACCACCACATCCCCGACCACAATATACACCATATTACCCTTCCAACGAACCTCCGAGACAGTATGAGTCCTACCGTCCGGACTTCGACGATCGCCGCTCGCGCAGGGGAAGGAGAGATTCGAGTTCGAGTTCCTCAGGATATGATTCAGATCGACCAGTCAGGAGGCCGGTGAGACCGAAGAACCTTCAGCGGAGAAGGAGTTCAAGTTACCACGGCCCGTCGAGCAGAGGAAATGATCTAGCGCTCGCGAGACGATCCGGGTCCAGCCATACGGGTGTAAGAGATCAGGTTAAGGATAAAGCACATCGTTATGGCGTGAAGGGGGAGATCGATGACCTGTTTACTTCGAGTAAGAAGGGTCTTACTGGCGCGGCTGTCGGTGCTCTTGTGGGTGGTTGGGCGGCGCATAAAGCGCAAGAGGCGAACAAGAGGGGCAATGGCTCATCGAACAACCTTATCACATTGCTTGGTGCCGCTGCTGGAGGCATTATTGCCGATGTGGGCGTTAGCAAGTGGGAAACTGCGAATTCAAAGACCGAAGAGAAGGAAGAGAAATGGGAGAAGAAGTTTGGAAGTGAGGGAGGAAGGAGCCGTAGGGGGAGTAGGGACAGAGGTACGAGGAGGAGAAGAGACAGTTATAGTTCCGATGAGGGCCGTTATCGACGTTAAATGGGTTATGGTTATGATGTTACGGGTATATATATTTTTATGCAACATAGATGGGGTTTTTGCGTTGGCGTTCGAATAGAGATCATTGCGGATACGGAATGGGAGGAGTATGAAAATGCAGTTGGACACGGATATATGGCATGAATGATGAAATAAATGTAATGATAGAATATTTCCCGAGAACAAGTTTTAATGATCAGCCTACGATTGCATTGTAAGTTTAAGTATTTTACCCCCATTCTGTTTAAAACAAACGTTAGTGCAGTGTAAAACCTGGTCTTCATATAAACCGTATTTGAGAAGTATGTGGTGAAGGCACCGACTCGAGGTTTGGTGGCCTTTTCCTGCATATGTATACAATGAAGTCGACGACAAAGGACGCATGGCACCAGCACGTTGCGTATAAAAATAGAAAGCGCATAGTAATTTCCAAACCAGCCTAGCACCTTCTAAGGGCTCATATGGAAGAGTGATAACCTATTTTTGTGTTGGGTTCAGATTATTTCCCTGATCAAAGTACTGTAGGTATTATGCATCACGGGCATCGTATTGCAACATAAATTCCTATATGAAAAATCTGCAGCTTATTTTTTACATGGCTAATACATGTGTCTTTGCATCAGAATTTATGCATAGAATCTCCAATTGGTGTAGTTATACCCCTACCTAAAGCTTGCCATCTGACGGTAACGCAACCGAGGCAACCAAAGGGGGTCGAAGCGTTTGACGTTCTTATTTAACAAGCCACAACGATTGCTTCTTCACAACAACCATCATACATTATTGGTACTCGCAACAACATGAAATCTTCGGCAGCTATGCTTATGGATACTCTAAAATGGGTAGAACCCAAAATGACCCCATTGGACGAGTCGAGAAGCATTGACGGTTGGTATGAATGGGAAGGACAAATCGCGTCCGTAACCTGGTCGCGTTACATTTTTTGGATGTATATGGACCCCGACACACCTACGGAAGAGTTACCCAAGTTTGAACCTTTACAACTGTCAAAGCTTCTTCGTACTCAACTCTCCGCTGCTGGACTATCGTTACCAAATTTGTTTCAACTATGCGTGGAAGAGGAATAATACTCTTACAACGACACAGCCGAGGAAGCAAAACTCGGCATTCTCATGCCAATGTACAAAGGCCTAGATACGGAGAAGACTGGAGAGCTTTACCGCGACTTAACTGTCTTTCCATATCATTATCCCTTGTTACGGAATAAACAGCTTGCCCTGCGAAACATCAAACGAACCATGAAGAGAAGCGTAACACCCAAAATTAGGAAGCTTATCATTGAAAGCGGCGCAAATACCGCATACGACATAATGAAATTGATCAAAGAGCATTGCGCTCCGAGAGACCAAGAATACCACGCGGCATGGAAGAAGCTGTGTATTTCAGCTGCTCCGAAAGGCAAAGACAACGTCAAGAAATGGTTGAGGGAGTGGGAAAGCCTGTTTCATAGATGTCAGCAACAAAAGTTAACATTCTTAAATGGGGATGTGCCACTATTCAATTTCCTCGATGCGATAAATCGTGTCCCAGGATTTGACACCGAAGATATGAGATATCGAATATTATACAAGAATACCGACTGGACGTTCCTATCTCTTGTGAATTTCTACCAATACAAAAACGAAACATTGGAGCCATGGAAGCGAAAGGCAAAACGAGTGCAACGCAAGAGGCAGGGCAAACATCGGGCACCTGCTTCTAAGTAGTTGACTTACTATAGACAAAAGATCCAGTTAACGAAAGATGACATCTTATCTCCTTCAGTTAGATATATTAGGTATCCTACATACGGAAACCAGGAAATGAGCAGATTTTTATCCCGACTTTTGCAATTGAGTGACCTTGCTGGCTTTTATGTTTGGTCGACGCTGGCAAGACATGACACAAATCCTCCCGTTCGATGAAGCAATCGATTTTGTTGGAGTTTGAAAGCTTGTGGGAAAGCAGTTGTTCTGAACTGCAGAACTTCCCTATTCCAAACAAGGAGACCTGGCTGGTCTGGAGCCTAGAACTGATCTTCCTCTGACCACTTCAATATGACTTCATTCTAAAAAAGGAATTGGAGTTTGTGTTACTATGCCTACGAATCGACAACATTTCTTATTCGTGTTCGGCTGGACAAGCAGCAATTCAAGCTATCCTACGTCAATGACTTGAGCAGATTGCATCAACGACGGCCTCGACCAGAGTTTATCCCTGGACATAACGCGTGAGACGCGTTGTCTGAGCGCGGAATATATTGATCATTGCGGGGTTGATATTTGCTTTTGGCAAAGAAGTGCATGAACCAACGATCGAGATCGCGCTATGATGGCAGTGTGGATCACTTAAATGACTTCACACGAAGTCACATGTTCTCGTGTGATGGCTTTTTGGCGTTTTCACGATGTGTCAAATGTTTCAGAGGCTGATAGGAGCCGCTAGCAGCGTGGTTGTCATGGTACCTGAGTGGACTTAGCTGCGAATGTGTTGACATCATGAGTTAGTGGATGAGCTAGGAGCTGCCGCACCCCACATAATGAGATCTATGGGATTGAGATCATGCTCGGGGATGTCTTCCGCATGGAGATTTGCATGAATGGAAACTTTCGCATAGGAAAAGGCCCGGAATCCGATTTGTCGATGTTAGTGGTAGGGCTTGGTAGATCGATTGGTTGTGGGGTAGCTGTGATGGAATCGATCGTTTTGTCCGTATGAGGTGATGTGAGCGAACACTTGGAAAAAATGGAGGAGGAAAGGTATATAAGATTGAACAATTCCGGTCTCAATCACTTTCTTCTATCCATCAAACATCACAACTTCATACCAACCACCCAATACCCAAAAACCAAACAAAGTTTGCAATCAAAAATCATCAACATGTCATCTACCGGAGAGACCTACAAGCCAACTGGTATGTTTCACATTTCCCCTTCATCTTTCTCTTTAGAACTTGATCAAGACTGACATCTTACACAGAGCACGGTGGACTGAAGGAGGACGGAACTCCAGACAAGCGTGTCGGCACTGGACGTAAGTTTTGACTTCACACATCTCCCTTCCACAGTAAGACCTAACATACAATCACAGAGTTCGCTCAAGGAAAGGTCGACCCTCATGAGGCTGGAAAGTCTGGAGGAGCAACCTCTGGCACTGGAAATGCTAGCTCAGGATCAACTGGCGGTTCCACCGGCGGCTCTGATGCCTCTGGAGGCAACTACAAGCCAACCGAGCACGGTGGATTGAAGGAGGATGGTACCGTAGATGGACGTGTTAAGCAGTAGATTGATTCTGTTGTTGGACAAAATAGTCACTGCTTGATGCAGGATATCTTGTATGAATAGCGTTATGGTTACGGATAGCGAACGGGACGCCGGGAGCTGATTATGAATTTGTTCTCTTTTATCAGTTTTGGTCACTCTATGAGAAAGGATTTCAAAGAGGTTCTATGCGTTTATGCTGTGTCGGTTTGTCAGTGAATAGTGACATATCAACTATATCCGATTACCGAAAGCATCAGCATCCGGAATTTGTTGAATGATGACGTCTCCATTGTACAGTCCATACTGGTAGGAACATCGTCCGTGCAATGACGGATAAGAGTTTTAAACAAAACAATACCTCTTGAACTGAATTCCGGTGATTGTCATTAGACGGTTTTTGGAACTCGTTCTGAACTGCTGACTCCGCGTCGTCCTCGCGTTCAGGATTGAATCAAAAGTAATGGAGCAAGTTCACAATCAACAAACAAGTATAATTTTACCCAACGAATGTTATGTGACCAAGCCGATATAACATACTTATTCCGTCTACTATTTTCAGCAACTCCATAGTTCAAAATCCAACTTAAAATCCTGAGAGATTAGATGATTTATTAGCACTAAATTTCCCTCCCTACTCTGTATATTTCACCCTGTCGAAAGCTCAAAACCACTTATCTTGTCCACTGCGTTGGTGACAGGTGCTTATGTAACAAGTAATTAATTTCAACAAATGTAAATCTAAAACTCGATTCTTACCGTTTTCTGTATGTGAATTGTGAGGAGTTGATGAGGTTGTTTCTCTTTTGAAGTTGGGTTTTACGATATCATTTATTATTTTCCTAAGAGGGCGATGCAAAGACAACTCAATAGATCACTGAAAGTAAATTGGAAATTGTGCAGGTAGTTTCGAGGCGAAAACTTGGCGGATTCTTTTAGGTCTCTAGGTCTGAGAAACGTGAAACTCATCCCAATTAATAGTCCAGTAATGTGATACGTGCTGTGTTCAACAGGCATGGCAGCCAGTACAAACATCTCAAGCAAGATGCGAAGATTCTGATCAAATATAAAGCTTGTATTCTTTCGTGGAGCCAACTATTACATTAATACCAAAGGTATCCTCTGAAATTTTACCATTCCAAGTCTTTCGTATGAACATTGGTAACGATCCGTTTTGATTATCATCAATCATCGCTCATCCACGTGCAAATTATCGACCACACTAGCCAGGTCCTTTACTGTATCAACGACATCTCGAATGCCACCACACAACACCCTTCAAGACATTAATGACATTTCCAACATTACACTATTCATCTGTAAGCGGCCGTCCCTCCCACAGCTCTCCGAGCCCTCGCAGCAAATCTCAACTTCGCCGACGGATTGTCACAAGTCGCAGTCAGACATACACCCGGCAGCACGCTCTCGTCGGTAACGCAGCACGAACCGATCGCACAGATGCTGCTACCTCCACACTCCACGTCGGTCGCACACGGCTTGAGAGAGGCGCAAATAGCATTGGCACCACAGAAGCCAGAAGTGGAAGCGCCCGTGAAACAGTAACAGTTCTCGTTGTTTTGGCAATTCTCGATGCCCGCGTCACAGGTCGAGCCTGGGCAGGTTGGTGGGGTTGCGGTGGCGGTTACGATGCTGGTCACGGTCTGGAAGGAGAAGGTGAGTGTTAGTTTCTGAATTGGGAGTTGGGAATTGGGAATTGGGAAAAGTGGAAAGTGGAAAAATGGGGGTGGAATTGAGGCTATTGATTACTTACAGGTGTAGGTGCTGTGAAAGTGCTTGGTACAACACCAAAGCAGGAACAGGCGCTGGAATATCTGACGGTTCCCGAACAGGCACTGGCGTAAACTGGAACGGTAGCAGCGCGCTTCGCAATAACAGTTGGAGCTGGAGTGATTGTCGTGGTAATGAAGACGGTGGTAGCTGAAGGCGTGACGGTGGTTGCCAGGAAAGCAGCACAATCTGCCTTTGCACTCGCGACTTGAGCTGCTCCTTTGGCGGTACCAGTAACGGCTCGGGCACAATTGTCTGCGTTACAAGAAGTTGCAATTGCAATTCCCGCAAGAGAAAGAGTGACAGGGAGTAAGAACTGCATAGTGAAAACAATTGACGATTGCAGAACACACACGACGATGTTGTTGAAGAGGGAGAGTGTGGGTTGAACAAGTTGAAGCCCGGGGAAGCTCGAGACTTTATTTATCCAACATTAGCATCTTGGAAAGGCACAGTTACATGACGGCAAGCCGTGAATATTATCGATGCGCCCATTTTCACTTGGATGGGAAGAGTAGCGGCATCTTGACCTGCATATCTTCCGGGCGTGCAGTGATACCGATAAACTCCTCTATTCACCGGAACGGTAAAATGCAGCCTTTGGATGAATCGGGAATAGAGCTTCTGCATTGGTGTCGACAACCCATGCAGTACCTCCGTACCCGGCCAGGAACAGATGCTTGGCTTTGATCCTTACATGCGAACATGTTTATTCTCAAACAAAAGACAATAATCGCACATATGTTGGTGTAAGAAGTGCTGCTATATTGAGAATCCTCCTCGAGTAACAAGTCACTCGACAGTACGGCTCCGCCTCCACGAGGGCTCCCCTTAATTTGTCGAGCGCGCTACGGCCGCCAATTCTTGTCACTTGTGGTTCGGTTGCTCACTGCACGCATGCCTACGACTCTGCACACATGTAAGAAACGGGGTGTTGCGTGTAGCGCTCACCAACGGGCTCGTAACCATGGCCATGCCGTACGACCCTGATCTCAGGTACCAGAAACCAATAAGGCAAAATTGTTACCGAGATCCGCGTGGGACGGTTGGACGGATACTTTTAGGGCGGGGAATGCTTGCTGCGGTTGTGTATATCCCTTCGAGTTCACTTTCAAATCGTCAAAGTCAAGATGGAGCTGGTGGAACACAATCACTCCGTTCTACATCGAACGATGTCATGGCTATTTGGCTTTCTGTGACGTACGGAACATGCTCTCACCCGCGAGAAATACACAGCTTGTCATCACCAGTATTCGTCCAACTCGTACGTTCAAGGTTGATTGCCGAATCATGGCGCCGGATTCTCGCTACCGTAGGAAGCGCATATGTTGAAACAAAAATGTTTTGAAACATTTCAACATGCACTTTGTGGGAGAGGGCAAAAGTTGGATGTTTTGACTTCGAATGCATGCTGGAGGCTCGGGAACATCCAAGCGTCGAGCCTTGTCTTGACGCTACCTTCTGCTGACAGTCTGACCACACCTATTCAAAAAACTTCCAGAGATAATTGTGAAGAGCAGATGACAGTAAAATGTAAGTTGGCGAGATGCAGGAGTTGCATAACCTGTTACGAAGTCACCAACCTCATAAGGTTAGTGCTTGGCATGAAAGATCAATGAGCAGAGAGTGGTCTATCAGGATGATGCGCGTGGTTTCTTTTGGGAACTCTCGTCGAAGACCTAGCCATAAGCCTGCATTTTCAAAGAGGACAGTCACTTGTCTGACGACAGAAGGTATGATTAACAGAAGAAGAATAGGTTCCGTAAAACCAGTCACCAGCACTGGCGAAGTGATCGAGATGTTCAAGACTCGACGGGTAAATCGCAGCACCTAACCGGCGGAAGGACAGTTCTGCAGGCTCAATTTGAAGGGTTATGGAAATAGGGGTGGAAATCGACAATGATGATATTCAAACGCTAGCCAAGCTTGCCAGGAACGAAGGGGTGTCCGGCACTGAGCCCTCCGTCAACTGCCCATGCTTGACCGTTGACATAACTGCTTTCCTCACTTCCCAAGAACAAGGCCACTCTTGCGACCTCATCTGCGTGCGCCCCTCGATTCAGAGGGTTGAGCTGGCCTATTTTCTTCTCTGTTCCTCTAGCTCTTGCTGCTTCATACATCATAGCCGTCATTCCTGTTTCGATCACACCAGGACATATAGCGTTGATTCGAATGCCACTGCCGGCAAGTTGGTATGATACCGTCTGAGCAATCGATATCACAGCTGCTTTTGAAGCAGAGTAATCCGTAGAGCCAGCGTTTGATCGAAGACCCGCTACCGAGGCGGTACATATAATACTTCCAGAAGGATACTTCTTTTCGGAAGAGGTTTTTCGCATCGCTGGTGCAGCATATTTGGCCGCTAATTGAACACTTTATCGCGGTCAGTTGCCATCTTCTGGTCTGGAGTGAAGCTCTACCTAACGACATTGGTGTTCAGAGTGGAGAGGAACTCCTCAGCAGATATGTCCGCAAATAGTTTGTGCTGCCCAACAATGCCTGCATTGGCGAAGAATATATCAAGTCTGCCATAGGCCTTGATCGCGTCAACTACCACAGCCTTCACCGACTCCTCGTTTGCCGCATCGAATTTTCGTGTATGTACTTCGACGTTGGGATATAATGATGCAAGTTCGCGCTTATGTGTCTCGAGGTTGTCATTGTTGAAGTCGCAAATATACACAGCTCTTGCACCATTCTGAGCAAACTGGTGTGCAGATGCTCGACCAATACCTAGAGGGGAGTTGGTTCCTGTAGGACATATTAGCATTGCATTGCATGGCGAGAGTGTTTGGATAAACCCACCCGTTATGATGACTACCTTTCCCTGAACTCGAGGACCGTTAGAATCGGGCGCTATCTTCTTGAGCTTGGGGATATTTTCGAAGTTTCCTTGATCAGGAACAGGAGCTACTAGCTGCTCGCTCAGTGCTTCCAATCTTCTCTTCGCCACGGCTGTCATGGTTCTTGTTTTAAGAAATAGTCTGAAAGAAATAAAAAGGGTTCAAGCAAGACCTTCGAGAATCAAAACAAGGAAATCAAGAGTGGTCTTCCAAGGTTGTTCAACGTTTGTTGTCGATTGACATGTAAGCTTAATATTGCGGGGGAGTTCCCGAGCTTGATCTGGGGAAGATTTGTACCGCGGCATAGCAAGCCAATCATGCCCGGCCTACACGTACAAGTCTTGCACTTGCATCCATCCCACTTAGGTTCAGGTATCTGCTACTTATTGCCATACATCTGCCTAGATGTAAGTAACGAAATGCTGCCTATTGATTCGAACAGTCCCAGGTTTATCGCCATCTTCGGTGAAGAGAAGTAATCTGCAGAAGCCGTCGAGTTTTATAGTTGGAAGTAGGCATCCTCAACTGGAAAGTACACACAACTAACCTTCAAAATAAGGTACTGTACTAGTAAACCTGAAAACTGGCTCTAAAAAACCGCCGTTCGCTTGGTATATGGTATATCGTGGCCAGCTGCAATCAATAGCCTTGGGTTCATGTTGGAAAGAAGTATTTGCTTGCGTAATGCCATAACTATGCGCTCTAGTTTTGGATCTAGATCCTGTTACTAGTCGCAGCACGTAGCTTTATCAAATCGCAGTATTTGAGAATCGTGCGCGTGCAATCATTGTATGCGGGATTTGCGTGCTTGAAATTCTCTCACTAGCATGGTGAATTACGCCAGAAATCGTGATTCATATATGGCAATCCTCAAATATTCCGTAGTGAAAGAACAACTTTGGATTAAATTGTCGCTGTGTAGCTTTGTTTTTCTTTGGGTACCTAGGTATTCTCTCTCGTTGTCTCAGATCCTGGTAGCAGGATGGTCTAGGCGAGGCGAGCTTATGACGAAGATGGCATTTGTTTCTCACAACTCCCAACCCTATCCCCACCCACAAGACAAGTACAACCCTTTCGCGTCCACAAACCATTCGAAAGTTGGCCAAAGAGCCTTTACAGAAGCATCATTTGTTTCATGCCATTCGGATGCCTTTTCCTCATCGGTGCGGAGGTTATCAGAGGATTGGAATTTAGATCATTGGGAAACGACAGATACATGTTTCCTGGCAATGGAACTTGATGTTGGTTCTCCCTCACTCCAGAGGTCGAGCTCCCACCACTCCACCGCTTCCGCGAAAAGTTCACGATCGCAGACCATACGTGTACGGCCCAGGAAATATGCTTCGTACATATCCAGCTCTGCGTCATCCATTTCAGACAAGTCCCTAACTTCATTCCCCTCATTCTCGCCAGAATCCCCAAGGGATGATCGACCACCAGGTTTTTCATTACAATCTACCGGCGATATTACCAGTACCCCACGAAAAGCCTCCGAATCTGCACCATCTATTGTCGACAGTCTGACGGCGTCCAGCGTAGAGCGAACGGCTCTGTTTGACGATGCGCCTCTCACCACAAGACATGTACCTGGTGCAATTCATCTCGCCAACGATGAACATATCGAGAGGTTGATTGCGAGGAAAGGCGCAGTGGCACTTGTCCGGCAGATAGCTGAGGATCTGGCTCAGCGCGATGCTCAAATAGCGGCAATACGACGAAAGGCAGAGAACCGAGAGCGTGCTCTAAGGAAAATAATAGTGGAATGTGGTCTGTCGAATTTGGATCTTGAGACTCGATTAAGAGCTGTGGAAGCGGAAAAGCGAGTTGCCAGTCATGGAAGTCTTGATTCTTTGGTACCTGAGGAAGGGAGATTGGAGGACTTGATGAGTGACGCTATGAATCAGCAGGTTGCGGTCGGAGAGCGAGCTGTTCCAGACAGCGATGCAACAATCCGGGCAAGAGATTCTCTGAAAGCACTTGAGGAGAAACCTCTGAATACTCAGAGGGGTTGGAAGGATTTCATATGGGGAGGGACGAGCAGGAAGGGCAGCCGATCAAGTAGCGTTGTAGGCGATGGTATTAATGGCACGGCTCCGTCAAATACAGGAAACGTCGCAACGAACGGACGCCGTACGGTTTTACAGAATGGTCTCTTCGAAGCTCCGGAATCATTACGCAGCCCGAGCCGCTCTTCTAGCATCAATGCCAGCACTGTCACTCGCGACCGAAAACCTTCTTCCGGGTTAGCGACTTTGGCGTTAAAACTTGTCGCAGGGAGTGCTACCCTTTCTAGAAATCAAGAAGAGTCTGATGGGCGAGGCAGAGCAAACAGTACTGGAGTGTCAGGTTCTATGAGGGCGCCATCTTCAGCCAGTACCAGGACGACTATGTCAGCAAGAGCTGCGGTTAAACAGCCATCTAAAGCAATTCCAACTGGCCGGCGGTCGCTGGCAGGATCTAATCAAAATGGTGCCCCTAGGGTTAATCAAGATAGATGGGACACGATGGGCGCAAGCCCTCAAAGCACATTGTCAGGCGTGGAGAATTATGGCCCTGTAGAAATGGATCAAATCCTACCTCCTGAAGCACAACCGCCTACACTTACTCAAACTCATAGAAATCCTTACAACCAGGAATTCTTGACTGATCGTTTCGGCTTTATCTACGATCAGCGCCGGAAAAAACGACAAAAGGAAGCAGCTGAAAAGGTGCGAAATGGGAAAAGAGGCAGTCGTGTGGAAATGTTGAATAGCGCAAGAAGTGGAATATCAGCAGGGATTGCTGATGACGACCTTAACGGATCTGATGAAAGGCCTGATACCCCTACATCTATAGACGAGGGAGTCGAAGATGGCAAACCTGCAAAACGTTGGCAAGACTATCTAAAGATTGCCACGTTTCCTACCGAGTTGCTCTCGCATACTCCATTACGTTCGCAGCCTGTTTTTGAGGTAATGGAAGGTAATGAGGGCCCAAAATCACCAGGTATAGTTACCGATGAGCGTGGTTTCCTACCTTCAGCAAGCACGGCAGCTGCAACTCCAACAACAGCCGTTATTAGTGAAAATGCGACAATTTCCAAACCGGATACATCCACCGTGGTTGAGGCAGAACTCAATGCCGACGACGTCGAACCTGTCAAGCTACTTTTGCAACAACTCGATGAAGTGCATGATTCCCTGCAGCGGGACAAGACGATAAAGTGGAATGATTTCTTGCGGAAGGTCAGAGCAGAGCGCAAGAGGGATGGTGAAGCAGCCGCAGCAGCTTTTGCAGCTACCACGGACAAAAGCTCCCGTTCAGTAGCTGTGATGCCAGAAGCCTCCCTCATGGATGGGGAAGTCGTTGGAGTAGCTGGCTTGGGAAACAAAGGAAAAGTTGGACGTGCAAAATGGAACGAGTTTAAATCACTTGTGTTAGGTGGAATTCCAGTCGCATATCGTGCTAAGATCTGGGCTGAGTGCTCTGGAGCTGCAGCGATGCGAGTTCCGGGTTATTACGACGACCTCGTCGCTCGTCAAGAAGCTGACGATGATCCCGCAATCGTCGCTCAAATTCAGATGGATATCAATCGAACCCTCACGGACAATATCTTCTTTCGAAAAGGACAAGGGGTCACGAAGCTCAATGAGGTTCTAGTTGCTTATTCTAGACGGAACGCTGAAGTAGGGTATTGCCAGGGCATGAATTTGATCACGGCTTGTTTACTCCTCATCATGCCGACGGCTGAAGATGCTTTCTGGGTGCTCACAAGCATCATTGAAAATACTCTACCACAGGGATATTATGACCATAGCCTCTTAGCGTCCAGAGCAGATCAGCAGGTGCTCCGCCAATATGTTACAGAGATTCTTCCGAAACTCTCCGCTCATCTCGATGATCTGAGTATTGAGCTTGAAGCTTTGACATTTCAATGGTTTTTGAGTGTCTTTACCGATTGTCTGTCTGCGGAAGCCCTGTTCAGGGTCTGGGATGTTGTGTTCTGCACGAACGATGGCAGCACATTTCTATTCCAAGTGGCTCTCGCATTGCTCAAGCTTAACGAACAGCAACTACTTCAATGCTCTTCGCCGGCGAGCATCTACACATATATCAACCATCAGATGACGAATCATGCTATCAGTATAGATGGTCTCATCCATGCATCTGAGGGATTGCGGAAGGTCGTCAAAAGAGAGGAAGTGGAAAGCAGAAGAGCCAAGGCAATCGAAGCAGAGAAAGATTTGATCCGTCAACGAGAAGCTCGGAATGCCATTCGAAAAGCCGAACGCCGTGCAAAAGCCAACGGATCTCCGTCTAGGACGGTCAAAGTCAACTCCAGGAGGAGTAGCCCATCTCGAAATGAAACCAAGAAGACTCAGCTTGAATTAGGGACTGATGACTTTGGGGAATTGACAGTGAGAACGCCGATGCCAATAGAAGAAGAGACCGCATTACAGTTAGGGTAGGAGGGGAAACTTATATTAGATGGAATACGGCGACGAGGATTAAGCGGGTTACTTGTCGTGTGCATTTTCTGCGGGTTTGGGATATGATGATACCCCCTTTATTGTTTCTGGGATTTGAATGGAAATTGAGATTTTACGTTTGTAGATAGACATGTCGTGTCATGGTAGGAAATGGGAATGATTATTCGAGAGTTTGATACAGTAATGCACATGCAGGGATAAATAATGTGGCTTGAACGTCCGCACAACCTATGTATCAATTGCTTTTAATGTTGATTTACCTAGAACCTATGGTGTATCATACCAACCCCCACAGAACTGATGTCGTGGTTGACCGCCAATTGGCAAGTGATGAATCCGATGAATCAAGGTTGACACGATACGTTGGAAGTATTGCTGCCAAAGAAGCCCGAACCGTACATCTCAGTTGACCTCCTCAATCTTGGAGGTAGGTTTGCTTGAAGAAGCTGCTTCGTCGTCTTCCTCAAGCTCTGGCATATCCTCGTCATCCTCATCCTCTCCCTCTTCCTCGCCCTCCTCACCACCCATTCCTGCTCCGCCAAGCTTAGAGAAATCAATTCCACCAAAATCACCACCGGCGCCGCCCATCATGGAGCTCATATCACCCATTCCTGGCATACCACCCATTCCACCCATACCTCCTGCAGCTGATCTGTTAGCTTTGCTTCATTCCACCCCACACCTCGCGCGCCGGGAAGTCGTAGAAAACTCACCTAGATCATCCTCAGGAGCGTCTTCCTGCTCATCCTCATCAACCCACTTATCGAAATCCGTCTTCAAAAAGTGCACTTTCTTCGCCTCCTTCAACAGACGTGGCCAGAACTCCTCTTTCAGCTCCTTCTTTCTCAGGACCAGCTGCACGTTCTTGGCCGTGTGGTTCACCTTTGTGTGCCCCTCGTCGATCTCCGAGTAGAGCTCGAGCTCGAGGGCGTAGTCTTTCTTTAGGGAGTCAGAGTGCCCGGCGAACTTTACGGATGTGGGCTTGACGTCCAGCTTGAGGTTCGCGGCTTGCACATCGGGTACGGTGATGGTTACGTAGAGATAGTTCTTCTCGGGGTCGGTTGCGGAGGAGCGCTGTGCCCAGAGGACTGTGAGGAGGGGTGTTAGCTAGGTTTGAGAGGGGTTTCCTGGTCCTGCCGGAGAGGTCGTGTTGTCTGGTTTCTGGATTTGCTTCTTTTTCCATCCTGTTTCGCAATCCAGCCCGTATATCGATCTAGGAGACAGACACTCTTCATGCAGGGTGATCAAAGCTTACCTTCTGGAACCAAAGCCATTGTTAGGAAAGTCGTGTGTGGGACGAGAGCAATTCAACAAGAAAAGGTCGGTATATTATAAAGAGATTTGGTGTTGTTGTAGTTGCAATTAGTCAAAGGTGAATTGGAAGAAGAATTTATTTGTTGGAGATCAACGTTGCTTGCTACAGACTTGAAAAGAAGCGCGCACTTGCAGGCAAGACGAGGCTGCAGGCGAGCCACCTTCCATCGAATGTCATGGAAAGCGAAATGGCGGGCAGATCGCAACCCTGCATCTTCAGCTGGTTAGTTTTCAAGGCAACAAGGCTAGAGTGAGGGGATTGCAGTTATGAATAGGTTCATTATTTTGAATTATATATGGAAGACTTTAATCTAACTGTCAAAGACGAGTCCTAAGCAAAAGACGAGGCGCAATGTCAATTTAAATTCTGGTTGTACTTTCGTCACTTTCGTAGTGCCGTGCAGCCCTATTCCAGCCACCGCCAGCCTTTTCTGCCAGTCCCTCTGCCCAAAATGGTAGCCTGGGGAGGGTCACGTCACTAGCCGTAGATACGCCGTGAACCTCGATCCAGGCCGGGAATAGTTACATCCAGTAGACATATTCACAACCACGGTCACATCTTGACCCAACCGCGGTCTCCAGCAACTTAATCTGCTACACCAATTATTCTCGGCTCAGGCGAACAGCCAACAGTCTTCAAAATGGAATCCATCAAAGCCGTCTTTTTCAAACCAGATCCCCAAGCCCAAGTGAGCAACCCCACCACCACAAGACAACCCAACCTCTAACCCACCCCCAGGTACGGAAATGCAATCAACTAATCCGAGCAAACACGCGCAAACTCGATCGCGACATCGCATCCCTCAAAGTCGTCGAAAACAAAGCCAAACAATCCATCATCCAAGCCTCCAAGCGCGGCCAACGTAACCCCTCGCAAGCAGCGCAAGCCGCCAAAGAAACACGCATCTTCGCCCGCGAACTCGTGCGCATCCGAAAACAATCAACGCGCTTAGTGACGAGCAAAGCGCAGCTGAATAGCGTGAGCATGCAAGTCACCGAGGCGTTTGCGGTGCGCAAGATTGAGGGCAGTATCCGGGCCAGCGTGGGGATCATGAAGGATGTTAATAGTCTGGTGCGGTTACCGGAGTTGATGGGGACGATGCGGGAGTTGAGTCAGGAGCTGGTTAAGGCGGGGATTATCGAGGAGATGGTGGGGGATAGCTTGCCGGATCAGATGGAGGAGGATGAGGAGGAGGAGGCCGAGAGTGAGGTTGATAAGGTGCTAGGAGAGATTCTGCAGGATAAGATGGCGAAGGTTGGAGCGACACCGAATTTGCCTACGCCGGTGCAGACGGAACCTGTGGCGGAGGATGAGGACGAGGAGGCGGCTAATCTGGAGCAGATGAGGGATAGGTTGAAGGCGTTGCAGAGTTGAAGGGTTTGCGAAAGTGGTTCTGGGAAAGCGATCATGGTTGGTACTGGCGTTTGGATGGGTCCAGGTTGGTTCTTAGGAACTTGTTTATATGGTGTTACGGAAACATAAGATTTCTTACCAGTGACCTCTTACGGGGGTGCTGGATTTTGCTTTCACATTGATTCTTGCATATCACGAGGAGGCTTCAAAGACAACGCACGTGTTAAGTTGGAGTCTGATAAATATGCGACTATTGTTTACGCTTCTATCTCGACATTTCCTGTGGAGTAGATCCTTCAAATGAGTTGTCGACTAAATTGAACATTATCTCACAGCGGTACAGCTTATCTGCGTGACGCAGTATACTGTGAAATCCTAATTCTTGTTACAGTGTTGCTTAAATGCTCAAGTGTGTTGCCATATTGTTCATCTCGAGTCTTTTCTAAGAGTTAGTACATTTACATTAGTTGATGTCAGGAGAGATTTGGCTCTATTGGGTTACTGATTTCTTCAATCTGTCACAGATTGAACTTGTCGCTAAACCCGTCAGCCTGCTCCATGAGGTTCACATGATGATGTCTGGTGCGGAATCTTGACTCGATCGTGGTTTTCTTTGATACCGAATGTCATTCATGTGTCTTTCTGTCCAGCCAATGCTCTAAAATTCAGGTTAGTTTGACGTGATACATTCCAATATTTCATGTAAAACCAGATGCTGTAAATATATTTATTGCTTTTGATGTTGTAGCTGCCTAAATCATAACTTTTGTGTTGATCAATGTATCTATCGAATAATAATTTCCGTATGTATGTTGCAAGATCTTATGTCTGGTAAGTCTTTGTATGTATGTATTGATCCAGTGGTGTCCTCCAATTTCCTTCTATCAATGTATGATGCCCTTACTTATAGCAAAATTGATATGGCGAAATGATCGACTTTTCAGAGCTCCCGGTAGTCCTCATCATCGGAGTCGGAACCTAAGTCGTATATGGGGATATCGTCGTCGTTGTCATGACCATTCCCAGCACTATGCTCGTCCTTCTCGTCATCATAGTCTGAAACAACTCGCTTTCTACCGTTCTCGTCTGTATAGAAGATTAGCTGATGCTTTATATCTTGTGTTCGGAAAGACCAACCTGTAACTACCTTTCCAAGAAGAGAAGCCATCTCGTATTTCGTTAATTTTTTCATTTTCGGGTCAATGATGGACTGCTTATCGAGCTGCTCTGTAAAATAAAGTGTGAGCTCCAGCTCCTAAAGCATGATAACAAACTTACTTTCGTAAATACGCGAATCGATAGTATTGTTGACAATAAGCTTCGCAAAATGCGTCTCACGTTGTTGGGGCATACGATGAACTCGACCGAATGCTTGTTGTTCTCTGGATATGTAACAGTCAGGACACGAAAATCCGTAACTGCGCACCAGTTCATCGTGTGTATAGAAGGAATGAACTTACAGGCAGACGTTCCACCACAAGTCGCTACTCAATATTAGTGACAGCTGAGGAAATCCAAGGCAAGCCTACTCACATATTGATTACTCGATTTGCAAACGCAAGATTGAGGCCAACACCACCGCAGCCAAGACCAGCAATCATAACGTTAACGTTTGGGTCACTTTCGAAAGTGTTCACCGCGATATTACGCTTTTCTGGAGCTTTGTCGCCCTGGAGAAGATGAATACATAGATATTACCTATCAGAATGTATTGCAACTTACCGTGAAATAGACAAATTGGCAGCCCATCTCTTCAAGCATTCGACCAGCGATTGCCGCAAAACCTCTCCACTGGGTGAAGATGATGATTTTCTCTTCGGGGGTCTCGGTCAGCAGTGTCTTTATGATCATCGTCATTTCCTGCGTTTTGGCGCTTTTCATAATTGGGATTCCTCGGTCGTATTTCTCCGCCCAGGTATACGATGTTATTTTCGGGTGGAACTGCAAGAAGTCTTTGCCTTTTCGGTGCACTGTTGGATTTCTCCGGCTATTCTTTGGACTCCAAGGTTTAAGATGTTTTGCCGGTTCGAACGGAGTATCGCACTTAGGACACAAAATCACCTAGAATCAATTTAGCAATATTACTCGATCGTGATTTGTAAGGACTGGAACGCCTACGCCTTCGCAATCAGGATCAGTTCCCTCCAGGCTTGCAATCTCATTGTCCATGCAATCGTCGCAAAAAATATGACTGCATTTCTTGATAGTAACCTTGTGAAACTGGTCTGCAGACTCAAAGCAAAGAGAACACTGGGCTTCTTTTTGTGCGTCGATAGCTTCGTTTGCGCTCTGCCATGCAGGTCTTCTCTCTGCTAGTTCCTTTTCTTTTATCCAGTCTTGCACTTCTGAAAAAGAGAAGACCCATTAGATAAGCCCAACATAGGCAGAAGGGGGGGAAGCATACTGTTTAGAATTGTAATATCTTCGGGAGAGTTCAAAGCAAGAAGTTTCTTCTCCAGGCCTTTGAGGTGTTTGACTTCCAGGGCAGCCTGCGTGTTATCAGATCATATACATCATTTACAGGTGAAGCACCAGAATCCACTGTACCTTTATTTGCCTCTCCACTAGTAGGGGATTAGCTGTACATTGTCTCAATCTTGTAAGATGAACAACAAAATACTGTAAATTCTTTTGCTCGTCAGTGGCCTTCTCTGGATCAAGATACTCATTCATAAGCTCTCGAAGTCGATCCTCGAAAGCACGGTAGAGAAGTTTCTCTTCACGGCCATGCTCAAGTATGCGAATGTATTCGTGTGCGTCTGGTAAGTCAACAATTGGCCGCCCAAGGAAAATGTCTGTTGGCTTTCGGCTGGATACACATTTAGCCTTCGGTCTTTTGAAGTATACAGCTGTTTGATTATCTGGGAAGCCTACTGTAACATTGTTTTGCAGAGGAGCTGATCCAGTTCATTGCTCGATGTCAACTAACGGTACTATTAGTTGATTTATTCGTATAAGTGACTGCGTTGGGGCATGAACATTTTTAGGATCGCAATACCGATTCTTGAATCTGTCTCTGCATTAGACCTCATCATAAGCAGCACGAATCTGGGAGATCACTTACATTCTATAGCTTGGAGCAACCTCATGGTAATTCAGGAAGCGAAAGTACGGATAAAACTCTACTTCGGGTAAGCTTTTTAAATATCGATACTGGTCATACATACCCTCTAAGCGATTCATTATTGGGGTCTTATGGCATTAGCGAGCAGCTAGAACAGCGGGTGAGAGCAGAACTTACTCCACTCATCGCCCAAGGCCGATCTGTCATCAGCGTACATGCAGCTAAGCTTCGGCGAGAAAGATGATTCTTCATGTTATGCTGATTTGCTTAGCCTCTTAAGAAACAAAATGACGGAATTAATTCTTACAGACTCATCAAGAATAACCTGTAAATTTGTTAGCAGTCTCATCGATGATTAATACAAGAATAAAACTTTACTCGATGGAACTTGATCTGATGCAAAAGTCCTCCCTCTTCGCGGTGCTGTTCAATCCATTCTTCGATCGGAGTGGATTCGTCTTCTTCCGGGTTCCCTTTTTTCTTTCGGCTCTCAGTACGCCCACGAAGCTCGTTAATAATTGTAGCGTCTGGATAAGGACAACTAGCCGAGACTTCATTCCACTGTCGAACGTTACTCTCTTTTTCATACCAATTTAGTTTGCTACTTACAGAAGTGATCATGATATCACAATCCGTTATTTGCCAAAGCTCTAACTTCAAAGAAGCTTTGTAGATCATAACCTTTAGAGGACCTGCATGTTTCTTTATCTCCTTCAACCATTGCAATTTCTGTAAAACATCTATTACTAGTCGCTCTAGACCCCTAGTTCTTTTTGACCTACCAAAGCAGACGGTACTACGATGAGTGTGATCTTTCGATCTTGCGAGACATCGTCAGGTGGAGGCTGACTTTGGATCAAGTAATCATTGTATTTAGATACCATATCATAAGATATAATTTATAAACCTACAGCGAGAGCTTGCAAAGTCTTTCCAACACCCTGATGTTACGGATTTAGCTCATACACTTAATGTTGGTTTCAACAAGTAACTTACCATAGAATCCGCAAGAATTCCCCCTCTGGGACCCCCAGAAATATCAGTTGGATTCTCTCGCTCGATCATCCACTGCACTCCAATCATTTGGTGAGCATATAGTGCTGTTAATATCAGCAACCTACTCCCAGAGCTTCATAGAGAACAACTTACCAGTTTTCATACCCTTCATTAGATACTTATCATTCTGAATGCGTACATGATGGCGCCCTAGATAGGATAGCGACTTTTTCAACGCAGACTGATCTATCCCAAATTGTTTGATATCTGCTTTCTCTGGGCGGAATTTCTTCTGCATTGAAAGTTGTGTCTTTCTGTTTGAGGCCAGGAAATCGGGTGCCTTTGCAATTTTGGGGCGAACAGCAAAAGTCGGGTCATGTTGAAGAAGTCGCGTGATAGTTTCAGAACCATCGCAGTTTGCGTCTAGGACTTCCGATTTCTTCTGTTTCTTTCTTGCAGGACTGCTGTTCTCGGTTTTTTTCTTAGCCTTTTCTCGCTGCACCAGCCGCGATTCGTGCATCGACTTCCCTCCTTTCTTTCGCGCGACTTTCTGTTTGCAAGAAAGCTTTGATGTAGGAGCATCATCAAGCTCGGCGCGTAAAGCCTTCGCTAAGACTTCGTCTTGGTCGTCCGGAAGATGAGTGGTCGCAGCATTGTCTTCTGGAACGAATAGGCTAGGAGAAGATTCCCGAGGGCCTGGAGAAGAGTTTTTCGAGATATTCTGCGGTTCGAGGTCTCCATACGCTTCATCCAAATCAAAGGCGGAGGAGTGAAGTCTTTTATTTTGGGGGATCGATGTCGACTCCTCGAAAATATTTTGTTCTGTTTTGATAATTGGAGTACTTGGCGAATGCAAAACAGGGTCGTTCATGGCAATGTTTGCAGTCCCTTCAAGGATAGAAACTGAGCAGCCGTGAGGTAAGTTCTCATGAGGTTCCTGGAGTAAGCCCATAGACCTCTCTGGAGAGCTCATTCTAAACTTCCAGGCAAAACACATTTTGCATTTTCTGTGGAACAGTTAGCTTGTGGAACAGTTAGCTTTTCCTGACTGAAGCATGAGTTCTGAAAGTTCGCCCTAGTACGTCAAGTTTTATCTTGTGTCAAACTAGCCAAGATGTAAATGTACCCAAAGCCTACGAAACCCCATCTCTCGGGATGTAAATTAACGGAGCAACAAAAGCAAAAAAGGAAATAACTTCACAGCTTTAATGATGTTAAGCCATGTTACAAGCAAAATTCCAAGAATCTTTTACTTCGGCGGGGAACAATGAAAGTGAAGATGAACAAACCCTCTGAATGCTTGCCTTTCCACTCTCTCAGATGTTGTAGCTGCAAAAAAAGCGAGCTTCTAATCAGAACTGTGTAGAGGCTGATTGGGTACCGTTCGTGAGCTAAAGATCGTGAAGCAACTTGATAGTAGTGAGAATGAATATCGATGAGGGGTCTGTTATCATGAGGAAGAATTAGCAACCGCGTGAGGAATAATGGAGGTTTGTTGAGGGGAACCTGGAGGTGACCGTGCAAAGATGATGTGTAAAGAAGTGTAGGAGGAAGGTGAAGATGTAAAACGTACTGATTTTGGGAGATAACAAATCTAGAGACTCGAGATAAATGGCTCGGGTCAGTGGGCTGAGGTGAGGTTAGGAGAGAGAGATAAATAGATGCTCCGCTCTAGACATCGAGAGTAGAAATGAGACGAGGCCAAACTCCAAATATCAAGATAGATCGAAACAAGTCTAGATTGGAAGCTGAGGAAGGAAGAAAAGTTAGTATCGAAGTTGAAGGGGGTCCAAGTCTGCCAAGTCTGTTAGTGCTTCAGCATTTCTGCCGTTTCTGAAGATGATACCGACCTGTGAGGTATGTCACAGCTACAATTCAGATTCCACGTAGAGAAGGCAGTGGTACTGAGTAACATGAATGAGGAGAGAGGGTTGAGAGAGTTCCGGAGTGTAGAAATCTCCTGATAGAAGCTCAATGTGTCTGCATTATTGCATGTAATCATAAACACACATCTCTTCAGCTTTAAAAAGATGTGCCTTTCGCGAAAGAAAGAGCGAAACCCAACAGAAATCAATTCGACTTGCCCCGAAGTTTGTCGACCTCAAGGGAAGATTGCATGGGTAGATCTTTTCTTACATCTTACCATGTTGCTACTTGCATGATTCTTCCAATCAGAACTTTACCAGTGAAAGACAACACCTATAACCATGCGATTTACAAAGTTTGTCCCGAATGTCCGACATTTTCCTTGTGACAGAGTATCTTGCTCCCGAACACATCGTGATCTCTTCGGTTAGTATCCAAGGTATGGAGAACCGCTCGGGGAGTGGATTTACCGCTCGTAGCAGACCTTAGCAGATTGTTCTCTGGTATGTTCAAAGCCCGGTTTTGATGTCAAGACCGATTTGTGTTCTGGTCATTATGTCTGTTCGTGTTGTCGTCCCCATGAGAGCAGGTCGTTGTCGTGGTCGTCGAATAAGCGATGAACCGAAAGTGGGGCTTCGACATTGGCAATCGCAGTTTTCCCAAGCCTCTGGTATTCCTGTTCAACACAGCATTTTGCACTGCAAGCCCGATCGATAGACAAGAAAATCAGGCTTAATACATTTATAAATTCAACGTTCAGATGCTCCAAATCTACTGAGATGATCATTTTCTCCACACTTTTACTTCTTCGTCTTATCTTGAACCTTAACGTTCTTCCCTTGCTATCTGCAGGTACCCAAGCCGTTGATAATTTTACTTAGTTACTGTACCCGTGAGCCTCTACAATATGATTATCCAGCCATGTATTGTAACGGCTTCTGGCCAAAGATTCTAGACTAGTCAAAGTCAGCTACAATTTTTGGAATCTTTACGAATAGCTAACAATCGACTTCGTAGTAGAAGCTTCCCATTTCTGGTCTTGTGTATGGTTCGAATGTCAGTTTCGACATCGATTGACTCTACCATGTGGGTGCGTTAAATATCCCCCTGGATAAGATGCACTCCTGCACGCTCTAAATCTGTGTCTCTTCGTCAAAGAGCAACTTCCGGGCTAGCCCATGACGATAGGAATACATGCTCAAGGTGCTTGTTAACTGTTCTATCTAACAGTTGAGACGAACCGGGGTTCTTACGCTTTCCAGTCTCGACACAGTATATCTACTACTGTACCACGCGGTTCGCTCCTCGTCGAATTTGTTTCACTGGGACCAAGCAATGAGTTTTCGCCTTGTTTCGGAAAAATTGTATTCCCCAAACATCGAGACTATCGTATGCAGAAAAGAGGGCCGATTAGGTATCTCATTTAGTCAACTACTTAAAGGTAAAATTTCCCAAGTTCCATACCACTGACAATGCCGACACCGTGGACAATAAACTCGCTTAGCTGTGAATGTATTTTATCTAGCTCAATGATAAAATCATGAGAAAGACCTGCCAGCTGGAGGCAAAGGTGAAGATACTGTTACGGACTGGGCTAATCTTACAAGTTTACCACTTTATAACATAAAACCTTCTAAGCCTTTTCAATGTCACTTTCAATGTCAATCTCAACCAACCATCTGGCAATTATCAACAATTCTTTATCCAAATATCAATTATGTTCTTGAAAGGACTAACGCTACATCCATCAACATCGGCATCGTCCGAAAAGACCGATCTGTCAATTGCATCAGGGAGTGAAGATGGAGGCATCAAAATCCCTTGCAAATTTCCCAGGCCAGTTACAGTTGAGGAGATCACAGATGCTGCCTTTGAAGATGAAGCAACAGAGAAGAATCTGTTGAGACGTAACGGCCATCCAGTATCTCTTGAAAAAGATGGAACATACTTTGTCGACTATTACAAACAGGTTTACAGTTTCTTGTATTTCGCCACGGGAAAAACGAACGGCCAAAGTATCCGCGAGTGTTTTCCCGAGGGTATAGATCCGACACACGAGGATATGAAAATGGTACACGCAGTGGTTCAGGAGATTGGAGACAGGTTGACTGATGGATTTGGTATCCAGATCGTTATGTAGGTCTTTTCAAGCGCCGGAGAGTCAACAAATTGCTAAATTGAGGTCGAGGGAACTGCTTCGGGACCCGCTATGGACTATGGATCCGGTGCCTGATTTTGAGACGCAAGACGACCGTATTCACTATTTCATATATGCCTTTGAAAACAACCCATTTGCAACGGTCAGTTTGTTATATGAAATTAACCCGGCGCTGGACATTATGTTTATCCTATCCGACTACGAACACGACGGCGAACTAAGCCATCTCAACGCTCTAAGAACCAAACTCAGAGGTCATCTTTACACTCGCCTGGCGTTATTGGCAGATCTAATATTCTATGGTTATTTTCTACGTGACGCTGAACTTGAGGGGACAGACGGAGACAATTTACAATGGGTAAGAAGTCTAAATCTAAGTTTCACAAAAGCTAACTAATACAGATCAAAGGCCGCGTCGCTTCGTGCTTGAAACCAAGCCCTATCACGAATGGTCGATACGGAGAGTTGGACCTCGATGACTGGCCGATCAAAGCCCAAATCGACCCTAATGACTGGACCAAGCCATGGGATGGCTGGTAATATGTATCTCGAGTAAATCAACTGGGGACAAAATTATTATTGGAAGCTGCTGGGGTAATTTGGGTACTGCATAGAATGGCTGTGAGGCTGGAGGGATTATCAACATCATTCTGAAGAGAAAACATTCGTTAGTTGTGTCGCATGAAGGGGTTGCCAAACCTTGCGGCGTTAAACATATCAATAGACATTCTTACAATAGAGAAATTTTGGAGGGAAATGACCTTCACCTGCCTGAAGTAGCCGTTTCCAAGTATTTTCGCAACTCTGTGCAAAAAACCAATTGATCGAAACAAACTTGATATCTCGAATCGCTCTGCTGCCTTGCATCATGACTGGAAGCGGGGTATATGGATAAGAAAATCATTGCTTACATACCAGCTAAGCGACTGAGTGCGATAAGGAAGTAGGTACTGCTGATTCGTACACATCCATGGATACATGAGGTGTTCTTGCCTTGTGGTAGACAAACCAGTGTCAGTCTTCTGCTAATTAATATCTCAAGTAGAATCGTTTCCCTCGAACAGTAAACAAATTATATGATTTTCAAGACTGCCTTAGCTATCCAGACGACCGACATATTTCGAATGCTGCTTACCATTTTTGTTCTCACGAGGTTGCCTCTAGAGTTCTGAAGTTCTCAGGAAGGAGAGTGGGTCAATGATTAAAAGCGGGTCACACTTTCGGATAATCCTATTGGCTAGCAATGCGAGAGAATTGAACCCCTAACCCAAGCCCGAGCTCGAGGTCGTTTGCACAACAAGACTATCATTTCAACATCAATCTCTCATTCGACAAAAGGCAAGGCAGACTCGCCCTAAAGGTGAGCGACTTCTGGACTCGCAATTTTCTTACCTACTTCCCCGCTTCAAACTCACGTTGTCTCACGACATGGCCGCTTTCCTGCATACAATCATGTCCATCCCCACCAGCAGCCTTATAAAGATAGGCAAATCATAAACTCTACCTCCCTATTTGTTGTCCGGCAAACAAAGATTCTGACTCACCGGGAAGCCGCATGTGGTTTGGAGTGATTTCTCTGGAGTTGAGCCTCGATAATGTATACCAATGAGGCAATCGCTAGGTTCGGCCTGCATGGCAGCCTTGAGATATCCATATTTCCATGTCACCAACAGGGTCTACTTACTTGCGTATCACAATCAGTTCAAACGATAAGAACCAGCCTCGTGAAATTGGCATGGGGGTCTGTTGCCTACGAGTCTCCTACTGAAGTTGGTATTCAGAAAGTGTACATAACTTGACTGCCGTCAGCAAAGGACAAAGCAACTCACTTTTGTTCTCTACTTATCACACATTCCGTCTTACTCTTCATCTCAGATTATTTGGAAATCCTTCAATATGAGCACAACTCCAGAAATCCTCGACTATGTCAAGGTTACCATTCCTACAGAGGATGTCCCAGCAGCTACCACCACAACTGGAGTTACGACCACGAGAGCACTCAAGCCCAAGGCCACGGAGCCTGGTATGAAGTGTGAGACTAAAGATTTCTACAAGAACAAAGACGCATCTGCCTGGACTCACAAGTAAGGTTTACCTCTCAAGTGATCATTACTTGCTGCTGAGCCAGTTCAACCTGACGCTGGTGGCATGATTGCAAGTACTTTGAATTTATGTGTCTAATTCTCTCCTCTTAGATACCCGGATTATCTTGAAGAGGCAGTCGAGAATGACGAAACCGCCCAACTTGCATTTCTTAAACGAAACGACAACAGTTCTAGCACTCGCAAGAAGTTCTCCCTGAACTCAATCATTGTGCAAAGTCCACTTCTCAAGAAAGCATTAGGAAAGGTGTTCGAAAACTACGAGGGTGTTACAACAGATCTCAAACGTCTGAAGTTCAAGAAACCATTTGCACCATTTGTTCACAGATGGGAGAAATTCGAGGAGGTGAAGGAAAATGAAACTGACGAAATCACCAAAAAGCACCTGGAATTGCTCTGGGACACCCTCGAATTCGAGCTCCGAGACACCATTGTGACACAGAAGGACTTGATCGCCAATGGTGTCATGACTCACGACTACCTTTGGACAATGTTCGAGCCAGGATGTTTGGTCTTGCAGAAATCTGCAGATTTTGAGAGGATCATGGAGGTCCAAAGCGCCAGCTATGACGGATTTCACACACTCGAGATGAAAACTTTGTTTGTTGAGTGGGACGGAAAAGACTTCGGAATGGAGACTGAAGACCACACGATTGACAAATTCGAGGGTACCAAGAAGATTTCTGAACTGTCAATGGTCCCCCTTTCGTACCATGAGGACTCGGTTGGCGTTCAACAGAGATGCATAGAGCGTGGTCGTACCTGGGAATCACTATGTGGCTATCACTTCAAACAATACAAAGGAGTAGGAACCAACATTTCTGAGGCCAAGTTCAACATTGAAAGTAGAATCATAATCGTAAGCATCTTTCTTCCTTTATCCCTACATTTATGGGTTTTGCTTGGAGTATTTATTCTGTCTTGACTCGGACCATGAGCTATTATTTGTTCAATCAGTCTCTGACATTATCGCGCGATAGGACACTGCAGCCTTCAATACTTTCAACCCGAACAACCAAGTGTGTCTTGCAAATCTAAGAGACGATGATTCCTACAAAGCCCCATCCACAGAGACTGAGCCCAAGGAGACGGCCACTCTCACTCCTTATCAATTGTTACTTGCATCAAAGTATCTCAGAGGATATTCTCTGAAAGACAAGCAATGGTTCAAGCTGGATCTTGGCAGCGTTCGAGAAATCGAGTGGAACGAAACAGCCTTCTCCAGCTTGGTTCTTCCAGAAGATACAAAGGACTTGGTACGTGCCTTTGCGCAGAGCCAGATCCAACAGGAAGAAGTATTCGACGATGTGATCAAAGGCAAGGGTAAAGGTGTGATTATGCTTCTGAGTGGTCCTCCTGGAGTTGGTAAAACTCTTACAGCTGAAGCTGTTGCCGAAACCACACGCATCCCTCTTTACTCGATGTCTGCAGGCGATCTCGGTACTGACCCAGCCTCCGTCGAAAGCACTCTGAAGACGATCTTCACCATGACTACCAAGTGGAAGGCAGTCCTGCTTCTTGATGAGGCCGATGTGTTCCTAGAGGCTAGATCGAAGAACGACCTTGAGCGAAATAAGCTCGTCTCGATCTTCCTCCGCATGTTGGAGTACTTTGAAGGTTTCCTCTTTCTCACCAGCAATCGTGTCGAGGATATGGACGCGGCGTTTGAGAGCCGAATTCATCTTTCACTGCAATACAGCGACTTGAGCTTCGAGTCTCGTAGACAAGTCTGGTTGACATTTGTTGATGGTTCTGACCACAATGACAACTTTACCGACGACCAGATCGACGCTCTAGCCGAGCTTGAGCTCAATGGAAGACAGATTAAGAATATCATCAAGACGGCTCAACTTCTGGCAACTAGCAAGGCTGAGGTCTTGAACTTTCAGCACGTGCAGGTTATCACTAAGTTGAGGGCTAAACACGCTGCTTGCCTTCCATTGAGGAGCAGCTGAGAGAAATTGCTTATTCAGCGAAAAAGCGTAGATAAAATGCAGGATATTTTGTCAACTTAATCGAATAATCTCGTGTTTTGGCTACCAGTTAAATTCTTCACCATAAGGCAGACTAGCATCCGTGAGCAGTCTTTTGCTGACACGAAATAGTTAAATGGACTTTCGCAGATGATGCTCATTTGATTTTCCTGACCACGACTTCCCTTACCTATGCGAGTCCAACATGACAACAAAATTCGTAATGCACTTTTACTCCAATGAACCACCCAATATTCCCCCACCCAAACGCACCAATCCCAAACTCCACACCAAGCAAAATCAAGAAGTAGCAAATTTCGCCGCTTCAACAGCATTCAATCCATACAACAAATGAGGAGAAAGAATCAAAGGTCCGTTAACACAAATATTATCACCCGCATTACAAAACGTCTTCCTCTTAGATTCAGCAACATTAGCTACGGGTTGTTTGCTGTCTGTTTGAAGTTAGTTCTCTTCCTTACTCATTAGTCGTAATAGATGATATACTCACAAGGATCTCCAAAGATAATAACCTTGCTAATCCACTGCGCAGTCGCCGCTGGCAGTAATTTCGCAGCATTATGAATAATCTGTCCACCCTGAGAATAGCCAGCAGTGATCAATTTAGTATTAGGACATTTTGCTTTCAAAGTGGTGATTTTAGCAGCCCTATCACCAGAACATCAGTCTCAGTATTGGAGACGCTGGATTAGGAAGACTTACATATCCGCACTCCCCTTAGCATCACCACCAGCCAAATACCCCTGCACATCCGCCGCATAGTTATTCACACCCTGAACGACCACATTCGCAGCTCCAGCAGCCATATCGAGGGCTTTCAAGAACGGCGGACCGACGAGAATGCCTACATTTCCAGGCTCCGTGGTACCGCGGGCGAAGATCACGGTGTATGGTTTACAAGTGTTTCCGAGCTCGTTGTAGGTCGTTTGTTCGCCGGTCAAGGCGGCTAGGAATGATTCGAAGGTTGTCAGGATTCCGGCCACGGCGTTGATGGTTCCGTCAACGGCTGGGAGGTAGTCGAGGAGGAGATCTAGGAATGCGTTGAGAGGTGTCTGTCTTTTTTCGGCTTGGTCGCGGGTGAGGACTGCTTTTGGAATTGGTGCTGCTATGGGAGAGGCGAGTGCCAGACTTGCGAGGGAGAGGAGAGTTATAGTTGAGAACCGCATGATGGATGGTGGTATTATTGCTAGTAAAACCCGAGAAGTATGATGAACTATTGATCAAAGGGTTCGCGAGTCTCGAAGAAGTCTTTCAAGTTAATGATACCTTACTTCGGACAACAAACACACACACCTGACGAAACACTCATTTCCCCATTCCAACACGCTCTCTTTATACACCTCTCTTTCCCCTCTCACCATCAACTCGACATCTTAACGCGGGGTTTCCACAACTATACCAGGATCCCGTGCCGTACATAAGCTTTATTACAATCCTCCCAGTCTCAAAGCAGACATGTCCCCCGAATCATTTGCACCAAGAGACACTCATGGACAAATACAAGTCCTGATTTATCCGGTCTGGTGATGAGTCTTTGCTCCGGCGCCAAATACACAGATAATTCGCCAGAGGCTTGGGGAGCTCGGGGCTTATTGAAATCTAGTTGACGAATGGGTAGCGAGAAGTGATCGTTGGCACCCCTGTTGATTCGCTGGTGAAGAACTACTTTAATTCCACTTGGAACATCGAACTTAGTCGCCAACCAATACAACTGTGAAAGAGCGCAAAAAGAATGTGATGAATCTCAAAATGAGAACAACTAAAGATCTTCCCCGATCCAAGTGTATCCACATACAAATAAATCAAAGAAACCACAAACAAGGCCCGTAAACAAACCCCGGCTTCTAAAACTCTACGCGACACTTCCCCCGCACCCCACTCCAGTCAAACCTCCGTTCAATCGCGGGGAAACATAGCAGCTTCACCAAACTGACAACACACATGCTTACAAAAAACGTTCTCAATCATTCAAACACTCAGGAACAATCAAAACAAACCTCGGTATCCAATCCTTCGATCTCCATGTGATATCTTCATCGAGCTTGTCGTCTGGGGGCTGCCAGCGGCTACCCGCCGCCAATCCACATGCAGAACCGCTCCCGAGATCTATGGATGTTGGTGTGGTTGTCAAATAGTGATAGCTGGAATGCTATTGGAGAGACTGGGACGAATCGGGTAGTTAGCTCGCCGGGTTGTTTTAAGCAAGTTGAGTGGTTGAAAGTGGCAGAGGGAGCGACAGTTGTGATAGTATAGCCAGTTCTACGGTACGATCGAGGAGATATAGTGCTTGACTATTATTGAATGATCGTGCATGAAAAGAGAAAAATGGTTTAACTGATTGTGGCTCTGTTGCAAGAATTAAGATGCTCCTTTTAAGAGCATCGGGATTACACTCGTCATAGATTGATTTCGATATGATAACTAATTCCACGCCCCACAAAGAATTTTAATGCTGTTGAAGGAGCTCTCGGAAAAGTTGCATGAGCGTCTGACACTCGAAGCAGATTAGGCATGAGCTGGGGTGCAGTAAAGTGATAATACCTTCACAATGCAAAGGAATGATCTGTTTGTTTTTCGTGCACGCAGCCGGGTTTCACTGACTGAAGAATTGCACGTATGAAGGTAAGGCTGGTTTTCAGTGGCCAGGAAATAAGCCAGCCCCTAGAGCACGACCAAACTTGGGGCCTATTTGCGCGAAACAGTTCTCGGAAACTTGGTTGGCAATTCTCCCGCCACCCAAACTTCGCGGGTATTGTCGGTGATTCTTTGGGCATAGATCCTTGAGACCTCTCAAGATGTACTGAGAGAAATTGGACAAGGTGGATGGGATGGCGTGCCCGTGCGAGGTAGCGAACAAGGTACTCGGTGTCAAATATTCTACAGCTTGGGCAGAAAACTGGAACGAGGACTGTGTTTGTTCAGCTCTCGAACAGCGTGCCCCGCCTGATTGGGGTGCCGCTACGATTGGATTCGTCACAGTTCGAAAGTCATGTGGCTCGGAAAGTTGCTTCATTCGTTCTGTCCCGAAAGATTCTTCGCATTGGCATTGCGCCTAAATTACAATTTCGTGATGGTCAACGTCTGCCGATCGACTGTCCATTAGGATATAAAATGTTCCCCCCATCCATAGACTTAAAAGAAATAGACCCGCGGTCCCGAAAAGGTGTCGAGCTAAGCAGTAATACAATCGCAGCATGGATTTTCGGTTTAATGTGAAAAGAAACGCGCGCGTCAAATTGTGGTGGTCCATTATCGGCCATTGGAGGTTGCCTGTGTTCCCCCGCTCATGCATACCTCATAGTTTCTTCACTGAGAAATAGTTAATAACATTTCATACATATAGTGCAAGGGCCACTTACCAAGACATCATCATCCATGTTTGCATCACCATTGGCAGCAGGCTGAGCAGTTCCTGCACCGGCAGTCTCGGTTTCATTGTTTCCAGTTGCTCCAAAGTAATCCATCATCTCGGAGTCAAGCTCTTCGGCGGTTTTCTTAGCAGGACGAGCATTCTTGGCTTTCCCCCCACGGCCGCGCGCGGCCTTTCCTCCACGAATGGCTGGAGCAGCTTTCGAGTTGGCAGCCGATTTTGGCTGTGCTTTGGGTTGTCCACTGGCAAACATTAGTATCCAAAGCATATAAAAGGGAACTCGGAGCTGCTCACGTAATACGATCGCTGAGTCCCTTTGGCGGGGGTAGAGCTGCAGCGCGCCGCGCATCAAGAATAACATCGATCTTTGAAACGTTAGTATTTTCTAATGACGAATTGAAGAGCAGACATACCTTCATGCTTCGGTTGTCGACCATGACGCCATTTTGAGACTCAACAGCTTTAACGGCCGAGTCGGGACGAATAAAGAAGATGGTGGCAATCCCACGACTAACGCCTCCAGGCCCATATGATAACTCCACCCTTCTGACAGGTCCAACGGCTTTGACAAAGTATTCCTATTTGTGCAACTTTGGTTAGTTATTTATAAACCGGTAATCTATGAAGTTGAAGCGTGTCTGGTGGTTGGCCGCTGGTAGAAAGGGAAATCGCGCAATCTCGTAATCGAACCGGAACAATATCACCGGGGGCAGTACAGCGAGCGAGCAGTAAGCGTTAGAATATGTCTGAGGTCGGCCGGGAAAGATCAAGTCCAAGATGAGAGTGGAACACCGCCGAGGCCTGACATCATCATCGAGTGACCGAAAGTCCGTATACTCCAGGTGCAAAGCAGTCTATCACTCATCTGCCGTAGAAATATCCCGAACACCCATTAGGATGCTACCAACGAGACTTGACGTAGGTCAGTGTGTAAATAATGCCCTCACGTTGGTCTGACATGTCGAATGACCGTATTTGTCGGCTGGGAGAATCTGCTATGCTGCTTGCCCACTGCTGCGCTCGCTGATACTGTCTGTACAGGATGCCATTTTGGTTTGAGATGTTGATCTCAGCCACAAATATTGTCTGCTCCGTTTTCTGAGAAATGCTTGCCAGGCAAATCTTCAAGAATTAGGATTATGCAAGACGACAACAAGCTCGACTTCATCTGGCAGGTGCTGCATGTGATCGAGCAAGAGCAGAGAAGGAGTCATTGTTGCAAATATCCAAAAGCCCGCATGTAGCCCGCGGAAGTCGGCCAACGTTGGAGATCACATCGATGGATCATGAATCATCGTAGAAGATGGAATAGGAGTTCGACAAAATTCCAAAGACAATAGTTGTCTCATCGATAACATACCTTCACCATATCTTCGGTAACATCCTTAGGCTGATAGAGAATTAGTATGACAAAAATTAACAGGGGCCATATCTCGACTTACCAGATTGCTGACCATAATTTTACTTTCTCCATTTCCTCCTGATGGGCCTGTTGGAACAGGCTTTACGGCAGCCTTTGCGCCCCTTGCATTCTTCTTTACGCCTCCGACCGGAGCAGGAACGGCTGGCTTGGAAGTACGACTTCGACGGCGTGCGACTGCGGTTTTACCTCCACGGCCAGCGGTGCGACGTGTGGAAGAGAGGATCTCATCGAGGGATTGATCGAGTTTTCCCGACATTTTGGATGGGATCGCGTTTGCTTAGGGGTGAGCTTGTTATAAGGACTGATCTTTTAAGATCAGGATATGCGCGCGTAATTTCGCTGGTGAAGATGAGGCGGCTTGTGTATGGATGGCACAAGTCCGAAGTACTCTATTGTCGCTTTGATGTGATCGCGATGTTGGTAATGGTGGCTTGAAGGTGATGAGGCTGGCGGGAGCAACGCGACTGGATAAAAAATGGCAGAAAGATGCGACTTCGAAGTTGGATGAATTTGCAGGTGTTGGCAAGATTTGCTTGAGTATTGTATTCAAGAGATAGCAGAAGAATCGGAGGCTTGAAAGATCTTTGTTTGTTCGTGAAGGATGAGTACGTTGGTCGGATGATGATGAAAGGGGAAGGGGGCATGAAGGAGCTGGCAAATTTAGCGCGATTTTCATAGCGCGCGATCAGGCAACAAACAGGTCACGTGAATAATGCTTTGCTTGGTTTGGGTACATGAATAGTAGCAGCCCCTTAGGTAGTAGATGAACCAAACGGCGTACTTTGGTTCATTCACCAATTGGAGTTCAGTTAATATTTTTGAGTGTTGAAGTGTGATTTGGCTTAGTGGTAATCCAATTACTCTAGATGTCTTGTAGTAGAAAGGTTTAATGTATTTATGGTTGAATTCTGGTTGTTACTGGTAGGTCAAGGACAGAGTCCATTCCCAGCCATTAAGAGCAAGGATAAAACGCATTTCGTAATCGCTTTTAGGAGGCTTTTTTCATTTCAATACAGATCTTATGTGGCGGGTACTGTGATAACCTCACAACCCTCCATACTGCTCCTTAACGCCAGGTATGCCGAATTCGAATGCTGCAACATGGACGTGTTTCTCGACTCCGTGGAAAATATCTTCGACCCCTCGTCCTCATAGCTTTTCACATAGTCCCACAATCTACACTTTCACCTTCCTATCGAACCAGATGTCACCTCCGCCTGCGTTGAGTTGCGGACCTTGACATCTTCAGCGTCTTCGATGGAGTTGACCTCGAGCCAGTGGTAGACAATTATGAGCAGCATTGCAATTGATCCAAGGACAATCGCAAGTCTGTAGAGGTCGTCGTCTGAAATCATTTTGTTTCCGAATCGGTATTGTCGCTGAGAGAGAGGACACGTAGTTTGATTGTGACTGAACTGCTAGTGGACATTAGTTGATGTGAAATGGTTAGAAGTTGAGGGAATTTAAAGCTTACATGGAATTCAGTGACCGAAACGACGTCAATTGATCAAATACAAACTCCTTTGCTTTTTAGTCGTCTTCACCTTGAGGCCAGTTTGAGCTCCAAAGTTATTAGAGCACAACTACCAGCCCCACAAATTAGCGCGAATGTCGCTTATGCGGCCAATGACGTCGACCTTTTCAAAGTCCCCCACCAGATTCGGATTCCAGACGGTGATTTGCCTCGACATTTTGGACGTCTCGATCGAAAACAAGTCGGCTTCTGCACCACAGTCATTTCTGGACATCTGAAAAGCCGCAACGGGTCAGAACTCGAATTTGTCTATTTTCGATCAAAAACTTCACATCTCATCTGCGACCATACTCCATCCGCAAAGATGCCTCCAAAGAAGCAGCCGCAGAAGGAAGGCGGGGGCAAGAAGCCCTCCGCAACCAAGATTGTGGAGGATAGAACATTCGGGATGAAGAACAAGAAGGGTGCGCAGATGCAGAGGCAAATTGCCCAGATGACACAATCTGCGAAAGCTGGAGGAACACCCGAAGAAAAGAAGAAGGCCGCCGAAAAGGCCCAGCGAGAGAAAGAAAAGGTGGCGTCAGAAGCTGCAGCAAAAGAGGCGGCAGAACTATTTAAACCTGTCCAGGTGCAAAAGGTCCCATTCGGCGTGGATCCAAAGACCGTCCTGTGCCAGTTTTACAAAAAGGGCCATTGTGAAAAAGGACGAAAGTGCAAGTTTTCACACGATTTAAATATCGAACGGAAAGCACAGAAAAAAGATCTTTACCAAGATACTCGAGAGGAAGAAGAGGAGACCAAGAAGAAAGAGACGTCGGACGATTGGGATGAAGAGAAGCTACGGAGTGTAGTATTGTCCAAGAAGGGTAATCAAAAGACTACCACAGATAAAGTCTGCAAATTCTTTATCGATGCTGTTGAAGAGGGAAAGTATGGTTGGTTCTGGACATGCCCGAATGGAGGGGATAAGTGCATGTATCAGCATAAGCTGCCACCTGGGTATGCCATACTGAGGATATATTCGTCGATCATTGTTAACGTAGCACTAGGTTTATTTTGAAGACCAAGGAGCAACGTGCTGCAGAAAAAGCACTTCTGGATAAGTCGCCACTCAAAACACTCACACTCGAGGATTTCCTGGAATCGGAACGACATAAGCTTACAGGAACACTTACCCCTGTTACCCCAGAAACATTTGCCAAATGGAAAGCGGAACGAATGGATAAGAAACAAGCTGAGCAACAAGCCCAGGCCGCTAAGGAAGCGACAGGTCGTGCTTTGTTTGAAAAAGGAGACTGGAACGCCAGTGGTGATGAAGATGAAGACGACGATGGAGATGAATCAGATGATGATTTGGAGAAGTTGCGACAGGAAACAGAGGCACTTCGAGCGAAGAAAGAGGCCGAGCGACTTGCTGGATATGGTCACGCCTACACAACGAATGGGGATAACGGGGTCCTCGGAAGTGTTGAACCAGATATCCATGGTGCAGATGATGAGAGTGGCCCATCTTAACACCATAATTCCACGGGGCTGTAAAACCAGGGCACGCGAACATCATCGCCCTCTCACAATCATCCTGACAACACACAAGCTGTCGGACGGGTACGCCGTGCAAGACGAAGTCTACATCATAAGTTAGTCGACATAGGGGTTCCCGAATGATACTCGACTTCGGACGCAAGGTGTCCTCGTCTCCCGACGGTCGCAGTGATGAGATTTGCAATTGCCAGAAATAGTAGGAACTTGGCATCGCTAAATGTTACCACTAGTAAAGTATGTTGTTTGATGTATACACAGATATTTGCCAGCAACTCAAACTCCAATTTCAGCCCGTTTTCAAAATCCATTGTTTTCACATCTGATACAGTATTCCTGTATGTGAACTTAGCCACCTCTACCGAATCCAGAGATGAACGCGTTGTGACTTCCAGTATCCGTTGGTGGCTGTATCTTAACATCTATAGAATCGTGCGGTTGGTGGCAAAGATCAAAGGAACGATGGACGATGGTACACAACGCTACAAAATACAATAAATCTAAGAAACTAGCTAAGAGACATTCTATTATTCAAGAAGAAGAGCATTTGTCAACATGAAACGACCAATCATGATGTTCCGAGTCTCTTTCTAGTTGCCCCCTCGTCAGGAATAGAAACATGTCGGCATTGCAATGTGACATGGTCATGTTTAGCTCGACAGAAGCTCTACGAAGCTTCTATCAACTCAAGATATCCAATACTGGTCGTATCGCTGCTATACGATTGAATCGTGTATACGCTGTTCTCTCTAAGCGAAACCTGCTCAAATGCGCGCAGTCGAGATTTACACCCCTTTGGGCCATGCTTCACATGTAACATGAGCATCTCGAGCTCGAACATACCTTTTTCCTAGCTTTGACTAAAGACACAGACAGGTGCGGAGAGGTTACAACGATTAGAGACAACATGTTACTCACCCCACCACGGATGTTATTTGAGCACTTTTATCTGTAACGTGCTGAGCCCACCGAAGACGCACACTTCGGGCACAGATCACTTCATTGGAAGCTACTAGGATACATAGAGGCAACACTCACAAGTACATATCATCCCAAAGTCACCAAAAACCTTGCTCATTTACTTCGTCTTTACATTAATCAAATTTCAAGGGAACACGGTTACATATTTTAGAGACTTTTCGACTATGCCTCAAATTAACGGTTGTAAATTCTCCTGGTATGTCTCGATATGATTCTTATTAGTTGCTTTGTTACCGGACGGCGCCTCGTATTGAGTAAATTATCAAACCTCAATGAACTGACCTGAGGCAGTGAGCCATGCTTAAGGGGTCATAGAGCATCATCTTGTGCTCATACAGATAGAGTTTTGGTCAAAGTGCGGAAACCTGGAAGGCCACTTGAGACCTGTGCACACCAACTGTCAACATGTTGTTGTGGAAGACTTGATGGTCTATTCTCTCCTAGTACCAGTATGCACTAACTCTTACAATTTGACCATGAAGCCATGCTCACTCTTCTTAGTACCGCTCGAGCAGAGTCCTAACCACCACTCTCTGTTAGATTCCGTTGTCGAACGTCGAATTTCGTATACACGACGAGAGGAAACAGAGCCACGGATCAAACATGGTTATAGCATCACCAAACGTCCCGCGAATAGGAGAAAGACGCCTACTAGTTCTTCGATCGATCACTTGAAACGGACAAAGCCAGATCCGGTGACTTCGATTTCGACACTGCTGCAGAACTGCTCTGAAAATACGTCCCCACGATTGCAAGCCTGGACAACGGTACCCAACCCAGCTCCTGCAACCTCAGGTCAGTTCTTCACAGATGGGACAAATACGGACAGAAGCGAGCAACGCAGAAGGGATGTTGGGCAGACTCATAACGGAGGATCACCCTACCGCTTTAGCAGTATAATCGAAATTGCGCCCAGCCATGGTGGTCTACACAAAAGTGAAAATGGCCGACAAGGACCGTCCACTTTTGTTGGGTGACAAATCCAGAATCACCAGCTATATGGATAGCATCCAAGATGAAGAGAACAAACCTGAATAAATATGAACATTTATTGAGATTTTGATATCCAGCGTATCGCATAGGATATTCTGTTTGACTGTGTATTTCTGAGGAGCGGACAACTAATTCGAACGACGCACTCATTTCATCGAGGCATCTTTCAATTGCCTTAATATATCTCATCGCTCCGCTTATTTAAGCGCTCAACTAGAAGCTACCCTCAGCTGCCACATCATCCCTGATTAAAGAATTACTGGGCTTTCAAATAGTTCCCGCTAGCATTCACAGTGTTCATTTTCAGCTAGCAAATTAAACTTGGTCAATAGACTCCTATTTCTTTTCTCGATATAATATCAACGGTGTATACGCTATTTCAAAAACCCTTTTGGTATCCAACGCCCAACTCTACCCCAATTCTATCCTCCAAGATTCCCATCCGCACCTAGTTGTCCTCTTTCTTCATCCTCAATTTGGTGGGAAGATATCTGCAAAAGATCGGCAGCGGGAGCAACGGGGATGGCGGCAGTATCTACAAAACGAGCTGAAGGACACTTGTTTACAGTTGCAACAGTAGTAGGTGTTGTAATCTCTGATATCCATGGAGTCGACGAATTTTGTTGTTTTGTCTTGGTTTTGCTGGCACATTGCTGGTGAAGTGGGTTTTGGTTGTGGTAGTTTGTGGTGTTGAAGTTTGTGGTGACGGGAAGATGGTTTTTTGCTTGGTGATGGTGGTGCAGGTGGAGGAAGGTCGGAGGATAGCACTTATAGGAAGTTCTGGTTTACCAATCACACGTTTTCTCTGAATGAATGGCGAGGGTAAGACAGCTTTATGTTGTCCTTGTGGTTATTAAGTATGAATCTAGGTTATGGTCCAGCTATTCATAGAGATTTAGCCAGTCCCTAGTCATAACTTCAACTTAATATATTAGAAACTTCTGGACGCACGATTCTTCACTCACACCTTAAGGAGAGGACACTGTCACAGAAATAGTTGATTCATAATGTGGGATATGATTCTGTCATGCTTTTGTTGGCATGCAAATTCTAAGCTAATTCACAATAGCCAAGTCCAATAGAGGTCCAATACATATGAATAACAGATTTTATGATACATGATTGATAAGAGACATATATTAAAACTCCAAGGATACAAAATTACACAAATTCCCTCAACTTTATGAAACCCTTGTAATTTTGACTCTCGCATCACCACATGGAGGAAGGACACCAACACCTGCCATAGTCTCATCCGGTATAGGAGCTTTATCAGTGAGCTTCCCTTTGGTATCTAACCAGCCTTGAAACTCGATGTCGTATTTTGTCACAAAGATCGCTACCGCTGCCAAAATCTCCTGTTTGGCGAAGAATCTTCCACTACATATCACATTGCCTCCACCATATGGAAACCATTCATCCGGACGCATAGCCTTTTCATAAGCAGATTTCTCGTCTGGATCAGAAGGTTTCATTTTTGGCATTTCGATGAATCGTTCTGGCCAGAAAGTGTCTGCCGGATGACCAGGGACGTCCCATATAGGACCATGAGCTGGCTGCCAGGATGCTGCCATTATGTGGTTTCCTTTCTTTAGTATATAGCCATCGCATTCTGTGTCTTCGGTCACTTTGCGGGTGACAGCCGAGGAAGTTCGGGTACGAAGACACTCCATGTACATCGACATAAGGAGAGGTGAGTTGGCGAGAAGATTGGGGATGTCAATCGTTAAGTTGCCCGCTTCGTCCTTTTTCATTGAGGGTGCAACTTCATCGCGAAGAGTCTTGATCAAGCCAGGTCGCTTCAGGGCTTCGAATATTATCCATCCAGTGCAGGGAATCGCGTTGGAATTGATACTACAAGTGATTAGCAGGAAACAATTAGCATATGGTAGTAACTCACGCCCATATCATTGGTAGCATGGCAATGGCCTGTCCTTCTCTTGATAACCCAGACTCGGCAATCACCTGCACCATTTTACGACTGTAGGTAGATCCAAAACACTCTTCCCAATCTGCATCTTCATTCTTCGGGTCATAATTCTCCCAAGCATGATTAATCCACCTTTTGCAATGATCTATCATTCGATCACTCGCTGCGTACTTTGCAGAGATGAGGAACTTTGGTAGACCAATAGCTATTTGAGTGAAGCCTCCATCATATTCCCAAAAGTCTTTGGTCAAGTCAGGGCACAGCGAAAAGATGCTGGTGCCGACAAGAGATTTCGTGGATGCCACGAACATGGCATCCTTAAAGTAACTGTAAAGAGACGTAGTAAAGCTGTGATTCAATGGTTTTTTGTCCAATGCTTCGTTGAATTGTTGGATGAACATGTTGGTAAGCATGTTCACGTTGTGAGCAGTGAGAAGATACTTAGGTCCTAGATCGTGGGATTTCTTCCAGATTCGACCCTGAGCAGGAACATCGGCGACTGGTTCATGAGCTAAGCCTGACTTATCCTCATCAAAGACACCTTGGTCCTTTTTCGACATGCCTGAGTTATGAAATATCATCATGGTAGTTGAGAACTTGGTAAGCGTTTTTGAGTTTTTGAAGATAGTCTTCATGTTCTTTGGCCCAAAGAGAACATAGATCTTGATAGGACCAAGTTTAAGTGACACCGGTCTGTCTTGAGGGGACTTTGACCTGTTCAATTATCAGTAAATAAATAAAAGCGATAAAATTGTGTGCTGACTTTGCCCAAAAGTACATGTCATGGCCAGTGATGACTGCTGTAATCCCACCGATCCATGGTATTGTATAAGGCAACGTCAACGGCTCCCTGCCTTCGAATCGACCTGCATTGCCCCTAGATTGGACGAAATATCTAACTTCTGTGAATATCCGCGTAGAAAGCAGGACAGTGGTTATCGCCAATGCTATCGAGACCACGATGTCAATTGTTTGGTGGCCAGTACAGGCAAGAATAGCGAAAGCCATGATAGAACATATGCTGCTGCGTTAATTTATTGATAAGGGAGGAGACTTTGGGAACCCGAAGACGTAACATTCAAGCTTACGTACATTTTGTGCACGTTTGTTGGTTGCCCTAGCTCCTGCCCTGTGAGATTTTAAGTTGGAGCTGAACAGCGCCGCAAAGTGAGCTTCGGTTGGCGTCGTACAATTAGCCAATTGGGAGGCGAGCACGGAAGGTTAAACGGATAACAAGCTCGAGGTCTGAATGTGACAGAAATAAGAAATATCATAAACATAGCGAATACCAGTCTAGCTACGGGTTTCTAGAAGAAAGGAATTAGTTTAGGTGGTTCAGCGAAGGTTATCGCTACGCTCGAAGTAGAATGGTAGCGAGGCTCCAGAATTAATCCTTCAAGTCGACTAACATCGTTGACTTCCTCCATGTTTTCAGGTAGCTAATACCTTCTTTGACTCCATTTGAAGCCTATATTAAAATATCTAGCAGCATCACAATAGAAAGACCTCACGAAAAAATCAATTGGCTAACTCTTTCGTTCACCATGAGCCACGATGACCCCATTACTTGGAACAAAACTATTTTATCTCATATATGACACTCCCATTAGCCACCAAAGGGGTAAAATTGTTGGCGCACTGATCCAAGCGAGTGGCTAGGAGCTAACGAAGCATCCAAATCCGTCAGTCCACATATCTCTTGGCTAATAAGTTGGCTTACGGCGAAGCTCGGTGAATCGGGTATCCGGATGTTGAGGTGAAAACTGAACCACGGAGCTATATCATGATCCAATATCTTGTAGGAAGACATAGAGGTTGCATCCCACAAGTTTTATATCTTAAATATTTCGATTGTCATAGTGGCATGAAACTCAACTCCAGAGTTACAGTTCGTCGTGCTTCGGCCTGCTGTTGACAACATCTTGTACATCGTAGGGTAGATACACTAGATCAGGACCACCCCAATCTGCCGGCAAATCAGTTCTCTTCTCCCATATCGCAGTAGACGGGATTTTGTCTTTCATGTCCTCCTTGACTTTATCGACTTCATCCATAACCCGCATGAGATTTTCACCCATGACATTATTGATTTCTGTATCATTCCAGCCTCGACGTAGTAATTCGACGATCTGCAACGTTGGTATGGAACATCAGCGGTTTTATTACCAAAATCAGCTTCAGTACTTACAAGATTGGGATACTTGCTGGCGTCTTCCAGCCCTATAACACTTGAATACATCCCATCGAAGTCTGAGGCAATGCCAACGTGATCTCTTCCTACAATTGAAGCGATGTGCTCTATGTGATCTGCTACTCCAGAGACATTTGCAGTCTCTGGACTGGGTCCGATGAACGGAGGGAAGAACACCGAAAGACTGCAGTTACTATTAGCAACTACATCTACGATTGAAAGTATAAACGCACATTATACCTGGATTTTGTCCTGGTCCATCACCGATCAAGCGTAGAATATCGTCCGGGACATTGCGTGGATGGTTCTGGATAGCTCTGGCTCCTGCATGTGTCCAAATGACAGGTGCAAGTGACAAGTCAATAGCATCTCTCATGGTTTGGTCGCTTGTATGCGATAGATCAATCATCACTCCTAGCCTGTTGAGCTCTTGGACAAGTTCCTTCCCAAATTCGGTAAGACCAGGCCCATGATTCGAGCTCTCGAGAGGTGGTCCAAATCCATTGGAAGCAGCGAAAGAGCTATGACAGGTGTGGGTAAGTGTTAAGTATTTAACCCCCATCTCTGCGTATAATCTGACCGTAGAGAGCGAATTGCCAAGGAAGTGAGTCCCTTCCATTCCTATTAGGGATGCGATTTTGCCATTGGCAAAGGCAGCCCTAATCTCCTTGGAAGAGAATGCGGCTTGCATGTGCTCAGGATGCTGTTTAATCATATTCTTGATTATGTCTAGCACTTCGAGTGAGTCTCGTAATCCCTCTGTTGTTTCCAGGAAATCCGCTCCGTACTCTTGATTTAATACTTGATTGGCGCAAGGTGCCCACTAGGTGATTTAACTTAGCTCTATCACCAAAGACTCAAGTATCGACAGAAAGTGGCAAGATACTTACAACTGTGAAAAAAGCCCCTCCCAAATGACCTTCACGCATTCTCGGTATATCGACATGGCCTGGCAGTTTACTTGCCAGTTGAGGAATGACATCAAGTGGTCTTCGATCTAGAAGTCTCTATTAATGTATTATCATTGTGATACAACGGTACTTTTTACGTGCCTAGGCCTCGAATGATTTGAGGGAGGTCAATGTGCGTGTCTATCAAAGGGCTTTCAGACATCAGCTTGATAGCTCGAGAATACAACGCATCTTCTTCCTCCTGTATCCCCTGTTGAGCATTGACCAATTGAGACAGGACTAATGTCCAAGTCAAAAGCTTCATAATTCATATACTATCTGTTGTAGTGAGTCGGATGTAACAGGAAGGTGAAATTGGGGTCAATTCCGAAGGTGGGATGCCAAACAGAGTTCGGTAATCTCATGGTCCCTGGCCAATCCAATTCATCTTGCTAAGCAGTACTCGGCCTGCACAGTATTGTCACACAGCATGTGCGTTTCATCCACAGTAAAATAAATATATGAGAAGTGGCAACATGAGATCGGACATACCAAGCTATCATGATCTCAGACAAACATGTCAAAAAAAAAAGCACTCCTTAACCTGACAGATATAAATACACCACCATCCATTGTTAAGATATGAAGGTGTGGAACCTTATCAAATTTTCGTTGATTTGGGTTATGAACCTCGAGATTAAAAAGATTGAAGCAATTCGGGTCTCTTTTTGACTTCATCTACTAAACCTTTGAAGTCTTCATCACCAGCCGCTGCCATTTTCTCGAAATCAGACCAGTTCTCTTCAAGCCACTGAGCTTCTTTACCAACCTGATTCCGTGATCAGCACGCTCGATGTCTCGTAGGAGAACCGAAGACTCACAACAGGAATGGCCAATCCGCGCTCCCTAGCCACTAATCCAGGTACAATGAAAATGCCTTGTAGTTTTTCTTGATTACCTACGACTTCATCCCAGCACGCTTCCATCTCCTTGGCCAGTTTATCAAAGCCCTCTTGGCCTCTGCCACCGCCGCCTCGAACATAAGCGAATATCACATTTGTTCCGTCTTTGCGATTGCCTCCAACAAAGAAGTCCTCTGCATTGGAGTCGGCGTGAGCTGTGAATTTGATGTTTACAAAAAGGGATGGCGTGTTGAATGTTTGAGCATGGAGGTTGGTGAGAGAAGTTGCCAGATTTTGGCGCTGAGAAGGCGCCAGGGAAGCTGAGTGTTGTATATGGTAGAATGGCATGATAAAAGTATGTATTTGCTCTCTGCTTTGAAGTTAGTTTATTGATTTGTAGATGATTGTTGATTGAATTAGTTGCGGGGAAGGATGCCACATTAAGGATGATTACTTGTTCGGATAACTCTCGGCAGTCCAGCTGCATCCGCCAAAAACGTCTCAACCGCCGGCTATGCGGATTGCACCGCTAGTCAATAAAGAAGCACGAAATAGCCCGGCATCGTGAGTAAAGAACACTGGTAAGGAGTGTTTGTATTTGTGACGTTACAGGCTCAAGCCTGGCACTGCTTATGCTTCATAATTGGTTACATCAGACGAGTTACTTACCAAAAGATAGATGCATACGATTTTCCATACAGTATCGAGATAAAAATGGGGCCCTAAATATGAGTTGAGAGATACAGTGACTCCGGACAAAAAGTATTCTGACAAAACGACTATTCGTTGATAACATCCTGCCCCGGTATGGTTCACATGATCTGAATCATTCCAATCGATTATTGGTGAGTAAGTGCAAGTCGTAACCGACGATTGACAGTCGACATAGATAAATCGGCAATCGTGTGACGTGTATCTTAACGAAGGAGATGAAGCTGAGACCGCATCCAGCGAATTTTGATGTCGAGGACACAAAGCGGCGGAAACCCATTTGCTTGTTGAAACCCGATGACACCGAAGTAATTGGTAAAGAAGAGTATGGCTGATGCTCATGCTGTTGGAGGTGCGACACTTCGAACGAAGTTCCTGGCGTGGTCGCTTACTCAACGACGTTCTTCGAAGAGGTTGCCGAATACGGAATACAGTAAGTATGTCAAATCCTGAGAAATCCAGTCGCTATTCTTTCACTGGACCCAAAAATAAGCCTGCTCAGTATATAAACTGAACAGTATCCATATGATCCCTCCACTTTCTTCTTCTGCGTTAATTCCCATATCAGTTCTCGATACATCACATACGTCCAACAACATACCGTTAAGAGCTATGCCATCTATCATACGCCACGCAATTCAATCCTTAAGTGGTACAAGCAACAGCGATTGGCCGTTGATTCGTGAATCACAGCCTCGGTATCAAAATGATTCAAGGGAGTCATACGTCAGTGGAGATAGGGGCATGAGAGAAGGAAGCCGCGTTAATGAATGGGTGGATACCCAAGACAGAGGTCAACAAGCTAGACATTCAAACGATAGGCAGGCTCCAAGCACTAGATCAATAGCAGAACCAAGAGTCGGAATACTGGGCTCGCGAAGGATTTCAGGACGAGAGAGATTGCTGGACCTCGCGAATCTCAGAAGACCATCAAGACCTTCGCGTGCTTCAAATGCTCCAGAAAATTCGTCCACGTTGCGTGGATTGGCAGCGCAGTCACTATCAAGATATATGGATCAACGTAATAAACCGCAAGCCAATTCATCGACCTCTCAACAACGACGGGGAAGGGAATTCGACTTTGAGAACGAGGAGCTAAGTGATGTTGAACAGCAAGACCAGAATGATCCGAGACAAGCTGAGAGGCGGCATCAGGAGAGCTATTCGGCCGACAGGAATGGTTATGAAACAGGGCCGTATTCACAGCAAGAGCGGTGCTATGAAATGCGGTAAAGATCAAGAGTGGCTAGACTTGCTTTGAGATTCCTGGAACGAGAGAAGATAACTTACTATGTCAACAACTGAAAGAAATCGGAAGGGATGGGTTTTGATGGAGGAAAGAGATTGCTCAGAGGAAATGATTCTCCGAAATACAAAGCTTCCTTGGTTGTATTGTTGATTTCCAAAGCGGGTATTCGTGGAATATCAAAGAGATGCATTAGATAGAAATAGAAATGAAGCCAAATTGCGACCAGATGACGGTGATGTAAAAAATGGTGTTCTGACAAATACGCGTCGTCACGCATCATAGGAGTATATCTGAGACCACCGACCACCACACCCCTATAACTTTTTCACAACCCGCTGATTCTAAACTACAACTTAATTGCCTTCCGCAAACATTTTCAAACTCCTACTTTATCTACTTCGATCCCAATCCCGGTGTGTCAGCAATACGGAACAAATACTTGTTTCCAGAGTTCTTTCCATCACGCAAGCCCACCATTCCATCCCCAATACTCGCCAGTCCATTTGGTAGGACTTCGTACGGATGACCCTTCAACAGGCCCTCCTGCAGAGCGAAGGTCATATACGAGAAGAATGCATGAGTGAATGCCTTTGGTGCGATATTGAGTCCCTCAGGTCCGTCTGGGCTGGCCGGGTCTGTTGGCTCCCAAAGCCCTGGCGCAAAGGGAGTTTCGGCCTTGATATATGCGGGAAGTCGCTCTTGATGAGGTCCCCCGAGCATGAAAACATATGATGATTCTTCGCGGGCGAGTAGTGGGGAGAGCATGTCGACCGTGTCGTTGTTGCTGATGGAATCAACCACGTAGTGAAGCTCCGGCGCTGATTTTCGGACTTCTTGAGCCAAGGCGTCTTTGCCAATGCGGTAATCAAGTAAGATATCTCCTTTACTGGGTTCGAGGATTGAGGAAACGATGTCGCCAGACTTGCCAGCTATCGCAATGATGGGATGGATGTTGGCCAGCGCAGCAAGCTTTACTGTGAACGCTCCAGTGGCAGAGGAGGCTCCGTAGACCAGGAGAGGCGTCTTGACCTTTGACGGTGCCCATGGCCCTTTGAATCGCAAGTGCTTGAACAATCCCAATGCCGCCGTCGTATAAGCCAGCCCGGTTGTTGCTGCCTCTGCGGCATGTCAGTGTTGTAGTTTCAGTGAGGATCGGATGTCCATACCTTCGAAGGTCACATTATCAGGAATATGGGCAGTTGTATGTGCAGGCCCAACACCATACTCAGCAAACCCACTGCTATGATTCAACGCGATTACTCTGTCTCCTACTTTGAAGTTGAGAACTTTTGATCCGACAGCTGGCCAAGAGTTAGCTGGTGAAGAGTGACAGAAAAGGGTTTACTCTGACCATGCACATAACCTGCGAAATCTTTTCCCGCATTGCGGTGGAGAGGGGCTTTGAGGTCACCGTGTATGAGTTGTGCAACTTTCTCGTCAGCAGCTTTCCAGTCAATTGGATTTGCTCCCGCTACGACGATCTTGACGATGATGTCGTTGTCTCCAGGGACCGGAATTGGGGCATCGTCGATAGTGATATGTAAGTCTGGGTAGATGAACACTTCTTTCATGCTTGCCATTTCTTCGCTGATTGGATATTTAAAAGTACAAATTCTTCTAATGGATGTTGTCTAGTATTTGAAATATCCAAGTGAGTTGAGCTAATGTTTCTTGTATCTCAGATACGCATCTATAACGGTGTATTCTTCTTCCTATATACTTATTTTCTACGACCGTCTTCCATGCACCTTCATTGCTTCTACTCAATAAATCTTTAATGATCATACATTATAAATCCCGGATTTCCCATCTTTCATGGCATTCTCGGACGCGTTGATAAATCAATCCGATCACGATTGAAGTTGTCCAGCCAATCCAGCTTCTTCAGCTGTAGAAGGCAGGGAGCGTCTACCAGAAAAGTGCAGCCAATAACATTCTACCCACCATAAGATTATCTGTAGGCTGATGACTGATCACAACAGTGCATCTTGAATATCAATCATAGAACTGATTGGAATGAGATTAAATGGCAAATCGGATTATGAAGTCTCAATTGTGGAGGGTAATTGAAGAAATTGCTGCCATGAGGCAGAATGCCACTGATTTGCAATATGTTCTGACGACGAGCTTGCCACAGATGGATTCTTTTTATGTTGAAATTCTCTTTGCGCACGGCAGCACGAAAGTCTACCTATCAATAATGTAGATGAATACTCCGCGAACCGAAATCTTCAGAAGTTCTGCACAAGAATAACTAATCGAATCCCTATCCCAGTCCCGACTTGCTTAGAAAATTTCAATTTCGCGACTCGGTCTCGCGATTCGGTCTTGAGCATCGAAGGGCGTGTCGAAGTACATTTAGAGATACTTGACACGATAGCCAAATAAACCTGCTGACCAATACTGCTCTTCCAGCTTTCCCCGGCGCCTTAAACTTGTACATTTCAGTCAGCATTCTATCTCACCACGTTCTCGAATAACTTCCAGAACCCTAAATACAAACTCAACTCTCAAAATCAATAAAAACATCACATGACAACCCATCGCCTCGACCTCCCCCCTTAAACTCGGTTACACAGAGCTGAAGCAGTGCCGTCTTACATGCATACATGTACCAGTACATTGGATTCGTCGGGTCATCTCTGACACGAGTGCATCATACGAGATAACTAGAATAGAGATGTGGCTTGGTGACGTGCGCTTGGGATTTTAGAGCGCGGATTTATCCTGATTGGGGATTTAGAGCGTGCGAATCGTGATCTTACGTTTGTGGGCGATTCGTACATTTCGTAGGTTCGGTAGTGTGTGTGATGATTGCCTAATGGGGATGGAGAGCGCGATGGTCGTCTCGTTGTGGAAGGGAGGGAGTGGTTTGGCATGTTGATCTAGAACGGAGTGTTGTAGGGCGTATGGGCGGCGAGGGAAGTGAGAATTGATGAGTGCTATCTTATGTTTCCATGAGGAATGAGAACGACTTGATTTTCACTCAGAGTGTTCCAGGCTGCTTAGTGGTCTACGAATGACTGCTTTTATCATGATGTGGCTACGGCCTACATTGGACCTTTGAGGATTTTCCGAAGGTTCTTGTACCGGCCATAGAGCACTCCTGTCTTCCTATGAAGCTGACGATAGCCTATGTCAAAGCCAGTTTCTCGGCCGTTATCAAGAAATAGTAAAATTCCGACATACATGCGATTTGAAATTTATTATTATATACGATATCCTAAGATATGATGACTGCTATGTACTCTCCAAGACCAATTATTTACAATCCTCAAATGAAAGATTTCAGACCAGCAAACGACGCATAATCACATGTTGTGATTCACACCGCTTCTACCCAGACTCGAAGCTATGCATAGAATACAAGGAAATAACAATAAGAGAGAATCAATCTAGTCTAAATGCTTTCCCACTCCAGCAATGTCGGAACTCTGTGGTCGTGTTGATATAGTACATAATGGCGCTGTAAATTAGATATTACTGGATTGATATCTGACATTGTATGTTGATAATGCAAAATGATGTGAGGTCTGAGCCTCGGGTATATAAATGAGTGTTGTATTGTGTGCAGTCGCATGTGCGACTTGGGTATCAAATGAATGTGGTCGTAAGTGCTGCCGTGAAAGAGCGTAGGACCTCCGAAGTGGTGGAAGAAAATGAAAATCGTGAAGTCGTGAAATAATGCCGTATTATCGCTTGAAAACTTCAGGCCATCGTATGTCTTTGATTTTATCGGTCAAACCATTGCCGATTTGCCATCCAGAGAATTTGATAAGTCTGGGCTTCGGCCACGAACTGTTCCTTCTCGCAACCCATGGCTTTCCAAAGAACCATAATAGAAGCATGGTTGGGGTTGCACTGAGCATGATGAGTGCCATGGCCAGGAATGTGAAACCAGAACCAATTTTGTCCAAACTGGGTTGAACAGTGCCTATCGCGAGTCCAGTCAAGAGGAATCGTACCAGATTCATGGCAGGACCTACCGATACTCTTTGTCTAGACAAGTCACCAATAAGGACACTGTTGAGAAGAAGTATGGCGGTTGCGGAAGCCCCAATGATGAACTGTATTATCAAAGGAGCGGCTATCGAATGGGACTTCTTCTGAAAAGAGAAGCCATAGCCTCCAACTGTGCTGATGAATATCAAAGTTATCCACCACAAATTTCGTAACCGTGCGCGTTCAATTGGGAAGTCTTCGAGCGACTTGAAGTTGAGAATATCAGAGGCATCGAGGCCATGCATATGACGGTAATGAATTTCTGTCACTTTGAGGTCGTGGTCCATCAGGTATCCGATGGAGAAAAAGGTGAAGACTGAACCAGCCCCTGCTGGCAGAAACGCTAAACCAATGTAAAGTGAGGATAAATACTGATAATGTTCCTTAAACATTGTAGTTGTCGTTGCGATCGTTGTAGTAAAGATTGCAAATGTGACAGCACCAAAAATTGTAGAGATTAAGACGTTCTTCTGTTTGAGGCAAAACAAAGGTTCCACAAATGATCTCAAAGTCAAAAATGTCAAAGATATTTTGAAACAGTCGTCAGAGTCAGGCTCTAGTATAGCGTCATGAGATGATGTAATCATGTTGATTAGAGGCTGGTGTATGTACCCCAAGCGATAAGAGCCATTTCCTGCGATACTGCGAAGCGTTTCTGGCAGGAAAAGAATAATTAGGACAAGTGCGATGAGGCCGAACGCGCCAAGAAACCAGAAAATTGCTCTCCAGCCAGCGAAATAAGTGAGTAATCCACCGATTGTGGGGCTCACAAAGGTAAACGTTAAGGCTACGTGTCAAAGTTAGTATGTGACTTGGCTATCGTGACAGCGGGAGACTTACTCGCTCCAAAGAAGCCAATATACTTCTTCCTCTCCTGGGGTGTGGATATGTCCCCTATTACTGCTTGGCCTAAAATGTGATCAGCCAAAATAACAATTACAATAGCATTGAATGCTTACACGTAGCAGTCAAAGCAGCTGTGCCAAACGACTGAAGGCCGCGGAGCATTGTCAAGGTCACAAAACTGTTGGATAGAAGCAGGCCAACATCAGCTCCGAGGAATATGATCAGTGTTATAATGAACATCGGGCGTCTACCAAAGGCATCGCACAGCGGCAGCCAAAAGAATGGTGCAATACCCTGAATGATGATATAAATGGAGATAGTAAGTAGTACTAGTGTTATGCTAACGTCGAAGTCCTGTCAAACGTTAGTACGGATCTTGACGCCAACCACATGAACTAGCTTACATTCGAAATAGCCCGAATCGTTGGGAAATAAATACTCATAGACAATGGCGACAGGATAGCAACAAAGGTCACAAGTACCACTAGTTGCCTCTTTTTCGATGGATCGAACACGTGAAATGGGGCTGGTGGTAGTGCCTTGCTGATATGTTTTCTTGCCTTTTCATGAAATAGAGGCTGTGGAGCTTCTGTAGGGGAGTCTGGAAACCATTTCTCGAAATGATCCAATGGTGATGTTGGACTTCTCGTGCTTCGTGGATTTATATCTGCTGGCTGCGCATGAATCGCCCCGCAGTCTATTGAGAAGGGTCCAACAGAACTTGAATTGCTTGTAGATCTTGATCTTGATAATTCTGGACGTACAAGTAGCGATCTACTGTCATATGGAGTCTGCAAACCACCCATTACTGGTGCAAGTCCCAACGTCGAGTTGGAACCGGGTGATTGGGAATAGGGATGGTATCTAGGACTTGGAGGTGCGTGTAGTAGCTCGCCGACATGGACTGATATTCTCTGGCCTTTCGAAAAGGACATTATTGAAGGACTTTTTGCCATGTTCGAAGTCCAGCTCTTACGAATCCGACGCTTTGGTTGAGATTGTGTACTAGGCTTCGAAAAATTGGAAACCAACGACTGGGCGGGACTTCGACTTCTTGAACGTCTTGGTCTATGGGAGAGAGCCATGGTGGATGACGATCCTGTGCGCTTGTTCAGAAAATTAGAACTGAGACGTGAAAGTCGAATCTTCTAACACCCGCAAGGTGACTGAGGATGGTATTTTGAGCAGAGCCTCGACAATAGTAGCCATTTCACCTGGAGCTATCCTTGAACACTTGTTACTGGACTGGAATTGTTTCCCATACTGGCACGCCCTAGCCCTGCGTGGGTTACCTTGAGGTGCATGATCCTGCGTGATAATGATCCTACCATACAGTAACTTGAACTACAAGCTATACATAGGATTTTCTTGCCAGCAAAGCTAGTTCTATCAGTCCGACCTGACACATGTTGAAGTGAAGTATAGTAGAATAGAAATACAGGTCACCCAAAAAGGTTCGCTGAAGCATAGTCAATGGAATTTATTGAAGATGATGTCCTCAGAAGACATCGATGCAAGCAGAGTAGACGTAACAAATCGCCTTGACGTTCCTCCCTCCGGAATAAACCCCTGAATAGTGAGACAGACAATGATAGAGGTAGATCCCGCTGGGGAAACGAGGCACAGCATGTTTATCGCACGTGGGTTGCTGAAGGATCTCGCTGATCTCGATATATCTCGTCCGCCTCCCGCAAGGGGAAGGTAAGCAAGGCTGGCTGACCAACTTCAGATGCAAGTTGGTGCAACTTCGCTACTCGGGAAATATCCATCATGTTTCCAATTGAGGTAATTGACGTATCCTCGAGGATACTTCTTAATTGAGAAAATGCTGAAAAATATCGTGTCGGCTCCGGGTTGCTAACATTGTCCGGAAATTGAGATCAGCATCCACGTCGTCACTTGAAGACTGGTGCATCGGCAGCGTCGCTCATTCCATGTGGTTGAAACCGCCCGACGTTACGGCGAAAATCAAGCTATTATCTTCATGATATCCGGAGGGATCACTGCTGGTTTCGATTCAGAAACTCTGTTCCTGGCCGTTGTTGTTTTGATGTGCTGATAAAGCCCGTGACTCGTGGCAGACAAACAGCCCGATGTTGGGGGCTTGATTATCGTACCAATCGACCTATGAAACCATCAGCGTATTGACAACGGGCGAAGCCTTCGCGAATGCTGATGGTGGAGGAAGATGGGTGACTGGCGAGGGGGTCAAGTTTGAGATGGTTGTACCAGTGCCAACACGGGAGGTTGGTTGTTCCTGAGGGAGGTCCGCTAGGTGCTAGGGTCTCTGCTAGCGTGTCAACTAATCATCGCCCAGAGCAAATTAAGCTTGGGAGATCTCACGGGACGCTCGGACTGTTCACAAATACTGGCATAAATTGGTCATCCTTGCACACACTGCATATTCTGCACATCCCCATGAGGCCACAATTATGAAAACCTTTGGCGATAGGGCGAAGAGTCCTTCCTGCCAGCTGGCTGGTGATCCTTCTTGTATCCCAGGTTGCTCTTATCAACTGGATAATTTGATTTCTGCACTTCTCCCCTCGTGCACCGGTGCATCCTCGAGCCTCGTCTCCGGACCTTCTGGACTACCTAGGTAAGCCAAATAGCTGCGTTGCCACCCCCTTATGATTTTGTTAGGGGACCTCGTTTGCACCAGCGAAACAAAAACACAACATTGTTGGATACAAGGTACGAGGTACATGGCGGATTTCGCGCTGTGCACAATTCAGCCTAACCGGACATTGAACACATCAGTCTGACATGTGCTGGTCCTTGGATGCTAGCCATTCTTTGGTGATGTCGGTAAACACGACTCTACAGGATCAGGGAAAAGCCTCGATCTTTGTTTCCACAGCGGCCCGAATATACGAGCACCTGCCTCGCAGACTTTCCACGAGCAGGTACCGTTTCGTGTCAATGATGTGTCGATGTTCGAATAATCCTGAAAAATATCACTCTTCGACATATGGTAGTGCTGACAGACAATTAGACTCGAAAATTCCCTAGGTCGACAGCAACTTAGCAAGCACTCCACCACACCACACAGCCTGGAACCCCGGATTTCTGTTTGCCTGGCTTTACCCGCAACCTTATATTTTCAAGCTAAAACGCTTAAACAAGCACGGCTGATCTTCACAGGCTTGCCACGAGCTATTGCCTTTTCACTGAGGCTGGAACAAAGCCTGCGGTTTGTTCCAACCCAACTAGCAGTGATACCGCTCTTAAGTCCGCATTATTCTTTTTGGCCAGGTACTACCCCTGAGGTTAAGCACCAGGTCTATATCAAATAAGGTGGAATTTCCTTAGTGGAAGCTCTCTCATGTTCTCCTCTGCGAAGACTCTGAATCACGATCCGTACGAACGTACAAGTCTCTTACAACACTCCAAGTACTCTGCAAGATACTCATCTTGATGGATTTTACTCTGCCCGCGATGTCGATCGTGGTTCCCGGAGGATCGTAACGTATGAGATCAACCGGCAGTCGATTTACGCTTATTTGGTGCTTATCGAGGAAGGCATTCGAAGAAAACGACGAAAAATCGCATGCTTCATTTCTACAGCGAATTTCATCCACCACAAGTTGCGATCACTCTTCATAGCAATGTGTTTGAAATTGCCAATCTCGTTCTTCTTATACGTGGCTCCTCTAAGCAGCGAGCTCTACGCGGACACATTAAACTTCCTTTTACATCGCCTCAGTACTATTTATTTAAAAACTATACTTTTATACTTAGCTATACTATCGTGATTTATAATGTAGTAACGAACTTATTTATCCTCCTAAGAAGAATAAATTAAACTTAACTAATTTTAATCGTCTTATAAACTACGGGATTGAGTATTATTGTCTTTAAAGTCGTTTAGCTTTAGGCGCCGGAGAAGGAAATTTAATAGCTAGTATAGATCACTGTAAGCGAGAGACTGCGTGGTCAGAAAGTACATCACCAACAATTTAAACTGCTAGGTCGGCCAACAACTACTCGTTGATAGTTGCTCATGACTTGCAGATATTGACGATGTTCTTCCTTTCGCTTAGACAATATCCCTATCTTGGGACGTTGCATACACCTGATTTGTAAGATCACTATTCAAAAAAGAACCACGGACTTGCACTGATCAAAATCAGATTGGTCCTTTTTGCGCAAAATTTCCTTTTCGGGGTAATGGTTAGCAAATGTCGAGGAATTTACTCTGATAACCATCATTTACGTGACGAATAATTCATTTAAACGCAAATATCTAATAAATAGGCTGCCAGGTCACAAAGTCAGCTATAAAACCCTCAATTAAAGTCAATCAAACTTCGCTCTTTGTAAACATATTTCTTATCGATATCAAACCTTAAGATTATCTCTGATATCTACATCGCTCCTAAGTCCTCTCAAATGCCCACCTATTTCCATCATGACGGCGCCTATCCGACCCCCGAGACGGACAAGAATGCCGCCCTCCGATTCTTAGCAAACTATACCAAGAGGATTGACAGTGCCGATTATAGCACGTCATATTTACCCTATTACCATCCTAAAGCAGTATTTCACGATGCTACCGGTGTGGATTATGTTGGTGGTCAAGCTATCTGGAGCGTAAGTTCCCACTTGAACTTTTACTCCAACAAATCTGTTATTGCTATACACTCTACATTGGCATATCATCGGGCACATTCTAACACAACTCAAACAGTGGATAACAAACCTCTTCGCCCCCTTCTCAAAAATCTACATGGAAACACGCCACATCCTAGTAACCAGCCACGAAGACGGCACCCACGAGATCTTCTGCGAATGGTATGCGCATTTCTGGCCCAAGGGTTCTGAAGGCGACGAGCGCAAGGTGTCGATTCCTCGCGCTATGGTTTTTAAGTTAGGGCATGCTGAGGGAGATGGAAGTGATGGGGAGGTGGGCTTTGAGGGGCTGCAGATTGTGGATGCGAGGCTGTATTATGATAGGAGTTTGTTGTTGCCTTTGTTGGTTAGGAGTCAGCAGGAAAAGGAGAAGTTTGGGCATTGAGTGGATGGGAGTATTGGGAAGGGTGGAGATATGCTTGAAATAGCAGAGGCTCGTCGAGTGTTGAGGACGTAATAAATCCAAGGCTTATTCTATCTTGGTAGAGATTATTGACTTCTGTGATATCTCACAAGAAAGTCAAACGATTACAGATTATTGTTCGTACTGTGCTTCGCATGTACTCCAGTTTGTTGGAGGTAGATTGACAATTTCGAGAGAAGCAGGTGGTTGTACTCCCTATTTCGGGCTATAGAAGCTTAGCTCCTTGAATTCGGTAACCGCTGGATTCATTCTTGATGTTTCGAAGATGTGAAAGTATTCGTATGCAGATAACATGCTGCTGTTGTCGTTGTTGAGGAACGTCACACATGCCTTGATGGAGAGATTTGTGTCGCAAGATTGGTTAGGTGTTACTGGCCAATTAGAACCATGCTTCTCAGGATATATGTGGAGAACAAGTTCGAATGTTAGTGTGCACGTGCCAAGTCTGTGCCGAATAATCAACAACCGCTTTCCTCTGTCTTTGTCCAACTTCAACCAGGTAAAGAATACTTTTCCGGACATTACTGGCCATCAATTAGTTTATGTTTATTCCTTCGTTCAGATAATACAAATCGGTTTCATGGTGAGCCTTGGGACATTTTATTTCATCCGCACGTTGATCGGGTCCCTCCTCGGCCAGGCACAGAAAATATCACACACCACGTATGTTGGACATGTGAAATATTATGTTGTGTACTGCGACCAGCAACGGTCTTGAGTTATGAATGCGAACACCACAAGGGGAAATTGTTCAGTTTGACCTTCGACGTTGGATCCTGGGACATTATATTGTGATACGAACAAACACACGACAGATCTCTCAACAACTTCGATGTGGGCTTGAAGATCATAGTCAATAGATCATTTCGAGGAAGTTGCAGTCTCGCCCGCTCGATCGAGAAGGGTCAAAAAAGTGAGCAAAATTAATACCTTTTGATATCAAAGTCCACAAAAGCACCAAACAGTTTTGGGATAATCACCACGAGTCTATACAATTTATAGAACTGTCGAGCTTGGTAGTTGTCAAAACCGAACACCGCTTTCTATGTAAGAGTTTAATATTCAAATAGGTTATTCGGCGTCGATTCTCTCCTTTTTGTGGAAAATTTGACCACAAACGGTTCTTCTTTGACTCTTATACCACCATGGTTCGTCTCAACCTGGAAGGCGGCAGGTGGATCAAGTACAGCGAACTTCATGTCACTTCAGTTCTGTGTCAAGTTCTCTAAGGGGCACGTGTACCACGGCTTTTCTATCTCTCAGAAAAAACGCCCGAAGCAAATCAAACTTCACCGGTTATCACTACCTAGGTATTTCAATTTCATAGGGTTCGCCTGCTGGTCTTGATATCGTTATTTCGCTTTGAGAACACATCGGGCAGTGGCAGAAAGTTCGCGGACAGATGCACCTGCAAGCTTTTAGTTACACACCCATTTTCAATGCACCAACTGTGTATTGCATGGTACAGATTGTTGTCATGCATTGCGAGATTGATCTCTACCAATGTCGCATTCCTCGCGCTTCTCGAAGTTCGTTGAGTTGTAACATGCATGGATGAGCTTTGCATCTCGTGTGTTCCTACCTCCATCGATTGCTTTCCGCGAACACCGCGCATAGTTCCTTCCTCGACATATTCATGTGCAGGTCTCGTACCCTCTCGAATTTTCCCCTGTTTTCTCTTTCGTTTTGAATTGGACTCTGCCAAAGATTTTGTTGTTGCGCCGTTTCTGCCCCTATCGAATTCAGCAACCATGTGGTTGGCTTTTGCGTTTCTTTTGGCATTGGGACCTAGATTTCTGCACGGTGCGTATACAGATGAAATCCAAGATGCTGATCCAGCTCAATCTGGATATCTATCCAACCACAATCTCGACCCCGCCGTAGTCAAATCATCAAGTTTTGGAATTCTATGGAAAAACACATACGCAGCTAAGGAAAGGTGGTATGCGAAGCCGCTTGTTTACACTCCACCCGGTGCTTCTCAATTAGTGTTTACAGCATCTGCAATGAATGTTGTTCGGACACTAGATGCAGTAAATGGTACCCTTTTGAAATCTCGGACTATTCAGCCACCATTCTTAATGAGTGATATTGGTTGTGGTGATATTCCAGACTACATCGGCATTATCGTAAGTGGCCCTCAATCGATCCAGCAATGTCCTGACTCAATGGAATACCCCAGGGAACGCCAATTATCGATCCTGAATCAAATACTGCATACTTCTTTTCTAAAGGGTACAAAAATGGAGAAGCGAGCGGCGGGGTCGCGAATGGTAAGTTTATGGAAGATTTGAGCAAGGACGGTCCTGATACATGAACTGAGTAGGCATTTACAAGTTTTACGCCGTAGACGTTTTGACGCTCGAAGACAAGCCTGGATTTCCGGTGTTGGTTGACGGAAAGTTTGCGGATAATGATAAATCTCGGTAAGAACTTGCGACCCATGATATAATTTGTCTAAACAATGTAGATATTTTCTTGGTGGCACTGTTTTGCAACGGCCGTCACTTGCAATGATTGGTGGCAAAACTAAAACCATCATTGGAACTTTTGGGGGACACTGCGATTTATTCAATTACACTGGTATGATTGTGGCAGTTGGTACAGCACCAGGCGCAGGTACGTCGGATTCCAGATCTCTAAATACACAGCTGATGACTCGAGCAGGTGTAGTATCTCTGTACGCAATGGAAGCGACTCCAGGCGCTCCAGCACAAACGCTCGATATAATGAACCAGCAAGGTGGGAAAGCTGGAATATGGCACGCAGGAATGGGATTAGCAGTGGACGGGAACAAATTCTTTGTGGTCACTGGGTTAGATTGAACTTCTACTAGCTGAGACAATCACTCATGAATTCTAGGAATGGTCAAGGCCATGAGAACGGGGATGTTCCAGCTTCCGGCAGGACGCCGTTATCAACGCTGGATGAGGTCGTTGCCAGTTTCTCTCTCTCTGATTCGGGAAAAATATCTCTCGTCGACTATTTTGAACCGTACGAGTACGTCAGTATGGATGCTGGTGATAGAGATCTCGGATCTAGCGGCGTTACGCTTTTGGATCCTGGTGTTTTCAAAGGAACAGGTGTAGCTCGTATAGCCGCGGTGATGGGAAAAAACGGAAAAGCTTAGTGAGTGGTATCGCCAACGATCATGTTATTCGAAGACCTGACAGGATCAGTATAATGAATGCAAACAATCTAGGAGGTTTCAAGCAAGGTGTAGGAGGTGATCAATTCCCTTTTCTATGTTGTTGGACAGCTTCTTACACAGAAAGTAGGCAGTGACAACATCATTCAAACCATTATTACGCAGGGCTCTGTCTTTGCTGGGGCTGGCTCTTACCCCTTAGAGGGCGGTTATCTCTAGTAGGCATTCTGTCTCGCCTCCTCCCTCAATATTTTCGCTAATTGTTGTAGTTTTACCCCAGTTGGTAGGTTTGGCGACATCTACTGCACATACATGTTGACGTTCTAGGTAATCCAACGCTATGCTACAAGATTGGTGCAGACTCCCAAGGACTGCCACTTTTTACTTTAGTAGGTCAAACACTGACCAAAGGCGCTGGTAGGGTTGGCATAGGTAAGCTTTAATATGAAGTCTCGCAAACTATCTAATATATGACCAGGAACACCAACAATCACTTCGTACAAGGGCAAAGCAGGAACCGGTATTCTCTGGATTACTGATCCCGACGCAGGCTTGAGGGCATTTAATGCTGTCCCTGTGAATGGCATACTTTCGCCCATTAGCCTACCACCCACTGGCGGCCTTAATAAATTTCTACGCCCTGCTTTTGGAGACGGGCGGCTTTATGTGACAACCTCAAACGGTAACATCATATGCATGGGATCCCCTGTTGCTTTGCCTTTGAAATGTTCATCGCCTGTTGACTTTGGCGAAACAGTCATTGGTTCAACGAAGACCTTGCTGATAAATTGCACAACTTTGATTCCTCTTACGTCGATAAATGGTTGTGTTACAGGCGTCGGAACATGGAAATGCTCGAACTCCACTCTACCAAGTGGACCGCTTGCCGTTGGAGCTTCATTTTCTTTCCCTGTAAGTTGGGAGCTAGCAGAGGGTTCAGTAGAAGATGCAAAAAACGCTTCCTTTGGCAAAGTCATTCCCGGCGTCGCCAGTACCAGTCTCAATATATACACCAGCAACGCGGTACCCAAATATTCGAATGTTCTACCAATTAGTCTGACCGGAACGACGGTCTCAAAATCGGCTTTCTTCGATGTCGTAACACTCGAAATAAATTTCGGTGGTCTTGTCGTCGGTTCAGATGGAGCAAAGACGGGGCTATCTTCTTCCCTGATTCTTTCGAATATTGGAGCTGAAACACTCACATTCTTAGGCAGTGCTTGGGCTAACAGCATTGATTCTGAAGATGGCCCGGTACTATTTGACAATATCACAGATGGGAATTTGGGATCTGGGTTCAGTTCATCGAGTCTACCAAAAGTGAATGATATTCTCACAACGGGGGAGTCGATCACTGTTCCGTTAGAGTTTCTCACCAATAAAACGGGAACATACTCCACCTTTGTAGAATGGTGGACCACGGGGGGGTCTGGATATGTTCTTCTCGCTGGTTCAGCTTCCACCCCACCTGTCGCTAACATATCAATTTCCACATCGGAAGGATACTGGGATAGTAAAGAACCCCTGGTTATGGACTTTGGGAATGTCGTATCTGGCACGACCGTGTCCAGAAGCATAAGGATTTGTAACAATGGAGGATCTGTACTTATGATAACTAAAAGCAAACCACCTTCTCAGAGAGAATTATTTGCTCCAAATCCGTCAGTGGATCTCCACGAAGGGCAAACCATCGACGTTAATGCCTGTGCATTGGGTCAAATCTCTATAGTCGCGGCGCCATTGGGAGTCAATAGGCCTGATCACTCCTTAGCTGATGTATGGATTTTGAACGTCGAGTAAGTTTTCTAAAACTCTCAATGACAATGGAACAATGCTAATATAGGTCAGCGACATCACATTTGGAGTCCGTGATGTTTCAGTCAGGGCGAATATTGTTACACAACAGGTTGGCCCTCTTCTATCGAATGGCTCAGCTGAATATTTGTACCTTGGTTGTTATAATGACGGTAAAGGGAGGCAATTTCAGAAATCATTCAGCTCTCCCACCAACGAAAATGGGCAGTGCCAGAATGTATGCTTTAAGGCTGGGTACAGGTTTGCAGGGACTGAATATCGTAAGTGCGAATCTTTTCCTTATTGACTATTGACAGCGACTAACATTATAAAGATACTGAATGCTGGGTTTGTCCTCAATCCACTGCGTAATACATTTCTAACCCCAACATAGTGCGGGAACAATCCACCATCTGTGGCCAAATAGTTGGTGAACCCGCTTCTTATGATATTCCATACTGATCAGTGACAGTTCCATCGAAGCTGCGAAAGAGTGCTCCTTTAGCTGCCCAGGAAACACAACACAGGCCTGCGGTGGTCCCGGGACATATGTGTCCGTGTATTATGACCGTCTGAAATATGTCCCGGGCCCCGAAGCACTTCCAATGGATACATCAATGATCCAGTCGACTTCCGTCTCATCTTCGACATATCTCTCTAGCTCTAGCGTCACTTCTTCGAACTCAGGCACCCCAACATCGCCGACATCTACTTCTAGCCCTACTGTCACTTCTTCGAACTCGGTCACTTCCACATCGCAAGCCGCAAGCAATTTAACATCATCAAGTGTCACATCTCTTATGCTGGGCCCAACAAATGCGCCGATCAGCGGCGGATACTCATATGCCGGCTGTTATAGTGAAGCAATTGGCGAGCGAGCACTGAGCGGAAAGAGCCTGGCTACAGATGTGATGACTGTCGAGACATGTAGAGTTTTCTGTGAGGGCTTCGTGTGGTTTGGGCTCGAATACTCCAGAGAATGTAAGTCATCTTTTTGGCGGTTTACGTCGAACAATCTAACGTTGAAATAGGCTACTGTGGAAATGATCTTAACGTAGGGAGCGTTTTAGCTGCAGAGAAAGATTGTTCTAGCACTTGTAGGGGCAACCAGCTTGAATTGTGTGGCGGCTCTTCAAGACTATCGATGTACAACAGCTCTCTTCCTGTCTTGAGCGCAACCACCGACTCGAAACGGAGAACTGAGACGACCAAGCTAGGTGCCTCTAACTCGGGAGTGAGCTCATCATCGCTTCCCACTGCATCGTCGCAGATCAACCCAACCTCAATATCCGTGAACACAGTATCAGCTCCTTCTACAACGACCATAACAATGGTAACCGCTGCGCCAACACTCCTATCTCCAACAATCTCGGCATCAATCTTGAATGGATTCACTTCCATGGGCTGTTTCTCTGACCCAGCGGGCGGTCCTTTCTCCGGTCATAACATGCCTAAACTCTTTAGCAACGACAGTATGACACCATCGCTCTGTATTTCGTCTGCCATAGCTCGTCTATCAGCCGTACCCGCTGCAACATACGCCTACGTTGGACTGGAATACGGACGTGAATGTTATGCTCATACTGCTCGCCCAAGACCGGAGCCTACTGCGCTGAAAGGACCAAAGGCCTGCACCATAAAGTGTAAGGGAGATTCCTCCCAGAGCTGTGGTGGAAGAAATATGCTTAATGTGTGGATGCTGGGTGGTGTTTCTGAGACTAGCGGGATTGGTGCTACCATCACGAGCACTCTGCTATGAATGGACAGCTTAAAGAATTTTGAGGGGGAATTTGGCGCATTTTGGCACATGGCAGCACTTACTTCACCACTTCTCACTTCACTTCAATATCATATCCGAAAACTAGACAATAGAAGTCCATTAAAATGCTTCACTGTTTACGTTGTCGCAAATGTCGCAAGTCTACAAATGCAAATGGGTGGCAAACCCTCCTAAATGGTTTTAGCCTCTTAACTCCAAAGACGTGCCTTTTCAATACTTTAAGCCTTCTCGGCAAGTTCCACAAGACCTTGCAAATTGATGCTCTTAGGTCTCTCAATAGGCAATCCCAATGCACGATCCCAGATCAACTGGGCCAATGGTCCAAGACCTCTGCTCACACCGAATGTAGCGGTGTAATAAAGCGTCTCGTGGAACCCGTAATGGTGGAACAACACACCGGAACTAGAATCGACATTTGGGTAAGGATTCTTTGTCTTGCCGTGTTCTTTGAGCACTTCAGGGGCAATCTCGGAGTTCTTCTTCACGAGCTGGAAGACAGGATCTTTTGCAATCTCCGGTCGCGAAGAAGCGTAGTCCATAAGTGCCTCGAAACGAGGATCTGGCTTTCGTAGTACGGCATGACCGTAACCTGGAACTACACGGCCAGATTTGAGGGTCGACCATAGGTAGTCGGAAACGTCCTTGGATGTGAAGTCGGTGCCGACGTGTTCTTGCATTTGCAAAATCCAGCGGAGAACCTCTTGGGCGGCAAGGCTGTGTAATGTTAGATTGCTATTTGTGTATAACGGGACGTAGAAAAGAAATGAATGGTACAACATACCCGTGAAGTGGACCTGCAAGACCTTGTAACCCTGCTGAGTAGGACAGGAAAGGGTCGCTCAACGCGCTACCGACCAAGTGTGTAGCGTGAGCAGAGACATTTCCTCCTTCGTGATCACCGTGCAAGGCGAGGTATAATCTTAGCAAATCCTGGAAGTTCTCGTTTTCCTTTCCTCCTTTGCCTAGCATGGCGGCGAAATTGTAAGACCAATCTTGTTCTAGGTCTACGGATGCTGGCAGAGCACCACCACCTTGGTATGAGTTTTGATATATCTTCGCTGCGATTGTCGGGAGCTTAGCGAGGAGAGAGATGCTGTCGTCGAAGGTTGGTTCCCAGTAATCTGCCTTGTTGACACCCTTTGCGTATGCTTCAGCGAACTTGGATGTGTGAGATAGTGCGGATACAGCAATAGCGAATTGAGTCATTGGGTGGAGGTCTGTTGGGAAGCTGTCAAGCATTTTGTTTACGAAGTCTGGAAGAGCTGATCGCTCCGCGAGCTCCCGCGAGAACTTTCTGACTTGATTTGTTGAGGGAACCTGCCCTGTCAAGAGAAGCCAGAACATTGCTTCTGGCAACATTTCTGTACCGCTCGTCCCTTTAGGAAGCTCTTTCTGGCAATCTTTGATTGTACGTCCATGGAAACGAATGCCCTCGTTGGCATCAAGAACAGAACCTTCCCATACCATGGCTTTTAATCCTCTGGAATTAGTTAGTAGGGTCTCTTTCCAACACTCTTGGGCTATTCAGTACCTCATGCCACCAATTGTGTTTTCTACCTTTACTTCACCAATAACTTTGTCCCCCATTGATTTAACTTTCTTAAGAAGCTCCCGCTTGGCAGGAATGCATTCCTTGAAGGTAGTTTTAAGATCTGGTTCGGAGGAGGTGGCATAGTTTCTGTAGGAAGGGATGATAGTTGTTCGAACAGTCGCAGGCTGTTGTTCCGTTAGCTTTAAGACAGTTCTTGCTAGAAAAATTCATAGTACTTACTCTAAGTGCTCTAAATGCCTGAGAGGCAGATCTTGCGTTCATCGCCATCTTCTGACCGTTTGACCGCTGACGCGGGGTACGTGGGGTAAACTTGTGGGAGTTTCTATTCCTTGTTTCGCAGCTGCGGTGTAAAGAGAATTCCAGAAATGTATATCTTGAAAAAAGCTAAAGTCCTAAACAATTGAGACTTAGTAGAGTGATTTTCTGAGTTTGTGAATTGCAGCTGCTGAGTGAAGTCCGCCAGTTGGTGTTTTGAAGGTTGTAGCTCTTGAGCCGAGGATAACTTCTGACCCCTGGGGAAGCTGGCGATTGACCAATCATGCATCCTCGGGGCTCTGGAAACCGACATCGCCGGACGCTTATGCCGAACACAACCGCTAGATCCCTCGCCTTCGCAAGTCCCAAGTAAACATCAAACCGAATCCCGATAACGGATTTTGCAATTGCTATCTAAGAGACTAAAGTACCATGACCAAGCAAAATACTTGTAGGTGACAGTTATAAGCAAAACCAAATATTTTGTTTTCTTTTCTTTACTTCTTGCGTGGTTCTTGCCAGTCCCAAAAACATGCTTCGACGAATCGCATCTACAGCGCCGAGGCGGATCATAACAGCTCGAACTTCACAATCAGTCCAGCATGGCCGAAATCTTTCGATATCTCCTGCAAGAATGGACGCTTTGAAACCCCTTACCCACCCAGTCTCGACAGCGCTGGCCTCAGACTCGTTCCAATTGCTCCCCGAGTCGCAGAAGCCTGGCTCGGCGGAAGATGCCCTTTATGAACAACAGATAGAAGATGTTACAGCCTGGTGGGCGAGTCCGAGATATGAAGGTATCAAGAGACCATATTCCGCGGCAGATGTTGTGTCAAAACGGGGGAGTCAGATGCAGTCATATCCTAGTTCCGTTATGGCGAGAAAGTTATTCAATCTCATTAAAGAGAGAGAGGCAAAGGGGGAGCCAATACATACAAGTAAGTAAATGTCTAGAGCACCAGAGTAGACACTGACAGTTTCTCAGTGGGTGCAATCGACCCCATCCAAATGACACAGCAAGCGCCAAACCAGGAAGTCCTCTACATATCAGGATGGGCATGTTCCTCGGTTCTTACCACTACAAACGAAGTGTCTCCAGATTTCGGCGACTATCCCTATAATACCGTACCGAACCAAGTTCAGAGGCTCTCCAAAGCGCAATCTATGCACGATAGGAAACAATGGGATGCGAGGAGGAAGCTGAGTCCTGAGAAGCGGGCGCAAACACCGTACACAGACTATCTCAGACCCATTATCGCAGATGGAGACACTGGCCATGGAGGTCTCTCAGCAGTTTTGAAACTTGCTAAGCTCTTCGCTGAGAACGGGGCTGCTGCTGTACATTTCGAGGATCAAATGCATGGGGGTAAGAAGTGCGGTCATCTTGCTGGCAAGGTATTAGTACCAGTCGGAGAGCATATCAACCGACTGGTAGCAGCGAGGTTTCAATGGGATGTTATGGGCTCAGAAAATCTTGTGATCGCGCGAACAGACTCAGAAAGTGGGAAATTACTCAGCAGCGCAATCGATGTTAGAGACCATGAGTTCATTTTAGGTGTGGCGGAAGATGGAATCGAACCCCTTGCCGAGACAATTCAGGCCATGGAGCTCAAAGGAGCAACTGGGGCGGAGATTGACAAATTTGAGGCGGATTGGGTGAAAAACACAAAGCTCATGTCTTGTGATGAGGCTGTTGTCAGCCAACTACAGGCACATGGAGCCTCGCAAGTCGATGTCGACTCCTACACTAAACAGACAACGGAGAACAGAGATATGTCGATCTCAAAGCGCCTACATCTCGCATCTACCTTTACATCAAAACCTATACACTTCAGCATCGATATCCCTCGAACGCGAGAGGGCTTTTATCACTATAGAGCAGGCATGAAAGCAGCTACGAAGCGAGCCATCGAATATGCCCCATACGCCGACCTTCTCTGGGTCGAGACGGGAGATCCAAACGTCAAAAATGCAGCCGAGTTCGCAGGCGAAATTCGTGCCGTTCATCCCCACAAAGGCTTGGTGTATAACCTATCACCATCTTTCAATTGGATGGCTTACGGATTTACGCCCGAAACTCTGAAATCTTTCATATGGGATATCGCGAAGCATGGATTTGTGCTACAACTCATATCTTTGGCAGGTCTTCACAGCACGGCCACGATCTCACACGAGTTGAGTAAAGCTTTTAAGGAGGACGGTATGTTGGCTTATGTTGACATGATTCAAAGAAGGGAAAAAGAATTAGGTGTCGATGTGTTGACGCATCAGAAATGGAGCGGCTCTAACTATATTGATGGAATTTTGGGAGCGATACAGAGTGGTAGCTCTAGTAGTAAGAGTATGGGTGATGGCAATACTGAAGGTGGATTCTAGGGTATAAATGAACACAATCAAATATTACAAGGCTTCAATAAGAATGTTGTATAATCTCGTAGACCCATCAAGTCTACTTACTACGACTGTACTCTTTCTTTTTAGATCTAAACATTTTTTAATCAAGTAAGCTTTGTGTGTTTCAAGTTCTATTCGTATCGTCATCTAACAAGGTAACATATAGTTTTACCTTAGTGATATGTTTTCCCAGCGAGCATCTTCAGCCGCTTCTCCGTGCATGATAACCTCGTAATAACATGTGCCCACCACTTTGTAACGACCAGGACTCGGAACGTAAGGCAGCTCCGATCCCTGAGAGACACACACCACATCGTCAATCTTTCATTCCAAAGATGCCCATTCGATTCCTCCGACTCCTTGACAAAACATTCTACTTTCAGTCCAAGTTGCCAAATCATGTGGAAAATGATCCAGCTGCTTTAGCCCCTTAATCTTCTCACGATCTGTTGCTACCATACAAGGGCTAAAGCATCTTTTGATGGCTGCGTCAGGGTCGAGCTCTCGACTCGTCAGATCCCAAGTCCTGTCATTCGACTTGCCGCTGGCTTTGAGGTTGAACGAATATTGTCTCGCTGGCACAAATGTCTTGACCACATTTAATCACAAACCACTGTTGTAGACTTCGAGATTCGTCATCATGCCCGTATTCCATGCTCAATAGGGAGCCGAATACCTTTTGTAAAAGTATATTATGGGATAGTACTTCTCCTTCCAACGCCTTTGGAAATCTTCATCGTTGACATCCAGGAAGCGGGTCAACGTGCTGATGACAGTGCCTTGGAGAGTAAGGTATTCAAGGTCTATGTCTGTTTCAGACTTGTGAAAATATACGATAAGTCTGGATTCTCCTCCTGCTGTAAAGTTTCTGTTCTCACAGTCGCGCAGTTGCAATGGCAGACCCATCCTAAGACTCCAATCTGGCACCCAGGATGGCAGAGAAATATTCTGCTTCGACTCGTCACATATATGAACAGCTGATAGCAGGCGAAGTGCTTCTCTCCACGACATACTTCTAATTTCGTCAGCTTGGTGTAGAGCTCTGGCAGCGAGATTCTCAAGTCACAATCCTGCTGAAAAGGTCTAGCATCATTCTTATTACTTAATCCAGAACTGCAAAGATCTTGTCTCTCTTACCACCTGAATCTCTTTCTCTCGCATTAATAAAAACTCCCTAGTACGCCATTCCTTTTTCTACTTAACCCACCTGTACTTTGGTACCAAATCTTTCTCTCAGCCACGATTTTCAAGCATTGTGATATACTAGATGGAGCTCATCCCAAATCGGCCTGTCCTACATCGTCATTAATATATTGCATTTCACCAAAAAAAAACGTTCAGCGTCCCAAGCATATCCCCCGCACAGGATGGTCACCTTCTTTGGGATGACGATTTCTTGCAGTGTCGACATACGAGTGGATCATTGTCGATCGAGTAATCCTCTCCGGACAGCCTACTATCATAGCATAATATTAATCCTCCTCCACGGTCTACTTCTTGTGACTTTAGGCTTTGCCAGTAGCGACTAATCGACCATAAGATCAAGCTTGATAACATCCTGCTGGCGCTGAGACCATTCATGGCGCTTAGGCCATCTGCAGGCGTCTGCGGTGACAGATATATGCAGTAGAGGTCCATTCAACCTATCTCCAAGTGTGATATCTTGTCTAGGTTGCTCAACTAGTGCGCTGAAGTATGCCATGAGCGCGGCTTCTGTATCAACTGGATTCAGATCGCTTATCGATTTGGAATAAGTCATCAAAGCGACTGCTTGGTCACCTCCTAGCAGGCAAACGGAAACGCCATTGTCAAGATCGCCAAAATAGACGGCAATGAAACTCGGAAGCTGATCTCGGGGTGTTGTTAGAGATGGCCCAGAAATGCCAAATTTGATATAGCCAAAAAATCGTAGGAGCTCTCGAGTTAAAATTGGTTTATACATCCGATCATAGAGCCCCGGTGGCCATGCTTCGATATGTGCGAAGTGGTATGGTTCAGCACTTGCGAAACGTATTCGAATTCCAGTCTCCGTATGCAGATGGTGGCTTATAATTGCAAAATTATCCCAATCCCGAGCGATGTATATTGTACGAGCTTTGTCGCGCCGCATCAAAGATACCACGGCTAGTTCTTTGGGCCGTTCGCGGACAAAGACAGTATCGTTCATGTTGACTAGAGAGATGCTGTGAGGATGTCCTGAGGTTTCACAACCCAAGTAGAAGTGATGGAAATTGATGTCGTTTTGAAGAGCACCATCCATGAAGGGATAGAATAACGAAGTATGCACTCGGAGTCCCTTATTAGTCATTGCAATCTCTTCAACTTGCGAAAATTGCGAACTGAAGAGACAGCAATTCCCGAGTGCGACGAATTCTAGAGGGTGACAAGAAAAGATTCCTCGGTACGGTCGACTGTCTTGATGATGCTGTGACCAAGCAAATATTGATAAATCGGCTGATGACTTGATAACTTCTTCCTGCAAACGAAGAAAGGCCCTGTCCCCTTCACCATAAAGCAAGGGCATATTGATTTGGAAAATCCCCAGGAGGCAGTAAGCAACATCCTCTATCCGCGACGTTTGTCTATAGGAAGCCCAAGACATCCGCTGCCCAAGGCATGTTCCACGAAGACTAAAATCTGTGTCATCTTCGAGAACATCACGGCTAATGCCAGTTATACGAGAAAGATTTTCATTTACCGTCAAGTCTGACTTCGAACCTCTGAAACTCTAGGTACGATCGTAGAACTCTATCTTGGTTGACGCAATGAGTTCCTGAAGCGTCCACCCCCGGGTAAACCACCTGAGAGGGCGAGCTGAGGGATCTGAACCAGCGCTTTCATAGGCAGGGTCTTCGATGTTCAGTTCGCTATCCTTAAGAGACTTCATGTCAACCCAGTCATATTCTGGTCGCCAATCGCTCAGGAACGCGTAGTATACGTGTGCCCGCTGATACCAGCAATACATAGAGTTGATTGACTCAGAGAGCTCGGCGCTTGACAGCTTATCAATGCAACAAGTATCCACCCAAGCGTATTTGATGCCACTCGCTTTGGCAAGTTGACAAGTCTTCTCGATCTTCGCGAAACCACCTTTCATCTTCGCCTCCTCCAGGTTAATGAACTGCTGGAAACTAACTTCCTCATCACCCCAAGTGTGAGACAGAATTTCATACTGGGGGACATTAGGAAACATAAAGCATTCAAGGTTGAGTGTCGTCGTGTTGATTAGCCACATTGCGAGAGATTCAGGTAAGCTTTATTAGCTGTCGTAGAATATGCTATCTTCGCTACATCCGTAGCGTACTAGCGAGTTACTTGTGAGTAGTGAGAGTACCGGTAGATAGGTAAGTTAGATTACCTTAAAGCCCATCCATGTAGGTAGAGATGTAGAAAATAGATCGTAGGAAGCTTCAGAGGAGCGCCTGCAATAGGGAAGTCTCGGAGAACCCACATGTAACCGATTTCCACTCTGAGTGCACGGTCCACCTCAGTACACACTCAGAAATCATTAAATTTGACCCTACTAAAACTATATAACTTTTACTTAATATAGCTATAGAAGACGATATATAAGCTACTCTTAATAAGTGTAATACTACTCTTAATCCTAATTATACTTAGATTACTAAATCGTATAACGGAGTATACCGTTCTACGCTTTCTAGGCGTTATCGGGGGCAAATAACGACTAGAGCTATTGTAACCTCTACTTACCGCTAATGTCTTATAAACGCCTAAGAAGAATAGTTAATTAGTCAAATAAATAAGCTATCTGTGCGGTATATACTACTAACGAGTTCGGTCGTTAAAAATATAGTAGAAGAGATAGTCGGGGTAGCTATAAATAAGAACTAGGTCTTATAGTTCGTCCGCCGGTATAAGTCGAAATTACTAAGTAAGTACCTAAGAAATATCGACAACTAGTAGGCCTACGCTAAGTACGCTCCGCTATTTACTTATTTCTATAAACTAGTAATATCTCTATTTCTTATTTAACCTATTTCTATCTCTTATTCTACCTATTATACTATATAATTTCCGATAAAGAGAGGGGCTAATAGTAGAGTAGTATAAACGCGTACTTTTAGTTTATCGAATAGATTTCTCCTATATCTATAATATAGACGAGAAGGGTTTTCTCTAAGGCTTCGTATACTTAGTAAAGAGAATAATAATAAAGAAAGAGTATAATAGCGGTCGTATACGTTTAAATTGTTAAGATAGAAGTCGAGAGTTTATAACTCTAATTACCGCTATCTACGCGGACAGTATAGTAATTCTACCTACCCTTATATATAAAGGTACGTCCGGCGACCTTATAAGCTCCTAGGTAGAGGACGTAGATACTTAGGATAAGGTACTTTTTAGTTCTTCGCCGACTAGGTAGAGTAATAACGATTTTGGCCTAGAATAGCTAATAAAAGTTTTTTACCCCTCTACTATTAAGAAGTCTAAGTAAAAGCGTAGCCCTCGACTTCTAGTTATAGACAGCTACTCCTCTTACGTTAATATAAAGTTCCTAGATAAGTACGACTCTTTAAGAATAATTATCCTTATTCTACTACTATATACGACGTACCGTCTCTAGCCTCTCGACGTCGGTTTATTCGGGCCGCCTACCTTCTTTTATTTATAGAAAATATAGGAGTTAATAAGAATAAGCGGTAGGCTTTATTTCTTAATAAAGAGGTTATTTTAGGGTTATTTTAAGGCGGCTTAGAATAAAGCTTTCTATATTAAGAATATTAAGTCTACGTTCGCTAAAATAAGGTACTAGCCTATTAATTCTATAGCGGTCCTATAAGTAATTATACTATATCTAGCTACTTCTCCTTAATTACTAGATTTATCGAAAAAGTACCTTAAGACCCCTAAAACCTCGAAGACAATCCGCCGCTTCTAAAAAGAGTATATAGCGAACCCGACGCTACGTAAGCTCGATAAGTTATTTCGAGCTAATAAAGGTTTAGTGTAAGGGTTTAGACCCTAGGGGTAGAATACTAGCTACACGTACTAGTGCTTACTAAGCGAGGGCCCTACCCTAATACACTATATAAAGCGCTACTACTAAGCGCCGTACTCCTATATATAAAAGGCGGGCTCTAAGTAGAATCCTTCTCTCTCCTTTATCGAACTTATTTAATTCTATAAGTAAGCCCTTATATATATATAGCTTTCTCGTAATATTAAGTTCGATTAATTATAGATCTAAGACAAGTCCTCTAATCTAATAGGTTTATACTATCTACCGGCGAAAGCTTATTAGCTACTAAGAAATAATAATAATAAGTATTAATAAACGCTAAGTTATTAGAAGTACTTTAAAGGGTTTACGTATATTAATAAGAGATAGAGGCCGAGTTAAAAAGAGAGCGTTCCGTAGAAAAACGTAGAGAAAAAGAAGAGAGTTAACTAAGTACGTTAGAAAACTCCCTCTCTATAAATAACCTTTTAAGAGCTCTAATCGCCTCCCTCGACGTAAATAAGTCGTAGTCTAATAAATAACTATTAGGCCCTAGGAATTAGTACCTACTAACCTAGAATAGACAAGTAGATACCTTTCGGGATTACCTTTTAAGACTTAAAAGCTTATATAGAGTACGTTCTATAGTAAAACTAACTCTCTCTATAGAGTATTATTAGAACGCCGTCTATAATACTCTTCTATTCTAGAAAAGAGCTAGAATAAGGTACTTCTAGGAAAAAGGGGACGCTACTTATAGTAAGGAGCCTAAAGTATTTTTTACGTAACTTAATAAGACTTTTACGGATAGTAACGAGAAGGCTAAAGCCCTAGAGAGGCTATCGAATATAAGATACTCTCTAGGTTAACTATAGTATAAATACTAGCTAGAATTCGATAAACTTCTACTATATACTAGCGAAGAGAGCTAAGAAAGCGATACTAAGATTAGCTACCTTAAGAATACCTTCTTAAATTCTATTCGGATATATATAGTAACTATAGTAAAGATAATAGACTACTATAGCTTTATAGAAGAGGTAGAACGTATTATAACTAACCTTAAAGAGACTAATTAGTTTAAATTAACTAATAGAAAATAAAGAGAATAGAATAAGGACTCTATAATAAGAATAATAGTAACTATATAGTTATAAGGGCCCTTTATAATATCTAGAGTAGATACTAATAGTAATATAGTAATAGTACCTATACGTATATATAGTAAATAAGAGAAAGGTAATAGAGACTATAAGTCTTTAAATAGAAAGTAAAGAGTAAAATAGATAGACGTAGCCGAGAGAGAGAAACGCTAAGAGAAAAAACTCTATTTTCGATATAGAGCCTTAGAGTACTATATCTAAGAATACCTATACGACCTACCCGCGTAACCTATTAAAATTAACTAAGTTAGGTTAGGCCTACTTCTAGAAGACGACGACAAAACTATAGAGCCCGAATCTTTTAAATTAGAAAAAGTCTAGCTCTTAGTCGTAGTTAGAAACTAAGAGCTAAAAGAGTATTAGCTAAAGGATAAGAGAAAGAAAAGAAAGTAATAAATAGAAATCTTATATATATAGACGTAATTCTTTAGAAAACTTTCGAAACTTTCGCTCTTATTAATAAAGAATACTAATACTATACTATAATTAATAGAGACCTTATAAAAGGACTTAGTCTTAAGTTTATTAGTAATAAAAAACGAAAGATAATAGAAGCCTCTTTCGCTATACAAAAATTAGAGATTAAAGGAGTAGTCGCTTTCCGAATAGATATTACCGGGTATAGTTAAGTAGTATATATATACGTAATACTAGACCTAGTATTTCTAATAATTCTCGGGAACTTCTAAAAAGTATAAAATAAGATATAGACCGCGCTAGATAAACGGTAGTTCTATTATAGTAAGGTAAGATAATAGATAAAGAAAGGTCGTAACTATTATAACTATACAGATAATAGGGCTTTTACGACAGTAGCCGCTACTAGCGCTAAGGATATTAGAAAGGCTATAAAGGATAAGAAAGAACTATCTATAGAATAGTTAGAAGAAAGACTACCTCTAGAGGTTTGTAATATAGTACTATTATTTTTAAAGCGAATAGTAGAGAAATTAGCCCCTTACTAACTAGAAATTAACTATAAGATCGAGATCTAAAGCTAGGTAGATAGGACCCCGATAGCTTTACTATAGAGACTACTATATAGTATATCGAAGAACAAGCTACTAGTTTTAAGAAAGTCGCTAAACAACCTCTAAGGAAAGGGCTATATTAGGCCTAGTATATTAGAGGCAGCGGCCTCTATCTTATTTATATAGAAGCCCGGGGGAGGACTTAGGTTCTACTATAATTATTATACTCTAAACGTAATTATAAAGCCGAATAGATATTCTCTACTACTTATTCCGGAGACTCTTAGAAGTATAGCGGGCGCCGATTAGCTTATAAAGGTAGACGTAGTCTTAGCCTTTTACTAGATTCGAGTAGTTATAGGCTATAAATATAAAACTACGTTCCAAACTAGATTTAGTTTATTTAAATAGTTAGTAACTCTATTCGGTTTAAATAGGGCCCCGGCTATATTCTAGTAGTATATTAATAGCTTACTATAAGAGTATTTAGACGACTTCTACTTAGCCTATATAGATAATATAGTAATTTATATAAAGGGGTTAAAGGAAGACTACTTTAAAAAAGTCTATAACGTTCTCTATAAACTATAGAACAGAGGCCTATTTCTAGATCTAAGAAAAAGTAAGTTTACGTAAAAGAAGATTAAATATCTAGGATTTATTATATATACTAATAGGAGAGGTATAGGACCTAATCTAGAAAAGATTAAAGCCGTATAAAACTAGGTAGTACCTAAGACTTAAAAGGAGGTCTACTACTTTCTCGAGTTCTATAACTACTATTAGATATTTATTATAAACTACTTAAAATTAGTAAAGCCTTTAACTATACTAACTAGTAAAGGTATACTATTCTCTTAAAGAAAAGAAGAGAAGAAAGCGTTCTAGGTTTTAAAGAAAAAGTTTTATATAGCTCTAGTACTTTACTACTAGAATCTATTACTTTCTATATTTCTTAAAATAGATTATAGTAGGTTTACGCTAGAAGACGCTCTTCTCTAAGAAAAAGATAGAGTCTATTAACTAGTCGGCTTCTTTTCTTAGAAGCTAAATAAGGTAGAAATTAACTATAATATCTATAATAAAGAAATATTAGCTATAGTATTCTACTTAAAGTTCTAAGGATCTAAGCTAAAAACCTATAGCTACTTTAATATTTTAATAGACTATAAGAACCTAAAGTATTTTATAACGAAAAAAGAATTAATAGAGTAGTAAATTCGTTAGTATAAAGTAATATTATTATTCTAGTTTACCTTAGTTTATAGACTAGAAAACGAGGTAATAGTACTAAACGTCTTATTAAGAAGAGAGTAGAATACTTTAGAGAAAGATAATAAAATATTAAGATTTAGGAGATTTTTAGATCTAGACTATATTAAAAACTAGCTAGACCTAGTAGAGAAAAGAGAGGTAGTAGTAGTCTCTACGTCTACTTAGATACTAGCTATATAGTTTAAATAGAATTCCGACTACTAAAATATAGAGTCCTTAGCCCTATTCTAGAACCTAGATATAAACGAGTTATAAGACGAGATAGTATAGAAAGATATACTATACTAAACTATTCTCTACTCGCTATAAAAAGATAACTAATTATTTCTAAGTAAAGTTAAAATAAAGATCTAGGTAGGCGACTATAATATTAATATAAATAGTTACCTATACTATTACGAAAAGCTATAGGTTCTAGGAGCTCTCTTTTTGTCGAAGAGTAATATAGATAAAGAGAAACCTAAACTTTTATAGAATAATACTCTAAGAATAAAGCTTATTTAGTCTATCTATAATTCTCTAGTTTACAGCTATCTAGGTCGAGACTTTACTACTTTTATACTAGGGCGTAGTTTTTATTAGTCGCTATAGTCTAAGTATATAAAGTAATTTCTAAGAAACTATAACTATTATAAAAGAAATAAGGTATAGAGAGAAAATAAGTATAGTCTTCTAAAACTATTACTAGTACTCGATTAATTCTTTTAGGAAATCTCTATAGACTTTATAACCGACCTACTAAACTCTAAGGGGAATCGATACCTATAGGTAATTAAAGACTAGTTAAGTAAAACCGTTATATTAGAGGTAATACCTAGTATAAAAGCTAAGAAGTATACTAAAAGATTTATAGAGTACTAGGTATAATACTACGGGATACTTCACGTAATTACTAGTAATAGAGGGACTAACTAGATAAGTATATTTTAGAAGGCCTTCTATTACTTAAGTAGTGTTTAATAGAGATTAAGCTCTAGATACTACCTATAAATAGATAGAGGGCTAGAGAGGATAAACTAAGAAGTATAAGTATACTTAAGGCACTTTATTAAGCGAGATTAATTCGACTAAAACTAATAGCTCCCTACTGCCTAGTTAGTACTTAATAGTCGTTATTAAGTAGGCTTAGAGATAAGTCTATTCTTTATAATATATAGTTACAACTTACCGTCCTCTATTTCTCTAGAAATAAAGTCTAATTTCGATATTAGGCTCCCTATAGCTAAGAGAGTAAAAGTCTTTATAAAAAAGATAAAGAGAGTTACTAAGCTATATTAGGTAAATATAGTAAATACTATCTAGAAATAAGAGGATAGTACTAATAAAAAGAGGACTCCGGCCTCGGTTTACTAGGTAGGTAATAAGGTATAGTTAGACTTACGTAACTACTAGATATCTCGACCTAAGAGGAGCCTAGACTATAAATATATAAAATATATAGTAGAAAAGGTATTATTACTAGTATTCGTCTATTTATTAGGGATCCCTAGTAATATTTACTCTATATTTTATATAGACCTCTTACGGCTAGTAAGTTAAGACTCTCTACTAGAGTAGAAAACTAATAATAAATAGCCGGAACCTAAGCTATTTAAAACGTATAAAAAATAGTAAGTAGAAGAGATACTTTATACTAAAGATAAAGCTAAGAGAAGAGGAAAAGTTAGATAAGTATTAGTAAAATAGTCCGGCTACTATAAGCTAACCTAGGAACTCTTAGAAAACCTAACAGATACTATAGCTATAGATAACTTTAAGACTATCTATAGAGATCCTAGACTCTATAATAGCCCTTTAATAGTATAAGGAAAAAGAAAGAAAAATTAAGAATAAATAAAAAATATATAAATATTATAGAGTCTAAGATATATTTTATAGATTATAGAAGTTTTAGAAAAGAGTTTTAGTTTTATTATTATTACGTTATTTTATTAGATTATCCTCTATATAAAGACTACTAAAAATACTATAGAAAAAGTAAGTTATACTATAGAAAAATAATTCTACTAAGTAGTACTAAGGTCGTAGCCGAAGGCTACGTATAACTATACGGAGACCGAGCGAAAGTTACTAGACTAAGGTATATACTAAAAAAATAGAAAGAAAAATCTACTAGGCTAAAGTTAAAACCGGAAACTACGAGAAAAGAGCTAGAGGCCGAAAGATTTACTAGGTATTATTATACTTTCTCTTCTTCTACTTAGGATCCTTAGACTTAGCGACTTTAGGCTACTTTAGGGCGAGTACCGGGCTATTACGCTAGACTCCGAGTTAAAGCGCTAGAGGGACTCTACTAGGGCTAGAAAGTAGTTAGTAATAGAAAATAAGTAGAATCTAATAACTTATAGTAGGCTATTCTAGGCGATTATCGAGATAATAGATCGAGAAACTTTACTAGCGACGTTCCTAGAAAGGGTAGTTAGTAATAGAAAATTATTAAAAAGCGAGTAATTTATAATAAAAGTAATCCGGACTTCTAGAGAGGCTTTAAAGTGCGCTAAGCTTTTAGAACCTTAGTTAAATCCTTATAGGTATTCTTTCTAAAATACTTATTAGCCGATATAAAACTAGCGGAGCCCGATAAATATATACCTTCTTATTTATAGAACGTATCTAGGTAGCGTAAGAGATATAAGTAAACTACGGTCTATAGATCGGTTAGCGATATATTTTAATTAGAGTCTAGTTAACTTATAAGTCCTTATAAGTATATTTTAAATAGGTATAAGAGATATAGAACTAGGCTCGTATAAGCTAATAAAGTTAGCGGACCTTAATAGAAAAAGGGCGGGTTTCGTAACTTATATCTTAATTAATATAGTTAATAGCGAGGTTAGCGTATCTAGTATAATAGATATAGACTACTAGGGGAGGGGCTATCTTCCTTCGATTAGTTTCTATTAGAGTCTAATAAGAGATCTACTTACCTTTATTTTAGTTAGTTAATAAAAAGAAAGAAAGGATAAAAAGAGGGAGGGATTCTAGTATTTATAGCGCGGATTACTAGTAGCTATAGAGATAGGCCCTATTTAATTAGATCGAAATAGAAGGTAAAAGAATATATAAAGGTAAAGTTAGTAAAGGTAAAGTAGAAAAAGGTTAGGTTTAAAAATAATTATATTTTAGACTATAGAGAGAAAATAAAATCTAATAAATATACGTCGGATAAAGTATTATTTTAAGGGGGGACTACTAATAGAATAACCTAGTAGTAAATACAGATACTAATAGGCTATAGACGGAAGGAGGGGGGTAATATAAGGGTTTAGACTCTAGGGGTAGAATACTAGCTACACGTACTAGTACTTACTAAGCGAGGGCCCTACCCTAATATACTATATAAAGCGCTAGTACTAAGCGCCGTACTTCTATATATAAAAGGCGGGCTTCGAGTAGAATTCTTCTCTCTCCTTTATCGAACTTATTTAATCCTATAAGTAAGCCCTTGTATATATATAGCTTTCCCGTAACATTTAGCTACCGAAGCCTTAATTTAAGTTTACCGTTCTATAGGATTTAAGAAAGCTCTATAGCTTAAGAAGAAGAAACGCTAGCGTAGTAAGAAGTTAGGATTAAACAGGAAAGAAATTAATAGGATAGCTTAATTATATAGGGTAGCTAAGATCGAGGAAGCTAGGTAATATTAAGCTATAATTAAAGCCGAAAAATAACGAGTTAAGTAAGATAAAGAGTAGGATAGGTTAAATAAAGAGGTTAGAAAGAACTAAGAAAAGAAAGAGAAGGACGACTATAAGACGTAACGTAAAATAACTACTTAAATACGGAAGAAGGTAAAGGCGTAGGCTAAAGCGGATAAGTTAGCTACAAAATAGGCGGTAACTATACTAAAAGAAGTAGTAGCGAGCCCGGTCAAGTCTCTAGTAGTTATATTAGTTATATCGAGTAATTTCCTAAGTAGTTTAGACGCTATATAACCTCTAAATATTACTATATCTTATTCTATATAGAATAAGGTAACTCTACCTACTCGATCTAGTCGATAGCGTAAAACTCTATAACACTTGTTATAATAGCTCTAGAATTAATTCTATATATACTTTAACCTTACCTAAGCTTAAATTATTAATTATAGAATATTATCTTATATAGTTATTAAATAATATAATTATTAATTATCGTAGTGTTTCGGTCGCTCTTCCTAAATTAAGCGTGCACTGAGTTGGACCGTGCACTCAGAGTGGAAATCGGTTACTCCAGATCACGTGCCGACGAGTCGCATCACCAAAAAAGTTCCCAGCTTTAATGATCAAGCCAAACGCTAAACAACCACGATGCTGTCAACCGCTCGATCGAAAGGACTCGAAAGAGCCTTCACCTCAATTCCTTCAGCAACGATACCGTCTTTCCTCCTCCCAGCTTTCCGGGTCACAGCGACGCGATGTTTCTCCACCTCCCCCAGTCGAGCCTCACAAATTGGCAGAGCAGCTTTGAGTATACCTCCGGAGGTAAAGTTCGAGATTCTGCCTCCGGTTATTAAGAAGGGTGCTTGGGGAACAGGTGGTCCGGGAAATTTGGTAAAGGTAGAAGGTCCATTAGGTACGTGAGATGTGGAGGATGAAGTGCAGGAAGTGTTTGAGGAGAGGTCTAATAGGAATTGCGGGTTAGGAAGCTTGTCAATGACCGTCCCATCGTTCGTAAACTTAGAGCACGATACCGAGAACCGGAAAGCATATGTCAGCGTCCAAGACAAGGAGGTCAAGAAGCAGCGCGAGATGTGGGGTATGTGAATTTATCCTGCTTCTTCTTTCCTATGAGCTTGCCCAAGTACTCACGTATTCCATCTAGGCACGACACGCGCATATCTACAAAATCACATCCTCGGAGTCTCAGAAGGCCATACTGCCATTCTGCGCCTCGTAGGCGTCGGATATCGAGCGACCATCGAAACGACCGCGACAACCGTCACGCCCGAATTCCCAGGCCAGACCTTCGTCGCATTGAAAGTAGGATACTCGCATCCGATCGAATTGCCTGTGCCGAAAGGAGTAAAGGCTAGCACGCCACAGCCTACGAGAATATTGTTGGAGGGTGTGGAGAAGGAGGTGATTTTGTCGTTTGCGGCAAAGATTAGGATGTGGAGGAAACCGGAACCTTATAAGGGGAAAGGCATTTTCGTTAATGGCGAGACGATCAAGTTGAAGGCGAAGAAAATCAAGTAAATGATTCGTATCTGTGGGGGAAGACGAAGCGTTGCTTTTATTATGTTGTACAGTATAGCATCACTAAGGCAGGGCAAGGCATATTGGCCTGGGAAATGTAAAGATATGTGGGCAAACTCAATGTAATATCAAGACTGCAGCCGTAAAATGGAACGGTCATATTCTCAGTTTCTGTCTTGACATAAACTGCGATCTATGTTCTATTTTGAAGAGAGGACCTCCTTCACAACATCAAGGACGTAATCGTGAATCGCAGCAGGCGCAGCAATAACACCCTTATTCTCTGCAAGTGTTCTTCCTTTTCCAAAATCGAGTCTTCTCCCCAAAGTATCAGTGACTTGACCACCAGCTTCCCTCACGATTAAATCACCTGCAGCGTGATCCCATATCTTCTCCTGGTAAGTCTTGCTGGTGGGTAGTCTGAGATAGATATCCCCAGCACCTCTTGCAACAGACCCATACTTCGCCTGTGAGTCCATTCTCACACTTGGTTTGGTAATTCCCAATTTGCTTGCGATAGCGGCTTGGTCCCCGTGAGATGAGTGGCCAGCCTCAACACTTTCACAGAAGATGGCTTCCTTGATATCCTTCACTGGCTTCATGGCAATTGGCTTGCTATTTGCAACAGCACCATCTGTCAAAGGACGGCTCGTGGCACCTTGGCCAAGAACAGCTGAGAACAAAACTCCATTCCCTTCAGTATCTGTTTGATCTTTGCCAGATTCCGCAGTGAGTGTGGCGGAATCATCGACGGGAAGATTTGGGCAACCGAGAACACCAACTTTGACGTCTCCATCAACCATCAATGCTAGGCAGACAGCGTATTGGCCACCTCGAAGGAAACCTTTGGTGCCATCGATGGGATCGAGAGCCCAGATTCTTCCCTTGCTGCCTCCAGCGCTGTTGCCAGCATCAATGGCTGTAAGCATATCATCAACGCTCTCAATTGGGCCACCAATGACCTTCTCCGCTGCGTCGTCTGACAGTTTGGTGCCCTTCACCAACGCCCAGATCTCATCACGCAATTTCGTGTTTTCCCTCAACGTACTAGCCTCTTCCTCACCGACAACCTCATCTTCAGGGAAGTTCTTCTTGATAGCAGCGATAATCAGAGCCTGAGCACCGAAATCTCCAATCGTGACAGGCGAAGCATCATCTTTGGAGACAGTCCCCTTTGCTTTCTCATGGAAAACTTTCTTGGTGAGAATGGCAGCTCTTTGAACCGCGAGCTCTGCAACTTCCAATTCCTTGCTGTAGGTCGACATCGTGACAGTAGTATAAGGGTTGAAAAGAGTTTTTTGAGATGAAGGGAAGTGGTGAGATAGAAGAGAAAGACGCGGCCAGAACTTTGTTATTAAGGTAGCCAGTATTACTACAAGAAGGGAGATTAATAAAACCGGGCGTCTTGGATTGCTTTTTCTGCGTTGCGATACTTGGGGTGGATGATGTGAAGCGTTGATCTGATATTTCGTGCTACCTGTTTGCACATGAGCCGGGCCGAGACCAGCTGGATATGTAATATAAAGAGAATCAATTGCGGAGGGGATTTAAGCAGACTGTTTGTGTGATTTTTGTTGCTAGAGGCACTTACTGTTGAGATCTGGCATCACAGGACTCTTAAATAGTTATGAATGATCGAAAATGTATTCGTATTTCTAACAGCTGGTGAGTTGTGGTGTGGTGAGGATAGGTGAGCTTTGACATTTTCTCAAGCCGATGGCCGAACATTTGGGACAAGACGACGATTAGTTCCTACTTAATTCCGTTGTTTCACTAGAACTACTTTATTATCTAGTGCACACGTCTACCTTTATATTCACCATGAATGTGACTAAAAGGAAGTTCAATGCCCTTCTAAATGGCATTGGCAATAAATCAACGACCTCACTCTCCTCCCAAAAGGATGTCAACAATGATTCCAGCGTTGATTTAACAGCTAGCTCAACGACCGACCAAGCAGACTCACAGCCCAAGAAGCGTCGCACTAGCGGTTCAACTTCGAAAGACATAGAAACAGTTTCCACGGTGAAAACTCTCGCGACGAAGCTCTCTGCCACAGCAAACATGACACATAAGAAAGCCGCATCTGTCGCAACCACCCCATTAAACATGGAGAGTCCCAAGTACGCGCCTTGGGATCGAGAAGAATTCCTGAAGCGTCTGAAATCATTTTCGAACATTGCAGATTGGACGCCCAAGCCAGCGAAGGTTAACGAGGTAGAATGGGCGAAGAGAGGGTGGGTGTGTCAAAAGATGGAAAGAGTCAGATGCTGTCTTTGTAATGTGGAGATACTGGTAAAACTCAACCAGAAAGTGGTGGACGGAAAGGTGCAGCCTGTGTATATTGAGGATAACATAGGTAGGTTCGCGATAGAGAGGTTGGCAGATATGTGCTGACTAGGTGTAGAAGAGGCTCTGGTGGAGAAGTATGTTGAGCTCATTGTATCTTCGCACGATGAGAGTTGCCTCTGGAAGCAAAGGGGCTGTGACGGTAGGAGCATCATACTTTGGCAATGTCTTCGACCGCTAACCTCAGACAGATACGATATTCAAATTACCGCTCACGCACGCACCGACGACACTTGAAAGTCTCCGCGGACGATATGACGAATTGCTAGCTAGGAAGGCCCACCTCCCATATGACTTCAACATACGGACACCGTCTGGTTTTGACTACGACACTGTCTTGAATTACCTTCCTAAGAACTTCTTCGCTCCAGCCACCCAAACAGATGTAGAGAATGCTTCAACCCCAGCTGTGAATAAAGTTGCATTTACGATGGCGTTATTTGGCTGGCAGGGACAAAGACACGAACGTTTAGGGGATCAGTTGGACTCATTATCTTGCCAAGCATGTTTCAGGAATCTTGGACTGTGGCTATTCAGAAGCAAAGAAGTTAATAGCTCAGGTGAAGAAGTGGTTCGAGCCCCGATGAGCTATTTGGATACCGTTGAGGAACATCGAGACTATTGCCCTTGGAGGAACGCAGTATCACAGAATGGGTTGAAAGCGGCATCGGTGTCAGAAACTACAGCTGTCCCAGGATGGAAGGTTGCGATACGGGTATTGAAGAATGATTATTACTTACGGACAGGAAAAGATCCGAAACAAAGTATTGCGGAAGTTACCAAACCAGTGGATGACCAGGCTAGCGAATTTGGTAGTATAATGGACGACACGGAAGATGTGAAAGTTAGAGACGAAAAGGATAAGGAGCGGTGGGCTCGGTTGAGGAGAGTGAAGAGTCTTTTTGATACGAAGAACAAAAGGAAGTCTGCAGCAAGTGTGAAGGAAAAGGCAAAGTAGAGCACTGAGCTATGGTGCTGCTGGATATGAATTGCTCGATTCTGTACCAACAGAGTGTGGTCAGTTCAAAATGTTTTTGGTCGCATTTTGGCGTTGGCTTGGGAGCAGGCTACAATATACCCACAGGCTCTTATCCGTTTTGTGCATTTATACTTTAGGAATAGATATTTAATGTTTTAACCTCCACATTTCCAATAAGTATGTCATGATTTGGTTTTTCTCTTCGATATCAGTTATACTTGTAGGTAAAATTGATAGGTAAAATAAAGGTGCACTACCTACTAAGGGTAGCCAGCGTCTGGCGTGCCTGCGTGGGCCCACTCGCGTAAAGTGGTTTTCCTAAGGGGCGAGTTTTATTGAGTTGCTATGACGACAGACGCGATTAAGGGACCGCGAGGCTACAATCTCAACGATAACATTTACTGCCCGCTTTGCGATAAAGACTTATAATAACCGACTCCATGAGGTACTCTTCGTCATTTACAACGATTTGCATCAACATCAACTAACTCATATCACCAGAGGCACCTCAGGCTTTGCTCCCCAGAACTCTTTGGGCTCGTCCGAGACACCCAGCTTTCGCTCTCGCTCCCCTGACAAAAACAAACCGCAGCATCAGAACTTACCACGATCAACTTGGACGACTTCGGACTGGGAAGGCTCATCACCATTTAGAGACTTCAAAGTTCCATCTCCTCTCAGTGAGATTGGTAACTCGACATCGATTCTTTCGCAAGATACACCTGGATCGACATCCTTTGTTTTTGGCGAAAAGCGTTTGAGTGCGCCAACGACCGAGTCTCCTATACCTTTTGTATTTGGCGCTTCCAAACAGCATAGCGATAACAAGATGGTCAACGAACGCTCTCCCGCAAAAGTGCCTTTGCGACCGGTCGTACCTAACACTCAAGCGCCACAGATGTCTCAAAGCTCCGATTATCCCAAACCCTCTCAATCAAATGTTCCTCAATTTGGCCAGTCGAGTCTTCCTCAATCACCGCTTCCAAAGATTCCGCAGAAGAGTTCGAACATGTTCATCCAGCCAAAATCAAGACCTGAGCACCATAGAGAGAATGATAGACCAGGTATGTTTGTGTAGTGGGGTTACTGCCGGGCCAAAGACTGACATAAATACGCATCTAGCACATCCACATATGGATGCTATAAAGGAAAAGGCGAAAGAGTTCTTCAACCCCTTGATTCCTCGAGCACCCGCGGCATACAATGCGCCAGTCGCTGCCCCAATGCCTGCTGCAACAACTTATACCACGACCAAAGCAGCACCAGCGCCAACCTTCAGTTCATTTGGGGGAACATCTAGCTTCTCTACTGTTAATGGCAGATCTAACTACATTGATCTTACTCTGAGCAATCACCGTGCGACAGAAAATGATTATGATCCGTTTTCATTTGTCGACCCTGCCAAAGCGCAAGCTGATCTAAAGGCCCTGTTCGAAGGGGTCATCGACGATGATGACGAAATCCCACGTACCAGATCTCGCAGAAAGAAGAAGGAGGCCGAAATTGAGGATCTTGCAGATAAATTGAAAGCGATGGATGTGCAAGAAGAAGAAAAGTTCGAGGTTGAAGAAGAGGAAGATGATGGGACAGTTGAGGGCATCAAAGTCAAATTACTTCCTCACCAGACAGAAGGCTTCGACTGGTTGATGGCTAAGGAGCTGGGCACAAGTAAGAAGAAGGGCAAAGCTCCTAAGGGAGGAATTTTGGCAGGTATATTGCCCACTTGTTGTTTTCACTGCCCCATACTAACAAGTAAGACGACATGGGTCTAGGCAAAACCTTGCAATCTATCGCGCTCATTGTCAACAATCCGAGACCTAAAGACGCTGATTCGATTGCCAAGCGCAAGCTTCCTGCCGGTGTAGAGAAATGTACTTTGGTTGTGGCTCCTCTTGCTCTCATCCGACAATGGGAATTGGAAATAAAGGATAAAGTGGAAGAAAGTCATTCGCTTCGAGTAGTTGTCCATCACGGACCACAACGGACCAAACGTTTTTCAGATTTGAAGAAGTATGACGTTGTTATCACAACCTACCAGATCTTGGTATCCGAGTTTGGAAACTCCTCTACTGATGAAGATGGTCTGAAAGTCGGCTGTTTCGGTCTCCATTGGTACCGTGTTATCCTTGACGAGGCTCATACCATTAAGAATAGAAACGCAAAGGCAACTCAGGCATGCTATGCTTTGCGGAGCGAGTATAGATGGTGTTTAACGGGAACGCCCATGCAAAACAATTTGGATGAACTTCAAAGTCTCATCAAATTTCTACGGATCCCGCCGTACGACAATGTCAGGGAATTCAAGGATCAGATCGATAAGCCCATGAAGAACGGTCGAGGTGATTTGGCATTGAAGCGTCTTCGTACTATTCTGATGACCTTCATGAAAAGACGTACAAAGGATATTCTTCTTAAGGAGGGAGCATTGAATCCTGGTGGTAAGCCATCGGCTCCCGGAGCCGCAAGTACCACTGGATTTAAAGTTACGGAGCGTAAGATCGTGAAGATAGCAGCTGAGTTTTCGGACGAAGAACGGCGATTTTACGAGCGTCTCGAAGCCCGTACCGACGCCAGTATCGAACAGATGATGAGTGGGGAAAAGATTAATTATGCGAGCGCTTTGGTCATGCTTTTGCGTTTGAGACAAGCTTGCAATCATCCCAAGCTTGTCGGCGGAAAGCTTGCAACAGACAGCGATGCTCTTGCAGCTGAAGCGGGTCCCTCAAAGAAAGCTAAATCAACAAGCTCAGAAGTCGACGAAATGGCCGACATGTTTAGCAGCATGGGTGTAACATCGAAGAAATGTGAAGTGTGTCAACTTGAACTTGGCAAGCAAGCTATCGAAGATGGAGCAGTCCGGTGTTTGGATTGCGAAGCGGATCTTGAAGGCATTGAGAAAAAACCCAAATCTAAGCGGGAGAAAAAAGAGAAGAAACACAAGCACCGTCATGAGAAAAAGGTGGCCAAAGAGATCGTAAGGAAACCTCGAAATCGGGCTATCATCACTGATAGTGATGATGAAGAGGAGACTCAGGAGGGCTCTTGGGTCGTACCCGAAGATCAACGAGGCTCTCTGAAGCTTGGGAAAGCTGGAGGTGTTGATGATGAGGATGCTGAAGGTGGTGGAAGGTGGCTTGACTCGGACGACGATGACAGCTTTCCAGATGTCAAAGACATTGGGACGCAGAAGAAACCTATCAAGCTCGATGAATCTGCTACCGAGTCGGACTCCGATGAAGACTCAGACTCAGACTCGGACTCAGCCTCAGAATCTGGAGACGAAGTGGAAGATGAATTTGGTTCTGACGAGGATAAAGAACTTTCAACTGTTGCGACGTCAACAAAGATCACACATCTCATGAAGATTCTGGGCAATGAAGTGGCGGAGCACAAGTTCATTGTCTTCTCGCAATTTACATCGATGTTGGATCTCATAGAGCCATTTCTACGTCAGAAAGGATTTAAATTCACGCGATATGATGGCAAGATGAAGAACGACCTACGCGAAGCCAGTCTCAATCGGCTTCGTAACGATCCAAACTGTCGGATCCTGCTGTGCAGTCTGAAATGTGGATCTCTAGGCCTGAATCTGACCGCAGCTACTCGAGTAGTAATCCTCGAGCCTTTCTGGAATCCGGTAAGTTTTATTAGGAATTCGGTTTAAAAATATCTACTAATTTCTACCTAGTTTGTTGAAGAGCAAGCCATCGATCGAGTACATCGTCTGACTCAAAAAATTGATGTGATTGTGTATAAGATCACAGTCGCGGATTCTGTAGAGGAGCGAATTTTGGACCTCCAAGAGAAGAAAAGAGAACTTGCCAAACAAACCATCGAGGGTGGTAAACAAGGAGGTATCGGCAAGCTTGGTATGAAGGAGATTCTGTCACTCTTCAAGCGTGATGCAGAACATTCCCATCCGGTGCAACCCGATCAGCTTAATCTGCACACTAAGCCAAGGATTTTGAAGGAGATGGGAGTGACCAGTTCTTCCAACGATTACTCAAGTTCACGAGAACGCAAAGCCACGCCACCCATGCGGCAAAGCACTGTAAAGGAAGACGAAGTCTATGGTAGACGATGGTAATAGGTTTTGAATAGTTGATTGGAGTAAGGCGTTTGTAAGGTCGCCCGGCCAATGTAGATACCCGGTTTGGAGGAGGACAAGACAAATTCTGTGATCCTTCATTCTTGATTCTTGTTTGAGTTTCACTTTACCGTTGTCGGCTTTAGGATTTCCTGGGCAAATGTGAAGTCTTTGTCGTGTCATAAGGTTACAATGAGGCTGTGTAGAGTTCGAGACTTTCCGGCCATGTTTGGTGATACTCGAGTAGACTTGGCAGAAATGATAGCTGCGGGCTATTGAATTCTGGTCTGTAATCCAGACGTTGGATCGGCCTATCCGCTGTACTCAGGAGTCCTTCAGCATGACCAAGCGCTTTGCTTGGACTGCGAGCGGCCGTCGTTCTTTAAGCGGCATGAAGCGTACCCGCTTTGGGATATTATTCTGGGCGGGTCACAGCAGTAATGGCGCTGCTTTTATTCCAACCAGCGCAGCCAAGGCAAGGCTGGTGTTCTCCGTTGAGGGCTTAGAATTGCTTGCGTAGTGACGTCGGGCATAGCCTCGTTTAATGATTTCCCCACCTCATCTCCTATTTGATATGTGATCTACTTGTAGTACTTCATAACATCGAGTCAATTCTCTTTTCTAACATATCAATCGAATCTTCAATAATCTCAAGATCACAAACAATCAGCTACACAAAACCTCGATGAGATATCCCCAATTATAACAACAACTCAACCGTCATTTACTACAGCCATAAATCAAATCCTCCAATTCCAATTACATCACCTCCAAATCATATCAATAACCTCAAAATGCCATTCCCACCAGACCCTCGCGCCATTCTCGCAAAGAGACACCTCCTGGCAAAAGCAACCTTCCTCCCCTCCGCCATCGCACCCTACCACACCCCCCGCGCTCTCCCCTCCGCCCGTTTATTCAGCAGCACGCCCATATCATCTTTCCCCCGCGCCAACGCGCAGAACAGAGAAGAGATGAACACGGAACCCACCGAATACAGCAAGAGCGGCACGGACTCTAGCGCGGCAGCAGAAGACGAGGCGTTTGATCCGAGTAAGACACGGCCGGAAGATGAGAAGGCCGCGAGCGAACAGAGTCTAGATGTTAGCCCGAGCAATCCAGAGGTGTCCAGGCAGAGGGACACGCAAGAGGGAGGTGCTGAAGGGAGCGCGAAGGATGATTCGAAGAAGAGTGGGACGGGGCATGGGAGTCCGAAGAAGGCGGGAAGTGGGGAGGCGAGGAAGATTTGAGAAAACTACGATGGATGTGTGAGAAGCATGAGGAAACGGTGAGGTGGTGGTGTATATATGTATAATGATTGAGATGGTTGGTGCATGTTTTTTGGCGTTGGTTGTGATGGGATGAAAGAAGTCTTAGATAAGATTCTGTGTATGTCACTACATAGTGAGCTAAAACTAAGAACGGTTTTGGTAACTTTGTGGCTGTAGCAGTTCGATTGATAATAGGTGCGACTAGTCCATTAGCTTCGTTAATCTGGCTCGCGGAGGACAAAATGAGTGGCAGTCACCTACCGGCAAATCTTTTAGACTGAATAATAAGTCGACTTCGAATAGAGCTTAAAAAGTCTTATTTACTTAAAACAGTTGACGAAATAGTCATAAAGTTCCAAGTTAATCTACTAAATTACGATATTTTGTCAACTTATAGTCGAAAAATTATTCTAGTTCGACTGCCACTTATCTTATCCTCCGCGAGTCTGGATCGCTGTGTTTAGGATATGTTCGCATATACATTTTGTTGATATGTTTGATATAGCACTTGAAAAACTGCCATTCGGGGTCGCTGGTGGTATGTTATACAAGGGCTGACCGTACGGCTCTTTTCTTGTTATATGGAATCAATGCCTGCATAGCCTGTGTCTCTCCCGCCTCGATTTCTACAAAGTGAACAGGTACTTACGGCCATTGCCCTTGGAATATCACAAAGGGCCTACATGTGACATTTTTGATATCTCGGTGTAATCAATTTTAGGTAGAATTGATCTTTATTGAATTTTCTCATCAATCCAATCACGCAGATCATACTCCTTACCTTCACCCTCATAAGCCTCCATACCCTTATGCTGGTTGGGCTTCCACACTCTCATAACAGCCTTGCCGTGCTTATCAACTGCGGCTCTGAACATACCGCCACAGTTATAATCATCAACGATATGAGAGACTGCCGACTTCTTGTTTCCATCTTCATCCACAAGTACAGTGAGTTCAATCCCGATAATTCCACCTTCTCCTTCACCAGTCTTACGCCAGCGGTCGCCAGCACTCTTGACGAGATCTCCTCCAGGGCCTGAGATTTCTGTAATTGCTTCTTGTAATGAGGTTTTTTGGGATTTCGAGCCTCGATATCTCGCAATAGCTGAAGCTGTTCGTACGGCATTTATTCGTAAAAACGAGTCACCATTGCCGGTACCTGACATGGCCGTGGAGCGGAAGACCCGATCATTTTTGGAGATGACGTTGAGGTCAATATCGTTTTGTATTGGAGAATATGCCATAGGGTTTGGAAAGCAATCAGCCATCATGCCTTTAAGCACGCCACTTAGTATGAGTGCTGGACCAGGCTGTGAAATAAGACTCTCCGCTTTCGATGTATATTCTTCCTCCCATTCTTCCGCCCAGAATCCAGCACCCAATGTTGGTGTATCACCTATTCGTCCCGTCAATTTGTTCGTCATTCCACCGGTACTGGTCGCGACTGCAACTACGCCTGCGCTGTCCAGAGCTACAGCACCACAAGTGCCCTGTGGAAAGAAATGTTCTTCATCCCAGGTCGAGTCTCCACCTTTCTTCTCCTTCTCCAGTCCTTTAATATGTTCTACCAAAGATTAGCAAATTCCAGCTATTCAACTACTAGACGCATACCATCCCAGCGAGCCTGAACAAAAAAGTACTCCGGCTCAACCATCTCCAACCCCCACTGCTCAGCCAGCTTCTCCGCGCTGAACTTGTGCAATTGCGAATGACCCTGGGCTCCAGTACTATAAACGTTCCCATCAACATCATGAGCCATAGGACCTCTATGTTCTCCATTCCCACCCTCCAAATCCTTCTCTCCTCTAATCAACATCTCCCTCGCCAATTTAATCGGATTCTTAACATGTTGCAACCCCATCAATCCAACACCTCTCTTCTTCTTGCCCTTTGAAACCATAACCGACGCTTCGAGCTCATTGACTCCATCGCGTGTGAAGACGGCGCCATGGCCGGAGTTGAATAAAGGGTTGTTTTCGAGCTGCGTTACGGCGTATGTTACTGTGTCTAAAGCGGTAGCTGATGCGGATGTTTCCAGGGGAAAGGAAGATGGAGAGGTGAGAAAGCGGTGGGTTTCGGCGAGGATGCGGAGGAGTGAGTCGTGGTATGCTTTGTATTTGAGTGGTGGGAGGTTTGAAGGCAGGATGTTCCCAGCACCGCCGTGGATGATAAGTCTAGGAGTTATGCCGGTCGACGACTGTTTTCTGTATTCCATTCTTGTATCTTTATGGGTATGTGCGTGTACCTTTTTAGGGCTTTAGGTGCAGAGAGATGCGATCATAAGAATAATGAAATATGAAGCTTAGGTATCCAAAGGAAAAAAGACTAATCTGTGTATTGGTGCTACTGTACAAAGTTCTTGGTTTGTTGATCGCAAGCGATAAGGATGCTTATCGAAGAGGGGCTCGCAGCTTCTCTTATTGGCCTAGTCTGGGACGACGAATAACAAAATCCTCAAAATCACCTTGCTATTTAGTAGAAATATTTGAAGCTGGATACAAATCAGGTCAAATAGTTTTAAATTTTAAAGTACCTAATTAAATGCTACCACAAGTATATAATAAATGGTCACCAGGGAGTTCATTGAAGTATTTCAAGGAAACGAGCCGACAATGTCCTTTAATTTTGGTGGTAGTCGGCCATAACTCAATACTATTGATTTACTGAACTACGTAGAAAACTCTGAAAGATTAGTAGCGAGTCTGGCAAATAGAGCTAGCAAGAACAAATATCTGGACAGTATTTGAACTGGTTGAATCATTGAGGACCCTACCACTTCCCAGTCAAAGCAGCGAAGGTACAAATATTGATTTATGATAGGAACAAGATTAAGAAGTGATGTATGGCGTCATAATCAAGGAAATTGATGCCAAATTCAAAAACTCAACTCCATCAGATCTCTATCAAACACCCAAATCATCATGATCCGTGTTGCTCCAAATCTGCTTTGTGCCCTCCAATGTATTTGTAAGCTCCTCAATTTTAACTTTCCACCTCTCCGCATTATCTTTTCCAAGTGGAAGTCTGATGAATTCCTCCAAATTCTCGCCCTGGCCTTCCTTCATCACAACCTCCATGATCGCTTTTGAAGCTTTCTCAATATCTCCCGGTGCTTTACCAGCCGCAAGCCCCTGGGTAACAGCGTCAATCATCTGCTCAGTGATCGTATTATGATACTCTATTGGCATATCAGAGGCAGGAAGAACACAGTTCGCTGCAAACTTCGTTCGAAAGGCCCCAAGCTCGACCAATAGCACACGGATACCAAGTGGATTTACCTCGTGGTAGAGGGATTCAGACATTGCTTCGAGTGCATACTTAGAAGCGCAGTATGCTGAACGAGAGGCCTTAGCTTCAATCCCGGCGGTGCTGCTTATTTGAACAATAGTACCGGATCCTCTTCTTCGGTAAAATGGCAAAAGTAGACTGGTCAGCTTAAGTGGCCCGAAGTAGTTAGTTTCCATCTGGGCGCGCACTTCTGCTTCGCTGATTGCTTCAAATGCACCCAATTGAGCATAACCTGCACAGTTGACCAGGACATCTATCTCTCCGTAAATGCCAATTGCTTTGTCTATTACTGAAGCGATCTCCGGTGCTGGAAGGGTCACATCGAGGGATAACCATTGACCACCGAGAGACGTGACTTGAGCCACCAGACTTGGTGTCTTTGACGGATCCCTGGAGGTGGCAATCACTTGTTGACCGTTACGAAGAAGCAATAGCGTGAGTGAGAGGCCAAGGCCAGAAGATGAACCTGTTATGAGCCAAGTCTTGGGAGACATCTTGTCTTTCAGTGGGATGTATGTGACGGTGCGTCCAACAAGTAGATTGGAAAAGCAACGAAGGAAAAGATTGAAGAAGACGAGATTCTGTTGTTATTGGGATGTTATTGAGATATAAAGATGGTATGTAAAGATGGGATATTGGTGAGTACTAATGAGGCGTAGTGGACAGCCATTCGAGAGACTATATGGATTTAAGGGAGTTAATTCCGAGGCTCCACCGGATATGAAATCGCATGGTAGCCCTTTCCCAGTGAGTCGAAATCTCGTTACTGTTGCGATGAAAGAAGAATAGAGGTATAAAGAGCTGCTATAGGTTGGTTGAGTTTGAAGTATCTGAATCGGCGCAAACCGTAGTCCATCGTGAAGGACAATGAGGATGACACTCGGTTAGACACCTCAATTGACTGATGCACTCAGGAAGAATGGTTGCATTTTAGTGCTCGACTACATATTGGAAGCCGATGTTAGCCTCGTTACACTATAATGGGGGCAGGAACCTTCGAATTTAGCTGTTATATACACTTACTTGTTAGATATAATCATATGACCTATCTTTTCCAGACCATTGGCTAAATATCAAATTGCCACTGAAGTTTGTTTCGCCTTTTAGAAGAAAGGCGTCCGTTTAGTAGTTGAAATCCTCATATGAAACCGATTTTCCTTCAAGCCAGGTCGTCAAGGAGTTGCGAAAGCCTATCCCGGTACAAAGATACCACTTGGCCGCATCGTCTTTCGAAAGATCCTCTTTCGTAATTCTGCGCTTCTTTATGTGCACCGTGAAGGGTATTTTCTTTAGCTCTGTGGAGTCTTCATTGATTTGGCCGGTAATGTATAATTTTGTCTGCTGAGCCAATCCGGGGACCTTGTAAAATACGTGATTGACTAAAGCTAAATCACTACTTCTCACTGTCCAGTATAGGTTGAGATGGGTCAAATCAAGATTTGAGGCTTGTGCCAGGAGTGGTGTTATGCCGACCCCAGCGCCGACGAAGCTGATCTCCTTTGCTTCTTGTTGTTGAATATAGAACTCGCCACCGAATCCCCGAAGACGTACATCTAGTCCGGCACGAACATTAGATTTAAACAGAAAATCCGTAACGACCCCAACTTTTCGAATAGTAATGTCAAACTGATCGAAACTGGAAGATGTTTCTGGTTTTGATGATGAAATAGTAAAAGTTCGCATAAAGTCATCGTTGATACTCTGCGGATCGTCGTCTCGCATATGGCTATATCCCACATCTAATTCGTCCTCGAAACTTAATGCGACATGTTGCCCGGGCTTCCATTGACCAGCTTTCTTGGGGTCGGGAATATGAAAGCGAAAGCGCGCAATGGTCGGTGTAATGATTTGCTTGTCGATCAATTTTACCATGATCTGGTCTTCACTACCATTGACCGTTTGTTGCTTTTCTGTTGTCAAGTACCTTACAGGAGGATTGTAGGGTGAGTATTCTCCTGGACTGCCACGGAAAGCTAGACCATCCGAGACGTACCTTGCGGCCTTGATCGTTATCTTGACCGCCAGGTTGGTATGCGCTATCAAGCTAGAAGCTGCCTTTCCAGTCAAGATCTCGGTTTCTCCCGTTACATACAAAATATCCCCGGTTTCGAAGTTTGGAAAGGCCAGACCGGCTTGAGGCGTTGTCTTCAGATTCCCAAGGGTTTGGTATAGTCGATTACCGCTATACTCTGGATACACAATGCTGACTCCCTTGCTGTCGTTCTCTAAGACCCTGACAAACCCAATCGGTCCACCTCGGTGATTAGTGTCCATATCCGATGCATGGTTTGAGGAGGATATGAAAAACAAATCTGCCTCCGCAATGGTGTCCAAAGCTTCTTTTGATAAGGGCAGCTCGGATGAGACAAGTCTCGGGTGTGGTAAGCTTCTGACCAGGCTCTTAATGTTTAGATACTTGGGGCAATTTGCGAGTGATTGCTCAATCTTGACAACTAGCTGAACGTCCCCAATCCCCTCTTCAGTGGACTGCAAGGAACCCGCAACCATTCTCCCAAAAAGCTTGACTCTACTACGGGTTTCCAAGTTGATTCCAAGACCTGAAACCATTTTGCCGTTTCCCTCAGCCTGGACGACCTCTCCATCGGACTTCCCATCGAACAATATCTCTGCAACCGGATCATTCAACCTGTCGATGGTGGCCCGTATGCCGATGATCTGTTGTGCTATAGCCCTAGAGAATCCGGGCTCCCCACCCCAAAGAGTCGTCCATGGCATTCCCTTTGAATCTAGAGTTCCAAGTGCAAGCAGTGGTGATCTTTGCAAGGTGCTAGCGGCGTATGTTGTAAGCATTGGGCTTGTAGGGTTGTCATGATCTGGTACATGAAGTAGCCTTCGCATCTCCTTCTCCCCGTCGTGCCATTGCGTATCTACTTCATAGAAAGCCATTTCGACCGGTGGTATGTAGTTTTGAGGAAGAATGTCTGACGAGTTGGAGAAGAGGAACCCTGGGGTTTTAAGGAGGTTGAAGGTAGTGTAGTTTGCCGCGCAAGAGGGCAACAAAAGAGAGCATATTGTTGACAAATGGGTGGAGCTTGAAAGGAGTTGCAGCTTGACAAGCGCAGCCCAGCCCATCTCGATACAAATCCCGGGCACTGCTCGTAGAATGCGGGGGAAGGAAGCACTGGCCAGCTTTACTGTAGTAGAGTGAGTAATCAAGCCACAACATCGTCTCCAATTTACATCGTCACAAAAATTTTCTTATCATTCAATGAGACTCCGATCAAAAGAAATGGATATTGACATAAATTTCATCATTTTAGGCCACGGTAAAGAGTTTGGTTGCTACAAACGCCTCAAAGCGACTTGGCTTCATAATCAAACACCGAGATCTCGAAATGGAAAGGAGAAGGACACCTCCGCGGATTTCTCGCCATATGAGAAGGTCAATATGCATTTATTGGACGACCTCTCTTCATTGACGATATGCGGTTCAACGTCCGCAAATGATGCCATTATGTTGGTAAGCAAGCGGATGGATGCCAAGTCATGGACCCCTTTTCGTCAGATTCTCACCTCGCTTCGTCATTCAAATCAACCAGTCTCAGACTGTCAGTCCACAGTATCTTTCACTCTATTCCTAAGTGGGTAGATCATTTGATTGTCGATAGCAAACTCGCCTGGTCAAGCTGGTTTTCACTCAAATGGGAGTGAGGGCATGTGAAAGTAATATGATATTTCCGAGACCTAGAAAACGAAAATAACATAAGAATAGGTGTTACATGAAGAGCGACTAACGTGCTCGGCTAGCCCTCGAGCTCTCACTATCAGTTCATGTTCGTAAAAACATTAACCAGTCTTCCAGCACCACGTGTGGTCACACCTCTGATAGCTTTTCATCGTCCTTGTCAAACAGTTCTCTTCCCTCTGTTGTATTTCCTCTCCACTGCCTCCACTGATTATCAACCATATCAACCAAATCAAAAGTATCAGGTCTCTCGGCTGGATCTGTTTGTAGCATGTCCTGAATTATGGGCTTGACATATTCGGAAAAGCCTTTGTCGCACATTCGTGAAACCTGCCAGGCGTAGTCGAACATCCTAGGTGGAGGAATTCCTGTCATCATCGTATAGACAACTGCGCCAAGTGACCATATCTCAGAAGCTCTGGTCCAAGGATGGCTACCAGTGTAAATTTCCTGTGATTTGTTAAAAGTCTCTAATGGTGTAACAGATTTAGATAATACTTACTGGAGCATGATAATATTGTTTGAAGATAGGCTCGTTTCCCATCGATTCTGCGATTGCCATTCGATTGCCGGTAACTCTTGCAGTCTGGAAGCCACCAAGTTTGCAATCACCATAAGTTATACCCTTTCTGGTATCAGGCTTTTTGAACCAAATTTGCGAAGGGCTAACATCCATTATCAGGATTGGCTGCCAGTCTTCGTCATGAATTTTGTATTCTCCTGGAACACCAGCTGTTTCTTTGACACCATAGTGTAGCCACAAGAGAGCTCGTGATATGCTTCGAAGGACATGCCAGCAGAGACTTTCTGGTAAGGAAAATCGGCCATAGTTCTGGGCAGCAAGCATGCTCCAGGATGCTTTATCGTCAAATGGAGGAAGTGCGTTGGCTGATGGTACAATGTAAGCAAGAGATCCGGCATTCATGTCTTCCCAGATTGTCAAATCTGCGAGAGGTCCAGCTAGCCTTGAAGTGCCAGCTCTTGACGAGATTCTATCTATGTCGACCAACGAGATGATGTTTGGATGGTTCAAGATTCGAGAGATGGATAGTGCAGCAGTCGGAAGAATAACGCTGGCGAGCTTGGTGTTATATGTGGCATTCTCGTCATCAGATTCAGAATCCTCAGAATCGTATTCGAAGCCGTCTGTTCCTTCTCCGGATTTCTCAGCAAAGATAGGTACGTCTTTGGTTCGCGCATCCGAGATCCTTGTGGCTAGGAATCTGGCATTGTCACTGACACGTAACACCCGGACTGACGAGAGCAGATCGTCTCCTTTAGTGGCATCTAGCGGAATGTAACGAGGAAACACAGACATCTGATTAATTGTATCTTGCGTTCGTCAAAAATCAGTTGGTTGACGAGAGATTGTGCTGAGGGAATACTCAGGGTGTAAGTCAACACGTCAGGAATGTATCTAGGGATAAACAATCGAAACACCCCGTTTCGTCACAATATCGACCTGAGACAAGAAGTACTCCTCACAAAACGATTCTAAATGTATTTTTCTTCACATTAAAGATAAGCAAGAGATCCGTTGTAAGTAACAGTCAAAGGTTTCGAAAGTTAACAAAACTTCTCAGGAAAGTACAACTGCCTGGTGGTGGGCCTTTCACATCAAGGTAAGCTGTTAGACTCAAACTACCCTGGTACAATTTACTATAAGGTTACATGATGCTTCTGTATATTTTGAACGAGAAGCTGTGTCCTCTGTCGTTACGGAGATAGGTCCGCACCTACATTCTGTGTGTCGGCAAGGCTTGCGCATGTATTATTCTGGTTCCTTGGTATTCAAACCTTAACCAGAAGCCGCTCCACCAGTGCACTTATCTCAAAGCAGACTTTGAATGCCAAAAAAACCAAAAAGTTTCTCGCTTGCTTTCGCTTGTCAAAACTACCTCGATTTGCTATATAACTATTCCAGACATACCTGCACGGTGTTTGTTGAGAGTCAAATATTTAGCCAAACCGGTAATTAGCTGTCGAGAACCTGAGAATGAATTTCAGTCCCTGGCAAGGGAAAAGCTAACTTCTTTTAGCGTCTCCACGCAGGTTGAACAATCCCCATACGGTACAGTACCATCTACTGCAAATTGCTCAGTGGTCCACGGACGCCCCCACTCCCCCACGTTAAGGGACTATTCATCCCATTCAAATGGACTGACAGCACATCCACTTCAAATTGAGTTACTCACGCTTGTCGATCGGTCCGCAAAAAAACGGCAAGAAAGTCTAATTCATCCTTGTTTCCTATCCACCAGATCTTATGAAGTTGAAAATCTACAACAAAGGCAGAAAGGTTGCTCAGATTAAGCGAGCCGGACCTCCTTTTATTTTATTTCACCTCACCGAGGAGGAGGAGTTGCTAAGTTTTTTGTACACGCAGTTGCAGTCCCTTTTCACCCAATCGGATGCGAGACCTGAATCTGATTCCTAGTCTTCCACGTGTGGGTTGCATTACCGAATGCCATATCACTGACGTCGTTCACGAATAGAAATCCATTGAACAATCTCACGATAATCTCAAGCAGTTAATATACCTCCTATCGCGAGCTTCAGGATGGGGTTTTCCCAACCTTGATGAGATTCGAGTTTAGGTAGGGATGCATCGAGGATCCGCTTTCAACTAGTGGATGGTCCGTTGACAATAGCGCCGTCCTCCTTCTGCCGAATCCAAATGGAGAAATATTTAGATATTTCAGATGGGCTAGTAGATCTTCTATCCTCTTCATGGTTAGATTCCACGTGGAAGGGCTAGGATAGTCCCCCCATTAACTCATAGCAAGCGCATTATGCCTTATCCCATATACCCACGTTGCACCACCCATCCTTTATTATTCCGAGATAAGGATACATGAAAATACACGCAACATGTCTTCACATAAGACCACACCATCATCCTCATCGCATCCTTCATCTACCGGTCAATCATCTACAGGTCAATCCTCCTCTTCTCGTCCGTCTGGCGCGCGAACATCAAGCAGTAAAACATCAAAGTCTTCTGGATCAAAGACAAGCACCGCAAAGAGAATCACACGCGGCCTGGCAATCTTAATTCCCTCCAGCGATAAAGAAGTCAAGAAACGACTGCGAGTAGTTTCTTCACCGAAAATGGGTTCTATGAGTCCTAATACCAGTGCGGCTAAATTCGATTGCTACCCACCATATCCTTTACATGCCAGTGTCAAAGACAAATTGGATCCCGCCTATGTCGCATTTTATAATAAACATGTGGTGAATAAACAGCAAGTACATTTACAGCCTGTAGCTGCCTCGAGGACGAGTGGAGTGTTGATTCCGGGTGGTGGCCCTCAACTTTCAGTTGGAAGGGTAGAGGATATTGTGGTGAAGAGGAGGGAAACGAAGGGGCCGGATGTTAGATGTAGAGTTTTCATACCAGAAGGGGAACCTCCTGTAGAAGGCTGGCCGTTAGCACGACAAGGATGGCCGCTGATGGTGTATTATCATGGTGGAGGTTGGGTGCTAGGGAATCTTGATACGGAGAATACTGTGTGTAGTCATTTATGCGCAAGGAGTAGATGTGTGGTTGTAACTGTAGATTATCGGTAAGCCTTCCACCAGAAGTCAAGACTCAGCTGCTAACGATTGTAGACTCGCACCAGAAAGTCCCTATCCCACCGCCGTCCACGATTCCTGGGAAGCCCTCACCTACATGCTCACCACAGGCATCAAGCGGTTCAATCTCAACCCAACCCTCATCGCTGTAGGCGGCAGTTCAGCAGGCGGAAACCTCGCAGCAGTAATGACGCATAAACTACTCACCTACAACTCAGAACATCCCGAAAGCCCCTTGCCATTCTTCAAGGCACAGCTTCTCATCGTGCCCGTAACAGATAACACGGCGTCCGTTTGGAACAACGACTCTTGGCGGCAATACGAGTTTACGCCTGCCTTACCCGCGGCCAAAATGGAGTGGTACCGCAATCACTATTTACCGGATGAGAAGCGGCGGGGGGAGCCCGAAGCCAGTCCGCTGTTTTATACGGACAACGGGGGGGGAGTGAAGGAGCGGTGGAGGAGGTTGCCGAGGGCGTTAGTGGTTGTTGGAGAGCTGGATGTGTTGAGGGATGAGGGTGTTGCGTATGCGCAAAGACTTTCGAAGAATGGGGTTGATGTGCAGTTCAAGGTTATGAAGGGGATGCCGCATCCGTTTTTGGCGATGGATGGGGTGTTGAAGCAGGGACGGGATACGATTTCGTATATGGTTCAGATGTTGAATGAGGTCTTTGCTTATAATAATTGACAAGCACATCTGTTTAGTATTTGTTGTCTACATACCGGTAAACCAGATTAGCGCTTCAAGGATAGATACCTATTTGTGAGTTTTGCTTTTATAACAGTTTTATCCTCCTCAAAGTGTTGATAGGTGTAGGAACTGATAGTAGAGTAGTGATGAATCATAACGATGAGCCGATACAGTCAACGTAGGGGATCAGATGTAGCAGCAGAGCTTTTATAAGGGTTACGGGTAATTTCTACCACCCTATATACCGCACACTACGAGTTTATGTATGATCAGAAGGCTATTCGACGTCGCTATTAAGCCTGATAGCGTGTTATGATACAATTTATTCTAATACGCTTGTTAAAGTTCTAAACTACAAGTTTAAATTTGGACACGCTACTGGTTTTAACAACAACGTCAAGAAACCAAAGAAATCCATATCCTCGAAACCCCTACCCCTCTCAACGCTTGACAAACTCGTACCGATCCAGTTTATCATCCCATTCTTTCTCCTTCGACGCGAAGAAGCTTCCAACCCACGAGAACAACTTGGCAATCCGGCTCCTACTCAACCAACTCACAACTCCTACAACTCTCAAAAGAACCTCGATTCCCCAACTCGTCATCGGATTGGCGATCGCTGGTGCACCTGGGATAATGGCCTGTCCTTTCTCAACAAACGGGCGCATTTTGATCTCGTAGAGTCGAGCTGATTCCGAAAAGTCTAGCTTTTTCGGCATTTTGTCTTGCGAATTTGCAATCTGAGCACGTATCGAGGTGACAAGCTCGCCGGCAAGAATATATGCTCCGACAACAGCAAGCGTAGTGCCCATTCCAGAGATAGGAGAAGGACAGTAGCCTGCGTCTCCCAGGAGAACAATCTGACCATTTGAGGTGGACCAAGTCGGAATTTTCACTTGAGCGACCTCTTGCATATAGAAGTCGTTACTTGCCTGCATTCCCCTTAGAACTCGGCCAGTTTTCCACCCAGAATCCTCAAACAAAGCCCGTAGCATTTTCTTCTGCTCTGCGGTAGACAGCGAGTGGTAGTTCTCCAGAACTTTACGGTTCGAGTCCGATGCCATGATGGAAAGATAGGCTCGTGTACAACCGGCATTGTCTGGTCGAAGGAGGATACAACGGCCGAGTGGAGCATTAAACCATGACGCAAAAGTACCGTCTTCTGGTTCATACGGGATTGTAAAGTAAGAAGTGTACTGCCCTAGACTCTTGAGAGCATCTTGTGACTCCTTAAACGCAAGTCTCCTGATAGAAGAACGCATGCCGTCGGCACCGACAACAATATCGTAATCTTTCTGAATTCCTGATGCAAGAGTGACATGGACTTTTCCAGAAGGAGAGACGGAAGGTTCGAGGATCTTGTCAACAGAGTCTTCGTAGATATACTGTACTTTCGTACCTCCCCGCTTATATTTGGGGCTCTGAGATGCATCAATCAGAAGTTTCACCAAATTGCCTCTTAATATCTCAATATCACTTGTAGGACTAGTGAGATAGGAATCAACGTTGTCTTTTTGCACTGGAAAAGTTGCCGCAACGTTTCCCTTCTGATCAAGAAAGTTGAAGCCAGCTTCATCTGTGGTGGCTTCTTTAATCTCTTTCAGTAATTCAGAAAATTCTTTTTGTAAAATCTTGACCCCAGCGCCTCTTAGGTCGATCTGTTGCCCAAAACTTATGCGATCAGGTGCTCTTTCTAACACCGTAATATTGAATGGAATCTCGGATTGGGATAGGAGTAGGCTCAAAAACGGTCCCGCGACGCCCGCCCCGACGATGAGAATGTCGATTGGTGTTGTGGATGAGCTTGGTGGTCCTCCATTTTGACTTAAAGTTGGCTGAAATGTTGACCTCGTAGCAGTAGAAAACTGGGACGTAAAATTATTCGCCAATAACGCAGAATGAGGACGTTGAGGGACTTCTATTTCCGAAAAGATCTCTGGTGTTGACATTTTCGAAGCGAGGAAGAGAAGCAGGGTCAAGACGATCTTGTCGTCAACTTTCTTTTTGTAGGTTAAGAAAGAAGTGGTATTTATGTTGAGACAAGCTAGTAAAAATTTCACACCAACAATAATTGAGAAAGTGGTGGTGGTCTCGGGTCTTCAACGATGTCATGGCACGCACGCATGGCTAAGTAGCTCGCGGGAAGGTGCAGATGCTAAACTCACTTCTACAAGGGTGAGAAGCTCGTAACCCACTTGCGGTGTATCTTGAACCAAAATTTATACACCTTAATTAAGATTAAATTGTCCACTAGGCTACCTGTTATTGTCACTTTGTACTCAATTCGTCAAAACACGTAAGCTGTGCTTCGAGTGGTGCTAGGACGCTTCGTATTGCACTTTCATTACATTTTGACCATCGTTGGAGCTACTCGAAAAGCCCGAGTTCTGTCGAAGAGAAGCCACCTATCATATGAGCAAGGAAAAGTAGGTGCAAATACTCCGTACGACAAGTTCCTCCTTTCTCTTCATATAAGGAGTGCCAGAAAGTCCGAAGTCCGACAACAACGGCAACTTCCAGGAGACTCGACATCTAGTTTCAATGGCTCAGTGTAGTATTAAGAGAGCAAAATCCAAAACTGCTCTTATTGACGTAGGTTCCAATCTGCAAACTAGAATGGAACATGGTTTGACAACATTACGCGCCTCTGGACTGTAGAATCGCTCGCATATGAACAAGACCACGAGTGTATTGCAAGACTGACGGGACACCCTCCAAGTGTATCAAGGCCAGGGACCGATCTTTGAACACTCCTACCTAGTCATATTTGCTCTTTGCAATAGAGGCAATATCATATATTTACTCAACAAAGTTAAGTAAATATGAACCCCCCCCAGATACTGCTATTCTACCGCCAGGGGGTGTCCCGTCAGACTTGCAACACTCACACACTGGTAGACCTGCTCCATTAGAACACGAGTCTTTGAAGTATTGAGACAAGAATTGAGTTCACACGCAGGAAATCCCTTAGACAACAACCAATTCAGCGTGGAGCTTCGGAATTCAGTTTCATTACTGCTTTCATTCCCCATCTAGCGCCTTTCAATTTCTCGTTACCCAATATAAAACTAGACAATCCGGCCTAGCCATTTTCTAAGTGGGAGTGAGATATTCCTACACTCAATCAACTCCAATGACTTTTGACACGACCACCCCGGCTGCAAGCCCAAATTCGCATGCCATCTTCCAGCCCCAAATGTCCCGAAATTTCTACAGGGGTATATGATTTTAAACTCCATAGCGATGCCGACTCCCAAAATCGAACGCCAATAAACCTATGCAAATCTAGTTTTTGTAAATTTCGTGCGCTGTTGAAACAATATTCCAATCATCCCTCACTTGCGAGGAGCTGCTGTGCGAGATTGACATCATCGGAAACTTGAGGCGGATTTGGAGCAACTGGCTCAGTCACGTGGAACTGTTCGGGTGATTCGCCAGCGTTGTGGTTAATAGGATCGTGATGGTCCGCCACTCCCAATGTCATCATACCGTTGAAATGAGCCTGTTCATCCAATTTCTCGCTAGCTGCCTTCTCTTCTGCTTCCTTTCGCGCGGCTTGACTAGGCGCTCTGGTCTTTAACTCTCCAGTAACTGACTGTAGATAATAAGGAACCTCAATTCTACTCTTGAGGAAGAAGAGTTTTAGGTTGCGAGCTTTATCCTTCAATTGTACCTGGCTTCTGTCGGCCAAAATATCGTTGATTGTTCCTTTATCCCCGTAAAGTGCGAGAATCTGACTCCAATGAGGGCCTTTCACTCGATCCAGACCAGCCATCAACGCATTCTCTTCTTCTGTAGTCCAGGGCCGCCGCTGACTAGGTGGGCCCGGCTGGCGAGAGTTTCCTGGATTCGATTTTGCTACCGCGGCTTGACGGGCAAGATTGTAAAGAACCTGTGTCGGGGCGCTTTGGGTATGATAAGGAATGTTTCCAGAGCCATACTGGGGTGGGAATGACTGATTTGGGGTTGTGGATTGCTGTGGCGGTTGTTGAACGTCTGATAGACATTAGTTAAGTGTGTCAAGGAAGATATCAAAGAGAGCTAACCTTCGTTCTGTGATGCTACATGGCCCGCACTGATACTAAGAAGAGCCTCTTGTGCCGCAAGATCAGCTGAAGCCATTAAAGAATTGTTTACTAAGCTGCTATCTTGAGTGCCCTCGATGCTTTCCACCGGTTTGTTCCCTGGTTTTATGGGCCCAACGGGGGTTGGAAGATCGTGCTTTTGCATATATGGTCCAAGAAGTCCTTCATATTGCTGATTTATGTGCGTGCTAAGGTCACTAAGAAAATCCTCCCAAGGATATTGTTCGGAAAGTGTCTCTGTTCTGTGATTAGCTCAGTTGATTTAAGCAGTCATGAAAGCTTACGTATAGAATCTGCGTCAGCGGGGACGCTTAATAGATATTCTTTTCGCGCTCTACAGTCAGAGACAAATTTAGTCTCGCTGTCGGAGAGTTGAACACCGGGATGCCGCGCCAACAAAATGGAACTCAAATCTGAAGGAAACAGATCCTCCAGTATCTCCTCCTTAGTCTTCTCATTGTCTTCTTCTCCGAGCGCTGACAAGTACATCTGTGTTTTCAAATTGGTGCATAAATTACAGGCGTTTGCGTCCATCGTCTCGTTTTCTGGGGTAAAAGTGTTGAGAAACCAATGGTTGAGCTCATAAAATCCAACATCTTGCCCACCAAAAACCCCAGCAACGAAAGTTGCCATATTTGTGTTTCGAATGATTGACCTCTGCTTGACATCGGTAAAGCCAAGCTCGTCCGCGGACAGGAAGACGTTTTCCTTCGAATATATTTCTTTCGTCTTGCTGAAAAGGGACTTTAGTGTCGCAAAAGCCTGCCCATGGTCTGATTCGATTGTGCTTATATTATTGATGGTCTCGGAGTATGGGGTTTGTGCCAGTATCGACAGAAGCTGGATCGACTTGAGAACGTTAGCATCTCAAGCATTATTCTAGTTGCCAAAGAGACTGCGAAGGGCGAAAATTCCCACTTACCAAGTTTTCTAATAATGGCAGACTCAATACCCACATGTATAGACTCGGATCATATGGTGTACTTTCCGCTGGTGTAGGGATACTTTCTCGACGCTGAGGAATTGGCGACGGAGGCTTCGGAACATGGTGATCATTTCTGCTCGCGGATGGTAAGGTAGCACCAGCGGTTGCTTGCGCGAGTAGGGCCTCAAGATCGAAGTCCGCGTGTTCAGATGGATTTTCGATTTTCTGGCGCTTGGAAGAAGTATCCTGCTCGCGGTCTGGTGTCCGTTGTCTTTTCTCCACCGGTTGGGTTGCGTACATGCTAGCAGCTGCGGCTTGATAGGGAGTAGCATCATGGACGAAGAAATCTGAGACACGCGTTAGTACATGTAGCGATTGAAGTTCAATTGCGGTCTCTTCGTGACTGACTTGGCTTAACATCTGGCGTTTCCATCATGACCTGCGCAGCTCTCGCATTTAATGGCCAGCTGTAGGAATCGTACGGGCTCGGAGATTTGTTGTGTAGCTAAAACATCTATCAATGACCACATAAAACTTGAAGTAAAGGTTTCCTAGTAATGAGGGGTCAATCCCGGGCGTGATGGCGTTGAGGTCTCGCAGCTCAAAAATTATCGCGATAGCTGCCGATAAGGTTTATCTCCTCAGCCCTAAAATTTAGCGAGGGTCAAGCACATGATAGAACCAATTCGCATCCAAAGAACAACGTCATTCAGTTAATCAGACTCTATTGCCTAACTTTGCTAATGATGAGGCTTTGATTCAAGGTCAAAATGGTATCAGAAAGCCACCGACTCTAGGCTCAACAGAACTCTTAAACAGCAATTTACAAGAACCTCAGTAAAGTTACTAAGGAAAAGATCTAAAGGCTCGTCATCTGACGCATTTAAGAATGGACTATTACATCTTTCGTGAAATGTCACTTTTGTAGGTGAAAATATGATATCGCCTTAAGGTGAATGGGGAGACCCGAATTAATTGGCTGCATTTGATAATATTTACTTCTCAGTGTAAGAAAACTTTAGTAGGTAAAGTAAGTCCTAGTTGAGGAGAGAAATTATTATTAGTACATCAGGGTTTCATTGATCTAGAGGGTATTTGGTTGCTCGAATAGTCAACGTACGAGGAGGCTAAAGCTCACGAGCTACATAGTCAATGTTTCCGAAGTAATAGCACCAGACTTTGTATTAGAGTAAGAGAGTAATCAATATTAGCATCGCAGACTTCTCACAATGAATGGCTGGTGTTATTCCGATTTTGAAATGATCTTTTGAAACCCGGCATTGATGCTGGTATACATGTCATTGTCTAGCGAAATATAACTGACCGTGTAATTATTTCGTACAGTCTAGTCGTTTGCAAGTAGCTGATATATACTGGTCCCATACAGATGGCATATAATCACGTGATATGCACCCCCCCCTCCCCTCGAAGCGAATTTCTCAATTACTTTTTGTATTGTTCAAAACTATCTACAGGATAACAAGAAAGTCTAGACGGCTCTGTCAAGTTTCTTGCGCTGCTTTTGGCGAAAATGAAGAGCTCCCCCAACTGGCTTAGCTTGATACCCTACAAAACAATATATCTCCCTTCGTCCTGGTCTATCCCCGGACCCCAGATTTCCAGAGCGCTTCCCCACACGAACAGCCCCTCGGTAATACGGACATGTTTAAGGTGATTACTGAGAGGCAGTTAGTAGCGGCGTGACACGATTTTAAGGTTTGAGGGGCCACGCGCTATGTGAATCTCAAATATCATTAGGTTACACACAATTCTGTGCTTGATGGTGGTGTAAAATTCGCTATACCATTGGCTGGCAACAAATACTCTTTTGAGAAGAGGCGGAATATCGCCGCTCAAATGCTGATCTACGATTAGATAGCGTCCAGGATACCACCAACCATTTCAAGAAATGGAGACTCATAACATGGTAACGCCGAGTGAAGTTTATATTCTGAATACTAATCACCTAAATCCGAATTAGAGTCTTGGAACGGCTTCAAATGACCCCGTGTTTTTACAACTGAAAGTGCCAAAGGACCTTCCAAAAAGCCCGTCATTCTTCGCTCAGGATTGCACCGCCCACCGAAACGTGGGGTTGCACCCCGCTATGCCGAGAAGGCGAAAAACATCAACAAAGAAATTTATCACAAAGAACGAGATATGACTATGATGGCTTTCCTTCGAAATATCTTGAAAGAAACAATCACAAATCCAAGTCTACTCCGGAGCTTAGATGCTGATGCAGATGTGAACCACAGATCTAGAGTGCCCCGTCTAGAGCATTGGAGATCTTGAGTGGCGGTTTGAAGTAGTAATGAGGGGTAAAGACGACTTTCCCATTTTCGCTCTGCCGATACTCCCTGTCCTTTGTGCCGAGCATTGCGAGCGTATCGAATTACAGTAGTACACCGGCCGGACACTCCTTGCCTCAAACAAGTGTGTCAACCTGGTGGAGTCAGAGGGGTAGACCGTGAGGGTATTTATTACTGAATGGACAAATAATAACTAAATATTATCAATCTCGGTGAGAGAAGAGTGACAATCGTCGTAACTTCTGACCTACCCGGTAATGAATTGGTGCCTCGCTTGTGACCCCTGACAGCAGTGCTCGTAGACGATGACCATACCACCCACCACCGAATGTAAAACCCACCCGAATGGTGGGTGAATGTGGCTTTTCGTGTATCACACTAAATTAGTTCTCGTTGTAGAACCATATTTGTTTGGGCTGTGCCCGATTTATCTCGGCTTGACTTAGATAGCTCCCCCGCACATCCCCCGCTTCTCGACCTCACTTTAAATCCAAACTCCTCCTTTCAACTTGACACTCACTTTCATTCGCACTTCACATTCCTCAATATACCCATAAACACTCACAATGACTACCACACAACTCGAGACGCCATCTAGTGGCAAGTACACTCAACCTACAGGATTGTAAGTAGCCTACTCTACGTGGAATTGTTGTATATCTGCTAACATGGGGGTGTTAAGGTTCATTAACAATGAGTGGGTAAAAGGTGTTGACGGCAAGACCTTCGAGACCATCAACCCTTCCACAGAAGAAGTTATCTGCTCAGTCGCAGAAGCCACAGAGAAGGATGTCGATATCGCAGTAGCTGCTGCACGAAAGGCATTCGAGGGACCATGGAAGAAGGTTACACCAGAAGAGCGAGGCAGATTGCTTGTGAAGCTCGCAGACTTGGTTGAGAAGAACCTCGATCTTTTGGCTGCTGTCGAAGCTCTCGATAACGGCAAAGCTCTCAGTATGGCCAAGGTAGATGTTGGTATGGTTGCTGGATGTTTGAGATACTATGGCGGTTGGGCCGACAAGATCGAGGGCAAGGTTATCGATACAAACCCAGATACTTTCTCATACACAAGACATGAACCTGTGAGTGCCTCAACATTCATGATGATATATTGGACAACTAATTAGGGCGTTTTTATCAGGTTGGTGTTTGCGGGCAAATTATCCCATGGAATTTCCCATTGCTCATGTGGTCATGGAAGATCGGTCCAGCAGTTGCCACTGGTAACACAGTTGTCCTCAAGACCGCTGAACAGACTCCTCTTTCCGCTCTCGTCGCTGCGAATTTGGTCAAGGAGGCCGGTTTCCCACCAGGAGTTATCAACATCATTTCTGGATTTGGAAAGGTCGCTGGTGCTGCTATCTCATCGCACATGGATGTTGATAAGGTCGCTTTCACTGGATCTACCGTCGTGGGTCGCCAAATCATGAAGGCTGCTGCTTCGTCGAACTTGAAGAAGGTCACTCTCGAACTTGGAGGTAAATCACCAAATATCGTTTTCAACGATGCGGATATTGAGAATGCTATTTCCTGGGTCAACTTTGGTATTTTCTTTAACCACGGCCAGTGCTGCTGTGCCGGTTCCCGCATCTACGTTCAGTCAGGTATTTACGACAAATTCGTCGAGCGATTCAAGGCTCGTGCTACAGCCAATAAGGTCGGAGACCCGTTTGGGGATGATACCTTCCAAGGTTCGTATTTTTTGTTATAGACACGGCTCGGCTCCGGAGCGAACGAGGAAAGATTATGCTAATTCATCGGATAGGCCCCCAAGTCAGTCAGCTTCAGTTTGATCGCATCATGGGTTACATTGAGGAGGGTAAGAAAGAGGGTGCTACCGTTGTTACCGGGGGTGAACGTCATGGTGACAAAGGATACTTCATTCAGCCAACCATCTTCTCTGATGTTAAGGAGGACATGAAGATCATGCAAGAGGAGATCTTTGGACCAGTCTGCTCTATTGCTAAGTTCGAGACTGAGGAGGATGCTATCAAGGTTGGTAACGGCTCCACCTACGGTCTCGCGGCTGCAGTTCACACCACCAACTTGAACACCGCGATCAGAGTTGCCAACTCCCTTCGAGCGGGTACCGTCTGGGTCAATCAATACAACATGCTCCGTAAGTATTTTTCCTTTCTTCCTCCCGAATCAAACCCTGTTCTGTAATGATCTGGAGCATGTTTGATCTTTAGACACGCCTCTCGGTTCCGGAGCGAACAAGAAAAACGTATGCTAATTTATTGGATAGATCATACAACCCCGTTCGGTGGGTACAAGTCATCAGGCCTGGGTAGAGAGCTTGGAGAAGAGGCGTTATTCAATTACACAGAAACAAAGTCGGTGGCCATCCGTTTGGGCGACGCTCTCTTCGGTTAAATTGTCTGATTACGGGGCGATGAGCATGGATTTCGGGCAATGAAAATATGTAAATGAATAGCTAGCTAGCCTTGCTGCTTAACTGCAACAACAATAATGATATCCTCTTGAAATAATGGTGTAAAGTGACGTGAGGAATGGTTAGGAGACCGATCACGTGAGCTAAGCGAATCACCCCTATTCCCTACCCCATGGCTCTTCAACACTTCCTGGTAAGCTTTGAACTCTTTGAACTGGCTGCTATGTTTTCTAACTTCTATTAAATATTAATAAGACTGGTTCTTCATTATTATTTGGGATTTCTACAAAATATCATCAGAATGTCAGAATGCCAATAGACAATGATGTGTTCTACAGACATATAATATTGCAGAGAACAATAAATCAAAGATAGACTCGTGAAGAGCTCCTTTTCAAACTTTGTACGCCGTGTCCTGTAGTCTGAACTTTCAATTCAAAGCTTCACTCTGATAGTTGAATTGTTGTGTCCGGTCTTCACGCACGTGAAGGTTCCGCATGTGGAATAGTCTGCGACCCTTGTGCGTCAAAGGTCAACTTCTCTTTACATCGCCAGCACCACCACTACCATCACCACCATTAGCCCAATATTCCAGCGTCGCCACATGATACTGAACCTTTGATTGTAGCTTCAGCGAGAAAGTGCTGAGCTTTATTGCTGACTCCCACTGCTCGTCACCGCACTTACCTCCTCCCTGAAATCAATTATTTCGCACCCACTCCTACAACTGCATTTTGGTATCTTCAAATCCATCTCTGCACCTTCACCGCTAATCTTTCCAGCATTTAATTAACTTCCAAGCTATTGCTCCTGCCAATTGCTCGCTCCTACCACTTCCTCCTCGTACGATCTTGTGGTCACAGCTCGTCTTCTTGAACAGTCTTGCCCATTATTCAGGAGGAGCAATTGCTATCATGCTCTCAAGTAGCTCTCTGCTGAATACATTCTCGAATTGAATTGACGAGCCACAAATCCTTCGCATCCAACGCCATATCGCTAATCGCTGCACACATAATGCCTTTTAGCCCCATATCAAGCTCCATCAGATCTGGCTTTTGTCAATTGCTTGGGTTATGTGATTTTGGAAGCTACGCGGAGTGCACGCTACAGCCAATCTCATCTCATCTAGACTAGTCACTGTCGAACAACCCAATTTCCTTTTTCTTCGAATCCACACTCCAACCACTCCTACTTTTACAAGTCCATTCACTTATTCTACCCATACTTCTCACGCCTCCCATGACCTCAGCTGCGAGAAACACACCTCATCTCGCGAGTTGTCCAAAATTGTTGAGATGTTGTATTATAAATTGGGTGCATCAGCTTGATAATAAAAATCTGCCCCGCTATGTCTGAATTTCGCAGTTGAGGGCATCCCAGTAGTCAAGACAAGTGGCAGTCGAAGACGACATTTCCTCGATTAAGTTGACGAAATATAGCATATTTCGTCTGTTGTTTTCATTAAATATAACCACATCTATTTAAGTTGGGGATTTATCATTTGAGAACACTTGCCCGCTAGGTATACTTTAAGTTGACAGAATTGTTGTCTGTCAATTAAATTGTCCTCTGTGAGAAGAGATACATTTTAGCTATTGTGCCTGCTTCGGTCTTTTCCAGTCTTCACAATTTATCACCAGAATTCTTTTTCTGAGATCTATGCTTCAGCATGTTGTGTCGTGCGACTCTTCGCCACGTTGTTGCAAGTCTGACGGGGACACCTGCTTACAGTGGAATATCGATATTCTGCTAGAAACCATATTTACCCAGTCTTTTTGAGCCATTGTACACTTTTTGTCTCAATCAGAAAGGCTAAATATGCCTTTCAAGGAAAGAGTGTCAGGGAGCTGTCTTATGAAATTATCGTACTTACAGGATGTCCCACCAGTTTAGTAATATGACTCTTTGAACGGGCCACCTTCGAATTTCGGCCGCACTGAGTGACAGGCGGAGTCAACGGTGCAAGAAAAGATTCTCACTCAGCTGAGAGTAGGAAGAACATTTTGATAGAGCACTCGATGACTTTCAAAATAATACTCACGGGGGGGTTTAGGGAAACAAATTAGAGTGTCGTTAATATCGAATCGGAACGTTTGGTTGGACTTAAAGTTTGGCTTCGATTTCTACATGGAACTAGAAATGAAGTTCGTAGTAAGATTAAAGCGGCGGATTTTTTCGACATTATTGAAGCCAGCAGCTTCTATTTTTAAAACTCGAACTAATAAATAATTGGTTTAAGAAAGTTTTTGCATCTTGTATGTCGGTACGGACCCGAACGATCTCGACGATCTCGAGATACTCGTTTATACGTTTCGGCAATTTGACTATACGGAAGGTTTTACAGCAGTGACTAAAAAGCTAGTATTCGAGAAAGCTAGTAACATATCTATCCGGAACCCTTGTCCTATCTTCAAATCGCGCCTCGTATTGTTAGTAAGTATGACCCGATCACATTTGTGATAAACATGCTAATCAAATGACAGGCGGAGTCAATAGTGTAAGAGTAAACATGACACACAAACTCTACGACGGCCTGTACACCCATAAACGCTTTTCAAACACCGGGTGCAAGTGCAGGAAGGAAGGAATGTTCAAAAAGCACACCACACGACAGCACGGCCATTGATACCAAAAACTCCATGACGGTCTTTACATCCATAACCTGTTCGCATACGAGGATGCACTCCACGAGACAACACGGCCACTAGAGGACAAGCCAAGGAAGGAATGTTCGCATACGAGGAAGCACTCAACACGATAAGAGCCTGGTCAATAATGACTGAAAACATATGGAAAAGGACAGGTGAAGGAAGGAAGTTTCGCATACGATGAGCACTTCACGCGACAAAAGGATGGGCATTAGAAAAGGACAAGTACAGGAAGGAAGGAATGTTCGCATACGATGAGCACTTCACGAGACGAAAGCATGTCCCTTTCCCCATGTTTTTGTCATCAATGGCCATGCATAGGAAGGAAGGTATGTTCGCATACGATGAAGCACTCTACATCACTGATGACACAATCATATGGAAAAAGACAACTGTCTGTTAAGAGGGCCATCGAACATTTTGCTTTAAGAATTTTGAACATTATCCAGGATTTGGACGAATCTCAGGGTTTATGGCTCGACTACATTAAGAAGCCTGAACGTAAGGACATATTACAAACTCATTGGGATGATGGTTGCCGTGGCATACATGGACCCTCAACATGGCGGTACTCCTGGTTGTCCTCGGATCAGCCAATTGACTTTCATGAGCAGGTACACCAACAAAAGGGAAATACTTCCCCATAGGATTATACATACGCCCCACAGCGTGCACAAGGCTCCGGAAGCGCTTGCTAAGAAGTGGAAAGCATTCTATGCGAGATACCTAGCCCGCGGAGGTCAATACATGTGGCAGTAACCGTCTATATCGTCCCGAATCGCTTACATGGTTCAAGCACGGTTCCGCATTACTCACTCGTAGCACTTCCTGCCCAAACAGCTGAACCGTCGACTATTTAGTTTCAGATAATGTTTCACTCGAAGTCTGGCATTGTATGTACTTACTACCAGGGTGATGCAAGTCTGACGGGACTTTGACAGAATAACGGCACTCTGCATAGAACGCTATTGTTACTTAATTCGTCTGAGTAAATGTGTGATATTTCCTCTACAAGAATGGCCAAATATGTCTCTTAGCCGAGGTGCGTTAGAAAGCCGTTTCCTGATATAATTGCATTCGGTGTATCGTGTCAGACTTGTAGTAAGTGCACTGGTGTTTTCAAATTTATCCTCCCATCGAGTCTCTAGCGCCCCCTAAAATCTATGTTCCAACTAACATATTATTAGTACGACATAAAGTGGTACTGTGGTTTATAGACCGTTGTGGATTCAAGAGTTACAGAAATGCATCTCGCAGCTTTACGATCTTAATATTACTACAGTACTGTGCACCTAATTGTTAATTACTACGCTATGCTTGTGAATAAATACAGGGTCCCTGACTACAGCACTTATGAACCGTTGGAGCCTCGGCGATTTGTTAGTAAATTGAAGAACTTCCGGGTTGAGGTATGCTCCGTACGATTTGAAGAATTCCAGATAACCTATTTTGTTGACAGGAGACCTGCATAAAAAATAACAAAATCTGGACTGTCTTACGGGGTTGGCCAATAAATTGAAGGGTTCCGACATATTTGTATCTCTAGCATCCAGTCAAGATAATGCCTCACAGAGGATGAAACATTGTAAGCGGCAGAACCTCCAACGTGTTACCTCAGATTACGAATAAATGAAGGTTTTCAGTTACTAACTTATCCAAGTTCCAACCTCTATGTTTTACTGAAATCAATAGAGGAAATGCGATATTGTCTCAACTTAGTTGAGCAAATACAATGTTCGAACTGGCTTCTTTTTGGATATCTGATTTTGGACGTTTAAGTTTTAGTTGATAGTCTTATTTATCTCAACATCCGCACAAAATTACGAAGAAGAGTTTCAATATCACCCGTTGGGCAGGGAAAATGTATGTATTCCTTTTAATTACATCATATCATTAGAAACGCCGCCCCGTTTCCTACGAAATTAATACACCGAAGAAATCTACTAACATGGTAGTAGCTATAAATACTAAAGAAATTAATCTGAAGTAGGTGTAGAGAGGCTAAAGAAATTAATCTGAAGTAGGTGTAGAAAAGAAGCTAATGAATTTAATCAGAAGTAGGGTGAAGAGAAACTAATGAACTTAATCAGAAGTAGGTGTGAATAGAAACTAATGAATTTAATCAGAAGCAGGTGAAGAGAAACTAATGATCATTCCAACAGCAAGTGGACGAAAGCCCCAGAAATTAATCTGAGGCAGACGAACAAAAGCTAAAGAAACTAATCAATGATAGTTCTTGGTTTCCAAACCAGAAAAATTTGTCGGTAGAAAGGTGATGCGGTAGAACTTATTACTTTTTGACATTTTCATTCAAGCCCAGCTTCTGTAGATCAAGGAGAGCAAGAGGTGGACCATTGTAGAATTGCCGTGGGTCTGGATGGTTCGATGATCCGTTGTCAAAGTCCTCGGGAGCCTCCCATGCCTTGAGTTGGGCTATCAATGTTTTGCGGCGCTCATCTCGTGTAGGAGAGTCTCTTGGTAAAATAGCTTGTCTGTCTGTTTGCGGCGGAAGATCCAGTGGTTCTGCACTCTCGCTCTCCTGTCGCTGATCTTTACCAGGCTCGTCTGGTACGCCGAACATTGCGATTGCGCGGCCATAATTCATCGCAGCCGGGTCGGGTGTCGCTGGGACACTGGAGCGGTCCAGACCTTTGGATGATGATTTGTAGTCAGGATTTTCCTCTACCATTTTGATTAAGCCATCTCCTTTCTCGGTCTTCGAAGCTTTGCGCCAGATCTCCAGAAGCTCGTTTTCTCGCTCGATTGCCTTGCTTTCGAACGCCTTTGAGAGCGCGTCTGGATCAGTGCCTGCTCCGCATTAGTGTCGCATCGACTTGAACTTGTGCATGTTTTTTCCCTTACAGTCGCACACTTTCTTTATTTCCACTTCCTCTGAGGCAAGCACTGCTTCGAGCTCTTGACGGCGCTGGTCCCATGCTGCGCAATACTTTGTCGCTTTCTCGAGCTCCGCCGCAAAGTTATCACGCTCGACGCCACAGACGTCCTCTTGAAGGAGAGCTTGATGCCGGCTCATAGCTGCCTCACGCCGCTCTTTTTCCGTGGTAGCCTGCCAGTTGTTAGTATGCTGATTATGAACGCAATGGGGTCTGCGTTACATCTCTTATCTCATTTCTCGTGCCATGAGCAGCACAAGCCAAGCAGCCAGTTCTGTATCTGACGTGCTGGCAGAGATCGCGACGATCAGTAGAGAATGGAGAAGGCATTTCTCTAGGTATTGTATGAATGTAGTTGAATTTGTTATATTAGATCGTGGAGGTGTGAATGCAGGTGTTGAGAAAGGTTCACGAAAGATGAGCGTCAGGCGAGGATGATCGTCAGTCAAAGATGAGCGTCAGTCACCTGCTCACTAATTTCCAGACTGAATAAGTCGACTTCATTAGAGCTTAGAAAATATGATATTTACTCGAAATAATTGACGAAATATGAAATGCTGGGAGTTATTTCGTCTGTTATCTTGAGTAATTCTTGTGTTTGGACTTTCACTTATGTTATTTAGCATGAGCTTAGATACAAGGCACTGATCCAAATAAATCAATACCCCGACTTCACCATGTACACTCTTCCTCTATTCAGATACTGCTATGACACTAGTACCTTCCTATGAATCTTACTATGTGTCATCAAAGAGACAACCACACATGTACATAGTCAAAGTGTAACTTCCAAAGTAATCCAAATCAGTGCCATGTTCAGGGCTAGGGCTCTATGGGTATAAAAAAGATATACGAGTATAATAGCGCCTTATGGTGAACAAAATAAGTGGCAGTCGAAATGAAATATTTGCTCAGGACAGTTGACAAAATATGTTATGTTTCGTCTATTGTTTTCAGAAAATAACACTTCTTACACTCTATTTTACTCGATCAGAAGAACCATCAGGAAGTCCGCAGGTCACTTTCATTTTGGTACTGTTCACCTTCAGACTCGACTTCACCTTCAACAAGGTTAAATCTTGCCGGGCAGGAAAAGGCGGTGATAGCCCCCCGCCATATTTCAAATCAAAACAAACATCACGAAGCACACAAACTTCCAAAACTTCCAATTCACACAATCAATTTCAAAAATTACATTCATGTCGTGGCCACATTACTACACAGTTAAGATCGTCACCAGAGATCCTTGCCCACCACGCACTTCAACCGCAGGAAAGGAGTTACCAGCTTGGAGGGAAACTGGGCGAAAGCGTAAATGGGAATCCGACAATAACTCGCCTTCCTCCAGATCGTCAATTCTTCTCCTCCACCATTTGAGCGATCACTGACCAGCAGCAGATCCCGTACACGGCGAGATAAGCAGCAAACATGAGCAAAGCCCTCAACAGCCAGCATCAACGGAACTTTGGAAGTCGCGAGGCATACCGTCCGCAATAGTTACGACACCAACATCGCCATGCTTACGGAGGACATGCGATTAGATTTCGATCTGAGGAAATATGGCGATGAGGACTCTATTGGCTACGAAAGCGATGAATGAACACTCCTCCCTGTATCTTCAAAATCGTTTCCTATGCTAACACCCTCAGATATCTTCTCCGGTTTCCTTCTCCTCACCATTGATTAGCTTCTCTGGTTCCCTCTACCCACCATTGATTAGTTTCTCTGGTTCCCCCTACCCACCATTGAGTAGCTTCTCTGGTTCCTTCTACCCACCATTGAGTAGCTTCTCTGGTTCCTTCTCCTCACCATTGATTAGCTTCTCTGGTTCCTTCTCCTCACCATTGATTAGCTTCTCTGGTTCCTTGACGGCTGTCGAGCTAGTTCTCCAGCGTCTTGTGCCCATCATGGATTAGGTTCTATGGTTTGACGGCTGCCGAGCTAGTTCTCCAGCGTCTATATGCCCATCATTGACTGAGTTTCTAGTTTTCTCCTACTGTCTACGCTTTCATCACTCCACGACACCGGATTCTCTTTTACCCCAGCAACAATCGAATCAACCTCAACTACCTCCAATATCATCCTTACTTCCTCCCAACAATGTTCAGCGACGAACTTACTTTACCCTGCCGCCCGGACAACGTATTCTGGCGTTTACCGCAGCCAAAGAACTGAATGACTTCACATCTCAAGAACAAATCGAAACGGAAAACACACCATACCGCCAAATGAAAAGGTTCTTGAAGACCCCTGGAACCCAAGAGCAGTGGAATTGAGCTGGAAAGGATGAGTCCGAGTCTCTAAAGGAGAATGACACCTGGGATCTAGTGGACGACCACGATGGAATAAAATTGTGTGGGAAAAGTGTCTACACAATCAAACGCGGCCACACTGGGAAAATCATTCGATTCAAAGCTAGATGGGTTGTGGGGGGGCTTCGAGCGATATGAGGGAATCAAATACAATGAGAAAATCAAGTTCTTATCCATTTGCACATTTGACTCAACAATGTTTCTGCTGTGCACATTGAATCGTTGTGATATTATGTCGCCCGATCTTAGTTCCTGGAAAATCCATGGCGGTCGAAACACGATATTTCTTCAATCTAGTTGGCAAAATATACTATATTTCTTCAATTGGTTTCGGCCACTATGGTCCATCATATCCTCTCTTTGGAACCTGTCCAGATGGGAGCGCCTCTTCGCTACTTAATGATTTTTCAGCTCTGTTCTCTCCACTCAATGCTGGTCTATGGCCCACCAGGGCTTTAACAAATCCAAGTGGAACCACAAGGCTTGTTTGAAACACTGTAGGTATTTCGAGAGCCGGAACCTCAAATCTGGGGTGTTCGACCAGTAAATGAACTCCGTGAACGCATGGAATGGATTGAGGATGGAAACTCCATTTCTGACGAATCTTGCCATTGACCGAACAACATTTTAAAATAATGAGTTTTATGAGCAGGTTACTTTCAACATTTCGACAGTGTCCTAAAATCAACTATAAGCCAAATAAAACCAACGACGCAGTATATTGATATTCTTTGGTAGAAGAGATCTGAGAGTCCTACCCGTTTAAAAGTTTAATGATGAAACGATTTAACGTGAAAGTCAAAAATGTTTACTCTTTTTATTGTGAGAAAGAAGACAAATAATATATTCAAAACAAACCCTATTTCGCCAAGTATGTTAGACCATTAAAAGTGGGAAACACTAGGTTATTCTTCTTAACAGAACAAATGTGAAAATCCGATTCTGTGTTAAATTTAATAAATGTAAGATACTTAAACTAGACGGGAAGTAAATCTATTCTCTCGAGTAGAATAAGTTTGTCGATTCGAACCTACAGTCAAGTACGACATTTGCTAAAAGATACTCCACAGAATCCCAGCATCACTTGCTCAAAGCAGTTAACGAAATATTGCGCATTTTGTCAACTGTCTTCCAGCAGATGTTATGTTTTTACTTGGCTTGAAGTAGACGAAAGAGACGGAAGTCTAAAAACCATGTTTAGTATAGCTTGCTAAAGAAAATTGGCGAGATACCGATTGCTTAAAGTAATTGACTGAATATTGGATAGTTCGTCAACTACTTTCAGTAAATATCGCGATTTTAGTAGACTTATAGAGGACAAGTTAAATGATAGTGCCATATAATTCTTCTCTTATCGTAGGATATTATTTAGGAAGGAAGTACTTCTAACGGTCGATCGAATTAGAGTAGAGTCTAAACACGTTTATTTACTCTAAATAATTGACGAAGTTTAGATAATTTATTAATTACTCTCAATAAATAACGTTTTTCGACTCGGCTTACTGGGGATAAATAAATTAGTAGTACCTTATAATTCGTCTTTTATTTTAGGACATACTTCTGATTATCAATTGACCTAATGTAGAGTCTGAAAGTGTCTATTTACTCAAATTGATTACTGCAATTCAGATAATTTGTTAACTGCTTTTAGTAAATAATGTGGCTTAGCTCGGCTCGGAAAGAGCAAATTTAATAATAGAACCTTTCGATTATTCTGTTGTCTTAGGACATAATCAAAAGGCAAGTCGAAGAGGCTACCTCTCCTCCTACAGTCCCAACCCTCTCGACATGTTGATCTCAAAATGGTGCCAGATGTCCGGAGCTTGCTACCTAGTGCAGATTAACCAGTGGAGGAACTCGCTACCAGAATACGAGAAATCAACAGATGACTGCATCCGAAACCACCCGAAAGGAAGAACAAGAGAGAAAGCGGAAGCAGGAGGAGAGCGAGCTGAAAGACATCATGTTGGTAGTCATTAGGAAAATACAGGGCTTGGAAGTAACATCGCTATATGGGGCGCCACATTAGATTGAGAAAGCAATGGTTAGAAGTAAAGAGCCATAGCGGATGACGATGGCAGGGCTAAAGGGATCGATAGAGGTGGGAAGAAAGAAGAAGTCCAGAACACCGAATATGACCTCAAAGTACTTCTAATTTTTAGTCGACTTTGAGTAGAGTCTAAAAGTGTGCATTTATTCGAATTAATTGACGTAATTCAGATATTTCATCAACTACTTTCAGTAAATATTTGTGTCTTGACTCAGGCCTCAGCTCGTAGAGGGATAATACAAAAAACGGACAGGAATAACTATTCTATTATCTTAGGACATGGTCTGGAGAATGTGAGGACTTTTGATTATCAATTCGTTTCAAGTAGAGTCTAGAATTGTCTATTTCTTGAAAACAATTCACGAAATCCACGATACTCGTCAAATTAATCCGAGAAATAGCATGTTTCGACTCCTATCCCATGATATTAATTATAAAGGCGGCTCGTCAAAAGAAATAAGCATAGAAGAGATAATAGAGCCTAATAAGTTTCTGTTTTGTGGGAATTAATTTAGAGAAGGTAAGTACTTACAACTCTAAATTTGTTTAAAGTAGAGTCTGAAAGCGACTATTTATAAATTTAATTGACGAAATATACGATGTTTCGTCAACATGTCCAGAGAAACATCGTGTTTCGACTACTACTTATTTTGTCAGACTCCTTGTGCTATATACAGTATAATGAACAGGGCTGTGTGTTTGAGAGAAATAGCCGGTATAACTCGAAGTGGACGAGAAAAGTGGCAGCCAAAGTACGACCTAAAGTTTGACCATATTCGGCCTCATCACTCAGAGTACCTGGCGAGGTATTATGTATTTCATCAATTACTTTGAGCAAATATTGTGTCCTCGCGATAGACGATAGAGATGGCTGTAACCCGTGGCCATCCTGGCGATTCTTCAATCCAGTTTTTGAAAATCATAGACAAAATATATGATAATGCGTCAACTTGATCGAATAAATATTGGTTTTGACTGCCACTTCTTTTGTCTACCGCGGGTGTAGACACAAACTACTTGGTGCTACGTACAGAGGTAGGGCTATATGTATGTTGGAGGCGGATGTACTGGTATGACGCCTTGAACATGGGGGGATGCGATAAGCTAAAGGATTATTGACGCTTAGCGAAGTCACCAACCCCTCCATAGGTAGTCGACTGAGGAATATCCGGTCTTTTTGGACTCAGGTACTGAGATTCCTATCTTTCACTGCAAAGTCTCATAAATTAACCAGCAGACAATTGCACTCCAAATGTAATGATCCCAACCTCCTCTCCCCAAGTGAGGTTATGATTCCCATCTCGCCATGCCATGCCATGCATGCACCTGCGGCCCAGCGCCGATAGCTTCCTTATCGCATCAGATAGCGGGATAAAAGGCCGCACTTGGCACTTTGTTCAGTCCACACATGCCTTTCTCGCAACATCCAGCTGCAGTCAATACGCTCCTTGACTGGCACGCCCAATTGGCGACGCACATCGCGTGATATCCTGCAGAAAATCCAAGATGAATCGAGCTTAGCCTGCGAGCGGACAAGAGCTGCGAAGGACAAGGGTGGAGCTCCCCGCGTCTCATGAGGCAGAAGAAGGTGGGTGAATACCACGCATTATTATTCTCTTTCTTTCTTTCTTCTCTCCTAGTTGCTCTTACATCTGTAAACTCCTCCCTTCTATTTGAGGTTGAATATTTGTTGTGCTTGTAATTTTCTCACGAGTCGAATCTTCACCCTCCCCTCCCCTAAAAACAAGCGAGAGCGGATAGCGATTCCAACCATGACTCTCCTCACCGTCCTGTTGACGCTCACCACTGGAGCTTCAGCAGCAACCCAAGTTACCTGGGCCTCTGTGGCATTCGTGAATCATGGAGAGAAGATACCGTATCTCGAAAAGGGCCCTTACAATCTTACGCCACTCGGTGCGACTCAGTTGCAAAACGCTGGATCCGTCTTTCGAGATCGATATCTGAGCCCGCCAGTCAATGGATCACAGCTTACTGTGGGCACGCCAATTAACGGCTTGAATGTCAATGATATCGAAAACACTCAGCTTTATATCGCTAGTCTGAACGATGAATATATCAGTGCCAGTGCGACGGCGTTCATGCAAGGTGTCTATCCTCCGCGTGGAGAATCGGGTACCCTAACAATGGACGAGGAAAGTCTTTTGGGTAATGGATCATTAGCTCAGTATCCTCTAAATGGCTATCAATACCCTAACATTGAAACCCTGGGCTCCTTAGATTATAATTCGATCTGGTGAGCAAATTCCATTTTCCTCCACTGTGATCCCTCTGGGCGATGGATCTGTACTTTCTGTTCAAAGGATGGATGCTTCTGCTATAGCATAAATTAACGACTTCTTAGGCTCGGTGGAAACCAAGGATGCAACAACTATACTCGTAACATGCTCAACGAGATCAGGACGCCATCCTATGTCTACAAGATGACCCAGTACAGGGACTTCTACGAGGGCTTGCAAGACCAGGTATTCTGGGAGTTCAATAAAAGCATCCTCAACTATGCTAATGCCTATGAATTATGGGAATATGGAGCCTACAAGTACCAACACTCGAAGTCGATCTACAACTCCTTACTACCAGAAAATCTCAACAAACTACGAAACCTAGCTTCTGAGCAACAATGGTTGTTCAATACCAATACCCAAAGCATTGGAAACTCTGATAATGCCATAGCTGGAAAGACATTGGCAGGCAAAATGTTCTCAATACTCGCGCACGTAAGTCATCTTCGAGACGCAAACCCATTGTTACCCCTTACGCCAGGTTCTTGTCTTTTCGACGACAGGAGCTTGTCCAGCCCATATATTCAATGCTCTCTAAATTAGAATGCTGACCATGACTCGTAGAATATCGGCACCCAAGGTTCTGCAAACAAATTGAGTGTAATGTTCGGCTCTTTCGAACCCATGCTCTCCTTCTTCTACCTCTCGAGCCTCAGCAGCAGACACGATGATTTCATGGGTCTGCCAGAACCAGGCTCTGCATTGATCCTGGAACTATTCTCGTATTCAACATCAGAAAATGCTGCACAAAATCTGAGCACGCCATTCCCAAGCGTCGACGATTTATGGGTTCGCTTCCTCTTCCGAAATGGTACAGGCGAGACGGAACCAATAATAGCATATCCTATCTTCGGACGTGGCAATTCTGAAGTCGATATGTCATGGAAGGAGTTTGCCGATGGAATGGCCGATTTTGCTCTTACGGATGTTGCGGAGTGGTGCTCCTCGTGCGATGCCGTCAACCTCTTCTGTGAGGCAATCGAGGGCAATATCTCAAGCAACAATACCGCAAGCACACCTTATGTAACAGGAGGAGGAAGATCCAGCGGTGTATCTCCAACGGTGGCTGGTGTAATCGGTGCCGCTGTCACTATTGCAGCGTTCATTATCGCCGCTTTGGCACTTATCTTCTTCGGATTCCGAATCGATCGCCGCGAAAAACAAAACCCAGCTGCGAAGAACGGTGATCTGGGAGTTTTAAAGAGAAGTGGTAGTGGTGGTTTCAAGGGAGCAGAGAAGCTGGCTAGCGATACTGATTTGGCGCTGAAGGGAGGCGCTGGAGCAACGATCATTCGACACGAGCGAGTGGGTAGCTGGGAACTGAATAACAGCCCAACAAGCGGTATCACCCACTCGAGTTTGGATAAGGAGATCGAATCTGGAAGAGCTGTGAGTAATGCTGATTATGGACGTCGAAGTGAAGATGGAATTGGAAACGTCAATCCATTTGGCGACCCAGTTAAGCCAGTAGACCACATTTGATTCGGATGGCAATTTCTGTTCGGATAGTTGTGTGCCAGTTTACTGGGGATTTGCTTTTGGTTGATGTATATGATGATACCCTTCTATCTCTCTCTATACCCCATATATGGTTTCATCTGTTTGTTATGAACGGGCTGGAGTAAAAGATGGCGTTTGGGTGCTTATTGGGTATAGCTTTCCTTGTCTACTTGACAGGAGACGGAGACAGGATGTGTGAATGAAGCTATGAAATAAATGAACCATTGATGCAGATTTTCAAACATACGGATCTTTGAGATACCTATTTCCTCATATTTCAAAGTCACCGACCAGTCAATATATGGACATGATCAATGCCACTTCGCGGAAGAAGAGATAAGTGTCAGCGATCCGCCCATTAATATTTTGACTAAATAAGGCGACGTCGAAAAGAGCTCACGGAGGTGTCATTCACTTAAACTAATTGGCAGATGTGATAATGTCCCAAGTTGTACCACTAAATATACGAGATTCGTCAATTGATTTCAGAAAACTTTATCTTTCGAATGCCAATTATTTTGCCCACCGCGAGCCTACCCAGATATTGGACAGTTCGGCCGAAAGTAAGATCTGCTTACTCTCTCCAGTACACCAATCGTCAATTCCTCCTCGATTACGCAACGCTGGTACCTTGCATCAATCCAGCACAGGGCAGCCTAAGCCCTACGTGAAACCCACAGCCTCGGTATCAGCTGCTTCTCGACAAAAACTGTTGAGAAACTTCGAAACCCAATCACGATACCTTCTACCTCTCTCTCCTCGGCTTCTCAAATATACTTTGAATAAGTAATCGTCCCGAGTATAGCCAAGAATGAGATGTGTTGTTGTCTTTTGGAAAAAGACGCGTATCATGGGGATGAAATATGGAGTTGACCTCAACAAAATATCTAGGTGGTGAGAAGAGCTGTGCCGCAGAATATCGTGAGTGAGATTTTTAAAGTCGGAGGTTTTGATATATATTATGGGTAGGTAGCTGGTTGGGAGAGAGCTTCTATCTGTATGCTTTAAAGAATGCTCAATTTTGCTTTCATTCACAGTTCCGAGCGGAAATATTTTTATTTCTTCATATTCTCATCTGATCTCAATCTTCACATCTGAGTATACAAACACAATCTCAAAATGCCTTCACGATCCTTCTCCCCCGTTCCATCGGTTCCGACGCCAGACCCCAAAACCAAAGCAAAACCTCTCTCTCAATTCTCCCGTCTTTCTCAAGTCGTCAGACTCTACACACCAGATCCATCTATAAAACCAGATCCAACTCATCCAACCACTATCCTCCTCTGCTCAGTACGTAACTTTCACTTGTCTCGCTAGCCCTCCTCTCCAGTAGTCAGACGAGATATATCCCTATCCACAACTCCCCAACTTAAAAACAATGACTAAACTCATCCCAGTGGAATAACGCCGCCCCAAAACACATAGAATACTACACGCGAACCTACACCAAGCTCTATCCCTCCGCACGCATCATAGTCTCAACCATGAACACCAAGCAATTCCTCTTCACCTCCGAATCCACACGCCGCGCTCAAGTCCGCACCGTCATCACCGCTCTCCTCTCCGAGCCCCAAATGTCTCTCATGGTCCACGCCTTGAGTAACGGAGGTGCCAAGCGTCTCTATGCAATCAGTGCTTCCTACGCAGCCGCAACCGGAAAACCACTACCTTTGCGCGTATATGTCCTAGATTCCGCCCCGGGAATTCCGCAATTCAAAAGAGACATCCATGCGTTGAATTATCCTGTTAGGGGTTGGAATTGGTGGGTTAGGTGGCCGTTTCAAACGGTGGTGGTGCTTGTTAGTTGTGTGGTTTATGTGGTTGTAAATTGTGCGTTCACACCCCCCTTCTCCTCATACATAATACCTAAAATTTCAAAGACTGTATGCTAATTTTTTAGGGCTACCGAGATGGTTCTGGTACGAACTCGTCTGGGGTCCTCACGACGGTGCGCATAACACAGCGTATCTAAATAAGAATTGTGTCAAGGCCTTTGTGTATAGTAAGGAGGATGAGGCGATTGATTGGCGGAATGTCGAGGCTCATGCTAAGGAGACGGAGGAAAGAGGATTTAGGGTTGAGAGGAAGTTGATTGAGGGTGCAGCGCATGTTCAGTTGTTCAAGGGGCGCGGCGGGGAGCTTGATTATTGGGGCTTCATTCAGAAGGTGTGGGATATGGGGAGGGAGGTTGAGGTTGTGGAGTAAGAGTCGATTGTTGGTGTGTTTTTATTGAGGTTATAGGGTTGAAAGTTCTAAAGTCCTCGAGCGATTTTTAAGGGGGAGCTCGCTTAGCGACTTCGTTGGTTCGCAGCCGAGCAATGTCAGAGAACTAATCGTAAATAAGGAGACCACTATTAAACATAAAATATACAAGATAAGCTTTCTCATTAAACCTTGAGAGAAATTGCAGTCATATGTGTAGGTATCTAACACCAAACATCTCACATACATTAGAGCCCCCTTAAATTCATAAGCCCTAGCATGATCACAAATTCGGGCAGACTTGACGGGCTCATGACCACTTGAGATAACAGCATCAGCGACAGACGAAAGAATGACATTTCCTCTCGATACGAAAGCAATTCTCGAGACGTTGACTGTGCAAATTGTAGCCGGGACAATGAGAATCTGAAAAGAACGGGAAGGTGCAGAAAGTGGATCACTTTAGCGCCTACTATAAGCCCCCCCTCGAATCCTCGAACTCTCCATTTTCCAACCTCCATGTCTGCCTCAGACCTTTGGGTTATTTTCCCGTCAAAGATCAGAATGGAGTGCGGTATCCGGCATTGATTTTTGTACCATGATTAAAATTGATAGCTACAGGTCTAATACACTAAACTTCTTCTGAGTCTCTTATGTGAGCCCCGATTCAATTTTGGGTCTCTTGATCCATCAAACAAAGCTTTCCAGGTCCTCAATGGTCAATCGGAACCAAGCTTCGAGTTGTGAAGCACTTGAGTAAGGGTGAGGATAGTGGCGAGGTACATGAGATACACGACGCTTTTCATTCCAACACAGAGTATCCAACATAGATGGTTCCAAATTTAGGGTCTTACAGTATCGATACTGGAGCGTCTACTTCCTCCGTGAACACTCGCCATATTTTTAGTGATTCGACTTCCTTGTAGATCCTCTGCCCTGACATCTCTACGCGACCTCCAGACTTTATGGTGGCCCTCTACTGTCCTCATCCTGCTCTCTCACCATAACTATCCAACCGATGATACCGGTGTATCCAAATGGACTCAACCAAGACCGGCCAAGATGCTGAAGTAATACCTGAACAACAATGACTTCCATGCCATTATCATCCATTACTAATTTCGCCCTCTTCCGTGTCACTGCTATCACTACCCTCATCCTCGCTACCATCCTCACTATCGTCTTCACTACTCTCACTATCCTCACTACCGTCGCTACTTTCGCTACTACTCTCCTCACTCTCATCTAAAGCTTGCTGTCCAGTCTTCTGCAAGAACTCTTTCTCCAGCATGAAACCTTTGGGCAGCGAAGAACACTTTGCGAAAACGTATATCGTAGGATATTCCAGCACAGCGCGGCCTCGTAATTGATCCGTGAGATGCAACGTAGGATCGAGTTGAACCAGTACTTTCGGGAATGAGGATGGTGTCGGGACACGTTGGAGGTAGAAGTCTTCTTTGTATTCTTCTAAGGCTGGAGTATGCGTCGAAACTTTTGATGGATCCGGACTTGAACGAGCTGTTGTCGAAGGTATCGGGATGTTCCAAGCACCAGTCGTCGGCTCTTGTAAATAAGCAATTCCAACCATAGGAACCGAAGATTGCCTGGTCGCTTCGATCTTTGCTCTTTTAGCCAACCGTTCTCTGACCCTCAGATCACTCGCCTTTCTCTTCTTCAGGGCCGACTTCTCTTCACTTCCCATATTTTCTCTTTCAACCGCTTCACATGTCCTGCTCCACATTACACCCAATGGAATATTGCCCATACATTTCGCCATCAACTTTTCTTCTTTTCCCTTTTCTTTTTCTCCCTCTTTGATCCATTCGACTTGCCAATTGATACTCTTATGAGGCTTTGACCAATTGGTCTTATTCTCCCGCCGTCGAGCCATACCTACGGGGGCACGCATCACTCGGATTCCCATAAGTCTCAAACACTTGTCTATCAAAACCTCTCCTGGAAGCAGATTATACTTCCGATCTTGGTTAGAAGACCTTCCCTTGTGTTTCCTTTCAACACCTCCTCTGGCCTCTCTCAGTTCTGATTCGCTGACAAGCTTTCTATCTTCCACAATCTCTTTCTCACTACGTTCGATTTTTGCCTCTATGGAATGCAGGAAGTTGTAATCGTGATCGACACCGCTAGGTGTGAGGAGTTCCGAGCGCGGTTTGAATGTGGTAGGGTCGCGGACTCCAGAACATGAAGACCATAGTTTGTGACGGCGAGAGCATTTAAGGGAGCAAGTTTTGGTGGAGCATTTCGGGCAGGTATATTTCGGAGTCAATATGTGGCAGATAGTGCACAAATCTGAGAGGAGTGGCTCTGCCATGGTGATGTTCGTAGTCGTAAGGCGATGGGAATTCGAGGCTGAAAAGTAATAATTAAAATAATTTCTGCATACCGCGGACTGCTGATCCAAACTACATCTGCCTTGATGTCGATAACTTTATGAGAAATAAAACATGAAATAATATGATTCCATTCGTACAGACTAGTTTTCGCAGGTTCTAAAAAGTTGTGGTAGATGAGAAAAAGAGATCACAATCGACCTCGGGAAGCTCGAAGATTTCCAGCCTTGTGACAAGGGCCTGCTGGACCCACCTAGGAAGCAGAGCCCCACCAAGGAGACTTCCCACGTGCTTCCGCAAGTTCTCGTACAAGTCAACAAACAATTCGAAAGTCGAGCTTAATGATTGATATAATTCTAGATAGTATGCTACGAACAGTGGGTGCTTTTGTTTACTTCCATCTTAGCCGCTCACTCTCTATGCCATATTACATTGGCACCATTAATAGCCACTAGTCGCTCGACATGAAGTCTCCAGTCGAATTCGACATCTACAAGTACGCACGTGTTGGTGGTATAAATCTCCTTATTGTAAGCATTTATTTTCGGGAAGTCTCGGATTGAATTGTAAAACATGTTGGAGACTACTCACTATGCATGTCCATCTAATTTTGATTACATTTAAATCTCTCTGGCACGCATTTTTATTTGTCTGGCCTCATTGGCCAGGGCAGACCAAACAAGCTTCTATAAAAGGTTGTTTCAAGCAGTATGTTTTTTTAACAGTATGTCGTTTTTTACTCTACTGTTTGGATCGGTCGAAACCCACGTTGGTCTTAAGATGGATTGTCGACGGACCAGTCTTTCAGTCGTTCCCGAATTTGCACTGCTATGTTGTGTTGGCATCTACCGAGACAAACAAACGATATTGTCAGATCCGATTGGATTTTATTTTCATACGACTTTTCTCTCGGTTGGCGAGGAATAGATCAAAAATGAATTGGTTGAAGCGTCTTCATACTCAACTCATGAACCCTGTGTACAGGATGTGTTTCCGGCGATCAACAAGATCTATAGATTGACTCTACGCTAAATACTGTACTATCCCCCCCCCCCGAATAGAGGTAATACGGTGGGTAATGTGGATTTTTTTGGACGAGTAGAACTTGTCGGTTCGAAGGTGGTTTATGTGGCAAAGATGAAAATTTGTCCTAAAATCCATATATCGAGGCCAACTGACCAGTTAATAGCTACGCCTGCACAATCCCACTGAATAAC